TAGATTAATAATAAACCTATTATAATACGGCTAGGTATTAATATATAAATACTAAAGTAAGGACTTAATAAGGATAATAAGTTAATAACCTTAATAGAGGCCCTATAAGTTAAAAATAAACTTAAAAACTACCCTAAGGAGGGTTATAAGGCTTTTAATACCCTAGCTATTACCTAAAGGCTATAAAAAAGGGACTTTAATAATAAACTATCTTTATAAAAGATCTATATTATTAACGTTACTATATTATATAAGGTATTTAACGGCCAGGGCTAGAAATAGCTTATTAATACTTTAATATACCTTTATAGTTAATATCTATAATATTATTTTACTAACCTTAACCGGAATATAAATAAGGTTATAAATAAAATCTATAAGGGCGGTCTGGTAATACTATCTAGTTTTACTATATATTAAGCTTAGGCTACTTAATATAATAACCTTAATATATTAATAATTAATAATATTTATCTAGTTAATATAAAGGTATTACTTATCTATAAATAGGACTATTAATTAAGCCCGGCCGTAATAGGGTTAAATAGAGATATTAAAGACTTCCTAGTTAAGAATAGAATAGATATTAATATAAGGTTAATATTTTTAATAAAAATAGCTAAATATCTTAATAAAAAGCTTAGTCTTTTTAAAGGTATTTTAATTAAGAAAATCTATACTTAGTAATTATTAATAGTAATAATAGATATCTTTAATATTAATATTTATATCTTTATCTCTAAAAGCCTCTTTATATACTATAATAAGATCTATTTATTTAATAATATTAAAAAAGAGAATAAGTTCTATACTATAGTACTTACTATTATAAATAAGCTTCCTAACTTACTAAATATTTATAAGGTAATATATATATATATTATCTAGCCTATCTTAAAGCCCTTTCTTTATAGTAATAATATAAAAGAATTTTCTAGAGACTTAAGGATCCTTAGGGTTTAAATAGCTATAAATAATAATCTAAATAGCTTATAGAAAATATTTATTTTAGAACTACTTAGTATTTATATATTTCCTAGAGGTTTTATAAAGAAATTAAATATTATAAAAGAAGGTAATATTAATATAGGGACGGTATTAATCCGCCGACAGTTTAGTCTTTATAAATATTATAAAGATAGGGAAGATAGTAATAATAATAATAATAACGATAATAATAAAAGTAAGGAGGAAGAGAATAAGTATAATAGTTAATACAAACTAAGAATTTAAGAGAGAATTCTAACTGCTTAATAAGAGTAAGACTTAATTATATATATAATTAGGACTAAGGTCTATATTACTAATAAGTTTAGATAGAGTATATAATTATAGAAAAGTAAGACCTGGATTATATATATAATAGTAGGGACTTAACTATAGATAGGGACTTAATATAGATATAAGAGATAAACCTAACCCTAATAGCCCAGTATAATTACACTGCCAGCCTCTTTAAGTTATTAACCTACTACCGAGAAATTATAGTCTAAGTCCTAGCTCCTGACCCTGTTGTAAACTTAGTTTTCTTTATAGGTATTATATCCGAAGATTTACTTGAAAAGTCAGACTCTACAAGACGCTTTCCCAAAGACGACGCGGGGGGATAAGCTTCACGAGGCTTATACAAGTTAACAGAGTTTCTAGATGCCCGAGAAGAGAATAACTTACCCTCTCACAGTCTAGACATATTAGGCTAATAAAGTTATATAGTCCTATAAGTAAGAAGCCACGTTCTAATTTCGACACTCTATAGGAAGCGTAAATGATATTTCCATTTATTAGATCATCTATTAATACTGGGCCGGCTATCAAGGTCTTATCTAGACTAAAGGCATACTACATACTGCCGCTTTCTGTATGTTATTGGGTTGTATTGAGTGTGGTATGGGGTAAATGAGCTGAAACTGTAATTGGTAACTGGGTTTAAAGAGTTGGAGTGATCGAGCTGTCTTAGTCTTGATTTGGCGAGGTAGTTATTGCGTGAATCTATTTTGCGTTCGGGTAGGATGCTAGGATGACAGATGGACAAGAAGAAGTTTGAGACGCGATCTAAAGGGAAGACATAAGTCTCAATCAGACCTGGAGAAAATTTAAGTATACTCCAAGGGTGGCTTGCTTAATATCCTACGTGATGATATAACGGCGAATGTAAAAGTCGTATACCTTTCTATATATGCTATATTCGTGAGGGGTTGTTAAGACATGACGCATCTCAGCCCGCAGCTACCAATCCATAAATTACGTGGCTGATTCAAATAATAGATATATAATGAAATCAATACACAGATATACTCACTTTAGCTTAGAATAGACTTTTTAAGTTCTTTCACTAACAGTATCAGGATAATTATTCCAGGTACATGTTTTTCTTAACATATCTTCCTTCAAGGCTCAAGCCTTAAAGCATACTAGCCACCGGTGTAAGATACCTGCATCTTCCCCGCCTATTAAAACACTTGTGCGACCACACTTATGCAGTCGCAAATACAGAAACACTTGAACGTAACTCAGTGAGCTATTCAAGTTCTGGTACGAGATGTTTCTTTCAATTTTTTGGTGCTCGGAATACTGACCGACAATATAGAGATGCAAAACACAAAAATGTATCTTCGTATCACGTGTTAGTATCAGGACAATCGCGGCTTTTTTACAAATCCCACACAGACACTCTATATAGAGGATCCCCTGCCTGTTATCCATTGACGTGTTGATGAGACAGGGCTATGCAGACTGATATCTGTGGTTAGAATGATTCACCCACCATTAATGAAAATTTGATCAATTCAACCGCCTAGCTTTTGGCTGGGTTTGCTTCACCTTCCATCCTCGGATTCGGCGCTGGGTATTCTTATGTCAAGGCTTGAGTTGATTGAAGTGTAGATTGAGAGAATCTGCGCTGCATTATTGAAGGGTAGGGGAATGAGGGGAAACATGAGAAGAGACAAAATTAAGGAAGAATTATATTTATTCGGCTTCAGATCTACTTGTTGAGAACACCAGAAGGAATCGAGAGGGTGGCAATCTCGGCCCTTTTGAATACGTGAACGGTTGAAATATTGAACGAACACATGTATTTGCACAAACGTGTGATTCTCACCACGTAAGACTCCAGGATCGAGGTCTTGAAAGACTTAGTCGCCGAACTCCATTCCAATTCGACACCTTGCTATGTCTTTGAACTTAGATACGATTATACTCGTTTCCGCTTTGACTCCAATCGTGATGCTCGCTATGAGGTTTCTCACCCTCCCGGCAGCCATTCACTACAAAGCCATAGATGATGAATAACTTTCCCTATCCCTCGACCGCCCATTCCGTCACCACAGTAGCATAAGTCTGGGAAAGCTACCAGTGAGAACAACTCGATACCTCCATAAGGTTAACTACGACAAGAAAATTACGACATTAAGCAAAAAATCAAGCTATAGACCACTGGAGCCTGAATGAATTGGAACTTGCACGACACCGAGTTTTAAGTCTAGACGCTATATGACGGGACTTGGATGTATTACATGTAAGCTTATGCGACGTAATATCATGGCGCGACTAGTTGACAAGGTGTTTGGAAGAACCAGAGGCAAAGCTACGAAGTACACAATTGAAGAGGGAAGTAGCGCAACCAGAGTGTGAGCAGTAATAGCGGCATCGGCACAAGCGGGAGCGGTAGTGGTAGTGGGTAGCATAGGGAGAGTGAGCTTAGGAGATATTGGCTTCTATTACAAGGACATCGATGCGGCGAGTGTCTTATCCGAGCTTTCGCTGCCGGCCACGGCTTTTATTGAAATTGGCCCTCATCCAGCCCTGGTAGGCGCCTCTCGCTAAAACCTCACACAACCAGGAAGCCAGAAGTTCAAATTTGAGTATTCGTCTTAAGAAGTCCGTCGATATCGACTGGTATTAATTGCTACAGAGGTAGAGACTCTGCATGGAAGCCAAAGACTCAAGGATTTAGGGAATTTGGTTCATTGAGCCAACATCTTGATAATGGGCCGAGCTCGCATTTCTTGATAATGGTTTGCATAAGTCGGTGATGCTTGAAGCGCCCCCGTTTTCTTTTATTGAAATATGTTGGTGTGACTGGAAGCTCTAGACCTACTCCTAAACTACACCAGCAAGCTCGTTCTCTATCCCGTGAGTCAGTTTCAATCGGCCGTGTAAACATCGTCCGCCATAGCGCGCAGCGACGCATTTATCTCGTCTAGCGAAAGCTAAAAGTCTTAGGGTGCTTAAGAGAGTCAAATGATACGTAACATACAAGGTTGTTTGACTGTTCTGTATTGACGTGTAGTACTACTGTCTCGTCAACAAATTTCACCTCTAGAGTCGTCTGTTGGAATGGAAGCTGTGGGCGAAAAGCTTCCTGCGCGCGAACATCCCCTCTTATCTTTACTCTCGCTGGTACGCTACAGCTGGCGTGCTTTTCGATCCCACAGTCACCGCAGCCATGTCATTCAGCCAACATCCGAATGCCCTTAGCTCGAAGAGCAGGAGAAATGAGTGTTTTTCATGGAAAGCCGACACGTTTTCCGGAAAGGCTACATCATTCGTGCACATCACGGATCGAACTTGCTCAAGCCTGATTAGCCTGTTACATGTTTTTTGAAGTTAATACTCTCTAAAATATTGCCCTAACCTCTATATCCTTAAATTAAAACATAAATAGCAATACTCTAGCCCGAGCTTGACATTACAATATGTTTAAAGTTTTAGGTAAAATATAAAAGAAATAGATCGGCTTTATTTCAAAGTGCTTAGAGTAATACCGTGATTGGTTAGCTTTAAGGAAGCCTGACTTTTAATTGCACAACCCTGTACATCTCAAGGCACGTGGTCTGAGACTTTCGTGTGCGGGGTAGTCCTGTTACTTTCGCAGCCTCTTTAGATAATCATATCTTCCCAATTGCAAATCACTCCCTAACGACGATATCACGGCGCCCACGTTGGAGAACCCTTCCTTACTTTTGAGGAATTCTATAACATCCCTCCTGGCGGTAATGATGACTATTTCTGAAGTACGTGAGGTCTATCCAGACGGTGATACACTTTTTATACTTCGTCACTCTGGCGCAGCATTCGCTACAGGCGGATTCGAGGATGAATGGTCTAACTCCCTACCGGAATATCAGACGGAAGAATCAAAGTGTTACGAATCTTCCATGAGGTTAGAGATTCCTCAAAGTCACGAGTACGAGACCATATGCAATCACTCGTCCTATGCTCAAGCCAAACCAGAACCCCTACACCTACGTTTCAAGCTCTCTTCAACGGTCCTAATTGATACCTCGTCCTACTTCAAAAAGTCCTTGTCTAATGATTGGAATACAATAGAGCCCGAGCCTGGCTATAAGTGGACGCTCGTGGCGAACGACTGGGATGGCGAAGCATTTTTCTTACTGATGAGCATACTTCATAACAAACCACAGTATGTTCCTCGTAAGATAGAACTTGAGATGTTGGCGAAAGTCGCTGTGCTAGTGGACTACTACGGTTGTCACGAGGTAGTGCAGCCGTGGGTAGAAAGATGGCTCTTGAACTCATATATAGCAATGGTCGAGCCCTATTACTCGAGGGAGCTACTTCTCAAGATGATGATATCTTGGGTCTTTTCCGACAGGAATTTATTTCGTCACGTCACTGAGATCGCGATCCGCACGAGTAGAGGACCGATACATACACTGGGCTTACCAATACCTAAAACAGTTGTTGGTAAGCTAGACAACATACACTATGTGAGCCGGGAGTCTGACAAGGTAAAACAGACACTATCGAGGGTGTAAGAATATCTTCAATTAGTTCTATAATTGGAGGGATTGAAAGCCTTTGCAACAATTTGAACAGCGGTGGGGGTCAAAAAGTACGGCCGGCATTGTTTATACATGCAGATCGGGTACATTGACCAAAGTATATCTGAGATCGGTCTGAAGCCCCTGCCAAAAGAGCCGTTTCACGGCCTCAGTCTTGAAGCCTTGAAAGGAGCCTTTCATAGCTCTGATGATTCAATCAAATGCAGTTGTTGGAGTTGGAATTGGAGCCGGAATCATTTGCAAGATCTGAAGCTTAGATTGCAGGGCCTCTCGCAGGAGGCATACAAATATTCTGAAGATGGAGTTGGCATATCACAGTTTGAGAATAACTGACATCACTTATGGACATTGAACCGAGAAAGTTGTCCAGATTTTATGTGTTTTCAATTGTCCTTAGACTATGGAAGAGGTAGAATACATTCTCTAACGGCAGAAAGGACCGGATAGCCCTTGTGACATTTACCTACTCTACCGCTGCAAAATCAAATAGCGCCAGTTGGAATTCCAACTCCCCGCCAATGCCAATCCTGCTGGTAGCAAGAATATCGTTATGTTCAGCAGCATCAAGCCTGCTCCGGGTCCTACTGACGGCTGGGGCCCTGGAAACTAGCGTAACAATCGTATCGGCCGCTTCTTGGTCGTCGCTAGAGGAGCTGCCACTTGGGGTTCTACTTAGAAACACTCTCTTGCCTTGAAGACATCTTGTAAGGCGCCTGGAACTGTGGAGACATTTGAACTAGTGGGAGTCTATGACTTGAACTTAACCAAATTAGGACCTTTCTTCATATCAAAGCCCTTGAATCGTTTACTAGATAGTATAGTCCGGTGTTTCAAGTAGTGTATTAGCTAGTATATGGATAATTAGTATATAGTAAGTTTCTCTTTATTTATGTAAAGGCTATAATATAGTTATCCTAGATACTAATTTCTACGAGCTTTTTTAAATACTTGGATAAGTCGACTGCCTCAAGGGTTATTGACCTTTTTCCCAAGTCTTCAGAAATCTCTGTGTTGCTGACTAACTTTTATGTGCTGTTATTCTTTCGATGATGCTGGAGAGCTTGACCGCGTTCGAGCGTGTGATAGACAGAAGTGCGAGTAACTTTAGATGATCAATGGTTGCAGCTCTGAGTGGACGAATGAATGTCGGTAGTTATGCCCCAGGGTGCTGGTTTGTGTATAGGTAATAATCCATTGGATTAAAATTGATGATTAACGCAATGAAAGGCCACGTGACGGCACATCTAACCGCTTGCTTAAATAATGTCTAACGTGCCATTCTATCTCGGCATACTTACCTTTTCTTACCGGCGACTTTGCCGCTGACCTGAAGTATAAAGCTCTTTGCTGTGACAATTCTTTCCCGATCAGATAAGAGCTTTCCTCCAGTACCCCATCGTCCTTTGATGTCCCACCCCATCAGCCCTACAAACACCAGTTCCTTTCATATTTGCTCCGAGCCTTGTGCGTGAGTGGCCGGATCTCGTAGCCATGTATCATTGACTTATGCTTAGTGCATGTCAATGGTAGGGCTGAACATTCAAAGCGTGCCAGCTGTTGCTAGTGAAGGAGAACAGAGAGGTATGCAATCAGTAGATCGAGGGGGGGAGTCAAATTAGGAATGAGTCGAGAGGCATGTGTAAGCAGGAGAGGAAGAATGAGCGGTGAATCGACATTTAACAGAGAAAATTAACAGGATCAGACTACCAATGTGATGCGAAGAAGTGGTGCTGTATATGGCCTGACAGTTACAGTTGAGAAACACGGTTATGCAAGTCTCAGCCACTGAGCAAAGGCACTTTGTTCCCCGTGTTGGAACTATTGTATCCAATCATCCAATAGGAGGACCTCTGACGCGGCGAACACAGGACTCCTTGCGAGTGTGATGAGTAACATACTAATCTCAGAGTCATCTACAAGGTCTTTCTGTCCAGTTTTCACGAAGTATACAAGATACACTCTTCTCGGCATTACATGACGGCAGACTAATGACTTCGTCTTCGTCTATACTTTAATGTGCGTGGGTTAGATACTGCTGGGAACTATCCTACAGTATAACAAACGATAATTGATTGTGATTGTTTTCATCATTGGCTTGAAATTTCCTGCGAATTTTCACGCCCATCACAGCTGTACTGCATTGACTGAGCAAATTCGACGCGCTCTGTGGATATCATTATGGACACACAGACTTGCCAACTAAAACTTCTACTGACACGCTTGGATATAAGACGGCAATAAGAAGATGTTTCTGCTGATATAAGCCGTTCTCTTCATTATCAAACCAATGAGATCTATAGCTGACTAGTCTCATATCCATAGTGATATCCACACGGCGCGACGAATTTGCTCAAAAGCAATAATTAACGGCTGGCATTCTAGGAGGCTTATCAATGACGCAATACTCATGAGACGCTCAAACCCCGTAGCCTTCTCCCTCAGAACGCTCCCAGTTAGCTACCTTCTATGTAGTTTTACAATAGGAATGCACCTGCTCATTCCTGGCGATATACAATCTGATTCCATCATTGGGCTGGTGTAGGATATGGAAGACCTGAGAACCATGACAGTGGTCCCGGAACACATCACATCCGAGACATGGCTCAAGTCCACCGAGAATACGCATGTCTTGAAAATGAGGCCAGCAATTCTGCTACAGATTTTACAAATGAAGCGCGTGGTCTCGTTGTTAGTCTTGCTAAGCTAGGAGTGGAACAACATATACGTTAACTCCAAGATAAATTATCGCTGCAAATGATTGCTCTGGAGCGCACAGTGCAGTTATTCAAAATTATGGCTGATGGAGGCTTTTCTAAAGTAGATTTATTTCAAGTAAATTTGATTAAATGAAACTAAGTAACCTGTTTTTGAATTGAGATTGGATTAAATCTAAATTGTTATTTATGTAATTGGGTTCAATTTACGGAGTACTTATAGGGTGTATTCTATTAGTATATAGGGTAGGTATTTTTTATTTACAGAGAGGAAAGATAAATAATTCTTATCTAATCTAGACTTATCGATAAGATAGGACATACAGCCAATCCAAATGAATGTAAGTAAGACCTCTTTGAAATAACTTGCAGGCCTATTAAATTAAATACTAAAAAGTCTACTTGAGATTTCAATTAGTAGAAGCTGTAATCTTACTACCTTGCCTTACCCGGTGCTTAATCCAAGATGGGATTCGTAGCTCTTAATAAGCCACACGTTATAATCCTTAACTAGAAGCCTCTGAGCCTAAAGCTCTATTAGTTATGGCCTGGTCCTCTGTTGTCGGTACGGTTTTAAAATAAGCAGTCCCTCTTTCTCTATTAACGCTCTGAATACTTCTATAAATATCGATTGCAATTTAATATCTCGCGAGTTAGAGTTGCAATAGTCACTCGAAACCGAAAGTCCGCCATAGTAAGGACTGGCCTTTCTATAGAACTAAGTTCTGTAGCGTTATGGATAGAAAATGTTAAGTTCAGTCCCACTCTCACAGCAGAAGATACACATAATAAAGCCAAGTAGAGACGATGTTAGGTTACTCTTCAGGCTTGCGACCCCAGACAACCCGCTGCTTATAGTAAGGATGATGTTTGCCTGAATGAATTTCTCTCCGAGCCTGCGCTAGAAAGACATGGATTTCAGACTCGCTCCAGCCAATCGTATTAGCAACGAAGAGGACAAATCCTTCAGGATCAGCGAGGAACGCGAGCTTGCCATATTGGCCCAACTCTTTTATTTCTGAGTCTTTGGGCCAACCTCCGATAGGGGTCTATAATGGTCATATCAGCTCTTGTTGTCTTTCTTCAAAAGGTCGCATGATTTACCTTGTATTCGAATTGCTGAATGTCAACAAAGCCAGCGGCTTCCATGGCCTTTCGCTGGAGTTCTTGTTCGTAGATTTCAAAGCTCACCCCTAGCTTCTTACCACCCTCGATAAAAATCTTACCCCACTGGTCTAATGCCGAGTTCTCCTTGACGGTGTCGTCGTCACTGGTAATGATAGCTGACGGTTCATGGGTCTCGACCCAACCACCTGGCTTGCAAGCCTTATAAGCTTCGCTAAAGAATGCATACCAGTCCGGGATAGCACCGACAAGCCAGCGGATATGGATGTAGTCGGCAGAATCGGGTGTAAAAGTCCACTCGCGGGTGCAGTCTTCAATTTCACTATAGGACTTTGTTAGTTCGCAAGAAATGCAATCAGGGTTTGCTATCGAGAACTCACAATTGTACATTTGGTGGAACCCAAGAGGGTTGAATAGGAGAAACATCGGTGCCAATCACTTCAATGTTGGGATGTTCATCGGCGAAATCTCTGTCTTGAAATCAGTATATGAAGTTAAGAAGATGTGTCATCACATACATAGCCCAAATGCCTATTGTTCAACAAGTCTTGGTCAGTTATCCGATAGCCAAATGGCGCCGTGGCTCACTCACCAGTGCCTGTTCCGATGTCAAGAGCTTTCTTTCAACGGCGTGTTAGCCCAAAATTAGTCTACGACCGTATCTCATAAAGAACTTACCGAGATTCTGCTTGTATCAATAGGCGCGAGGTGAAGCTTTCCTTTAGTACCCAGAGTGAGACAATGATGGCTGAAGATTGTTAATTGCGAACCGCAGAGGCCGATTTGTTTCAACTTACTTCAAATCAAGCAGTTCACTTTGTCGCTCATCGTTGGCAGCCCTGGACGAGTAAGCCCATGTTCGCGTTAGGCAAGCAACGTATTATCTCACCAATATTGTGCGTTGCCGATTTCATGATGGTATGTCCTACCATGAAGCTTGCGATACTCAAAGATGCTGGCGGTAACGGATTCTGTAGAAGACGCGAGGCTCTCGTCGCTCAGCGAATGGGCATCATCATCCTGATAGCCATCGTCTTCCTTCGTTACTGTTAGCATTGTCGTGCCTTTGCGGGACCAAAAGAGACAGTAGCCATGCTATATCCATTTATTCTACAAGTCTCAGCTCACCTCAGCGAGTTGTTGCCAGTGCCCGGGCTCAAGAACGCCGGTATTTTCCACAGGTACCGTTGCCTGCTGCGTAGGGCTCTTCGAGGGGCTCTTTGCGGGACTTTTTGCGCTCTTTGCACTCTTTGGGCTTGTCGCAGTTGCAGGTGGTGTCGACATTATGATTTGGAACAAAACTCAATAACCTATCAGGTTGGATAGCTTTTGAGTTTCATAAGCTTATAGTTATAGTGCCGAGTTAGTTTATGTGTGGAGGAAAAAGTAAAACTCGGAAATAATTGAGAGATTTTAGTAAGAGCATGATATGAGTGGGGGCTCGGTTCACATAGCGATCCTGGGAAATAATAAGCGGACACGATACAGCCGGAGAGATACCTGATTGGTTGTATTGCGTTCAGTGATAAGGGGTCATGTGTCACTTTATGCAGGGATTATAATAGGGGAACCGTAAAGCTGGAAAATCCAGATGAGAAACGGATAAATATAACAGGTGGCGTCTTGAGAAATCAATTGAAGCAGTGTATCTTCTTTTTGTATGGAGAACCTAGGTATATTTCCTTGACCTGGGAAGTTATATAAATATTGACGCCTATGTGAGTTATTTTATTGTCATGAAAAAAGTAAAGCTAGCCTGATACAGCATAAGTGTTATTATACTATATAATTACTGGCAGGCTGAGTAGCTAAACTATTATAGGTGGATAAATTTCATAATAGCTTATCCTTACTGTATTAATACTGAGGAATACATTAGCTGTTATAATCAGACTAATAATATTTTCCCTGTTAATATGTTACCGATTCTAAAGATACATACTATGTAAACAGTTTAGCTTGTCATTTATGTGCTTCCCTATTGACTGCCCTAACCCCTTACGAGAGGACTTGACTGGATCCTAAGACGACCCCTGATCGTAAACAGGACAAGGGGTATTATAATAGACTCATTGATTTTTTAATCTGCTCTCTTAAGTCATCAAATGTTGGCCATTACTCGGTGTCCAATGATGGTCCGTCAACGACAAGTGACGGTTCGCGGTGCATGTGCCTGCGCTTTAGGAATTCAGGTGTAAGCATGTCAACCACGGCTTCCGGCACCAAACGTAATAATATACCGGGAAATAAAGATGATGCACCTAGTGCCACCGAAACCGCCCATTCCGTGCCTTCTAGTTGCGAGGTCTCAAAGGCCTTGCCACAATGAGGATTTGCCCAATGGCAACGAGAAGTGCGACAGGAAAGAGGAAGGAATTTCGAAAGCTGCCTTCAAAGACATTGAATAGATTGTCCAGTCGGTTGGAGTTGAGTATGTTGAAGTTCTGAAGCCACACGAAGGTGTTGAACACGAAAGTGTTTCGCTGTGTTCTGTTATCCACGTTCATGGGTTCTACGACATTGCGGAACACCTTGAACCACCCAAAGTACGCCAACAGTGTGAGGAGTACCTGGGTAATCAGTTGCCCTCCAACCATCTTCTTCATTGTCAATGTCATGAATGGATGGGACTTCGGGATCGGCTTCTGCCTTCGAACTGCTTCACTTGGCCGGCTCACAAGCAGAGCAAAGACTGACAAGTCCGTTACAAGGCCAAGCCATAAGAGCTGGGAAGCATTGAGCACTGTCCTATCACCCATATTCACTGCAGCAGCCGAGACGAATGTGAGTATCGAAGTAGAATAAACAGCAGCCAATTGAAAATGCATGAACCCCGAAATGCTGTCCTTGGCGCGAAATAGATTGAATCGACTGCGCTTCGCCCGAAATATGCTGCCGCGCTCCTTGCCCTGGGGCTGTTGTCAGTCGAGCCATCTTAACGATTCGTGATACGACTTCTTCCTTGGTAGACAGTAGGGCGGATAGTAGTGCAACGTTGAAAAGAACTGGCGAGCTCTCAAAGGTCTAGATAAGAGACAGATCCGTGTAATCGGTGGCATCCGAAGCGTCCATAGCACTGGTACTTGATGCTGGAATGTCTTCCTCTGTTGACGTTGCAGATGAGCCAGGACCTGACACGGAGGTTGCACTCCGATTCGTCCGGGTGGAATCTGTTTCAGTGGCACAAAAGATTGATACTAGGCCAATGGTATGAAGGCCTTGAGTGGCACTGGTTGGATTCCGAGATTCCTCATTTGGAAGTGAGAATTGATTTGCTGCTCGTGAAGTATCGTTGGGGGACGAGCCAGGGTGCATGGAACTCGGTTAGGATGGTCGAGTACTATCTTGAAGTCTGGCAATCGCACGACAATCTTTTGCATATTTGACAGCATATTTGAAATACTCCTCGTGGGTTCTGGCTTGCGTTGGTATTCATTGTCGGGAGCCAGCCCAATTCTGCTGTCGGTGTAGATATATCTCCAGCACCTTATGACGAATGGGTCTTGAAACGAAAGCATGCCGTGACGTTGATCATCGAACGTTTTGGCAAGTGATGCTTCACGAACATTTTTTTGGTTTCGCGCTGGTAGTTCTATGGACTTGTTACTGGCATTAAAGTTATTCGTACCAAGATATCCTCTGACAAGGCGAGCGAGCACGCGTGGATTGTAGTCTAAGTGCCAGTATAGCTACCAGAGACATGTAACTTCTCTACATAAATCACTAAAGACTAAACCTCCTATGCCAAGCGATTAATACACCATACCTCAAGCTGAAGTTCGGTTATTATTTCAGTCTAAGATATTTAAAGGGTTTACTAAGCTATCAGGTTCTAAATATGGATTTACAGTTAATACATGTTATTAATAATATGTAAGTATTATATATCTGGATATTAGAAGAAAATAATAGTCCTTAGTTCAATATAAATTCTAAAGCTAAACTGACACATCAAATTTATCTCCAGAAGGCCGACCCTTTCGGGCCCGCTTGATGTCCTCCTGTGAGCAAGATCTGCCCTCGTCAGAAGGGACTCGTTTTCGACTCTCAAGACAATCCGTCTTCCAACTATCAGCACTTGTCGCATACAATAACCTGCTTGAACTAGAATATTTGGATTTTGGCGTGTGAACTGCGGATACTGATGTGCACCCGCAGGCTGCTTGTTGGTCACTATTCATAACAGTGACTGAGACGGGAGAGGGTTCTATCGTGAGGTGCATATCATAACCAGCAGGGTGTGAATAATGCTGGTCTCGGGCATAATCCGATGGCCGAGGGGCTGCTAGGTTGCGACTGGCGGCTTGTCCCATAAATAAAGCAATATCCTCTTGGAACAAAACTTTGGACTCAAGTATCTCCGAGTAGCTCTGAGGCTTAAGCCTAAAACAAATAAGGACCCTATTCCGAAAAATTGCAATGAGAGGAAACAAACCCAGTATCAAACACACTTGTACGTGATTTCATCAGGAACGGATGGGACACAAAGCGCTCGCATGCGAATGTGATAGCTGCTTTTGGCTTCTTGGCGTCTTCGATTAACTTTGAAAATGTGCTGTTGTTGTTTCTTGGGCGGCTGCAACAAGAAGCTCCTATTAGTCTTTTGTAGTGGTCGAGAGACTGGAATGCGGCCCTGGATCTTTCGCGGAGATTACCGAGAAAGTGTTTCTAGATGTATGACAACGGTAAGAATATCGCCGTATGACAGGTCCTATATAGAACTGTTAAGTACGCACCAGGTTTTTCAAGCTCTTTGCCTGGAAATTCCGTTTTTCAAACTTGTGGGTCGCGGAAAATACCATCCAGAGAGCGCAACAGATTGTGACGGGATCCAAGCTCTCGTCAAGACGATTTATAGACTTGATTGCTCGGTGGCAGAGTTTTCTGATAAGGACCTGGATACGATGAGCCACGGAATAGGCGAGCTCCAAGACAAGGTTCTTTGCCTCGACCAGAGACAAAGCGTCGCGGCCAGCTCTTATCAGATATACCTCATTGGCATCCCAGTTGAGTAGAACCGCTAGCCAGTACGCGCACCGCCATGCGATGGTGATGGTCTCTCGCTGCAGAGTGTCATACATCAGATCTGATCTTCTCACCAGTGGGATGGGGCTACTCACGTCCACGTCAGCAAGACCTTCGATTTCCCGCACAGGCCGTCGTTGATCAATGAAAGTATCGAGTTGAACCGCGTCCATTGTTGGTACGACTATGCCATCAAGTTGCGCCACCGTTCCCGCGGTCGTTGCGAGCCTCTTGACCGCAATAGTCGAGCTTGACAGCGAATAAGGAGAAAATGTCGCCTTGTCGTCAATATGCCATAACATATTGCCATCGAACAAAGACTCTAGAGAATCCCCATGCCCGAAACGTGATATAAGATCCACCTCGCCGCGAAGAGCGACCAAAAGCTTCTGCGTTTCAACTATGAAGAGGTATGTTAGCATTCTCGAGTGATATGTGAATAGGCACACATATGACAAAAAAGTAACTTGGGACTTACTCAGTTCGAAGTAGACGACTTTTGGCAACGATAATGTTGGCTCTGTTGGAGTGAGGAAAAGCTTAAAGGATGATTGGGCACGGTCCCCGTCTTGCACGTCGACGAGCTTCTCGTCTACTTTTGACTTGAGACGTTCACACCTAGTACATGTTGATCCTACTGAACCGGTACATTGTGACTAGTCGACTATTAGCATGGGAAAGCTGCAGGATTTTGTCGGGAGACCAGCCTTTGGAATGTTTGCAAATCGGCATGGTGCACACCGAGAAGGTTCAGCAATGCGCCTAGTCTGCAGGTCTCGGGGATTGAGTCCATAGTTCAGCGACCCTTGTGCCATCGCAGGGTCGTCATCCCTATGTAAATGCCCTACCTCGAAACCGATTTCTTTCTTAGATATGTAGCGTGAACCAGCAGGCTTTGGACCGGTTTGGTGACTATACTTCAAGTCGTCCATAGTGACTTGACGATCGAGCCACTGAGGAACTGTATCGGGGATTTTATCTGGCGATGGATCGGTATTCGGTAAAGGAGTGAGTTGTCGCAGGAACAGGTCAAGACTCTCGGAAGGAAATGGCTCAAAGCGCGGTTCAATGATGGGCGGCTCCAGTGGTAAGTCGTACGTCGTGGAAGAAATGCCCAAATCGGCGTCCTGGTCGGGCACGCAGAGTGTTAATACATACGAGTTCCCAAATACAGAGTCAAACAACTACCTGTGAAAGTATTTGTTCAATGCCAATATCAAAGCTTTCCGGTTCTGGAACATCCCACGCATTAAAAGGCAGGCTTTGCTCTCCGTGTCTGGTGACGCTATGAGATTCGCATGCGTGATCCGAGCCTGGACACTGGACTGAACACTGGCCGTCTGCGGGAAGCCATTCATCAAATCCTTGATCAAACTCAGGAACAAAACTCCATATATTGAGATTGATGGCCCAATCTGACGCATCGAAGTCATCGTCGACGGGCTGAGTCGGGGAAGTCTTGCCAACATTGGAGGTGCCCATGGTAGACATCTTTGATGAAGGAGGTGTGAGGAAATGATAGAGAAGAAAGATGCTGCGAGAAGGATAGTTGGCAGAACAAGCCAGCCGTTTTATAGCATTCCCAGATTGTGAGGCTGATGGACGTTTCGACAATGCACCTAAACGGTCTGCGGACATGGCTTTAGGCGAGTGTTTCAGAAGATCCCCCCGACTATTGCATAATCGTTATACTCTAATACTGGTTAGATCCGTATCTTGACCAGATTGAAGATCATACAACAAAAAACACCATTCCCAGTCACAGATAACGAATATAACTACTTTAGTACAAATAATTAAGATGTTAATACTATTACTCCGAAAAACTAGATCCCATATTACACGTTTGTCGACGAAGTAGAATAAGCACAGCTATCACCATCATCCTCCATTCCCATATCAACTCTCCAATCTTCGGGCGCGCACCAAGCATCCAATGCATCCTCATTGACCTCAACCTCATCTAAGCCAGCCCAAGTCTCGAGATCCAAGATATCTCCCACATCATGTGAAGAAGTGGATACCGAGATCAATTGCTTTACCTTGGAGGTGATCTCCTCGAGGTAATCCATGTTCTGCTCCAAATGCCACGAGTATTCCTGCCCGACAGTAGCATACCCGTTCCTGAGGAATTGCAGTTGGTCTAGATAGAAGGCGACAGCTTCATCTTGTGACCCTGGAGACGTTAAGTCGTCCTCCCATGTCGCAGCGTCTTTGAGCATGAGGAATCTGACGTCAATAGCCGAGGTACGATGTCCTAGACTTTCGTGCATGGATGCCAGAAGCCTCATGCAGCTCATGGCCATGGAGTGGTTGGCTCCATATACATCCTTGAGGTTATAGCTGATGTCCTCAAGAAGAGTGAAAGCTGCATTATGCTCCCCACAGGCGAAATGAACCTCTGCCAGCCGCTTGCCAATAGCGATTGTGGTGGTGGGCTCGAGATTGAAGTCGTAGTGGTCGCGTGAGTTCCAGAGAAGTTCTAGGATACGCTGTACAATGATTAGTATAAAAGCAAATAACTGGAGATTGTTACTAACCTTGAGAGTAGTGTAGTCGTTCTGCTTGCCAGCGATGCTGAGGATGCATGTAAGATGACTGACACTCAACACGCTCAGGTCGATGTCAGAAGTATAGCTCATAGCCAATACTCCCAGCTGTGTAGCCAGTTCTTCAATCAAACCACTAAGAGGAACGTCGACTTCAATCTCGGAGATCTTGTACAGCAAGGTACTAAACTTCAGAAGCACAAGCTCAGAGGAGCTATCATCGCTGTCGGCTCCATCTTCACTGTACTCAAAGACCCATTGCGACAAGTAGAAGCATGCCTTGTGAGAACCTGCATCGCTCATCTGCTCAATGAGTACAAAGGCATCCTCCAAAAGTGAGGCGGAAATGTCTTGTTCAGACGATGAAGCAAGGATGGCTTGGAAGAGATGATATGTCGAGCTACCCTTGTCCTCTGATCGATCTAGCATGCGACAGAACAATTTCCACAGCTCATCTCGAATGCCGTTAGCCTCGGAAAGCAAGCTATAAGATTCGAGATGCTGGATCAGTCTTGAACCAGTGGTCAAGAGATTGCCAAGCTGGTCATTTTGCTGACCCGCTCGAAGCCACGCCTCATAAAGCGCCATTTCAGCAACGACTCGCGTCAAGATGTCACCCAAGAGGCTTTCTGTCTTAACTTTTCTTCCATAGCATACACAAGAACCAGGCATATCTGGTCGTAAGTCGCAGAACGCTTATGTTTGTTCTCTAGGTACGCTTGCCCGCAAAGACCTTGAGGTTGTTGCAATCGCGCGACTTCGGAGCGAATGGTCTGCAAGAAAGTCAGATTTCCGTGACTAATGCCAAGAAGCTTGTACATTGCGATGAAATGCAAGATGGAAACTATTTCCGTGGGTTTGTCTCCTTTTTTAAAATCCCTAAAATGACCTCTTTCAAGCTAACTGTGGCTTGTTTCTTGTTCTTAATAATGAGGTTCACTACCTAGAAGTCTATGACCTTTCTCAAGCTGGAGATACTGCGCACATGACCGTAGCCGTGCTTCTTTGCATACTGTCTCTAAGACTTGATGGGGATGGTCTCTTCTCTGTCATAAGCAGAGGTTTGCTTGACATGAGAATACTCAATCGTTCCTCAACAAGGCGCAAAAACTCAATGAAAGCCTCATCCGAGCCTGACAGACCCAGAAAGATCTCATTCAGCTTGTCGTATATATCGACAGGCCTACGAAGAGTTGTGTCTCCCATCTCAAGAACCTTGGTCAGTTCAAGCGACGCCTTGAGATACTAAATATCTTGTCGCCCAAGATCGGACAGCATAATGGTTCTCAGCTTACGGGCAAGTCATACGGCGATGGAGATACTGCCAACGCACAGTGGTATTGGATGTAGTTAATGCAAATCTCGAATCTATGGGCAGCGTCTATCGATACGTGGTGTCGCAAGTCAGCGTAGTACGACCACAGACGCTCATACAGACGGAGGAGAATAGTACAGCTCGCTCGCTCGCTCTTGCCTCTCTGACTCCTACACAGAGTAAAGAGGCTTTCGATGAGAACCATGGTTGAAGTGGCATCGTCCTCATCGGGCTCTTCTTCAAAACAAGCACAGATTTCCTCGTCGTCTTCGATGAAATTACCGAGATGAAGGCTCAGACGGAAATCAGTTGTGACTTGGAGTATGAACGAGTGAGAGACTGACCCAAGTGAGCTCTGCAATTAATAACGATAGACTTAACTTCAGAGCCTCAAGGTACAGGCCGGCCTCTTCAAGAGCGCTAACTAAGAAAGGATGAGGGCAGTATCCTGACTTGAGAAGTTCCAGAGAAGCACGCTTTACTTGCAGCACTTGACAATGGACTGGATCTGGATATCTCCTTCAGGAAATTTATCAATCAGCTTGTACATCTGAGCCATAATAATGGCAATCTCAACCCGCGCGCGAGTTAAGGTCTTGGGAGATTGAAGCTTTCCCCCTTCTGTAAGTACCTACGACCAGAGGACCTCAAGGCTCTTACGACAAATGCTAATAGCTGCCTTCCACTCTTTTCGTGAGCGATGTAGATGAGCCAATCTCTGCAGAAAAAGCCCATGTTTGATCCAATGTCTTCATGACCTGAAGAGGGATGAAGAATGCTGTCAAAAATGTTTAAGCCACAAGAAGTCCTCAATTGGATTTTCAACACCCTTGCAGCAGACAATGAGTGCAGAGTAGACTTGTAGCGTTTCATCAAAGTGGTCATGAGATGGTAACTGATCGGTCTTATAGAAAACGCTGCTAATGCTTCCTGGTTCTTCTGTAGTCAGAGGAGAAACTATGCATTTCTCGAAGGTTTACTAGTGTGGTTACCTCGCATCGGAGGTTGTCACGAATCTCGAGACTGGAGTCCAGAATGACACCAACGTCGTGCTAATTTCCCCCTCTGAAGAAAAGTTGGGTAATTTCGTCGCTAATTGCACAGTGACAGAGGTATAAACCGCCAAAATGGCAGGATAGTTATTATTACTATATTCACTAACCCCCTTAAGTCCTATATTATTAAATACTAAACTATATATAACTATTTATTAACTAGTTCAAGCTTTCTTTTAGTACTAATTTAGCTGTACCGGTATAGTTAAATAACCTTACTATAACTAACCTAGGTAAGAATCAGACTTATGTTAAAATTAATATAGTAAATAATAAAAGTAAAAGCCTTGAAGATCTTTATAAGTTTACCTTTATTACTTACTATAACTAACATTTATAAGCGTTACTTACTACTAGGCTTAGTAAGGGTTATAAGGTATTATATAACTAAACTTACAACTATAGTTAATTCTTTGATACTACCTATAAGTATTACTGATTTTAAAATATTAAATAACATAGTGTAAGAGTATACATTCAAATAGGTTATAACTAGTAAATAATAAGACACGAAACAGTTTAGAGAACATAGCCATGAACGTTAGTGGATAATTATAAAAAACTATAATATAAGGTTAACCTACTATTATACCTTTCCTTATATCCTAAAATTTCTTTAAATAATTATTTCCCCAGCTATATTCTCCCTAATAACACTCTTAGATACATAAGTAAGAAGCCTACCATAACTAAACTTTATTTGTCTTTCGCTGCAGAGTCCTCTGAACAAGCCCTCGCATGTCCGACCAAAATGAGTTCGAAAGAATAGGAAGCCTGGATTCGTAATCATCAATCTCTGGACGCAGCCAAATGAGATCAATTTCTAATGCCTTGATGACCTCGGATCGTCCGAACAGCTTCCAGCCGAGATAGGTGATGGGAGCTAGCAAGATCATGGCATAACTAGTTAAGAATCCATCAGACGTAAAGTTTCCAGGAGTAAAGACCCTGTAACCACCAGAGAGCGCAATCAAAACCAGAAAGAAAAGCGCGATCCAAGCAGAGTACGGTTGGAAATAACCTCTATAGGGAAGTGTCTTGCGGTCAACTCCCTGTGCCTTGCATGCGCTGTAGAACCGAATGTACGTGATGCAGATGATGATGAAGTTAATGAGACCTCCGCTACTGAGGAGATTGATAAGCCAGTCCAAGACCTTTGAGCCTGAATTTGAAGCTTGAAGAAACGAAAGAAAGCCGAAGAGAAGAGCAATCCCAATGCAGTAGATCGGGACACCATTCTTGGTACAGCGGGTAAGGAATTTGGGGGCTTGACCCTCGAGAGCCATGCCATAGAGGTTTCGTGTGGCACAGAAAACGTATGTATTCCCAGCTGAGAAGATGCTTGTGAGAAGTAGGGCGTTGGTGACATGGGGTAGCACATCAACACCAAGGTTAGACATGGCGATTACATAAGGCGAAGCTGCAGCTGTGCCACCTCCTGAGGCAGTACCCTCAACGAAAGCCTGGAGAGTGGGATCATCAGAGGGTATAATAATCCCTACACACAGAGCTCCGGCAACGAAGAAAAATGCAAAGCGCCAATATATGGTCTTATATGCTTGCTTGATAAAGGTTCGAGGACGTTCGGCTTCGGCCGCGATAATCGAGAGGTATTCAGGACCGACAATCATAAGAACTCCCACCCACAGAGCCGCGAGAAAGCCTTCGAAACGACCCAGGTCCCCTGTCGAGACCCATGCGGCGAAGGGGCCGGGTTCTCCCCAATACCGGAAGCCATAGGCATCACGTTGAGGGTTACCGCCGGCCATGGTAATAAAAGTAAAGGAAAATAGAATTAGAAATAAAATGACCTTCCCGCTTGAAAGCCAGAACTCGATTTCTCCGTAGTATCTAACCGCAGCGACATTTATCGCGCTGTATAATGTCAGTCCCGCCTGAGTTTTAACAAGGCAACAGAAGCTTACGCATAAGCCACAATACAAGCGGCACAGACAGCCTCGACAGGAATGTCATCCCTCCAATATTTCAGCACCACATTCAGTGCTGTTATCTCGAATGGGATACAGATGGCTTGGTAGCAGAAGAAGTTAAACCCAGCTGTAAACCCCAAGGCTTCATCTACCCACTTGCCTGCAAGTCGCACGAACCCGCCGCTAACCGGCATGAGCACAGTCATTTCAGCCATGCAGTTGTTGACGAGGCCCATTATCCCTGAGTAGAAGATAAAAGCCAGAAGGAGACCGACCGGACCGCCCTTGAACAAGCCGCTGCCGATGCTGACGAAAAGAGCGGTACCAATGCTGCCGCCTATGGCGAAGAGCTGGATCTGACGGTTTCCCACACGCCTGTGGAGGTTGCTATCGCTGAACGACTGTACTTGGCCGGACTGGATATCAGCATCATCGTTTATCTCGGATGCTGTCTTCTTCTCTGACACAAGGGTGCTCATTGTAGTGATGCGAAATGATAGGGAATTAAAAATAGTTCAATGACTTCCTGTGTTAACAGGAGAGACGTGAGGAATTTAAACAAATCACTAACAACGCTTCCCATAATTTAAGCATAATGTACAGTATCATTCCTCCTAGACTACGGCTATCTGTCTGTGCTATACAGTAAGAATACCTAGGTGTACTTGCCTGTAGGCCCAGACCTCGCTTCCTGACCGAGAACGGTAAAGTGATTAGCTTAGATAGGTCCCACACTAGGTTCTATGCCTGGCCTATCAAAATTGAGTCTAGCCCTGGCGCTCTCGCAACGAGTCCAGAAAAGGAAATTTCAGGACGGACTAGAATTACTAGGCCTTGATCTATAGCAAGCCTCGTCCTTAGTAAGGGGTCCGCTACGTGTGACATTGGAACCTGCTATGTGTTGAGGCGCGATTTAGCCATTACGGAGTGAGGGCTATACATAATAGTTTGTATGGGATAATTCGCCTTAGATAGCTGAGTAATCGTGCCTAAGAAGAAGTAAGTCAGTGATAATGGAAGTCTTGACATCCTTTAGCCAACCGGTTAGTGTGTGGGGATAATGTTAAGATACTGGTTGGACTTTTGTAAGGTATTGGTGTTTTGTATGAACTTGATTGAGAAAGTAAATGATAAGCCTATTGTCCATAAGAACGTCGTTTTTAATTCTATTAACTTTTAGACCATTACTGCTTATAGGATTGCCTTATTTTGAATTAAATATTTATAAACTTATTAATGGTATTATCTACTATACGCCTTATTTTAGTAGTTAAGTAATTCTATCTTTCCTCGCTAGGAGATTTGACTAAATAGCGCCTATTATATAGTGACTTAAGCCGAGTTCTGAAAAGGAAAAGGTTTTACAAGTAGATATGTACTAGGAGATAGTAACTAGAAGTAATATTATTATTAATACTGTAGAAATATAGTTTATAGTACTTATTATAACGAGTAAGGTATAAAGAAACTATAAAATACTAAAGTAACTAGGGCCCAATAGAGAAAGATAATATTTACTAAAGGCTCTAGTTATAGGTATTAAAATGTAAGAAGAAATAAAGTAAACTTAATAATATATTAAACTTAATAATAAGTTAAACTTAATAATATATTAAACTTAATAATATATTAAACTTAATAATATATTAAACTTAATAATATATTAAACTTAATAATATAAGTATTTATTTCTATAAAGTCTTGTAAAACCTTCAAAAAGGGTTCTAACTATTTTATTAAAATCTACAACAGTATTTATAATAAAGATTTTAATATAAATTAAAAAGTAATAGTATTTAAAAATGAACGAGATTACCTACTGTAAAGAAGTATATATATATATCTTTATAAAAGGAATATAGACTTTTATAATAGTTTAATTAAATTTCTTTATTTAGTTTATTACGAATAAAGAATATTTAGAAGTTTCTTAAAATAGAACGTAGAAACATTTCCTTTAGATTATAAAATTTATAAAGAGAAATATATAAACTATTAAAATAAAATCTTATAGAGGTTAATTAATAACGTTCCTTATTTACTACTTATATGTATAATAATTGTATTAAATTAAAGTAGAAATACATTAACTGTTAAAGTAAGGGCTAGTTCGGAGAGGCTTATTACATATACCAAACTAACAAAGGCTATAAAGAGAAAGCCCTAAAAGGAGCGTAACTGTGCCACCGCCGGCAGTAAAGCCTGCAAGGGTGAGGATTATGCCGACAGCTGTATTAGTTTTTAAAGCACTAATTTCCATGACTCACCACACTGTGAAGGGCTGTTCTATGTTTACGGTCTCCCCGATAACAGAATTGGGTTTCTGCGGAGGTGTTAGGGCCCCATTTGTGAGTTCTTTCATTTCCGAAGTCACGACGATACGCAAAGAGGTGTTACAGGCTGGAATGGGACGAATAAGCTGAACATGAACTAAATCAGTTGATAATGATTAAGTCATGATGTTCCGGTGATCAAGGTTGCGCTTTTCCATTAACTGAGGAGGGATTCAGAACTCAAGCAAAGGGAGCTGGCGGTAACGGGTATCTCGGCTTCGGCAGAGCTAGTAGTTAGCAAGGTCTATTAGGTGAGCATGAAAACTAATAAGCCAGCCCCCGGACCAGACGGCGAACTGGCCCACTTGTTCATGAAGATCCAACACTTAAATTGTGTGTGAATTGCCTTCCGAGCGCGGAGAAGCCAGCGAGAGCCGGGATTGATTGGTAATCAGTTAGAGCCTTGATAACGAGTCAGTATTTCTCCTTTTTCGGCCGACATGCGAGGTAAAATATCCTCGTCCTACTATTATCGTAGGACAACACTTGAAAATCCATATTAATTAATCTCCATCCATCCAGATCCTTGGTTGCCATACAGCTTAACAATTAACGATCGGCATGACTGTAGATCAGCTGGCGGCCCCAGATCTTTCTTGATTGACCTGTATGTCTTAGAGTCTTGAAGTCGACTAGGGAAACGTTAGCCAATTCGAGTTGGGCTGGAGCCCAATTTCCTAATAGAAGTAGTAGTCTTGGGGTATCTATTGCACTTGCACACAGGATGATTTCCTGCCGGGCGTGCAAGGTATAGCTAAAGCCTGACTTCAGAGTGGCACTGATGGCAGTTATGGTGCTGTCGGCGGTGTAAACCTTTACAACCCAAGCGTCTTTCAGAACAGTTAAATTAAGTCGTTTCTTAGCGCCTTAAAGATAGCATGCAGATGTGCAATACTTATACTGTTGTGGTTCCGTATGTCGCGAGGAAATGTTACACCATCCAATAGCTTCCTGTAACCCAGCTTTGGACGATGTTACCTATTGAAATTGTATACACTGTTGATATTAAACGACTCTCTTGCAGACTCGACCGAAATTAGCATCCTTTGTAGTACATCGAAAACCCCATTTAAAGCTCTATCTAGCTGATTCCAGTTCGTGTTAAATAATATAGATCTAATTGAATGATTAATGTCAAGTAGTTAGAAATATCTTTCTTTCTACTACCCTAAAAGTCTTGAATGTTTAAGTCCTTGAGGCGATCGTATTGATGTTACATCCTAGTGAGACTGAGGACTACAACATAAAGGAATAGGTCTCCAATATCTAATAATGAGCAGACTATAAGGAAGCCCTCATGGTATAGATAATAACACGCGTTTTATGAGAAAGAGATAGAGAGTGAGCCCTATTAACCAGTATCTTCCTGATTGGGCTCGCACCACCGATACACGGCTGAGGTATCGTCAGGCGATCAACCTATTAGCTTCGCCATGGATATATAAGTTTGTTCTTAGGTGAACTCCGATACAGTTAAAGAGTATTCCTATTACTCTAATACTAAAGGGTTACAGCTTGGCTGGTGCAGAAAGAGGAATTCTGGAGACATAGTCATCCACCAGACCATTCACAGCACGAGCCAGGCCATAGCTGTACACATAACCTCCGGCATTTTGACCGTAAGCATGAATGACTCGCTGACCTCCCAGTATCTCAGCTTCGCATCGTACACCTGCTACGTCGCTATCTATTGACGGAAAGATGCCGACATGGTCATACAGAATGGGCCAGTCCTTCGGGTCTGGAGAAGGGAACAACGTAGGGTTGTTATCGTGAGCGTTGCGGCATATCTGAGACATCGTCAGTTTTCTTGCAATTGAGAGGTGTATCGGAGAAGTTATTATCATACCGTTGCCCTATCTTCTTCAGATACGGTAACGTCGCGAGAACCTTTGGTTAACACACCGCCACAGTAGACAGTGCCATCCATGCGCGAAAAGGCGGTTGAATAGTACCCTTTAGGTCCCCGACGAATATAAAGTTGATCATATGCGGGTGCTTTTGCGACGACGCATTGCAGCCTCCACGACGTCATGTTCTTTTCTTGGACGTCCTTTAATGTCTCAGAACCGAACCCTGAAGCGTTGATGAGAACATCATGGCCAAGGCCTTTGAGGTCAGCGAGTGCAAAGACCCTTGTTCTGAGGAACTTCACTCCTTGCTCTTCCAATCGTCGCTGCATAAATACAAGGAATTTCTGGGGCGTCAAGACAACTGTCTTGTACTTCATGCCGTACAGAGCACCCGTAGGTAGCTCATCCTTGCTCATAAACCGGAACTCGGGGATCTTGTGAGCATACCAGGCATCATTTTTAGAACCACGATCCATGATTTCGGTCATCTGTATCTGACGAACGCTAGATTCGGGGTTGGTCTCTGCCAACCTCCATAAACCTGCAAGACCTTCTAGCTGCATCTTTTGCTCTGAGGGGGAAGATTGATGTACGCCAACCCAGATTGCACCAGCCCAAGGACTCGCCCATTCCTTTGTGTCGTAGTCTCCGGGCATGTATTCGGCCACGATAGTGACATCAAAATCTCGGGCGAGCTTCGCGGCAATTAGCATCCCGGTGACCCTTTAAAAACGTAAGTGACATTAACCGACCAATAGCAACGTGTTTCAGTAATAGTAGAAAACACTTACCCAGCACCCAGTATGGTAATTTTGGTCATGATTGGAAATGAAAGAAGACTTCTTTGTCGGTCACAGAGGCACGTCTTGTGAAATGTACTCTTTGGAAGTGATGCGGTGCCTATAACTAACCTAGAAAGTCATTTAGGCGGACCGTCAAGTGGGAGGTTAGAGCATGGCTGGAAAATCAGTTATAGGTCATATTTTTATTTCGTTTGTTTTTGCTTGACACAGTAGAAGTAAGCTAACTTGGTACCTATAAAAACAATTGCGCCATTCTCTAGGGACTGTGGACTCCGAGGTCGGATCTGTGGGGAGATTGAGAGAAAATAACTTGCCTGTTTGGGGAGGTTTCCGAATGGGAAATCGCCTCACATACCTGTGCTACCGTAATCTGAGTGCCGGGTAGGTACCCGATATGCGGTGTGCGGGGAAGCAAGCACCCATAATTGGCTTACTAGTGAATGGGACTAGGGGAGAAGGGAAGATAAGAGGAACCTTCCTATTTGAGACAAAACGCGAGGTCCGTCGTAGTCGCTAAGAGATACGCTTATGTGACGTATTGTAGCTTAGCCACATGTTTGAGGTAGCGCCCTTTGCATCTCGCTTCTCTCTTTCTACTACGTAGTATTTTATTTCGTAATCGGTTTTAGGTTTTATGTTAGTTTCCATATCGATTGGCTAAAGCACTATGCCGGGTTGCACTTAGATAAGATATGTAGTTACTTGTCTTTTTTTATATATCTATTTTTAGATATAAATCCTTACTCTACCGTATTAACTAAGTAAATTTAACATACCTTATAGATACCGCTAAAGGCAATTTAACCTAATCCGGCTAGTACGGTTATAAGGCTCTTCCCTATATATATTAAATTAATAATACCGATAATCTTTAGCATAGCTATAAAATAAAGTAAGACTATACTTTTACCGTTAAATAAAGACTTCTAGACTTATAAGATATATTAAAATAACTACTAAATTAAGCTTTATTAATATCCCTAAGGAAAAGTAATATATCCCTTAAAAACGGGCCTAGTATAGATAAAAACCTAAGTTAATTTAGGATTATAAATAAAGCCTACCGATACTTATTACTTAAAAGGAAAAGACTTACTTAAAGGTAAAGTAGTTTATAGTTATAATATTTATATATTATTACTATATTTTTAATCTTAATAATAGCTTTTTAATTAATAGATATAAAAAGCCTTTTTAATAAGAAGTAATAATATATTTCCTAATTAAGAAATCTATAATAGTTAATTAAATATTAAAGGACCTTTAATCTATAGAAATTATAAAATAAAGCTATTAACCTTATTAACTATAGCTTAAGAAATAGTTATTTTAGGATTTTATACTATTAAAGTAAAAATAGTATACTATTATTATTTCTTAATTTTAAAAATAGGCATTTAAAATATTTAAAGTATTAATATTATTAAAGGAATAAATAAAGCTATTTATATTCTTTAATAGCTAGTAATTAGGATTTAAACGGCAGTTTAATATCATTAAGCGGTATATAATTAAGCAGGTAATATAATAACCTAAGGCTTATTACATAGTCTATAATACCTTCTGTAAATTTATATATTATATTTAATATAACCTAAAGTTATTACTAAGAAAATAGTTAGTTAACTTAAAAATAGATATATTTTATATCCTTAATATACCTTTTTATTACTTTTTAAAACAAAATATATTAAATATTAATAAAATATTAATTCCTTTTATAAATAACGTCAGAAATATATAAAACTAACTTAATATTAAAACGGTAATAATTAAAGTAGCCTAAAGTAAGTAAGAAAAGTAATAAGTAATACTTATTTTATATATCTTTAATAACGGTATTTACTACTTAAAGCTAAAGATTATATTTTATAGCTTTAACGGTAAGAAAGTAAGGATATATAATAATAAAGGTAATTAATACATTCTAGGCGTTACGGTAGTATATAATAATTATATATATAATAATAAGGCCCTATTTATAAGCTAGATAAAAAAAGAACTCTTTATTATTAAATTAGAAACTAAGGATTTCTTATTAATAAAAAATACCATACGATTCTATTTAATAAAAGGTATAAAAGGTAAAATTAAGTAATAAGGGATAACTATAGTATTTATACCTACCGGCTATATAAGTCTTATATAACCGCTTAATATATTAATTAACCGGTTATTTAAAATATATTATTATAAGGAGATATTATTATATAAACTAGAGGGAAAAAAAAGAAAGAAAACTAAGTAATTAATTAGTAATAAAAAGATTATAATTATATAAATTATATAATATATTTAGGAATATATTAAGTAATATTATAATATTTTTAAAAAGTTATTCCTTAATATAGATATAACTATAAGACTAGATAGAAATTAGGATATTAATATTAAAATAAAAAGACTAGAAATAGTTAACTTTATAGATTAGGAGGAAATAATTAATATATCTATTAAGTTAGAAAAGCTTATAGACTAACTTTAAAATAATAAAGAGCTTACCTTTAGTCTTAATAAGGAATTTAATAAAGATATCTTTATTTTTACCCTCCGTAATCTTATAGTAGCCTAGTTATAAAGACTACTTAAAAAGAATAGACTTTTATTAAAAGGAAATAAAGGTAACTTAATAAACTAGTTATAAAGGTATCTAATTAGTAAGGGAATAAAAAGGGACTTGATTATAATTTAAATTAATAGTCCTATAGTTATATTTAAAGTAGAATAGTTATATAGTTATTATTAACTGTTAACTTTATTATTAACCTAAAAAAATACCTTCCTTTCTTACTATTTATAATTATAGTTAAGTCTTAAGTTATATTTTCTTTACCTTTTTCTTTTATAATTAGGCCTATAAAAATAGTATTTTCCTTACCGTAAGATATTATTAACGGCCTAATAACTCCTTATTCTAACCTAACTATAATAATTTCCTTATATTATAAGGGAAATCCTTATATCTTTATTTAGGGTAAAAAGGACTTTATATTTAAATTAGTAGGTCTATCTTACCTTAAAGTATACACCGGTTTTATAATTATTAGTTATATCTATCTCGATATATTAGTTAGGGGAGGAAAATTCTACGCTTTTTTATATATATATAGACAATATTAATAAATATATATACTAAATTTAAAGGTATTTTAATGTTATTTAGTAGAAAAATAGGTAAGTAATGAGTAAATTATATAGGCAGGGAAGAGGAATTAATATTAAGTTTATATTTCCCTGCTAACTGTATATAGGTTAAAATAAAGGTGCTATATATTAACTTGGACCTACCGGGCGTGTTGAATTTACTCAGTCAATACGGTATTTCCATAGCTTGTTAGATAAGGTATCGGATCAGTCGATTGAAACTACACGTAGTTCGTAGCTTTACTGAAATATTTACATGTACAGTTTTACATATGGTATAAGCCACAAGTCCCATTTCTCCAAGTTCATAATCAGTTCCAGATTGCTTATAGCCACCAAAATGAACACGAATTTTAGCTTCATTACTACTATTAATATAGATGGCTATTAGTGTTAATATTCAAACTTGGAAACAGTCAAGTAGGAAGCTTACTGCCTGCTTCGAGTCTTAGGGCAACGTTGTGAGCTTTTGTAATGTTATCAGTTTAGACAGCACTTCTAAGTCCAAAAATAGAGTTATTTACTTTCTGAATGGCATCGGCAACAGTCTTGAACTTGCATACTACTATGAATGGTCCAAATAGTTTTGCTTGGGAGACTTGCATGTTATTTTCTAAGTCAGTGAATATTATTAGTGAGATCAAGAAGCCTTTCGACCCATTCGTATTCTTATAGGTAACTCCTCCCGTTGCGAGGGTGGTCGTTTCCTTCTTTGTCTCGCAATAGTTCAGAATCCTTTCGAACCGTTCCCTTATAACTTGTGAGCTTTAAAAAGTATTGTCTTTGAAGGGTTCCCAATCTTAACACCCTCCATCGTCTTCTTGTACTCTGCGAAGAAATCGTCGTAGATATCTCGGTGTTGATTCCAGTCAAGAACTATATCCCTGGTTTTGGTGAGAATCTCATGAACCGTCCTGAGACTGATCTAGTTTGGGAAATGAATGGCTCGCCGTTAAAGGAATGTGTCATGGAAGTAGACGCCGCTCTATGGATTTGTACACAACGTGGTAATTCAATCGATAACGACCACGATGCCGACGTCCAGATGCACCGCTTCCTTATGTCACCAACACTGAGCGACTGGGGTACGCAAACCCTGATCATATGTTCTCAATGATGCCTAGTGTTTGCCATTCAAAGTAGCGTGGTCGTATTTCTCTGTATTCAAACGATCCTAGCTGGAAACCTGCACTAGACTGCCGCTATTTCATTAAGCCCTAGGGATATAATGAGAACGTGAGTGGTTGTTGCAGGTGTAAAAGCCGTACGCAAAATCGCTGCACAGGAACCTTTCTATGCCTAAATCAAAAAGGAAGTAGCATCCGGTCCCGAAGTACAATCTGACGAGGCTCTCAGCGAGCTTTCACACGATGCGGGATACACAATCTTTCATCCTGCTAGAACTGCCAAGATGGGAAACTTGAATGCAGACCCATTGGCTATTGTTGACCCCCAGTGCCGGATTAGAGGACTTAACCGAGTTTCCATCGTTAATGCTAGGGTATTCCTACTATGGTTAAGGTAAACCCCATGGTGTCAGTTTCATATATTACAGAGCGAGCTGCTGAGATTATCTCTTTGGAAAAGGCGGGAATAAAAACAAAGTGCACTTATAAATAACTTGCCCTGAAACTATTTATAATCAGCTTATATGAATGCATGTGTTTAATTTCCACGCTTCTTCTAGGATATTGGTATTGGGATTGTCAACTTTTACTACTGGACGGTTACATGCTTGATTTGAGCGTCGTGGCTGGACTCTTATTCTCGGGTGTCAAATCCAACAGAAACCACAGATTGCTACGTACCCTTCTGACGTGCGTTTTAGAAAACCGTGAGAGTTGAGAAACGGCTTTTAATAAGTCAGAGAACTGCATGGAGCTTCTCCTGTTTGTATGACTGATGCTAAATCACTTTTTCTATATATAGCTGAGTGAGCGTGGTGTCTTTTGCTCACTTCAAGAGACAGAGTTAATGAACTCTATAATGAGACTTGTATAATGCGGCTCATTTGTGCTTCATGTGTAAGATATCTACAATTTGAATATCGTGGCAAATAAAAGAATGTTTTACTTCCTACTTCTATCCTTATTTTGGGTGGATGACCTTGATCTGTCCTTTAATATATCAAATGACGTACATTAGTTAATTTTTATAGGCATAAACTAAGGTCATTCATCTAAAATAAAGAAGGAAAAAGAAGAAAGGACAATAACTATAATTCTTTCATGTATACCAAGGTACCACGCTTAAAAAGATTACATCCTATCTCCGAAAGCCGGGAAATCCGTCCTCAACCTCCTTCTTTGTCCATTCTCTATACCGATTAAGCCCGCCAAAGTAAAACTTGGTGCTTGTCTTTCTTCCATCCACATTCGCCCCAAAGATCCAACTAGCAGTAGTCTTAAATAGAGACCCTTCGACCAGTTCATCACACAACTGGTTCCATTGCTGTTCAGCCTTGGTTTCAACCTCCATTAGCCTGTTGGACTTCTCTGCCTCAAGAATACATCCTGTAATGAAGTCGACCTCGCTCTCTATAACGACGGGGAAGTTGGCAAAGGCGCCCTGAGGCCCTGACACTGCATACATGTTGGGGAAGCCAGAGCATGCAACGGCGCCGTATGCAGTTGGGCCATTTCTCCAATGCTTGCGGATCGACTCTTCACGCCCAACGATATTGATGCGTAGGTAATTACCCTCGATTGCGTCAAATCCCGTGGCGAAGATCAAGACGTCAAGCTTGTGGACGGTGCCATCCTTCGTCTTGATTCCCTCGGGTACAATCTTGTCGATGGGTGTCTCCCTCAAGTCAACAATGTCAACATTGTCACGATTGAAGATTTGGTAATATCCCGAGTCGCATAAAGGTCGCCGAGCATACAAGTCGGTAGGCTTCAGAGCTTTGGCCTTCTGGGGGTCCTTGACGATCTCGTCAATCTTTCCTCGAATGAAGTTGCAGGCTTCCTCATTAGCCGCGAGATCAGTTGTGATATCACCAAAGGCGCCGAACATGAAGCGAAACCCGTTGCCGCGATCCCAGACCTCTTGGAATGCTTGTTGACGTTCTTCCGGGGTCGCCTCCATAGTCTTGCGCGTTGACTCGGGCACGCCGAAGGCTGTGGATGACGACCATACATTGTTCCAAATTTCATCATAGTTCTTGTTGATCTTCTTTCTGTAGCTGGAAGAAACTGGTCCTTGTCCGCTGGGGACAGAATATTGAGGATGTCGTTGGAATGAGGTAAGACGACCAACCTGGGATGCGATTGCAGTCATGACTTGAACCCCAGTGGACCCATTCCCAATGATGCCAACTGTCTTCCCAGTCAGGTCGAGCTTGTCGTCCCAATTAGCCGTGTGGACAGTTTCCCCAGCAAACGATGATATGCCGTCAATATCAGGGTAGTTGGGCTTAGACAGGAGGCCTAGACAGTTGACGAGATGACGCGCCTTGATGATGGTGCCTCCCGCACAGTTGACAGTCCACGTATGGGCAGCATCGTCCCAATGGGCGGATTCCATCTCAGTCTTGAATCGCATGTGCCTTCGGAGGTCGTGCTTATTGACGACATGTTGCAGGTACTTAAGAATCTCGGGTTGGTAAACGTAATGGTGTGTCCACGGATAGGTTCGCAAGTCCTCAGCATCCCACGAGAACCTGTATAGATAGCTTTCTGTATCGCTCATGGCACCTGGGTATCTGTTCCAGTACCATGTGCCTCCAACATCACCGGCGATGTCGATGCACATGACATTGAGCCCGGCGCGGGACAGTCGATATGTAGAGTAGATGCCACCCAGGCCGGCACCGACGACGAGAGCGTCAACATTGAGTGATTCGGGTAATGAGCCCATGTTTCTTGATAGGCGGGTTATTTTGGAGAAATGTAAGGTGATGTTTATTGGGGAAATCTGTTATCTCAGACATCTAGGTGGTGCAATGACAAAGGCTTAAATGAAAGTCGAGCAAGAGACGTAGGCACCCAGTCGTCGCAGTCTCCAAGATCCTATTTGGCCCCTCACGTAGCGAACAGGAGCCATTGCATGCTTCTGCTAATCGCATCCCCAAGGGACGTACCAAGACTGCTACATGAAATTCTGCCACGACCTTGCTCGGTTATGTGACGAATGGGGAACGTTCGCCTGTAAACTGTAAAGGGAAATTCTGATCGACTGGTCCCCGCCTACATTCCCCGCAGTCACCCCTCCCTCGTACAGTATCATCGGACTATTAGTGAGTGTTATCTTAGCTTCGTTGCTCGGGCGCGGGGGCGAAGCAGCGAAGGAAACGATCAAGACACCCCACTTGACCTAACCTCACCTGGTTTGGTTCATCCTGCTTGTCGCATGTCCTAGTTTGGAATCAACCCGAGCAGGAACAATATGAGGGTTAAGTTTATTATAGGGCCGGCAGAAGTCATCATCCAGCCTACATCTGGTCTTATGAACCATGGTTTAAGAAGGGTTGCTGACCACTTTAGATCGTGGGAGAAATACTTTTCGTTCTTCCAATACAGAAGACGCTCCCTTTTCTATCCAAATCAGCGGCACAGCCACATCAAGACAGCATCACCAACCTTGCCCAGCATGCCTCCCTCTGTTCCCAATGCCAAGGGCTCCGACGCTCCATCAGATGTTCCATACGGAACATGGAACTCGTTCCCTTGGGAGCCTTTTCCCGAGTACGCTGGCTCCAAGTCCGTCCTCTATCGTTCTGCGGACGGAAAGATTGTTGCCGGCGCAGCCAAAGAAACCGGCACCGCCACGTTAACTTATCCTTGCGATGAGTTCTTCTACGTCACTGAAGGTTGGATCAAGTTGAGCATCCATGGAGGGGAGTCATTCATCCTGAGAAAAGGGCAATTTATTTATCTGAGGAAGGGCACGACGGTGGATTTTGAGTTTGGGCCTGATTTTGCGAATGTTGCTGTCTTTATCGACGATAGCCCAGTAACACTTATTTAGCCATGATAGAAACGAATGCTTATCCTTGTCTCTCTGTACAAGATGTCAATCTCCCTGCCTCTACAACGGGAAAGAACTCAAAGCTTTATTTCATTATACGTGATTTTAAAATTCCGGCTCGTATCGGCCTTGATGAAATGTTGCTAAATTCTGTGGTGACCTTGAGACAGTAATAACAGTCAGTCCTCTGAACATGAGCAGTCGTGGAGGAAAAGAGAAATGAAGTTTTCATCTATTCGACATATCCAATTAAAGACCAAAGTCCGCGTACTTGGACTTCCCTAGAAGTCTCGCTCCAGGAACCATCTGACATGTAAGGAGGAAGAGGCTGCAAAGTGTGGATCAGAACTAAGGTAACTCTTTGGTGGGGATAAGCATCGCATCTTGCACAAGACAGGCAATTTTGCTAATCGGGGCTATTGGCGAACTGTATGTGGAGCACTTTTCCATCGAGTCAACGCGGCCATGGCAAGGTAGGGCTCACCAAACAGCAGAGGCCGAACCCGTAATATTCGACGGTAAGAGAATTTGGAACGAGTGGAGTTGCACCGGCTGGTCGACCGACCGTATTGACACTTAAATTAAGTATCTCGACTCTTTTTATTTAAGCTTGAATCTCCCAACCATGGACCTACGGTACCCTATCATCTGCCGACTCTCACAGCATTACGTTGGTAGGGCTCTTCCTTGATCAATATTGTTTTATCATTCCTACCACTTCTGAGCACCATGGCCTTAACAGAAAATATTCTCTTGGTATACCAAAAACTGATTTTGGGCAAATTCGCTGAGTCGAGCAACCAAGACTGCCTGATCCTCCTTCTCGCCATTATCGCTGTAACCCTCTGGTGTCGGAAAACGACACGTATTAAGGAAAATAAAATCGAGCACGACAAACCAGGAGCAGCAATCTCTGACCAATTGCAACATCGCCAATGTATGGTGCTATTTGGCTCCCAAACGGAAACGCTGGACAGTTTGCAATGCGGTTCGCGAAAGAGGCCAGGGAGCGGTACGGGTTCGATGCAATAGCTGCCAATATCCAGGATTATAATCCTACAAGCATTGAAGATGTGCCTGACGACAAGCTTGTCGTATTTGTACGGGCGACGTATGGAGAAGGAAAGCCAACAGACAGCGCGGTTGTATTTCATGAGTACCTCTCGGTCGAGGCCTCTTCTGGGATGGTTGGTACCCTCCACAACCTGAACTACGCCGTCTTTGGCCTTGGAAACAGAACGTACGAGTTCTTCAACGCCATGTGTCGCAACGTCGATAAACACCTTCAAACATTAGGAGGGCAAAGAATTGGTGCCGTGGGAGAAGGAGACGAAGCACAGGGAACCCTGGAGGAAGATTTCCTAGCCTGGAAGAAACCTCTTTGGGCAGAACTAGTTCAACGGTTTCAACTAGAAGAGGCTCAGAACCACCAAGCGGAGCCGTCTTTGATCATCCAGGATATTAACCTTAAGATGGACAGCCCTGGGGTATTCACAGGGCAGCATCACAGCGGAGAACAGAGTAAAACAGTGGCCTTTGGGCCTGAAAATTCCACTCTCGTCGCTATCAATTCTTCCTACGACCTCTTTCGAACGGGTCCAAGGAATTGTCTGCACCTGGATCTCGATCTTGCCGATAGTGTTCTGAAGTACGAGACAGGCGATCACGTCGCCATCTGGCCTATCAATTCGAACAAAGACGTTGATCGGCTTTTGAGAATATTGGGGCTCACCAGTCAGCGACATAAAGTCATCGAGCTACGTGCCCGCGATTTTGCAGCCCCAGTATCTTTCCCCAGCCCCACCACCTATGATGCACTCGTCAGATTCTACATAGACATTTGTGGCCCTGTTTCAAGACAGGCCTGTGCCAATGTAGTCGACTATGCCCCGAACGAGGCTGCTAAAGCCGAGGTGTTGAGACTAAGCCAGGACAAGGAGTATTTCAGGAATTGTGTGACAATTCCTGCACGCAACCTGGGGCAGATTTTGGAAACTTCCGGCCAAGGATTGGTCTGGGACAAACTCCCGTTTCCAGTTATAGTGGAATTTTTGCAGAGATTGATCCCCCGGCGATACTCGATATCGTCTTCTGCAAGTGAGGAGCCTTTTAAAATCTCCATTACAGCGGTGGTTGAGCAGAAAGCTTTCGACCAACAAGAGCCTTTCCTTGGTGCCTACAGTAACTATCTTCTCGCTTTGAAACACGCATAGAATAGTGAAGTGTGTGTAGCGACACATGCACTAGTCGAACAAGTGTTCAAACTCCCAATCGAGATCAAGAGATCCAAGTTCAGGCTTCCCCAAGACCTCTCAACTCCTGTCATTATGATTGGTCCGGGTACTGGGGTTGCTCCCTTTCGCGGCTTTACGAGAGAGAGAGAGAGCGCAACAAGTCAAAGCTGGATATGAAGTTGGCAAGATGATGCTTTTCTACGGTTGTAGGCGCCGAAACGAAGATTTTCTCTACCAAGATGAATGGAGTGTAAGTTGGATCGGAATTCCATAGTTTTTGCGTCAGTGTGACTTTACCTCCTCTCCCCTCGAGATCCGTTGTCTGCTAAACTAACTTATCAGGCTGTTGAGAAAGATTTGGGGGACAATTTTCAACTCGTCACAGCCTTCTCCAGGGAGTCTGCCAAAAAGGTATACGTGCAACACCGGTTGCTGGAAATGGCTCACGAAATTAACAAACTACTCACGATGGGTGCTTATGTATACATATGCGGCGATGCAGCTCATATGGCTGCGGCAGTCAAGAGATCCCTTCTGCATGTAATGGAAACGGAGCGTGGGATATCCACCTTTGAGGCGGAATCTGTTATGAAGCAGATGAGACAAACACGTCGATTACAGGTACAGGACCAGTCTTTGTTGCGACAATTCTTGAGGTTACGGGGACTAATATCAACGCATCGACAGGAAGACGTTTGGTAACAAATATATGGTGATTCTTGGTTATGTGTCATGGAATAATTTGTCCTGGCAAGTGGAGCTCGGGGTTATCTACGGATACCTACATACGTCGAGCTTCACCACATTTACTTATTAAAGAATTCAGTTTTCCTCTTGGTCGTAAATCTACTGCATACAAGCCAAATACATATAAACTATTGTTAGAAAGCCTAACTATGGATCAAGACAATTAAATGAAACAATCCACACCGGCTGACAGATAAGAAACAGGCTTAACTCCACAATTTGCCACTGCTAGGCTCTAGCAAGATGATAACGCTAAGTGCTATCGGGTCAAAATGCGGGGAAATCTTGAATCGGTTACCCTGGTGCGAGATAGCCAATTGCTGCTGACGTTCCACTATCGGTGTCACCTGAAGGCGTCTTGTGGCTGTCGTATTAAAAAGCCTAAAAGGCTTCGATTTCCGGTCGCGCAAGGATCTCGGTTGCATGCTCATCTGGACCCTCCACGGCGACTGGCCCCCGTCAACATCAACAACGCGAAGCTATGAAGACGGGACAGATCAGGTTCAGATTCTGGCAGGGAAACAACCGATTCGACCCCGACACGAGCGCAAAGGTCATCCGAGATAATACCACAGACTCCACGGGAGGCGACTTACGGAGAAGTCGGTCAGGCTGTGTCGAATGCAAACGCCGCCGGGTCAAGTGCGATGAGACTTTTCCAGTTTGCACGCGATGTCAAAAACGGGGATCAATCTGTCAATCGGCGACTCGATTGACAAAATGGCAGCAAGAGGCCCCATGGATCAAGTTGTGCGGCACCGAGCCATCGCCATCGCCCTTTATTACTCACTATCACTATCCTCAGCAGCCTCATGCAGAAGGGGATGACCAAGGCCTTCTTCGCTACTGGCTGGAGCGGGCCAGCCAGATCATGGTCATTGACCCGGATGAGAATCCGCTATCTTTTCCCATTCTCGAACACGTACAACAGTCACCAACTCTCAAGCATGCGCTGCAGAGTGTAGGTGCTGGCCATCTAAATTATTTTGCGCCCGAAAAGCTATCAAGGTGCCTGGAGGAACGCAGCACAGCCCTTCGGCTCATTATGAACGATCTTTTATGCCCTGGGGATAATCTGCTGCCTCTTTTTCTGAGCATCTTTCTCGTCGGCCTCTCAACCGCCTGGACCAACGGACCAGAAGTCGACTTTGGTCAACAACATCTCCAAGGCGCCCGAGCTTTAGTCGACATGGTACTGGATCAGTCAACAGAGGATGGATCCCGGCCCCTCTATACGAACCTCGTCATCGGGTCCTACTTATACTGGGACATGGCTACAGCCTTCTTGGTTCCTCTGGACCAACAGAAACCTCTTAATACCAGTGACATATACTCCACCGTTCTGGGAATAGGCAATGAGTATCATCCGATTGGAGGATATACAACCGGCATCTTTTATCTCATCGGTAATGTCGGTCGTTATTGTCGGTCGGTCGTGGAGACGGGCATTCAAGACGAGCTGATGGAGTCGGCACTGGAGGATGAGATGATACAGTGGGAACCTAACTGCGAAAAGCATGAGCTCAGCCTTATGTGTGACGCTTTTAGATCCCATGGGCTTCTCAGCCTAGCGGCCATATGTTATAGGCGTCGCAATTCGCAGACGGCTCAGCATGCTATATTATCCGACATCGTCAACACGTTAGCAGAAGAGGATCGTTCGTGGTGGCAGTCTATCGAAGCATCATTCTTCGATGAAGAACTCGAGGCCTCGATACGAAATCGGGCATTAGACGTTATCCATGATCTTTTGTCGATTCCTTCCAGCCACCCGTGTACGAACCTTCAGGCAATCCCCATGTTTACTGCAGCATCAGAGTTGACCAGTCTGGACAAGAAAGAAAGGTCAAAGGTACAGGAACGATTCAAAGAGCTTTATTCGTTGAATCACATTCCGGCAAATCTCGCAGCTTTACGGATTTTGCCAGAAATCTGGGAAAGAAGAGATGCAGGTGACGCTGTCAACTGGCTAGAGGTCATGATCGAAAAGGGGTGGAACCTCATGCTTGGGTGACAATAATGAACACAGCCACTTGTATATGTATATCTAGTAATGTACTAACAATCCTTTTTCCATACCCTCTTCATAGCCGGGATGAAAAGGCTTGCAGCGGTATTTCGTACATTTCCAGAATTCTATTTCTCTCATCACTTAACCTTGGCCTCGACTCTTCAAACAGCCTTGGGATACCAGTGGACTGGAAGTCAGTCTGTTGAAGAACCATGTTTGCCAAGCCCTTTGCGCAAAGAAATACCTGTGGCATACCGTGCCCAGTAAAGCCCCCCATGATGTACATTCCGGGACGGTCTGGGATGGCACCGATACGGGGAATACGGTCAGAAGAGTACCCCATAACTACATGATTAGATTAGCATCAGTGACGATATAAGCGTAGGTGCAGCATACCTCCTGTCCAGATATCGTCGACATGAGCTCCACTGGCTTCCCAACCGTGAAAGTGCCTCTGCATATAGCCGTCAAAATAGTGCTTGGCACGCTCAATTATCTCTGTGTCATTGACACTTCCATACCAATCTTCCACATGCTGGATATATGCCTGGCGAGCACCACCTACGATGATGCTGCCGTCGGGTCGGGGAATGAGATAATCGAAATCCCATTCATTGAAGCGCAAAGCATATGTATTCGTTAAAAGAGGTGCCCTTTTTGTCTTTGGAACGACAATACGACTGCAGATAGCTCTATACGGAACAATCTTGTTCTCATACTCAGGTAAAAGAGCTGCTGTATACGCATTGGTCGCCATGATGATCTTCTTGGTCTTGACGAGGCCTCGTTCCGTTGTAAGTGTCCAATAGCCGTTTGAATCTTGGGTCGATGAGATAGTTGTCACGGGCGTATTCGTTTGGATATTCACTCCATTGGCTATAGCGCTGGTAAAGATGTGGTGGATCAGCTTGTAAGGCCAGAGATGGCCTGCAGTGTAAGAAAAGCAGCCCTTCGCTCCCTTGACGCCTGAAACCTTTATTGCTTCCGAGGTTAGCCAACTCAAACGCGCATGAAGGGTTTTATGATTGGGTGAGTGAATAGTAGCTTACATTTTCAGCAATCCTCGAAGGAACGGCATACGTCTGCTTCGTTGCTTCCACGCCGTGGTCAAGTAATGATCGGTAGCCTTCGACAAGTTTCGCATGGTGTTCGGTTTGGAACTGAACATCCACTGCTCTCGTCATGATAAAATCACAATCTATATCATTCTGGCGAACAAACTCGGCAACAGCCTCGACGTTGGCCGTTTCGAAATTGGCAACCTCGGCAGCAGCTTCCACACCGTATTCTTTTGCCAGCCTTGAAATTGCATTGTAAGAATCAGGCTTGAGATGGCCTCCTATACCATGTTAGTAGACACACAATGTCGTGTTCCAGGAGCCTACCGTTTCTTCCAGTCGCACCAGAGCATAATTGTCTTGCTTCAAGTACCAGAATTGAGGGGCTTTTCCCAGTACACTCAGACAATATATGTGTCGTAAGTGCTGCACCGGAATACCCAGCACCAATAATGACAATGTCACTTTGTGCTGGGAGTTCCTCTGTAGAGCGATGGTCATCCAAAGGCCCAGTACTATATCTCCAGAATGATTTCATGCCATTGCGGGGAGGGAGGTGAGATCGAGACATGTTGCGGAAAGATGGTTGTTTTGATAAGGCCAGTCGATGTGAGAGTTCCTGTACACTATCAAGACTCAGACAGTTCTTTAGGATGTTGCATGTCAACACGTCAAGGCCACTTCGGTTACTCAAAGCATTTACTGTATTGTTCCCCCCTTGTGGCAAACACATCCTGGCCATTTCTAGCCTCGCAAGTGAGCCATTTCAGGAATGTGTTAGCCGAAGTTAGAATCAGCTAGACCTATCATGCCAGAGCAGAGTGGTCACCCTGCTTATGCCGTTTTTGGCGTCCAGACGAGATCGCTGTATTGTTATGACATGCAAATGATGTGTAAGAAAGCCGGAAGCTACGTGCCGGGTAGCCTGGGGGAGATAGGGCGAGGAGAAAATAGGGAGGCTTAGGCGAGGGAGGGCAACTTCATCTAACCAGGTTTGGTATAGCAGCCGTGGAGCTCGCGAACTGACCTAAATAGGAAAGTCTTGCTACCACCAAATGCTCCCCACCTTTTTAGAGTGGAAACATCGTGAAATACGGTATAAAGCATTATCCAATATAGGTCATAGATAGTAGCCATGCTTCCAACGGCCTGTTAGTGAGTGCATCTATTTTGCAGCAACATAGCTAAAGACTTCAAAGCATGGTCTCCGTCACAATTTTAGGGGCTGGGTATGTATCTTCATCAACAAATCATGAGTGAGACCAAATGGAGCTCTAACATACAGGTCAAGAATTACCGGCCTCACTATAGCTAGCCAGTTGCCAATCGATCACAGAATTACCATAATTGGAAAGCACTTGCCTGACGACCCTGTGGACTTTGATTATGCAAGTCTTTGGGCCGGTGCTTGTTGGGTCGGTGTTCCTGACTCGAGCTCTCAAGATCAAAAGCTACAACTCGACGCTTATTCTGGCCTTTACAGAACCGCTTCTGAGCATCCTGACTCCGGGCTTAGGATCTCGGAAGTGAAGGAGGTTATTGAACAAGGAGTCCATGCGTCTCCAGATGCCATCTGGTGGCAGAACAAAGTCCAAGGTTTTCGCTTTCTGAAGCCAGATGAATTGCCGGAACGCGCAGCGTGGGGTATGGCGTATTCCACCATTATTATTTCTCCTCAGATCTTTCTCAAGTGGCTCAAAACACGACTTACCGCAAGAGGAGTTCAGTTCAAGCGTATGACCGTGCAAGATCTACATGAACTCAAACACCTGGGACATGATCTGCTCATCAATGCATCGGGAGCAAGCACTAGGTTCTTGCCAAGCATCTCTGAAAAGACACTTGTTCCTGTCCGGCTGCAATCACTTGTCATAGAAAAGGAGTGGGATCAAGGTTTTATATATCGAGGCAGTGGTGGATATTACTTCAACATTTTTGGTCGACCAGACGGCACATGTTATGTTGGAGGCTTTAAAGATTTTGGAGTTGAGGACCGAACAATATACGACGTTCAAAGACAAACGGTAGGAATAGCCCACCACACTTGTTGTTTAGATTTAGGCGCTGATTCATCTAGATTTTGACCCGGGGTAGCCAAGTATTATCCCAGGTTTTTCTTTCTGACAACCTTGAGGATTACAAGGTTCTATACGACATCGCTACAACTTATCATTACCGACCACAGGAATGTGGTGGCACTCGGGTTGAGAAGGAACTTGTCGATGGACAGATGGTCATACATGCATATGGTCAAGAAGCTGGAGGTTTCTCGTACAGTTTTGGGGTTGCGAGAGCTGTAGCGGAGCTCGTTTCGGATCATGCATTTGAGCTTCCAGTCCCTAGCCGTTTATAAATGCACAATAATATCATGAACCACCAACAAAAAAAGGAACATGTAGAACTATGAATTATGCGCGCGTTTATGAGTGATGAAGCCTGTCGTTGGTATGCTGTAAAAAGCTGGTGTTATAGTTAGAAGCCATGTATCTGACGTCTTTGGGCTTTCTCCGATATCGAGTGGTGAAGCACTCTTCAAGCCTTTCATACTAAGATATATAGAGGTGATAGACTTTTTACTTAAAGAGTGACGGGTTACGGTTCAGTATTTTCAATATCATAAAGTGTCTGGCACTGGGTTGAGTCAACATGACTGAGCCGTGGTATGTTCATAGAGGCGTCGGATCGGAGGCTGGCTTTTGTCAAAGAAGGGCTAATCCAGGTTCTTGGAACTACATCTTCCTGCCTACAAGATCTTCATGAATTTACCAGCAGAAGGGAGAAATAAAGAGGTCGCTTATTTCAGACAGCCCCGTAAATCCATATGTGTAAAGACTTCCATAGCTTTACTCAGAGCTTTTTGAACTTCAGCTCCAACTTGTGACCCTTGGGCCCCGCAAGATAAGCATCTTCCAGCTCCATACTCCCGTAATCATCCAATGTGGTTGTGTAGTTGGTATATATACCGGCAACCACATTTTTCATTGCTTGCACAGGTCAGCCTCGCCTCTTGGCGGATGCAGAAGAAATAGGGTTACTCACAGAAGTAGGCAAAGTTACTACCGATGCACATCCTGCCACCACTTCCGAACGCCCAAAACCATCGACGCATTATGCTCAGTTGCTCAGACGATGAATCAATCCAGCGCTCAGGTTTCCATTGATCGGGTTCCGGAAACACGTCGGGTGTTTGGTGAAGGACATAGGCGTAACACTGGACCGTGGTACCCGGTGGAATGTTATCGTAGCCCCCCAGTGAGCAAGCCTTTGGTACCCTACGAGGCTGGCCACCGGGAACGGAGGGGTACAAACGCAGAGACTCTATGATAACAGCTTCGAGGAGGGGAAGTTGATCGACAGACTTAGCTGTAGGCAAAGTCCATTCTTGATCTTGGGTCTGCTTCGGAGGAAAATGCAAGGGCGGTTCCAGTGTCAGTAGTTCTTGACGCAGCTTGGCTTGAAGTTCTGGACGCTTGGAGATTTCATATAAACAGAAGGTTAAAGTGTTTCCACTGGTTTCCTGGGCGGCTGAGTTGTGCGCAAACATATCGCTGGCAATTTCTAGCCGCTGGGGGTAGTCGCCTGGCTTGGAGAGAGGATCACTCATGGCCTTGAGGGCCAGAGACATGACCACGGGCTTATCCTCGTCGGAGATGTTTTCCGGATTCTGGGTTAAGAGCTTTTGTGCCTGGTCGCACTTCTCTAAATTCCATCTCTCTATATCATGGAAACCGCTATCCACCTTACTGGGGATGAGGCCGATGGCTTTGAACAAAGTGTTGAGGCGTGGAAATTCGTACTGCCAGAAAGTATAGGGAGCTGCGGCAGAGAATCCGTCGAGATAGAGACGTCTCTCCTTCTCGTCTTCAATGAGGTTGCTGCTGAGAGAGCTTCCGAATTGCCAAGTAACGAATGAGTCCATTGAATAAGAGTAGAGCAACTCAAGGACCTCGATCGCTGTGTTGGATTCTGCCGCTGCATTAATAAGCGGCAGAAATCTCCCAAACAAGATTTTCTTCATGGATGCACGGCTCGACGCATCGGACAGAATAAAGGATTTCGAAAAGGTTCCGGATATAATTCTTTTGCGGGCGGAATGAGTAGCATTGTCCTCAAATGTGAAAATATTGTGTGTACTGAAATTTTTGAAGTCAGCCATAACCGATCGGCAACAGGCATTGTTAGATAACTTACTTGTAGTTGGCAAAACCTCGCCAGTAGAACTCAGTCTTGGGAAAGCCTCCGAGGTAAATCTGTTTCAAGCCGCCCTCGAAGCAATTCAAGCTCAAAAGGCTTGGGGAGAGTCGCAGAGCCTTCCCCTGTCTCATGTGGCCCTTGAGAACCAGTTCGTTCTCATTGTGGGTGAGCTTTGCCCACCAGAGCCAAAAGGGGGCGACATGACAACTCCAATGGGGAGCCGGGATTTTAGCAAGTGGTGACAGGAAGGCTGGTTTGACTATCAACTCGTATATGCCAGCTACCACAAGCAACACTGCCGCCAAAGTGGGAATGGTGATAGATGTCATGCTGCCCGAGGTGCGTAGATGCTGAATATGCAGAAAGAGAGAGAATATTGACAAGCTCAAGCAGAGAGGAGAAATTGATTGTGGTAAATATGTCGGCAAACGGCGACTGGGGAATACCGCATTTGGTCAGGCTTTAATCTCCTCCCCTGGTCTTTCTCAGATTCATCGATCTTACAAGACAAATATCCACAAGATGGACGCACGATGAGGGGTTAGGCGATCGCGTACACGACGTAAAGGGCAAGTGGGCCACCGGACTTGTTCGGAGGCGAGGGGCCAACCAACCATCAATCACAACCCATAAAGATTAGGTGGTTTTTGACGCTGCTTACCCTAATAGGGAAACGTCACGAGTACCAGACAGGAAAGTTTGCTCCCATCGCTAAGTAAGAAAGGCGATTGAGCAGACTCCACGATTTGCTGACACTAATGCGACACGGTTCAAGTCTTTACTAATTAGGTCTTCTCCCCCGCATCATCTAGGTACATATGATGGGAAGATTTGTATCCCAGGGGCAATAAGCACCTATCGCAAATTATCTCGAACTGGAAAAGTAAACAAAGTTCTAATTAGTACGTCTCGGAACCAATGTCTTCAACACCCAAGATCATCGCCGTAGTGGGCGGCACAGGTTAGTCAGCTGACTCTTGCGACAAGACAGGTCGTGCATCGCTAACTCGTCATGATCATAAGGCAACCTCGGAAGCTCGGTCGCTAGATCGCTCTACGATAACCCCGATTTTCAGGTCAGGGTTTTGTCTCGTGATCCTACAACAGAGAAGGCCAGAGCGTTGACGCAGAATGGTATTGAAGTTGTCAAAAGCGACAACTGGAACACGGAAGATTTAAAACGTGCACTCTCTGGGTGCTGGGGAATATTTATCAACATTGATTCCGATGCCCCAGTACGTCAACCCCCCAACCCATCTCTCTCTGGCTGCGAAGAGTGTGCTGCAACGGTATTAACGGGAGCAGAACTTTAAAGAGAGGATAGGTCCTTCTGAGCAAGACATGGGCAAAATCATTGTCAACGCTGCCGTCAAGGCTGGTGTCCAACATGCCGTTCATGCTTCGCTCCCTGCTGCTACCAAACTAACAGGTGGTAAAGTGCCACTGCTCGCATTCGATGGTAATTATATGCCTCTCATTTCTTTTTATTTGGATATTTGTGCTTCTAGGGTCCCTCACGTTACCCAAGTTCGAAATCAGTGCAACCCATCAGCCAAGAGCACAGTACTGACTCGCATCTCTCTTTCTCTTCTTCTAGACAAAGCTGCAATCTCGGAATATATCTTAGAACCTGGAAGATTTAAAACAGCGACCATCGTCAGCGCGGGATGGTTTTTGGGAAATGCTTTCGATCCCAAATATACCGCTGCATTCGGAGGATTTGCCACCACCAAGGATGCCGATGGATACCTCACTTATAGAGTCCCGGCGATGGGTAATAAACCGGAGTCGGTTCCTTGGGTGGCCGTGGCCGAAGACTATGGAGACTTTGTACACGGCGTGTTTCTTGACCCTGAGAAATGGGACAAGAGATACATTCATGGGGTGTCTGAGTCTGCGTCTTTCGCAGGGCTGACAGCTAAATTCCAAGATGGTGAGTCTCGGCCAATCACGATCTTAAGAACCTACCTCTGACCAAGCTTCTAGTCACAGGTAAACCTGCACGACATGTTGAGATTCCATTGGGCGGTTTGACGGCGACGGTACCATCCAAGACAAGAGAAGTCAATGGCTTGTTTGATCTTATGCAGGCTATTCAAGGCAACTTCTTCAATGGCGAGCCTACTCAGCATCAAGAAGCTCGTGATCTGAAAGAAGCGGCGTGTAGAGCTCGAAAGTCTAGTGGCAGTGGACGACCGACCACTTTAGAGGAGTATTTCAGGAAATACGCTCTGTAAATACGATTGAAATAACAGGATAGAGCCACAGTACTACACATAACCCTTCACCTATCACGTATCAAGATCTTCTTATTCTGGTGCTGTTAAATGTGAATAATCAGAATATGACGGCCCATGCTGTCAATTCAAGAAGCATGAGCCGCATGAGCTCTAATTACTTTTCTTCTCGCCACGCATGATCTTCCTCCGCTGCTTGTCACTTAAGGAGTGGTGCTTGAATAGGCTGTCGTTATTTAAAAGAGAGATCAATAAGTCTCTTAAGACTGTATAAATACCTTAGAACTGTGTTCTTCTGTTCTAAAGCAGTAGAAGTTGACCAAGATCTGTAATAACCATTACACATGAAGGTTTTTAAATGTGGACAAGGTTGCCACAATTGGAAAATCTGCTAGGCATAGCTACAAAACACATTTCCAACATTTATTGAAATTCCTCTATACTAGCTTTACTCAGTATATGAATATCGACATCGCTATTTAGAGAGACAGCGAGAAGATTCCATCACAGCCTGTTTCCCAAGTTTACGTGAACCGCCTTAACAGTGGTGTAAGACAATATGCCGGCTTCTCCCAGCTCTCTTCCGATACCTGACTGCTTGACACCACCAAAAGGTATCCTAAAGTCCGAGTCATTGCTGCTATTGATCCAAACCACTATAATGAAATTAGCAACCATACTAGGCTCAAGTGTGTACACAGCATGAACTTACTTCCTGCCTCAATCTGCTTGGCAATAATGTGCCCCCTTGTGATATTCTCAGTGAAAATCGCTGCACCTAGCCCATAAAAGGAATCGTTGGCCCGTTTGATTGCTTCTTCTTCCGTCTTGAAAGAACTGATGGTGACAAGAGGGCCAAACACCTCTTCACGATAGATTGTCATGCTATCCGTCACATTGGTGAACACGGTTGGTTCGATGAAGAAGCCTTTTTCGCCAACTGGCTTTCCACCGTAGCTCAATGTGGCACCCTCACTTTTACCTTGCTCGATATATGATAGCACACGCTCGTACTGAGCCTTGCTGATCTGAGGGCCTTGGAATGTGCCTGGAGCAAAAGGGTCGCCAACGACAGACGTTTTCTTAACTTGCTCGACAAAATGCTCGATGAACTTGTCATAGATACTCTCATGGACTAGAAGCCTGCTGGTGGCGGTACAGATCTGGCCCTGGTTTGCCATAATGCCGTAGTGTGCCCACTTGGTTGCATTATCGAGCTCTGCGTCTTCAAAGATAATCAAGGGTGATTTCCCCCCTGTCTCAAGCGTAATTTCCTTAAGGTTAGTAGCAGCCAACTTCATGATCTCTCTTCCGGTGTTAGTAGATCCTGTAAAAGCGATCTTATCGACACCTATGTGTCCTGCCAAGCTGGCTCCGGCTACACGGCCAAGCCCGTTGACAATATTGATGACTCCAGGTGGAAAACCGGCCTTATCAATTAACGTTGCCAGAACCAAGATGGATAAGGGCGTTTGCTCGGCAGGCTTAAGGATGATTGTGTTGCCTGCAGCCAGTGCAGGTGCAATCTTCCAAGCGGCCATTCCTAATGGATAGTTCCATGGAATGATCTGGCCACAGACGCCGATGGGTTCTCGAGAGGTGTAGGCGAACTTAGACTCAGTAGTATTGATGACTAAAGGTGAAGGTCAGTTGCCAATCACTTTTAATTCGAAGATGTCTTCTTTGTTTTAGACCAAGTACCTTGACCGAACAGCTTATCAGCAAACCCAGCATAGTAGCGTAGTACGCTTGTCATTTCTCCCACGTCACCCTGTGCCGATGAGAAACGTTTACCTACAGGTGTGATTAGCAATATTTCAGAAGAATTCCGCAATGCAGTTTGTTTATTTACCGTTATTCCAGCTGTCGATGGAGGCGAATGTGTCGGTTAACTTGTCCGCCAAGTCAGCCAATCTTCTCATCAGTTCGCCGCGCTCAGTGCCGCTGAGCCTGGCCCAGGGTCCTTTCAGGGCAGCACGGGCTGCCTCAACGGCGTCGTCGACATCTTCTGAGCCACCAGCATGGACTTTAGTAATGACTTGCTCATCACTTGGTCAAGGTCAGTCGTGTTCACAGAAGTAATTTGATCTGAGTAGCAGTTGCTAAACTTACATAGGGCTCACGACTGTTAAATTCTTTTTAGATTTAGCTTCCACCCATTTATTATTGATGAATATTCCCAAAGGCTGTCGGAAAGAGTGGCCATTAGGGGCTGTAAGGTTTTGAAATAGCTCAGAAGCCATGACTAAAAGGTTGTACATAAATTGCAAGAATGATTAGGAATAGTAGACACAATTTCAGCTTATTGTTCTTACTAAAGTTCGACATAGCTCCTTAATATACTTCTAGCAGGTCTTGCAATGTGTACGTATTTCCGTTTCCTAGCCTAAGAGTTGTCCATAACCAGTTTAGTTTTACATGACCTCGCAAAATGTCCAAAAGCGGTAATTTCACAAATCAGATGTATTTTATAGGGCTACATTAACCCTCCTTTTCCGAGCTCGGACGAGGGGTTTTTAGTAAATCAAATCCATTTCAATCCATTTAAATCAATTCAAATTAAATTGGCTATTTTACTATTTAAATCGAATCAAATTCAGACCTTTATTTATCTAGTTTGATTCATTTGTACGGTCTGCTTTATTTCTATGTAGGGTAAGATAAGGTAATTATTTTCCTCTTGAATAAAGCACAAAGAGACATCTTATTTAATCTTGTATCTAATTTAATACCTTATTAATAGTCTCCTCGATAAAATAAGATTAATAACCAATTCTATTCAAATTATTTAAATTAATTGAAACATAATGACTTTAAATCTCTAAGTTAAATTAGAGGGTAATAGTTGACGACCCGTCGTAGGCGCGAGGGCGGGGTGAGGTTTCAGTGCTCGCGCGATTGAGACAACCCTTCCATAGCTTCCTGAGTTCCGCGCTGGACTCCCATCACTCCTTGTAGCCATTTCAAGTGGTGTAGCTTGCAAATTATGACCTCGGTTGCAAATTGCGGGCAAACACGCCGTCTCTGGAGTTGTAACAACATCAAGAGTAATTGGTTGCTTCGCGTTGAGTGACGTAGATGGGGGTTTCTTGGTCACTGATTTACTTTCACTCCTAAGAGACTCACAATGTCGTTTTCCTAAAAAGATTGAAAAATCACTATCTGGATTCAGACTAGATTTTGACCTTGTTGGTCCCGCTCTTGTAACTCTTTGGCGAGCTCCTCCTTCAACTCTTCTATATCCGGCGCCTCTTCCTGGTCGCCGTCAACACCAGTGGACTCTACAAGCGCATCCCCAACGGCGTTGTCCACGTCCCAACAGTTTCAATCCCAGCACTTCGCTTTTAAAGACTTATCAAGAATAGATTGAAATAACAAGCAAGTCTCGCGGTTCAGAGGTTGAAAGTTGCAGGTCGATCGACGTCCTGTATAGAGTAGTATTAGTACTTGAGGGTTTAATCACAATATAGTAAATTCAGATAGTCTTTGACTCACAGGTGCATTTGGGTTGTTGTTGTTGTTGATGTTGTTGATGTTGTCGTTCTTATTGTAGTAGCGGTAGTGGAGATTATCTGCTAACCAAGTATATCGGTGGTGATCTTTTCCCATCCATCCATTCGGGTCTGTGACGGCCGGATAGTTAATCTCAGTATTACCGATCACTGTTCCTTGTCTATTATTTGAGAAAGTGGCGAGACGTTTGACGAAAGCTTCATATCTTCAAAATGTCAGCCAACCATATTCAGAGCAAGAAATACACTAGGAAATTACTTGCCTCACCATAACCGTGTTAGTATGGGGTGTGCCAAGGACAAGATTGTTAGCGTTCTGGGAACTGTTCGCAATGCCGTTTATAAATCCTCCATAACTAAAGGCCGATCTATGGAGCCACTGCTATTATCAGCCTTGAGTGAAAGAACGTAAAGAGGAAAACCCTTACCTCTGCGACCCTTCCTTTCTTTGCGATGGTGGCGTTAGGATAAAAGTCCGGATATGCCTTCGACATGGCCTATAAGCGTCAGCACACGTGGTACTACATGAAAGAAGCCTCAAGACAGTGCTACTTACCAAATTCGCAGAATACCCAGCATCAGCCACGCATTTGTCCTGTGTTGGATATCTCTTTTTAATCAAGGTACTCAGGAGATCATTGTTGATAAGAGTTCTTGTTACTTCTGCTTGCCCACATTTATTCAGATGAACTTGAAGACCCCGAGAATGTAGCTCCTGAGGGGGACCGTATCCTTCCTGCCAGAATGGTTTAGTATGGGTATCACGACAGAGGAACTGCCGTACTGGTAGGTCCACCAGAATGGTATAAAGACCTCCGGGATGATCGAAAAGATATCCCCATTCAATTTTGTCGAAGTCTTCCGTAAAAGTAATGTTGTTTTTCTCAACCCAATCCGGGAAAACGACATTGTCTTCCGTGAGGGGAGGTTTGAACCTGAGGCGTGGTGCATTCACAGCACGTCCGACCCCATCGCACACCTCCTGTCTCACAAGGTTGCAGTCCGCCGGATTTTGATCATCGAGGTTGCGGCTTTGAAAGTATTGCGCTCCCACAATAATCATGAACCCGGTTTTGAACATAGGACGGTCTTCATTTGGAACCACAGCATCCCAGTAGCGACCAAAGAAGTCTTTTACTCCTAGCTTATCTCCCTGCGACTTACGCAATAGTTCTGCCAAGTCAATCAGTCCACTATCGGGTTAGAGGAAAATAAGTGACTTACCTGCCCAGACTGTAAACACTTCGAAATGAGCCAATTGGTCGTTAGAAGTAAAGACGTTCTCAAAAAGCCGGTTCCAGAGATCTAGCTCATGCTTTTCAGATTGGAAACCTTCGACAGCCCAGCAGCGGAATCTGAGCAACCATAAGCCTTGTTGCTGGAGTTCGTTACGTTTTTCATAGGCTTCGTCCATTATTTTATCACCTCCATTGTGCAAGTTGTTGTGGACCTGGCGATGCAAAATGGCTCCTGCACAATCATCGTGATATTCTATGGCATTAGCATTCATGCGCTTATAAATCTCCTCCAGTCGAACGAAGCAGTTACCTGCTGCGGGTTCTCCAGGTTTGTTCTCTGCAAGGTATATGAAACGGTGCTTGTCGTCAAACTCTAGATCGCTATTTTTCCAGCCACGATACAGAAGCAGCTTGTACGGCATGAAGTTCTCCTAGATAGGGTTAGCAAAGTAATCCTCATATATGTGAAGTTCACAGCGACGGAGTCTTTACATGTACGGCTTTTGGGGGGGGGGGGCTTGCATGCCCATGATCCTGTGCATTCCACGATACTTTTGATAACCGATCAGCTGGCCAGAAGGCCAAGGAGCACGCGGTAAGAACTCATAGACCTGCCCGGTAGGCATAAAGCCTGCGGATTTATCAGCCCATCTGTTTTATTATAAGGACGATAGTTCATAGAGTCATCCTTAAGAACTTGACTATCCGCTAGGGTTGCGGATTCGAAGGTCTGATATAGATAAGGCAATGGTTGATTCTTTAAAGTAATTCCTTTTTCTTTTTAGCTTTAACCTTTAACTTTATTAAGCCTAGGCTTTCTAAATCTTTTAATAATATTAGTAATAAAAATAGCCCTTCTAAGGTTAAAACTTAATATAATTAAGGCAGTAAAAGTCACACACGGTAACTAAACTCTATCCAAGTGAACACATAGATCACACGGCCGTACGCATAAAAGCTAGCTCCCCCCCCCGGTCAAAGGTATAGCCAATGAATTTGTCTATGGATCTGCAAATTAACTCTGATCTCTGTCTTTTAGAATTACGTAGAGAAGACTATTAAGGAACTTATAACTATTACTCCACCTCCTGCTAACCCTGGTATCATCTCGTTCCTCCAAATAGATCTTGGCTAGTGAAGAACGTGTCTCTCGCAATGTATATAACAGTGTAAAATTCAAAATTCATATCCTATAAGAAGTCTGGGGCCTCCGAGCTCTTTGGATAAATCCTGCTCTTGCTTAGCATGGCTCTAGCAGGGGTTCTTGCCGGGGTTGTAAGTGATCGTGAGCTGAGTTTAATCAATCATGATGTTGTTTTACCACTTTAAATTGCGCGACAGGGTGCAGGCTTGATGGACGTGGACTGTCCTTTTCAGGTTAGGGTTAATAACGTTAATTCGAAGTGGAGTGTTGGCCCTGTCACTTGCATATTTGACCAGTCTTTTACTACGGAGATGGGCACAAGGTGTTTAGAGAGTTTAGGGAGTACTAGCAGGCTCTATGGCAGACCTTGAGTTATAAACTCCTGTCACCCTAACTTAAATGGACGAAAAACTAACCCTTAGGCAGGCCAGTCTCTAGGTGTTATTACCCTTATGCTCTGAATCACTATTATTATCCTTGATCAAAACGTTGTAACCATACGGATTGGGGGCCTTGGTAGATGAGCTTGCCGGTTCTGATCGAGGTGTTATAATTGAACTTGAAATGGCTTGTGTAACGCTAAGGTGGAAGCTAGCAATGAGGCAGGGCTTGTGTTCCCCAAGAATCTCCTACTAAATCCGAGGATATGGGGCCCGGCGCGGTATGTTGTCATTTGAAACTAACTTGGTTAGTGGCTGCCAAAACTTTAAAAAGTCCTACCAATCGCTGGCTGATTAAAAGACACCTAACCTAGTGGGTCCTAGCCATGGCGTTACCACATTGACTGCAAAGAATTTCGCAGGGATATACCCTAGTTCAGAAGTTCGGGTTAATATAACTCACCGAAAGCGGGGTGGATTAACAGACAATACTACTTAACTTAGCGACATGGTAGAGAATAACAAGTCAGAGTGATGCCAAGTCTTTTAAGGTACGGTACTGAGGCAAAAAGAGTTTAGAAGTTCAGAAGCGGGTATGGAAAAGGGATCAGCAGCTAGTAAGGTTACTTAGGAGAAGACCGACCACATAAAGAAAATACTACTAAATAATTGGCTTACATTAGGGCATTTATGTAGATCACATGTGGTGATTAGACATAAGTAAATCGTCCATCCTAAATTTTAGCGACGGTCGGTCTTTAGGGGTCGTTGGTCTTCCGCTGAGTCATCCTAATACCAAGCCCTACCTAGGAAGGTGGTTCATGGCTTGTAACAACTTGAGTAGAATCCCTATCCTGGTCTTCGTACTCGGAGATGGGAAAGTAGCACCACTATTTATTAAGAGACTGGTATTAATACTCCTAAATAATGTTTCTTACTTATCCCACAACCTTTATATCCTACCTACCTTCACTATCATCCTTACCTAATTACATTCTTATCATCATGAAGTTATCAAACCTCTTGCTCACCTGGGAAGTGTTCCTGAGTCTCCAACAGGGATTCACGGCCTCAGCTGGGTCTCTTCCATCGCGCAAGGCCCCAAGCCTTAGAGTCCACAACGGCACATTAAGTGGCACTTTCAACAGCCACTACAACCAGGAATTCTTTCTCGGCGTTCCCTACGCAGCACCTCCTGTTGGTAACCTGCGACTTGAACGACCGGCTCCTCCCAAGCGTTGGCGTGGGACCAAGAGAGCTGACTCATACTCCGCCCAATGCCTCGGCACGTCCATAGGGCTCAGCGGTTTCAGCCAGACAGAGCATGTGGAGGATATGAGTGAGGACTGCCTCTATCTCAATGTCATACGTCCTGCCGGCGTTGACAAGCGCGACAAGCTCCCAGTCCTAGTATGGATCCACGGGGGCGGATTCTTTGAAGGCAGTGCCAGTGATGGCCGGCTTAACGGCACCTTTCTCGTCCACAATTCTGTCCAGATGGGAAAGCCCCTTCTATTTGTCAGTTTCAACTATCGGCTCGGTGCTTTCGGCTATCTTTCGGGAAAGCAGGTTCAGGAAGCTGGCATAACAAATCTTGGTCTTCACGATCAGAGGCAGGCTTTGGTCTGGATTCAAGAGAACATCCATTTATTTGGTGGCGACCCCACTCAAGTGACGGTGATGGGGGAGTCTGCAGGTGCCGCTTCCATATGTCTCCATCTACTTTCCAACGGAGGACGGAATGACGGCTTGTATAGTGCGGTGATTGCTCAGAGTGGTAATGCTTTCACCCCTGCCTTGACAAGTCGCACTCCCGCACAGCAACAGGCCGATTTCGATGGAGTACTGGAAATCACCGGTTGCGCCAACTCGACAGACGCTTTATCCTGTCTCCGCACCATCCCAGCAAGCTTGCTGCGAGAGGCTAGTAAGACTCTTGTACTATCTTTTACTCCGGATGGAGAGTTGGTGCCGAGATCGGCCTTGCAGGCGTTGAGAAAAGGTCATTTTGTGCGCGTCCCTCTTTTAATGGGAACGACCAGGAATGAAGGAACGTCCTTTGTTCAACAAGCCTTGAAGGGACCATTGAACACCAACGATGATCTTAAGGTGTTTATCCAGTCGACTTGGGCACCAAATAAGATCCCTGACCGACAGCTTCAACGATTAGTAAAGAGCTATCAGAGAGAAATTACAGAGCCTGAAGCTGGTTTGGGAACCGTCGCCGCCTATCCTAACTCGGAGCTCGGTTCTCAGTATGGGTCAGCAACCCTTTGGATGGGCGACATAATGTTCACAGCCGGAAGACGGTTCACAGCCCAGGCCTGGGCTAGCTTCGGAGTACCAAGCTACAGCTACTTCTTTGACACAGTCACCGCCAACGTCAACGCGACCACTCTTGGGGCAGCTCATTTCCTAGAGATTCCTTATACCTTTGGCAATACTCGGAGAGTAGGATGGGAAAAAGATCCGTTCCCATCAGACCCAGTGCTGAAACAGAAACATAAGGTGTTGGCAAAAACCATGAGCAGCATGTGGGTCAGTTTCGCAACCACACATTCACCAAATAACTATCACGGTACGTAATTATCAGAGAAAGCTCTTTGTGTTTTCCGACCGCCTTAGGCTTCGTTTGTTTAGGAGATGACCTCGAGTGAAGTTTGAGGGATCTTCCTTTACGAACGCGGCCCTTGCTTTATGATATGAGAGGCTAACATCCAACTGTAGAGCTAAGTCCAGCCGTTCACTGGCCGGTTTATTCCAAAGCACTGCCTAGGAATATGGTTTTTAAGGTATCTAATGGTCTTTGTCTGCAGTCTGACACTTGGCGAAATGAGTTGTTTGACTTGATCTATCGTTTATCTAACTAGAAGCCATTCGATAAGTATTGCTTTGTGGGTGGGTCGATTGACTAGGTAGTGTACTTGTGGTATGGAACAGGTTAAGGGGTGTAAGAGGAAAAGCCAGCTTTTATGCATACGGCTGTATGATTCATCTATGTGTTCACTTTTGGTCTTTTGGTCTTTTCCAGCGTAACCTTGTGCTGGTCGATGCTTTTTAGCATGGATAGTTAGTCTTAAACTTAGCTGGTTCACAATCAGCCAATTAACGTAGTTTGCCAATAGCATTACCCCCTACAGCTTTAAAGCAACTCTACTTTACAGTTTATCAACACCTTTAAGTCCGAAACTATATTAACGATTAATTGTTCAGGATTTTATGATCGCCGAGAACTAGGATGTTCAAGAACCAGGGTTTTTAGTAAATGCAGGGGTCCGACCTTAAAAGCCGGTTTTGAAATCAACCGCTAGCCAACTTTATCTCGCATTTCCCCAAGTGTAGAAGGAGTATACCTGTTTTCTCTTCTACCTCCATGTACGACTGTATCCCTTCGCACTCTTGTCCAACCCTGAACTCCCACCAATGCCAGACCTCGCACACGTCATACATTTTACTACAACAAAGACTTCAACTCTAAGCTTGCTGGCTAGGCACTACTTTCTTACCTTTTCTAGATACAGTTACCCAGTTCCCTAGGCTAGCGTACCGCCCAGCCATTTAACTAAGGCCACCCCGCAACATCCCCCAAACCCATCCCTGCACTTCCAATCTGTAAAGTTAACATTATTACTCGTTGAAACCCAACTAAGGCACACCGGCCGTATATTGAGTTTGACTTCATCAGACAGAGTCACACTATCAACCTTTTCGCTTCGTCTGCATTTGTCAAGTAAAATACCTGCATTAGATACTCAGACTGAGCGACCGGCGACAGCCCTTGCAGTTGTTAGTCTAATTGGCGGCTTCGTGCCCTAGATTAACACAATAAACGGTTCGACCTTTTAATTTTGTAATAAATGTCCAATATTAAAATCATTTTCCGCTATATCTATCATTATGTCCAGCTGCAACCTAACTGTAGGAAATGGGACTTGTTAGATGCCGGCCTTATATACAAATGCTAAGTAGTATATACGGCCCTCGCTATTTTGTTTGTTATTATGCCCGCTTGAGGAAGAACCTTTGTATGTAAAGGACATTTAAGATGACAAACCTGAAGCCAGGTGAAGGGCGTCTTTTTCATGGCTGAAGGAGAGGGTGGCATCTACTATGTCTACCAAACGACTGTTAACAAATAGGCTCCGATCGTGGATAATTAGATTTCCACGCAGGCATGGACTGAATTCACAATTGGCAAACTCGACAGCCTCTTCACATTCTTCGTCGTCTATTTAGGTATCCAAGATAGAACAGAAGTCATTGTTCTCCGACTTATCAGCGTCTTGTTTGACCACAGGTATGAGTCGTTCCGCTGTCGATGAATGTTCCTTTGAAGCGCTAGAACGCCAACTTCGCTTTGCCGTTATAGGCTATCCGGAAAATATCCCAAGGCAGGTTAAAAGAGGCATATATGATATAAACCATCGCGGTAATAATGACTCCCTGGATGATCCAAGATCGCTGAAAATGGAGATTTGAAAAAGAGTCGGTCTATAGCACCCCAAGCTGTTTAATTATGAAATTTGAAAATAGCGTCGTTATCAAGCTAATGGTGTCTTTTAATAGTGTGCCAGATACTGGAATCTATATAATGAGAGAAAAAGATATAATCCTCCAGACTTTTAATACTGAAAGTTGTTTCGGGCGCCGGGTAATAATTGTCGACATTAGGTCTTCTATCTTTACTGAATCTGGTTTGCCGGTGGGATGACGTTTGATTCCAACCAAGCTGAGGTATGGGAAGATCTGAAATGTTTCTTTGGCCCCAGGGAAATCGGTCTGAGCTAGATGAGAATAGCTTTAGCGGAGGCGTAAGTTTCGCGCATAAGGGGTATTTGCTTCGATTTCTCTTCCTAATTATTTTGGTTAATACAGATCGTGTCAACCCAGAGAACGCTAGGGTTAGAGGGAAACCATAAGGCGCCTAGTGCCGATGCAAGATTTCGTGTGACATGAAAAGAGGTATCGTTACAAGTTATATCTGTCCCGCCTTTAGCTTCCTTCCACTCGTATGAGAGTCTCAAATTTAGGTGACATACTAAGCTTCTCGCGCCGCAAGCGGCATCTAATCGGATCCCTAGCTTGACCGGCAGCATTATCAATCTTGCCATCGATACAACCGACGATCGCACGCGCCACTTGGCAGACCACATTCACGGAGCTAGAAAGCATTTGGTGGGTGTGTGCCGTTCTTCCCGTAGGCCTCTGAGGGAAATTCCTCCGCCGAGCAAGAAAAGTACACCATGTGTACCGCACTCTCCAACGGACCCTGAAGTAATGGTCGGTCACTAGGCCTCGGCCTGTGTGTCTCACTCGTCTATTGCAGGCTCAATGAATCCTAGCTAGCACCTTCTAAGCGTTGCTTCTGTGCTATCAGATACTAGCGATGGCTAGAATGGGCAGGGTATCTTGTGCTGCGCATCTGATTGCCGGTAAAGTATGTATGAGATTGAGGTCGAAATCTCGCATGTCAGTTAATCACAACGGCCGTCTTCAGTACTGCCAACATACAACCGAGTGACTATCCCTTCTAAATCCAGGTTACTGGGGCAAACGCTCACAATGACAACAGCGATGGCTTCTAAATCTCCAGCAATCGACATACCAGATGTCTCTGAAGATGAGGAAGAAACTCTAATTTACTTGGAGACAACATCTGCTCCGAAAACACAAAAGCTCATCAAGAGGGCTACAGACATTGACTGCTGGTCCATGAACCTCGATGCCTTCATTCTCACTAAGCACATCTTCAGCAAGGAGCACTTTACAGCACCAGTAAACAGACCTGACAATTCGTCATTTCTTTCTGGAAAGTTCTCAGCGCCAGACGCGATTCCCAATGTTGACATTGATGGAGCGTATGCATGGTACTCGAATTCTCGAATTGCGGATATCACACAAACACCAGAGGTTATAGAGAATAAAAACAACTATGGTCGCATAATACGTAATGAACGACTGGGCGTCTATCTACATTGGACGCTGCCGCAGCACTTCTGTAATAGAAAGACAAAGGACACCGACGATGAAAAGGCAGGAGATGTCGCAGTAAGTGCACCAGATCGCCGACTCAAGACAGCATGGCTGACTAGCAACAGCAAACACATGTACCAGATCGTTGGATGGTCTTCATATGCATCACAGAAGCCTCTGAAGCCGGCGCTCCTGCGCTTGCGGCCTTCATAGTTGAAAGCAATCGTATCCGCCATTTTGGCGGGCACTTCGACCCTTCCACAGACGGCACTTTTGATGTTGAGACGGAAGCTTCTCCCTTCATCGACAAGAAAGTCTCAGTGGAAAAGCAGGTCGATGTATTTATGGGTATGAGACGCAATTTCGATGATGATTGGAATGATCCTGATCCTAATGGCCTTTACCACTCCCTTTTGACACTGAAGGACTCTGCAAATCCTCTGTTTGCAGACTTTCAGCATCACAACTCAAACATCTTCTCTATTCACGACGATGTCTCATGGAAAGACAGTGCAGGCAAGATTATCCGGCCTGCGTCTGCGACTATCTCGTACGCTGTATTTGGCTATCACTCAAGCTTTCATTCGGGGCATGACGAGAAGAAGTCTATTCCGCATGGCGCCATGTACAATGTAAGGTGGACCAGAGATGAAGCGCCCAAAAATTCCGAGGCGATCAATATTGCCAGAAACGTCAGTGGCAGCCAGCCTATAGCTATGGGATCAGACTCGCTGGAAGCGCTTGAAGCATACCTTCATTCTCTACCAGAGGATACGACCGTTGGAGAAAAGACAACAGCCAACCAGAACCAGGAGCCCAAGCGCTGGAGTAACAATGACTGGATTGCGCTTATTGACGAGATGAAGATGGCAATAGGACAATCTGGTCAAGGTGGACTACTCGATTCCCACGTGCCGCAGAATCTCAGAGCTGGTTTCAAGCCTACAGATGGAGGCAAGAAATGGCGCTTCAACAACGAAAATGTGTCTGCCCAGGGTAATGACGAGTCCATTAATCCCAGCAAGATGCAGGATTTGCATGTTCCTACAGAAAAGGAGATGAAAGCCTTACTCAAAGCGGATAGGTTCCAAGCATACATAGATGCTTTGGACCGTCAGGAAGGATATCTTCGCCATCGGCTCTTCTGCGAATGGTGGAAGCGTCGTGCTCATGTGCTGGGAGGCCGATGGAGAGATCCTCTGGTGCGCGCTGAATGTAACAGGAGAATTCAAGATGATCTTGCGGCTTTGAAGGTCGTTGAAGAGTTGCGCCAGAGGTACAATCAGAGTAATGTGCCTGCCGATTTAGAAACGATGCATGCCACTGCTAGATCAGAATTCTTTAGCCGCACGTCTCCTTCTATCGTCATGGGAGGACTTGGTACAGCATGGCCCTCAGAGTTCCTCGTCAAAGAGAACAACAAGGCTAGACCACTGAGTTCGCTTCCATTTACTGGCAAGCAGGGAGCAGAACTGGTACAGCAATGGCTAAAGGAATTGGTGGGAGCCAAGTCAGGAGATGCGAATCACCAGCTGTGCATGGTTCACGGCATGAAGCTCTTTTTCCACAACCCAGAACTGGTCAAGAAGATCATTGATGGAGAAAAGTCGAACAGGGGCCTCATGCGTCTTCCAGCCTTGTTTGAGTCCCTCGATAGCCTCAACGCTCTCAACTATACAGCACCAGGCTGGGTTCGTGTTGGAGTTGATGCGTTAATGCAGGAGTGGGCGTATGCCTTGAGTATCGGCAACCCAGAAAAGATGAAAGAGCCCAGACCTGCTTACTACAACAAAGTCGACACACACTGGAATGATACGCAGCCATGTCGTGTATTATTTCTGGAGTGGGAGGTTGAGTACCACCATCTGCCTAAGCGATTCTGGACGCTGCAAAGATTGAGTGATGGTACCGCCGACTACAGAATTGCGCCTGGCGTCAACATCTCCTCGTTTGACATGATGGATCTCCACAAGCGTACTGTTTCTGGACGAAGTATTCTACGTCCCAATGCGGAGTGGGCGATGACGACGCTGGCACAACAGCTGCTAGACAAGCTAGATAATGAGTCTCTTGAGAAGGCAGGTCTAGCAGGTGGAAAGACGCAGATTCTTGCTCAGCTGGAGAAGGCCCTGAAGAGCCTCAATCTAGTATCCGGAAATCTTGACGGATTCACGGATCAGCTCCTTACCCTTCACGGTGGAATTCACGTATCGCCATACGAATCCGAGACGCATCCTCCGCGAAACGACAAAGAAAAGTCACTTCTCAACGCGCTACTTGGGTCGGAGAACGGGCAGGATGTTACTCAATTTGGAGAAGACGTCTGTTCTATTGACAAGGCTGAGAGTGACTTTAAGCCTGTTACTCACGGTCAAGCACGCTTCACAAAGTTCAACATCGTCGACAAATTCGGCCAAGTCGTCTCACCAATCCACACACCGGATATCATCAACACGACCAAGCCTCTCTATCCCTGCCTCGGTCGCACAATTGCATGTCAGCCGAACGAAGCGGAAGGCGGAGGCTTCGCCAATAGCGTCGAACTAGACAAGGAGCATTGCTCCCAGTTCTTCCAGCTTGGTCATCGCATTAATCAAGACGCTCGACTCAACGCACAGTTCGTCGTGAACTCGACTGACGTTGATGTGCACCATGAGACAACGCAGTTTTTCCGTGGTGATTTTGAGTTAGGTCGTGGTCAGAGACATCATGTCTGGCGTCCAACCTCAGAGTACGAGGATCCTGTCTGGGGCTGGCTTATGCTTGACTTTCGCACAATGGGAATCCAAGTTTACAACGCCGCGGGTGAAAGTATGGGCGAAGCATTGGTACCGGACAACATCCACGGTAAGGCATATTGGCAGGTTCACTACGCCGAGGGCGACATGTCAGAAGCAGCCGTTGAGTCGTCACAGCTACAACAACTCATGAGACGCATGTCTGATGCCAAGTTCCTTGTTGGTCTATGGGCCATGCTTTCTGATGCGTGCCAGAATATCTACAACGATCCTTTGACTGGTGATGCCCAGATGCTCAATATGGTGGGACGTCCCCTTGCGCTTGTCAACATTGGTATGAACCTTGAGCTTGCAACGCCAGTCATGCAGGCACAGAGCTACCAGGACTTGTTGAAGAAGGAGGAAATCAAACTTGACGAGTATAAGTTTGAGATCCTTCTTGGCGACAAGTCAAATCTGCGCGATGCGCTCATCGGCTACTTTCCTCCATCACCAGAGCCATCTGCTCCAATCGAGCCCGCTCCCATTCCACGGCCTCAAGATCGCGTAACGGATAAGGTGCCCGATATCAATTGCGTCTACACCGAGTTCGGTTATCCAGGACGTAACATCGTTGCGGGTGATAACCAGAAACCAGACTCGTTCGCCTCGCCCAGCTCGAGCAAAGTGTACCTGTCACCTTTGCACGTTGATCCCTCGAAATGCACACCTGATCCCGCCAAAGACTACAACACAGCTGCCGCCTACCATCGCGGTATCTGAACCATCCTTCAACCGTTGTGCTCGGCGCTATTGTTAACCCTTACCAACCCGTTCACATCGCCACGGGCATTCTCCCATCAACAACACTGAAACTTCCTCAGTGGATTATTGACCAGACTATAAAGAAACTACGCATCCTTTTGCGCGGTGGGCCTGTCCTCACAAGATCAGACCTTCCAGGGATCGACACCAGTCTCGATTCATGGAAGAAGCCTATGAACCAGACCACGGCTGAAGCATGTATTCCCGCCCTTACTGACAAGGGCGAGTGGTCATGGCTACAGCCTAACCTGTCGGCTTATACCGTGCCTGGAGATGAAGATGAGTACCTACCTCAATTCGTTCCGTACAATTTAAAGTCGGCATCTTCAGACTATCCTTTGGAGATGGGCCCGCATACAGTGCTCGAGGGTTTCTACAAGTTTGAGCTATCTCAAATGAAGTCAAAGGCAGAGCTAAGGCTAGGTAATCCAGCGGAGAGTAGTAATGTAAAGCAATAGACAGACATGATGTAAGGTAAAGGCCGAATGAATATAAAATTGACTACTAGCATATTGTTCTCAAATGGTATTTGAGTTTAATTGTGTAACTAACATTTAAAAAAGGTTTAACTGATATCCTCCTTATTATGAATAGCAGCAAGCCATTCTAGGAAGCCTGGAGTTTCGCTTTGAGACTCTGAATGTAGTTTGCCACGCAAATTAGCCTGGAAAAGATATGTACCGTATACGTCTGGAAACATCTCTATCTGAAGCTCGGTGGATTCTTCGTATCCTAGATATTCGGGTGTACGAGTCAATTGTTTGAGAAAGTCAGTGACGACTTTATACTCAGCTCCAAGAAGTAAGATCGATGTACGTAGCTGGCTGGGAGGCACATAGTCCGGATGTTTCGATGAATAACCCTTTGATCTCTCCTCAGGACGCGTCAACTCTTGGGAAGCCGCATGCCTGGTAGCGCGGGAGCATAGTCTTGATGCCCAAACCATCTCGCATGTCGGGCAATCGCACGTTCCAGGTGGTATGATAGAGCTCGCTCCGAGACCTTTTGGATCAGAAAATAGTTGGTTTCGAAAATGGTTGTAGCGCGATTGCCAAGCCTCTTTGGCCTGAACGTCAGGTGAAGTGTGCCAAACTGAGGACATAAACGTCCACCTCGCATTGCTCATCTGACCAGTAGTTGCATTATCAAGCCAGGTAGGTCTTTGAATGACATTGCGCTCCTCCCGCTTGTTACAGCTCCAGCAACGGCCTAGGCGACTGCTCACCGGAGTCCAGACCTGGCGCAGATCCTTGGCAGAGAGGCTTCCGTCTGGTATCATAGATGCAAACTCGTCAGCGAGTATACTGAGATACGAATTAAGAAGACGAAGGCGGTGAATGATCTCTAAACGATTTCGGATCCAGTCTGATGGCGTTTGGGTAATCAGGAGCTTTGTAAACAATACATCGCCGGAGTCATGTTTCGGAACCGTGTACAGAGCTCGTTTGCGGTGGATGTGAGTCGTCAGCACTGAGAGATTATCATGCGGGCCATCTAAGAGATGGTCTGCAATAGAACAACTGTATCAGAAATCAACATGACTGTTTTAGTAGCTTTTTGAGGGGCTGCCTACCCATCTTTATCATAGCAAGTCATGGTCGAGTTTTTCATAAGGTAAGGGTCATGAGATATTACGGATCCGCCATCCCAATCCCTTGTTCGGACGTTAATGGCATGATCAATGAGATCTGAATCGTTATGACCAAAAGAGTCGTAAAGCTGTATGGAACTAGTCAGGGGGCTGACAAAATACTCCCTGTGTTGACTTTGAATTCTTCCTGCAAAGCTCATCATGTATCGAAATGTCATTGTTTCCCGTGTCAATTCGTGCTGCAATGGTACCTTTGGGTAGACCCAAGAGAGATGGTCGTCCCATTCGTCATTGTTGAAGAGCATCGCGCTTGCAAAGTCTTGACAGTTGTTGGAAACCCTGTCGTACTTGAGTTTGACTCCCTTGTGGAGACGTTTCGCGAAACAAAGCAAATACGTCATGATTTCCGTGCCGAACGTGGTCTGGATACGCGAAACAATGTGTTCAGCGAATGATTTAAGTGTAGATCGAAGATCCGAAATCTGCCCAACGCTGTCTTGCTGCGTTTTGGCCCCCCATAATTTCGACAAATAAATGAACTCGCTGATTATTTCTCTCTCGGCACTGGCGGTTTCTGAACGCGTAAGAGTAAATAGTCCTCCAGCAACCTGCTTCTGGGCGCTCATGATTCTTCGCTCACGTGCGCGGTGTTTTGAAGTATAGACATTTCTGTCTTGAGAAACAGCAAGATGGGTTTGCATCAGGAAATCTTCTTCTCCAGACCAGACAAAGTCTGATGGCTCCGAGATAAACTCTTGCAGGTCTCTCAGAGACAATGTGGAGACATTATGTATGTTGCGTAGTGAGATTCTGGCGCCATGGGGCATGCTACCTCGTATCAGGAAATAGTTTTGGGAAGGGAAGAAATAGAGAGTCATGCACTTACTATTCACTGCCGTTTTCAATGATTAATGGCCCGAACATAATGGAGGAGTGAGTATTTCCGGCAGGGAAGATGTTCCGCGTTGAAGCGCGTGAGAACATGGACGATCCAGAAGCAAGCCGATCCAGTGATAACGCTCCAAAGCCCATTAGCAAACGTCCATCCATCTGATCCTCCCACATGTCCAGTTGCAAGCCAAAGTCCGCTCGCTTCGAATTGACAAACTTTCCTTCGGGGAATCTCCTCTTAACTTCGAGATGTTCATATGGGTGCGGAGCCTTTTCGAAACAAGGAGGGCACAGGGTGTAAGGTACGTTGTACTCTTGGGACTTGGCGAGCATCATTTGGTGGACGTGTTGGCCAAGGTCTACCTCCGCTTCGTTGTCAGAGTCCTTATGTTGAGGTGGAGAGACAGAGAACATGTTGGTTTTGGCTTCGCTATCTTGGCAGCCAGAAACGCATTCAAACCAGTGAAATGCTCGTACACAATGCCGGCAGTTTGAGCACTGGACCGCATCCAGGAAATACTCATCTTCGTCAGCTTTTATCTGTGGCCGCTGACCTAGGGATCTGAATGTCGGACGGCGATATTCTCTGACAAAGTCGACATCTGTCAGGCCCAAAGATTGTAGAAACCCCTGCGCACGTCTCTCTTCGAGTGAGAGACACTCAAACTCATCGGATACTCGTCTTTGAACGCGTTCTTCCAGACGATGAATCTCACTAGGACCACCAAGCTGTGCCCCAAGCATAGTTTTTGGATTGAATGGACTCCAAAGATTGATGAGATCCCCTAAATGATCCGTCTTGAGACTTGCTGATTCAAAGTCCTCAGTGGGGAGACTGGTTGGTTGGTGCTCTTCGAACTCTGCGAATGCAATAATGGCCGCTGCCATCTCACGCTCTAACCCAGACCAATACAGCCCTTTGATATTATCCCAGAGGATCTCAAAATCAAAATCCTTGTCGGCCTTTCCCTGGGTAAGCTTTTCCCATTGGAACTTCTTCAAGGTTTCGTTGAAGTCTGTCGGCGAAAGCCCCAGATCAAGGTATACACTGCCCATCTTGGACTTTGGCAGAGGTATTGTCTGAAAAGATTTCGCCTATATGAATGACAGGCCCAGTGAAGTAGTTAGTGAGAAAACAACAGGCGGCGCGATTGTCTGCTATAGAGTCAATTGAATAAAGTAATTTTACCTGGGTATCTAAATATGTGAGACTGATAGCCTAGGGTGAGCGACACGACGAAGCTGGGTATTCAAAAGGGCGGTTGGTGCGGGGTATCTTTTTGGTGTGGTCGGTATATTGCCAATATTTCACTTTCAGCCGCGGCTGATTGTGTCAGCTGCACAGAATATGGAACACGTTTACTATTTATAGGTACCGGGAAGTCTAGACCACATCATTACCCATCTCGATCACAACCAGAGGCGTATACATCCAACCCCACTGCCCGAAGATTGGCAGGTTTCGAACTTCCCTTCATCCACTATCTACAGTCTCCAGAAAGCCATCGATCAGGCTCTTCAAGAAAGACAATGAGCAGCTCGAAGCGGAGAAGCTTATTTAAGGGCCTTTTTGGTCGTAAAGGAGCCTCTCAACCTTCGGGTACAGTCTCTGACAGTGTAAGCACAGCTGCTGCGGCATCGACCCTTGACGGCGCTGGTGCCTCTACAGCAGCATCTGCCGCGAGTGCTAATGCTTCTGGATTGGAGAATAGTGCTGCGGCACTTCGCAATATTGAAAAGGCCTCACAGGAACTCCATACATACTTTCAAGAGGAGGGTCACTCAGGTATGAGGATAAACTGTCCATTGCCCCTGTCACCTCGTCTTATTTGGTCATTATTTCCATTATCACAGCATGAGATCACACAGGTATTAACATACTTAATAGATGCGAGTCTCTCTTCTCTGGTTCTTAGACGAAGTCGATGGGTGGAAAAAGTCCAAGCCTACTCCAACTCTTCCTTTGATGGTTGTCAATTAAGTGAAGTTCCATTGTGAGTCTCGCAAATTTCAAGCCCGACAGCTCGCTGACTCCATAGGGACATATTCCAGCATCGCCTGATAAAACTGGCAGCCCTGGGCGCCACCAAGGTTTACGCGAAACCCGGATCCGAAAATCTGTTTTTCGGTGATTTCAAGGCCATCGGTGAGCCATTGATGATCCATGCCGACCGGTTCACTGGTTCGGTCAAAGCCGTTACCGTACAGCAGTATGCCACAAATGAATTCAACGATAGCTCTGGCAACGTGCTTGTAGTAGCGATTCGCGGGAGCGTTACCACGCACGATTGGATGATCAATCTGAACGACGGACTTGGAGCTCCTGTTGCGGATTCTTTCATGGTCAGTATAGTCATTCCATGTGTGGTGTAACGCTGACGATAATGAGGGCTGTGATGAACAAGATAACCTGTATAAAGTTCACGCCGGATTTCTAGCATGTTCCAAAGCAGTAAAAAGCACGCTGGTTGATCATATTTACAATCATATATGTGACACCAATGTCGAATCAGGAATACGGTCAAACTCGAAGCCTAAGCTCTTGTTCACGGGACATTCCGCAGGAGGAGCAGTGGCTGCCATACTCTACGCTCATTTCACCAGATGCGGATTTTCGTCTGACGATAGGTCTAAAAGCCAATTTTTAAACAATGGTTAGAGATCCATTCTGATACTCCATGATTACTCCTAAAGCCTACTGACCTAGCCTTTTACAAATAGCATTTAGTTCGTTAAACTGCATCACCTTTGGAGCTCCGCCGATTACGACTAGGCCACTCCTGGCATCAAGCCCGGACTCGATATGCATTTCCATTGTCAACGACGGTGATCCCGTCCCCAGAGCTGACAGCGAGTATATCCCCAAGCTCTTGCAACTTTTCTGCGGGCCCATGCCTAAGCCAAGAACATCTTTCAAACTCCCTCCACGTCTTTTCTTTAACGCTGGTCAGGTAATTGTTACCTCACATAAGGATGAGGGGTTATTGTTCCTTAGTCCAACCGAATCTGGGGCTGGTAGTTTAGCAGACACCATTATGGGAGATCAAAGAGCTCACTCAATGAAGGTTTATAGAAAGAGAGTTGGAATTGAATCTTGAATAGTTTACTTAAATACTGTATGAAATACAAAATATTTAAAAACAGGTAAAAGACACCAAAGTTCGGACCCCTCTAATGTTTCACCCTTTTATACATGTCTTTGTATTTTGTGCCCAACCGAGCGTGCTAGATTGGGTGGCCTGGGATATATGAGCAAAGTGGGGTGAGTGACATCCATCCTTGCCATGAAGGGATGTTAGACTCCAGCAGGACCGAGACGTCGAGATTGAGCTCTACTAACTAACGACAATTGCAGAACGATATGTAGGGTGTGGGATAACACCAATAGCAAGAGGCCATTGCCGGAGTGAGTATTATATCTCGTTGAATAGTCTCTAAATTTGTCATGCCTGTTATAGCTGTCGCCGGAGGAACTGGTCGCTCCTTCGTCAAAGAAATAGTTACTCTTCTTTTTACTTTAACCTTCACCTTTATCAAGCCCAGGCTTTCTCAATCTCTTAATAATATCAATAATAAGAATAACCCCTTCTAAAGAAATAGTTATGGATAGTAAATAAAGTTCTTATCTTGAGCTAAAGGTTTTAAATCTCTATTATCTAGCTGTGTCATGCACTTAAAGCTAACGTAAGAATTTTACTCAGGCCGATTATAAGCTTGGAAAAGCTATGGGCGTGTGAACCCTAGTTGTTAACTACTACGACCTTAACAGTATCGCAAGCCTACTCAAATAGAACTAGGTAGATACCGTTATTTCCGCTCTGAAAGTACATTCACTTCCTGAGTACTCCGTAAGACAGAGGCCTTATTAAAACCATAGCGAAACCCAAGACAACTAAACGATCCCGCGCTTCTAGGGCATAGATTATTGCACAGACCAATCCTGATTCCCTGTCGTGACTGCCAAATTGTCTAACTTGGATACTTTCTCAAATTTAAAGCTATAGATGTAAGAAACAAAAGGCTATAAAATAGAGCAATATGTATAATAGAGGGCCATGTTATATACAGTGAAGAAAAAGACATTTGTTATAGATGTAGTAATTACCTACGAAAGATAATTATAAATGCAATTCACTTAAATCCTTTGAATGGACTGTTATCAGAAGAAAGGTACTTGAGCTGCCCGCCAATCAAGGTGTGAGACTAAGTGCCTACTTTCCATTGGTCAGAATCCCTGTATGGTGCGTGCAAAGAGATAAACCTATTAAGCCTTGCAATTTCCATCAACACAATTGAAGGGCTTTTGGCATGGAACACTTGAGCTGCAAGACCATCCTTGGCACCTAGTAGGGATGGTTAGTGTCGACACACGTAAATCTCTTATAAAGTTAACTTACCCCCAATTACAGGCTTTGTCACTGCAAATGCCATCAGGGCTGAGACAGGTAAGGCCGCTGTTGCATAAACTCGTTTTTCCATCGCACTTGGCACCCAGCCCACCAGCTGATGTTCCAGATCCACCAGATCCACCAGATCCACCAGATCCGCCTGATGTGGCAGGCCAAGAGGCACCCGGTGCAGCAAATTTGGTATTAACTCTGCCTGTGAGCTCCCATTGAACTCCTTTGATGACGTTGTTCTTGTTCCCGTTCGGGTTTCCATGAATGTTAGAGTAGGCATCAATCATGATATCAATGGATGCGGGCGTCTAGGTAAACTCATTAGGAGCAATCTATGACAAGGTCGTAACATTACATACTCTAACCCATGCATCATCGAATGAATCGCCGATGTACATAAGCTGACTCTTGCCGGTAGTAGGGTCGGTGACCTTGGCTTCCAGACCACAGTACTTTCTAGTCTGCTGTCTCCAGGCATCCGGGTTAGAGTTATATGTGGCACCACCCATTGCTTTCAGAGACTGTAAATTATAAGTTCATGATCAAGACGCAAGGAGGTCTGGTAACACCTACAGGAGCAAACACAGGGTCGGAGTTGGAGTATCCATAGCCACACCAACTCTGCCCATTGGTAGAGTCCTGATTGGTAGAGGCGCGGTACCACGATCCAATGCCAGACTGAGGACCAGGAAAAAAGCCCGAAGGAACGTTAACGTTGTAGATATCTGCAGCCACTGGTGCCGCAATGGCACCAATCATCGAGAGAACAGTAAGAGAAGGCATTTTAGATAATAATGGAAAGATGTTAAATGATTCTGTAATTTGAGAGATGGAAGTCATTGCTTAGAAGCCAGTTGCTTCTCTTTATAGGTTTCTTAGTGCTGGTGTTCTACCTTGAATTGATGAATACCTCACAATCCTGCTACGCCCGCGAATACGAGATCATAAAGACGCTAATGCATACACCTGAGAGAAGTATGTATGCATTCAGGTATCTGTACTTGTAAAGTGGAGCTTTTATCTAGCACGGAATTTCAAATTTACGCTCTGGTTAAATTAAGTTTCCTACCGAATCGACTGAGTAAACTCGGCACGCCCTGCAGATATTACTGCGGATATAGTGCTAGCTAGCTACGGCTCTAAGTGGTTAAAATACTACAGGGGGCGGCTTGAGTAAGTAACTTTTCCCTTCTATATCTATATTATATCTAAACGAATAGATTAGTTGTTTTGTTAGTTAGGCTAGGTATCCACAGTAGTATCTACAGGGTATGCTGAATTTACTTGGTTACTATAGTACTCCTAACTTGTATATTACTGAATACTATACTAAATAAAACTTCTAACTGCTAGTCTACATATATTGATAGTAAAACTTTAATACTATTAATCTTTAAAATGCTCTTATACGTTGTCTTATAATTAGTGAGATAATACTTTTATCAGACTTGAACTTGAACTGGTGTAAATCTCTGAGTATCTTCTCATAACGGATTTAATAAAAATTAAACACTTAGTTTTCAGGTTTAAAGTTTAGACCTTCTATTGAAAAAGGTCACATGGAGACATGACTTTCCTACAACTGTCATTCCTATCTTCAGCCTTTTTAGATTCTGGAATGTTTTTATAGGAAACAATTTGTATTAATGAAAAGTCAAACTCATTTCTATTAGATACCTCGAAGTGCGCTTGGACTCTTATCAGCCATTTGCGAATTCCTACTCGGATTAGTGCCATAAGGAGAATAGCGCCGAGATAAGCAATAGAATTGGAACACAAGGCCATGTAGACCTATAAACTGAGCTGTGAATTCACTACCTGCCGCGAGAGCAGTACCGACAGTTAACCACTGCTGAAAGAATAAGAAGCTTTAAGGATACCTACGATTTACTATCGATAGAGAAATAACAGGGAGAGGCACAGTAGTGATTTCTTAGTGTCACTTCGGGATACAGATATGTTTGTAGAGGTAGTGTGACTTACTATGTCGTGCAGGCCTTATGTGATTTTATATGGCTATTAACAAACTTGATCAGTCATTTCTTAGGGAAAAGTGCGGGGCGCTTGTACTTACGGCTAAGTTTCTTCTTATTTATAAGGCTTGTCGTGAGGTACAGTCTCACTGCAATGGCCCTGAAATAGCCTTGCAATTAAGGAACTCGGAAAGAGTAGTAGTCACAAGGGGACAACTGAATAGAGGTGGACGAAATAGATATATGAAAATGTAAATGCTACTAATCTTCTGTGCTTATAGAGCAAAAGGGCTTCAGGCAATAAAGAGTATATCTTTACTAAGCTAATGGTTAATATTAGCCTGTAAGAGTAAGCTATTAAGCTGTAGAAATAGCCCATTAGTGTTACTGGCTATAAATTATATGCTAATTTTAAGAATTTATTTATTTCGTACGATCTTTACTTTTTATATGCTGAATAAATACATAAATAGTCTTAGAATTCTTTATCTATTTTAGTACTAGGTCTAGGGCCGTAACTACTTTACGGAGTATAGTAAAACTTTAAGGTTTAAGTTTCTCTATTTTTTAATAAAGGGATATTATTTTCGGTAGTTTTTAACTATAGGAAAAGTCTATAAGATTAATAGTTAGCTAGAAAGTTACATTAAGATTAAAATAGCTCCTTAACCTTAACTAAGTTTAGAATCTTAATATTATACAAAGATAAAGTTACCTATATAGTGTTATTATACTTTACAGGTCGACTTTAGAAAGGTAGTCATTAGCTTGTAAACAAACAGCCAGTTCAATTTAAGGACTCAAGAAGCTATTATCTAAATTTTACATTAAACATCGTTTCTTTTATTCTACTACAAAAAGCAATCCTCCCTATAATATCACTTGAGGCGAAGATGGGCGCTACCCAGACTGTACTGGTGACAGGTGCTAGCCGTGGTATCGGTCGAGAACTTACCTCGGCTTACCTGAAACGGCCTTCAACTACCGTCATTGCTGCGGTGCGAGATACAGCTAAAGAATCATCCAAATCACTGTATAGCCTTCCGAAGGGGATTGGCTCTCATCTTATTCTTATCAAGATTGATGCAGCTATACATTCCGATGCAGCCGAAGCTGTAAACAAAGTACAGAAAGAATTCAGTATCGACTCACTCGACATTATTATCGCCAATGCTGGGATATCGCATTCTGGCACTTCTATCCTGGATATGTCTATGGTGGCTGCGACAGAGCATTTTAGAATCAACTCACTTGGGCCAGTGATTCTTCTCCAGGCCACGGCCCCGTTGCTTAGAGCCAGCAAGCTTGAATACCCTAAGTTCGTTGCGATTTCTTCAAATGCTGGAACGATAGGGGGTGCAGACTCACTGCGCGGTGCCCCTCCGGTCTTTAGTCCTTATGGGGCGAGTAAAGCAGCTCTCAACTGGTTTGTCAAACGGCTCCACGCTGAAGAGGAGTGGTTGATAAGCTTTGTGTTTCACCCCGGCTTGGTATTAACAGAATTGGCTCAACAAGCATTTGCATCCGCGGGAGTGAGTTTGAAGGGTATGGAGGTTATTTCGGTCGAAGAGAGTGTGCAGGGAATGATAGAAACATTGACGCTGCCTCTCAAGACACCAGTGGTACATTTCGCTACTATACTTCCCAGGTTCTACCATGGTAAAGCTATAAAGCTCCACTAGAAAGACATGGGCGATGTTTCAGGCTTGGTGTAGATGTTTTAGTATAGGAACATTCTCGTTATGAATTTTCAAATAGAATTGTGTAAATAATTTACGCGCTGTCTACAACGTCTCCATTGTCATGAAGACCTCCTACGTCTTGTATGACAGTCAATTCCATGACGATATCCACATCTAAGTGAATCTTAATAAAAAGCGTAATGGATTAAATGTTATATCATTGTAGTGACTGTGTATATATCCAGCGTCCGCTACTTTGCCACACCCATGGTGTGCGCATGCGAATTTCCTACTATGGCAATTGTATTCACCTGGGTTATAAATAATTAGGGGCCATTATCCAAGTGCAATCCAGGACTTGCTATCTTTAGTATGATCGGCCATTACGGTCTTATTTTAGGAGAAAGAATAAATCCCAAGACTCAGCAACAATACTATACTGAGGGAATGTGGATCTATACAGGGTATTTACTGCTTGCCGCATCAATTGCTACGGTTCTGAGTTTGAGTTTGTGGCGGCAAAATAAACGACGGGAAAAGATCACGGGATATGCCGAACACTACTCCGTATCTGTACCCGGCATTCCAATCTCGGGACAGCCCCACAGCGTTATGTGGGCAAAGTGTCTAAGCGTGGCGAGTTCCGAGCTGCCTCTAGCATCGGAATAGATCCACTCGTTAATACTAATCAGATGCTGCTGTAAATGTGTCGTGGTGATGGCATGGCAGACGCGTGGCAGGTATATGGATTGCACATTGATTAAGGAAAAGAATTCGGGCAATCAATACTATAAATACTGCAATCGAAACCTGCGCTCTTGTTGCTGAGATTCACTTCATTCTTCAAGCATTCACTCTCTCATCCGAATTTATTCTTCAATTTGATCAAGCGACTTGCCCACCATGCGCCATTGTTTTATCGTCGGCACGGCGGCTATAGCTTCGCTAGCATCCACAACCCTCGCCAACTCGCTTTCTGAACTATGCAGTGTTTCCAATGTCAAGGCCGCTTTGCCCTCCAACGGCACGCTGCTTGGGATTGACATGATCTCCTCTTCTATCACGGCTTCTACAGCTATCTACAATGCCAGCGCCAGCACGGGACATGGACCGATGCGCCGTGATGCTGAGACTTACAACTATTGCAACGTCACTTTGGAATACACCCATGGCACTAAAGGAGACAAGGTCATTCTTAAATATGCCTTTCCTAACCCTTCCGACTTCAAGAAGCGCTTCTACGTTGCCGGCGGAGGTGGCTATTCCCTAAACACGGATACCACTGGCGGACTCAAGTATGGTGCCGTTGCAGGCGCTACTGATGGAGGGTACGACGCCTTCAACTACAGCCTCGACGAGAAGTTCCTCTTGGGTAACGGATCCATCAACTGGGATGCTACCTACATGTTCTCCTACCAGGCTCTCGGTGAGATGACTCAGATCGGAAAGTACATCACCAAACGGCTGTATGACATGTCCAGCTCGAGCAAGGTCTATACTTATTACGAAGGCTGCTCCGATGGCGGAAGAGAGGGGATGAGCCAGGTTCAGCGATGGGGCGATGAGTACGACGGTGTTATCGCCGGTGCGCCTGCTTTTCGATTCGCTCAACAACAAGTCCTCCATGTTTATCCTGCTACTGTGGAGCACACTCTCGACTATTACCCTCCTCCTTGTGAGCTCAAAAAGATTGTCAACGCCACGATCGCCGCCTGTGATGGCCTTGACGGAAGGCAAGATGGCGTCATTTCCCGAACAGACCTGTGCAAGCTTCACTTCAACCTCAAGTCGCTCATTGGCAAAGAGTACTACTGTGCGGCTGAGTCAAGCTCCTCTCTTGGTTTTGGTTTCAGTAAGCGACAAGCTCCAGGCAGCCAGGCGAGCAATGCCCCCGAGCAGAATGGCACTGTTAGTGCCAAGGGCGTTGCTGTTGCCCAAGCTATCTATGACGGTGTCTTCAACAGCAAGAAGGAACAGGCTTATCTGTCTTGGCAGATCGGTTCTGAGCTTTCCGATGGCGAGCCAAGCTACGACAATGAGACGGAGAAGTGGACTCTCAATATTCCATCTACTGGTGGAATGTATGTTGCGAAGTTTATTGAGCTCCTCGACTTGGACAACCTTGATAATCTGGATAATGTCACTTATGACACCCTTGTTCAGTGGATGGACACTGGTCTAGTCCGCTACTATGACAGCCTTCAGACGACTCACCCTGACCTCACTATTTTCAAGAAGACTGGAGGTAAGCTTCTTCACTACCACGGCGAGTCTGACCCCAGCGTTCCCGCTGGCTCTTCTGTCCACTACTGGCAATCTGTTCGCGCCATCATGTACCCAAACGCGTCTGACTCCGAAGCGCAAAAGGCCCTCTCTGAGTGGTACCAGTTCTACCTTGTTCCTGGTGCTGCTCACTGCGGTACTAATTCCCTCCAGCCTGGCCCGTATCCCCAGAACAACATGAATATTATGATCGACTGGGTGGAGAATGGCAAGCAGCCATCTAGACTCAACGCTACCGTTTCTTCCGGTGATTATAAGGGAGAGACCCAGATGCTGTGCCAGTGGCCTGAGCGACCTCTCTGGACCAACAATAAGACTTTCAAGTGCGTCAATGACAGGAAGTCTATTGAAAGCTGGACCTATGATTTCAATGCCTTTAAGATCCCAGTCTTCTGATTCTAATCCTTAGTGTATTACTACAAGGGAGGGGACTTGATATATTATTTAATGTAAATAATAGTATAACTAAATCCTTTTATCTACCAATATATACCAAAGACTGAACCTCACATTGATGCTTGGCACTCTCAATAAGTGATCGAATTAGACTTTTCAGGACAGGTATCTAGAGGCAATAACAGAGAATGATCGTTCAGTGAAAGTAGTAGAGGCTTTGATATCGGAAGGAGGGAGCATACATAAGCGGTCAAAGAAACACGTATTTAGGTTGGCATCTATGAGGTACTTTGACCAGTTCTACTACTATAATAGCTAGCACGAACATTCCAATTGTAACATAAGCAGAAGAACTGTTCCCAGTACTGCTTTCTCGTTGTTCTATGTTTCCCTTCTCCTAACTATATCGAAGAGTGCCTGACATGCGTGCGATACCTGGATGAGCAAACTTGAGAGAGCAGTCATGGAATCAACCTATGCTACAGAAGCAACTAGGTCCTGGTTGTCTGAGAATTGAACACTCTTGAAAGTAGCGGTTTGGCCGCTTGGGAAGCTGTATGCCGCCGTGTTGGATAGAGGAACGTCAGTTGATCGAAGAGCGTCGCCCCACCTTCGAAGTTCCTCGAGAAACCCGTCGGAACTAGTGAAGAAGTCCTGAAAGCCATCGTCAGGCGCAGTTGAATTGTCCGTCACCACAGGATCCACAACTACACCCAGGACACCATTTCCGTCAACAGTGAGGGTATAAGTGTCAACAATAGTTTTGTCAACCGCATTTCCGTTACTTGCGGTCGCGAACGTTCTCATGTCATAGCTGATCACTAAATGCTGGCTAATGACGATGGATGCACTGCCATGGGCGTTGGTGAACTGGATGTTCATGTTGTAGGTTGTACCAATCGTGAACGAGCCGAGGTTGTCGTTAATGCCCGCCCCATCGTGATCCTGGTTACTATAGCTGTAGCATAATACTGCTTCGCCCGCCCCTTCCGTTAAATTTGGTTGACCGCCCGGACGAACGTTGGCACTCATGTTGCAGCTCATCCCATCTTGCTCACAGCGGGCTTCTTCCCGCAAGCAGACGCTTGGAACGTAGTTCTGCAGGCTTTGGTTAAAAAAGTCCCGCAAATTGTCGCGATTGATCGCAGGAGTCCCATTTTGGTTGGTCCAGGTTAGAGAAGTCGACATGGTTTATGTGAGTATGACCGGTGAAAAGAAGGAAGGATGAGGTTGAGAGGTAGGCAGAATCCAAATCAAGATGTCTAGGATTAAGATTTGAGGTAACAAAGCTGTAGAAGTAGATAGAAACAAGACCCATTATATACACAAAGATGAGCATTCTACCTTCTCGCTATCTAAACTAAAGAGCGTCCCGAATATAGCTACTTGTCTTAAGCGAAAGGTCTAGATCGCCACCCAGCCAGCCACTTTAGATATGGCTGAGAGTCTAGAATATTCTATGCCTGAATAGCGTAGCCATAAGCACTAGCGTCTAAGAGTATACTAATGCAAATGAATTTAATAACTTTGACAATACATAAGTATGATTCTTGTAAAAAGGATACTTAGTATTTCGGCGATTGTCAGTAAGAAGAGATTGTCTAATTAGTTCTTAACCCTCTTTGTAGACATTAGGCATAACTTGAAAAGCATATAAAGTCACTAGGATCTGCTAGTAATGCGTCTCACAGCCACAATTTAGTAGTTCCACCATTCATAATACCTATTCCAAACTATTGCTGCAAGCTTCAATAGTCTGGAATGTGTGTTTTCTATACCTGGGATACAGATTTCCAGATTGAGTTAGAAAAGAACGCGTCCTGTCGAGTGTACGTTTAATACCATATCTAGCATGAGTGCATTGTCGATTAAGTCACTAAATACTCGTAATGTCTTAAGCCACAATCAGAAAGGAATAGGTCATATCGCCCCAAGGTCGTGGCCTTCCTACTTGATCTCGACAATCATTTACACAGAATTTCATTTAACAACCCTTTAAACAACAAGACTTAATCCACTATGTCTCTTAAAACCCCTGCTCTCACTACTGCGATGTCAGATCACTTTGCCTTGCTAGGAGGGAGAGCTTTCCTTTAACTGTACTGCCAGTGCCTTTAGAAGAAAGGCTATACTTCTAGGTACTTTATATTTATTAATTTTTATTCTTATACTCAATACTATAGGTTAATATTTAAATACACTGCCGGTGTAGTATATTTTATTAACTATAAATATTATATTAGATATTTTTAATTTTTATACTCCGTTACTATTACTGTCGAAGGTTTAATTACTCTGTAAGTAAAACATTATAGTTATATTTATTTCTTACTCAGGACTTTTATTAATATATATATTTACACCTTACTCTTCTTATTCCTATTTCATAAGTAGTAAAATCATTATTTTATTTATAGTATTTATATTATATTAAAATGAGTAAGTGTTAAGGGACCTCTATATCTTTTATAGAGTTCTGCTAGTTAAAGATTTATGTTAAGAATATATCTATAATAGAGTATAATAATAATTTCCAGTCACTGTTACCAGGCTACTTTTAATAAGGAGAGTCTAACAGTTCGCCGCTATCCTAGGTATATAATATAGTATAAGACGCAGATCGTTAGCTAAAGAGTGAATGCTTAGGGATATTCCTATTTTGCGACGTCGACTAATCTCCCAGGAAACCCCGCTTAACGAAACCCCGCGAGTTAAAGCGGCGCCAATCTCACACACACTTTATTTATCCTGGCTCGATTATGAGCACCGTGTAAGGTGTAGGCAATGGTTTGTAAAACGAAAGGCTTGATTTCTGTCACTTCATTTATCGAAAAAACAAGAAGCAGCTGTGACATGTGGTCTATTAATACCGAGCCATATTATACGCCTCTACCAGGCAGTCTAGGAAGTTCCCAAGTTTCTCATTCATATTCGCATATTTGTTTTCGCGCAAGGAGTCAGGCTTTTGAACATATTTCCGCTGGACGAGAGACGGCAATTCCTTCTTGCTTGCTTCTATCAGACCCTCGATCACTTCCGGAGTGAACTCCATGTGGCACTGAAATCCATACACTAGATTAGTGTATTCGACAATTTGGCGGGGACAGCCTTGGCTGGAAGCAATGATTTTGGCGTCAGTAGTCAGTCCCGGCATGCCGTTGTGCCAGTGACCTACTTCTACTGAGGTGCCAAAGTGTTTGAACTTATCATTGCTTCTCCCGGCCGTTGTGAGAACGATGGGGAAATTGCCGATTTCTGTCTCCGGGCTCTTCTCCCAGGCTGCTCCAAGAGCCTCGCCCACGAGCTGCGAGCCTAAACAAATGCCCACAACAGCCCTCCCCACGTTGACGCATTGCAAGATAAATTCCTTTTCGGCTAAGGCATCAAAATGCGGACACTCGGCTTTTGTGGTTGATGGTGTCTGGGGCCCCCCTAAGACGATGAGTGTGTCGAGTGAGTCAACTTGGACAGGCAGAGTGTCGCCAAGATAGAGCCGAGTGAATGTGACATGGTATCCTCGTTTCAAAGCCCAAGTTTCGTAAGCACCTGGCGCTTCAAATGATTCATGAATAATAAAGTGAACACGCATATTTGAGATGGTCTGCTGAATATGGCTGGTTGATTCACATTCGTGTTGATCTGACGAGAACGAATAAAATGCTGTGCGATGAGGCTGGCCTATACGAATTAGACCTGTTCATTAAATAAGTCAGCGTAATGTCATTCCGAAGTGAGTCATAGGCTCGGAGGCTAGGCAATCTGCAGCCGTGGAAGATAGGGAGTTCATTCCAGGTACCATGATATTTTGGTTGATCATTCGGAACGACTGGTGAATGGCTGACTGGCTCTGCCTCTGGAGGAGCAGTAGGTGATTCCTAGCTCCTGCGCCGAGTGAACCATCGTGATAGTTCTCGCCACGACTCAACTGGGGTGCCGATCTCGGCCTCCCCCCAAGCGAACTATTCCAAGCCACCCAATCAAGTTTCTTTCCGATTGTCTCCAAACTCACACCTTCACTCCACTCCCACCTCAAGGCAGTGTGACTAGCAGGGAACGGAACATGCGCTGATTGGATTGAGTTTTGCTGTCAAATCGTTATCCGAGGTAATTAGTACGGAAAATATCTGCGATTTTAGAACTAACACATTAGATTTGTGAGTTGCTAGTATACAGACGAGACATTATGACGACTGGAAAAATTCAGTTACTTACGAGTAACCCTAACAAGTTGGCTGATATCAGAGCGATTTTGTCTCCTGCTGGCATTTTCATTGAAAGCCGAACGGTTGATTTGGTAGAAATCCAAGGCACCATCGAGGAAATTAGCATCGCTAAATGCAAGGCAGCAGCGAAAATAGTATGAAAACCTTGGCAGCGATAGCTTCGCTGATATTATGCTGATTTCTACCTCAACAGGCAGGGGGTCCTGTTATCATTGACGATACGGCGCTGTGTTTCAACGCTATGAACAATCTGCCTGGTCCTTATATCAAATCGTTTCTTGAAGCCTTGGGTCCGGAGAAGCTCCATCTAATGTTGGCAGGGTTTTCCGACAAAGGTGCCGAGGCAATTGCAACAGTCGCCTACTGTGAGGGGCCTGGTCACGATCCTGTTCTATTCCAGGGGCGAATTAGCGGCGTGATCGTTCCTGCGCGTGGCAAGCTAGAATACGGATGGCAATCGTGTTTTGAGTATGCAGAGTCGGGCACGACGCTCGCAGAGATGACGGACAGCAAGAAACATGAAATCTCGCACCTTGGCAAAGCTCTCCAAAAGTTTATAGCTTGGTCCACGCGCTAATTCTGGATGCTGCGTTACCCGCTTGGGCATGATAGGACATCAGAAATGAAGCTTCATAGATGTGGTAAAGTCCTAGGCTGTTTGATCACGACGATCTTCTCCCAAAACCCATCTTCGACTGAAAATGGTGCCTTAAAATTGAAAGAATTTGCCGCAACATTACAATCTCTTGGCTGTGAAAGAAGTAGGCGACGGGGCCAAACCTCATAGGAAAGCCACCTTTGTGACACTTGTGCCTACCAGCAGGTATTCCCATACAACCTCATGCCTCACGAAACGAAGCTGACCTCTATAAGGAGGGTCAAAAAGGGCTTTCGTCGATGCCTAGGTGCATCGTTTGGGGCGCTATGGCTTAGTTAGGGGATGGGGATGGCTTAATATCCGACTGTAGAATAGAGTGTTGTGATAGTTTCTAGCATCTTTTGCCAGATCTCCTGGAATGGGTGCTAGGGATCCCAATGTTAATGCTCGCAGCTGTAAGCTGGCAGCCCGTTCGAGGTAGACAGAAAGGTAAGTCGCCTCCTCCACAGTCACACCCACCGTGAGTTAGCTATAGTTGAATAAAAATGATAAAACTTTTAAATCCTAGGGCTTAGCTAATAATGATGCGCTTATGGTCCCCTATGGGAAGCCCAGACCATTCCTGTAGAAAGGCGTAATTGTCGTACAAAGGCATCATGTCTATTTGGCAGACTACAAGTGGCTACTTAGCAGCCACAAGAGAAGCAACAGATGGAGAATAGGTATAAATAATACTGTTAATATCTAGACGACCGTTATGGACCTAGAGATTAAATCTAGTTATAGCGTTCACCATTCCAGCCCCAAACACGGTGTGAAGATCTTAATTGACCTTAATTAAGTCATCCAGTATTGCTTTATTAAATCCTAAGCCGAAATGGAATGTCTAATAATACCCTTCCCTACAATCTGATCGAGCTGAAATCTACCCGGCAAGGACTGACTCCCCTTCATGGAGAAATATAATTCGACAGACCTATGCCAATGTCTATTTCAAACTTCGCTGCTTGACGTGGAGATACCGTGCCACATCGTCGGATGCACGTTGCTGGAAATAGTCTTTATCTTGAAGGTCTTGTATTCAATAGAATATATACCTCCAAAAAGGTAATAATTGGGTTGCCCCCTAGATAACACAGCGACTTTTCAACACAATAAGAGGCATTGTGCACAATGCCAGATAACACAATAACCATAACCCTAAGAAGGTCTTGTATAGTGTCTGGCGATTGTCCAGTCTTGGATTGATATGTTGTCAATGTACTTCATTATCTCGGAATTAAATATTGAGAAGGGAAGGGTAAGGCCGGACCTCTTTCCCATTGGATAGAGGTCCCGGCTGAGTGTCTGCCAGACTCCCTCGCTAGTTAGGGTTATAAGCTCTATCCAATCGACGTTTGGTCCGATCTTTCGGCTCGCCGCTGGCTGCAGGTCGTGGGGCAGCTGGTTGGGGCCTTCATTGGACATTTTTGGAAGCTAAACCATGTCAGGAGTCCAGCGTCGTCATGGTATTCCCCGCTTATGAGAAAACTAACCAATAAACCTGCTAACCGTTCCGCGTCCGGCAGGATAAGGTGGGGGGTAGGAAGAGCCAATTGAGTCAACAGGATTCTGGCCGATTCGAGTTCCGAGCCCACCGGAAATACGTATATGTGTTGACTATAAGGACGAAGTCTCATTGTCCGCCTTCAGCACTTGAGTTGTTGAAATAAATCCACGCATAAAGGTCTTTAACCATTGGAGCTCACCACATTACCTATCCTAACAACCTCTGAAGCGAATCACTTAGCCTGGGATCATCGCTTAGAGCTATTTCACCAATATGAGCATTAAGAGGAACATTTTTCAAGGCCTTTCGGCATTCCCGATTACTCCCGCTGATCCGGATGGCACTGTCAACACTGATGCCCTGGTTCGGATTATCGAAAGGCTAGATATACCTGGTATCGACTCGATTGGGCTTTTGGGGAGTACAGGAAATTACATTTTCCTGACAAGAGAGCAACGCAGGCGGGCGATTGACGCAGCCGTACAAGCTCTACAAGGCAGAAAACCACTCATTGTCTCTGCTGGTGCACTTCGAACAGATGACGCACAGCATCTGGCCAAGGATGCTGAAGATGCAGGGGTCGATGGGCTGCTCCTTGCACCTGTCTCGTACAATGCATTGACAGAAGAGGAGGTCTATCAGCATTTTGAGTCAGTCGCTGGCTCGACCGCACTTCCCATCTGTATCTACAACACCCCGAGCACGACGCACTTTACCTTCAGCGATGCACTTCTTACACGCATTGCAGGGTTGCCAAACGTTGTTGCGCTTAAGCAGCCCGCTCCAACTACAGAGCCGAAAGAAAGACATGAAGAACTTCGCGCAAAGTTTCCCTCTGATTTTTCTATCGGATACAGTGCGGACTGGCTGGTAGTCGAGCCACTGTTGGCAGGAGGCTCTGCGTGGTTTAGTGCGATCGCGGGGGTGCTTCCCGCACCGTCGGTTGCACTTATGGATGGCATTCGTAGAGGAGACCATGTCGAAGTGAGACGCATCTCGGCTATCCTGCAGCCAATTTGGGACCTATTCCAGGAGTTTGGTGACCTCCGAGTGATTTTTGCACTAGCAAACGAGCTTGGTCTCTGCAAAACAGCCCCTCCTCGGCCTATTCTTCCTATCGCTTCTTCGCACCACGGTCGGATTCGCTCAGCGTTAGCAGCTGTTCAGGAAAACATATAGCGGCCATCTCAAAATGCCCTAGGGGTGGGGAATCGGCAACATACCGGCTCACTTCGCTCTGAAGGTCACCCTAACCACTCCGCTCGGTAGTTACTTTATTTTAGATGGACTCTTCAACTCTAGTTAGAAACAAGTATTTTTCAGACCTCCTAGAGGAGAATATCAGGACACTATAGAAAACTACAATAAAATATGATATTCTTGACCCCAATGTTATTTAAATGAATTAGGATATACTTAGTACAGACAATGAATTTGTTACATTATAGTAACACCGTCTCTATTACCGTCCTTACATTATTGATTGAAAATTGTTTTGTCGAAAAGTTCTAGCTGAATGGTAAATGTGTAAGGTGACTAAAGTACTAATATAAATAAGCAATACACTTTAAGAACCGGGGCTGTATAAAACTACAGTAAGATTACTCCGCCTAAGATCTTAGTTATATATATAATACCGAGGTAGAAATAACCTCAGTTAAGGTAGGTTAGCCAGTAAATACAAGTTAGTATTTCTAAGATAATACTTTCTAATACACCTTTTAATACCTTAGAAACCTATACTTATAGTACTAAGCCTTTAACTACCTGAGAGGTTATAAAGACTAATATTAGTAAAAGTATATTATATAGCTATTTTATATGTTAATTATACTATTTATAATTTATAAAATAGTACAGTAGTTATGAGAAGGAATGTTAAATCTATCAATATAATACCTAGTAATACCTTTATAATAGAAATGTAATTATTTTAATAATAAAAATTACTTACTTGATTTAGAAATAATAATATTCTAAATTTAATAAGATTGCCTCTTAATTACTAGAACTTTATTTCTTAAAGATTTACAAACCCTTATAAAAACTACTTATTAAGGCTACTTTTCTCTCTTTATTTATATATAGTCTAAAAGCACCTTTAAAAAAGAGATCTAGCTATACTAATAAAATATAATAGTAAGGGTCTATACACAAACCAAATAGCAACAGTATCTTAAAGTTCATAACATTACGTACTAAGGGAGTAAGATAAGTAAGGTAACTAGTAGTAATTTAACAATAAGGCAAACCTTTATAAGTAAAACGTTCTTAACTCAAATTTACTATATAAATAATTTTAACTTATTCTTAGTTATTTAAAGCTTACACTCTATAGTGAATTAGATCCTTTTAGCTCTTACTTTAGCCATAGAATCTCCTCTGGCGAATATCGATATGCTCTGAATAATGCATTTGACTCTCCTGGAAACATCTTCGCCGTCGCCTCATCAGGATAGGGCGCAAAGTGTGGGTTAACATACTCCCAGCAAACATATCCGTCCTTGGTGACCTCGAAGATGCGCCCAAAGGCACTTTCGCATAGTAGTGTGTTTCCATTCGCCAATCTTTGCGCACTCCCCATGAACGGCGTGAAGAAGTTATGCATTTGAGAGCGGTCACGATACTCCCAGACGACCTTCCTGGTTGCTCTGTCGACTTCAATGGCGCGAGTGTAAGTAATGGACTCACCATTACGGAAAGCTCCGTTGTCGAAGATGAGGATGTTTCCATTGTCGAGTTCCGTGGCGTTGTGCTGCTGTGCGAGTACCTCGGGCCCGAGTTCCCAGACGATGTCTCCGGTTGATCTCTCGATGATTATCACTGCTGAGACGGATCGCAGAGAAGCGAGGATGTGCTTTCCATCGCGCATTGGGAGGACAGAATTGATGAGAGGATAATGCTCTCGCGTGTAATGTGGCTGCAGAGGAAATTTCTCCCTTGATAATCGCTCTGATACTTTCCAATGCCATACTAAGTTGCCCTTGCTGTCGACTTCGTTAATGGTGTCTGCGTAGGTAATTCCGTCAATCTCGCTTCCTGGGACACCTCCAATGACTTTTGCTGATTCCTCAAGAGACAAGGCCTCAAGACTAGTAAATAGAAGTCTACCATCGCCGTAATGGTACTGGTCATGATGGCCGAAGGAATCCGTGTACTGCCGAACCACCTTTCCGTCGGGATCGAGCTCACTCATCACGCCTCCGCCATATTTGTTGAAGAAGGGGAAGGGAAACGGTCCTCCATCTTTAGTGGTGAGATCAGAGGGTCGCAGAGTGTTGACTGCAAGGTTTCCATTGGGAAGAATTCTGGCATGACGCCCAACTCTGCCCGGGAGTTTCCAGGTGCGAACTTCCTTTCCATCGATGTCAACCAAGTGAGCTATGTCGCTGGTCAAAGGGCAAAAGAGTGTGTAGCCCCCGAAGGATCGCTCTTTATCAACACCTGTAAGGCCAACACCACGTCTTTTCAGCGTATTTTGCTCCATGTTGAAAGTTTTATGTGTTAAAGAAGACGCTGGATTTATGCTCTGGAAACAAATTGTGGTGTATAGAGCTGGTGGAAGGGGTCTTGTGTTAATTGGTCGCTGAATTCGAACAACCATCTGGCTTCGTTGGGATTCTATCTGTCAGTTCTATACACTCTCTATATAGCTAAAACCTGGTTTAATTGATTGGAGTTATTGTAACATTGTGTTATTGCGAGATTATAGACCCGACGGGATACCGTCGGCTAAGCTTAGGTCTACCGTCGGGATGCCGCCGGTAATGGTATTCCGCCGGCAACTTCTTATCACTGATAACGCCAAAGCTAGTCATGCAGCTCTCCAATAGGCCCGCCCGTATCAGCACGCCATTATCGTCGCTATTGTCTCTTTGATTCCCATACATACCTGCTATCATTGCTTCTCAATGGTATCACTATAGAATTGACATTCGGTTATTAAATAGATCATGTGGAAGCTGGGAAATATCGGTATCAAGTCTTTATATCGACTCTCTCATAAATCTTCTTTCGATCATTTGTGAATCTCGGTTTAAGATGGATTTTGTATCCGAGAAGAACAGTTCTGTGCATCCTCCTACCTCAGACCACAAGGGCGAAACTATCCAGGATGAAGCCATTCATGTTCCCGGCTATGATCCCACCCTCAGGATAGAATCAAACGAGACCAGAAGAGCATTACTCAAAGTTGACTTCCTTATCCTCCCCATCATAGTTCTTTGTTTTTGTTTCCTCCAGTTCGACCGCACAAATATCGGCAATGCTCTGACCGACACGCTACGGACTGACATCAATATCGACAATGCAGATATCAACCTAGCTCAGACTCTCTTCACCGTGGGCTTCATCGTGACAGAATTGCCCTTCAACATGATTAGCAAGTACATGGGCCCAGAGAGGTTCCTCCCCATCACTATGTTCTGTTGGGGTATTGCTACTTGGTCTCAAATCTTTTTGAAGAATGCTTCTGGGCTGTATGTAGCTCGCTTCTTTGTGGGCGCGCTCGAAGGTGGTTACATCCCAGGCTTCGCTCTCTATATATCGCGATTTTACACGAATCAAGAGCTGGCGTTGAGGTATGCCATCTTCTGGGCCTCCAACAGCTTTGCGGGAGCTCTTGGTGGTCCACTTTCCATCGGTCTTCTTTCACTTCGCGGAAGAGGTGGCCTTCATGGATGGCAATGGCTGTTTTTGATTGGTCAGTTAACAAGTCTTCTTCTTATATGTAAACTGACAAAGACTAGAGGGTGTTTTGACTTGTGTCCTTGGCATCTTTGCATACCTTTACTTCCCGCACAACGCGGCCAAGCCAAAGTCGTTCTTTGGTAAATCGTTCAACATCTTTACCGACCGCGAAGCATCTATCCTTGTTACCCGTGTTATCCGAAACGACCCTACGAAAGCCCTCCGATACGGTCAGCCTGTCCTGTTCTCTCACATCGTCGACACATTCACAGATTGGAGGCTATATGGACACCTCGTAGCCGGGTTTCTCTCTATGGTAATGATCTCACCGATGAACACATACGCACCGTCGATCATCAAGTCGCTGGGCTTCACTTCACTTCAAGCCAACGGTCTCAATTCTGTTGGTAGCGTCTGTGCTCTGGTGTGGTCGGTGACGCTGGCTTTCAGCAGTGATCACTTTCGCGAGCGCGGATACCACATTGCACTCGGTTACCTCTGGGGAGCAGCCGGCCTTTTATGGCTCGCACTGGCGCCTGATACCGTGAGTAAGTGGACACTTTATGGAGGAGTTGTTTGGACACAGATGGGAATGGGATGTGTACAAGCTATCAGCGCAGCGTGGCTCACTGTCAAGATGGAGGACTACAAGAGACCTGTGGCCCTGGCTGCTTATGTGATGAGCATCCAACTCGCCAACTTTCCCGGAAACCAACTGTTCAGAACTCAAGGTGAGCAAATGGGTCTTATTGTTCAGAGTATAAAGCTGATTGTGTTAGATGCACCTCGTTACACCCGCGGACTTAGTATTGCGGCTGGCTGTGCGATTGCCGCCGCAGTTGTCATACTCGTGTATAAGTTGCTGTATCGCTTATTCGATAATGGCGATGCTGGTGTGGAAGCAGAGTTTCAGGTTACTCCTGGTGAAGACAGGATCGATGGACTATAGGATTTTATAAACATTAGAAGAAAGGTAGACCAGGGGTTGATTGACTGACTGTAAGTGCGTGGTCTACCCTGATGGTTTTTCAGCGTGGGACTGAGTTGTGCTATCTGTAGAGTCTTGATGGATTGACCAATGACGTGCAGCTGTAACGGTCGATTGACTAGGTAGTTTGTGGTGTGGAATATGTTGAGGGGTGAGGGAGGAAAAGCCAGCTTTTATGCGTACGGCTGTATGTGTTATTTGTGTTCACTTGATCAGAGTTTGAGCGATTTCTGTTGTCTTAATTATATTCAGTTTTGATACTCATAAGTTATTTATTTTATTAATAATATGAAGAAATTTAAAAAGCCTAAGGTTATTAAAGTTAAGATTAAAGTGAAAGAAAATACATATGTCAGAAACTATTTTAGCCATAACCGATTCAAGTTAAAAGTAACAAATAGTACTGGGAGTAATGTCCCTCTTAAATCTGCAAAGCAAAACAATTTACAGATCGAATAAATACTCTGTAAAAACTACTGGTACCCGGGGGCTTGAGTGGTTACGCTGCCCCCTCTAAAGATTGCTAGTTAGCCCTTAAAATAACTTCACGCTAAACCATAGTCGAGATGCATTAACTGAGTATTGATAACCATCACGTGATCTTCGTAGCACGCCATATCCATTGATAAGGCATAATCACCTAATAACCTGTTATCTATAGAGGATACTATCTTACATAGCAGTCTTTCAGGCACCAACCATGCCTCCTATTCGACCCGGAAGAGCTTCAAAGGCATGTGATCTTTGTCGAAAACACAAAACCCGCTGTTATGCTTCTAGCGGTTCCAATGGAATATGTCTACGATGTGAGACCTTATCCCAACATTGCTCACTGCAAGCCCTCCACGACTATAGGTGTTCCATCTCGCCACCGACACAACATATGAATAGTGATTCGATCATAAGCTCGATAGACTCAGCTCAGAAGAAGTCGGTGGATGATAGGTGTGTTGGGTTGTAATTCTAAATTTGGCTACCGCTAACAGTTTTAGTAGGTTGGAACGTCTGGAACGTACAGTTGGCTCTTTAGTAGAACGGCTTGACTCGATGGTAGATGAGCCTACTGGTTCTTACGATCGAGATAGACGTCCTGCTGTTCAAGGACCAGGCCCTTCTACAGAGCTCGACCCGGCCCCTTTGTTCATGATCCGAGATGCTGCAGCTGATGCTGGAGTACATTCGCCCGAGCAGGCCAATACACAAGCTGGATCTCGACCAGACGTCATCTCAACAGGGCATGTGTCATTATCAACCGCTTACTCGCTCTTGCAGCTGTAAGGCTACCTCTCCCCAAACAAAAGAAGATCAACTCACGATTTTCAGCTTCCACACTCATTATGGCAGATGGACCAGATTTCCAGAAGACATCACAGTCAAAGGACTTCTTCCCATTGTTCGAAAATCGCCACTGCTTGTATGCAGCATCTTTCTAATTGCGGTCCGACACACAACACAAGATTTGGCCGACCAACTTGCCCCTAAGCTCTTTCAAGAGTCAAAACGACTTATCACAGCTTCACTCCTTGAGGTGCCGCAGACTATCGAGTTCTTCCAAGCGGTCCTTATCTTGAGCTTTTGGTCAACTACTGTTGGGCAGGTGCCTTTGAGTATTGACAGCTGGCTTTTAACAGGATATGCTATACAACAAGCATTTGCCAGCCCATGCTTTGCCGAGGTTATGCGGCCCAGCTCATGTCAGCCCACAGATAATGTAGCTTTTGACGCTTGGTGTTTGTGGAATCATTTATGCGTGGTTCACCTTCAGTAAGCCATGATAACCGGACCTCCTAGGGAAGCTTATGTTGACAATTTCATAGATATTGCGTTGCAACTCGCCGGCGTTCATTATTGGACCAAGAGCAAGTCAATCGCTGTGTCACATTCATTAAATCTAACGAGACCTCAAACTACGAAGCGCGTATGGTAGCCGAGGTCCAATTATACTGGGTTATCTACAGTCAGTGCGGCGCTGCACAAATCGACGTAATCAGTGCCAAGGCCGCTCTTCAAGCTTGGCAACAAGACTGGATGACTCTACTTAGTTCGTGTTGCCCCTGACATGCCACGTATTGTACTAATATAGCTTCTCAGATGAGCCCCGGTCGCAATTTCTACAAATGGGATTTCACTTTGCCCATCTGCTGACACGTTGCCAATCCCTCAAAGCTCCTAAATCAGTAATGCGCCACTGTATTCTCAAAGAAATGATCACACATTCCAAGTCCATTATCAATCTTGCCATCGATACAACCGACGATCGCACGCGCCACTTGACGGACCACATTTACCACGTCGTTGGCTTTTCGGCGTTGATGCTATGTCAACTCGTCCATGCGTACGAGTCAAGGTTGCAAACATCTAACTACAACATCTCCGATCTAGACAGTCTCGTTTTCAAGCTCATCCACTGGTTTAAGTCAATCGGCTTACAGTGCCATGCAGCACATATCCTCGGCGATATAGTCTCTATGCAGTTTCAGAAACTTCGACCAGACTTCCAGCCATTAACACCTATAGTTTCAGATCAGTTGTCCGGTAATCTTTTCACGGCGGAAGATTTGTTGCTACCGCCCGATCTTCCGTTTCTATATCCTAACTTTATTGGCTCTGAGATGTTTAGTATTGAAGGCGGCGTAGGATCTTGGCCGGAATGGTCTCAAATGCAATTGGACACAGATACTTCTATTTAATCCTCAGTCAAGGTATAAAGTTAGACCTGTGTTAAATTGACAAGAGTTCTTGAATAGCAAAATCAGTCTGAGCTTGAGTATGGGTGAATACATCACTGGCTTATTCGGACTTGGCCTCAATAGCAAGGAATGGGAAGATAATAGGATCACGGTCACTCTTGAATGGGCTGCTTCTGATATTATCACCGATAAGCCCGCCATCTTCCATGGATTGCTTATCCTTAGTTGAGTACAATAGTCGAGACAGTCTGTCGGTGACTTGGAGCCCACAAACGCGATCTGGTGGAGTGGTAAAGGCAAGTATCACAAGCCAAAGCTAGAGGAAGGAGATAATGGCGTGAGAAGCCATTTTTATAGTATTTCTAATATTCTTAGGAAAATGAGGATATGTTTGTTGAGGATAAAAGGGTTTACAAAAAGAGGAAAGACCGTACACGTCCGTGAAACTGGTTCGCATTTGGCGTGGTTACACCCGTTGATTCTTAATACTCTAAGTCTTACAATTCGCTGGCTAGCATAGAAACATCAAATAAAATAGGACCCAGCGACAATAGCTGTGTTTCAACTGGACATGAATACTGCTGCAATCGCTTGGGCTTCGTCTAAAACGCACATTCCTCCGATCAATTTCACAAATTTACGGATATAGGGTAGCCTTTTTGTGCTGCGGCTAGATACTATAAATAGAAACAGGCCGACAAAAGAGCAAGGCACATAATGCCTTAATTGACGTCATTGATTACACTAAAGCCCAACCACTGGTGAAAATGCTCTGGGTTTGGATTAAGATAAGAGGAGTTGGAGTTGTTATCTTATCTTATCAGTTCATACACGCCAATTGGCTTATCCGAGGTAATCGCACTCTCAAGTTTAACATTCGGATAATGATATTTCCAGCTTGTCTATCAAGATATAATGACCTTATACACGTGTTCCATTACTCCTTGGCCTCAACGTCGTCGACATATGTTGCGTCAACCTTATTCTTCTCCAAAGCCACAGCCTGAGCAGGCACCGCCTCGTCACCATCAAAGATAACAGCAATCTGCTCCAACGTGTGGCCACGAGTTTCAGGGTAGGTGAAGTAGACAACAAAGATGAAGATGAACAGGATGACGGCGAATACGATATAGTATTTCCATCCAATAGCGTCGAGTGCGATGGCGTTGACGAAAGAATTGAAGAAGATGGATGCGACCGTAGTACACCATGCCACTGTAAGACCACGGGAACGAAGGCTGAATTGCCAAATTTCACAAGGATAAGCAACCAAGAATGGGGTCCTGGGGATCATGGTCAGCTCAATATCAAAATACACCGTTTGGTTGAGTAAAACTTACAATCCAACATCATATCCTGCAAAAAAGATGAACAAGAACGGCACCACAGCCAATCCAACAGACGATGCACCCGACTTGGCGAATGACGCGCTGAGTGCCGTGACAACCACGAAGGCAAAGAACATGACACTCGCAGAAGTCAAGAAAAGGAACCGTCGACCTAATCGGTCACAGCTCACGGCTGCAGCAGTAGCCCAGAGGAGGTTCCAGACGTTGAGGCATGCAGAGATGAGCGTCTGCTCTGTCGCAGACTTGAGGCCAACCGAGCTCAACACAAGAGGCAGATAATAAGAAACAACTCCATTACCTGCCCACTGGGCGACGAAGCCGAGAGTGACAGAGATGAAGAGTCGATGGCGGTTACCCTTGGTGCGGACCATGTCGAGATACGAAGCGCTTGCAGCGGCGTCTTTTTCTGCGGTAATAGCTGCCTCAATCTCCAACATCTGGGTAGTGACAATAGGATCATCCCTATTTCCTCCCGCATGGAACTTGGCGATGACCTCAGTAGCCTCTTCCATACGGCCGACGCTAACATACCATCGAGGACTTTCAGGCGAGAAAAAGAGGCCGGGAATAGCGCACAGAGGGAGGAAAATCTGTAGCAGAACTGGAATACGCCACGACCAGTCTGATGGAATATCACGACAGGCAAACGTAACCCAAGCGCAGATTGTCCCGCCCACGTACCAACCACACATAAACAGAGCACTAGCGATCGATCGATGCGAAGGGTATGCGATCTCGTTGATAAGAACCGGCGCGGAATTTCCGAAAAACCCAGCGGCGAGACCGATGAAGAGTCGAGAGTAGGTAAAGACCTTTTCGTTGGGAGCGCCGGATTGCATGCCGACACCGATGATCAAAAAGAAGTAACCGGCGTAAAGTCCTGGTTTGCGGCCGTAGCGGTTGGAGCACCAGGCTGCGAAGGGCGTACTGAGGCCGTTGCCGAGCCAGTAGATGGCGGTTATCCAACCAAGGTATGCGCCGCTGGGGAAGTCCATGAATTCGTTCCAGCGGTTGAGGGCGAGGACAGATCCCATGAGACCTAGCTATGTTAGGTTGAGACTGGAAGCTGAGGTGTTATGTTCTTACCTCCATCGTAGCCGTTTGCTGAGGCTGTTGTAGACAGGTGTGTTAGTTAATCCGTAACCAAGCGATTCGAAATAGGGGGCGAGATGGACAGTGCATCTCAAGGCTGCCCACTTGAGACAAGAACGTACAGAATAATACAAGCGAAAGAATGATGGAGTTGAGCTTCACCAAGTGGCTCTGCTTCCACCACGCTTGGTGGGTTGGCGCATTGCCAGCCTCGGTGGTTATGGTGGCGGCCATGACTGATGTTGGCTGTCACTGCCCCAAAATCGCAAAAGGTGAAGGGATAGGTATAAAGATCAAGAAAGGATTTAGAAGAATGTTCAATTGGATGCTCGAGGATCGATGGCCGTTGATAGTCATCGAAGTCGTTGTCGTGTTCAGGGCGCACACGGGTCTATATAATCGCACGCAACATTAAAGAGAAGAAAACTATGATCCTAGACTATCGATCCCGCAATACACGGTTCAAGGTGTCACATGGCGCGCTAAACTCTGTCAACCCCGGAATTTTGGTCTGGGCTGGGGCGCCCATGGGGAATCACACGTTGTGATGATCCAACAGGGAACTAACAAGGCGGAATTTTGCTAGGCTCATGCTGTGGAGTTTTCGCGACTAATTTTTACGACAGTACCCGAGGCGGAGAATTGTAACTTTGGGCTAGGCCACACTGATTCAGCTGACAATGGTAATTCTCCGCCTGCAATTATCCCTGCGACTACGGCGAAGATTGATCTTCAGGCACGCGAAACGGTAGAAAATGATCGGAAGGTTATGCACGTAATTAAGTCTTTAACAGCATATTCGGTCCCGTGCCGTTCTCATCGTTACATACTTGACCCACGTTGGAAACGGAGACCCGGAGTGAATGGATTCGGGCGGAGATTTGTGATCCTGTGATAAAGTAAGAGGCTTAAAATGCCTGCCAGGGTTAATCCTCTAGGTTAAATAGCCTACTTGCAGGTTTAGTTAGTAACAAATGCCACCGTAAAATGCGAAGTTTTATGCTTCGCTCATATCATCATTTTTCCCAATAAACGATACTTTGTGCTGAACTTCTAAAACATGGATGTCGAGGCACTTATCCAGCAGCTCACTCTAGAGGAAAAGGTCCAGCTGACGGCCGGTAAGTCCATCAAAACTCCCAATATTACCCTGATGAAGCACAACTGACTTTTCACCACAGGTGTCGGTTGGTGGCATACAACAGCTATTGAACGGCTGTCAATTCCGCCCATTCGCCTATCCGATGGCCCCAATGGCGTCAGGGGCACCCATTTCTTTGACAGCACCCCGTCTTCTTGCCTCCCTTGTGGTACAGCACTAGGCGCAACTTGGAACACTGACTTGATCTATCGACTCGGTCAACTACTCTCCGATGAAGCCCACGCCAAAGGCGCCCACGTTCTTCTTGGGCCTACAGTCAACATCCAACGGGGACCATTGGGCGGTAGAGGCTTCGAGTCGTTCTCAGAGGACCCAGTTCTCTCGGGAATACTTGCAGGTCATTATGTGCGCGGTGTGCAAAAAGATGGTGTTTCTGCCACGATGAAGCACTTTGCATGCAACGATATGGAGAGTGCTCGAATGGCTGTCAATGTCCAGGTTACGGAAAGGGCATTACGAGAGGTGTACTTGCTTCCTTTTATGATTGCTGTAGAAATGGCAAACCCAAGAGTTTTCATGACAGCCTACAGCAAAATCAACGGAACACACTGCCCTGATAATCACCATTTGCTTCAAAATATCCTACGCGATGAATGGAAATGGGATGGCCTGGTCGTCAGTGACTGGTTCGGCACCTACAGCACATCTGAAGCGATCAACGCAGGACAAGATCTAGAAATGCCGGGTCCCACTAGATGGCGTGGCGAGAACCTGGTGCATGCAGTCACATCCAACAAGGTCAAGCGATCAAAGTTGGACGAACGTGTAAGGAATGTCTTGAAGTTGGTCAAGCATTCTATCGAGAATACCAATATTCCACCAAATGCACCCGAGACTCAGCTCCAAAATGAGAAAAACACTCGTTTACTTCGCGAAGCTGCCGCAGAGTCAGTGGTTCTACTCAAGAATGATAAGAATATTCTGCCCTTGGACCCTTTGAAGCGAGTCGCAGTCATTGGTCCCAATGCCGATGTCAGCACATATTGTGGCGGTGGAAGTGCCAGTCTCCGAGCTTACAACACCGTTTCACCACTCGATGGCATCAAGGGAATTAGCAAAGACGTTTCTTTTGCAAAGGGGTTGTACGGCCATCGATCATTGCCTCAGCTAGGCAAGGCCCTGCGAACGGTGGACGGAAAGCACCAAGGATTCACTTTACGCATTTACAATGAGCCGCCTCCATTGTCAGATCTGGATACTCGCAAAGTTCTCGAGACAAGAATTCTAGACGACGCCAACGTGTGGTTCGTTGATTACGTGCATCCAGACCTAGCTGAGATCTGGTATGCCGAGATAGAAGGCGTTATGGTTCCAAAGCAGTCTGGAGAATGGGACTTTGGTCTTTGTGTCCACGGCACCGGCGAACTCTTCATCGACGGTCAGTTGGTTGTGTCAAACGTCAAGGACCAGAAGCCTGGAAGTTCATTCCTGGGCTGCGGCACAATTGAGAAGACGGGTTCCAAGGTACTCGAGAGTGGCAAGCCTTACAGCGTCGTTGTGCGCTGGGGTTGCGACAAGACCTCTGATCTCAAAGTCTCTGGTGTCGTCGATTTCGGACAGGGAGGTATGCGCCTCGGAGGCTGCCCCAGACTAGAGCCGCGTACAGCAGTTCAAGAGGCTGTCGAACTAGCCAGGTCGGTCGATCAAGTTGTTTTATGCGTCGGAACAAGCGGAGAATGGGAGAGCGAGGGTCAAGACAGGCCCAATATGTCGCTGCCTCCCGGAAGTGATGACCTGATCGCCGCTGTTCTCGAAGCAAATCCCAACACTGTAATCCTGGTTCAGAGCGGTACCCCCATCTCAATGCCGTGGGTCGATCAAGCTAGCACTGTTGTGCAGGCCTGGTTTGGTGGCAACGAGGCAGGCAACGGAATTGCCGACGTCCTGTTTGGCGTCGTTAACCCTGTAAGTTGAATCCCGGCCAGCAGAGAACTAAGCTAACAATGTGTGCAGGCCGGTAAACTCCCAATCACAATGCCTCGTCGTGTGTCAGACAACCCCAGTGCCCTTAGCTTCAGGTCTGAAGGAGGTAGAGTGCTCTACAGCGAAGATGTGCATGTCGGCTATCGCTGGTATGACACTTTAGACATTGAGTCCATGTTTCCTTTCGGACATGGACTGTCTTACACGAGCTTTGAACTCTCTAACCTAAGTATCGAAGAATCTTCGGCCTCTGAGAGTAAGAAGCTCATTGTGGGCGTTGACGTGAACAATACTGGTTCGCGTGCCGGCGCTGCTGTCGTACAGGCTTACGTCAAGCCTCCCCACGCGACATCACTCACAGCCTGTCCCCTTGATACTATCACAAGATCAAGCAAGGAACTTAAGGGCTTCGCTAAGATTCACCTTGAGGCGGGTGCAAATGGTACTGCAAAGATGGAGCTAGATGTGCTCCGTGCGACAAGCTATTGGAGCGAGACGGAGGATTGTTGGTGCAGCGATGCTGGAGAGTATTCAATTTTGGTGGGAACGAGTAGTAGGTGTGAGTTTTCGGAGCGGACGTTTACCGTTCGGCAATCGACCACTTGGACGGGACTTCGGTCATGATGAACCAGTGCAACTAATTGAACTAGTTCCTAGACCTTTAATAGCAAGAGTCCCATGCCTGGCCTAACGGATGGTTCTGGTGAGACAATTTTGCGTAGAAAATGTGGCGCTCTAGTATGTTGGACGAATACAATGGCCTTGGTATTTGACGACTTCTGGCTGCAGATTATGTGAACAATCGGACCATCAGATGTTGGCGCTGTATGCCGTACTTTGCCGGTGATCAAGGTGTTTGTATTAATACTTACTCAAGCAGAACCATTTTCGCACAAAATGGCTGCCAAGATGATGCTGATCTACCAAGGGATGATAACAAGAAAATTACTGAAGCCTTCAATAGCTGCACCATAGCCACTTCAAAATGATACCAGGAGAAACTCGGTGGGAAGACAAGTTCCTTTGACCCGCTAGCACTATGATCCTTGAAAGTCAGTTACCCACTTCATTAGGGCGCTGGATTGCGGCTCCACTAGACGAGTAAAAATATGACCAAGCACATGACTCGACTCGTTCGAGCAGAGCGGGTCTTGTTTTCCTTTCCTCCGCTTCAAGTGTATTTCTCCGCCTTGTCAACCGCCGTCAGAAACCGTCCCGAGCAACTGGTGACCCAACATGACGGACACAGATCCCAGCACGTCATTGTTGTCAAGAGACCATGATGCGGCGACTCCCAGTCCCAGGGTTAGACAACTTACCACTCGAGCATGCGATGCTTGTCGTGCTCGGCGCAGGAAATGCGTCTTTCCAAAAGTCGGCACAGGTTCAGCGTCGCATTGCATAGGGTGTTCTAGGCTGCATATTCAGTGCAGTTTTGACATTCCTACGAGACCTCGAGGACCTAAACGGAGAAGGTGACTTCCCCAGAATAAACCATGTCCATCAAGTCAATAATGGTGGTGGTCTTTCTTGTGCTGACAATGGCTCTAGGACACAACAGCCAGCGGCGATTTCTCCCGAATTCCACGTCTATAGTCCCAGCCAGTATCAAGCCGGAGAGATCCATTCGGATCAGGAACATGTTTCGACACCATCAAACAGTACTCATATGAGACTAGAATGCACATCGCCCCCCAGCGAAACATCAAGAACATGCCCATCCGTCCCCCTCCCGGCCCTGCTCATCAACCAAGATGAGTCAGAAAACATCGAATATTTCGAACACCAGTTCCAAACTGACGAGTTATGTCCCCGGGCTCTATTTTTGTCCATTATGGCGGACTTCATCGACCACATATACCCGCTGGTTCCTGTGGTCCATCTACCAACGTTCCGCGCTGATTTGGCCACGAATCGAGATATACGCGACCTCGACTTCCTATTACTCATTGTTTCGCTAGCAACTCTGACTGTGGGACTGTTGCCTTCTAAGTTCGACAGTTATCAAGCTCTCGCTTCCCGCTTTGGTACACGTACAGCGATGATCAACCACTGCGCACAAATGTGCCTGCGTCTTCGCCCGGCAGACTACTGGGACCATATCAGCCATCGGAAATGGGCTGTGGCATATTGCCTTGCCGTAGGGGCCTTTCAAACGGGCCAGATGAATCAAAGTCGGATGTTTGACGCTGAGTCGATGCAAATCGCTCGACTTCTTGGGATGCATCTCATCTCGGAGTATGATGGGCTTAATCCCATCGAGACTCAGCTCAGAAAGAAGTCTTTCTGGCTACAGCTTTACACGTTTGCGTAAGTGCTCAAACGCCAGGTTCGTCAAGTTCCAGTAACTAACAAATGTAGACATTCTAAAATCCAGCCCGGACGAAGCAACCACCTGACTTATCTCGATAACTATGTCCTACGAGACATAGACTTCGCTGCACTAGAGCCGCTCAATATTCTAGATGAGAACATCCTAGAGACCGGTATTGTCGGCCAAGTGCCCTCAACTCCACCCGTCGGATTACCAAATAATACAGAATCTGATGACGACGCACCATTCAACACCACGACCGTCTTTATAATGGCCTCTCGGGCATTTCTCCTCGGAATGAGAGAGTCTATGTATAATGATGGCTGCAACTGTGGTTTCGGCAGATCCCCAGAGGAGCGTCTACCAAGACTCAAAGACTTGCTAAACCAGTTGCGATATAATCTAGATGGGCTACCTACATACATGCGCCAATGGGGTCCAGGCGATAACTATCACTCGTTCAATAGCAGCGATGCTCACCAGAGTGCTTTTACCGAATCTCATATCACCCACTCCCAGAACGAAATCACAAGAGCAAACTTACATGTTACCCACCTGTGGCTTCAGAATTTTCTCCTCGACAAGATGGATGTGGTACTGCAGGAAATAAACGACAGAGGACAGCCTGCAGAGAATGATATGGATATCATAGGTCAGCTTAAGCAAAATTGGAGGGAGCGTGAAGACGTCGCCCGTCAATTGCTACATATTCTACACAGCATCCCTCATGCATGTCTCGAGCCAAACGGGCTTTATCTTGTTAGTATCAAAGTAGGCACGATCCACTTGCCTTTGCTAAAATCTACATGACAGATTTATAAAGTTCGGAGTGTTGCAAGCTCACTACTTAACTGCCCGTTTATAATGAATCGACAGCTCTCCCGTCGAGCTTTCGAATATGTCCAGGAATTCACCAAGGTGCTGTCATATCTTGACCGAAGTGAGATAATTAACACTGATGGGCTCAGGAGTTGGATAGATGAGGGTCAGCACTCACATAAAGACAGCTAGAATTTCCCGATCAGGCTGAACATCTCGATTATATATGCCTTCTTATAATATTACTCTTTATCCGCCCTCTCGTTAGAATATTATTATGGAACTTAATAATGTCACACTCGGACCTTTTTAAAACAAGCTTATCTTGGGCTTTATGTAGTGCACCAAAATTTTCACGTTTTTATACAGGCCAATATGATCCTAATCAAGCCTGCCTACCTAGCCCGATTGGCTATATACCCTCCCTTCACACAACTACAGTACACCCTGTTTTAACTCCTTTCGCTCTGAAGATATATCCTTTAGAGCATAAACATCACTATAGAGTTCCAGAAGGAAAGCATAGAACTTCAACGCCTTTAATTGCGAATGCTTCTGCCCTGCACCGACAACATCCTCCAATGCCTCAAAGCCTAGCCTGAGGCATTTCTTCTCATAGTTGATAATGCGCGTGAGCTGGGCAACTCCTCCATCCACTCGGTTGAACTCGGGAAAGTCTAGCGAATTTAGATTCCCCTCCTTGCGGTCCCGTTGCACCGAGTAGCAGTCATTCTCCATACGTGCTTTATTGGCGAGATGGACCCATATGTCCTGTACTAGATATTGCTCCTCGGCGCTCACGTGGCGACCTGCTTGGTCCTGTGGGACGAGACAGCGGAAGAAGGCAAGAGAGAGCGGAGAGCAGCTATGTGCCGAACCGACCGTACGCGCCCACTCGTGGTAGGATCCACAAGGAGTCTTCCATTCGGACCCCTCTTTGACATGCAGTTTGCTATCTTTAAGCTGGGTGATATGTGCTAATAGGCAGCGGCGAAGCTCGTGCTTCAAGAGGTCTCTGTCGACAAAGCCTGCTCTCTGCACAGCAGGGACGTTGAGGACAGTGTCAGTGAATGATATTATGTTTTCGGATATCTTTGACCGGGCAGCTGGCTCCAAGTGTGTACCGTTGATGCCGTGGCCGTTAGAGCCATTCGCCAGTGGTTGCTTTTCCAACAAGTTCTCAACAAGTTGTTGGATCTCCTGGAGATGTTGTTCATAAGTGATACCGATGACGTGCTCATAGTACTCGTCAACCTGGTAGACGTGTAGAATAAACTTCATCATCTCAAATAAGATGTCCGTCTTGAGGAAGGTACCATGCAGATTGTTGGAACATGCAAGAGTCATTGCAATGAACTCTAGATACTCATCACCTTTCAAATTGGACCTGTCGAACATGTCGAGCTTGCTAGCTTGTAGTCTTCCCCGGAATAGAAATGCCTCTGTTACCGATCCTTCAATCCTCCAGAGCGGAAACTCGCTCAGAATGGGAAGGATGGAGAACATGTGAGTGTATTTTTGTAATTGTTGTCCAGTGAGGTTGTGAAGCTTGCTGAATGATGAACCAAGTGAATACTTGGGGAATTTAGTTTCGAGCGCCGCCAGCTGGTATGCTTTGCAAATGTTGAGTGGCGAGTAGTTGGTCTTGGCAATCCACACGTACTCAACATCAGGGGTCACACCGCTCGAGTTGATGAACGCCCGCCCTTTCTCAATAGCCTGCCGGATTACACCAGGCAGCTGTGTGTTAAACGGTAGAGAGGCGAGATTCCCCAGGGCAATGATGGCATATGCCGTAATTTCTTTAGATGGGATGTGTCCCCACGAGCCGTCCTCATGCTGCTTTTGCAAGGTCTGCATTAGAACTTGGAATAGAACAAGCGATATGTCTCCAGCAAGGAACTCCTCAGAAAGATTGATGACGGTTTTATCCCAAGCATTTACCAGTCTGCAGAGAGCTTGCGAGAGGAGCATGATTGGATAGAACTCCGAGGTATTCTGCGCATTGTTAGTAAGGGTGGATTAGTTGGCTAAACGGCTCGACTCACCCATTTGTCCTGGAAGGGGATATCAGACTGCATCCACGAAGTACAAAGGTATTTCGCGCACTTTTCAATTTGCCTAATGAACTTGGCTGGCTCAGGAGACACCAGCAACGCGCTGAGTACGTTGCAGTTCGTTGTCACACTTGGGTGCCTTTCCATCATGTAAGTGAAGAAATGATGTTTGCCTTCAAACGTCTCGACAAGCTTGTCTGCTTTAGTCGGGACGCCAAGCAGGTTGCGCATGATTACGGTCTTTGACGTATCATCAGCATCAGGGACACTTGACTTGGCTGAAGGAGCCCGTGTCAGTATTATTTTGAAAATGGAATGGTAAGCTTACAAAATCCGCTTGCTAAACCGCCAAGTGAGTCGTAAAACTCCTGGATGATAGAAAGAATATCTCCATAGCGTAGAAGATTGGTGTCATGGAAGCCATCTTCCAAGAGAGTTGAGGCAATCTGGGGCGGTGGTTAGTGAATGCAAAGACAATAAAGATCAAGGATCACTAACCCAGAGGACTTCAAATCCTGTCGTCGGGTACATTCCAGGAACACCGCCAATTTCGCCAGGCCACCTCGATGCCAGCACCTGTCGAAGGTATTCCTCTGCTTTATCATCCCAAACTGGCGATGACATCAAGTAGGCAGCAGTAGATGATGGTGAACTGCCCATACCGCCGCAAACTCGCTGATCCCGGAGTCCACTGAAATCCGCCTTCCCCAGAAACGCCTCGAGTGAGTGCGTTACGGTTGTCTGTATCTTTCCAGACCAGACGGCAGGATGGATTTTTGCCAGTTTGTTTTGATTCAGTTGGGCCAAACGAGCCTGTCCGGGAAAGGTGAAGGTGAGCCGTTTCTTCTCCAAGCGCTCGAGCATGGAGGGGATAATGATTTCGAACCCTACATGATCACACGAGGCCACATCCCAAGATTGCAATTTTAAGCTCAAAAATGCCGCTGCATGTTGAATGCGCGTTGCTATGTCTTGGGCGGAGATGCCGTCCTGAGGAATGTCCGAGTTTGTGGTCAGCACGAGCAACCCCCCAAGGGTACACATTATGCCGTCTATCTCCGACTCGGGACTTTTCTCCCATCCAGAACCCTCCTGCTGTTGATCAAGAATATATTTGTAGCATTCAGGGAATAGGAGCCCAGGAGTACCTGGCTTCCTAAGGATAGCCACCCACGCCGAATCATAGATGGAACTGGTGAGACGGCCAAAGGTGTGCGTGTTTCCGACTGCTCCAGCGCAGTAATCGATGAGCGAAGTAGCTAATTGCTTGTTGCTGTCCATTTTGCAGATTTTGGGTTGCAGATGTGGTTTAGAGCCCGAGTGTAACAAGTGAAGTGGGAGAGAGAGGGTAGGAAAATCACGCCTGTTATGCAACTTTAGCTGCTTTTCCTCTCAAACGGGATTTCTCGACCCAAGTATGCGCGGGAGTATGTATCACTCAACTTGCACCGAAGCGGGCCGGCTCTGAACCAACCTAGAGGTAATTCCGCCCTTTGTTCTCGCCGGGTCTGGCCGCGAGGTTGGTGTGGCTTTACTATCCACTTCATTTTCGGAACTCCTTCAACCTCAAGCCAATGCATGCACGTCTTTTTGGAAGATGCAAGGCATATTGTTACATTGCAGGCATCCACCCAATGCGCAGATACGAAGTAGCTCTAAGTGGTCACAAATTAACTCATCCCATTCTGGCCGCCTGCCGAGGTTTTCTCAACAAGTACTTCCTCAACCGCTTACGAGGCACCAGAAAGCCCGCACAGGCCCACGTTGCGTATTTCGCAATTATTCTATTGAAGAAGTGTAGAGGTGGCCGATCAGAACCACCTGTTCTACCATCCAAGTTACGTGCTCATCCTTTCGACCTCTTCTCGATTCCATATTGCCTCCGCACAATCTACACACCAAAGCATAGGTTCCAGCATCATGCCCAACATCATGGTAAACTTGCTTGACCAAATCCAAGACGCGGCTGTCAAGATCCCTTTGGGGGTCTACGTAGCCGTTTGCTTCGGGGTCTCTATTTCCTCATGTCTTTTACTCGTCGTTTATCGTCTATTCTTTCATCCTCTTGCCGGATTCCCTGGGCCAAAGCTTGCCGCTGCCACTCTCTGGTATGAGACATACTACGATGTTTGGCTTAAGGGCAAGTATGTGTTTGAGATCAGGGACATGCACAAGAAATACGGTATGTTAGATTTGTGCAAGTCTTCAGACCTTATTTCTGAGCGTTGAGCAGGTCCCATTGTTCGAGTCAACCCCCATGAAATCCACATTGATGACCCAGAATTCTACCACGAATTCTACTCCACTTCCAGAAAGCTGAAGAAGTATCCTTGGTACTACAAGGTCTCCGGTGTTGCTGAGGTGTCTTTCGGAACAGAGGATCATGACACCCACCGTCGTCGCGTTGGCGTCTACAAAAATCTCTTTGCTTTGCGCTCTATCCATCAGTTCGAGCCACAGATCAAGGCCAACATTGACAAGCTCGGCCACATTCTGAAAGACAAGGCTGAGACGCAAGGCGTGGTCAATGTATCCCATGCCTACCGTGTCTTGACATCCGAAACCATCACGTCGTATATCGGACTTGCTCCCAGCCCTCTTTTGGAGGATGAAAACCTGGGAGAGGCCTACCGTAAATACGCCAGAATTGTGACCGAAAGCTCTGTACTTGTTCGCCACTTCCCTCCCTTGGCCTACTTCAGACTTGTGCCTAGCTGGATCGTCACGCGGTTGAGCTCCGACTTTGGCATTTTGAAGAAGCACCTTGAAGTAAGATTTTACCTCCCGAGTTCACTTTCATCATTGTCCTAATCAGCATAGACCTTGAGGGTCCAGGTCGAATTGGCCTGCGCCCAGAATGAGACACGCGAGAAGACTGCGCACAGCACCATGATTCACGGCATTGTCGGCAATGAACGCCATAGCAGCACAAGCATTAACGAGATCACCGAAGAGGCGCTCATCCTTGAAGGTGCAGGAACAGACTCAACTGCCCAAGCTTTGGAAGCCGCGACCTTCTACATCCTGAATGATCCCCATGTCAGGGCTCGGCTTAAAGAAGAATTGATCAAGGCAATCCCAGATCCACAGAACTTGCCTCCTCTGCCAAAACTGAAGGAGATTAAATATCTTGTAAGACTGGTATCCTGCCTCTTTGTTCTCTTGCTAAAGTCCCTTTCCCCATAGGCGGCCGTGGTTAATGAGACACTTCGGTAGGTTTAATCTACTTTGTAACATGATATTCCAATGGCTAATTTTGGGTCAGAGTGTGCTCCCCGGCAAGTAGTAGGTTCCCGAGAGTCAACGACTATACGGTAACCGAGTACAAGGGGTGGAAAATCCCTCCCAAGGTAGGGAGTCCTAATCCTGGAAGTAGGTCTAATGGTTATGCCTGCTAACTGCCATAAGACCCCAATGTCCATGAACATCTGGAACTGCCATCGCAACGATGCCATTTTCCCCAACCCCGAACATTTCAACCCTGAGAGATGGCTATCAGACTCCGCCGGGAGTCTCGAAAAATACCTGGTACCCTTTGGTAGCGGCTCCAGAATGTGCATTGGGATGAAGTTTGTTACCCGCACTCCATTTTTGGAAATCTAAGAATGTGAAAAAACCCTTGTTAACAGTTCTGCAGCCTCTCTGTGGCCGAACAATACTTGGTCCTTGCCACACTCTTCCGTCAATTCGACTTCAAGCTTTTCGACACCCATGTTGACGATGTGGCCATGGATTCCTCGTGCCTTATCACTCTCTGCAAGGCGGATTCAAAGGGCGTGCGAGTCACGGTTAGCGACCTGTCGGCTGAGTGACTCTAATGCATGAGAGCTAGTTGGGTTGGGTTGGAGCGGGGAGGCGGGCTGGGGGGCACAGGGGTGGGCGATGGGATAAATCGGGTAACAACCGAGTGTTGTGCACTGCTGCTTTAATAGATAAGGCAGGTTACATTGATAATAATGTGGCGTCCAGACATAGCTTCCCATTCTTCTCGTTGCTGTGCCCTCTCCGAGACAAACCCACTTATCGAAGGACCTGAGAGTGATCCGTACACATGCCGCAGCGCTAACACGTGACATACCATCCATATGCACAGTTTGTCAATCTGCCTACAAAGCTCTCCGTGATTATCCGGAGCTGTCGGATAACTTGCAGCGTTGAGTGACGGCGACAAGAGTTACAAGACTCAAATCAATATAAATAGTAGCCATGGCAGTGTACACACAAAATGACACGTAAATTATCACTTGCTTAGGAATGTGTGGCCTGGAGCGGACCTGAGGAGTCTCGATGTTGCCTTGTTGCCTAGGGGTGCACCTGGTCACAGGAGACATGACTCACGACTGACATGTCAGGTCGGGATCAATATTGAGGTAATTATCAAAAAGGCACGCATAATCAAGGAAGGGCAAGGGCAGGGTAGCGGAGCTGGCCTCAAACAGAGCTTCTAAAAACGTTCGGATACTGCCCAGGCTCAACTATTGTATGTGTGAGTTATACATGCCCCATCGGGAGGAGGCGACATGTGACACGCAAGACTAAGCGCTTTGTTGAGCTATCCGTAATGATGTGGGTGTCTGGATCAAGGTTGGTCGGCCCTAGGAGGTTGCTTGGATTTTTGGAAACAAGTTTCCGGACAGATGGCTCCGCCTTCTTATTCTGCTGCTGGCGTTGCAAATAAAAACTACTCGTCATAAAGCGGCAAAATATGCAGACTAAGTGGTAGCCCTCGTACATACTAAATTAGACCTCATAAACGGGATGTTTGAGCTGCGGAACTTTTGCTTTCCAGTTTGGGAGTAGCACAACCTTAGTCCAGCCCCCGAATCTTTATCGGCTGCGCGGGGGCCATCTCCATGCTTCCGCTCAGCCCATCTCCACACGGGCTGGGCCGTGCAGGGTTTGTGCATTAGTGTGTCTTTCCGTAAATCCATTTTTCGTTTCTCATGCATGTATTTACGTTCGGAGCATCTATACAGAGCACGGAGTCCGTACTCCGTAATTGGTACTTTGCTATTATAAGTTGCAAGACGTATTACGCTCAGCATGCTACAGACCTAGATCTTCATCTTGTCAATCAGACCCCTAAGGATTGGGTTGCATCCAGCCACCCTCTCCAACAGTTCAGTCTCGGCCCGAAGGTCCCTCTCAAGCCGCTCCAATGCAAGTTTGGTGAAGTCTAGACTCCCAGCAGAGCCCATGATATCTAGCATGTGACACTTGATCTCGGATGGTATACCGCCGCCGTACAGGTGGCTTCGCGAGGCCAAGATACTTTTCATCTCTATTGCACGAGGTGTGTCCGGGGCCAGATGACCTGTTCCGCCTAGGCAGTGGATCAATGGGAAGGAGAATTTTCCCTCGTCAAGGTCTTCGCAGAAGCCTTTCTGTCCGGTGTACTGTGGATCACAATATTAGCATAGCAAGTACCTCAGGCGTCCTTGGTAGTCGTACTTCTTCTGACGTCAGGTTCATGAAGTCGTCGCGTATCTGGAAGTACCTTCCCCAAAGGATCATGGCGGTATCGAGACAAGGTAACCTGATCAACAGTTAGTTTGAGAAATCCTCGAGATGTCGGCGTCGTCGGTTGAACCCACTCCGGCTCCAGTGACTCTGCACGCATGAGTTGGTAGATGATTCGAAACAGGCCTCCAGTCTCTGCCTGATTATTAGTAACCATGATAATAATAATGAGTTTAACCATCGTACTGCGGTCCACCATTTGTAGATATTCGTGCTCTTGCGGGCACTCTGCCAAGTATGTAGAGTGGAGGTCGGCTGCCTGGCCTTCGAGCATAAGGCGCACACCATCTAACGTACCCGTGTTACTGTCGGAATTCGACGGTTTAGAATAGGTTACACTCACCGATGAGAATATCTATGCAGACGTTGTTAGAGAGAAGTCTGGCCTTCGCGATTGACGACATGAGAACGTATGTCGAAGAGTTAATGGTTTGCGCTACGCCAAAGATCTTGTGCGCTGTTGGCTTTCCTCGGCGAAGGGCTGAACCATCTTCGATATCATCGAACCTTTATACTCTGATGTCAGTTCTGGCCCAAACGGTAGCAGGACAAAATTTCCTCACATCAGAGATGAGCTGTGCAGAAGAGTGGTTACCTCCCTAATTATGTCGGAGGAAGTTTCCGGGACTTTAAACCATATGTTCAACGCATCAATGAGAATGTTCCTTACTCCTTTTGACGGAAGCCTTTCGATGTATTTATAAGGAGCCAGAGTAATCTTGAAGAATTAGAATGCATTATGCCAGTGCTGGGGGTCAATTACCTCTTTTATCATGTTGTACTGACTGTGCTGCTTGTGCTGCGGAAACGCTGATCCATTCTGAAGAGCCGAGTAGCCGTCTGTAGGGGTTGGCTGAAGAAATTTCAACTTCTTTGTGCCATTCGCCTCGTCGCAAGAGCCGTAGGGGGGCATATTGTTAACCTGGGCAGTTGCTTCAACCTGGCTCACTGTCTTGTTGCTCCTATGCAGGCCACAAGTCCTTTCCATGGCTTCAAATTGAATTCAGGATGCGAAGGGGGGAGAAGCAGTCTTGATGGGTTTGAAATATGATACTTTGTTTGCTAGGGTTGAAGTGGGCTCATCTAAATACCAATCTCAGACAGTGTACGGACGGATACATAAGCAGGATCTCGCCCGAACTCAGCCGATCCCACCCTAACGCACCTGCATGATAACCCATTACCCGCCCAGCATCCACAATGGCCAGGGTCACAAGTGGACTTTGCCGGGGTCTCCCACATTTCCACACTGAGAAGATACTCTCTTGTGTCGTTTTGAGGGTCGGCACCCCCATTTTCCAACTCACCCTTCTTTTCTGTTTCCTACCTTTGCATCACAAAGAAAAGCATACACCAGAAGCAGCAGAATTTCACTCTCACAACAGGACACCTTCCAATATGTCATGGTTCAACAGCATTCTTCTCTGGGCCGCTATCTGCACTATATCAGTAACTACACCAGAAGTGCGGGTAATCTCTTCCAGCGCTAACATTGGACAAGGCTCTTGTATACTCTGCCACCTATAATGCATTCTTCCACCCATTCAGCAGGGTCCCTGGGCCACGCATCAACTCTATTTCGCGATTCCCTTGGATCCGAGACTGGCTGTCGGGGAACTTGCACAAATCCGTCAAGAAGATGCACGAAAGGTATGGTGAGGTAGTGAGGATTGCTCCCGACGAACTGTCGTTCATAAGCCCTGGAGCCTGGAATGACATATACGGCATCAAGAGCGGAAAGTCCTTTGTACGGGATCCCAAGTGGTATGCAAACTTGACAGAGGGACAAGATGATATTATCGTTGCCAATGAAACGAAGCGTAAGTATGCTCTTAGACGCCCTTTTCTTGATCGGTCAATACTAACTTGGATGACTCACAGACGCACATTTCCGCAAGATTTTCAGTCCCTTCTTCTCAGACAAGTCAATTCGGCAGAACGAGCCCGTCATCCGAAGGAATATTGATCTTCTCGTGGAGAGGCTAAAGGATCATATTAAGGGTACAGATGGTGTTGCTGACATGGTGAAATGGTACAATTGGACCACTTTCGACATCATTGGAGATTTGCTCTATGGAGAGCCATTTGACTGCTTGAAGAATGCTGAATACCATCCGTGGCTTGCCGTCGTCTTGCAGAATATTCGACTTAGCTCATATATTGCACTGATGGAGCGGTACTCCTTCTTGAAGAAACTCGTCATGGCACTGTTACCACAGAACCTTTTGGAGAAACGAAATATGCATCTAGACGTCATTAGAGATAAGTGCAGACGTCACGATGGGAAAGGCACCGATCACAGCATTGTCGGCTCTATTGACCCAGCGAATGCCTCGTTGACCGAAGGAGAGCTGGAGGCCAACCTTGCTCTGATGACAATGGCTGGAAGTGAGACATCGGCTACAACTATGTCCGCTGCTACTTATTACCTGGCCACAAACGAGACTGCAGCTTCCAAGGTTGCGGAGGAGATCCGATCCGCGTTCAAGGGGGAACTAGACATCTCATGGGCTGCAGTTCAAAAGCTACCATACCTCAATGCAGTCATTAAAGAGACGCTTCGCCTATATCCTCCTACGCCTGTCGGTCTCCCTCGCAGAGTCATAAGTAAAGGAGAGACGGTCATCGGGCATTTCATACCTAAAGATGTTAGTCTTACGAACCTTTTGCTTCTCTTGATTTACCTTTGGAATCTTGCTGACAACACTAGATGGTGGTATATATTACGCAATATAGCGCCTATCGATCTCAATCCAACTTCCGCGAGCCAGACAAATTCAGGCCTGAAAGGTGGCTTGACGATCCGGCTTTCAAAGGTGACAATCTCGACGCTGTCCAACCATTCATCACCGGCCCATACAGCTGCATCGGAAAGAGTTTGGCTTACATGGAAGTTAGTCTTGTTCTGGCAAGAATGCTGTGGAATTTTGATTGGCAAGCTGGAGAGAAAGATTTAAGCTTTGAGGATGAAAAGGTTTACGCATTATGGCAGAAATCGACTTTGAACATACGGTTTACATTACCTAGTACCGAGTAAGGCTATAGGCATTCACGTACTACTTACTCGCCTTACCTCACTTAAGAGTAGTGTTATGTATAGGTATAGAGTGGCCTAATGAGTCTTGAAAAGGTTATTAATATAATTCTAAACCAGTACTATTACTATGCAAACTTAAATAACTCTTAAAGTAATAATATATTAATACTAATAGTAAAATAGTAACTATTATATATAATATATAGTCGATTTCTTTCTTAACTACAATATATATTTAGGGCTTACTCAGTTACATCAATATTAAATTACTATTAGCTATCTTGTTTATTTTACTTAGTTACTATAAGAAAGGTTTATTAAGTTATATAACCTGAAGTATTTAATTATAATAATTTCTATCCTTATATTTAAAGGTTTAATTTATCCTTATAGGACTTTGAAACCTTTAGTTTAAAACTTTCTTTCTAACATTCATAAGTTTTGTTTTTAAACCTATACCTAACCTTTCTCTATTACTATCCCTCTATTTAGTAACTTTTTAAACATCTTTATATTCAAACTGTCTAGATTTACTGCCCTAAAAACAATCTACACTGTAAAACATAACTTCTTCTATATAATTAAAAATATATAACCGGTTATATAGGGTAAAGTAATATAAAGCCGGCCTTAAAGCTATGTATATAAACCTTCTCGAAACAGACAGAACTTAAAACGTATCCTAAAGAACTAATATAATACAGTTAAGGCAAGTAATTAGGAAGATAAGTAGACTAAGAGTTTAAACAGAATATAAGTAGGGGAAAGGTCAATTAGTCTTGGTCGAGAAACGGTTAAAGTTTATATATATTTCTATATGCTATGTCATATTGTGTGATAAGACATATTGAAGACTCATATCTAAACGGGAAGCCGGGAAAAAGAAATAATCATATGAATGACTCTCGTGGTTTGAAAACCTGTTTTTTAGCGGCGCAGCTCGCTATCCTTCAACTGTGCTATATCAATCTAGGCTGAATGTAGCAGGTGAAACCCGTTCTTGCGTCCAACAAGAATTATAGCCTTGAGAAAAAAACATGATTGAACATATAGAGCAAGGTAGGGCAGTCTTTGGCGCTTGTCTGCATTGTAATTTGGAACTTCCAATATACTTAAATAGACTTTGTGCCACTGTTCTGACATCTAATAGTCTGGCTTCATTTCATTTTCTTGGAATACTGTTCATTCAAGAAACCTTTCAAGCCTTCTAACAAGATGCCCACAGTAACATTAATCACTCAGGCCAAGATAACTAATTTTGGGCCACTAACAACAACCTACACTGCACCAGCATCATGTACCAGGGAAACAAACCATCTTTACTTGGCTGATAAAAGCGACGGACCCGAATATCTCTGGGCTTATCCTACCTGTACAATGCAGCTATATGGTAGATGCATCCCATCTGGAAGTCAATACGATCATCTGATCACAGCAACATATGCCAAGACGTTGGACATTGGCTTTTACCATCACTATTCACCGGGCTTACATTGCCCTTCTAAGTGGACGACCGCCGGAAAATATGTAAAAGGGACTGGAAACACTGCACAGATATCCGGGGATCTTACTAGAACAAAATCGGGAATCGAGCCGGCTAGATGGGAGCCTGGCCGACCATTCGCTACGGATCCGACAATTGTTTGGAAAGAGATCTTGGAACCTTCAGAGACATTAGCCGTTTGTTCCCCAAGGTAAGGTTCTCAATGTCGTTGAGGGCTTATGTAACGCTAACGAATTAAGCAACTACACGATTGACTTTAATGGAAATTGCTTCTCAGTACTTGGTCCAGTGTCTTCGTATGGATATACAGAGATATGCGGGTTTCTAAAAGCAACAAGCGTAGTACCTTTAACAAGCATGAGGAGCGACCGTCCCGTTTATGTCTATACACAACCTATCCCCCTAGCAACCTTTACACGAGATTTACAGACAGGGGAACTGAGGGGAGACAGCCTTGTTGTATCAAGGGTTCCAGCAGTGGCGCTTATTCATCAGGAATCGGATTTTATCAAGCCTGGTAAAGAAGATAGTACTAAAGAGAACTCGGCAAACAGGATGAATGAGCACAGTTGTGTTATACTCCTATTCACGATAGTAATCATTATAACGCTTGAACTGTATATGTTACAATAATATAGGATAAATAAGGATAAAATTGTTCTATAATCCTAGATACTGCAGCATGGTATGCTCAAGGTCTGTATTAATACTAGAGCAAAGGACCTGTAATACTTCCTAGTACATTTCTCCCTCTTTTATAGAATAAAGATTCCTACTCTTCTATTCCTAATTATTATGTAACCTTAGTTGTTACACACCCCTGCTCATTTCTTAGGTGCCTGTCTAATACCAAAATGACTTGGGCTCGGTAGCTATAACAAGTTAGTTAATAATTGTACTACGCAGTGAGTGAACTGGAATGATAGCTTACCTCTGAGGACTGAAGAGTGGTTGAGCGTCACTGACGTCGCATTGGGCCCAAGTATTATTAGAGATGGTCAATTCGTTCTTGACAGGCCTGACATCGGCTCCGGTACTGTGACCTAGGTAATAGATAGGATCGCCAGAGGCATTATAATTCTCTACCTTTTTAAGATAGGAAAGAGAAAGCTAACTCGTCGACACTGTTAACTTGAACCTGAATTTAATCTCGCGGGATAGAGGCAGCTTAATGTATTTAGAGAGAGTAGGGACAGCCTGTATGAACCAGCTCTGAACTTGGGTGTAACCTGGAATGGCGGAAATTGTGTCCGCGAGAGAAGATAAAGAGTCTCGCTATTAAAAGTTAGTGGTCCAATTCTTGAACGATGTTAATATCGACAGGAACCTACGTCGATAACTCTCCATTTACGGTAATCCGCACAGTAGACGACCAAGCCGTGGGACTAGTCAGAGTTAGTCTAGTTTCTTCAGAGGTGTTACTGTTACTTAATTAGCTACAAGAATGGCATTGCTTCCCGCCGTCTCAAAGACATTACTCTTATCCTTCTTTATATCTGCCGTATTCTTTGTCTTGGCTTTCCGCTCTCATTGGTATGTTTGACGCCACCACCGCCGAAAGGTGTAGTCACTTAAACACCCACAGAGACCTTCAAAGCCTCCTGTCCTGTACGCCGGTTAGACGTTACTGTATTAAAGTCCATAACATAAACTGCACGGTTTTTTGGATTGAATGACTCACATTGATCCTTCTGTGGAATGACTGCTAAAGTCGTTCCTGGCCATGCTCGTCTCAAACTCGTGACTGCTTACAGTAATCTCGATTCTGGAGTCATCGTTCACCTAAAAGCTAGGTAAGACTGTATATACAGCCTTACCAACTACTTGTTCAATTGTGGCGGTTAAAGCTTTCGCCTCCTGTGGTGCTGAGTCTGGCGCAGGCGCGGCTGGTGGATCTATTGTCTCGGTGCTTGCATCCTTAGTAGCCACGGCTGTGTCTCCTGCTAGTTTGTTAGTACTTTATATAACAATTGACCTTTTTTCAGAAGATATTATACCTCTTTATCCACCCTCTTACTAAAGTATTATTAAGGAACTTTATAATACACTTGTATTCTTTTTGAAACAAGTTGACTTAGGCTTTATATACTGTACAAAAGTTTTTACGTTTCTATAAAGGCTTATATAACCCTAATTGGCTACCTAACCCGATTTGCTATAGACCCTCCCTTTATACAAAAATTACGGTACACCCTGTTTCAACTGACGTGTCCATAGACAGCTAGGGAACAGTAACGCAAGTACGACACTGCAACACAACTGGCTGGCTCTCGTTGTAGCCCCTCAGATCCTATAACTTACTGGCTTTAGGTTAAAGTCTTAAGAAAGAACTTAGCCTATGCCTCATTAACAGCCTGGAAGTCATCCATTCTTATAAAGAAGATGTTAGCCTTAATTATCCTTGAAAGACTACTTCTAGCTTTCTTCAAGATAGCCTTTAATTAATAAATTTAATTAAGATGAACCTATATAGCTTTCTAGCTATCTGATAACTTCTTCTTCTGTAGGCGGCCAGTAATTTCATCATCAGTTGTGTCAGTCATGGAGTTTCCATCAAAGACAGCAGCGATCGCCTCTAAACTAGGGCCCTTAGTTTCAATAAAGAATTTCCACACAACGACAAGCTCAATAGCAAGCCAAGCAACATAAACGAAGTAAAACTTCCAAGCAAGAGCCTGGAGGCCGATGGGGTTGACCATGGTGTTAATAAAATTACTTGCCTTGCCAAAGAACATGAGGAGAGAGAAGCCCTTGGCACGGATGGGGTAGGGTAGGATCTCGACGGGGTAAGAATATAACAGAGCATTAAAGGCCAAGTTGTAGAAGAAGTAGAAGAGGAAAAGCATAGCGATAACGGCCTTTCCGGCGGCGGTGTTATGATCCTCATTAAAGAGGCCAGCACAAAGGGTCTGCGAGGCAAAGATACCAAGCATGCCTCCCACAGAAATGAGGAATTGAGTGCGGCGCTTCATATAAGCGGTGAGGAAGGCCGAGGCAACAGAGGTAAGCCAGTTAAAGACCATAAGGCAGCCATTAAGAATATTTCGCTCTCTGGCATCAGTCACACCTACTGTTTCCAGGACACGGACAAGGTAGTAAGACACAAGACCGTTGCCGGACCACTGACTGAAGCAGCCGAGACATACAAGGATAAAGACTCGCTTTCGGTTTCCAGGTGAAGTAAAGAGGTCTTTCCATCCGGACTCATTACTAACTTCGGCTTCGATAACGTTTCGCATTTGCTGGAACTCAAGCTTCACCAACTCATCATTCTCATCTCCATTGGCGTGCCACTTAACGAGCATAGCTCTGGCCTCTTCACTACGGCCATTGGCGATAAGCCATCGAGGTGATTCGGGAAGGAGGAAGACGCAGGATATAGGCAATAAAGCTGGTGCCGCTTGTAGTAGAGAGGGGATTCTCCACGCCCACTCGCTTTGGATACTAAAAGTCCCGAATGTGACCCAGGCGGCGAGAATAGCTCCAATATACCATGATGTTTGGTAGAGCGAGGTGATGACTTGTCGTTCCTTGGGATGTGCTAATTCGCCGATAAGCATGGGCGCGTAGGCATTGGCGAAGACAAGACCGAATCCGATAACGAATCGTGAGATAAGGAACATGGCGACTATTAGGGATCCATTAGCGGATGTAACTCGTGAGAGAGATAAGTAGTTAACTAACAATGGACAGAGGCACCTTGAATGGCCGCACCAGTAATCATGATGACAGCACCAACAAAGATACCCATGCGTCGTCCGTAGCGATCACCGACCAGGCTGATGAATGGAGTAGCGACGACACAACCGAGAGGGAGAATGGCAGCCATGATGCCAAGAAGTGGACCGCGAGGTTGTCCAAAGTCTTCAATTTCCAGTTAGTATTAATATAGATGGGGACCCGTTAGAGCGAGACTTACAGTTGTCCCATGATGGCACAGCTTGGAGACCAGACATCATGCTAAACAAAGTCAGATCATGTTTCAACTGTTCATTGTACGGTCAGACCGAGACCTACCTGGCATCAAAGCCTAGCGTGACAGCAGCGGAAAGGCAAGTCGGAATGATAAGAAGGTAGAGTTGGAGAAGGCTCTTGTTCTTGTAGAAAGGAGGAGCTGCCGCAACAAGGTCTTGGATCCTCTGGTCAAGAGTGAGGATCTGGTCATCGACTGCCTGAGTGGCATTCTCTGCCATGGCAACGTCGGTCTTGCCTTCAAGGCTTTGTCTGCCCATCTTGAGACAAAAGGATGTAGCAAAAGGAGTAGGAATAGGCTGAGAGGGAAATTGAGTTGAAGCGGTTGAAGCTGGGCTGAAGATGTTTCTAACCCTCCAGACATGGCCATTTAATATACTTTATCACAGCCAGGCTAGTGCCAATTGCACACGGGGCCCCCAAGAAAACTTTACCTTGACCGTCACTTACCCCACGGGGCGTCCAGGAGATGCTTGTTGTCCCCGCACGTTGGAATTAGCTAGAGCACTATCGGCTACTACCCGAGAACGACATTCCCACAAAATGGAATTAGCTGGAGCATTATCGGCTACCACCCGAGAGCGACCGACTCTTGCGACGGATACTTCCCGAAGTTATCCACTTGGGGAAATAAAGCCACCACTCGCCATTATTGCACAATACATAACACTAGGATGTCTCGACCATCACCGCCCCGATCAGAAAGCACAGAACTCAGATCACACTGCCCATCATGGATTTCTCTCAAGCCACCGCGGATATCATCTCTCAACTCACAACCGAGGAAAAAATTAGTTTACTGGCAGCTGTCGACTGGTGGCGTACACCGACTATCCGCAGAGATGCCAGTATCTTGGTTCCTCACATCAAGATGTCTGACGGCCCAAATGGCGCTCGGGGCGAAAGCTACGTCAGCGGCATCACTGCGGCGTGCTTTCCATGCTCGACCAACGTAGGAGCAACGTTTGACTCACACTTTGCGTTCCGTCTGGGCCAGGAGATTGCGAGAGAGACAAAGACAAAATCCGCCAATGTTCTTCTCGCGCCCACCATGAACATCATCAGGTCTCCCCTAGGAGGAAGGAACTACGAGACGTACTCAGAAGATCCTTACTTGATCGGCACTTTAGCCTCGGCATTTGTTCGAGGATGTCAGACCGAGGGAATCGCTGCTGCTCCGAAGCACTTTGTTGCCAACGAGTCGGAAAAGAGCAGGACAAAAATGACGTCCAATGTAGATATGCAGACCCTGCGAGAGATCTATATGCTGCCTTTTCAGCTGGTAATGCGAGACTCGGATCCCTGGTGTTTCATGACTTCGTATAACCGTCTGAACAGAGAATATTGTGCAGACAGTCACTGGTTACTGCAAGAAGTATTGCGGAAGGAATGGGGCTTTAGTGGTCTTGTGGTCTCTGACTGGATGGGAACATACTCAACCGCCCTGGCTCTAAACTCGGGTATGGATCTGGAAATGCCAGGTCCAACGAGATGGCGTGGAAACAAGCTTCTACAGGAGATTGAAGCCGGCAAGATTACCCTAGAGACCTTGAATGAGAGTGTGGGTAGAGTCATAGATCTTGCCAGGAGGACAGGCCGATTTGAGGACCCTATCGAGAAATCAGAGTTCTCGGAGGAGAATCCTGATCGACGTGAGTTCATCACACAGCTAGCCGCGGAAGGCATGGTGTTGTTGAAGAATGAGGACAACGTTTTACCATTATCTCCAAACACCACCGTCGCCGTCATTGGGCATCATGCCCTTAGCCCTAGTATCGGAGGTGGCGGCAGCGCAAAGGTTCTGGCTCAACACGTCATCTCACCTCTCGAGGGTCTCAAAGCGCAAGGTGTGCAGTGCCGACATGCGCCTGGAGTGCCTGTGTTTGGAGCTCTCCCTCACGCCGACCCTGGAACCATCTCGTCAGTGCGGCTCATTTGGTTCAATGGCTCCTTGGTAGGAGAGAATCTTGCTTATGAGCAGACCATCGCGGAGGCTGAGTATATGATTAAGGAGGCTTGGCCAAGCTTTCTCGACCAAGAGTACTGCTCTAGCATGAATTTCATACTTCGACCTACTACAAGTGGCAGCCACATTTTCTCCGTCATAACCACCGGAAAGGCCGATGTGTTTATTGACGGAGAGAACGTATTCCATCGCCAACAAGAGCCCGTGCTGGTTCCCGAGTCATTCTACTTTTATAAGGCGAAGATTGAGCGACGGTTTACGTTCAAAATGGAGGCGGATCGGGAGTACAAGATTGAGCTGCGTTCTTGGGCAACCGATAAAGACATCCTGTCCCGAATTGGCGGGACCATGTTTCAAGGAGCCTCGCTTCGATTCATGGAACATGTAGACATTACAGGGGCCATAAGAGATGCAGCAGATGTAGCATCGTCCTCTGATGTTGCGCTAGTCTTTGTTGGCACAACCAATGAACTGGAATCAGAAGGTTATGATCGCGATACAATGGACCTAACTCTGGATCAGTACGACTTGATAAATGCCGTGGCTGCTCGCAACCCACGCACAGTTGTTATTAACCTATCTGGATCCCCTGTCACCGTCTCTCCTTTTATCGGCAAGGTTTCATCGTTTCTCCAGGCATGGTTCGCTGGCCAGGAGTGTGGAAATTCCATTGCGCGGGTCCTCACTGGACGAGTCAACCCCTCAGGCCGTCTCCCAATGTCCTGGCCACAAAAGAATGAGGACAACCCCGCATATCATAACTTCCCGTGCGATGACAATCTGGATCTGAACTACGAGGAGCGCCTCAAGGTTGGATACCGCTTCTATGATGACGAGTCAGCTCCAAAGCCCCAGTTCTCCTTTGGAGCTGGTCTCTCCTACACTGCATTTGAGCTGGCAAGTAACTCAAAGGCAGTATCGTCGTTCGAAAAGAGTGACGAATCTGAAGTATCGGTATCGGTGGAATGCGAGGTGAAAAATACAGGCAGAAGAGATGGCAAGCAGGTTGTACAGCTGTATGTCAGTCTGCCTCAGTGCGATGGTAATCCCCGTCCAGTCAAGGAACTCAAGGCATACCAAAAGATTTCTATTTCTGCAGGAGAAACAGAAAAGATTGCATTTGAACTGGACAGGTATGCGTTTAGCTACTTTGAAGCTCAAGCGAACAGGTGGAAGGTACCTCAAGGCGAATTCCTGATACATTTATGCTTCAGCGCAGCCAAAATACTTCAGACACTTCGTGTTGAAAATTCAGAAGACCTCTACTGGTCGGGAATATAGTAAGGAACTCAGCCTCATGATCAATTACAACTTGGCAGTTAGAATATAGATTCGTCTCCAAAGGCATACCACTTTCAAGGCTCCAATCCCAATTCTCCTGAAACAGTGACACCATCAGATTCCCTTGGATGACGTTATTGTCTACCGAGTTCAAACTCTCTTCGCCCCTAAGCTGCCCGTCCAGAAAGCCTCGAGGACCGATATATGGCCTACGGGAAGCTATACGTAATGCGCTTTCGGAGATCCGATCTGCTGTATGTTAAGGTCAGTTGTAGTTTAGCTAACTGGGGAATAGATACTAAGTATGTAGATCGCGTATGTTCTTCTAGCTAAAACAAGTGATATAAATACTCTCCTGCGCGGGTATTCACTCTGTTAATAAGCCTGAGAATTATTATGGTTTTCCCTATGTGGTATCGAGTTATTCCTATCTTAAATACTTAATCCCCCCTATCTCGGCGGATTCGGCAAGAATAATTATACCACCGTATGTTATAAGATCAAGGGAAAGTGAGCAAGACCCTTGTTGATTAGTGATTGGAAGGTTATAAAACAAAATAAACTACTATACACCAGTGGTAGCGCCTTACCTTAGGGCGAGTAGTGATGTTGATAGTTTATAGGCTACTTAAGCACAGGTGGTGACATATTGAGCGTGGAATACCGCCTGCAAAGTAACCTTTGAATTTACTGTATTCTTCAGGGTTCTGCCAAGACAATATTGACCTAGATATCTATTACAATCGGAAGATAAGATGGCATACCAAAAACAACTAAAGCGATACATAGGGAGACTAAGTACATGTTAAATCCTGCTCCGCACAGCCTCCTCTTCATCTATAGCGGACCTGATCAAATCTCGGATCTTCACAGCCACGCCGTAACTATAGGTTTGCCCAAAGAGTATCAAAGCCATAAGCGTGTATCATATCGCTCTCCCGTCACTATGTCTTTTTACTATATATCGAACTACCCAGGTGCCATAACACTTCTGAGAAATCCCCTTTGCTAACGAACGCGATTTAGTTTCTCATATCTTTCCCGGAACAGTTTAAGGGCCACCAGCCCGGCCGCTATAGTCCCAGTAGCCATCACCTTGGGACCGGCATGTACCAACCACGCAGTAGTAACCGCCTCCACGGTTTGCCTCGTTAGGCGAAAACATGACAAAAGGGTCTCCAGAAGAATCCCAGCCTCCGCCAACCGCACACGAATCTCTCTCCTTGTTCTGAACAGTATCTAAAGAATCTATTAGCTATTACACGTACTAAACATGATTTTCGGGGTACTTACAAGCAGTGTGAGCAATATTATACCACACACAGATATCCTCACCAGTACCACCGTTGCAAGTATAGGTGTTACCGGTGGTCCAGCTCTCAGAAACAGAAAAGCCACCACTGATCCAGCTAAATGGGGTTACATTGGCCGTCCAGCCAATAGTGTATGAGATGGATTGGGAGCTGCCCACGCTGCATGATGCGGCCGATCCGCAGCTGATAACTTCTGAGAGCTGCTTGTGGAAATAATTTTGATGGGGGTCACCTAATATGAGGCATGTCAGTTAACAATGTCCAAAGGGTCCAGTTAGAGACACTGACCATCGCCAACAAGCGAAGTGCGCGTTAAGACTGAGCATGCAGGAGGGTCATTGATTGGGCTTGCTTCTCTCTTGGTCTTGAGAGAAGATGTAAGACCATTGGTAGTCAAGAACCGCAAGGCGCTTTTGGCATCATCCTTGTCGTGACAGTTCTCCTCGATCTTAGCTTTAGAAGAAGGTTTCCAGTCGATGCCGGAACATTCGATGACAGTTGCATCAGCACCGAACTTCTTAGTGCAGATTGGGCCACCTGAGTACTGGGCCTTTGAGTGGACTAGGTACTTCTTAGCGCCAATGGTAAAGTTGCCAAAGCCATTCTCATTGACGTCAGAGAAATCAATGCTATGGGGGGCATCAGAGATCAAGTTTGAACAGCTTTGAGCAAGAAGTGTAGAGCCATCGAAGATGCTAAGTGATGTTTGACTGGATTGCTTGGCGTGTTGCCAAACGATCTGGATATCAGCGCTAACAGTCGAAACTGTTAGGGCCAATACAATGGCGAGAGGAAGCATGTTGATTAAGCTTGTGGAGGAAGTAAGTAATGATTTAGATAATTGGGATTCTTAATGATACTCTAATCGATGCTGGGACTTGGCATTCTTTATATAGCCTTATTATCTGTGGGATTATGACAGGCTCCAGAATAATCTATGATTACATCAAGGTTGATCAGAATTCTCTTAAGTCGAAAATGACGCTGAGTAGTAGCTATCGTCGCGGTGATCCTTTGAGTTTCGTTTAGATAGCAGGACGGTAAGCAATTCGTCTTTACTATCGTGAAAAGAGTGGGGAGCCCGAGGAGATGTAACATTAAAATGCTTGTCTTGGCCTTTTTTCTGCCGATCGGACTTTTTGTCAATCCTTCTCAGCTTACGATGTTACCATTTTCGGTATTTTCTTGATGCCTAGAATTATACCTACTGATTTTGGTCAATGAACATTTAAGGATCATTTCTATCAGGGGAAGAATCAAGGAAATGGCCCCACTCGTAAAAAATGCCGCGATTGGTATGTCATTTGTTCGTATTAGCCTCCAATAGTAGTGTCGAGACGGACCCCAAACTGACCTGTGCTTTGAATCCTTTTATGAACACAGCCCCAATCTCGCGGCTATACGGCATTTAGCGCGTCCGTAAGGTCAGTAAACAAGTTTTAGTAGGGATTAGTAGAGCACTGATTATATTTTCAAATTAATAATAATATAATCTAGTTATTTAGTTAATAGGTTAGATATCTCTTTGCTTGCTCATCAATCTAATTAGATGTTACGACCCAACACCCAACAAGATAAAGCGCTTACGTTATGTGTACCCTATTTCATTTCAACCAATTACACGTCGACTAACGTTTCTAATACAGGGTAACCGTAATCCCCTCTATGCAGATTACGCTTTAGATTTACGACTTACCGTACTAATTATAAAAGAACTAAACATTAAAAGGACTAATATTAACCTAGGACTATATTTGTCTAGGAATAAAATCAACATCTCGGTCATCATAGTATTCAGTCATATCTGCCAATTAACTTAGCAGTGAAAACTTACGGACATCTGACATCGACGGGCTACTTACCTGTACTCCATTTGTCGGATCACGATGAGCGAGTGCCCAGTAAAGCTCAAAGCTCTCGGTCTGTAAGTCATGCCCCTTGTAGTCCGGGTGCGGAAGAATGCCAGCGCCAGTCCTTTGCACAACACTTGTCAGTTTCAAAGAAAACACTTATAGGGGCTGAGTGACCCCTACCAAGGGCTTGCCCACTGCTGAGATGAATCATCGCCAGGTAAATCACGGGCGATAATGGTCACAGGGTATCCTGCTTCGATGAGGGCAAGAGCAGACGTGAGCCCGATGATTCCAGAACCGATTATGCCGACTTCCATTGTAAATGTTTTAAGGAACCTCCTTCACAAACGGTTTGCGGTTTTTAGAGAATATCCCACCGATTGGGGCATTGGCGGTATTAAATTGAGGAAACCTTGTCCATCAATAACGCGATTCCATGTAATATAAACCAGTGCCGGTTCAAATAATCAGAGGGTGGCGAGCCTCATGCAAGTGGGGATGCTTGAGCAACCACGCACTGCTGGCCGGCACGTTTGATTGTTGGGCACTAAGTTAGAACTGCCGCTGGGTCAAGAATCGGTAGGTCTTCTGAGAGCGCTGAGGAATGCCGGCGATGAAAGCGGGGCCGTAGCCCGGAGCTTGGAGTGTGGAGACAGCCCGGCACCTCGACCGGCACAGCCGGATAAACGGGCGGCATTGTGGCACGAATCGCATCCGGGAAAAGGGATAGTCATTTCAATATGACCCATCCTCTTATTTGTCATCGCAGCGACCCTTCTTTTAGAAACTTAGCAGAGGCAAGTCAAGGCATAGCATAATGACTTTACCTAAAGGCAGAGTACTACTGATTGGCAGCCGTGGTATTGATACGATTGCTGCTCTGAATCTCGAAATAGGAGGCTTGGCTGAAGTCACATCTGTCTTGCGGTCCAATTTCCAAGTCGTGCGCAGTAAGGGATTCACCGTCAGATCTTGCCAGCACGGCGACATTCACAGCTGGCGACCTACCGAAAGTCAGTTAACTTCGTCTTTCTTGAACGTATGACAAGATAAAAGTATATGCTGACTTCAGTATAGGCTTGGATGCTATTCCCGGCCGATATGACGGACAGGGGCGGCCATTTGATTTCATTGTGTGCTGCACAAAGAATATTCCCGACATTATTCGTACATTATGCGACATCGTTGCACCTGCCGTCACTCCTGGCCATACCGCCATTGTCTTGATACAAAATGGTATAAACATCGAAAGACCGTTTATCCATCGATTTCCGAACAATGTTATTGTATCCGGTATTAGTAGAATCGACGCCCACGAAGTCGCACCTGGAGTTATCGAGCAGAAACAGAACGACCTTCTACACATCGGAGCCTTCAATAACCCTTCCTTGTATTCAAATGTACAAGAAGCAGCGGCGAAACGCTTTGTAGAGATTTACAGCAAAGGAGGCAAAACTACCTGCCTATATAGGCCGGATGTGGATTCTGATCGCTGGAGCAAGTTGGTTTATAATGCTTCGTTCAATCCAGTATGCGCTCTGACACGCCTGAACACTGGCGAGTTACAAAAAACAGGCCGAGTGATGGACACTCTTGTAGTCCCCGCGATGAAAGAAGTCCTTGCTGTCGCGAAGAAGGCTGGACATGGACTTCCGGAAAGCATTATAAGTGATACGATAATGACTACCCCAATAAATGAGAGTATCACACCGAGTATGCAAATCGATTTAGAAAAGGCAAGGCACCTACTCACTGTGAATATCAGTACCGAATCTGACATGAAGCGTTTTAGGGTAATTTTATTGAACACGAGAATATCATTGGGGAGGTGGTCAGGGAAGGACAAGGTCGAGGAGTGGCTACACCAGTTTTATCTTCTTTGTATGAATTGTGCTGCGCAGTGCAGTGGAAGCTCAAGGAGAATAGAAATAGCATCTAGAACCAACGGTTCGTTCCTCTGCACCAATCAATATAGCAGCCCAAGATTCTCTTTAATATACAAAGCGCATGGTGTTCAAATGATTGGATTTTCGCTCACCGATGCATGCCAGGGCACCTTCTTTTTACCCTACTGTCATCAACAAGCCTCTAGGAGTCGAAAGGTAGGCTGAGTCACTTCTCGGCTTGCATAGCGAAACGAAAACGAAGTTAAACAAGGCTGTCAAGCCAAGAATACTGGAACTGTTCTGCAATACATCCGTTCGCCCACGCAAGTCTCTACAGCCAATTGAACGGCATGGGAGATTATGAAGGACCGTGTTAGTGTTTCCACTTAGTAGCCAGGGGCTATTGGACTGGTTTCTTTTATTTCAGTGGTTGCCTTTCTCTTATTGTTCTCCTTTTCCGTCCCGAGCTTTTTAAGTTTTCCCCTCAAAATCCAGAATATTCGCATTTTTCATGTTGAGTAGTTCATCAACACTGTTGCCTGCATCTGGAAACTCGGAGCATCGAGGTTCCAGGACAAAAAGAGGGCACAGAAAATTGAGAACAGGTTGTCAAACATGTAACCTAAGACGCAGCAAAGTAGGTCGCACCCAGCTTATCCTTCCCTCCCATGCCGGACCCTTACTAGTTAGTCGCATCCGACTTCCTTTAGTGTGGAGAAGAGAAACCTATTTATGCTCACTGTATGAGACGAGGTGAAGAATACCATTGCACTCTCCCACTCCATCCCAGGCACTACGCGTCACTAGCGTCGTCGCCGCAGGTATCTGCCATAGTTGGGTTGGAGTCTCGGGGAACGATATTCGTCCGGGGTCAGCAGACTTGGTCGCGTATTCAGCCTCATCTTGATAATCGGCGGGTATAATAATCCTTTTGATATATCTAACCCCTTACCAAAGGATCTTAAATAACCTTGCTTTGAGTAGTGCCTGTCTGTGCAAGACCTATGTTCTGTCTGCTGGGAGCTAAAGCCTCGCAAGGATGGTAAGTTAGACGGCCTCATACGGTAGTATTTATTAATAGGGCTCATGCCTCGATTGTATCACGGCATGGGATTCTGTAGGGTTCTTTGCATGATGACCTTTTACAATCACAAGCAAGGAACTCAAATAATAGAAACATCGCTGTAAGCATTATCATTTATGTAGATTCTAGCTTCTCACTGTTAGTTGAGCATCTACACTGCTATGGGCCAGATGCGTGTTGTCTCAATTATGTTAGAACACCAGCTGTAAGATATCTTGGTAACCGCCAAGGCTTGGCTAAATTATCCTACCAGCGCAAATGACAGAAAGCTTAATACCACCCATTATCCAAATTATAAAATTATAAAAAGCTATATTCTGTACATTGATCACAAGTAACGATAGGCTTCACAATACTACTAACCGTACCGAAGGCTTCGAGGCTATCATCCAAGACTAATTCACTGTAAGAGCTTGATAACGTTCCTAAAATATCCGCTATGAAACAAATTATTTCAGTTAAGCTTGCATTTAATACAATACTTAAGGTAGCCTTTAACCGTCTTGACTTGATCAGGAGCCAGCCTTTCAACTCCGATGTTCTGTTGACACAAAGGTTAAATAGGCTAACAAAATTGCAGTAAATTAAGAAATAAAGACTTAGTAATTATTATAATAGGCTTGTGCCTTGTGAATTCATTAAGACTTAGATATACAAGAGAATAAAGGCTTGTATTATAACGTTTGTTAAAATGGTAACTAGGAAAAAGATAGAACCGGCTTTATATACCTAAGAACTTTTCATTTTCGGGCTGTGTATCAATAATATAGAAGATATGGTCTACCGAAGTAGTGCTTATGATAATTATGATTACGCGTCGATAGCATTATGTGCTTTGCAGATCCTTTTAGAGCTGCATCCGGCTGGTATGTAATAAATATGCCGTGTTTCAAGATTAATATAAATAAAGAAACAAACGATTGCAAGGTAGCCTTATGGAGTTAGCCGCTGACAGGCACGTCTGTGCACCGGGTTCGGTCTCGGTCTCGGTCTCGGTCTCGGGCACCTGTTGATGAACTTAAACACAGCTTATGACCAGGCCCAATCCAATATTTCGTTTTCAGGTCTCTGCATATTCCCATCCACCTTTTCCTCCCTTTTCAGAAGAGCAAGCCGATTCTCTCGCATTCCCTCTGCCTCACATACTACTCCAAAGACGCATTATGTCCGCAACACGTATGCCGGATCCTCCTTCCGACAGTATCATCAACCTTACCATCGCCGACCTCGCCATTTATGCAGTTCTCCTTTTCCCGGTCATCCGGATCACCTGGAAGCATGGAAAGTCTGGCATGGTTTGTTGGCCGATTTTCCTATCCTTCTTCGCACTCCGATTTGTCTCCGATGCCTACCTGATTGCGAATCGTCACAAGCCTCAGATCCCCAACCCGGTTGTGATCATGACCAATGCTGGTAGCATTGCCTGCATGTCTTTGACAATTGTTGGTGTCATCTATGAAGTGTACGTTGCGCCGCCATCGAATATGAACCGAGTTTGTTACTGATTGAGAGACTGGCGCTTGCAGAAACATCATGCTCCCACTTCCTCCAAAACGCTGGACCGAAAAAATAATACTTGCTGTCACTCATCTTGCTTTGACTGCCGGCATAGGCTTGGCTACGTATGGAGGATCACCTAAGGAAGGAGCGCCGGGCGGAGTCGTGTCGAAACATCTTAACCAGATTGGGACCTGTTTAATGTTGTTCGTCATGCTGTTTGGCGTTGGCTGGTGGCTCTGGCGGACCGGAAAAAAGGTTATGTCTCTCAAGACACATCCAAACTTCCAGCTAGCAAGAAATTTACTTCTAGCCGGCTGCGCAGCGTTCCCATTCCAACTGGTCAGGCTTGGTCACAGTCTCACCTACTCATTCACTCCGTACCCCAGCTTGGACCCTATTTCCGGTTCATTTGCTACTAGGCTGGTACTCATGTTTGGAATGCAATTGATTGTGGCCTTGGTAGTTACTGCTGGTGGTTGGCTGAGTATTGGTGCTACGCCTAACTCCGCCTTAGGCGAGGAGAGTCAGGGATCCGGAACAGTCACACAGCCTTGGGTTTAATACTTTATAAATTGATTACAGACGGGTAAAGAACAGCTTGGAATTATACTTAGGGCTTAACTGGCCGAGATGTATTTGTACTACTGTAGAAGGCATAACTAGGTGGTTATTGACTAAAATATTGTCAATTAAGGGTATACCTGGCTTTAAAGATTAGAATTGGCAGACCTGTAAGACATACCCTGTCTGCTCTTTTAGCTTGAGCAATTGATAATTCGCCCCCCTTTTGAGGTAGTTCTCGAGGAAGAAGTCCCGGACTCGTGATCTATCCGGACGTACCCTGTAAAATAATGCACATCTAAGACCCACTCATCTCCAGGAGCTCAGTCCCTTAACAAAAGTATAAAGATAGCTCAAGGTCTTGTTAGAGCCTATTCTCTAAATGAGTTCACCATAAATTCGACTACTATTATCTTTATTCTGCACCCTATCTATTCAACATGAAACTTCTTTCTGTTCTTATGTTAGCTGTCCTACCTTTTTCGGTTTTGGGTAGTTACATTCGTCTCGAAAGGGATCTTATTGAGGCACGACAATCCTGCCCCCCCTCGAACTCGCGGAGCTCAATGCCGCCGCCCTACTAGCTGTCCAACATGTAATTGCGTTTGCGATGATTGTGCATGTTTCTCTGGTCTACTCCTACTTTTAATCTCTTCCTCTTTATTTCAATATTATAATACTGATATGTCACAGGCTGGAACAGCAATTGAACAAATGTACTCGCCGAGAGTATCTAAAAGCTCTTTAAGTGCGGGCTTAAAGAAAGAAGGATTTTAGATAAAATTGGGAGTTTAAAGGTTTTAGAGCTAGTTAAATTACTAACTTGTCATAACAATATAAATTAAGTCTGCCCTTATGCTAAAGCGCGAGTTCCTCAACGTCGTACAAGAAATTCAACTAGAACTCAAAGCCTTTCGTAATAAGCTTCCTGTCGAGTGTCAATTCAGTCAGACAAACCTTTGGCTGAGCACTTACACTCTATCGCGCATTACATGGCTTATAATGCATCTCTGGTGGCATCAGACACATTGCGATCTTTATCGCTTTACCGCCACTGAGCTTGCTCGGCTTCCACAAGACTATTCTACTGCCTGCTGGGCAAAATGCCTGACGCATGCGCTATCTGTGTTTTGCATTCTTGAAACAGGCAACCAAGCTGGTGTTCGCATCATATCACCTTGGGTTGGTTAACGATCTACCACCCCTGCTATACCTGGGCGCCGAATATTAGTTACACATTACGCCCAAAGCCCACTAGACCTATAGCATAGTACCGTTAACTTGACAGCAATCTTCCAGCACCTACACCACTAACTTAAGTTACAGCGCACTTAGGTAATACGTCCAGGTCATCTTCATAGCGATTCTAAACAGGACTGTTTAATTTTAATAAAAATAAGAAAATGGAAATCCATGCCACCACTATCATTATGTGACAGTAGTGGAAAGTTTTTGACAAAACGGACTACGCTTCCGTAACACCTCGCCATATTTGATAAAGGCGAAAGGGATAAGTGCTAACACTAGGGTAATAAAAGCTAAGAGAGAGCATGCCCACTGGATTCCAAGCTGATCATACATCCGCCGTGCAGCTAAAGGCAAACATACGGCTGTGATTGATCTCATTGTACTCGCAGCCGCTTGGGCAGATGCGGAGTTCTCCCTGTACGCATCGGTAATGTAGTTTAACAGCGACATGAATATAACTAGATACCCAGTCCCGAATAGCAGGCCCGACATTGCTGCCACCGCCGGATGAATCGATGAATAGGAGGTCCAGCCAAGCCAGAACAAAGATGCAGTGATCCTAGGTCCCTTGTGAGTTATGGATACAGCTGACTTTGAGAATAGAGACCTACATCGGGCCGCCTATGCACGCCAGTGGTAGTCGGCGATACTCAATCTTGGACGCCCATGTCGCACCGTTACGCAAGGCAGAAGAATGATAGGAACTATACAACAGAAATAAAACTAAAGCCAGGACCGAACCTGCCGACACTGGATTTTGTTAGTATTTGGTTCAGTTACCAGATATCGTGGGCTAACCTGGAAGGAATGTCAAGCCAACCTGGCCGTACGTCAGACCATAGACACCTGTAAGGAGTAAGCTTTCAATTTGATGGAATGGGCTAAGATATAGACCGACCCTGGAAGATAATGGGATAGGCTTGGAAAAAGAGATAGAGCGTTGAGTAAACCAGTGCTAGATATAAGGATGAGAATAGAACAACAGGCTCCCTAGTAATCATGACGAATGGTCTTGCAAAGACTGTCTTTAATTCTTTCCAAAGTCTCTTGCGTTTTTCTTCGGGACTGGGCACATTTTCGCCATTTGACGAACCACCAAATTCCCGTTGCCTGATCACAGGAGTGTAGGTTTCAGGGAGACAAAGCACTAGGGGTAAGAAAAGACCAGCAATACTTAAGCCGACCCAGAAGGTCAATCTCCAGGAGACTGCAGTCGAGTAACCAGATATTATGGGTCCGAAGGGAGGTATCATAGAGGTTGCACACAAGAAATATGCCGTCACCCTGCCTCTCGGCCCTGGGTGATTGTAGATATCGGCAAAAACTGGCCCAGCCACGGCGTTTGGAGCAGCGGCCGCAATACCACAGAGCAGACGGAAGACCAACAATGATTCGTAATTGGGGCTTACGGCGCAGCATAGCGTGAAGATCATGTAAGCTACATACGTGCCGATAAGGACGAAGCGTCGCCCAACGTGCTCACTCAGAGGCCCGAATATGAGTGGACCAATTGCAAAACCCAACATGTAGATGGAATTGAGCAAGACAAGCATAAGCGGATTTGCTACTGAAAAAGCTTTGGCGATATCATCTATAGCTCCTGAAGGCAAGGATGAGCCGAGAGCGCTGTTGACGATGAAGGCGACGCCTGCAGCAACAATTAGTGCCTTTTTTTGCTGGTACTAATTAACTTTTTGACACATTAAGTTTCATGGGAAGAGTGTCAAACCAAAACTTACAGAAGAAAACTTAACGGGGTTCTTCTCATCTGGTAGATCAAGTGACCCATGGATTGCCCCCGTTGAAATAGTCATTATGAAGCCAGCCGTCGTCGGTATGGGCTTTGCAGTCGTAAGAGATGGTGATCTCGAACGATTTCACAAACATAAAGAGTACACGGTCAGCTTGACGAACTTCCCACCGCTAGCTATTTGTTGTATTAGATCGAAATTGTCGGCCCGACCGGTGGCCGGTTTCGGTCGGTCTGGGGGAATTTTCAACGTATCCAATTTTCTTTTTCCACGCCCTACGGCTAAGTTAAGGTTCCACAGCGGCCCGGGGGGAACGAGTCAGTCTACCACAGGGCGCGGTTTCGATGAGCTAAGAGCAATGGTTTCAACACTTCAGTTTTGCGTCTGCATAAGAAAGGTAACATTTTAAGCATATGTTGCAAGAGGTCGCGTTGCGTTTATCATACTGTATTTTTATGTCTACCCACGAGTGTTATGAGCCCCTGTGCCTACCTCGTTTATTCAGCTGAGAAAGACAAGTCTTGTAAGACAGACCCTGGGAGCGGGCTTGCTCAAGATTACCAGTACATTTTCATAGCAAATTAGTAGCACAGCACACGTTACCTAAGTTACCTAGAATAGTGGAATTTAGCGGAATTCATCCAAATATAGGCTATAAGCAAAACACCGAATGTTGCAACTAGATTAAGCTATGTCAGTCACGCACCATGTCTGTGACTTGATGGAAATGGTGGTTACCTTTCTTTGGTCCGATGCCGGCTTCTGTCGGGAGATGAATGAGGCTAACTCGGTACACCTAACTTGATCACAGTGTATAGCCTTAAATCGCGATTTTCCTATTTTCAAGAATAATTATGATAATCCTATAAAATATATAAAGGTATGCAATATTTAATACATAATATTATAATGCTTATTGTATATATACTGTTATATACTATTAGCTTTTATTTTAAACATTATATATAGACCATGGTTAAAATATATAAATTAAATTCAAGTAACTAAGAAGCCATCCCGAAGAAAAACAGTATCAATAACACTGAATTCCTCCATTTAAACCCTTATTAGTCACATTATTGTACCAAGCAAAGACCGACCTGGCATTCGTGTAGGATCACCATCAGCCATGTTTCGATTGAATCACCAATTCGCTCAGCTCGATAGCACCCTTCGTACTGCCTGTCCGCCTGCTTTTATCCCGCGGGGTAAGCCTGCTAGACCCATAAGAATCATCGATGTACCGAGTAGTTCAGCATATGGTTAATTGTTGTCATACGGAGAGACTACGTCGTGGCGACTGCTCACGGCGATGAAGATACACCAAAGCTTTCGGTGAAGCAGTATATCCCCATCGATAATCCTAATCCGCAGCCCGGCGATATCACAATTATTGACGCACATACTAATAGCTTTCCCAAGGTCTGGCCAATAAGCGATATGCCTCATAACGCTAACATTACTGATGGGCCAGCAGGAACTTTACGAACCACTCTGGGATAACATTCATCGAAGCTCAGAAGGGGCTGGTTTCCGAATTCGGTCAATTTAGATAGCTAACATGTGGAATCAAGGCCACTCAGGTGTAATCAATAAAAGCATACTTAGAAATGATCGTAAGTGATCACAGTCTCAACTATGCCATGCGCTAAACAATCTTTTAGCGAGTTAGTCAGGCCACGCAAGAGACCTCATAAACTTGATCAACCACAAGCAAGACTCTATGCCCCATCCAATCATCGGCACCGGCCATAGCATGGGCGGTACTCAGCTGTAAGAGCGCAGTATTGGTTGACAGAATCGGCTGTTGCTAAGCCGTAAGACAGGTCTTTGTTATCCCTGAACCATCCACGCCTATTGAAGTCGTTAGTGCTTCTCGATCCAGTCATCCAACAGCCCAATGGGAGCATTCCCCCGGCCGTTGCATCCACCCCGCGTCGAGACATCTGGCCTTCTAGAGAGGCAGCTGCATCGAGATTTAGGCGAAGCAAGTTTTTCCAGTCTTGGGACCCTCGTGTTTTAGACCTATGGATAGAACACGTTCTTCGTGATGTTCCGCCAAAGTTGCATCCAGCCGATGGTGAAGGAGTTGATGAGCGAGTCACACTTACAACGTCAAAGCACCAGAAACTGTTTACATTCCTCAGACCTACATATGGACAGCTTCCAGGAGAGGAATACCCTGACAAGGATCCGATTACGGAAGAGGAGCACCCGGGCTACCCATTTTACCGGCCCGAACCATTGCAAGTCTTCAATCGGTTGCCTGAACTACGACCCAGCGTGCTCTACATTTTTGGAGACAAATCAGAGCTATCGCCCCCATCTCAGCGCGTGAAGATGACACGAACAAGTGTTGGAGATACATCTTCATGGCCAAAACAACAGTCTCCGTTCTCGTCTACGGCACGGGCAGCATCGGGGCAGTTTGCGTATTCTTGTTGTCAAAGGATGTTCCACGAAACACATCTTTGCTGTTTGTAGATCGAACTATGAAGCAGCCCGAAGCAAAGGTATCACCATCAACTCGGAGATTAGGGGCAACAACCATGTTGTTAGGCCAGTTGTGGTGAAGAGTGTGGACGAAGCCTTGACGCTACGTAGCGCGTTTGACTACGTTTTTATTACAACTAAAGCTATGCCCTTGGAGGATACTGCAGAACATCCTATTGCAGCTGCAGTATCACCACATACTGCAATTGTAGTAGTTCAAAACGGCATCGCGATTTAGGAACCGTTCCATCGGATGTTCCCCCAAAACCCAATCATCAGTGTTGTCATGTATACACCCTTGACGCAAACAGAGCCAAGCGTGTTTTCTCACCAACTCCTGGACAAGATCATCCTCGGCACTTTCCCGTCTTTTGCGCCCATCTGGCATAAAGAAGCTGCAGAACTACTCCGACAGCTTCTCGCATCCGGTGGTGCCAATGTCACGCACGACGATGATATTCAATATGAAAGGTGGAAGAAGCTGCTCATCAATGCATCGGAAAACCCAATCTGTGCCCTTTCAAACATCAGGGACGTGCAGTTTTTGCAAAGTGCCCAAGGGGCGACCCAGTTTATGAGAGATGTGATGTGCGAGGTCGCCGCAACGGCTCGTGCGGCTGGATACAAAACCATCGATGATGGTGTCGTCCAGTCGTAGCTTAAGATTATTAGTGGAAGGGTGTTCCCTGGTGTAGAGCCTAGCATGATGGCTGATGCGGTAGCAAAAAGGACGATGGAATCTGACGCGATTCTAGGCAATGTTCTGAAGATTGCTCTGATTCATGACGTCTCAACGCCAATGCTAACAACACTCTCTTACCTCATCAATGGACTTAACCATAGCTTCTATCCGCCAAAGAATTGACATTGCGACAACGGATCCAATCTGGTATCGAGCAATCTCTAATGGACCATATCTATACACTTTTATAAAACTGGTGTAAAGCTTCTAGGTGTTTGCTGGGATTTCTTATTGGATTCTCAGAAGATGCCGCTGTATAACGGGCCTATACGGCCCTAGAGACTAAAGAGATGATACAATCCAGTGTTCTCATACTAGATCGATTTCTTCCATCCAATTTCCAAAACGTCACGGACAGTCGTCGGCTTGATCTCGGGGAATAAATCATTGAGAGTCTGCTTCGGCTGAAAGTCAAATGCACCTTCGTCGAACAAGATGCCAAACTGGGAAAACATGCCCTGGAGTGCTTCCTTGGGGTAGAAAGGATACGAATGTACATGGCTAGGAAGCTCCGTGATTTTACCTTCCTTCAGCAGCTCAATCGGGTCGTGTGTGATTTCAAACTTATCGCCTATATAACCTCTGTCAGCTTCCTTGTCATAGCGTATAAATTCAATCAAGTTGTGAACTGTGCACATACCGGTAACTTCCTCGGCAAGTCGTGCAAATTCTTCCCAAGTGAGCCTGTCGCCAATGATGTAATATACTGGCTCCCACTTGCTCAGAGTCAGTAGCTTCGCCGCAAACCTTCCAACATCTTTGGTATAAGTAAATACGACGGGCTTGTTCTGGTGACCTGGGATCGCAGCCTTTTTTCCCGGTACATCTAATACCAGAGTCATGGGAGAGAGGTAAGTCTTGATGTTTTGACCACCCCAGTAGTCAAGGAAAAAGCCATTGGCCACCACAGTCCACTCCAAGTCGGTCTTCTCCAGTGCATCGAAGTTGGACAACTTGGCTGCCGCGATGGGGAACCAGGAATGTTCTGGGCGATATTTGATGCCCCAGACGCTTGGAATATATCGTTTGGTCGTCTTGGATTTTGCCGCGGCTTTGATAAGGCCTTTCTCTTGCTCAGGAGGTGTACGTCCTCCCAAAGCGGAAATGACGGTATCTACCTGATTCTGTTCGAGCAGGGTTGCGAGGCTATCAAACTCGGAGTAGTCAACGACCAGGATTCGCGCACCCAGAGCCTTTTCAAATTCGGGATCGGCCTAAGTGAAGATCAAAAGTCAGCTTTGAGGGCATGATACAGCAGGATAATGGTGATTCAAACCTTTCGGCTCAAGACGAGAACTTCAAATTGACCATCTGCGACTGTCTCTTCGACGATGGAGCGACCAACACTACCAGTTCCTCCGGCGATAGCTACGACAGGCATGGCGAATACAGAGGCTGTTTAATAAAGATAGACAGATAGATAGATAAATTGATAGGTTGTTAGGTTGAGGCTTGGGAGGTATGACTTAAGAAAGAAAAAGAAGAATATAGTTAGATTATCATATTTATATCACAAACGTACTCCCTCCTGCGATGGTCTCTCGTTATTAGTGATATCCCACATCGTACATCCCACATTTCATATCCCACATTCTACATCCCACATGTCGTTGCGCGAATATCATTGGTTGATAGAACTCAGTCTCGGCCTCTCGGTGCTGCTGAAGTCCGACTTCCCTGCAAGCCAAGGATGCGGTCTTTCTACCTCTGATCTGGATGCAGTGCAGATCGACGAGAAGCTAAGTTGAGTACCAAATGCAAAAACTCTTGAATTGGTTGATGTGTACTCCGTAGTCGTTACAGCAGTACTAACATTTCGGTGTATACAGCATTTTAGAACCGGGCCAATCTACGGCAAGATTAAATTGTTGACATATGGAAGAGAGTAAAGTAGTCAGTCTCGTAGGTATACTTCTTACTGGTGCATCGCTTCGTATCACAAGCCCCGAGGGGAGAGAAGCAAACTATGGCTAAAAAGAAAATCGGAAAAGGTTTCCCCTTCAGTCACCGCTTCCTTCCTCAAGTTTGTCGTTAATAGCTAGCCACCTCGAAGGAAGATGTACTAAAATCAGTGCGTCTTTTGGCTGATCAATCTATTCATGACATGCTTTCATAAGCATGTTAACCCCACTTGTCTAGAATTCAATCCACTTACTCGTGATTTAACAGGAGTTGGGGAGCTCGGACAAGATACTTAGCTCAAAGCTGAGTTTCGGCGTTGGTCATGCCCGAGTGCTTAGCAAATGACATCAAGGTGGCGTAGACGGTTACTTTACCTAAGAAATAATCTCATTCTATTCATCTATTAGTCAGTCATTATCGATACTCATTCCTCTCAACCTGTTCTTAATAGTCCAAGTATGATGTCGTTTTGTGGAAACGTCCCACATATTGTACGACTCTTCAACTGTTAACGATCTTGCAAAACTTAGCATCGTTCAGGATATACTTAAAGTCCCCAATAGTATTCTGGGGTCACTTAGTCTAGATATTGCTTGAGTATTAACTGATTTCTTCTTGTATTTGTGTTAGACGTTTATTCTCTGCCATTGCTAGTTACATCTTGCACACCGTATTCAGCAAACAGCACAAAATGTCCTAACCTTTCGTGTTCCTAAAACTTAGATTGTAACAAACGCCGCAAAGGTCATAGAAGAATGCTTGCACGCTGTGGCTCTGTGAGTATTAGAAAAGATCATGGTTCTTAACAAAAGAGACAACCGACTCAAACCTCGGACCGGCCGAGAAACTAATAAAGGAAATAGAAATGCAATAGCAGGCTAGCTTACCTGGTTAGTTTCTGACAACTGCAGTGAAGCCATTCACTGTATAAACCGACCAGCCGCGGTTTCCTTCTTGGCTCTTGACGGTTGGCTGTTCACCAACCAGAGTAATTGACGATTCAAGTGATGAGCGTTTAGTGGCGGTTTCTTTCGGGCTTATTGAGGTAGTATCTTTGTCCTGCTTTGAAGAAGACTTTCGGCTTGCCCTAACTGCACGGATGAAGTCCATTTTGTGTATCTGGTGGAAGATGTAACGAGAAGGTGACAGTACGAATGTTTGTTACTTGTGGCCGGTGAGGCTATGGCCGTTATGCAAATTTGCCTGTCTGTGAGTCAACTCCCTGGGTTATATATTATCAGGTGCTCGAAGGCAAGAGGCGTGAGTAAGCCCTGTTGAGCTTGATTTGTGGTACAAGCTACATTGGTCAATTTCTTAGAAATCTGTATTGCTTGCCTGTTTGTCATTAGCTATACGGTAGTCTCCGGACACGTACTTGGCCATGCCGCAACGTTATCGCTAGTTTTCGCTGAGGGCCCTGAGATTAACCGAAAACCGCGCCCTGTGAGAGCCCCTGCGCTCCTTCATCGCTATCTTATTTTTGCCCCCACCTGTGCTCACTTCTAATTCACTGATTGGCTGCACCGGGCGGCAAACGATCAGATCGAGTCTAGAGTGTAAAAGTGATCAAAGTAGAATTGCAGAGACATTAGTCAGTAAGATCTGGTACTATCACTCTTAAAAGCGATACTCCGCGATGCACGTGTGACTGGTTACGTCAATTCATCATCTGATTAGTCAGATTTGATTTCACTATGACTTCACTATACCTACAAAGTAACCTTGTTCCCATTTTTAGGGCGAGAATCCCCGAGCAATATTAGGTCAAGGGATTTTATAAAATTATTAAATAAGCGGTAACGCATCATACAACAATTACTGCTGTCGCCGTTATCAATAACAATAACAAGAAAATCCACGTACCACTATTCCATGGCTGCTAAGGCATTAAACGTCGCCTGCTTTTGCGGTGCAGTCTCACGAAAAGTCAGTCTCAGAGACGGAGATATATCTTCAGATCAGGTTTCCCTATCTCTCTGCCACTGCGATACGTGTCGTCACACAACTGGCTTACTGTGTACCTCTTATTACCCTATATCCCTCCCTGATCTTTCAGCCCCCTTGAAGGCCTATCATCCCACTTATACATCCAGACGATACTTTTGCGGCAAATGTGGATGTCATGTCTTTCGTGTCCTTGAACTGGAAGGGAAGAAACAAGAATGGGGAGTAGCGACTGGAGTAGTGACCTGGGCTTCGACGCAATCAGCAAGCCCAAGGCTGAACATACTTCATCAGCACATTGCCGATTCTCAAGACGGAGGGTTGTCTGTATGGTTTCACCCAGACGACCAACATTTGGACAAAAAGGAGATGGAATCCAGTATCTCCAAATCAGTCACGGCTGAAAAAGACTATCTTGAGGCATCTTGCTCTTGTGGTAACATTAAATTCCACATTACTCGCCCCAATGAAGCGAGCGCCAGACCGAGACGCAACTACCCAGACCTGATGTTCCCAGACAAGACTACCGATAATTCAATAAAGAGAAATGTGGCTGATGAGAAGTGGTGGATTCAAGGCAACGGAACCAAATACCTCGCTGGAACATGTGCCTGTCGATCATGCCGCCTAATGTCAGGGTTTGAAGTGCAAACATGGGCCTTCGTTCCTCGAGCCAACATCTTCTTCCACATTTCTGGTCCTGAAGGGGGAAATTCCACTGTCCCGCTCGACTTTAACACTCTGCCTAGTGGCGTTTTGACAAGTTTCACCTCATCACCTAATGTGAGCCGGGAGTTTTGCGGAACTTGCGGCGCCACCGTGTTCTGGCATGAGAAATCCCCTGATGAAGTTGTTGACGTCAGTGTCGGACTTTTGAAAGATCCCGAGGGAGCCAGAGCTGAGAAGTGGCTGGAGTGGTGGCAGGGACGCGTTAGTTTTGCTGAGGAGGTTGGTACTGGGAGGACCGGGCTGGAGGCTAAGGTGGCTTCTTTATTGATATGCGAACTGGAACAAGGAATGAAGCATAGAGAAAAGTGTAACTAAAACTACATTTATTCCTAAGCCCAAGATTATCAGCCGGTGCATTTACAAATCGACAGTCATATACTAAGAATCGGAAGTCTTGAAAGATAACGTGTTTCTCCATATGGCGCGACGGAAGTATGTTCACCACGGGAATTAAGTGTGGTTCGTATAGCACAAGCATAATCTTATACTACCTCTTTTTAGTGCATTTGCTAGTCTTGTTCTAACCAGGTCTACAAGTTATCCTGGGGCTGGAATCCTGCCTGCGTGTCCCGCTTACGTGAGTAAAATAATTAACTTCTCCCTACCCTGTATTCGGAGTTAACTAATTTATTATAGATGCTCTATAGCTAGAATGGCCTACCCTAAACAAATACATTTAGGAAGATCGTATATTATTTTAATGTAGAGTAATAATATTTAAACTATTGTAGGTGAGTTATCTTTAAAAGACCAATGATATTTTTATAAGATCTACAGACCTATACCTCATTTAAGCGACGCGAACTCTTTCGACATCCTCTGTGATAGACGTTGAATGACATTTTCTATTGATAATAAATTTGGAAAAACAATCCCAGGTTGAGAAACACTCCTTAGGCTATAACACTTAATTTCGCCCTTAAGTCAGTTTCGCCCTTAAATTAATATAAGGCATGAATTTAACCTCCCTAGGGGTGCATTACCAGTGTAAGGGGAGCCAGTATAGGTGAAAAAGCCCAGACACTAATACTCATTAATAAGCACCTTGAGTAATCTCCAAACTTAACACTTCAAATTTGCAAGAACTTAATCTCCCCTACAGCGGGGTAATAAATACTGATTTTAACCTTATTAATATTAAACTTTACCAGATCTCTTACTGGAAGTAAAAGTTAGGTCTGAGTATGGAACAAGAAAATAAATCCTTCCTATTAAAAAAGCTATGTAAATACAGAGCCTACACAGCTGGTCTGCATTCCAAAATAAGTTATAGGTATATTCTCACTGCAATACTATTCAATTAGTGTCTGATACTCTTATAAGCTGTAGCTTACCTTTTGCATTTCTTCTGGCTTCATGTAAGGTCAAGGTACTAATAGTTAAGCATGATGATAGTATTAATAATCTAATGCAAGTGCTAGTTAGATTAGGCTTCTAGAAAACCCAGTAACACGTATAGCTCGGTTACACCGGTGATTCCATCCCCTGAGGCGGAGCTAACTTGGATAAACTTTTAATGATTACAAAGGAAACTCGGTCAACACACTGGGCTAGCAGTTACAAGAGTTTAGATGTTGCGCAATTGTCAAACGTTAAAAGCTACTTTTAGTAAAGCATATGAACACGTGGGCTCGGGTGGCTTGGGAGTGGTGGTTGTCTTGGCAGTCACAGTCTATAAACGGTTGTTGTTGCGCATAGGAGCTAAATAATGCTAGGTGAACTCTCGTACGCCAGGATCCAGGTTGTTCGGTTAACGCCGATGCCGCACATCCAAAACAAATCAATTCATGAATCGCCTGCCATTGCAAGACCACTATTGGTAACCCTGTAAAATTGACCTCATAACACTATAACTAGATCGGTATGGCTCTAGTGGTCCAAACGGGTATGTCGTACTAAGCCTGCCTGTCGACTATTATAGCACACTTAGCGTCCCAAAATGCCAGATCTGATTCATGGAATTATTTGCAAGTATACACTCATAGACATGAACCTCGTATTTAATATGCTTTAGTAACAAAAGGCCCTCGGTGATCCCCTCGATAATCCCAATTCTCTTACTCAAAAGAGTAAGTATGCTCAGACAACTGTCGCTATGTCTATGTAGCCGGTAGTGGTTTGGGATTTGGTGGAGACTGAAGTCTAATGTGACGCACTGACATTAGTAGTGATGGCACAGTAGGTATGAATGCTGTCCTAAACTCGCCAGTTCATACTATCAACATGTAATTCACTGCTTGCCGGACGATTGACCTCGCCGTGAATGCGATAGAGTGTTGTGAACACACCCGAAGCGAATATATTTTAGGTAACACAATCTAAACTATTGCGTCAGTGACAGCTACACCGTTACAACCCCAACGTTGTATCACTGCCGAGATGTTGTGTCACTGCCGAGGGAGCCGCAAAGGTCAAGGACTTTTGTAGAATGGACTAACATAACATCCCTGCAAGGCTGGTCCATGTTTCCGGCGAACTCCACTTCACCGTCTGGCTAACGCGATTTAGGCTTGACTTTGAACTTTAAATTCTGATAAGATTAATTCATAAACGGTACCTGCTAGGCTGTCCCTTGCAGACGGCGAGCCGGGAAAGGCAAGTGGCATGACCCGAGTTGCTTTCGGAGACCTTGTTAATACCGAAAGCGAAGGCCCCTTGTTTGACGCTACCGTTTCTGTCCATGTGCATTTGGAATCGCATTATGGACCCGTTATACATGTTCGGGTAGTCAGCCCTGATAAAGTCGTGTGGTGGGTATAGAGTTATGTGTCCCATTTAATACATGGACCTTATCTCAATCTCGCATGGTTCGATATGACCAGATTTATTGTAACTAAAGTAACTTGACGTACGGATAGAGGCTCTCACATATTGTGAAATAGTTCGTACTGTTGGCTGTTGAACGAACTGGTGGATCACGGATCATGCATTGCCATCATCAACGTCCAAGTGGTGCCATCAAAGTGACTAGGCACTGACTCGCCCACATCTGTGCTTTTATTCTACTCAACACTATACGGGGCGGTGAGACGCCGATAAACATATTGAGTTTCGAAGAACTCTCTAACTAAACACCGATCATGGGACGATCAAGTCTCGTATTCCATCAAGGTAAACAACACTAATTGCCCCATACACTTGTGATGCTTGGAGGTAGTCTGAAACTCTGTGCAAGATCCCCTGTCTTAGTATCATGGACTGGGGCGCTATTAGTTCTACGCGGATCAAAGCATAGACATCTGAACTTTGTATCAACTTGCCAAGATATCCCAGGCTTGGCGCAATGAGATACTTCATACTGCTCAAGACAACTATAAAGGAGACCATATCTCATGCTTCTGATCGAACCATCTCTCATCATCACACGCTCCAACACCTTCACTTGCACATTCCATCCTACAGCAACTCCAAGCCTTAGCTTCAACTTCTACCCAAAATGCATCCCCAGACCATCTTCAACGCCCTCCTGGCCTTTGCTGCCACCGGAATGGCTGCTCCTTCCGAGGCCTTCAACAACCTCCAAGCCCGCGCCAGGGTCGCTCACGATTCTCTCAACCCTGTTGGCAAGACCGTCCAGGGAGGTGCCATTGGCGCCGCCATTGACAGGTGGCAGCCTCTGCTTCACATCGCCCACGGTTGTCAGCCGTACACGGCTGTTGCTCCCAACGGAGACGTTAGGTATGTGATTAACTTTCCAAGGTTGACGGATCAAAGCTAACCTCGTAAACAGCGGTGGACTTCAAGACAGCGGCACCACATCTGGTGGCTGCAGGGACACCTCAAAGGGCCAGACCTATGCCCGTGCTGCTATGCACAACGGCAAACTTGCCATCATGTACGCTTGGTACTGGCCCAAGGACCAGCCTGCTGATGGCAACCTCGTCAGTGGTCATCGCCACGACTGGGAGAACGTCGTCGTCTTCATTGACAACTACCAGTCTTCTGGAGCTACCCTCTACGCTGCCGCCGCATCTGGCCACGGTGATTACAAGAAGACCAAGAGCCCCCAGCGAAGCGGCAACAATGTCATGGCTGAGTACTTCACCAGCGGTGGTAAGAACCATGAGCTGCAGTTCAAGACCAGCCCAGGCCGTACCTACTGGATTTACGACTGGGCTGCCATGACCCCCGCTGCTCGCACCGGTCTGATCAATGGACCAAATGGCAACCCCAACGATAAGCCTTGGGGCAGTGCTAATGTTCCTTTCATCGACGCCAACTTTGGCAGAAACATTGGCAACGCCTGGTCTTAAAGGGCGCAAAGGCGAGAGTCACCATTACTTGGAGTCTTGTCTTCCTTTCAGGTCTTCTGCCTTCTCTTAATGGATAATCTTCCCTCGAGTGTTCACATGGTTGCATATCTTTAGAATTTTACCTGTATATATAAACTTTAAATACAATATTGCACATTTGATTTTAATTGGTTATTTGCTAAGTGGTTATTTGTGTATTTACCTAGAAGTATTTTAAACCTAAACCTTATAGCTATTAGAAGTTATTCTATTAAATAGAACTATATATAACTCTTAAAGCTTGTTTACTTTTTTATTCTTACTGAACTAATTCTCTAGATTATCAAGAAGCTTTTATGAATTGAAATATCCTGCTTTGCTGCCTAGTTCACCTTCCAGTGTTTTGTTATTTCAAGTTTTAACAAACTAACACTCTGTCCTTATGAACTGACCAGTTGCCTAAAGCTTATGATTTTAGGTGGCACGTGAAACAACCAATGCGACACGGTGTTGGCCCATTAAAAATCCTTCGACAATTTAAAATCTTACTCTTCCAACAGCAATCAAAATGTCGCAACTACAAGTCAGAAAGTATTTTATCCTTATGATACTCCTCGCCTTCTCCTTGCTTTTCGCATTTGCTAGTGCATGGCATGAGGTGCCACTATGGACTGTTAAAGATCCCTGCCCTTCCGCTATTCGAGCCATCGTCCCATCCAACAGACCGTTCGGTCGATGGAGACCGGTGCATGATGCCACGAGAACATGCAGTAATATTACTGAGCTTGAGCTGAGGATGGTAGGTCCAAGCTGCACAGAGCACCCCGATGGCTGGAATTTACCTTTCACCACCGACGGAAGTGATCGCTATCTCTCGGCGCCACAACTCTTGTCGTTTTCCAACTACGAATTTCACGAATCTGAGTGGGAAAATATTAGATCAGGAACACCACAATGGGCCAACAAAGACGGCTCATGGCCCGTCTCAAATTCAACAAGCTCTATTGTGCGATGGGCTACAAATGTGCTCTATCGCAGCAGATGGCATGTTGATCAAATGACATTTAAATACAAATATGCAATTGGTCAAGCGGACTACTCTACATGGTGGGGACACGGCAAGGCACAAAGATGGTACAGCCAGCGAAATATACCAATTGAAAGACTATCGAAAGATAACATGCAGCTCTGGTTGGAAGCTATGGACTTCTCCAAAGTGCGAACCTTATCGATCGAGGACACAGGCACTCACCCAGAGGGTAAGGGTCTACTTATTTATCTTCCCCCAACGCTGACAGGCCTCGAAACGCTTTCCATCCAGGGCCGATGGTTGAATTGGAGAACATATCTGGCGGAATGGGAGGCTGCTCCTGGGCCATTGCCCAAGAACAAGTGGTCTTTATCACCACCGCCACCAGCCCGAGACTTCATACTGGCTTTACCGCCATCACTAAAGAACCTCACCTGGATGGAGAGTGGAACTGTTCAAGAGGATGTGTTTGACTCTGTTATAAAACACCACGGACCTTCGCTGCATCATCTCAAGTGGACGAATCGAGAGCGTGCTGTCAAGTCCAGACCAATATTGACCGACAATCAGCTCCAAATTCTGGGAAAGTGGGCTCCTGGTTTGACCAGCCTAAACATTGACCTTGAAGGAGAAAATTGGACGTTGCCCCAGGAGCAGCTGAAAATTCTTTCCAAGGCCCTACCCAATTTGAGGAAGCTGGTTGTCAATCTAAATCTACTGGATGGAGGCATGCAGATGGGCGGTGCTAGCGCTGCTGAAAGGGAGAATCAAATACTAGAGTCAGCTCTGGATATAGAAGAGGCTTCTGGTGTGTTCCAAGATCTGGGAAAGTCAAAGGATGGTAAAAACTTGGACAGTATCGAGTTTCGTCAAGGCGACTGGACAGATGAATGGCCATTCGTAGAAGACATATGGGAGGATAGATTCTGGGTCAAGTGTTGGGTGGTTGAAAAGGATGGACTACCAGTGCCGATGTGCAAATCGGGTCATGAAAACGTTTTCGAGAGTGATTGAACCTGATAGATGTCTCAAATATGTTTAGCCAAGAAAATACCACGGATTGTATCAGTAGACTGAATTGTCTGCAGCTCTATCCGTAGGTGAATTAAAATATACAACATTTGTCATGCAAAAAGTGGGCTAGTGGCTTTAACGAATTCAATTTGCGGCAGTCACAGGCTGTTCACTTAAAAATACCACGTGTTTAGTATTGAGGCTCAAAAGTGGGTTTGCTAAGTCATAGGGTAACCAAGCCTCGATCCCATAACTTACCCCTCTTTCAGCATCATTCATCAAGGAAAAACAACCTTCCCTGTCCAAGGTTTTCTTTTTCCGGACAAAGGAGGCCTGTTTGTAGCTAAGGACGATAACAATTTGACTCTCAAACAAAGCTAAAGAGCACTAAGCCTATATAACCTTAGAAGACATAGGGATAACTCAAGTCTGTTAAATATTAACCCTACCTACTAAATTATACTAACCAGAAGTACTATGTAAAGTCTCTTATACTTCCCTCTATACCTCAATATAGTATACATTTAATTAAGAAATGTACCAGGAGTTATTACAATGAAATAGATAGGTATTTAGTAAACAACTAGCTATAATTGAGATAGATATCTAGAATAGCGATGTAATCGGGAACACTGCATTTAGCTATTTTATCAAATTAGTCTTAAAATAATATCACCCGTACATCAGTGAACTTACCAGGACTTCGCCAGTACTCTTCCTCTCTCGTTCTTCTGTCTGCTCAGCTCTTCGCTCTGCCTCCTCTCGTTCTTTCCGCTCTTTTTCCTCCTCTTCAAGTTGCTTCTCGAGCGCTTCTCTATCTCTTTTATCAGGAAAGATTGCTTTCTGGCTCACTCCTCGTAGCAGGTAGTCATCAACGTCGCCACGGCCATGGTTCTTGACTACATCGACCCTGAATATGCAATCTTCGACGAGAATGTCCTTTGCACTGTGCTTCTGATCTTTGATGACCGTAATTGTCTCATGCAGGAAATTGGACGGGTTATCCTGTGGCGTTGACGCTTCGCTCATAATCAGCGCGTTCGGTAGCGGCTTGTCCTGATCAGGAAGACTCTCCACAGGCTCAAAGCGCGGCCACGGCAATCTCATGTATAGCGTGGAACTCTGAGACTCTGGCGGAGCAGTGTTTCGGCGGCGTCCAAACGCGTCCTCAGTAAAGTCTCGATAGCCACAGTATTGATCCTGGAAGCACCATGCGAGCTGGATCTGATCTCCCTCTGCGATGTTGACCTTATTGCCCGGGGCCGCCCCAGTCTTCAATACGCGCCATACATGAACATCCTTGCTGTCTGACATGGCGGGTACAAAGACGCCTTGTTGATTGCGGAAAACGACAAGGGAAGAGGTCACTGGAGCCGAAGGAGATATTGACGGCGCGTTATTTCCCGAGTCCCCGGTCTTTTGATGTTAACAACTCATATAGTTATGGAGTTTGATATGCTTACAATCCTCGCTGGAGAATTATCTCCAGCTGATACAGTTTGTATGATTACTCGCGACTCATTGCACAGAGCCTCGTCATAGGGCGATGTGATACTCCAAACCGTGCTTTTATACTCGCTGTCGTATTCCGTTCCGTATAGATTGTCTCCGACCTTATTGGAAGCGTACCCATAAATGGCTGGAGCGCGATAACTAGTGATGGTTAGTTACTATTGTAGGCACAATGCAAGGTCATGATAAGAATACCTTCCAGGATGGAATAGAAATTGTGGCTTTCCATTGGGCATCTGAATGCGACCCCAGGTTATATCGGGATGCTCAAGTTCCATAGCTAGTGGCATCACAGTGGATAAAGGTATGTGGCCGAAGTAGTAATTCGGTGGAGTAGCAAAGTCTGGGTCGTCTGACCCCCTCTTATACGAGAGGCATAGGTCGTGATTAGGCGACATGAGTCGAAAACGTATTTTCTTCACGAGCTTGTCCGAGAATTCGATGTACTTGCTGAGAGACGGGACCGCTTGCTCGAACCACGACCTGGTATGTTCGAAACCACTCAGTCCAGAGATCATATCGGCCATCAGGACCAGCCCATCGCGCTGCCATTATCAGAAACGAGCAGTGCAAGATACAAAGAAGGGGTTCTTACGTTAATAATACGCCAGTTCTTGTAGCTTCCAACCGTTGGTATCCAGGATGTGGGATTAGTAGCCAATAGGCTGTCACCACCCATCGCTTCAAAGGTATGTGACTCGGACTTGTTATCCTGAGCCTGCGACTTGGAATTATCAGAGCCAGATTCCTGTGTATGGCTAACCGATCCTGAAGCCTCGGGAGAAGAAACAGAAAGCCCAACAGAGGTTTTCAGGGATTGCTTCTGTTCCTGCTCTGACGTGGTCAAAGACTGATCCATCAGTGCCTGCGTCATAAGTCTGCCACCTATAGTGATTGACTTGCAGAATAGATATCCGTAGTCACGACGTAACTGACGCAAGTCTTTGATGTTCTTCGTTGCTTCAACTTTAGCTATAGCCTGTTTGAGACCTTCCGTTGGTTCCAGGCATGAGTCGAAATTCAAGTCAACCCGCGGGAACTAAAACGTTAGCACCGAAGTTGTAGCTACAGGGCATTATATACAGCACGTACCGAGTACTTTGCGATCATGGTCTTGTGGTAAGTGTCTGATGTGTTTGAGGTTGACGAACTGTGCATACTGTCCGTCGAGTAGCTGACGCTGGCAGCAACAGGTCCGTAGCTTCCTCCAAGAGACGCAGAGGTAGAAGAGGCACTAAAGTCATTGGTTGCCATACTAGTCTGAAACTCATGCGAGCTGATAACGATGTCAATGCGGGAGTTGTCATTGATGCTGAAGTCAGGGAGTACTCTTTTGGGCTTTATGCCTTGACGCGAGGGTTTGGCTGTGCCTGACGTGGAAGGGTACGAGGTTGCGACAGGCTTAGTAGGAGCTTCTTTTTGCGTGGTAACTCTGCTGGCGCCAGTTTTCTCTTTGGCTGAAGATACAGGACTATCAGTAGAGGCAGGGCTTGTTGAGTTGGCTGTGGGTGGCTTCGTTGGAGATGCCGATGTAGAAGACGTTGGGGTTAGTGTTCCTGGAGACGACGATGCTGTGCTGGATCCTCCTGCAGATCTGCCAGAGGCATCACTGTTGTTGCCATGGTCGACAGACGAAACTGTTGTGGGACCATTCAAGGGCTTCTCTGGTGGTTGAACTGATTTGAGTTGAAAAGCTATGAAGGATTAGAACATTAATAGTGGTCAGAAGAAATCACTTTTGTAACTGACCAGGCTTTGGGGCACGAACGATTCGCTTCATTGGTCCATCAATGCACCAACCATACATGGCATTGCAATTCTCAAGCACCTGTAGCCATTCGGCCTCGCCCAGCTGAGAGGCTCCATGTGTCCTAAGCAAGTAAGTATGAATTCAACAGTATTCGAAGTTGCACGTACTGGGCGAATGAATCTAGACCATTTGTAGTAGCGTAGCCATCTGCCTCCCATGGTCTGTCCTTTTCTTGGAAAGTGCTGGCTTTGTCGGGCGGTGATGTGAGGTAGTCGTCGACGCCCTATCAAATCCTTATTATTTGTTTCTTAACAACACGGTAGAAACGACAGGGTTACTTACGAGACTCTTGGGAGATGGTGGAGGAGGGATGTCAACGTTCTTGTCGTTGTCATCCTTCTTCTGACCCTTGTCGTCAGACTTATCAGAGTCTGTGGTATTGGCCTGTTCCATCGAGCCATCATCACCACTTTTTGGATCCTTCTCCTTTATATCTTTTGTTTCGTCCTCCTTATCCTCGTCCTTTGAGTCATCATCCTTCTTACCTTCATCATTAGCCTCAGTGGGCTTTTCCTCCCCATCCTTGGAATCGATATCCAGCTTTTTGTCTTCGGGGCTTTTTACTCCATCCTCATTTGAAGTACTAGCATCCTTATCCTCTGCCTCGTCGCCCTTCTCAGCAGTAGCTGCATTTTTGACTTCCAAATCTTTTGCTTCAGGCTCCCTGCCATCAGCTTCAGACTCAGGTAACTTTGGGGATTCTGAGCTGGGAAGATGTTTCTCTGTTTCCGGCTCCCCAGAACCTGAATTATTTTCCAAGTCATTGACCTTGGCTCCTGCGTTGGATAGTACTGCAGAGCTGGGGGTTCCATGATGAGACGAGCCAACCTTGGCAGCAAGAGCATCTGCTTCCTCTGAAAGTGACATAGTGGAGGTAATTAGAAAGTCGAATTGCTATTTGAGAAGTAATGAAGTGACGAAGAATTGTGCAGCAAAGTTAGACAAAGGCAATGATTGCTAAACTTAAAAGTTACCTTTTTGATAAATATTCAGCAAGCATCAGCTATAATAATTGTGCGGGCAAAGGCCCTTTTCCCATTCTAGAAACGATAAGCGACATAGTTCTTCTTCTCAGTGCATAGAACTCTAAGAATTGGTATGTGGTCGGTCCAGAACATTCCTTCTTGGTAAAAGACGCATTAAGGCTGTAGATAGACATGAACTACGTGCCAATAAACTGTAGGTAGCTGAAAAACTATCGGAATCTATTGGTGAATATTGGCATGCTAAAAACGACACACTGTGGGGCATTGTGAAACAAGCCGCTGATCTAACTCTCTATGGATATTGCTATCCTTGACGTGCCTGTTCACTTGCCCTCACCCCGCTCTAGACGGCACGAGGCTCGGGCCTAGCCGCACTAGAGATCTTCTAGGGCATAAATAGTCACCTTAAATAACCTTTTCAGCTGCGGCAGGTAGACAATTATTACATAAAATTATACGACGCTATGATTATAGCGTTCCTATCTAGGATATTATTTATTCTTCTTCTTAAGAGGGTACTTTTTAATCCGATAGCCATAAATCCGGGGTAAAAAGAAAAGTTAGTATATCCCTAGGTACTCTCTTTTTAATTAGTCTTATTTAGCATTAACTTTTATATAGCTTCATTACTTAACTATTACTTACTGACTGACTTGCCTTTTGTTATACTTTCTTTTATAAGGCTTTGTATTTATCGTTACTATAAGTCTGATACTTGTGCTTTATAATGATGCCATGTGTATTAGATAAGGGTATATATTTATAAAATCGTAAATCGAATTGTTACTAATACGATTGACAGATTTAACTCTTACAGTAAGCATTCTGAACTTCAACCTGCTTATTATATGCCGTACTAATTGTCCTGTAGCTTATGAAATTTGTATTGATGGAGTAGTTGTCGTTAACATAGATGGAGCATATAATGAAAATACTTAAGTCTGTACTATTGAGAAACCGTTATAGGTAAGTAGGCCGCTATTTAATAACATAAATTCTCACACTACATAGGTGGTTTTATACTCGGCGAGGGCAGTTGAGAAGCTCAGTGACGTCATCCAGACGATGAACGTCTCGTACCCTCATTCCATCAAGAAGGGGAGTGTTACTGTCAGCGGTTCTAACTCGGCTGTTGACGAAGCAACCTTCAAATCCGCTGACATTAACATTATTGTCACTGTCAAAGTAACCAATCAGACGACTCTGATCAAGAATAATGCCAGGTTTGTTCCCATGAAGGGCATTGACTGTGCATCCCAAGCGTTCAATGAATCCTATGGCGACTCTTACATATCGGGATTCATCGAGGGCGGAGAATTCACCGGCATCATTTCGATCAAGGTCATTGATCGAAGCAATGTTGATCTGACTGTCAAGAAGATCAAAGCCAAGCTTGATGCTAAAAGTAGCAGCACAGCTACCGAGTTTACTCTCAACAGCTACGATTCTTTCTCCTCTAGAGGATCTGCTTCTGTGATGGAAAACACCGAAAGTCACATTCACGTCTCCTGGATGGGTGGCGGACAGATCAAGAATGGTAAATCCTTTTGTCTGACTTTAGCATGGAATGTTTGTTAACAAATCACTTAGAGAACACACCATGGGATATAGATTCCATTTTCAAGGCCGCCGCCGCTTTCCCTCAACGGGTTTCTGAGCGCCCCCAGCTTACTTGGGCCATCTTGACGAAGTATAAGTCAAACAGGTCCTTCATCGAGTGGAACAGCAACAAGCCCGCCAAGACTCTCGAATACGACCAGGTCAGCAGCTATACCGCCGAGCTGTTGGACAGCTACATGGACTACAAGATTCTGCTCAAGTATGTTCAGCTCATCATTGATGACCCAGACAGCTATGAAGCTGTTGACGGGGAAGACGCCCTAGACACGTCCATCGATACACTCTTAGGTGTCCGTTTTGCTTTCCGCAAAGAGCAAGGCAAAATAATAGAGGCAATATCTGTTCTTAGTCGCGATCCTGGTATTCTTTCTCGTCAGGCTGGATGGGGAAGTGGTCGAGCTAACAAGGTGTTGAATCGGATTTTAAGCAAGACTGCTGGTTACAATAGCGAGAAGTCTAAGCCAACACTTCGAAAAGACTCTGAACACGCTCAAGAGGACTTTGACTTCTCTGCTTTGATACCAGCTGAGCTTTGGAGAAAATGGATGCCAGTTCCAAAGCTCCCCTCCTCAACACCGTCTAGCAACACAGTACCTGCGACGTCAAATCCTTCCGCTAATGGTTTGTCCGGCCTAGCTCCTCCGCCTTCAGATGATCGGGACTGGGTACGTCATTCCCATTTCGAGTGTTTTCGTTTTAGAAAATTTACTAATAGCATGTAGCGCAGTAAAGATGCATCTATTTTACAAGCAAAGCTGGATGCCCTTACTAAGGACATGGCGCTCAAGACTGAAACACATGTTGGCCAATCCAAACGGTTCCAGGATGAGATCGAGAAGCTTAAAGGGGAGAGTGCCAGCAGCTTAGAGGCTCTCAAATCAAAGCACAATGGAGACCTCGAGAATATCAAAAAGAAGCAAGCTGATTCTGAAACCCTGAGAGCCGGGGATGAGAAAAAGGTTCAAGAAACGCTCCAGCACCTTGAGAAAGAGAAGCAGAAAGCTGTCGATGCTGCAAAAAAGGAGATGCAGACTTTGATGGACAACAGCCAAACCCAAATGAGAAATGAAAAAGAAGCCGCTCTTGATGAGGTCAAAAAGGAAAAGGACGACTCATACAAATCTCTCAAGGAAATGTATGAAACCTTGAAAAAGGAGCTCAGTGACCTAACATTGGCCGATGCCACATTGGCTACTGACAGTAAGGCCTTGGCAGCAGAAAAGATCTCTTTGACAACTGAGTTGTCTGAAAAGAAATCTGCATACAATACCCTGCAAGCTCAGTATGATACCCTGAAAAAAGAGCGCGACTCTTTGACAACTCAGTTGTCTGAAAAGAACTCTGCAAACAGCATCCTGAAAGGCCAGTATGATACCTTGCAGAAAGACCGCGACTCTTTGGTGGTGAAGGGAACCACTTTGGCAGGTGAAGTCACGACGTTGAAGGAGGAAAAGGCTAAGCTGGAGCAGACGGTACAGCTCGACGTTGGTGCCAAGTCAAAAATGGAGAAAGTTATGAGTTGGGCGGGGTTATCTGCCAACAGCCGAATGGACAACTGTCTGCCGTATAGTTATAGTGGCTGGACAGTGATGATCATGATGCCGCATAGCAGGATGGCCCTGAATGCGAACAACGGTATCTCTTCCGATCTGCATTGTATTCTAACAGGTACTGACCTTTTGCAGGCCATCACAGTATGGCACACGCCTGGGCCTTCGACATGGACAACGATGATGAGATCTTCAAACTCGAGAAAGCCAACAGCCATCCTGATACACCTTGGACGATTACCCACAAGAAGACTGGCAGTAAGTAATCTCACCGCTTTGAGATCAATTGATACTTACTTGTTATCAAAGATTTACTTTTATTCCTCAATGGATCCCCGGATTGGCAGGTCCGTTGCAGGGCAAACGGTGATTCCGACATCGTCGGTAAGGCAGCTCATTGGTTCATTGGTCGAGGATCTTCTGATTCCAACACAACATGGGTGTGAGTATGACTTTGTAGAAATACTCTATAAGAGGTGAAGCTAAGATATCATACAGACTGACAAACGCTGAATGGCCTAACCTATGCATCCAATTAGTTCATGGATGGGCTGAAAATGGGTATGTATTAACATTTGACGTTGGGTTAGTAACAAGAGGTAAACTAACAGATCGCTAGACGCATGACGAAATCGTTTGAATGCACTAATGCTGGTGATGCTAACTGGGTTATTATCCCACTTAATTAACAACATAGACGCCTTGAGCTTAATATACATGATTTGTATGTTTTTTGCACTCTTCAATATATATTTCCTGGAAAACTTCAAGACGGTCACGGCAACTCTATTTCACGATTTTCCTCGCATATGGCTTCCCTGCAGTAAGCGTACACCCCACACCGCCATTAAGGAAACCCAATTCAGAGTGGTAGGCTGTATATTTGCCCAACGTGTTGAGTGAGCCAGATGGATATGAAGGGCATAGCTTCCAAGTCAATGCAACCGCATGTTAACATGATATCGTGACGTACATACAATTTGCATTTTACAGATTTTTCTCCGTGCTTAATACTTATATAGTCTCTTATGCTACCTCATCTACCTTCCATGGCATTTTCCCAATGCATGAAGACATCCAAAGTTGTCTAATAAACAAGGTCGAAATTCACCGACCATGTGACGAAGTTCTTCGTAAAGTCATAAAAGTATAAGCCTTTTTGCGTTTCGTGCAGCAGGGGGTACATAATACCATGTATCGAAGAAATGTCCGCAGTTTCACATAAAGCCAGTATTGAAACACAACCAGAGTCTTCTTCGGATGTTTCTCCAGTCCTGTATCTTGCACTAATGACAGACAGAGTCAAATTTTCAGGCACGGACGTGCGAAACTAGACTCTCTGACCATCAGCCCTGTTGAGAGACATCGAATGAACAAGTTTTTGTTCGGAATAGCAATAAAACGTCCTCAAGGTACCGCTCACTACCCTACAATCAACCTCTGCAAGTCTCTAAACCTTAGCAACTGCTACAATAGGGCCACCAGCGCCTCCCTCTTGAACCAGAACAACGGCACTCTCTCCTGGTTTCATCGAATCCTTGGAAGCTGGCAGGGGTAGCATAGTGTCTCCACCGGACCACTTCCCAACCTTGACCAGATCAGTGACTACATTCCGGTGGCCAAACTTGACACCCTTGTTTGACCCGCTGCGAATCTTGACCTGCTCATCACCACCTTTGTAGAGAACAAGGATAATATCATGTTCATCCACCATCTCAGCGTCGGAGTCAATCTTGACATCCGTGTCGTTGACATCAAGGTAAATGTGCCAAGGTTTGTCCATCTGGGCCGCCCTGGCTCGCTGCACAAGCTCCTGGACACCTTCGTTGTCACCAGCACCTGAACCATGGGCTACGCCGTTGACGAAGAGCTGAGGAGTGGAAATGGTCTTGCGCTGGTGCCTCATGGCATAGGCCCTCTGCCGCTGGTCCCATGCGGCCTTAGCGAAGGTATCCTTCCAGCCCATGTGGTCAAAGATCGTGACATTGTAAGTCAGAAGAATCAGGTTTGGGTGGTTTGTGCCTTGCATAATGCCAGGAATTGCTGGAGGACAAGCCTGACAGCCTTGGGACTGGAAGAGCTCGACCACGGCGAGGGGCTCAAAGTCGATGAAACAAGCGGCTGTGTGCTTGTGGTTTGGGTCTTCACCCACTGGGTGGCCCTGGTCATCGAGGGAAATGGAACAGACCAGAGGGGGCTGCTTCTTGCGGCGAAAAAGCTCGCGGAGAATGGAAGCCATGTTTTGAGGTGCTTGGTGAAGAAGGGGATAAAAGGTATAGTTAAGCGGTAGTCAATTGTGTGTGGTGTAAGTGTGTGTGAGGAGACTGGATATAATTGAAACGAGAGCGGCGAGACAGAGACAGGTTTATATAATTTTGGAAACCTTCCAACATCGGTATCGCGGACAGCTTTGGCCGCTTTACTAGACTTGTTATCTTCACAAACTTCTGTAATCTGGAATGCCTTGGAAATGCTGACAAGCTAGGGTCGGGATTGGGCTGTGTTATCCTCAGCCCTACCTCCGACGAATACTGAGGGCCAATGGACACACATTAAGAGCCGCGATTTGATGGCCAGAGAAGAGAACTTTTGACTAAACTGAAGTTCACAGAAAATGAATCTGATATCACTGATCCGACGGCCAATCATGTCTCTCGTTGACTCGCAGGTCACAGACAGGGGTGCAAGCATAGTGGAGCTGTCATCATAGGAACGCCGAGGTAGCTCGCAAACTCTTTCCCAATAAGGATTAGCACACGATTTGAGACATTCTCAGTTGTATTTACAAGTTCAGCCTCTAAGAGCTAGGTCAGATGAGACCGGGCCTAAGTTCAAGACCGCCACTGTGTACAGAGGCAGTGCGTCAGCGTTGTATTAATTGGTTTGTGGCTGGACCTGGTTCACCTCTCGTATCACAGAATCACACATTTGGAATTCAATGCTATCTCGGCTCCTCGAAGTTGCCTTCTGCAACAAGGTCGAAGATTAGGATCTGGGCTTGCAAAGATATTCCAAGGGTGGTCCTGCCTACTCGCGGGTAAGCCATGAGGCAGGACCTGACTTTATGTCTACCGCGGCTGCTCGCATAGGCTAGACATTGGATACTGAGATTCGGTAGGACACGAATCTAGAGACTCAACAGTCATCTAATGTTGCTGAAATTTCTTTTATATAGTCTTAGTATAATGATGTCTAAAATGAAATTGAAAAACAAAATAGTTAACTTGCATTACTGTAATATCTTCATTTCTTGAAATACCGTCTTGCTTCCCTTCAAAAATGGATTCATCAGGTACGTCCAGATGTGGTTACACTGCATAACAACCAGTAGTTCTTATCTCTTCCAGCCACCACCACCGGATCGACAGCTCTTTCTAATGGGCACCACAAGCCAAGTGACAGCCATGTGCGGGGCAATGTTTCGGTTAGACCACTCAAAACTGGATTCCTTTACTACTTACTTTTCTAACACGTTTTACGCCAGAGCCAGCCACACAGTGACAAGCCAGCTGGTTCCTATAAGGGGGCGGATAAGCAGTCGCAGGGGGGTTCAATCATCCAGGGTCTTAGTCCACCCGACTTCTTTTCCTTTGCAAGCATGAATGGTGGAAAGAGTTAGTATTGGAAAGAGACATTAGTCTCGGTGGTGGTGTAGATTAGAATCTTGTCTCCTTGTATACACTATTATTTCTAGTAGCCTTATTGAATTTGAGTTATTGTTTCGTTTTGGTCTGTGTAAGTATTTCTATTGCTGATATTTCTATGGGTTTTATTGAGATAGCTGAATCTCTTTAATAAAGGCACTACCAGACTGCACATTAAGAGGTAGTAAAAATTAACAACAAACGTAGTAATAAACGGAAATTTATTATTATCCTTTTTTTATGCTTTTCGATTTTATATGATAAACACCTTGTAGAACAACTATGTTCCCCCGTTATAACCATCCATCTCAACCATGTATCCCGATTTGTCAATATCACTAGCGCTTAAAGACCATTAGAGTTAAGAAAATTAGTAATAACCCCATACGCTCTGGTAGCATTGTGGTGATAATTAATGTTGTGGCTTGCGTGTGGGTATAAGTATGGCTCAAATTTAGCATTCTTCCAGATAGTTCGTGCCGGTTCTTCAAAGATACCGTGACAGTCTCCATCGCAGATAATGTAGTCTGTCTCTCCAGTGATGGCCTACGTATTGTCAGCGTCAGGGTTCTACGACAAGCACTAGCGCACCTACAAGAGCAGCTCCAGTGAAATTACTGGCGTCAAAGTTACCATCGGCAATCGTCAGAAACTCCCCAATGGCAAACGGGTTCTTGAACTCCTCACAATACGATGTTGTGGGAATGTCATAGTACGGGTATTTGAAGTAACTATTGATGTTTGCGGTTAGCAGTTGCGTAAAAAAAAGTGCGTATTACATACGTGTTGATCTGCGCAAGGGTATCAACCCAGGTCAAGTATCCAGGGTCCAGGGTTCCGAAACGGCGGGGGTTTTGGAGGGATGCCACTCGAGGAACAAAAGAGCGAATCAAGCCGTTGACATTCAATCCGGTTGTGTTGTAGTTAATGGCCGTCAAGATGGCGGCATCGGCGATGGTTGGGTTCTCCGCTACGGCAAAATGTGTGATATACGACCCAAAGGAAAATCCCATGACAGCGAGCTTGTCAGGTTTCCCAAAGGTACCTGTGTATTGGCCGGACTTGACCATTTCTGCGAGCTGCACGAGGATGGCCTTTTGCTTTCGAAGCTGGTTAGTGAAACCAGAGACTCTGCATGATGATGTCAGCTTATAACCTGTGCGTGCAAAATATTTTACGCACTTGTCAGACTCGCCGGTGCCGAGACGGTCATAGAACCAGACCGAGTACCCTTTGCTAATAGCATGCTGGACAAAGTTGTACTCGTCTGGCTCATAGGCAGAGTTCCAGTGAGTCCTAGCCTGTCCAATGCCGTGAGTGGCAAGAATGATAGTCTTCTTGCCCGAACGCTTTGGCATGCAGAAAGATGCGGCCAAAGTGTAAGTTTCCGTCTCATTCTTCGTACCAACGATGGGGCTTGGGTATCCAGCACTCTCTCGTGTCGTTACAGCCGTTAGAAAGTCTTGGAGAGCATAGTCATCTTTCCAGTCTGGAAAGTTGAATACCACGTTCTCAGAGGTGATGGTGACGGGGACTTTGTACTCCCAGCAGTTTGCATTTGGCGGGTAATAGGGCTGGGTGAGCTGTGCGGTTCCGGGGGTGATGGATTTGGCGAAAGCGAGGCCACGCACCAAGAAGAGTGCGAGAAACATGATAGAGGAGTGCATATTGAATATTGGAGTAGTGAACTGTTGATGATGCTTGGGACTGAGCAGTATTGGTTGTTGATGGTGGGAATTGGGTTTCTAAGTGCACCAGTCGTGCCCTTTTATACATCAAACGCCCATCCATCGTGACTATCGCGATAATAAAGCCTTCAAAGCTCTTCATGCATAGTAATGGTTGAATCTCGCGGATTGTTTCTACAACCGGCTTGATCCTCTCTAATCCTCCCATGATCGGAGTTCGGACCTTAATCAGTCAGCCCTGCGCCCGTTAATGCTCCACCCCCAGAATTGCTCGAGTCCACTACCCATAGCTGTTTGCTAAGATTGGTCGACATCAAACTTCAGCTGGGTCAGCACTAATGCCGGCGCTACCGTTACTCTGACTCTCTACTAAGCCCTACCTAAGTTATATAAGTGTGCTGTCAACCCAAAAGGAAACATTGCGCGAGCAACCGAGGAACTCTCTTGAACTGGCCAGCTAATTTCGAAGAGTTCCAATTGAAGCCCAGTATGGTCGGTGTTCCAGGCCGTAGCAAAGGTTGCAATACCTGCAGAAAACGCCGTGTGAAATGTGGTAAGATCTGCCCTGTTGCTCCCTACCCCGCCGTGTCTTGCGCTACTCGGTTTCCTGACCTGTTGGATGATCCTAGACGAAACGAAACCTGTCTGTCTTCGCTGCACGAAAGGGGGTTTTGAATGCGCAGGGTTCATCAGGGAGCGAATTTGGCATCATACTTCGACAGCCCCCTTGCCTCAAGACAAAGTGTCCTCACCACAAAATTCATGGCGATCTGACCAGACAGCCACCACAAGGATGAGCAGGGTAGCCTCCCCACCTCCCGAGATGAGTCTGATTGCGTTCCAGGGAGACTTTTGCTTCGCTTTCATGTTCTCCAACTTTGTTTGGCGAGGCTACGGAACCTTGTGGCTTGAACAAGCGGCTGCTGGGAAGCTTGGAGGTCTGTCGCTGAATGCGACTAAAGCGCTTTCTCAGGCCAACTTTGGGAGATCTAACCATAAGCAGGACATTGAACTCAAGGGCGTTATGCAGTATGGAAATTGTTTGAGGACGTTGGCTGGTGTATTGGACAGCGGTGCTGTTCAAGGAGGGCAAGACTTGCTGGTGCCCATTCTTGTGCTACTGATGCATGCTGTGAGCACTAATATCTCATCTTAAAGAGTACGTGATACTGAAACTGCACAGGCATCCAACGCAGACCAAACTGGCGCTGTGTTCCATCTCCGAGCGCTTGCCAGGCTGCTCCATATCTGTGGACCAGAAGCCTTCCAGGAACAGCCTTTACTGAACGCATTCGAGGCGGCAAGGGCGGCTTTGGTGAGATGAAAAGGGCTTCTCAAGTCAGGGCTATCGTATTAATTTGGCATGCTAGCTTTCTGCGAGTCTGTACGGCAAACAGCGTCTCTTTCTTGAAGACCAGCGTTGGAGGACGGTCCCATATATGCGTAACAATGTGTTCAAAACTCCACAGAGCCAGCTCTTAGACATCCTGGTGGTGGTGCCAGGGTTTCTGGAGGACCACGCAGCAATACTGTCGATGGATAAAGATGGGAAAGACTCGAGAGGAGAGCTATTAGAAAGAGTGGAGAGGCAGCTTGTCACGCTCTACCGCTGGCGATGGCGATGGCAAGCCCAATCTGGCAACAAGGTGGAATCCGACGCCACCAACACGCCTCAACTCAATGGCCTCGCAGCAGAGGCTCTGGGTTCTATTGGTACTTCTAGGCAGTCTGGGCGACTGAGGTTGGGTAAGTTCACGCTTGCGACAGAGCTCATGCTATACAATGCTACTCTAATGTGGCTCATCGCGCTTTACTGGAAAATCGACCCAGTCAGCGCAAGCACACGTATCGAAGCCTGTGCCAATGCTGCCCTGCCTGATGAACCAGACCCCAAATACCTATCCTTTGAACCTTTGCGACGACCCGGAGCTTCTGTCACGGTACGAGATCCAGCTATGGAGGTTTGTCGAGTCTTCGAGTGGGTAACTCGTCATCATTCTCGAAATACGGAGCCAGCATTCCTGTACCTATTACCTATAGGCGTGGCGATGAGTGTACTAGAGTCAGAACCTGGAACAAAGGCCTGGGTGACCAGTCTACTCAACATGAGCCCAATCACGGCTAATTATGCGCGTGGACAGAATGCTGCTGGATTTGGCTTCTACATTACTCCAGAGTCACTTCATCCTGAAAGCGTTGTGGGAGACAAGCAGTTGTTTCTGGCCCAGGACATGCAGGAGCTCGCGGTTTAGATTGGGGCACATGTCTTCCTGCTCATTGAATAGTATTTTGGCCTTTTGACTTTATCATGGTCATCAACCTCGTTCAGTATTAAATCCACAGGTAAAGCTAGTAACAAACCTAGTCGCTATAAATAATTGTAATCAGTAGCTGATAACAGCCCTCTTTGGTAGACGGAGAAAATGAGAGTTTCAACTTTGTTCCGTTAGAGGTTGTCTTTTCGTAAAATCTGAATTCGGTTCTAAAACGGAAAGATCAGGGTTGTTCAGAAAGGGCCTTCTTTGTAACCTACGAGATTTTAGATTTTGTCTTTGACTCTTTGTGCTGATTTTTCAGTTGTTAATCGGATGTGCCCGTGTTCCAGTGAATCGGAATAAAGAATGCGGTGATGGTCTGGCGACCGAGGAATGAACATGGGCATGCAAAAAGTGGACAGTGAAGCAGCATGACTGATTGAGTCCTTGCTTACACTGTTTCACATGGAGAAATCACATAGGGAACAACATTTAGGCAGATACCTCGAGTAGACTCAGAGGTATAAGTTGAGGGCAGGATTGACCATTATGGACCTAAGTAATTTCTCAGCTATCTTCCGTTTTTCATCAATACAAACATCTCCCTCTTTCAGCAACACAGGGTTACTCTTTTACCTGTCACACATATGCACATTATTTGCACATAACTACACACAACAGCAACCATTGATCGCTACGGTACTCTATCAGAAGAATTTACCAATTCACCATTACATAGGACGCGATCGTCTCTGTATATATATCGGATTTAGCACGAAGCTATTGATTCCAAGAACGGAGAGTTTGATCAATTTCAAATATCCAGCAAGCAGACAATCATGCCTTGCGCACCAGTGTACCGCGAGCCGGAGGAGGTGAGACGGGCAGCCCTAGAGGCGTTGGACACCTTTGAGTCCTTGGACCCACAACTGTGGGCGAAAGGTGACTACATGCCTCTGAAGAGGGATGGTTCTTTTCAATATGGAGTGAAAGACAAACGGTCATTCAGCGTTTACTATCTGAGAACGGCTGTGGCCGTGTGCAATGTGGTCAACCCCCCCAGATTGAAGATGTCGTCAGAGGAGGTTCGAGTACATTTAGCCCGGAGGAGCGTACTGATCGCTTTGCTTGTGCATACACCGCTGTGGATGAGGGATGGTGTGACCAATGACCGTGGTGAACTAGTCAGAGCTGAGGATAAAATGGTATTATCACCTGGATGTATCTTGGATTTCATCAAGGCGGCCCGGGAGACTGACGGTCGTTATCATCTCGACAAGGTACGAAACCTTTTGGAGAAACAACCTGTGGTAGCTATACCTAGGGACACATCTCATTGGAAAGTGGTAGATTTGCCTCTTTCTATCCAGATTTGGGATATGCAACATTCGATAGATGGGGATTTGTGGTGTAGCTGCAATCTTCGCAAGAAGATATTCAAGTAGCTTCGCAGCGAAAGCACATGCCTGGTGCTTGTAACACCATGCCAGCTTAGGTTATCTGATCGGAGAGACAAGATGGCTTCTTATAGCCCAGGACTGATAGCAGATAATCATTGCTTGTTTTTATAGAATGGGACTAGAAAGATAAAACATAAACATGAACATGGTCTGAGAACTATGAGTGACCCCTAAAAGCTTTTACTACAGTAGTAAGAATAGTAAATTAAAGAACAAGATAGGTTACTCAGGCTTATGTGGGAGATATATGTCTCACAGCTAGGATCAGTTTGACTTCGTGAGGTGGCCTTAGATGATAACTCTCCGGGCTAGATTTTAAGCTCAATAAAGATACTAAAAGGATCTACCACATTGCGTCAGCGAAGTGAATTAGGTGAGTTGCTCTCAATAATCAGGAAACCTTATTAGGCAACTCAGAGTCTTTTTAAAGCCAGCCATTTAAGCCAGTAAAGTCTTTAAATGCCTCAGTCTTAAGGAAACTTTTAAGACAGCCATAAAACTTCATTTATAAGACTACTATTATCCGGCTTATTAAGGTCGATATATTAAGGATAAGGAAATGTTTTATGAGATCCCTTAATCGTAGCACAGTTCTTTGCCCCACCGGTTTTTATTGGCTTGACGGCCTTATATTCGCGCCGGTCCTCCTAGAGTATCATAGATCACTGGGAAGAGATATCCCTAAGAGAGCAGGGCGGGGTTAACTAGTTCGTCTATAATGCTTCTGCTCAAAGTGACGGCAGAGCCATCCGAGCCCTGTGCACTACTGTCGGCTTTAAAGACAAAACTAACTAGCCAGGTCCTAAAAGTGTGAAAATCGTTAGATAATACATGCCTACTGACTTTTTAATCACCGTAATTAATGGTAAACGGGGATTGCCAGAATACATCGCATCTGTAAACCCTTGTCATTGATATGGCCGCTATTGGAACCGCATCGGAGCTCTTAGCGAAATCAACGTTGTCAGGCTTGAGCCTGACGGCATCGCCATCTGGCTGCAGGCAGTTTCGGATAATGAACTTGCTATGTGGAAGCTTTATTATAGTAGATTCTCCTTTGAAGGGAATCCTCAAATTTAAAAGGATTTCTCTTGAGGGACGCAAATCCCAATAGGTCAATTTTCTAGTTGCATGTGATGACTGGAACTATAAGCTTATACAACATACTTGACGAACACCACCAGAACGAATGTTCCCGGGACAGAAGTTCTGTCATAAAATCTCCCAAAGTATTTTGTCAGTGTCATTAAATGCTAACCAGCAAGGCCAGCTTCCATTCCATGCGCCACAAGCATCCACGCAAGATTGGTTTCCGCTGAGCGGATTATGAGAGGTATGTCTTACGTTGTGAGAAAGGCCTAGGCGAGTAAAGAACAAACTGCAGAATTCAGCAAGGATATTTCAATACGAAGCAAGAGGTAATTACGCCTAGGTATCATTACTAATACTGCCTAAATGATACATAAGCCACTGGTACAGGCTTGACTCCAAGACATATCCTATAAAACCACTAGGACAATAGAATGGCCAATACGCTATTAGGAAGCTTACTCGATAGATAGGGTCCAAGATGTGAAACCTCCCTCCGTTTTGGTATTTATATAGCAGGGCTTCGATTGAAGAATGTAGTGTAAAAAATACTAAAAGTTATAATCTAGGCTACCCTCTCAATTCTCCCCCACAGACCCCCTTTCGTCTGCATCTATGGCTGGATTGTAAATCGGCTTCGCTTCCGTAATTGATGTCCAAAGTAGAAGAGATACCAGAACCCAGCGATACCAATGATACTCATACCGCCCAGTAGACTGCAGCCTTTTCCTATTCCAAGGTTCAGGTAAAGGGGCCTACCGAATAGAATGGCAGCTGCTGCAAAAGAACTCCTTAGCGCATCGTTGGCGGCAAAAAGGCTAGCCGCGTAATGGGGGTATCCCAATGGAAGGTAGATGAAGATTCCAGAGCCTACAACAAATGAGAAGCCGCAGTAGATGACAATACCGAGGGTTGGTACCTCCCAGGGGATTGAGTCTCTTGCGCCCCAGCCAAATAAGAACATGCCAATTGGCGCACCAAAGACACCAAGTAGTCCCGGACGTAAGAAAGTCTCGGGTACATCATAGGAACCTAGTATTTTGAATCGCTTTTCGATGAACATACGATACCAAGATAGATACCATACGATGCCAATAACACATGCGATAAGAACGCATACAAACACAGCGCTTGTCTCTCCAAGATTCATTCCATAGATTTTTGGATAAACAAGTGGAAAAACCTCAAAGAAGGAATAGTAAATTCCATAAGTGAACGATGTCTATACAAAGAAATCAGACATGGCGATCTTTGGAAAGGATGACTCGCAATACCATAAAAGTGACTTACGTAAATGTTTACAAATGCGATTGAAGGATCTTTGAGAGAGATCTCAAACGGCTTTATCAGCGCCGCTTTTACGGCCTCTTTGGTGGACACTCCCCTCAACGCAATGGATCTCTCGTCAACGTAATTGTCAGACCCGGTTTCGTCTCGCAACAGTTTAGATCTGTGATACAGTAATGTTGGTGTAGAGGTCTCAGGTAAGAAGATGATTAGTAGCACCAAAACAAAGGTTGACAGCCATAGCAGTTCCCACATAGACCACCGCCATCTACTGATGATTAGAAGGGGCAATGTCAGCGCAGAGTAGAAGCACTCACCCTTTGACAACAACTGAAAAGCCTGAAAACAATGGGCCGAGCGCCGGGCCACAATACATGGCACCTGACCATGCAGCTAGACTGTATGGAATGTAGATGACGGAAAACTACCAGGCAGACAGTTAGTAACTGGAAAACAAGGTAAGTCGCAAGAACCCGGGTATTACCATGTCCGTAAGGCTCGCAGCGCCTGTGGCGAGGCATGGGCTTCCAAAGAAACCCTGGAGGAAGCGAATGATAAGAAATCCAGTGAAGCTCTCGGTCAATGCTGCTCCAACGCAGAGGAGATTGAATATGGCGAACGTAAAGATGTAGATCGGATTACGTCCAATATAGGGGATTTCACTGAGAGGTGAGAAAAGAAGTGGTCCAAATCCATCTACAGATTTGTGTCAGCCTGTGCCAAAGTTATGTCTTTGATTGAAAGGACAAACACCCAAGAACATAAAGTGCTAGACCTAGCGAAGCGACTGTTTCTGTGACGTTGAACTCCTCAGTTACCTGTCTGTGCACGAATTTAGTGTATCGTTCTCGTGCCTAACAAGCTTCGACTTACCCAACGCTCGGAACATAAATCGACGACCCGCAGTAGACAGTAAAGGTATATAAGCTTTGAGAGAGAAATCTGTATTCAGTAAAGAGTTCAGAGAGTGATTGGGGTCGAATAGGCATCGTATAACTTACCAAATCAGGGCGGCTACTCCAGTCTTCCTTAATGTTGACCAATTGTGAGGGTTCTCATTGTCATTATCTGATGTCCTGCGTTCACCGTCAGAAAGTCAAAGGTCAATATCATTACTGGCTTCGCTCACCATCCAACAAGTATACAATCGCCTCTCGAGTTGCAGTGTGGTGGTGCATCAATGGCTTCTTTTGGGTACTGGTCTTTGTAGCTTTTATTTGCCAGTACTCGATTCCTTGTTGCCAACCTGATGACCGTACCGAGGGCTGTGGTCTGGAAATAGTGTGCTGTCATGTCAATGAGGTGTTGGTGATAGTTCTGAAGAGTGTGAATTTAGAGAGTTGCATAGCCAAAAGAAAGTCGGAATGTAAGCTATTTTTATAAGGCTTGCTTATAACTTCAAATTTCCACGGATCTGATTTGATTTGAAATTCTTAACTGCTTTCTTGACTACAGCCCGAGGAGTACGGGTATTCGGGACGAGCAAGGGGTATTTGCCCCGCTCTTAGGCAATTCGGGATTGAATGCGGGTCCTGCGTCCCGAAACGGCCGAAGAGTTAGTCACAGGCACGTTCGGGGAAATGAGCAGGGTAATATCAGGTCAATATTGAGTGCTCAAAAGTCTAGAACTAATCTAATGTAAAACGCTATTTGACTTCCCCGCTCCTCGGCGGTGAAGGTATATCTAATACCTGCCATTCCTTATTTACCATTTACCCTTTATAGCTCCGCTTCGCTGTGTGTTCTACAACGTCGTCCGCCGTCGTTCTTCATGTTAAGTTCCCGAGGGCACTAAACCACTCTTCCTCGAACAAGCCCACAAGTATGGTATCTTGCTGATCTGCAGAGACTCCAGTATAAGTAGGCTGAAGATGTAACGTCGCCATTTCAGTCTGAAAAATGCAATTGGCGATTCTCTTAAGTTCCAATAATGTCTTCTTGGCTCGAGGCCATATGTCTTCGTATTGCCTCAGCGTGCCAAGACATACGCGGATTCGGGATCGGGCTACCTCGGCTTCGTCCTTTGGCAGTGCCGACTTGCAAGCAACTAGGTGAGCAATGGTGCAGCAGGCAACCATACAAATGACGAACGGCGACAACTGGGGAGAGCCGAGGGGCAAGATGATAAGGCATTGATTCTGCTTACGAATAGCCTGTAAGAGCTTTTGGAGATGCGATTGACGATTCAATTGGCCTCCACCATTGAGTCCCATGAGGAGTGGAGGCGGAGGCGATCCGCACGTAGAGATTCTTTCTACAGGGTCATACCGGAGCGTGGAAAAAGGTCGATGGATGTAAGCAATGCATCTAAGACTTTGATCAGTTCGAATTAACAAATAGCCGTAAATCATGTGTGATTTCTTACGTGTACATCATCATGTGTGATTGGAAAATGAGTTGATCCAAGAAGTCGGGCCGAACATCAAGGCTTTGTTTACTTGGCGGCAACATAGCAAACCAGGCAGCAATCCTGGCTTCGAGATTATCGCAAAGCATCTCTGCTTGAGATGCGGTTTTGAACTTGAATGACTCGTGCAATGTTGTAGCAAATACTACACTTGCATCTATGAAGTATGCGAAGGAAGAAAACAGCTTTTCTTGTATGTCATACTCGCGGCTTTGATACTCTGCGAATGTTGTTCTTGTCGGTGGGATAACCTTTGCAGTTCCGTTTAGCAAAAATGATACTTGTCCTGGGATAAATCTGGGCGATTACCATTTCGTTGTACTCCTTGTCTTCGCATGGTAGATCCACGCCAAGATCCATTCCCTTGAGCCTCAGAACATAGTCCTGTCGAATGACGGCAAAGTTTGCGTCACTCACATATAACATCCACATTGTACGCCTCCAACTCTCTGCGAGTACTGGATCAGTCTCAGAAACAGAGTCGGCAAATGTTTTGGTGTCCATGCCAATGAGACTTGCTTGGTGCATTGCCTTTGTTAACAGTTCGTCGGCAAGGTCCTGATCGGCGCACATGCTTTTGGCCAATGCGGTCAACAAATTTGTTTGCACGGTGAAACCGTCTACCATTTCATTCTGCTCCAATGGTAGGTTTTGCATTCCAGACAGAAAGGTCTTCGTATAAAAAGAGCCGATATGCTGGACCGCGGCCACAACAACCTTAATGCCAGGGCACCCCGCGGCAAGCCTCGCGTCAAGAGCTGTCCTCGGAAGAATAAATGGATGACTAGGGTGAAAGTTTTCATAATACAGGTCAATAAGTTCGATATGAAAACAGCGACGAGTTTCAACAACTTCCAGGTCGGTACTTGCTAAAGCGAAGCCGGATGGTATTTGCTGATATTCGGGAGTGAGGGATTCGAGGCTATTGGTGGGCGTTAAGTCATAAGGCTGGAAGTCCTGAGCTCGCCATCTTCTTGACGTAGATTTGTAGGTACCGCTTCGACGCGACTCGGGAAATGCGCAGGGTCTAGAGAGGCCAAGACACCGGGAACAAACAGGACGTGTCCCATCACATTTCAAATGTTGGTTTCGACAAGGTAGACAGGCAAGCGATGCACGAGTTTTCGATCGGCGCTCCATTTAAAGATATCGGAGGCAATTTAGCTCAAATAATTGGTCCCATTAAGTTTGGTTGGGCTGTTAATTGCCGCGGTATTAGGCGATGGTGTTCATATGAAGAGAGGTCTATGGTAAAGGTGATCTTTACAATGTCTGAAGAATGGTACTGCCAAGACACCCTAATGACTAAGCAAAAAGTATACACAAGGTTGAATTGCATGACAGATGTTAACCCCACCAATTATAACAACGCTATAAAAACCTTGGCCTGTTCCACTTCGGTTAGTATGGATGAATGATTACATGTATATATTTCATTTGAGGAGCTTAGACTTCAGGTTGTAATCTTGTCGATCTGTTCGGTTAAGTAAACGATCCGGATATGAGGTAGTAGTGACCTTTCATAACCATTATGTACCGATGCTGGTCATGTGTCTTTTATGCAGGCTGACCGGATCGATTGATTGGCTCTATGAGCGGCACGACATCCGTCTGGTCAATTTAATTAGCCAATTTTCCTATGCGGATTCTATTACTTCCGTTTAGAATCCACTTTTCTAGCCAATTTAGGAAAGGCATGTATCACGTGTGCCCCATAGTGACCGGATTGTTAACCGTACAGATCGAGATGTTTAGGGCCTTCGTATAGGTTGACTAAGAGACTATTCTATAAATCCGCTAATTGATACTGTAGGGAATTTGCCTAGCGGTATTAAATTCTATATAGCTTGTACGAGTATGTATAATCCTACTGACTGTTTATTTTCATTTTTAGAGGCATATAATATATAGACAGAAAACCTTTATTATACTTCACGGGGGATTTTCGCCGAAGGGCTATGCTCCCCTAACGTCAATAATTGTGTTCTCAATTTTCAATCTTGTTTCTTAGTAAATTTGAATTCCTTTGCTTTAACTGTTAACTTCATTGAGCCTAAGCTTTCTAAATCTCTTAATAATATCGATAATAATTGTTTCTAAGTAGATAGTTAGCTTCTATAGCTTGTTCAATCCAAGCGTTATATAAGTACTTCAATTCAAGTGTTTAGTAATGTAAAAATCTGAGTTTTAAGCCCTGGTCGGAGCAAACCTATGCCTTCCAGTCATTCTTTTTTACTAATTGACTGGCTGTTATTATATTACTTTGTTTGTGGTATAAATCTATATAGTATATAGAAACACCGCGTTAAATCCATACCCCGTACTTACACATAACCAGTAACATTCGATTGAAACACATCAGTGCTTTATATAGTGCTCAGTGGAAGTCTTCTAGATGTTGAATTGAGGAAGACGTCCACCCTGAAACTGACTTCAATGGTGGGTGGCATTAGTGCTAACGGGTTTATTTCTTAGACTGCGACCTATGCTGTATAAGGTTGCAGAATGGCTGAATGCGAGGTCAAGTTTACTAAGCTGGATACTGCTAATACATAAAACTATCTGTAAACTAAAGGTCTGGCCACCGCATGCAGACAGTATTATGTCTCATATCATCTCATGGCCTATCTACCACAGGATCAGAGATGTAATGATGAAGGTAGTCAGTCACAAACAACAAACATACTAATTACTTCCACCGAACACTAGCTCAAGAGGATACAAGACCTTAGTCTGACTGGATGGATGCCTAAACTTGGTGAGCGGCCATAAGGTATGGGCATAGCTTTACGTAAATAGAATTGTAGTCAGGAAAAGCCACTATCCTGAATGAAGTCTTAGTATAGATAATTTTTCATGGACTCAATTAGACTTTTGTGAATTACGCCATGGACTTAGAGCTCACTCTCTTTGCTCTATTAGATGACTTGAAATTGCCCCGTTTTGCCTGACGTGATAACGCATGCGTATAGATTAGTCTCTCAAGCTAGTGTTTGCGAAGCAAGACAATCTCGAGTAATTCACTCAGTACTTGCCCTGGGCAGGAGATCGGTCATGATAAGATCGAGTAAGAAACATACCTCGGAGCATTATTCACGAATAGTCTGCCAGGAATTATTGAATTATCATCCCCTCGCCACTCGCCGAGATTGACTCCAGGTCCATGCTCTGAATCAGATATGATATATTTGCCTATTTTTTGTAGGGCTGGCAATTTATACAAGCATTCATTCTGAATCTGTAGAATGGATAAAAACACTTGAAGTTTAAACTGAAGCCGCCACTAAAAGCTGTGCGGCCGTTGTTCTATCAAGGATAGGGTAGGATGCAATCCTTTGTTATCTCAATGTATCGGGCCATCTGCTTATCTCAAGTGATCTACCTTGATCAAGGCCGGTCTAGGATTACGAGCTGAAGCAAGGTTTCTGGTGGGTCAAAGATATCCCCGCGACTAATCGCCCTCTGTGATTGGCATATTCTTCAAGCAGAACCTCAGGCCATGCATGAGCAGGGATCGTGGTTCAACAACCAACAGCCAACATGCGCGACTCTGAGGGGTAAACACCTATAAGTAAGCAAGCACAGCCCGCTCTATCTTCCCAACTGGCCATTTACCATTCACCTTCTAGTGCCTACAAATAAACGAGACCATGCCCAAATTGAAAAGAACAGACCTCGTCCAGACAAATACCTTCTACAATGAGGATGTTTACAGCGGCGCTAAACCGAACGATGTCCTACCATCTCATGTCGAGGATCTGCGAGAAATTATTCTCGACTTTTCCTGGGCAATCCGAAGTCAGGGCGTATATACTGATACCTCTCATATTGACTTCCTGGAAAAAGCAAACGGGCTGAAAGGGACTGGCTTGGACCCGATTGTACAAGACGCAAAGCTCATTCGAGATTGGTTCAACTTATTACGTGGCAGCGACTGTGCGGAGAACCAGTGGCAGGAGTCTTTCAAAAATAAGTTCTTTAACACACTTCACCTGAGCGACACCGACTCCACCACGAGCTTGCGAAGGTTGAGCACAATCAGGCCATAATGGAAATCATACTAACAACCACGTCTAGTATTTCACGTTGTAATTTCTATCATGACACCGTCGTATCGTATGTGTTAACCCAAATAAATTATGTATAAGAACTAACTTTCACTCAGGACTGAGGATAAACTCTGGACATTGTTCAGGGAAAGGTCTCACCATCGGGCAACTTCAGGCCTGGACCTACTGAACGTAGTCTCGCAGCCTAAACCTGACTATTGTTTCTTCTTGCCTATGTATCACCCCAAAGTTGCACTTCAAATACCCCATGGAGCGGGATCCGCATCTCGGCAATGGCACAAGAACTCGATCCCGAGCATGGTCGAGCCATTTTCATGGTCACTCTTCCAAGAGCTCTTCGAGCATGGCTTACGACCAACACCCTTTAGTACCCTGGGCAAGAAAGCTAAGAAGTCAAAAGGACCTTCGACAAAGGATTTGAAATGCTATCCTTGGTTGATTGTCGAGTTCAAAACTGAGGATGACTTTTTGATGGAGGAGGTGTGTTGTCAGGGTGCCAACGCCTCGGCCTGCGCTGTGAACCTCAACCGGATTGCAGCCAAGTACACAACCGAGGAAGCTGAGGATGCGCAAGTCCCTCCGATCCCGGTCATAACCACGGTTGGGCCAAAGGTCAAGGCCTGGATTACGTACTTTTCGAGAGACTTCAAAGCTCCATATGACGTACGTACAAAGAGGAAGGGAGAAAATGTCAAAGAGGGCTATGTAAGTTGATGTGCAGTTGTCATCAGCAATTTATACGATACGAGACAACTAACAAGCTTCAGCTGATGAGATGCATCTGGGAGGGGAATATGACTAACCTTAGACATGTTGTGGAGTTCAGACTAATGCTCGAGAACACCCACTCTTGGGCTACACGGGTATTTAAGCCACTCCTAGGGACATATATCCACAAATGGAAGCTTGAAACACGCAAAAATGATGACAGAGATATTTCTCCGGCCTCAGCTACAGCACAGAGGGACTTAAATGTCAGTGCAAGATTGACGCCGAGAGTTGAGGGTATTCTGCAACGGTATGCCACGACCGCGATCAACCCCGATCAACCATCACAAACTACTTCAGTATTAGTAGGCTACATCCAAGAACTTCTTAAGGCTGAACGTAAGGAGACGAATAAACAGATAGATTTGTTGTTCGCCCAAAGGATGGATGGCCTCAATGTCGGCTCTGAGAAGGTACAGTCGAGAGCTTCAACTAAGGACTCATTCGTTTATAGAAGGCTGAAAAATGTCCGCGGCCAGAGGTCACACCATGAGGCTGTACTCCCTACAACCGAGGCCAGTGATGAATCCCTGAACTCGGATGATTCAGAAGACTCTCAGTATGAATTTCAAGACTCAGATAATTCAGAAGAGTCTGAGGGCTCACAGGACCTGGGAGACACCGAAGAAGAGTCTGAAGAAGAGTCTGAAGACCAGGGAGATCTATGGGCATCACCAAGAGTTCATCTAGACACTCCAGCTCAAGAAAGGAGGGTGAGGCGAAGCCCCCGCCTTGCAACGCCCGAGCCAGCACCAAATCAGCCTAAGAACAGGCAGAGGGCCACTGCATCCCCGGATCCAGCCGAGCTTTCATCACTTCCGCGAACTCCTTCGCGGACTCAGAAATCTCTGGGGCAATTCCTTGGGTCTATGGGGGTACGGGCAGACCGATGACCGAAGTCACGGGATTGCGAATCATCTCAGCAGGCCCATCTACGGTTCGATCGATGTCAGTCGTCCCCACCACGTGGGCTAGACTATTTTTGCCCGTGGAATCCTCATCGCGAGGGTACGAAACGGATCAGAATGTTAATACTCCGTGTCTTCTTTTTCCGTTATAGTGCTAAGGTACTTAGAGGTATCGAAGAGCGATGCTGGTCCTTTCTCAGCTTGGGCTGATCGCGAGTGAGTGGACAAGCTTCAAGGCGTACAAAAACAGACACAGGGTATCCAGTAATAGATAGAGTTCCGTAGCGTCAGCCTAGACCACTAATAAGACATTCAAGAAGAAGAAGCTCGTTCTACGGAACAAGAATATATATAATCGGATAGGATCTGACCAAATACATACGACCAAAGGTAGTGGAAAATACGGGATCCCGTCCGCTCTCCCTTAGTCAAGCCACTAACAGGCGGATTAGTAGTTGGGTCGGTGACGACCAGCGAATCCCCGCTGTTGTATGTTTTGCTTTTTGGGCTGTTCATTTAGAGCCAAGAATCGGCTGTTAATAGACTAGTCAGTGCATCAGTGCTAATAGCGTCTCCCACTTCCTCGACAGTTTCAACAGCCAGCTGTAACTGTGTGTCCCATATCTAGTTGCGAGTTATATAGATATGTCACTTCAGATGGAGGGCGCGAGAACTTGATTCTATCGCCCTAGTGCATGATTTCAAACAATCCCGCTTGCTTCGGCCGCAATTCGTCCGTCGGATAGACTTTGCACCGGAACCACTGAGCGTCAATGGTAGCCGGCTTCGAGGTTAGGCCGATAATCTTGGCAGTAACAGAAATAAGACCTAGACCGCTCATGACCGTGTGTAAAAGCGATATTCCTTAACTATTAAAGTGTATAAATGTCTGTTTATTGATCTGTTCTATTCAACACAATCTAGTCCTACCAATAATCATTGATTAGCATCTTTGAGTCATTATCATGGTCATCGTTGTAGTTGCTGGTGGCACCGGAGGCATTGGCCGAGCCATCACCGAGGCTGTCCACCGTAAGGTTGGCGAGATAAACATGGTAATAGGAAAGTCTAAGCTCGACGTAGTAGAGGCTTCAGAGAAGACCTCCCTGGAGTACACCCTGTTCCACGTCGGTTACTTCCTTGATTTGTAGGGCTACCCTCACGTTAAGTCGTATGAACGCCAGAACATCATAGCTGTCGATATTGCGTATACGAGAGCACCCATACCTAGTACGGGGAATACGCCGGTCACCTTCACGCACACTTTAGATATTGCAGGATATGTTGCAGCAAGCCTAGACCTCCCGAAATGGTAGCTTGGAAGCTATGTGATTGGTGATGTTGTCTCTTGGAACAAGTTCTTTAGCATTGCTGAGGAGACTATAGGCCAGGAATAGCGGCCTCCCTTCGTACTAAACGTCGGCAGGCACTAACAAATGCTATCTCGTATAGGTGAAAAGTTTTAAATGACCTTTAACGATTTTATAACACTCCATCAAGGAAAAATCACCGAGTTGCCCTCACAACTGTCATTGTATTCACAAATACCAAAGGACGAGACTCAAGTATCATTCGCTACGTTTGTAGTTTGGTCTGTATCATTCACGACCTACGACCAAGACCCTTAACGAAATCTTTACACACATTAAGGCTCGAACAGTAAAGGAAGTGATTACAGCGGGCTAGACGAGGGATTAAGTAGTCTGTATCGCTAGTAGAGACATGCTTTGCGTCAGACAGATACAAATTCATTTGGAATCCATTATCCCTTTATGCCTAGCACTTAGAGACTTTATAAAAACAATTGAGAGTGCAATTAGAGTATTTTACAACATAATAGTGCAAAATGGATTCACATTACTGTCGCGCTGCCTGACAGGTGCATGGTATTTGCAATTTATCTAGGTGCCTAAAATGACTTGCAATATAGCAGGTAGAAAGCTCACGCCGATTCCGATGATCTACTATTTAGTACATTACTGCCTTTAACCAAGCTGATCCTTATCTAAGTTTCTATCAAGTCTACCAGCAAATGTTGACTAACCTGATCACTAATTATTAAATATACCTTAGAAAAACTCACGTGTTTTATAACTCGGTGTAATAGGTCTTGCCGAAAAGCTATCTCCTGCCTAAGGAAGGGAAAGTGCTGCTTACTAACTTAAACTTAAAAACACTAAGTAAACTTAACTATACTCGAATTGGTGGCAATTGCCGCGGTAAAGATAAACCTCCGCCAAGCAGGGGGTGAAAAATAGTGTGAAGGTTTGATCATTGTCCACTATAATGACGAACCTCCGTATTTGTCTCATGCGATGATTAATCCGGACAATCCGGACAATATGGACAATCCGGTGGAAGACACGATATTCTCGGAATCGAATTATTCATCCTTATACTGCGGCTGTATCGGTTGTGTAGTCCGATAGTCTGCCTATAAAAGGGCCATCTGGTATTATAACTCTTACCTTCAGACTATCTCTCCATCACAAAGCCTATCATCTCCCTTTGAATAACATCAGAATGTCTACTCCATCTACAGTCCTCATTACCGGTGGAAACCGTGGTATTGGTCGAGGTCTCGTTAAGACCTTCCTTGCCAAGCCTTTGTTTACTGTCATTGTTGGCGTCCGCGATCCCTCCCACCCAACCTCCAAGTCCCTCGGAGATCTACCAAAGGGCGAAGGTTCAAAGCTTATTATTGTCAAGCTCGACTCCAGCGTCCAGTCTGATGCTGCTGAGGCAGTCGCTGTACTCAAGAGGGACTACAATATCAACTCTCTCGACATTGCCATTGCCAATGCCGGTATTGCACTAGATGGCGGACTGGTTCGTGAAACATCGATCGATAATATCAACAAGCATTTCGAGGTCAACACAATCGGTCCTATCGTCCTATTCCAAGCCATAGCAGACCTTCTACAGTCTAGCAGCAATCCTACCTTCATTGCCATCTCAACCCTCATTGGCTCCATCGGCTCTATGGAACAGCTGGTCGGACTCCCTGTTTCCGCTGGGAGCCCCTACGGTGGCAGCAAGGCCGCTTTGAACTGGTTCATTCGTCGGCTCCACTTCGAAGAGCCCTGGCTGACCAGCTTTGTCTTTCATCAACAGGAATTTGTACTGCAGCATGGAAAAGTGTTTAGCACACTTCCTAAGTCCGAAAGCAACTTGGGATGCAACTTTCAGGTCTACCGATAACAATGTATGTATGCCTGCCTAACATGAACCTCTAGTAGCATTAGTAGATCTGGGCTACCCCGCGTTCAGAGATATATACCTCAGCTGTTCGAAACCCCGCGTTTCCCCAGGATGTTCGACGTCGAAATCATAGCTTTTCCATGTGCCGCAACCGTGCATCAGCACCCGTAGGCCTAATACGGCAGGTCCAAACTGCTTTTTAGATGCCCTAAGGTGGGTTGAGAATGAAACTGTCTTTGTGATATCGATATACGCGCTTTCGCATATGAGTAGTCTCCTCAATGTAATCCCATTGCTGAACTGTCGAGTTTGCTCCTCGGTATCACAGGCGATTCAAATAGGGCGAGGCTTTCTGTGCTATTGAAGCCTGTGATATTGTACCTAATGAGCGAAGAAATACTGCTTGAAAATGATATAAGAAAGTGCGAACCCGCATTTATCACAACCGCTCATCATAGGTATCCAGTTCCTGACATAGTCTGAACATCCTAGCGATAAACCTGGTTCCTCCTCTTCATCATGTTGCGACTACTTCTGTCTGCTCTTCTCTTGTCTTCAGGCGTGTTGGCATCCCCACATCCTGATCTATCAATTGATGAACGGGCTGCCGGTACTGCTACTGTTGTTCTTCCTTCTGCCACCGTTCTTGGTAATGTCATGAACAAGGTTGAATCTTTCGGAGGCATTCCATATGCAGAAGCGCCTGAAGGCAAGCTGCGTTTGAGACCCCCAAAACGACTACAGAAATCGCTTGGCACGTTTGACGCAACCGGCCCAGCAGGTGCCTGCCCTCAGATGGTGTCCAGTACAAAGAGCAAAGACGTATTATTTCAACTCCTTGGCTCCATTGCAAACCTCCCATTTGTGCAGACAGTGACTGGGCAATCGGAGGATTGTCTGACTATCACTGTGGCACGACCTGAAGGTACTAAGGCCAATGCTAAGCTACCTGTCCTGTTCTGGATCTTTGGTGGTGGGTTCCAGGTATTTCCAGCAGCTTTTCTCTATTTACCCGCATTCGAGCTAACATTTTACCAAGTTGGGTTGGTCCTCCATGTACGACGGAACGGGTTTGGTCAACTACGGTGTCGGACTTGGACAACCCTTCATCTTCGTCGCTGTCAACTATCGTGTTGGAGGATTTGGCTTTCTTCCCGGCAAAGAAATACAAGATGAAGGCTCCGGCAACCTCGGTCTTTTGGATCAGCGGATGGGCCTTGAGTGGGTAGCAGACAACATCGCCGCTTTCGGAGGAGACCCAGATAAGGTGACTATCTGGGGAGAGTCTGCGGGAGCTATCTCGGTCTTTGATCAGATGGCACTCTATGACGGAGATCATACGTACAACGGCAAGCCTCTCTTTCGAGGCGCTATCATGAACTCAGGAAGTGTTGTGCCATGTGAGCCACTCGACGGTGTGAAAGGACAGGCCGTCTATGATCAAGTCATTGAAACGGCGGGATGCGTCGGCAAATCAGACACGCTTGACTGTTTGCGAAACCTCGATTACACCGATTTTCTAAATGCAGTCAATTCGGTCCCGGGGATTCTCTCTTACAACTCTTTGGCCCTTTCTTATCTCCCACGCCCTGATGGACGCACCCTTACAGCATCGCCAGATGTTTTAGCTCTGAACCGCAAATATGCCGCTGTCCCGATGATCATCGGCAACCAAGAGGACGAGGGCACTCTCTTCAGCATTTTCCAGTCAAATTTGACATCTGATGAGAAGCTTGTCACTTATCTTAAAGACTACTACTTTCATGCTGCAACCGCTCCCCAGCTGAGGGACCTAGTCCGTACCTACGGCAGTGGTCTTGGTGCTATCACCCAGAATAGCCCCTTCCGCTCAGGCATTCTCAACGAGATCTTCCCCGGGTTCAAAAAGCGAGCTGCTATACTGGGTGATCTCGTCTTTATCCTCGCTCGGAGACTCTTTCTGCAAGCAGCTACAGGAGTCAATGGAGATGTGCCTTCTTGGGCCTACATGTCATCATACGATCAGGGAACTCCGGTTTTGGGCACATTCCACGGTTCAGATCTCATTCAAGTATTTTATGGGATCAAGGACAACTATGCGGCCCGCAGCATTCGTTCGTATTACATCAACTTTGTCTACTCGCTTGACCCCAACGCTGCTTCTAACGCGAAATATCCAAGTTGGCCACAGTGGAAGAATGGGCACAAGTTGATGCAGTTTTTCGCTGATAAAGTCACTATCATCAATGACGACTTCCGCTCGGCAAGCTATGATTGGTTGGTCAAAAATATTGCCTCACTCAAGTTTTAAGTCCAAATAACAAATATGGCTGAAGTTCGAGTTCAGATATTTAGCGACATAGGTCGGCATTCACAATATGATCTCCCTTTTACTTCATTTTAACTCCGTTGAATTTCATGCCTTTTAAATACCAATTTCAGTCCTATTTTCTCATCTTATGGGGGATGGATACCTACTTCCAGATGATAAGTCCAGTGCTGACCCTTTTGTAACCCTCTCGTGCCATTTTGCTATAGTGGTCATCGCTTCTGTATTCAGGCCTGGAGAAGCCTATGTCAGTAACGAGGGGGGCTTTTGGGCCCTCCCTCATTACTCGTTAAAGGGATGAAGTTAATGTATGGCTATGATGAATGTAAGGTTGCCGTCAATGTCACATTTAGCATAAATTCGTCGCCTCAAGGACTGAATTAATTGCTGTTTTCAGGCTCTTGATTAAATAGTGTGTAGGTGATACTGTGTAGTATTGTATGGGGAAAAGGTTTTGCAAGAGTATAGAGAACCTGTATCTTTTCTCATACATGAAATGTTTTCAATGGACTCAAATTTAAACACTAACAAATAAAACTATTAATTCAAATAACCACATGAGAATTTATGAAATTTGTATTATGCTGGCTAGTTACCAAACTAGAGAACATTATATCGTCCCCCACGAGATCACATCCTCTCTTACTTGCTTGACCAGCTTCGCGTTGTAAGTCTCGGCGTCATCATTAAACTCCTGCTGAAGATCATGAATATGCTTTGGTAGCTCTTCGACCTTGTTGTATGCACTGGGAATAGGCGTTCCCATGCGTTCTACCACCGGAACATACCCTGACCACACATTCGCCATGACCTCGGCATTCCCAACATCTTCCTTATCATCCGCCGGTGGTCCCGCGCGCACCTTTGCACTACCACTTGTGACACGAACGCGCAGGACTTGAGTCTGCACGAGTTCGAATTTGTTTGGCGGCTGGCGGACTTGGTCCCATCGGCCGGGGATGATCTTGTTGGTGAGCAGTTCTAGCGCCCATAGCTTCTCTGATTCATCCGTGACTAGGCTTGCGTGTCCGAATAGGGTTGCTGAGCGATAGTTACACGAGTGTGTGAATGCGCTTAAGGATAGGATGAGGCCGTCGACCTTTGCGACAGAGAGACACACGGGCAATCCTGGAAGTCCTTCGTCCATGGCCTTCCTCGCCAGATTAGTCATCCGGGTGGAGATGTAGCCATGGATGTAGGCGTCTTGAGGTTCGTTCAAGCCGGCACTAGGATAGTCAAAGTTCCCCATGGCTCCGAGCATAGGGATGCTGGTGGGAAACGGATCTTCTGGTGCGGGCTGGAACGACACGTGAAAGATAAGCGACCGGTTCATGATACTGTGCACTGTCTCAAGGTCGTATGTGGCACGTTTGTCGGCCAGCCGATGCACTTTGTTATGCTGGCCTGCTGGGTATGTCAATTGGTTTCGCATGGTTGTGGCTGATCTGATGGTATAAGGCAAGGCAAAAGGAAGACTTGACCAGATGCTGTGGAAATATGGAACCCATCATCCGCTATTAATTTGAAGGGCTCCCTCTTTATATACCTTCAAGTGTCGCTATCGATAGAGCATATATCGGCTTTTCGGAGTGCAAATACATCTCCCCCAGTCATGAATAATAAAACGTTAGGTTATCGGGGCCAAAAGCCGATGACGTTCGTGTGAAGGTCTCTGTTGATGCTGAATGGCCGAAAACGCTGAAAAGAGGGGCGTATGTGAGGTGTCGGAGGAAAATCCCTCGCGGCAATCTCTAGCTGCTGGGGATCACTGCAATTGATCGGAGCAAAAGAGACTCGGACTAATATGCCATGCGGCCAGGCAAAAGTACAGGAGCAGGTTCTGCTCAGCCAGTAACGGCAAGGCTCCGGAGAAAGAAAGCAACAGCTTGTCGACGATGTCGAGAGAGAAAGCAGCGTTGCGAGTATCAAGATCAGGCCGCCTGTCGAAATTGCAGGTCGGCCAAAGCTGGTCAGTCTCATCAGCTCTTTCCAACAAATTGCAGCTGCTAAGACAAGTCTCACAGAATGTATCCCAGCCAACCAAAACCGTACAGACACATACTCTGTCTCGTATGTAAATGGCCTGGAAGAACAGGTAGCAGGTCTCCTGGGACGCGTTAGTCAGCATAGTTCGGACTCAACAATACCAGGTCATCCTATCTCTGACGGCAATTTGGCCCATAATACGCAGCCCAATGAATACACGGAATCGCAAAGCTTCATTAACTCCCTGGAGGGACTTCACACACCCGCCGTATCTGCTCTGGGGAACACAGGTTTTGACTTTTTGTCATACCAGGACGAGAATTTGTTCTCCATCACGCAGCAACCGTCTAGTCACATCGATAATCCAGCAGACTTGGTTAGTTACTCGGGAGATCCTATGAATCCCTCGGCAGGTGCGACAGCAGCCGACATCGTAGTCTGCGAAGGGGCCTCCTTCTTTCAAACTTACTTTGAGGTCATCCACCCTCGCTATCCCTTCCTCGACATCGAGGAATGTAGTGCAGCCTATCTCAAATGGAAGATGGGCGAGATGGCCGATGGTGACGACAAAGCTTGGCCTACACGTCTTCTGAAGCTAGTATGTGATCAGTCTCTTCCAGTTCCCAAGCCTAGTTAACGAACGTGCCCAGATCTTTGCCAACGGTGCCATTTTGCAGCACGTGGGGTTCCATCACAAGGTCCACCGCCAGTACCAGGAATTGGCTCTCCAACAACAGAACATTACAATGTATTCCTCCTTAGGGCCACTCGCTCGATTGCAGGCCATGCTTCTCCACGCTTTCTACGCTCTTCATGGTGAAAACACAGAGCAAGTTGTTCATGATGTCGGCATTGCGATGCGCTTCGCCATCCTGCATGGATTTCATCGCCTCACTAGCGATGGTACTCATGAAACGGACAACAAGATCAAGACTTGGTGGTCTATTTACTGGTAGGTCTTGCACAATTTATAGCTAAATCCATCTGACAAGGGTAAGCCTGGACAAAGTTGTCGCGATAACGCTTCGTATACCTCCGTACCCGCCGGATGAGTCGATCGAGACGCCAGCATTTCAGGCCAAGCTCCAGCCCCAGTGCTTCATGCCATGGGCTACCGACGCTGTGGGTACCTCAGCAGGAATATTTTACAATTTCGATCTCCGTTATTTTGCACACATGTGTAAGATAAGGCGAATTCATTCAGATATACTTAATATGATGCGAAGGCTCCCTTCTGACCTAATGGTCCAGCATCTGCCGACGTTGCGAGCTGAGATCGTCAGATGGGGCAGGAGTGAGGAGGTGTTCGCAAATGGGTGAGTTTAATTATCAGTTTTTGAATAAAATTACCTGACTGGTAATAGAAATGGACCCTCGGTCACTGAAGGACATGCCAGCCCTCTTGGCGTTGTTTACGTTGCACACATGACAAGAGTTGTTCTATACAGCTCGGTCCCTATTGAAACAACGACAGAAATCACGGATGAACTTTTACAGGCCTGTTGTGACGCCTGTGCAACATTCAGAACTCTCCAGAAAAGAAAGCACTTACCCAAACATTGGTTCGATGTAGGTGCCCGTGCAAGATCGATAACACTTGGTACTGATATCATACAGATGCTCTTCATATTCCAAGTAGGGGTGACAATGATATATATCGTCTGGCGCCGGGCCATACCAATTTCGAAAGCTGTTAACTGTGCTGTTAGAGACTGTACTGCGATACTCGCTATCTTTGCCGATCGATCCCAGAATGCAGATATATACCGTGACTGTATGGATCTTTTGGCAACCAGTGTTTTAAGTGCATCGTCGTGTGGAATTATCGACGCGGAATCTAGGCAAGAACTTACAGCTCTAGTTGGACAGGTTAAGGAAAACATACTTGCTCCTCAGGTGCACACTCATTTGGCTCAAATATGTAAGAGTAGTACATTTATAGCATGATAAAGTCAACAATATGAAAGACGAACCTGTTACACTTGGGTCCTGCCGTGAGGGGTCAATTCGTAAGCATTAGCCCTAGCCTACCAACACTGAAAGCAAGAGGTTCCCCACTGTTAGATCGCAGCCTGGTGACTCTTATCGTTCAGTGCAGGGGTCTTGGGCATTTCTGTTTTAATGATGCGAAAGCTATCGCTACCATTACTGTCACCCTGCAGGACAATTGTGACCAGAAAACTCCGACAGCATAATATTGATGCTTCAGCCGGCCACTGTCAAGCTCCTTATGCCATAGCCGCTGTGGCAATCGCCATTTTCGGTTTAAACGCGCCACTTAGTACGGATAGGAATGTCTCAAACGAGCAGCTGAAGTGACAGACCGGGTTAGGTCAGTGGCTCCCCGCGGCGACTAGTGAATCTAGATCGCTCAGATTTGGCTGGTGGCTAGCTGATGCCTCCGCAAAATGCAGATATCGCTTGATTGAAAGATAGAGCTGAGCTTCCTCAGTCTTGGCATGGCAAAAGAGTCCCAGTGCACCAGTCATGATCTGGAGGGGTAGCTGTCACATACCTTAGCCCCAAAAAGGAGTGAAGCACTGAAGCGAAAACGTCTCAGCTGGTGATCAACCACAGTCTCGAGCAAAGGAGTCTCACATTTATCTCGAAGCTATAAGTACCACCCATTCAACACCAAACATAATCATTTTTCTACTCATTCAAAAAGATTTCTTACATCATGGAACCTTTCAAGGGCGATACCTATCCCATCGAGGGCATCCCCTCCAGCGCTGAGCTAAGGACCGACAACATCCCCTACGCTCCGGGCCTACCCTGTCGCTATGAGATAAACCACTTCTTTCCTTCTGACGACCCCTTCGTGAAGAAGCAGTGGACTCTTATGGTTCTCGCCCTCAATCGCTTCAAGGCGCTTGAAGTTGATGAGAAGCTCTCGTACTTCCAGATCGCGGGTATTCATGCGTATCCTCTGCAACCATGGGATGGTGCTGCGCCTCCCAAAGAAGAGCCCAAAGAGACCCCCAAATTGCCTGGGGCGAATCCCTATGGAGGATACTGTGAGCACAACTCCATTACCTTTGCGACGTGGCATAGACCCTACTTGCTGCTTTTCGAGGTATGGACATTAAGTTCTCTAATCTTGCGACAATGCCTTGCTAAGCTGTAACTTAAGCAACTCGTGTGGAATCATATGAAGGAGCAAGTCGAGGACTGGAACCTTGACCCTACCCAGGCTGCTGAGTGGAAGAAAGCAGCTAATGAATGGAGGCTCCCATACTGGGACTGGGCTGGCGAGCAGGAGACGCGAAAAAACAGACTCCCAATAATCTTCGAAACTGAGAACATAACCGTCTATCCTCCTGACACCCCCAGAGGAGAGATAAGCGTCGAGAACCCATTTTGGGACTTCAAGAATCCCATGAAAGACGACAAGGGTACCCCAAGGGCATTTGGAGACATGCCACCAGGTAAGACTCAGTGGAACATCCCGGACCGCGTTGAAAAGGGAAAAGATGGAGAACCCGATGTCATACTGCCAGTAAGTCCCCATGTATATTTCAAGCCTTCAATCATCCTTATTAATATCTGTTTAGTGGGGCAAATCCTCGGCAACAAGCCGCTATGGTCTACGGAGCGAAGATGGAGTCAATTGGACGGGCCTTGACGGTTTCAATAACATCCAAGAAGCCAACACTGTTTTGAGCAAGTTCCAGGAGGGCTGGTACCCTCCCTACGACCAAGATGACCCGAGGCGAGATGAATTCAAGGCTCCTGGCACACTGGCCGATGCAGTGAATCGTCTGTTCTCTCCACAGTACACGGATACCTGGGAAACCTTTTCCAGCACCAAGTGGTGGAAAGAGAGTGCTCGTTCAATCAGTACCGGTTATCTTTCGCTGGAGTACATCCATAACAATGCCCATGTAAGTACACGTTACCAAGAACCGTTTGGTGTGGGTATTAATTTGTTAATTAGAACCTTATCGGCGGTCAAAATGCCAAGAAGCCAGACAAGGGAAGTGGAGGATGGGGTCTTGGGCACATGGCCGACGTTCCTGTATCAGCATTTGATCCCGTCTTCTGGCTCCATCATTGGTAAGTCGATTCTCTCGGATGGAACTCGCTCCTTGCTAAAACTTCCTAGTAACATCGATCGCTTGCTTGCCATGTGGCAGTGTTTGAATTGGACAACCTGGTTCAATGGGGTCCGCACTCAAGGTTGCACTGAGTATGTCGAGGATAAGAAGAAAGACAGTCCTCTCCTGCCTTTCCACCGCGAGAAAACCAGCGATCCAACAACTGGGTACTGGACGTCAGATGATGCTCGAGACTGGACGAAATTGCGCTACCAGTACGATGATCTGATCCCGAAGCCAGATGCAATTATCCCTGGAAAGAATGTCTTGAACGAGGAAAAGTACAAGATTCACCTTCGAGAGCATATCGAGGAAATCTATCCCAGCGCCCAGAAGTACTGGAAGGCAATCTTCGAGAAGAAGAACAGAGACGAGAACAAGGACTTTTTCGGACGTACTAATACGAGGCAAGAAACCTGGAACGACTACGTCATCAACGTGGTTTACGATCGCTATGCCCTTAACGGAAGTTCCTATTCCATCCAGTTCTGGCTTGGTGGTGATGGCGAACACCCCGAAACGACCTTCCGAGATGAAGAGAACCTGATCGGACAGGTTTACTCATTCGCTGGAATGGATCCCTCAGCTGAAACGTGCTCTAACTGCGCTTCCCAGAAAGAAGAAAAGGTGCTCTCTCGAGCTCAAGTTATTCTTACAATCCCAATTATATCTCAGGCACTGGACCATCGCTTCCGACACATTGAGTCAACCAGGATAGACGCTGTCATTAAATATCTCCAAGGTCATCTTCGATGGAAGTTTGTGCAGATTGGAGGTATCGAGAGGCCGGCAAAGCAGTTCCCCAACACCAAAATCTCAGTCCTCAGAGGTATTGGCAAACCCCAGACTGCTCCGGATGACAAGACGGACATCCCACCTATCTATGCTGAATATGAAGTCATGCATAAGGTCACGGAGGAGAAGCCTTGCGGAGTGAAAGAGAATGATGCGATACTTGGAGCTTCTCAGACCTTGTACTATCGAAAGTTTAGCGATTAGGGTCTTTTCATGGGGTAGCGCGTAAGTCGGAAATTGTGTCGAGTTAGCCCTCCTGCGCTTTTAGAAGTAGCGTCGAGGCTAGGGGGGTTTAGGCTGGTAGCGAAGGTTTTGGTTCGGAGTGCATAATTGAGAGAAGAAACAGAGCTTATACTGGCCAAATCTTTCTATTGATGTCTTTGAGACTGCGCCTGCAATCCGTTGGAAAGTGTTTAAGTGATTATATAACGCCTTGGTAACTAACCAGATGATAAGGTCCCATGAAATATATGTTAGGACTTTTTACTGTGACCTTGATGTTATCTTATCCAAGCGAACGGACCGGAGTATTCGCCTAAATCCCGATCCCGTCGGAGGTTGAACCTGATTCCCGATTCCAACGCCTTGTACATTACCACACCCTTGTCGATGCGAACTAAAAAGAAACTTTCACACAAATAATAAGAAATACGAGTAATAATAAGCTTATTTGCCAAGTCGGCGATTTACGCAGTAGGCCGCGACGACACGCCCGGCAGTGACGCTTCGTTGTGTTGAGGCGCAGGCCATAATGCGTTCTCTACCATTGCTTGGCTTTAAACTTTTTGCAATCTGCCGCAATATTCCAGGCTTGGCGGGCAGGGGAATTTTATTGTATATATATCATGATAGAAGCTGTGTAAGGCTCGTTGATCTTTAGCTACTATACGCTGCATTCATTACCTGCTCCCGACCAAACCTCTCAACCAACCATGCACTCCACCATGAGGACTCTCCTCCAAACTGCGACGCTTATTGTTACGGTTCTCGCCTCGGCGGCGGCCAGTCTGGTCATGATGCACTTTTCTTGCTATGCTACTATGTGCTCTGAAGAATTCTTCTCTTATGAGACACGTCTGCATGTTATCGTATATTACGGCTTCCTGTCTCTCACTCTCTGCCTTCTTTTCCTCCGCGCATGCAGCTCGACCGTCCGCTCATTCGCTAGCTTCCAGCCGCTAGCTAGTGTTCCCTTCTTGGGCGAGCGACTTACTCTCGGCGGATTATTCATGAGTATCTGGATATTGGTCCTTGCCTGCGGTCCGGTCATCTACTGGCTTCCAACCCAATGGGAATTTTGGGGAGATCGTGCTGACCCCTTGAACTGGATGTCGGCCAAGATTCAGTTGACCATTACTGGTGTGACTGGACACTCTACCGACATCCTTCTTGGCCTCTTGACTATACCAGTTGCTCGCAACAGCCTTGTTGGTCAGGCCTTCTCGGTACATCACAGCACTTTACTCCTCGCTCATAAACTCATTTCCTACCTTTTCTCGATCGCTGTTGCCGCTCACGGTATCACGTATATTGTAAGCCCTCAACCCGAACATGAAACTTCTCTCTTTGGACAACTACTAATGATTTTAAGGTCTATGCCGCAGATGGCAGCAGTGAGGGAGACGAGGCTAAGGAAGAGGCGTTTGCCACCGGAAATCCAGCAATGACGTTATCCGAGAGCAAGCAGCGAAGCTCGTGGTTTACCCAAACAACCTACACCGGTATCGCCGCTTTCTTGCCAATTCTAGCGATACTTGTCACGTCGATTCCATATATGCGCAAGAAGCACTATAACCTCTTTTATTACACCCACGTAATTTGCGGCACTGTCATCTTCATCGCGTCTTGTATCCACGCAAGCACCAATTTCTATCTCCTACTGCCTGGCTTGCTATTATGGATCGGAGACTGGATTCGACGAGTATTCTTTGGAGAAACAAATGGTTTGAGTACAAAGACGCTTGCCACTATTGAAAACCCAGGCGGTAATTGGATTAGAATCTCACTCCCCACCACGTGTTCTGCAGAAAACATATCGGAGAAGCCGTTGACGACGTGCGAGCCTGCACTATATTACTATCTCAATGTTCCATCCATCAGCAAGGTACAGAACCATGCCCTCACGGCTGCTGTTCCAAGCTCTTCAAGTCACGGACCAACCTTTATGCTCCAGCGAACGACCGGCAAGTCCCAGAAGAGACTTGAGAAAGAATGGACGTGGAAGCTGGGTGCCTTGGTACCCAACATGCAAGATAGCCGCTCGCTGGAAATCCGACTCGAGGGACCTTATCGCATCAACGACATGGGATATGCTAGTGCATCTCACATAGTGTGCATTGTCGGCGGGACAGGCGTTACGGGAGCCCTTAGTCTGGCGCGCTGGTGGCTGGATGTCTGTTCTGTCAACAACAGTCGGTTCACATTGATCTGGACTTTGCGGACCGCCGAGTCGATGGAAGTTATGGAGTGGACAGAGCTCAGGAACATGGCTAAAACCAACGGCTGCCTCGACGTAAGATCACACATAAGCTCTGAAAACGGCCGTCTTGATCCAGCTGTGATTCTTCAAGAAGCCCTCGGAGTAGGTAACGGCTTGGTAGCTGAGACTCCAGGACCCGGATGGGTTTACAGCTCTGGACCGGATGCTCTGATGAAAGCTACCAAACGAGCATGTGTCGAAACGCGGAGAAAAATCGTCAAAAGCAAAAGGGGCGGCTGTCAAGGAACCTGGGTGGTAGAAGATCTGTCCTGGTATATGAGTCAGTATTAATAAGGGTGAGGAGTTTGTGACTCTGTCTCAGTGGGGAGCTTCTAAATACAAGAGTTGGATGTAGATTACTTTGCAACAAATAGCCATGTTATATAAAGTTTAAGAGTTTGTATACTCGAAGAACCCCGTCCATGCCTTCTGACATGTCTGAGCTGTCATTAGATATTATCTCAAGTAGTTCAGTACATATGCACTTGCCGGATTTGACTCACGATTACCAGTCCACATTATACATTCACTTTTATTGTCGATATCATTGAGAGATTTGGAAAGCCTGGGCTTGATAAAGTTGAAGGTTAAAGCCAAAAAATACATTCATTTTCTTCTGTCTTATTATCCTCCCTATCGAGGCTTGCTATTATAAGAACTAGCACTAGCCACTGGTTTCTGACAATTCGTAATACTGGTCTGTCGGTCGGCACACTAGAGTCAAGGTCGAGCGATCCCTACTAGCCCGTACCTTCAGCTCTCCCGTTTCTTTATGTTCAGATTGGCCTTTCCAACTTCTTACGGGCTCTATATCTGATCCAGATCCCTTCAATGTGCCTAGAATGACCGACTTGAAGTCCAAGAAATCACCTTCCTCATTACCCAATATTTTACCCCAAAGCCTGTGTTTGAAGTAAACCACCATTGTAGCAGCTCCAATAACAAATGCAATGATTGATAAGCCCAATGCAGACCAGAAGTTTCCAATACGGACTACTTGAATCGTCATCGTGCCATTCATGAGTTTGGTCTTTTGCAGTAGCATGATTTGAGCTGCACCGCTACTCTCAAGAAGATGGTCCAGCAAGAGCTGTAGGCCATCCTCGACTGCCTCCATTACGTCTTCATCGGCCCTCTCTTTTCGTCCCCTCCTGGTTTGAACATTGTCGATGTTGCGAAGAAAGGAGTCACCAAGAACAGACGTATATAAGGTTGTCAGTGTCTGCGACAGGTAGCCGACTCCGTGAAACGATATATTGGCCAAAGCTCTGGTTGGATCAAGATCTGATGGATTCTCTTCGGAGAGTCTCACCGAAATGATCTTCTTATCCATATCAGCGGTGATATTAAAACGAGCTGGTGTGAATGAAATTTCGCACTGGGTCTGATTCAATGGAGAATAAGCCTTGCCCGCTAAGAAGCCGTACATATATCGCGATTGGTTATTGACAGCTGCAATTGATGCAGTGAAATCTTCATTTAGAACACCCCATGTCGGGAAGCCATCCCAACGGCCGTTGGGAAGAGATCCATGGACCCAGTATCCTTGGGGAGCGTAGATGCCGCCAGGCGTCGTAACCATGTCTGATTTGGCAAATGACAATTGGCTTGATCTGTTGTATTGACAGGATACATTTGCGTGGTATCCGTCTTCGAGAAATGAGTATTGTCGGACAATAGCGTTCGGATCATCCGAATATTTAGGTTGTAATAGTCCAACAGCTGAGCCAACCCCGAAGGATCGTCCGTGATAGACAAAGCCCGTTCCATCAAGTTTCTGATAAGTTGACATGGAGACATTTCGGGAAGAAGCTTGGGAGACAGAGTTGAACAGCAGACCTGTTCTGGCTGGAGATGTATTAGCAACGAAAAAAAAAGGGAACCGGGTTACAAACTCTTCCAGTTAACAAAAGAGAAAGTGCCCAAATCTTGGGTGTCACCCAAAAGTTCATCGCAACCCTGTGCTGGTGCACATTGAGTGGCCCAGAACTTAGAAGTTGCCTGATCAAAGTGAGGAACCTCGATACGTGTGTCGTGTTTCAACTCTCGGATGGTTGGAGTAATAGAGCCAGCCCACAAAGCGGCAGGAATTTGAAGTAACAGAACACAAGCGAGAGACATCAATGAAATCCTCTTGTTTCCTAACTCAAAGATCGTAGACTTGTCCGCTATAGCCTTTAGTAGCTTCAACGTGTCCAGCTTGAGTCGTGGGTTCGGCGAGAACAACTTGGCATTGGTAGCCAGCCTAACAAGGGATGTGACGACATAAGTCTGGGAAAGAGCAAGGGACGTTGAGAGAATCTGGATGCCAATGGAGATATAGGTGCGGTTGTCTCTGATGAAAGAGACCCATTCATTGTTGGAGAAGCCCTTCGCTCTGGAAAGTGGAACAGCCAGCGCAGAGAGAACCATGGATAAAATAGCAAAAATGAGGGTGGTAAGAAGTTTCCACTCCATGATGCTTGCCTAAGAAGGTGTGTAACAGGAAACGAAGAAAAGAAAGTTACAAGAATTCAAGTTGGGTAACAAGAAATGTATTAAGAGCGAATGTTTGACATTGATGGGGGTCACGGCATAATACAATATCTTAAGGAGATCAGACCAGATCAGATCAGGCTTTGAGGTTCGATTCAGGGAGGCCGCATTGCAGGGCTTTCACTCTTCGGTTCGAGAAGCTGAAAAATATGAATTGGGGCTGATTGTTTAAGAATGTCTTACAACATGCAGCCACAAATTCTCAAAAGGTCGGGATTCCCCACAGTTGTTTGCCAACCGATCGCTAAGAATTCTCCCTGAAAGAGAAATGTTACAGAAGATATTGGCCTTTCGCTTATCGAGTCACCCATTGGAGGATATCATTTGACGACTTGCCGCCAGCCGACTACTCAACTTGGCTGCGTAACCCCAGCTGTGTGGGGCATTTTCAATCATCAGCCTACCGCGACAGTGAAAATGAACTCGGCGCTAAAACAATATGCGGCTAGATATAATGATTCGATGGCGAAGTTGTTTTCCATACGAAGTCGTGGATTCCGCGGCCTATGGCCACATATGTTGTTGGTTGGACAGCGTCTGGGCTGACCAATTCGGTGATGGCCTGCTTACATTAGTCTCTTGGCCTTTTATCTCGGCGGTAAATATCTTTCAGCTGGGCAGCCACAGCTGAGACTGAGGCCGAAGAGAGAAGCTATAATTAAACACATTGTGAGGATGAGATATGTTGACTAAACCCTTCACTTATGCAACCTCGGATACACGTTCCACACGCATGATCATTTAGATCTGACCTATCTGCCATCTAGAGCCACCCTGATTTATCAATCTCTTACAATTTTTCTTTAACTATGCTCTATTTATGTACTTCTAAATCTATACAATAAACTCAATAAGCAATCAAACTGTCTTTACCGTTCGAATCCATAGGGTCCTGCTAACCCAGTAACTACATTCCATGACATGGGTTCTTTATCTATATTGCAACGAGCAGACTTAATTTTCTCAACCATCTCAGTAGCTGTCAAGGCAGGTGCCATCCCACCAATGCCTCCATAACTTCGCGGAAAGTCTTTGTCAAATCTTCTGTTAATCCCACTTTTGATACTCGCTTGACTATCAGTATCAAATGAGCAGCGACCTGAATAGGCCAACGGGAGAATAGAACTGTTAGACAACGTACTGGCCCTATCTACTACGTCTTTTGCAGAGATAGTAGGCTTATTCATGTCGCATCCAATTCGCACACCCAGGCGTTGATATGACTCCGTTGGAGTATTACTGTCGAACACGCATCCGATATAATGGCCGTCAATGTAAGGCTCTGTGACAGGTACCAAACCGTAACGTTCTTCTGGCCAGCAAATTCCTGCAACAGACAGCAGCAAAGCGGGATGTTGGTGCGTCCCCACAGAGTCGCTATAAAGGAGAAGACAATGGTCCCATTTCTCTTCTAGGGCTTTTGCAACTCGATATTGGACAGAAGGATGCATGGCATGAGGTCTTAGTGTTCTCTTTTCCTCTTCTTTCAGCAAACGGATGCGCCAAACACCGATGGCAGCGCCAAGTCTGTCAACTAAGATATTCCCATCCAGAGCGCTGCGGCTCGGAGTATTGCTCAAAGTTGCGGGAGTTCCATCTAGAAGATTCAGTGGGCACCAAGAGAACGGGCCGCCTGAAGTTGACACTGTTTCATAGCCATGAAGCAGAAAGTTCAGAGGTACCTCCATGTACAACTGCATGATTTTTATCGTTGCAGCTGCGGGTGAATCCTCGTAGTCATAATTCGATACACGAGCCAGCATAGAAGCAATCGCTATCCGATCGCGTGTCCAGGTAGTTGAGCGCGTTCTCATAATCATCAAGAGATCCGTAATACTGGGCTCATTCTTGCGCAATCGGCTAATCACGCCTGAGGCAACCAGGTGTCCAGGCTTGGCAAAATTCCCATTCGCCAAAATATCATTATCCAGATCCTTGACAACATATCCAGAAGGGCTTCTCAAGTCTCTGAATAATATCTTAATAGATTTGGTGACAGAAAGCTCAAGCGCTGTCCAGCCTCGTGTGAACCATGGTGAAAGGATCAGTGCCAGCGCGGGACTTCCATCGTTTGCCCAGTCACACTGCAGGAGGTATCTGTCATGTACAACGGTGTGCTTAGCGAGGAGGTAATTCTCATGCATTTTGCTGATGGCCTTTCGCCTTGCCTGTCGTTCGGGCGGGATACAAATAGCATCCCACCAAATGCCGTCACATTCCAGCTCCTCAGCTAGCGATTTGAAATACAACAGAAGACAGCTATTGACCTCCCCTGCCTGAGACACCCCCATACCTGTACCATCTGACCAGACATGCGAGATGGCCATGAACTGTGTCGACTCTGGTAGCAGGGACATTCTTTCTGAGTCCATCGACGCCGTAGGCCATGCTGTTGACCTGCCAAGATGTACTGCGTCGTTGAGCTCTTCCAGAGGAAACAACTTCCCAGGACATGTTTGCTCTATGCACTTGTGTAATTGCTTCTTTAAAGTGCTGTTCTCATCCTGGAATACACACTGTGTCGCACTGCATGTCTCGTGTTCAGGATGTGCCAACGCATCTGAGTTCTTTGTTTGCTCTGCAAGCTCCATTAATGCAGGGATATCGTTTTCACCGCGCTCGGAGCTGTATGCCAAGTTCCAAACCCGATTCTTGCAAAGTCTTAGGAGTCGCGCCTTTTGTAGAGCACGGTCGACAGCAGGCAACGCAACATACTGTGGGATTGAACCGTTGTTCCATCCCCAAGTGGCAGGGTCGTTTCTCCAGAAGCTTAGGAACCCGTTGTCGAATTTTCTGCAAGGAATCTGAACTTGAGATAACCAGAAATGAGTCATCTTACATATGTCGAAAACTGCAATGGGATCACCGGTGAGACCAGATTGCATTTTCAGCTCCATCAAATTATCCCATTGGAAGGCTGAAAAGTCGTCAAGCCACTGGTAGCCGGCTTTGGCAGCTGCTAACTGGCATGCAGCATTTGTCAAAACCCAGTCGCGAAGCCTTTCCCATTTCTCGCAAGATGGCAGGACCTCGTCAAGACGCTTTTTCAGTTCTTTGCAGCGGGGAAAATCACATTCTCGAAGTCGAGTTTGTAAGCAGAAGAGCTGGACAACATCAAGAAAGGTACCATAATCCTGTACCCAAGAGTACTTCTTTTGATATTCTTCTCTTTCTTGGAAATCGTACTCTCGGTAACGCATCTCGGTCGTAACATCTCGGGGATGAAAGTCGTATAGGTGTATATTTGCGCATGCATTGGTCGTTTCGGAGTTCAAGGTCTTGTCTTCAAACAAATGGCGGTCGAAGTTAAATAATGGTAGATTTTGCGAGTTTAAATAAGATAACTCCGGCACGAATCCTTTACTCCCAGCCTGAACGGTGTGGTGTACGAGCTCATCTTTCTTGTCGTTCAGGGCCTGAATCTCTGCCAATGTTGGAGATGGCATTGAATCGAAGAAAGCCTTCATCCACATTCCAAATTGCTGGGAAAGTCGGTCGTTGTTAGCTGACCAGCAGTCAATAGTCTGATGCCATGTCGTGTCCATTCTGGTTTGAGGGTTATCTAGACAACACCCGCTAAGTGGAACAAGAATCTCGTACAGTTGCTAGAGTACGATGCCGAGGATACTTCAATGTTTGAATGAACCGGGCTATTGGTCGGGTTGGGTAGGATCAGGCTGGGTTTTTTTAGGCCTGACTGATCGACTCTGTCACTGAGTACACTGCTCCACACGCAACTGAATGCTTCTCGTCACATCAGGTAAATAGCACCATTCTCGCGTTTGGCCTGATATAGATGTAAACCATGTACAAATCAATGCATGGGCGACCGCACTGAATGTAAAGACGCCAGGTGGCTTTTGGCTCGCCTTTTTTCTTTCTCGCGCAAGATTGGGCTGAGGGGTCTGCAGTGTTGAGATCCGAAGGAACGGATCAAGGTTATTCCGACCCGGACTAAGGGGGTCATAGTATTCTTATGTCTTAATAGCTCAATCTAGAACTTAACTCTTTAATTAATTATTATATAATAACAAAATTCTATAGGTTATAAGCCTAGATAGTATATATATCTACTAAGATAAGTATTTAATTTATTTTCTTTTTTAAAAGAGGTTTAAAAGCCTCTTTCTATTATATAATAAATACTTATTCCTTATATTACCTAGATAACTACCAAATAAGCTATTTTAACCTAATCTAGCCCTAACTACCTTATTTTCCTATAAGATCCTATTAACCTCCTTAATTATTATTAAAAAAAATCTATAATATAACCCTATAAAAATAAATCCTTATAAGTATAACTTACGTACTTATCCACTCTAGGCTACTAGAATATTTAGATTCCTTAATAAATATAACTTCCTATATCTAGCTAATTAGCTTTAATAATTTATATCTAACCCTATAGAATCTAATAATAATTTTAAAAAAAATATTAAGTCTAATTTAGTCTTAATATCTAGTTATTTAATACCTTATAATTCTCTTTCCCCTCCTAGCCTAATTAATATTTAAGGACTTAAAGCTTAATTTATATCTCCTTCCTTACCATTACCTTAACCTACCTTAAACTTTAATAAGTTATTACCTAAACCTTTAAATTATAATATATCTAAAATTATATATAAAATCTAAGCTTTAAAACGTAAGGACTTTAAACCTAATCGATTTAATATTATATATAAGACCTAGCCTTTTAAGCCTTAAACTATATTTAATAAACTAGTAATTAAAAGTTTAGTTTTAAACTATATCTAGCTTAAAGGAATTAACTAAAAGTCTAAGAAACCTTAATAGGATCCCTAAGCTTAAAGTATCTATCTAATAAATTAATTAGAAATGTAAGATAAGCGATTACTTAACGATAGTAAGGTACGGGGACTTATTCAGTTAGAATAAAGCTCCTTTACCTCTAGGTATATTAAACATTACCGTAGAAAAGCTTAAAAACTGGCTGCTAAAGTAAGAAAAAGCCTACAGCGTAGTACATAACTGTCTAGGGCTTAACGTAAGAGAGATAGTTAATAAAAAGACTACTATTATTAAAATCTTTACTGCCCTTAAAACCTACTTTAAATTAAAAGGAAGTGCAATCTTTTAAGGTATTAATAGACAATATAATAACCTCTCTCTTAACTAATATAATAGCGTTAAACAATTCATAGAAAAGCTATATAAAGCCTAGACTAAATTACTCTAGCTAGACCCTATATATTAAATTAAAAAACCTTAGTTTATTAATAAATTTCTTACTAGACTTAGACCTAACTATAAGATTTTTCTTATAGCCTTTTACTAAAACTATAATCTACTTCTAGAATAGGATATTAACGATTTTAAGATAATTATTAAAAATATAGTTAGCTTTAAAGCTATTTTTACGGTAGCTAAGTAGGAGGAGATAGCTTAGAAGTAGTAAAGAGATAATAAGATATAAATAGTATTACTTACAAAGAGGTCTTAATAACCTTAATATAAATTAAATAGTCTAAAATATACCTATTACTATAAGGTAGGATATAAAAAGTCTAGGTACTTTACTTTATATTTATATTTACTTAATAAATTCCGTAAGTAAAGGGATAATAGCCTATTTATAAGATATAATTATAAGCTTAAAAAGTAAAAAAATATAAATAACTCTAGTCTTAACTTAAATAAGTAGGCCTAAGCTATATATTTTATAAATACCTATATAATTATACTTTAACTAAAGTTTAATCTCTTAGTAAAAAAACTAATTAATTTACTTAAATAACTTTACGTACTAGACTTTAAAGCGTTATTTTATACCTTCTATTAAAGAGAGAACTTTAACTATCTTAAGAAGTTTATTAAAAACCTAATTAATAAAATTAGTAACTTAAAGACTATACCTAAGGGATTAGGTATATATAAACTTCCCCTTTTTATTAAAGGGATAATATCTATTTTTAAATTTACTAACTTACTTTACGTCTTAATAGGGAACTATAACCTAATATTTATATTAGCCTTAGAAAAGAGTAGTATAATAATTACTTTTTAAAAAGGATAAGTAATTATAATATAAGGTAGGAAAGTTATTCTATTTATAATATATAAATTCGGCTTATATATTATTAATATAGATAATAGGAGTGTATAATATATTCTAGTTATATACTTAATTAAAGATCTAAAAATATATATCTAGTATAATCGACTTGGTTATATAGGTAAGTAAAACCTTTAATAACTTATAAAGATATCTATAAAAATAAATCTTATAAACTAATTATATCTATATAAGGTATATATAAAAGGGAAGATATAAAAACGTCCTTACCGGGGGTATATTAAGAAGGGAATATATCTATTTAAGAGCCTATATAGAGATATTACTAGTCCTTTCCTAGATAAGGGTCTCTATAGGATATAATACTAGGCGTATTTTATAAATAACTTTACTAAGATAATATAGATCTTTCCGATTAAGGCTAAGTTTAAGTTTATTAAATACTTTTATATACTTCTTAAATAGAATAAGACACCAATAAGATATATCTATTACCTTCGCCTCGATTAAAAAGGAAAAAACCAGATAGAAAAACTTATCTTACTTTATAAAAATAAATTCATTAAACTCCTTTACTCTACCGTTAAATAATATTAATAAAATAGCATCGCCAAAGTAGTAAATAAGGTCTTACTTAAATAAATAAACTCTACATTAATTTATTCCGGCCTAGAAAAAAAGTATTAACCCTATATCCTAAAAGCGATTATATATCTACGAAATATGTCTCCTATAACTAGACGACTAATAACCCTATACTAAGCTTAGCATAATAAGATACCAGATCTATTACACTTACGCGTCCTGGGATATTAAGCTTTTACTAAAATCCCTTTTATAAAAAGAAGGAAGATAAAGGAATAAGCCATCCTATATTACCTTCTTAGCTATAAAGGGAGTATAAACTATATCCTACTTAAGGATAGTAAAAGAATCTTTTACGTAAATAATATAATATTTAATAAATAACCTTACTTACGAAAATACATACAGTTAATCTAATTAAACCTCCCTATCTAAAAGAAGCCTTATCTAAACCCTTAACTAGTAACCGGCACTATAATAACATAGTTAACTAACTTAATTAATCTATAACAGTTAGTAAAAGATACTTAAATAGATTCCCTAACTATACCTACTCTAATAAAGGATAACAAACCTACCTACACTCTTAAACTTAATACGCCCCAGAGCGAGGCATTAATAATTAAAGAACACCTTATACTAAATAAAGTCCTTTAAGATTATTATCCTAAACTAAAGATCCTTAATAACTCTAAAGATAATAGATATCCCCTATCTTAATTTATAGTAGCCACAGTCTAGGAACTAGAAAATCAAATATTTACTATACTAGCAATCTATCTTATACTTATTATAAACAACCTTAAACTAACTAAATTAAAGTTATATAAAGAAATAATAGCCTCCCCTTAAAGAGCCTAATGGCAAGAGGTAATAAATAAGGAAATAGCTTTATTAAATATAAACTAGATTCTATAATAAATATAAGTCCTATTAGATAAATACTAGCTTTAAGGTAAATAGGTTTATAAACTTAAATAAGGTAAAGATAGTAAGATTACTAGATTTAAAGCTAGATTTATTATATAAGGCTTTAAATAATAAGAAGGGATTAATTACTATAAAATATTTATATTAGTTATTAAACTAATAAGTTATAAACTTATATTTACCCTTACTACCGCTTTAGACCTTAAAGTTAAGTAAATAAATATTAAAATAGCTTTCCTCTATAGTAAAGTAAAGAAAGAACTCTATATTACTTAACTATAAGGCTTTAAAAATAATTCTAGTCTAGGATATAAACTAAATAAAGCTCTTTATAGCTTTAAATAATTACCTTATATCTAGTATTAAACTCTATTAGACTTCCTTAAGAAACTAAGATTTAAACCACTTACCTTAGATATTAAAGTCTTTACTAAGGGCTTAATATATATTACAGTCTATATAAATAACTTACTTATAGTAAGCCCTAGTAAATCTAAGATTAAGAAGATTAAGTAAGCCCTTAGTAAAAGATTTAAAATATCTAATTTAGGGCTATATAAATATTACCTTAGTATAGAAATAAAATACAATCATAAGAATAAGATAATTTATCTCTCTTAAAGAGCATACCTTAAGAAAGTCCTTACTAAATTCGGTATAATAGACTTAACTCCTATTAAAACCTTAGTTACTATATCTAAATTTAACCTTATACTAGATAATTATAAAGTATTAAAAGATAATTACTATTAGTTTACTAAAGTAATTAGCTCGCTAATATATATAATACTTAATATAAAACCTAATATTATATTTACTATATTACTATATAGTTAATACCTTAAAAATCCTATATCGGAATATATTACGGCCGTTAAATAAATAATATAATATCTAAGAGGTACCTTAGATTTTAAACGTATTTTCTCTAGATTATTATAATCCCTAATTAAGTATATAAACTTTAACTAGGTAGGTAACGATAAGACACGCCGCTTGACTTTAGGATATATCTTTAATATAGGGACTAGGGCAATTAGCTAGTTATTAAAACGTCAACTAACTGTTACATTATTATCCTATAAGGCTAAGTATATAGGACAGACCTAATACGCAAAAGAAGCGATTTAGCTATAAAACCTTCTTTATAAATTACTTAATAATTCGCAGTAAGATATACTTAAAACTACAATTCTATATAAGGATAACTAAGGCGCTATTATACTAGCCAAGAATCCCCAGTTTTATACCAGGATAAAACATATCGCTATATAAATAAGCTAGGTTTGAGAATAAGTAGTAAATAGAAGTGTCAAACTATAATACATCTTAACTAAGGACTAAATAGCAGATAGTTTAATAAAAGCTTTTCTAAAAGATATCTTTATTAAATTCTATATACTCTTAGGCTTAAGAAATTAGGCTTGAGATTAATACGTAATTACGTATTAAGCTGGTCTATATTCAGCCTTTTTTAAAATAACCTACCGATAATTACTTTACGTTTCCTTTATATATACTTATCGTATTAATAAACCGTTTTCACTATTTAATTCGTCCTTATTAAGAGTTTTTAAAATATTAATATTTATTAAATTTTATTAAATACTTCCTATCTTAAGTAAGAGAAATAGGCACGTAATAGTCTATCCCCCTAGTTAACCTACTAATAGATCTATAAACGCTCAGATTAGAGTTCTTTACCTTCCTTAAACAATTCTAATAATTTAATAACGCCCTATATATCTACCTAAAGGTAATCTTATTTAATAATATAAAATACTAAGCTAATTAGAAAGCTAGTATATAAAATATATTTAATTAAGATATAATTATAGAATTCTATAACTTTAAAAAGAATAGTAAAAATATATAGCTAGGACTTTTTAGTATTAAGTTAGAAAACTAGGTTAGTAAGTTAAAGGGAGAGTAGGAGAAGATTAATTAGTATTGCTTTATAGTAGTAATTATCTAAGACGAAATAGGAGGTAAGTACCTTATTTATTACGACCTAGATCTAAAGACCAGAGTCTAATTAGACTTATATATCCTATCTACCCTATAGGGTATTTAATAAAACCTCTTTAACTAAATTAGACAAAATAAGATAAAAAAACTTAGAGTTTAGTACTTAATAGATATTATAAACTTAGGTCTTAATAAATACCTAATTAACTTACTTTATAAGATATAAATATAGGCTAAAGTAAGAGACCTTACCTAGTAAGGTAATAATAATCTACAAGCCGAAAATTATATTTACCTTACTAAAGTCTAAGTACTATACTATATATAACTACCCTATACTATAATTAAGTAACTTACTATATACCTAACCTTTATATTAGAGTCTGTTTCGAGTAGGAGTGTTAAGATCTAAAGGAATAGATTAAGGTTATTCCGACCCGGACTAAGGGGGTTATAGTGTTCTTATGTCTTAATAGCTTAATCTAGAACTTAACTCTTTAATTAATTATTATATAACAATAAAATTCTATATATAGCAGTGGAAGTTAAAATGCTTTATTGTTATTGGGCTTTAATACCCTTACCACCGCTCGTAATAGGCGGGGCTGCTTCTTGGCTTTGTAATTGGGTAGACATGATATGATAACAAACTCTATATTGCAGCCGACAGTGGAATCGTATTAAACCAGAGATGTAATGTAATAACACGAAGAGGGTTTTAACCAATTAAAGCGCAAATGAATAAAAGGAGAGTCACCCACTAACTAGATCACTTCTTACTTAGGATTAGCGTAAGGTAAACCTCCTAAAAGAGGTCGATATTTGCACGCTTTGGCACCTGCTCGCAAGCGTGCCCAGTTTTGGAATCCTGATTGCTTTGCAACCCGCTGATGGATATCTTAACTCCATATCATTTTCAGCTTCTGGCACAACATTGGCGCTCCCCCCTCTCCTCCAAGGCTCCAAGTCATGACCAACAAATGCTGCGCCTTAGTCTTAGCGTGGCATGGCGTTGTGCGGGCCGATCCTTTAGTCCGGAGATGAAGCGAGTTGGTTTCATTACGTAGGTTATAAAGGAAGAGAAGTTGGGGATTACACAGGTTGGTTGAATGAATGGCTTTCGGAGTGAGTTCATGGAAATATGTATATGCATTTCCATGGCGGCTTGGGGTCTTGTGATTTGGCTTAGAATAGCCATAGCTGAATGCTGCAGACTTCTGCACTGCCGACCACTATAAATATCGACTTGGCGCTTACGGGCTGCAGTGCCAAGCATTGCGAGGAGAGCCAGGCAAAGTCGGTATCAAAGAAATCCCCATATCCCGGAAAGAGAATTATGTTCACATGTACTTCAGAAAGGCTTTTGCAAAAACATTGCTTTGTATTGGCAGGCCGGAGTCCTAGCCCTTTGCTTGAGCTATGATGTGTGAGGGTGAACCAATTTTCCAGTAGGGAGGTCGGCTTTCTCCTTGATTTTGGCAGCTAAATAAATTCCTTCAGGAATAAATCTTCTCCAATAGTACTGTTCTTTGAACTTTCCAGTCTCCTTATCAGGTATGAACCTTCGGTACTTCTCATTCCACTCTTTGTTCGGGAATTCCGAATCTGGGTCCCGGAACTTCTTGTCGTTTATGAATTCTGGTTTAAGCTCCTCAAGAGCCGCAATGGTCGCCTGCCGGGTAGCTTCCTCCCATTCCCTTCGACTATAAGACTCAGATAAGATGGGATTCAGCCATTTCATACCACCCTTATCAAAATATGCGTAGTTAATCTCGCCATCATCACCAAAACTGAAGGAATCCGGGTTGAGGGCGACAATGAGGTTGAGAAGGGAACGTCGAGTACTTGTTTGTGTGCTGTACCGTTTGACGCTAATTCCGGCCTGTTGTTCCAGCCATTCTTTGGCACAAAAGCTTGGTGGTATGAGATATCCGTGACAGAATATAGGAAAGGCGATCCAGAAACAAATTAGATACGCGTCCCACTGTTTGTCGGCGGCGGCCCCTATGGCTAGACCCCACTGGCCAAGAATACAGAGTCGAAAAATGTGGCGGAGGATAGCCGTCCGGGTGGAGGACGGCGGAGATTGACTGGGTTCCAAAGGCCGGTTGGCCAGGGAGTTGACGACTGAGCTCTCCCCAATTATAACTTTCCAACAGTCTGTATTCATATGGTCGGCAATAAGTAGCAGTCGAACGAAGTCGCTAGGCGTATCGATCAGGAGCTTTCGAGGCTGTTTGCCAAAGAGGAGGGATACCACTAATCCAGTAATAGGAAGAAGCAGGACAAAAGCAAAGCATATCCAGAATTCGAAAACGCCGCTTATTATTAGAGTGCAGGCCCAGAGAATCCATCCAACGAAGGCAGTAGCGAGATAGACAAAAGGAGTTTTGTGCAAAAAGTCAATGAATGACGCAGAACGTTCGTACAACGAGGTACGGGGCGAGGCTGGCGATGATGCCTCTGGTGGCACGTCTGATGATGTTTCCGCTGATGAAATTGCATTCTTCCGCTCAAAATGGATGATATCGACATTTTGTACGCGCCGGATCAATTTGTCATCGGTCATATTCAGATGATCGTTTAGAATATGTTCAACTTTAGTGCCGTCGAGAAGGAGCCGCAGGGTCTCAGGACTGCTGACAAAATACCGCTCACCATAGCGCCCATCTAGAGCTTCAAGAGCAGGAGAATTACCGAACCGGTCCATATAGCAGTCTTGTCGAACAGGCTTGCCGCATACCACGTTCGGCTTTGCGAGTAACCGCCGGCTGCCCGACGGCGTGATCGCCCAGCTCCATACCGGAACAGACCCGGCGAGTTCTAGAATGTGGAGCTTGGACGGGATCTCAATGAAGTCAATGAGCGCTGATAGAGGAAGAATGCCTGCCAACTCACCGACCCATGGGTGCCGATCAAGCACCGAGTTTAGTGACTGAATCGCTGCCTGGAACATGGTGATATGCTGATGTTTTGCGCAAGTCTGCCTGCTTCAGCTGACAACTGCGGAGCAGCAGATTTTATGCTGACGGATAAACAGGGATTTTGATTACATGCTCTGCATTAATTCGCTGCTGTACGATTAAAACCCACTTTGCGGAACGGTACTGCCGATTCTCAGTAAGCTCAGGTGACAAGGGGTTAACTGGATATACCCCAGATATGCAACGATTAGAGTATATTGTCGGGTTTTTATGTCAGATGCGGCGTGGTTCGCGAGGTCTTCTGGTAGGCATCCTCGTGATCCTTTTTGACGTGGAGAGAAGGACGAGAATGTCCAGGCCCATAAGATTGGAATAAGCTGCTATTGAATCTATACTAAAACACCTCTCTATGTCAATACACACCACAGAAATTTGCACAGCGGAAGAAAGGACGAATGGACTAATCTAGCCATTACTCTGAAGTTTCTGTATAATGAGCCTCGCCGCAATCTACTCATTCCTTTTCAGATATCGAGCTACTAAGAGAAGGACAAACCGTGCGATGAGAACAATGTAGCCACTTACTTAATCGAACCTGATATGTGAAATCATTGCGGTGGCAAGCAATTACTGATATAGCTGTTTCTTATGGAGTTCTCTTCTGGGATTAAAAAATGTTAAAGCACCAAATGCCAGGACAAGAGAAATATGTTCCAATTGTTGGTTCTTATCTTGTGATAAAACTAACTTGACTCAGAGATGCAAAGCATCAACCGAGGAGGGGGTACCTTAATGCACGGTGCATAGGCTAATTTCTAGGAATAAAAGAGTATCGCGTCCTCATCACCTGTATTGGATCTGATCTGACCATGAACTTGGCTTAACTTGACTGAATGAAGGCTGTAGGATTTGAACCACTGGGTGAAGCCTCGTGCTGCGTAGGAGATAACGTCGAAATAATTATAAGCGCTAGGCTTAAACGCTAGCAACATAATATTTAATATTTTCACTAAGAATTATAATATTACTTTCCGGTTTATATAAATAACGTTGTTATAAATAGTTTAATAGTTTTTATTAAGATAAGCTAGATCTCTTAAGTAAGTAATATGGTATATAGTTTACCTAAATAACCTATACTAGTATTATTATATTCCTTAGACAATGATATTATTACTACTATTAAAAATTATATTATTAAGTTATAGTAGAGTTTTTATAAAGATTATATAATTAAATATATCTACATATATATTAATCTTACAGCCCTTAGTATATTACATATATAATTTATTACTATTCTTGATAGTTATTTACTTTAACTCTTTTTATTGTTAAAGATATTGATATACTCTTTAACCTACCTGTTAAAGTAAAAACACTAAGCCTTATATAAATGTTCTTTTAGTTATGCTACTATTAAGTTACTATTACCTCCTTTACTTATTATCTTACTGTGAGAAGTTTATTATTACCAGTAATACTATAATCCTTATTTATCTCGTATAGTAATATCTCTTTATATAAAAGCTAACAACTAGATAATAGATAATAGAATATTATAACACCCCCGAAATAAAATCTCGCATCGTCGTTCATATCCAACCATTCTCCTCGTTAGTGCCATTTGGGTAATGCAGGGAATCTTTTTGAATCCGAAGGAAATCCCTGTTAGTTCTCTTCTTCATCATTTGAAGGTGAGAAGGACACAACTTAAAGCAAGTTAACGGTTCATCGAGGAGTTCGCTTCCCCGACAATCTCCAAAATTAAGCTTTAGGCATGATTTGCAGCGTAATGCTCTCCTGATATGTCTCAAGTCGCCATGCATCCGAGCATCAGCTGAAACAGGTCTGATGGACAGAAGGGCCGCCGCAAGACTCCAGTTGTTGCGCCAGACTGATCGGTTGATAATATCTTCTTGTAAATCGCCAAGACCAAGATGGTCTGAGTGGCTGAAGAATAACTTTACAACGTGTGTTGCCACAACATATGGCCAGGTGGTCGGACCTATAGCCTCGTCAAAGACACGTGCTATAGTCCTTCTGTGCAACGGAACAAGTCCACCACTGGAATAGAGGTGTCTACAGCTTTGCAACACCACTGCAAAGCTAACCTCCCGACCAGACTGAAGGAGGCCAATGAGTGCGACGCTGGACTGGAGTCTAGTCTTCCAAGTCGGGCCAACAGCTATGTACCCCCAGTTCTTGAAGATGTCTCTTATTTCATAGCTCTGACCACAGGATATGTAGTATCCACGAGGATATTTCAAATACTCACTGGCCTCAAAAGTATTAAAGCTGGACAAGGCGCCTTCCACCAAAATATCAAAAAGCGATTTCCCAGTGATTGTCTTGGAATTTATAAGAGTATTTGCATCAATTTCGAAACTGTTGATGATCGTACTCAGTGACATCTGTGGAATAGCACCTTCGATATGTCTTGATAGAACAGCGAGCGCCTGGATGTGCCGCTGTGACGTTCTAGAATATCCTCTCTGAATAAGCTGACAGACATCTTCTTGTAATTGATACCTTGTTTCCTTTGCACAATCACAAGAGGGGGCAGGTGAGTCAGGATCTGGGGCTGGCAGGTATGATATACCATTTGCAATTGCAATTGTTGCAGCACGAACAAACAAACTATGATCGAGTTGCGGTCTTGCAAGGTTGAGGCATCTATTTCGACATAACGCATGCCTTTTATGAGCCGCCAAAGTATAGAAGCATGTAGGCACACTGCCCGATGTCTTGTAATAGTCAGTCAGTAGGGCAAATACACGACAGGAAAGGCCCCAGTTGAGGTGATGGTCTGCGTAAATGAAAGCAAAATAAAGGTCTGTGGTCGTTGGATCCCTTGAATCATCCTGAGATAAAGACAGTAAAAGACTGTTGTAGAATGCCGATGTCGGGCCAGCATCAGAATCTGAAATTTCCTGAACCTTGACTCTCCACGTATCTTCAGTCCATGGCTGATACTTTGCCTGGGGAGGGGGATTCTCGATAAGTTGGCCGCTGTTCCTCCATGTAGTCGCATCAGCTTTTGAATCTAGCCTCACCGCATGCATGAACCAGTTTTGTGAAGCGTATTTGAGAAAATGAAAGTCCGCAATGCTTTGAGGGAACAGATTGGGGACGGCAACTTGGTTTTTCGAACCCTCAATGTGTTGCTGTGACTTGACCACATTTCGCACAAGACGACCCACCCGTGTACCAAGGCTTCCCTTGACTGCAACTTGTACCGTCTGGCCGGCTATCTCGCCCACGTCAAGCTTCAGACCGTTCTTGCTTTGCTTTTGGACCAGTGCCGTCTGAAACTTATCAAGATTGAGATAAGTGATGCAAGCCTCACCGGCGAGCTGATCACAGCTCACCGCTTCGATATGAAGGTTAGAGAATTCACCGGAACCAGGCGTCAGGAGATATTCCCTTATTGAATGGTGGCTGAAATGCACTGTGTTGTCAGTCTCCTCTACATAGACAAGACTTTCGCACCAAGCTGGCAGTCGGTCTATGCCGCTAATCAGATCATCTGGGTGCAATGTGCGTTGGTTTATCTCAATAGACAAAGCCTCTCGTATTTGAGCAAGAGTCAGTGGCTGTATTGCCGCTCTCGTCCACATGAACGCTTTCTTTGCAATATCTTGGTTGTTTTTCTCTACTATTCGACTCAGCGCTCTATCAAACGTGGCTGGAAGATCAGTCGGGATGTCTTGGAGCGCCTGACGTATTTCCTTGTCGGTTTTTCTCGAGCACAGATCCTCGATCGTGAGAAATGCCCATAGAAACCTGTGTGGACAGTTAGAAACGACACGTCAGGTCTCAGTATTGTACTCACATCCCTTGCTTCTTTGAATCAATGGTCTTACGAATTTCGTCAAGCAACCGAGGGTCTGCCATAACAAGCTCATAAGCCTCAACCTTCGCTTTGAGTATATCCTCCACAAATGCACTAATATCATCACTCGTGCTTTGCCCGCCGGTCATCAGTCGAGGGCAGTCAGGAAATACCCGTTGTATAACATTTGAAGACGTTTCGCGGGAGGAAAACAAAATCTTGATAGAGCGAGACCCTGGAAGTGTATCAATAACTCCAGAGAGGAAATCGAGGAGAATCGACTGTTGATTTGGTGCAAATTCATCTAACCCATCAAGAATGATGAACCAGGTGTCGACAGCTTCAGATGCATGACAATACAGTTGCCTCAAAGAAGGTAGGGAGAAATTCAACTCCTTGTTGCGCTCCAGGCAGTCATTGATCTTAGACGCAAGCTCCGGTCGCAAATCGGCCATGGGAATTGCCGATAATAGCTGCTGTAGACACGAACGAATGATTGTATGTGGGTCCAAGCTTGAAGGATCGTCAAACCGGAGGAAGAACAAGGACGTAAACTGATCTGGGGGACGATTCTGGAAGAGTTTATCCACTACCGAGGATCTGGAAAAGAGTTAGTGAGCAGCTAATAGCCAGCATAGTTCGTATACTCACGCTAGAACTGACTTTCCAGATCCAACTTTGCTCAAGTCAGCTCCTGAAACTGTGACGACCACAGGCGAGAAAAAACGTACTCTTTCCAGTGACATGTAGGAATGCTGAATTATCAAGCAGCATCCACTTCTTGAACTCTTGTGTTTCAAAGATCCACTGCGCCGTACCAAGATGCCTCTTGATACGTATAGTGTTCAGAGCAGCTGCAAAATTATACGAGGAAAGTTCTTGGAGTAGGCGGCAGCGTCGTTGGTCTGCGCGACGTGCTTAGTTATTGAACTGAGGCTGAGTTGAGCTGTTACAGACACTTACCTGTATCGACTTTCCTACCGCGAAGTTGAAGCCTCCTCATTTCAGCGGTTGCTTTCGATGTCCAGGCAAACATATTTCTGCGGTGATCTGACGCCGCTTGCCGCTCTCTAGTCTGGAGCTGTTGCTCTTCGCGATCATACTGAGCTTTGACCAGTTCAAAGTCGCGCTGCACATGTTCGGCCTTCGATCTGATATCCTCAACATACGTCTTTATTTCTGCCTGGAAGGATTGTGTCATAGCTTTCCAGATGTGCGATGTCACTAAAACCAACAATTAGATATATTTCATAGTATTTTGCGCAAAAGACCTGATTTGATAAACTCATAGCGGCTGATACAAGCAGAAAAGAACTCGATAGGAATACGTACAGGGTTGACGGATTGTTATTACAATTTTCGTACAGCAGCTAATAACAGCGGTGTGAAAGTGGCAAATTGAATCTTTTATACGAAGAGATTCATGAAAGACAGTTTGATACTCTCCAAGTCTGGTATACAGTGAGCCAAACCCGCGCAGGAGCTCAACGAATGATTGAAAATAAGATGAAAGATTGGCTAGGAACTGTACACGTTATTAGCGAACCGTTCGTAGATCCTGCAGTGGTTCCAAACCGTGAATGTTAGTTTGATGGATCCCCATATTAGAGCCGTAATGTCGGGATTTGACTGAATAAAGGTGTCAATGATTGGAGTGTATTGTTCAATTATCTGAAGGAATGATGAGAGTCGCGTAGCAACGCTCTTCCCTCTTCGGTTCTGATCAAGTCTATCCAGCTCGGCAGTGAATAGGACAATTGATTGAGAATCGTGGGAAGTAGTTTTGAGCTGTTGTAACTTCTTGCGATCGTCATCATCTAGGATGGCTTGAAACCTGGCAATAGCAGTCTCCAGTTCCTTGACACCGTCGCTCGAATCCACCTGAGATCGCGAAAAGACTGCGAGTCGATAATCGGTGGTCTTGGAGGACGCCATGGGATGGAATTAAAGAGTTATAGAACCTTTCCCATGATGATGTTTGATGGAAATGCAAGAAAGTGACACCGGAGCCTGATCTGAGGCCTCACGTGCACCATAACTGGTATGCATGGGTCTGATTGGACTTAACGGCTAAGCAGGCAGATTTTCAGTACAGCCACAATCCATTTTCAGAAGACGAGGCTGACTGAAACATCATTTGTTAGTGGAGAAGATCTGGCCTTCCGTCACTTAGCTTACTCAGCCAATTAAATATCAGCCTTTGAAAAAAGACCAGTGAAGAGGAAACAATAGTGACTCATTTATAGCCCACGGTTAGTAGTTAAAGCCCATCTACAACTCTTAGGTGTAATGGTTGTACAAGCCTTATGCTTTAACGTTACTCGGTTGCATTACTGTTGAATTACTGTTGGCTACCTTGCTTATCTTATTATCTCACTGCGGGGAAGGTCAGTTAGGTTATGGTGGGTAATCTTATTGGATTTGATATATTTTTACTTTTTTGTCTTTGTAGATACCTGTATTGCTGATATTTCTATAGGTTATATTGAGATAGCTGGATTTCTTTGTGAAAGGTGCTAGTAGACTTTTCATAAATCGTAATGGGACTTTTATAGAATTTGGCTTACTGGCGATTAACGTAACTCTGTTACATTAAAAAGCCTTACATATACCATTAACTATTAGGAAATCAAACATTCAACTACTACTTGAATGATAAGTTATAGTTATTACTAATATAAGCCTAATATAGTCTAGTCTATCCCTTAGGAAATCTAACTATTATAATTTCAATAATAAATATCTATACTTTATTAGATTTTATACGTTTAGCCCCTGACTGGTTTATTGTTCACGTTATAACCATTTACTTAATAAAACCCCCTTTAATAAATCTAGGTTTGACTGCCGTAAAGTATTTTTATATTTTAATAGTGGGTTAGAAAACTAAACGTTTTTAACCACTATAATTAGTTATACAGGCTGGACTCTATATAATATCTTTAGAAAGAATAGTTAACAGCCTAGACCAGGTAGTATTATTACTATGTGATACAGGTATAGTACTCCTATGGTTGTTTAATCTTATGCCCCTTAGTATTAAATATTCAGTAGGTTATACATCCAGGGATTAATAGAAGGGGGAGTAATAAACTAAGTAAAGATAGGAAATTTATAATTGACTAAATTTTAAAGTAGAAGTGTTCTATAATTTAAGTACAAGAACTGATTCCTATTTAACAGTGTAAAGATGTTAAGGTTCAATTTTTAAATTATTTATTATAGGCCGATTTTACACTTTGCCGTTAGAGCGACTGACACAATCTGCAGGAGGCCGACCAACACATCTTGTCCAGCCATTCATCTTGCGTGGAATACACTCGGGACCATGGCTGCCTAAACATTGAATTCCCCTCTTTTGTACTCGCTTTAAATGTTGAGCTTTCCTATTATTCTGCTTCCACTTTTCTTTACTTTGTTTCATCGTTAACGAATCTCGTCACGCCTCTATCCTCGACGCGCACTTGGCCAAGAGATATCGCAAGATTCGTCTTATTTCTTATCTTCAAGCCCATTGATAATCATACCTATCCCTTCCCATCTTGTAGTTATCTATACGCTAGATCGAGATGGCAGAAAACCAGCGGCAAGCTCTCCTTTTGAACTTTAGTGTCAACACTAACACTTTCAGGAACGCCCTTCACGGCTTTGGATCAAGAAATACCACCCAGCCTTGTTTTCATTTTAAGCAGCGGAAGACTTGCAAGTTCGGCACCCGCTGCAAGTTCTCGCACGACGCTTCGACCCCGCTACAAACCCCCCAGCCGTACAACCCCAACAGTCACGGCGCTCCTCCCGATGGAAGATTGCGTCAGTGGAAGAGGCTCCTGAACCTTGGCGACTATGGTTGGAACTCGCCGGAGTTGACAACTGCCAATGCCAGTCGGTTCTTCCAATTAGGCCTCCAGCTGATGGACGGTGACGTTGGTGCCGTCCAAGATGCCATCAAGCTCCTTGCCAAAGACTCCGGTCTAGCGTTCATCAAGGCCCTGGCTGATGTTCATATTCCGCGGGCTACCTATTCCTCCAAGACCATGCTCTGGGACACCGAGGTCAAACCTCTATTTGCTCTCATCACCCACCCTCGAGTTATAGACTCGGCCGTGTTGGAACAACAAGTCGCCGACTTGTTCAACTACATGCTGGGAGTTGAAGGTCAGCGGATGGTTAAAATCTTCAACTTCATCATTGAGCTCGTCTCTGAGCCGGGGCTTGCTGCACACAGGGAGTCGCCAATGGAGATACTTGAACTTTCTCTCAGCGTTTTGTCGAAGATCATCGACTGCAACACCAAGAACATTGTCAATTCGGAGTGCGACAGGCTAGTTTCGGTCTTTGCCCAGATTGTAAAGACCGTTCCGGGCGAAAAAGACCACTTTTCTCGATTGCAAGCTTCCAAGTATATCGAATACATGCAACAACGAATGGATACAGGCAAAGGCATTGCAGAATGGCACCCTAGCCGTCATGTACCGCTTGCAAGGGAAGACTTCGTGCTTCGACATGACCTGCCCGGGACACTGTCTGCTGATGGGCCTCGTCACAACAACGACCATGTCGATATTACCAAAATCAAGATCATGCCTACTTACGAAGAGATCGTATCGCCTCGTGGGGAATATCTACCGACTAACAACCCCTCCACATGGCACGTCAAGGGCATTCGTGGTCGTCTCGATCGAGAGTTTCGCCTTGTTAGAGAGGACACAGTCGGACAGCTTCGAGATGGTGTGCGAGAAACACTAGAGCTGGCCCGAGAGCCTAATCACAACAAGGCTCGGCAGTCCAATACTCTCCGAACATACACCTACGAAAACCCTGTTATCATGGATGTCAACTTCCACCGTGTTGGGGGGCTAGATATATCTATTTGCTGCCCTCAAATCCCAGCTGTTAGCAAGCTGAATGCCAAGAAACGAAAAGAGTGGTGGGTACAGTCCAAGCGGTTACAGGCGGGCGCGCTCGTATGCCTATTCAACGTCGCGGGTTCTGTGCTATTTTGCGTCGTATCCGACACCACAAGAAGATTTAAAGATGATAAAGACGCTAGGGTGATCGACGACACAGACCAAGACCCACTGTTTTCTGAACAAGCAAGAAGTCTCTCGGACGATCAAGACTTTCTCTCCGTGAACCTCAAGCTTGTTGACCCGACAGCAAGTGAAGTATCGCGGGCTATGCGATGGTACAAGAACATCAAATCTTATCCAAAAAGATATCTCGTGGAATTTCCTGGCGTTTTACTTGACTCTTTTAAGCACAGCTTGTTGGCCCTTCAGAAGATGCACGAAAAGCCCAACCTTCCTTTCACAAATCTCCTAGCGCCCAAAGAAGGTTTTTCACCAGACGTGGACGTTGAGTTACCACAGTATGCAACAAAGCCAGGGTTTACCTTCGACCTGAGCTGCATTACGAATGGCAATTCCCCTCTCATTGTTGACCCCCGGTCACCCATAAGCCCACAGGCGCTCTCACTGAAGTCAAGTCTTGATCTGACACAGTCCGCTGCCCTGCTAAAGACTCTGACTAGGGGATTATCGCTCATACAGGGACCCCCAGGGACTGGAAAGAGCTACACGGGAGAGAAGATCATCAAAGTCCTTTTGAAGAGTAGACAGAAAGCAAAGCTTGGCCCGATTCTTTGCGTCTGTTATACCAACCACGCCTTGGACCAGCTCCTTGAGCACCTCCTTGACGACGGAACGGAGAGAATTATCCGAATTGGATCTCGATCTAAATCAGAACGGCTCCAAGCATTGAACCTACGAAGCGTTACTCAAGGACTACTTCGAACCAAGTCAGAGAAAAGCGGTCTCTGGAATGAGGAACAAGAAATCCGCGAACATGTCAATGAAGGGAAGGATCTACTCAAAGAACTTGACGATTGCCAGTCTTGGAAAGCCATCAAGAACTGGTTAATTATTGAGCAACCCAGTCAGCATGCTGAGCTGTTTGGAGAAGATCAAGATGGGTGGCAGACGGTCATTCACCAGCCAGAAATGGTCATTGATCGGTGGCTCCAAGGTGGAGAACACAACACCACGCATTCCAGGCCACTCCAACACCTTGAAGGCGCTCAGTTGAGTAGTCTGACTAAGGATGAGCGAAAACTACTCCATCGTCACTGGACAAAGTCAATTAGAGATCCTATCATAGCTAACCTCGGAAGACTCAATCAAGACTACAACGACGCAATCAGACGAAGAGACGAGATCCGTGGCGATGTTGATTTGCGCTGTCTCAACGATGCAGATATTGTCGGTGTTACAACAACTGGCTTAGCCAGAAACTTGAATCTCCTCCGAAAGTTGCGATGCAAGGTCATGCTTTGTGAAGAAGCCGGCGAGGTTCTCGAGTCACATATCCTCACTGCACTCTTACCCTCCATAGAGCACGCCATCTTGATCGGGGATCATCTACAGCTTCGACCTCAGATACAGAACTTTGATCTTCAGAGTACAAACCCTCGTGGCAAACAATACTCGCTCGACGTGTCCTTGTTCGAGAGACTAGTTCAGCCTCCGAATAATAATGACTTGCGGATTCCTTACAGTATGCTGGAGACTCAAAGACGGATGCACCCGTCGATTGCTGGGTTGATACGCTCGACTCTATATCCTTCGCTAAATGATGCAAAGGTTGTAGAGGACTATCCACAAGTCGTGGGTATGAAACGTCGTTTGTTCTGGTTCCATCACGATCGGCCTGAAAATTCTGTCGAAAACAGCAGCTCTCTGAACACCTCCCGATCTAATAACTTTGAAGTCGATATGACGACTGCTCTAGTTTCTCACCTCTCTCAACAAGGCACATATCGACCAGGTGATATCGCAGTCCTCACACCATACCTAGGACAGCTCCAGCTCCTGCGCCGTAGGATGGAATCCATGTTTGAGATTTACGTCAACGATCGAGATCTCGATGACCTCGAGGCCGCTCAGGATGAGGACAGTGGTGCCAATAGACCACGCGCCGTTGCTCTCAATAAAACAACCCTTCTCAAGAGCGTTAGAGTGGCGACTGTCGACAACTTCCAAGGCGAGGAAGCGAAAGTGATAATAATATCACTGGTCCGAAGCAATCCGCAAGGAGACTGTGGTTTTCTCAAGACATCGAACCGCATCAATGTTTTACTATCTCGCGCCAAGCATGGTATGTACATCATTGGAAACGGATCCTCATGCAAGAAGGTTCCCATGTGGGCAGATGTGATGAAGATGCTGGCTTCGGGACAGAACCTAGGCACCAAACTAGAGTTACAGTGTGCAAGACATCCAGATACCCCGATTCTCGTCTCCCATCCCGATCATTTTATGCAGTTTTCGCCAGAGAGCGGATGCAACCTTGCATGCGACAAGAGACTTTCCTGTGGACACCCTTGCACTGGAAGATGCCACTCAGATACTTTACATCACGCTGTGAAGTGTCTAGCACCCTGTCCTCGACTTAAGAAAGGATGCGATCACACTTGTCCACTTCGATGTGGTGATGCCTGCCACGCCAGATGCCTTGCCAAACTTGAGAATACTATGCTTGTACTCCCATGCGGGCATCTCTTGTCTTCACCCCAATGTTGGGAGGCCCAAGATCCAGATGCCGTTCGCTGTAACGAAATGGTTACCAAGACCGTACCAGGCTGTGAGCACAACGTGCGCGTCAGATGTCACGAAGATATAACTGCTGCAGACTATAGATGCACTTCTATCTGTGGAAATTATCGAACTTGTGGACATAGCTGCAAGAGCAGCTGCTTCAAATGCAACACACGCAGAGACGGAGTAATCACACAACAGAACCATGGTATATGCATTCAGCGTTGTGGGCGAAAGTCGTCGACCTGTCAGCATAACTGCTCTCAGAACTGCCACGGTGATGCACCCTGTCAACCGTGCGAGGAGCGATGTGAAGTACGTTGCAGTCACTCTAGGTGCAACAAGGTTTGTAGCGAGCCTTGTGATCCTTGTGCACAGGCAACTTGTGCGTCAAGTTGTGCTCACTCCAAGTGCACGGCTCCTTGTGCAGCTCCTTGCAATTCCGTCCCTTGCTCTTTGAGGTGCGTGGCGATGCTAGACTGTGGTCATCAGTGTAAGTAACTTCAAGGGTTCTACATATCCATTCCCTGCTGATTCTTCCAGGCCCGTCCCTTTGTGGAGAGGTTTGTCCGACTTCCAAGTTCTGCCAGCTATGCGCAACAGATGAAATCAAATCCATCTGCGTTGACTTCCTCGAGATGAAAGAGTACAGAGATATAGATCTCGACCAAGAACCCTGCATTTTCCCAGACTGTGGCCACTTCCTCACCGTCTCGTCCATGGATGGTCAGATGGACATGGGAGCACACTACAAACTCGACACCAAGGATCTTCCTGAACGCATAATGCGAAGCTCAGAACCCTTTGCGATAGAAAACAACAACTTGAAAGGCTGTCCAATATGTAGAGGACCTCTGCGTAACATCTCAAGGTACGGTCGCATTGTGCGTCGCGCGATGCTTGACGAAGCTACCAAGAAGTTCATCTCATGGTCTAATGCCGAGTATCTCTCACTTGGTGCAAAACTCATCACCGAACAGGAGACTATCGCCGATATGAAGCCTATACCGATACAGGATCCAAAGTCTGGGGCAGTCGGTACTTTGGCAACTGGAGGTTCGCGCCAGAGGCAGCTCAAATGTTTAAGATCATATGTTCCCAAAAGATATGACTCTATTCTCAAGACGCGTAAGAGCATCACTCTGTACAATGGGAAAGTTCAAAAAGAAGAGCAGCCATTTCAGCGCGTCGCAGACCTGGTAAGACACTCCAATCTTCACCATGGTGGACAAAACGAGTTTCGATATGACGAGTCGGTAATCCAAGCAAAAGGATCGCTTCTAGCTTTGACGTTATTGCTGAAGTGCGATGTATTGATTCTATCTGACTTCTTTCGGCTGCTACTTGATCAAAAGTCTCATCTCGCCAAGCCAGATGTTAAGCTTGATTTATTGCCATTCATGCGCGATTGCGATATCCTGATTGAGCGAGCAAAACGCGCAGTCTATCCGCGCGAAGAGGTCCAGGGACATGTCTTTTACGCTCAGCTTTGTGCATTCTCCCGTTCGCTAGTCTCTACACCACCCAAGGTCTCGGGGCCTGGAACCGAGCCAATTCTATCAACACCGACATCTGATCCCGACAGATTAGATAGGCTCCGAGATCAAGGTCTTGATCACGTTCGTCAAGCGAGGAGAATTCTGGCGGCGAACCAGTCAGCTAACGTTCTCGAAAACGAGATTAACGCTGCCGAGGAGGCTCTTAACGGTGGAGTCTATCATCCTGTTACTGCTGAGGAGCTAAGACAAGTGTACGCGGCGTCGATGGGAGAATTATGGGGGACGGGACATTGGTATACCTGTGTGAACGGTCACCCTTTCACTATCAATAACTGTGGTATGGCGATGGAGGAAGCACAATGTCCGGAGTGCGGTGCTCGTATTGGAGGACGGAACCATGTGTCAGTTGAAGGTGTGAGGCATGCAGTTGAGATTGAGGAGATTGCGAGACAAATGGAAGACGTCCGACTATGATCGGGAAATTAGAGGTTAGTCATAGTCGACGCAGATTTCGTTAGTATACAATTCACGAGACTGGATTAGAGATTTAGTACTTGAAGGCTATAAAGATATGGTATGAATCTTAAGTAGGGCATATGAATCCGGCTCCATATAGGCTAAAGTTCTGGGAGGTTTTAGTACAACTGTTAGTCCTAACCCCGTTACATCAATTATGTGTGATTTATTCTATTACATAAACAGGGATCAATTGGATATCGTTAAAACAGACATTCGACATTCACAGCCTGCCTAGAGGCCTCCGGCAGTCTATGGCCACCGGTCCCAAGTGGTCTCGTAGATGGCTAGGCATATTTCAAGACACAGCCACCATTCAATCTTGAATTTGCGATTAGGTATCGTTTCAGGCCTCATACTTAACAGTGACTGAAGGCACTAACTTTGGTTTTATTTAGCTTTAAAAAAAAAGGCATATGTGAGGGTAATGAGATACAATGATCAAATTATGGAAAAAAATGGCATTTTTTAAATGTCGGTTATAAACTTCTTTCAAGAGAACAAAATACCATCAGAACGCTTGATAGTGGCAGGGTTTAGTGAAGTTCTTACCGCTGAGCCATTTCCCAACAGTGCTTGAGTATTATTCGTATATTGATCAATGTCATAATTATCTACGTGTCTTGATGATCGCATATTTGCTAAACCTATCAGCAATTTATTATCTGCCAGAATCGAATCTACTTTCGACATATTTCCACTTACTAGGGTCGTCTTGTTGGTCATATAACGCCAAGACCACCGCGCCACCGGCCTGATATCGAGGCCTGGGTGTATATAAACTCTCACTCAACGCCACAACCTCGTCGTAGTCTCACACTTTGTGAAACTTCCACAGCAAACATAATTCCTGTTACAGCATAATTCTTTAGCTCTTATTTACTACTTCGAATTACTTCACATTTCTGGATTACTAGTCTCTACAACATGCATCAAGTCTTCCAGCCTCAAGCAAATCAAGAGAACCTATTCTCATTTGACAAGACTCCAACTTACCTTTTCCGTCTCCATTTTCATGGTTCCAACGGCTGCAGAACCTCTGACTGTGTCGAATCTCCAGCCTTTCCCAATCACTTAAGCGCAAAATACAATTGGGGCTCACCCTGTGGCACAGACCTCTTACAGCTTTCATCGTCAGAGGCTGCTGCTAGATTGAAAGCTCATTTGGGCTGGAAGTGCTGTAATCGTGGCCGAAAGACTTGCAATCTCATGTCCTGGTCTAGCTCCCTCCTTTTCCTTCTGCAATATGGTTTTCATCGTCACCAGACAGACCCTAAGAAGAAAGGAGGACCTAGACCAAAACTCGCAGATATCAAGATAATAATTCTTGATACTCGAGACTTCCCAAAACAAGTGTTCCTTCGCGATCTTGATGCCTTGAAATGGCTAGATGGTGAACCGGATCTTAGAAGGCTACATAACCTGAGAAAGGGCCGGCATTACTTCGGCGAATACCTCAGCCAGGGACGACTAGATATCAAAGGCAATCACGTTCAGATTTCAATGCAGCAGCTTATTGATGGGGGCCTTTTCACGAGCATTTGTCCCGCACTGAACCAACCACAGAACTGGAGTTCCTGGGCGAACATCACGATCAACCTTCGAGGGACCATTCTCCAAAACAATTCTGTCGATAAGCGAAGAATACGAAAAACCATTTTCCTGGCCCAGTCATGCGTAGGAGACAAATTTGTTGTTCCTTTCGCTCTTATGTTGCTTTGTTTGCGAAGCGGACCCTCCGATGATGAGATGATTGCGAATGCTTTCCACTCCATTTTCACTGGTATGTGCATCGCATCACGGGATGATCTAGCGCTAATTTCAGATCAAGACAAAGAACTCGAATTTCAGGGCATTAGGTACGATCTAGAGTCTAAGAGAATGACGGAATTGGGTCGTTTCCAGCAGCTCATGGAAGCTGTCAAGAAAGTCCAGATTGATGACCCCATTGCGAAACTCACTGAGGGAGTTAAAGCACTGTCTACTAACTGAATCCCACTTAGTATCCCGAAAGGTGGAGTTTCCCCTGTTGGATTTGCTGGTGAATAACACTCATATTAATTCTTGTATCTGGCTTCATTTGTATACTAGGGTGTATGATGGCAAGATAGCTGCGATCCTTCTTTGTCTATGTTTTATAGTCGTTGTAGAGTTTGTTTATTCAAAGGAAGAATATCCATATTAAATTTACCCAGATAACCGCTATAATAGATCGCGTTATATTTCCTGCACTGTTGCCTGCTGTTTCCGCAGTGAAAGAGCGGCTTTTGGGCAAAAGAAAATATCGAGTCGGCAGCGTTCGTTAAATATTGAGTGGTAAATGATAATTATATCACCCAGCAAAGGTATTTTGACTGAAGCAAGCAAGTTGTGACTATCTTCTTTACCCAGTCTCAAGCATGATACTGGCCCTTGAACCCAGGGAGAATCTCCACACCATCTTCCTCCTTGTACGCCTTCGCCTTCTTCTGCTGCCAGGTCTGTTTGAGCGTTGTGAACTCGCCCATAGTCGGTACTTTGTGCCCTCCTGCCTCAAATTCGTTTTGCTGGATCCCAGCGCGCTTCAGAACCGGAGAATCGACTGTGTTCAGTACAAGATCGTTCTGAGGGCGTGCGAAGTATAGTAATCCGAGACGGTCAACGTGCTGCTGGTCCTTGGGAGGTGCCGAGACCTGCTCAGTCAATGCCAATTAGCCTTGCTCACCACCCCAGTCGGCCTAGAAATGGGATGTGCACTTACCCGATGAACCGTCGACTTGATATAGCCTCCAGTCAAGAAGCTCAGTGCATCGCACGTATTGACAGTCAAACTGCCGTCCAACGGCTTGGCCCACTTCCACTCGCCTGTTTTATGGTCCTTGATTTGGAGTGCTGCCACGGGCTGTCGGAAGAGAAGTGTGATCGTACCAAGATCAGTGTGGCCTAGTGACCAGAGTCCGTCACTTAGTTGTTTGAGTTCTTCGGGAGTGAACTTGGAGTATTTCATATACCGTAGGTGGGACTCATCATGGATGTTCCACTGGTGTAAGTTGGTAAAGAAGTCGGCCGGCAATTCCAGGGCAAGGGCAATCAGATGCAATAGCGGGTCAAGGACCTTATCGTGTAGCTCTTGCGAAAAGCTCTCGATCAAGGCTTTGTTCTTTTCCAGGAGCTCAGGGAGCGGCTGAGTGATGTGGCCATCGTTGGCTGCAAAGCGTCAGAACGTTATCTTTCAACTTGACTTCATTACAAAGATTGCATTCACATACTAGCCATATTCCACACCTCAGTCTTATCCTTAATACCTCCACTTAGAAGACGCCTGCCAGCTGGTCGGTAGCCATTATAATCTCCAGAGTCAAGGTCTGGTTGGTATTTAAGTTTCTCCTCCAGCGGGAGTTCATAGAACTGTTGCCCAAGGGCAAATTGGGTGTCAACTTGCTCTTGTGAGATACCATAGTTGGTTACATAGAAGAAGCCCTTGGTCCGGATGGCTTCAAGGAGAGTTTTGGAGAGGACAGCATTTCCCTCGTCGGTACCATACAGGGAGAGGTCGATAGTCGGCACTTAAATAGTAACATCGTCAGTATGGCTACAGCGGGGCTGTATCTGTAGCTTACAGTCTGCCCAATCAAGATTCTCCTTTGTTTCAGGGACGTGGTCGTACTGATAGAGCTGCGTTGCAGATGGCATGATGATTGCTTGGCGTTGCTAATACTGCTGTGTTGCAGTGGATGATCTATCTACCAGATTTTAATAACTGTGCAAATGTGCTTGACTTATATTCTTAAAAACAATTTACAAAAAGACTATTACTACTGTCTTTCCATTCTCTGACAACCATGTATGAGTTTCCCTGCTTCCAACCCCGCACGGTCGGTTATCTTTATCCAAACCACTTCCCATTCTTTCTCAAAAGGGGCGAAAAACATCGCGATATCTTATTCTGAGATGTCGCAATAGATAGTCCGCCAAGAGATTCCCCGCATTACTTTGATAAAATAATCTGTCGTTGGCTTATTTTGTGGTAGTACTCCACCGAAGATATGTCGCCATCTGATAGTCAATGGCGTGTTTGCATAATACTACCATAAGCTCCTCGGCATTCCACCTATTTTCTCCGTCGCTCAATCTTTGCCCTACTCAAGTACTATTAAAATATCTCAAGATCCTTAGTATGGGTAGCTATGGGGTATTATCGCCCCTAATTAATCACTCGGGCTGCAGATCAGTAGCCGCTGGAATGGATTACACGCTTATGTACGCCATTCTTTGTGGATATTCGGTTTCGAGAGATAAGCTCGCCATAATTGTCGTATGAGATGAATTACTAGATAAAATCCAACGGGGTCGATAAGATAGACTGTGTGACTAGTAAAAAGCCAAAAGGTGGTCCTTTCCCAGCCGAGCCACAGACCGATACACAGCCTTGTCACAGTAAACCCTACTGACTTTGGTCTACTTTCCATCAAAATGGGTGTAGTCTCATCTATCAAGAAGAATAAGGTTGGCGCAGTAGTGGTCTCTGTTTTTGACTGGTACCGTAAGTTAACTAACCCTGCCTGTCCCTCCTTGTTTTAGACTTGAGCTAAGTACCAAGCAGCTTCGGAATACCCAAAAGAAGAGAGGAAACTTCTCCGGAAGTTAGATCTGGCCATCTTGGTCTTCGGGTCACTAAGCTGTAAGTCTGATTCTCCCTTGGACGATATGCAAATAAGCAATAACCTAACACCATTTAGTCTTCTGCCGTGTAAGTCTCAGTCAATCCAAACAGTGTGTGGCATGTGGTACTAACCAACTGAACCCAGTTCCTCGGACAGCAAAATGTTACCAACGCATATGTCTCTGGAATGAGAGAGGATCTCGGCGCCTTTGGAAATGAGTTAAACTACTATGTGGTGGCTTGTATGTTGTGCCCCAGCTCCTTTGGTCACAGAACTAATTGCGTGATACCGCATGTAGATAATACGGCATATGTCTTGGGCCAGATCCCACTCATGACACTGCAGACTAAAGGAAAGCTGTAAGTTGAGAAACCTACAAAGTTATTTGTTCGTTTGAGCGAATTCCGCTGACTACAACAGGGCACCATTCTTGCTCCCCTCGCTACAAATACTCTGGGCAATTATCGCTTTCTGCCAGTCGGAGATTCAACATAGCTGGCAACTCTACATCTTGAGGGCATTGACTGGGTTCCTTGAGGCAAGCTCTTTTGGCGGCACTCATCTCATTCGTAAGTCTCCTACTCAACCTATGGGCACTACACCAGCTAGATCTGACTGACACGTTTCGTTTCAGTCGGCTCGTGGTTTAAAAACGAAGAACTCTTCAAACGAGCGGGGGTGTGGTTCATGGGCAACTCGTTAGGCTCCATGTTCTCCGGATACCTTCAGGCCGCCGCATACCGAAACCTCAATGGTGTGTTCGGACGTGCTGGTTGGCGCTGGCTATTTATCGTGCAGGGAATAATCACCCTCCCTTTGGCCTTTCTCGGATTCGTCGTCTGGCCTGGCTTGCCTACCTCTGCTAGAAGGTGGTATCTGACGGAAGAAGAACACGCTCTTGCCCTCAAGCGAATCCCCACAGTTGAGAGTGAAGGCATCACCTGGAAGACATTCAAGTATACTTTGAGTCGTCCAATGTGGTGGATCTGCGTCTCATGCTACATCTTTCTATGTCAGGCGCATTACTGGGTTTGTGCACTTCTCATTACCTCGTAGACCATTCCATCAGCTGACCATAAAACAGACTGGCTACATGGCCCTTTGGCTACGTCACTCAGGCTACTCAATTGAACTTGTTAACATCCTCCCTACGTTTGTTGACCTTATCAGAGCTATTTCGTCATGGCTGGGCACAACTCTGGCAGGCTGCCTAAGCCTTCGCGGTCTTTGGACGTTCCAAGCGTCCTTCGTCTTCTTTTCCTGCATTGTTCTATCAGTCTGGACTGTGCCTGATGCACTCAAATTCTTGGCCTTTTATTTCGGTGGCTTCTCAGGGATGGCGTCCCCAATTCTCTACTCGTGGGTTAACTCAACACTCAAGGAAAACTATGGCGAGCGGGGACTTATCATCTCGTCTATGATGACACTGGGCTTTTGCAACCAGATTTGGATTCCTCTGTTTACATTTCCAACGGTTGAGGCACCACAATTCCCGAACGGATATCCCGCCGCGACGGTCTTTGAGTTTACCATGTGGGCGATTTTGATGGGTGGGGTGTGGTACATGAAGAGGTGGAAAATGAGAAACCCAGATTTGGAAATGCGCGCGTCTTCGGCCGAGGGTCAAAGCTCTGGGAATGGAACTCAGTCCAGTAATGTCAGCTTGTCTAATACCAAGCTCTGACCCTGATACCGACTATGACCTACTGCATCTGTTAAGAAGAAGATTAGCTGTATTTACTGTTTCATCTGATAATATTGATTATTTGTTTTTATATGCTTTAGTCCGTTTTATGAATTATGGACCTTGTTTAAGCCTTCTTTCACTGGCTATGTTCCCTTGGATTGAAGTTGCTCTATCATACTATAAATCTCCTGCTCGACTTGTGGTCAGCTACTTTAGGCATGAAAACTATTTAACCCTCAGTATATATACTTATTTCTCCATTAGTATTACAGCTTTTCTTAGTATGTCTATGGCGGATAATCGCTATATTGGAGTTTATACTTCTGTGTAAAACGAAGCCATAGTCTAATGTAAGGTTTACTACTGTAAGATAGGAAATTATACACAGGTAGTTACAAGTAGGTAATATACTCAGTTTAAAGCTAAGTAAGAATAAACAGGTATTCGTGCACAGAATACAAAGTATGAAACATATAAATGTGTACTATCTATTCATTAAGGCTTGGAAACAAATCTATGTGTAGTTAGCTAGACTTCCTAAGTAAGATATTACTGATATATGACCTAAAGAGTTTATTAAGTATTTCTAGCATAATTCAGTCCTCGCCCTCTGGCAGCGGACGTGTGATATATCCGAATTTTCTTTCGATCTCCTGAAACTGATCGATGGGGAGCCTGACTCCCTTGAGCCTGTCTTCAAGTCTTTCCCGCCGCCTTCTACCAAAATGGCCGCAATCCAACATTCCCTTTCTGGCTGATTCCAATCTTTCAAATACCTCTGAAGACTGTATCCTACCGGAATCCCAAAACACATAACCGAGTTGTCGTAGTGCCGAGTAGTCACAATTGAGGGGCCTAACATATATGGCTCCGTAATTCGGATCCATTCTGTACAGATGCCAGCTGAGATTGTGATGATGTGGATCATCTTCTGCACCCCATTTAGGCTGTCTGTAAACACCTTCAGGCACTCGTATCCATGGGGGCGAATGACGGAGAGCCTCTGGTAGAAACTCACGGGTGTGCGGAGAGTTTGAACGTATTAACCCAGATCTTCTGCCCTCTGAGATACAAAGATCGTAGATGAAGTCAAGACCAAGAGAGGTCATATAGCTGATATGGGCTGGGGAATAATTCTCAACATTCCGAGAAAATAATGTCAGACCAGTGAGTTCCAGGGCTTCAAAGGCTCTGAGGTTTTCCCGGTTACATTTGCCATTGCCCTCCTCTTTTTCCTTCATGTCTACTGCTTGTCTAGACTCTGAAGATAATGTCCATACAATCCCAGGACACCTCTTGACAGAATCAATAAGCTGCTCCTGTAGTTGGTCAACAAAGTTTTCGACGAGGACGGAGATATATTGCTCGACGCAATGCATTTCCTCCACCTCCCATGGTGCTAGGTGGAACAAGAATAGGTCAAACTGTTCAACACCAGAGAACTGATGGTTTGGTGTTGGGTCCTCCCAAGGGTAAGTTTTGTCAACTTGAAAGAGTCGTGAATAGAGTTCAAACCGCAGAAACGCCCTTTGAAGTCGTACACACTCAGAGCCAGAAGAAATAAGAATCGACTCGCCTAAACCGAGCTCTTGTAGTCGATGGAGGTATCGAGTGATGATGAAAGTCACCCGATTATAGAGCTGGTAGAGTGATATGACGTCTGCCTTAGTCGTGGGAAAGTCAAATGATGAAGACACGTCGAAGTACTGGTCCAGGAACTGGGATACTAGACTCATAGTTGAAGGCGAAGGTGTTCGTAGAACAGCGAGAAAATGTCTGATTGTTTCGGCCGGTATTGCATTCCGAATCACGGCAGATAGGATAAGCCGTGGCGCTTGGGAGAAAGTTCGTAAGCATGCCGGTGATGCTGTGATCAGGTCGTGAAGACCACGAGGTGAGTCGACATTTTGTAAAATGAGGGATACCAGTTCTTGCGCGAGAGTCTCTAAAGGCATTCTTCAGTAAAGGATGAAGATACAAGGTGAAAGAAAACTGAATATGATTTCGTGGTCGAGGTTGAGTTTGGATCACCGAATCACGCTACATGCCTTTGGAAAGTGAGAGCATGTGGCAATCGATATGCTTCTGTGAACGTTTGTACGCTGCAGCCGTCACGTGGAGATGAGGGGCAAAGGTGGGCGGTTAATTGTTATCCCGTTGTTGCCAAATGGCATGTGAGTAAATTAGCCGCTGGTCTGAATGGACAATCCTCTTATAGCACCCGAAGCTCTGCTAGGGTCCCCATTCTCACTTCCGACGATCGGCTGCCATCGGGATCTCCACTCTCTCCACGTTGATTACATGACCCAAGAATTCCCACTCCCGAAGAGGCCTATGGTAATGCCTATGGCCGAAGTCAGGATACCCGTAAAGGCGCGATGCTGGTATCTTTGGTCATGTGATGGACTCTGTGTTGGATGATTGGACCCAGAAGTACATTTGATGGTGGTATTTGTGTAAGCAACCGGTTTTGATAAGTAATAGTTTTATTAGTGTTGGATATACGCAGTTTGAATTTTATTAGTTTTCTGCAATATGTGTACCTAATCGATATTGACGTCTTCTAGAAGGTGGGATTGGAAATAAGGGAAAGCTATGTCAGGAACAAACCCAGAAGGATATGTCTATGAGCAGGGCTTGGAAAGTTCAAAATAAGCTTGAAAGGTGCAACTTGAACTTTTTGGCTCATTTGCATGACTTGATTGTAACACTGATGATGAATCGATTGTAATAAATGTCTTGATAACATTGGAATACTTTCATTTGAGGAATTAATTAATTCGAGTCTGCTATAACAGAGCTATGAGACGGCAGTGACTACATACAAATACAATCTAAGGACGCTATAAACATACTGTTAGCGGTAATCCAGGATACTTCAATAATTAAAACTATACTTTCACAGCCCGTTGTGTGTGTGTGTGTATAGTAAGCCCTAAACTGGTGGTTCCCAACCTTTTCGACTGTAGATCACCAGTCCAACGGGGATGATGGCATCTTCCCGATAAACAATGAACTCTGGGTACATGAGTGCCCCCCCATCGGGTATTGTCAGTCCCTCAACCTTTGAATCCGTTAGTGGGATGCCCTGGGTAGTGTTCAGTCACTTACACAGTTATAACCAGGACCCGGCTGGGTGATGCTGTGGTCTGAAGCAATTCTTCGATCAGGCTTGGACGCCACGACATGGCAAATGAGCACAGCATGAAAGCGCGAGATGACATGGTGATTCTGCGCGTAGATATCTGCCTCTATGGTGATGGTGAGTTACAGATATAGGGAGATGGAGATGAACCCTTACTTGAAGAGCACGGCGTTGAGTAAATCCCGGGACCAAACATTCCCTTCTTACCTACAATCGTTAGTCGGTGTGTTATCTGGAAATACCAAGTCTGGGCTTACAGGCAAACTTCAATTTGAACGATGTCCTGAGAATGCCACATATGCCGCATTTTACATCATGGCAGAGTTGCAAAAGATTTCCCGACTCGCCAATACGACACGTACGCTGAGCACCATGATAGAGCCTCTTATACTGCCCGCCATTCCTGTGATTAAAATCAGCAAGTATCTAGTCCAGAGATAGGTCGTTCATTACGAATAAGTGTTGAAGCACTTCCCTCGATAAGCCTTGTCAATGTTGGCTTTGCTTGCCAGGAAGATTGACTTGACCTTTGCGGTTTTGTCAGGGTGCCGCCACGAATTATAGAATTTGTCCTTGTCTAGACATGTTGATTAGACATGATGAATTCTGCCAGACAGGATATCCGACTTACGGTCCTGGTATCTTTTATCATGGTAGTCCAGCCTTTCCATATACTACCTGATCAGTAATTGTCCATCTCTGGTACTCAATAGTAAGCTTACAATCGGCATGGCGACGATGAGGCACCGGAAGGCTTGAGGCTAATTAAAACACAAAATGAACGTCAAGAAGGCCAAAGGACATTAGCTGAGATGATATTCGGGACTGAATACACATGATGCGATTCTTACGTTGAATGTGTGCTCTCAATGATACCTGTATAAGTACAGAAATTGTCCCACTCTGGTTCATTTTACGCCGGTGAACTGTTTACGGATTTATTTGTTTGTCCACTAAACTCCATTGATAAGACAGTGCAGGGAGTTTTTCAAGCTTGGGCATAGATGCATGTCGAAAGTCCTAGATGTCACCGATATTGTCCAATACTATCCTGCTTTTCAAGCCATTTTGCACTTTCAAATTACAATTCTCAAGCCTGTAATGTCGGTACGAAAGTTGAGAGTGCTTAAGGGGTTTATGGCTTTCAAGTCACAAATCAGGCTACCAATGAGAGTCCAGGTGTTGGAGGCTGAAGGTTGGAGGGTGAGACTGATTGAGTCCGATAAACATCGGCGGCTGAAGTGCAAGCAGGGAGGAATGTATTTTAGCCTCCAACTGCTGAGTGGCGTCTCTTGACGCAGACAATCAGGCTGTGCCGTTACACTTAGTTAGGTTAGCATTGAGGCTCTTTCTGCGCTCGGTGACTGTGAGACTTTTGGAAATTACCAAAGCCACTGAGCATTCCATTCGATCAAAACGCGCTTGTGATTAGGCCATCCCATTGCATGTTGTGGCGCTGTCGGTTTGTCAACCTCCTGATAGGCCGTTTCAAACCCCTCAATTTCATCGTGTGCTGCCTGACGTGGCAGGGCTCCGGGATCACTTATCATTTTAAAGACATCATTAGGCAACAGATATTAGTATCTCTCCTCTTCAACTAGGCTGTCCATCTCGATATCAGCCTAACATAACCATTTAGAAAGGCTGAAGCGCTCAATCCACTGCCATACTCTCCATACACCTTTCGCATCACAATGAAAGTTCCGTCATTCTCGGACAGGCGGCGACATGGTCGTTCTCCCCGCCAGTCACCTTCACGCAGCCTTCGTAACAACGGGCAAAGAGACGAACTCCGAGAGATTTCCAAAGAGACCCTCAATGTCTTGCCCAGCCTGCTCAACGAACTTGGTACCGCGGACTTCGCTAGACAGTCTATCAAGTATTCATTCGGCTCTCTGAGTCGTCTGGATCCCCGCCAGTGTCCATCTTACAGACAACCCGCTATCATCAAGGTTGTCAACAATGATACTCTTAACGCTGCTATTGAGCTATCCTACAGGCCCCAGCCCGACGTTGAAGGGACCAGGAGTCAACCTCCCATCGTTGTCAATTTTGCAAATCGCCATTCCCCTGGCGGAGGCTGGATCAACGGCGCTATGGCCCAAGAAGAGGCGATCTGCTACCGCAGTTCATTAGCTCTAAGCCTCAACAAGAAACATTACCCACTTCAGAGAGACCAAGCCCTCTATAGCCCTTATGTACTCGTCATGCGCGAAGATATGCCCTCTGGTCATAGACTCTCTTCACTGCCTGCAAGGGACCTTCCTGTCGTCAGCGCATTGACCATAGCTGCTCTGCGAAACCCCACTGTGCGCGTCTTCCGCAACGTGCCGTACACGAATCAATTGTCCCAACCCAACTCGGCAGTCTACGACAAACACGTTTTTGCCCACGATCGAGACCGGGATCATACAAAGGCCAAGATGAGACTTGGTCTACGCATGGCAGCCAAGAACAAACACGACATTCTCGTACTTGGAGCCCTGGGCTGCGGCGTCTATGGTAATCCACCAGAGGATGTTGCCAACTGCTGGCTTGAGGTGCTGAGGGAGGATGAGTTTTCGGGAAATTGGTGGCGAGAGGTCTGTTTCGCCATATTTGATCCTAAGAATGAAGGTAACTTTGAAATATTTCATCAGGTGCTTGATGGAAGGGGAGTTTAGAGGGCAAACATCCGACTCTGTTTCTTTCGCCATGTCTGGGCATTCTGTAAATAATGTCCTACGATTATCGCCTACATTTCTAATAAAGCTCAAACTGTCCTCTTTTAGCCGTCTTCCCCTACTACAAGACTCCCGCAAGGTCTTCCACACTATTGTTTTTATAACCTGCGCCATCGAGATGTATGCAGGTCGATATAGAACTTAATGAGGAATGTCTTGAAACGGACAATGTTTAGAGTTCAGACATAAGAGTCAATTGATAGGATAAGAAATTTAGGTAAAATTGTTTGGAAAATAGGTTTTTAGGGAAAATAGCTAACTTTCTCGAATCATGTCTTTCGAGTACACAGGCTACTAGTGGTCCACTGCGTACGCTATCGCGTGATATTTGAAAACGAGGCACAGTTGACATCACATTAACAGATACCTGAAATTTGTGCATTACAGAGTGCAGGCGGAGCTGAGTCAATCAGGGAACAACAAGAGCACGAGCCACAGAAGGAGAAGGCCAAAACACAGATTATTTCCTAATGTCGATGCGCCAGCCGTTCCGCCATCAGGGAAGTCTCCTTGGCAACCGCTGAATTCGAGTCGACCGAAATCCCAGACAATTACAAGAATTTATTTCAAATTATATGTTTTCTCTAGTCGATTAGAAGGATCTAGAGAAAGTAATACAATATCCTTTAGGCGTGAAACAATAAAACCCCTCTTATTTATTATCAACACAACCGCCACATAACCCGTCTATCCAACCTCAACCTCTTCTCCCTGGTACAAGGCCGTTGTGATGCAGCTAGCCATATTTCCCATGCATTTTCAAACTAGGCATAGCTATATGTTTCTTTTTTAAATACATGCTTAGGTGCAGGACTGATGCTTTGCAGCAAACATTCCATTACGCGCAGCTGATTGTGTTCTGAGGGGGACCCTGCCATTGACAGCCTAGGTATATTGATTAATATTTAATTGAACAAAACAGCAAATGAGGTTTTACTTACGGCCATTGAAAGTGCCTCCTTGACCATTGGTCCAGTACTATGATAGCGATTAGAAAACGAGACACAACCACATCAAAAAGGCTACTTACAGCACAAGCTGTACCCTCAGCGCGGGGATCTTCAGTGTTCATCCACGTGCATGACTGATGGGCAGTCCCTAGAAGTGTTAGTTTTTATCATAGATATTTAAACCCACACTTACAGCCAGTCCTGTACAAGTAGTGCCACTCGTTGTTGGCGACCCAAGTTCCATCTCCAGACTGAGTCCAGGCGCTAGTTCCGACAGCGAGGGACAAGGCAGTAGCCAGGACTGAAAGGGTAGAGGTGAAATGCATTTTGTAGAAGGAGTTTGAAGGAAGCGTTGTTGAGGTTGATGGGAGTGATGAGAATGAGATAAAGGTCCTGAGTATGTGAGAAGGAGAAGTTCACTTATAGATAATTCTACTTGAGCTGTAGTGGCAACAGGTACCTAAGATATTAGGTGGTACTATTTTCAAGTGTTGGATGATATACCGAAGCGGATAATATCTCCTTCAAGGATTCTCTACCTTGTATCGGAAGAATTGCCGGCCGTATTCTACGCGAATTTGTTACCTAAACGAGACCAAAGGATTCGAGATAACCTAACAGGGTAATCCACTTTTCGTAAAGAGAGCGTTAGTGTTTCTCCTCCTACTTGATTTAGTAATAGTGTCTAAGCGCAAGTGGATTACATGGGTCTTTCTCCTTTCTTCCTTCCTTCATCACTAACCAATAAGAATTCTCTCTACTATATAGCCTCTAGAGTATAAGAGTTTTCCATTATTCTGTACTACAAGGATAAAAACAAACCATTAAGCGCTCCTGTCGGAGTTGCTTTCCGAGGGCAGTGCGAGATACTATATCCACTTTGATTTTCGTTCTTGAGCAGTGTTTAGTGGAATACAATTACGTAGGTTGTGGGAGAAATATGAAGGTGGAACAGCTCATCTTCGTTTCGAAAGAAACCCCGTACTGGGACTTAACTCTAGCCAGGCGATAAAAGAATCTAGATTGGGGCCAGGTAGTAGTAGAAAGATTATTAGTGAGCCATAAATAGTTACAGTACGATTTGCTGGCGGCTAAGAATCCTCAGTGTATAGAGCAGTAGATTGAATATTGGTTGAGATTTACAGAGCGTTTTAGAATTGTTGCTTAAAATTTGCAATTCTTTAACAGAATTTTCAAACGGCTTATCCAGTGAGTAACTCTAAAATATAGTTATAGGTTTACTAATGTAAACTTCTTAATCTATATAAATAGCTCTTTAGTAAAGCTATTTTCAGTGGCCTACTAGGCTTACTAGAATCGGCATCTAATGTCTTACCCTAAACTCAAGGAGTGTCTGCACTAATGATACTGGCTATAGGAGGAAAGAAGCAATATTTAAGAAAAACCAATCTAGGATATTAATAACTGCATTTTTAGACGTTCTCATCATGTGTAATAAGTTGCCCAGTTGTGTTTAGGAAAACGGCTTGATATTACCAAGAATCTTCAAAAGGTCTTGAGCACGTAGTAGCCGAAGCCTGCCCAAAGTGTGCATTTATACGCCCAAGCTATAGTTGCAAGATTTCCAATTATTCCAGGGTATCTAAAAGTGTAAATAGCTGTCCTAAATACCTAACCTTGTCTCACTGCCTATTTTTCGGGCCATCCTAGAAGATACTTAGAAGTATCTCTTCACCGCCATGCATGGACTTCTCTCCTAACCGGCTGCGCCATCCGACAAGTTCACTAGGACCGGGATGAGATGTATCTCAAATCTTACATTATAAGAACAAGTTACTAAGTCTTTCGGTTGTCTTTAGCCGTTATATCGCTCATGTCTTCCCATCGTATGTGCTCCAATCAAAGTCATCCAATCAAGCCAACCACCTTTGACCATTCGTGAGTGACACCGACAGGTAAAGGAATGGAGCGAGTTTTTAGTATCCGTAAATGTCGCAACGTTAACTCTTCGCACTTCAACCAAAGCTAAGCCACGATAAAGTGTGATCCGAGATTATTGCAGACCAAGCTAGCGCCATGTAAATCAAGCATAATGACATTAAGAAAAAAGAGCCGAGGATGAAAGGTTTGTCTAAGCCAGATGTGTCGATTTTCCCGCCGGGTAGGATGAAGTATCCCGGTACTCTACGCCCTTTTGATTGGTCCCGAGCATGTGTACCTTGCATTTTGCATCGCCCAGTCCCCACCCTGGAAGGCCTAAGGATTCGATCGACTAATCAAGCCTCGGAAGGATTCTTAACCCTACGGCCCTTTTGCCAAGCGTTAAACAAGCTTTTAGACCGCGAAATGAGAGCCTAGAGTTCTAGACAGACGGCATTCATCGCCACAGTCATCATAATAATACCTTGCAATTACTTTCACAGGGGAAGGCACTTAGTAAAACGTTCGATGAAGGATTTAGGGAAAAGTCCGCTTGCTTGTACTTGTTGGTCTAGACCATTCACATGTGGTAAAAAAGCGCAGTCATAGGCTGACATCTTAATACCCAAATTTCGCCTTCTATGGCCACAAGTAGACTATATATCCTGTGCCGGACAGCATTCTCGAATGTTCCGCAAGCCTCTCGTTGTTATCTTCTGACTGTGTATCTATCTTTGTCGGCATCATGCGATCCCAACTATCGCATTTTGCCCTCTGGGTAGCAGCGAGTCAATTCATTCTTTTTTCTCCCTTTGTTGACGCTCGACATGAGGCTCGAATGGTGCATAGTGATCTTCATAACAGGAGAGCTACTAAAGACCTTTGGCCTATTGATGGTATGAACTCTTCTTCTTTTCTACACCTTAAACTATTACTTCCTGCATTGTATCCCCCGACCTGCAAGCGGAATTAACGCGATATTAGAAAAAACACAGAAAATCTTCAACAAGATTCAGCACAGCCCTGCTCATCAGAACCCAGACGAGGCACCGCCCGTCCGAATCCCATCAGATGCTCTTGCTTTGAATAAGACAGCGTCCAAAAAGCCCACCGCGTCGCATTTGCAGAGCAGAAATGTCAATCTTTTCCAAAAACGCGACGCTCTACGCTGCGATGGTGCACCATGCATTGATGGAAGGTACGCATTCTTCTAACAACATGCATTTCTCAACCAGCTGTCAATCACGTACTAACTAAACCCTCCCTAGTTGCTGCGGAAAGAACAGCATCTGTGGTTATGGTCCCGATTATTGCGGCGATGGCTGTCAGTCTCAGTGTGATGCTACGGCCATGTGCGGAGAGTTTAGTGAGGATGCCGATATGCCGTGTGGTATGAAGCTTTGCTGTGAGTAAATAATTGGAGCGGCCCATTTCAACGTCGTTAAAATGCTAACTAAAGAATAGGTAGTGCAACTGGCTGGTGTGGTAGTAAGTTATACCTTCAACCGCCCTAGAATGTTTCTCTGTCTCTTCACTTGCTGCTTATCTATCTCCCCCACCTCTTGATCTCTACCTTACTAACCTCGTTTTAGCGACTGATGTCTATTGCAACAACGCCGATCCCGTCCATAAGACGCTGCCCTGTCAGGCTGGGTATGGCTCTTGTTCGATTACCGGACCACCCTCATGTGCCAAAGGAAGCGGAGGCTCCTCTGCCAGAACCATTGGTTACTACCAGTCGTGGAATACTCGCACTCGACTCTGTAATAAGGTTTCACCCAAGCAACTCGACACAACCAAGTACACCCATATCTTCTTTTCTTTTGCCTTTATCGACCCAGTCAGCTTCAAAATTGCTCCTGCCCATCCAGATGATATCCAACTGATGAAGGAGTTTACGTCTCTTGCGAGCAGTAAGCTCAAGACGTGGATTGCCATTGGTGGTTTCGACTTTTCCAACCCAGAGGTTGCCACACATAAGACATGGTAGGTGTTTACAGTCACTGTCGGCAATGAGAGTAGCGTACTAACATTTCTCTCTTTCTTTCTGTAGGAGCCAAATGGTATCTTCCAAAGCCAACCGTGCCGCCTTTATCAGCTCTGTAAAGGAGTATATGGATACTTTCGGCTTCTCAGGTGTCGACCTGGACTGGGAGTACCCAGGTGACCCTAAGAGAGGCGGAAACAAGCTTGCTGATACGAAGAACCTGGTTGCTCTAGTCAGGGAGATGCGTGCAGCTTACGGCCAGTCATATGGTATTAGTCTGACACTTGCTCCTGACTACTGGTATCTTCGCTGGTTTGACGCTAAGGGTATTTCATCCATATTTGGAATGACATGTTTGACAAGAGACTAACCTTACTCGTAGGAATGGAACCCTACGTTGACTTCTTCGGCTTTATGGCCTATGGTATGCTTACTATACATAACTCATCCTCCCTCTCTGTACTAATACTGTGATAGATCTTCACGGTTCTTGGGATGCTGATGTCTTGACACTTGGTAAGAAGGTTCGTGGTCAGGCAGATATCCGTGAGATCCGCAATAACACGGTACCTCTTTGGTTTGACGGACTTAACCCGCAGAAACTCAACTTTGGTCTCGCTATGTATGGCAGAGGCTACACCCTTGCGGATCCCTCCTGCAACCAACTTTTATGTCCGTTTGCTGGCCCCAGCAAGCCGGCCCCCTGTACAGGATTTGGCGGTGTTATGTCCCTTGTCGAGATTGAGCAACTGATCAAGAAGCGCAACATCAAGCCTCAGTATCTCCCCGACTCGATGATGAAGCAGATCACCTGGGATGACCAGTGGATTGGTTACGACGACGACGAAACCTTTGCAGCCAAGCGGGCTTTTGCAGATAGCCTGTGCTTTGGAGGTACCATGATTTGGAGTATCGATTTTCAGGTTCCGGGCTCAGGCTCGCCAGACGAACCTGAGGTTGTTTACTTAGACCCAGCTGTCTACGAGGGGACTCCTGCCCAGTGCACGGGACCTTGCCAATTCGTGTTCCCTCCTCGAGCCCTCGGTTCAACCACTACAATTTCCCTCCAGCCTTACACAACGTCAATCGAGTTGAAACCTGGTGTTACGACAACACTGACTATCAAACCGCCCCCCATCGTCACAAATTCGATTGATTACTATAACGTCAACATCACATCCAACCAAGGAACCAAGACAATCATACCTATCGCCAGTCTCACCATTGTGCCAATCACCACAACCGTTACTCTCCAAGGCGGCGAGACCCAGGTTCGCACGCTCACGCTTCCACCTTGGCCTGCCATCTCGGGGATCCCTACTGGAGGTGACAAACCCGTCCAAACGCGGCCACCAACCAATACGCGCCCGGTCACCTTGCGACCAGCAAAGCCACTTCCTCCACTGACGAGCCGACCCTACCCGGAGTACCCAGGTGACATTGACGAGTCTGAGCCTGATCCCACCAATACTTGGCCCCCGGAGTGGGAGATTGTCCCAGTTGAGTCAGAAGTGCCTGAAGAGGGCGACGAGGACGACAATGACCACGATGTCTTCTATGTCTCTTGCAAGCTCTGGTTCTTCTCGGTACGTCAATCCAAGATTCTCTCCCGTTCATGACAATCACTAACTCTTTGACAGATGTGCATTGACTGGCCCGATTTTGGAATCAAAATCCGAGGATGGAAGTGGAATCTACCCGTTGGAACCCATGGACCGTAAGTTTACTTATCTGGCGTCATGTACATAAACTGACCTTCTGCAGCTTCCCTCCACCGATTCCTCGCATTAAGTTCCCCCCTGGTTTCACATTCAAGGGGAAACTTCCACCTTGGCCCAAACTCACAAGAGCTCCCGACGGAACATTCAAGCCCCCTCCCAAGCCCGCGAACTGTGAGCTAGAAGAAGCCTCGTTTTGTTACACGACCGAGTCCTACGCAACAACCGTATCCAAGGGCGTCACTAAGACCACAGCATCGAAGACCATGTCCACATGTGCCACTGTTACAGCCTGCAATCTTCCGGACGTAGATGCAACAAAGACAGAGAAGGCATGCAAATTGACCCGTCGAGCTGTCGAGTTCGCCAACATGCCAGAAGCCACAGGAATTCCCAAGATGCAGGCGCTGCACGAGCGAGCCGAGCCTGACTGGGGTTGCGAAAAGCCCGGCCTTGACGGTATCATCATCCTGAAGGACCGCACGAGCACTACCCAGAGAGATGCTATCAAGAACGCTCTCGTAAAGAGAGACGTAGAATTGAAAAAGGTCGGCACCAAAAATGGCCATTACGAAGTTAGATCAAACCAGCTGGGATACACGGCATTTTTCTTCGTGAATAGCCTGGGCCCTGTCTCATGGGACTTCTTGAAGGGGTTTAGTGATAATGTGAGTGGAAATTCAACCTTGAGTTGTCTGAGCTAATGTGGACGTGCCTAGATTCAAGCCATCTATCGACCCGGCGAAAAGAAGGCTAATGCAAAGCGAAACATCCGAGATGACGCTAAAAAAGAGGCAGCTAAATCCGAAAATAGGACCATGTTCTTGCATAAACGAGCCACCCAACATGAAGAGGTAGACCAATGGCATTTGTCAATGATATCGTGGGATAAGGAACACAACTTTAACTCAAGATGGATATTCCCCAATGAAAACATTCTGCATGATTCGGTCGAGGGTTCGTGGTCCTACCGCTATGACGACTCTCTTGGAAGTGGACAGACTATCTACGTTATGGAATCCGACTGGCCCTTGGGAGACGTGAGTACCCCGAACATGGAATCGACGCATTGTTACTGACGCCTTGCGCAACTAGCCCGAGTACGCACACGTTTCCCCTCGGGAGGTTCTTCCTACCACGCAATGGGGCACGCCTCAGACGGACCCAAGCCACTCAGACTCGGATCACGGCTTTTTCGTCGGCGCCTACGCTGTTGGCACGCATGTTGGTTTTGCAGCAAACGCAAACCTCGCCTTTGTTCGCGGCGGACTCAACGGCGGCAATCTTGTATTCGAGAGGTTTGTGGAGGGCTTCATGCTCATTGCAGATGATGCGGGTAGTGCCAGGGTTGGCCGGAACAAGGGAGTCGTGAACATGTCTTTTGGTGCTTCTGTGCGAGCGGCGGCACACGCAGACATGGCAGTTGTCTGGTGTAAGTTGTTCCTGAACAGGCAACGCTGAAAATCACTAACGCTAACGGTCAATAGGTGAGCTTATGGTTAAGATGGAGGCGGATTTGGGTATCGCGTTTGTTCTTGCAGGCAACTACGAGGACAGGCCAACGGACTCTTATCCCGACCTGTGTATGCCAAACCTCAAGGCGGGTTACCTTGTAGGAGCTGTGGACATAAATGGCGTCCTTCTAGACGTAAGCGCCGAAGCGGAGGATCCAGACACATTTGCTCCCGGCATCCATCTGCCATATCCTCCTGAAGATGAGCCCCGTCCACGCACTGGAACGTCATTTGGTAAGTCCAACAAGTTTCTGTATTATATCCTCACAGCGCTAACCGGTTTGGCTCTGATCTAGCCGCTCCCCTCGTTGCAGGTCTTGTTGCCTACTTCCGTGCACTACCAGGATCTCAGCCTGAACCTCAGGCGATAAGGACGCGAATCTCGGAGGCTTCGCGTGCAATTAATTGGAGAGATGAAGACGCCGTGCCCGTCATCTGGAACGAGCAGACACAGCCAGATGCAGTCGAGGACCAGCCCCCGAGCGATGGAGATTGTGGAAGTGATGCTGGCAGCAACGGCAAGCGAGGCCTTGGCCGCCGTCAAAGCTGTCAGATCCCCGGAGGAGGCCCCAATCCCCGAGGTCCGGCCGTAACTTACAAGCCGGGACCACCAGGTCCTCTTTGCAGTAACGTTTGTGGAAAGCTATGTCAAGGCTTCTGGTGCAGCCCCAATCCTACTGGCACGAACCCGGACTTTTCCAACCCGACTTCCCCTGCTGGAAACAACGGAGGGGGTGGTGAACCGGCTCCTAACCCTCTCCCCGGCTTACCTGATCTCCCTACAACAACCGACGGCAGCGGTGTTCCTGTCGGTAAAGTCTGTCTGGCTTCTACGACGGCGGTTCAGTGCAACGGTGGACCTAGAGGAGGTGTGTGCCAAACAAGCACCTCGTGTATCAGCACCGGCAATGATCCCAACTTTCCCACTCTTGCTCCTGCTCCTTGGCAACCACCTACCAGCCCAGATGGTGCTACCTGTGCCAGCAGTACTACCTGGACTCTCTTGGGCGGTCCCAAGGGTCAGGCAACTATCACCTCTAGCGCTTGTGCTTCCTGGAAGCCTAAAGCGACCCCGACCCCGACGCCATCGCCATCGCCAAAGGGGCGCTGTATCACTGCACACACCTATATGAGGAACTGCCTCGGTTCCCCGGATAGTATGTACGTTCAGGTCTGGGAGAATGGCATCCTCACGTGCGACTCTGGGAACGGTATATGGTTTGCTTCAGACCGGTCTGTCTACCGAATGGACTGTGCTGGTAAAGCAAAGGTCAGCGTCACCGACAACGGGTCCGAATTAACATACACGTCGGACGATGGCTTCTCTATTACGGGTAAGAACTACAAGAGACAGTCGGACACGCAGGTTTGTGGTACCAGGCCGGGCAGAAATGGCATGCCTGATGTTGACATCCAGGGCTTCCTCTTCGAAAACACTTTTGTGACCAATAACTGTGAGGGGTGCCCTGTGCCCAGCTTATGTGATTACGACCATACTTCGTGTCCTTTCAATGGCCAGTGTAAATAGTCTAGGGGTCCACTTTTCATTAGGAACTTAGAATAGAATTGGCTTTACTTTAGTGCTATACTTTTTACAAAAACTATTCATTGATAACACTATCGCTCTTAACTTCCGATATTTAAATTTGATAACGCCATACTGCAAATATCCCCCTCTCGATTGTTCAAGTCTCGTTAGGCCAGCCAGCGAGTACTCCACAGTATCCTGACACTCCTAGCCTCCTTTGACATGCTTGTGCAGCAGGCCAAGCTCACTGTTGACTTTGTCGCGTTCTACAGAGAGGTTATAGCGATGCGTTTCATGCGCTCTGTACCGTGCCAAAGCCTCATTGGCATCGGCCCCGTTGGGACCGCGGCGCTTTACGTCGAGTTCCCTGAGAAGGTCCTGAGTCTTCCGGGCAGCATAGGCTAGACGGTGGTCAAGTTGTTCCAGCTTGTCTTCCAGCTCGCACTTCTTTGCACGCGTCAGCTTCTTTCTTTGCTCGATGAGGTGCTTCTTTTCAACATAGTCATCATATTGCTGGCTTATGTCAGGTCCATCGTGATCTGCAAGCTTGCCGAGATCATCGCCCTCATCGCCAAAGTCTAGACTCTCGATGCGCTGGAGAAAAAGGGCAACTTCTCGGTTGACAGCTTGTCGAAAGCGATTTGTTCCATGCTGTGTGTAGTGTGGATAGCTCATTTTAAGTCATATCCACGTGCTGCTTGTTAGTATAAAGAACCCAGGATAACGTACCTTTTGTATCTTTTGATATACTGGGAGATGCAATTGTAGTTTCTGAGAGCCCTTCTGTCTTCTTGATGAAGTATTCTCAGCTTTTATAGAAACCATTGACGTGTGAACAAATGTGTCGCTTGTTCTTGGTTAAGGCACCGCTGTTCTTCAATCGGACGAGATATTATGTGAATAAGGTCGGAACAATTAAGCTGCTACAGCTTTGCAGAAATTCGATGGCTATAGGTTATTAGAACGAACAAACCCTTCAGGACTGAAAGATAGAGGAACAGCAACTAAGAAAGATACACTCGTTATGTTAAAAACAGGCCCATGCACGTTAACACGGCTGCTGATTCGACTGATTTGGCCCTGAACAAAGTCGGATATACTAATTATAGATACTGGATGTTCTCTTAAGTACGTGTTCGTAATTTCCGAACACAGTATTTCAAAAGTCTTCAAGGCGCTAATGTCCCATTTGGACGGACACCTCTTGCGCCTTTCAAACACGTGGACTCCAAATCCCCTTCTAGCAAAGAGCTGCGAATCAGTCCATTATATTCTTAGGTTCACAGGTACCCACCTTCAATGATCATACCCTATGTGTCAAGCCTGTGTATTACTAGACCTCATCAATGACGCCAACTCTCTCGCCCGCTCACAACACGTTCAGTTAGATAACATCCACCTCGAGCCCTTAAAGCAGATATCTTGCTTCATTATATAGGGAAGAATGAGTCAAACTGCAAATGCAAAGCCTCATCTTAATGATGGGGCCGGGGCAAAGTGAAACCATGTGATTTGTATCGGAGGCGACAATGAATAGTTGTCTCAAGATGACGGAGAGTCTTGAGCTGGCTTTTCAAGGTCTCCGATTTCTTAGTAGATACAGAATTCATGGAAAGATATGATATGCATTGACCAAGTTAATACAGTTAAACACAGTCGGCGGTTGCCTATACTATAACAAACCTACGGTGAGGATTGTTGAGTTGTTGTCTGGCTTTGAGTGGAAAGTAACAATGTCAAGAAGAAGGAATTATGTCTAGAAACCTAGTAGGTCTCAAATGGTTTGAGAAGATCAATATATCTTTCTTGACTGGGCTTTTAAGGGATAAATAGAACCACTAAAAGTAATTTAAAATTGATCTTAGAAATAACTAAACTCTTAGAGATCGCTTATCTTTCAAAAGTCGACTACACAGAATTAACAAGCCTCCGACGAAGATTGTTATACCAGTCCATACCCACGCACCTCCATATCCAAATACCCCTCGGAGAGCACCACCACAAGGTGGACCAAATAAAAGCGCGACTGACATAACAGAAAAGGCCATGCCAAACCTCGTCCCAATACGTTTCGGATCGCTTGTCAGCCTTACAAAAATGGTTGGCTGCAGAGCGAAGAAGGAACCAGTGAAGAACCCTTGACTAATAATGGCAACAAGCAAGCGTGCGGAAGTAGTGGCCGATATAAGACATACGCTCGTTACAGCAAGAGCAGCTGCAGACGCGATGATCGTATTCATGGGGCCAAGGCTCTGGGCGATCAATGCAGGGACAATTCGCCCAAAGATGGAACTACTGTTGAGAATAGCCAACAGGTAAAGAGCTAGATCGGGGGACACGATCTTCTTGTCGAGGGCGTAGCTTTGGATGTTGACGAATGGCGTATACATTCCCAAGAATACCGAGAAACAGCCAGCTACAAAAAGCACATAAGGCCAGTCGGTGAACGCAGTCTTGTCAAGAAGTGGCCGTCGTTGGGTGGGCCCACCAGAGTTCAAACCAGGGCGAAGAACAAGGTTTGAGAACAATAACAAGATCAATAACAGGAGAGCTATAGTTCGGGTTGCCCACGCTAAAGATGTTTGAGAATGAACCTCTCGTATCATTATGGGAAGAAGTACTCTAGGAACTGTATCAGCTTGCGTCTGCGTTATATTAAAGGTAGTTTAGTCACTTACCCGCCAAGTCCACTGCCGCAGGCCGCAATTCCATTAACAAGAGGCAGTCTTGTAGTGAACCATAATGAAGTAATGGCCACACTCAAGATCGAAAGGCAACCGGCTCCGATACCAATCATCAGGCCTTGGGTTAGAAGATACTGCCAGTATTTCTCACTCAGACTCTGAAGCACGGACCCGAGGACAATGAAGCTGGAGCCGATGGCCAGAAGATGTCTGAAATAGCCAGAATCAAATATCGGACCAACTATAAGTCCCGAAAAGACCATTAAAAATGTCTGAAAGGAACCGATAATCGATATTTGAAATGGTGTATGGGCTGAAAGCGTCTCATTTTCGTAAATGGTTTGAAAACTCCCAAAGCTCGCTATCAGGCCTGTGAAAGTCAGTCTGGCTAGTTCGCAACAGGGAGAGACAAACTCCTCGAGTCTGTAGGATCATACCCCATGTACAAAAGTAAAGACAAAACGATCCAGCTACTTGCAACCATGCCACCAAACCACCGTCCGGGATGGGCTTGGGGGACGGAGTATCGACCGGAGGTGTGTCATGGACAGATGACTTCTCATCAGATAGCTCTTGAGTAGCCATTAATCCACTAATAAGAATGTTGGTTTGCAAAATCCTTTAACACCAGACAAAGTAAGTGGCCATGGCATGAAAAGATTGAGCAAACATATATTGGCGACGACTGCCAAGGTAAGAGATTTCAGGCTAAGCCTCGGCTGCTACGTTATGTTCTGCATTAACCTCCTGCCAAAAATGGAAATATCATACGGCCAGGCCAAGTGCTGTGTAACATGCAGACTGACATGGGGAGGCAACCCTTTCCACAATTAAAGCACTTTCTCTAAAGGGTTAAGCCCACATATTCCTGTTTTAAGCTAGGGGCACATATGTACGGCACATGGTTTGCTTCCCTGTAATTGTCCTTGACCTACCAAATTAGACAAAGTGTTTTCTTGAACGGTTCTTGTGGATAAACAGATCGGCGCGCTTATGCAGCCCCATTCGGATTACCACCGTGGCGTTGAAGATCTTATCGAATGACATATCGGTTTCAGGGTGGGATGTTCTGAATTCGGCATTGGACCCGAAAACCCCCTGCGAAGTTGGAAGCTAGGAAATAAAAGTTGATTGAGTTCACTGCGACAAAGATAAGGCGCCATTTGCGTTTTGCATATGCCGGTACGTATCGCATGGAAAAGTCTGACCAGGGTTCATGTGATGTGGCAATGCACGAATCATGCTGAGTATCAGCTGTAGAGAAACAGGAGAAAAATCATGTTTATCAACTACCGAATATTGAAAAGGTCCGTTCTCTGCTAAATAATCATACTATTGAGACTTGATGTCATACTGTTCCAAATAGGCTCTCCAAGCCTCATCCTTAACCCCATTGCTTACACAGCCGATGTACATATCGGGCCGGACTACCACAACATGTGAAGTATTTGCCTCAACCCAATCAGCAGTGAAGGTTTTATCCCAATCCTTACCCTCGTTACATTCTTGAGTGCCACCGGCCGTCTCCGTGGGTAGAATGGTATAGATGGTAGCCGAGACCGGTTGAGTACCGAGATGCGTTCCGATTGATAAGACAATAAAGTTTCCGTACGACACGTTTGAATAAAGCCGCGTGGCTTCGCCAGATCCTTTAGTAATAATTACGTCAGGACAGCGATACCCTGGCTTCCAAATTCCATGCTCAACGCCTTGCACAAGGGGAGTGGAAAACTGCCCATAATCGACTCCCATACCTTGTATATGTTAGTCAATTGAATCATGCCATACCAGTTCAATCTCACCTGTAATAAATCCGGCATTCCGCTCAATGGTGGATACGTATTTCTTGGCGGTGTGTATCGTATCTCGGACCAATGCCGCAGCCACTCCAATGACTTGGGCAGCTGTAGATTTTCGTTCGATATCATAGCTGCGTAGAATGTCATCTCTTGCTTCGGCAGTTAGTTTAGACGGCTTTGCTAGGAAAGCTAGGCGCCAGGCTAGGGCAAAGGCATCGGAAACACCCGTATTCAAGCCTTGACCACCATTGACTGAATGGACGTGTGCGGCATCTCCTGCAAGTATGATCCTGCCGTGGCCATTCTTTGAGATAAAATCTCCGGCAAGTCTCTCCTTCACTAAGAAATTGTTAATCGCCGTATCGAACAATGACTTGCATGAAGTACTTACCAGTGAACGTGCTGAACCATTCTGTTTCTGGGAACTCAACTCGGTAAGGAGCGAGATGCTGTCTGATTGAATCTTCAGCCAACTGCTGACTGATTTCACCTTTCAAGAGGACATAGAAACGGGACATTCCCCTCTCACGAGGGATCCACGCTACACGAGACTCCCCATCTAGCTCAAAGGTGATGATTTCAGAGCAAACAGGAAAATCAGTAGCCAGAAAAGTATCCAGAACCGCCCAGGTCATCTCGGGCTTGGTACCTGTGAAGCTAATGCCCAAGGTGTTTCTCACAAAGGATCGTGCACCATCAGCGCCGACCGCATACTTGCTGCGGACCTTGTGCCCGGAATTTGTGGTAACCTCAACAAATTCCTCATCCTCAACAATGCTTGTGACGTGCTGATTGTAGCTGACTGAGTCGGCGAGGCGATTGCGCATGACCTGTTCAACGACAGGTTGCCCTATCATGAGAAAGTTCTTGTGAAGGGCATGCTCAATTCCAACCCACCACTCATTCTGACGGGACTTGAAACTGCCCTCTTTAAATGTTGAACTTGCTATTCATTGTTAGACCGGTTTTTCGAAGCTGTAGAGTGGCCGACTTACTATTGCATTTGAGACCAACTGGTAGTAGTTCATCCAAGATGCCTGCAACCTCAAAGTATTGCTGAGTGCGAGCGTTGAGAGCATCAGCTCGACCTAAACTTAGTGTTGAAGGCTTCTCGTCTATGTAATAGTCAGATAGTCGTTCTTTTGGAAGAGACTCTCAAAGCTTACCTAGAACCCGCACTGAGACTCCCATAGATTGAAGGAGGAGGGCGACAAAGAGGCCCGTAGGTCCTCCTCCGACAACAGTAACATCAACTTGCTCCATACTTGCAAATAATGACTCCGAATTGAGAACAAAACATGAAAGAGACTAGGGATGGACCCAAATGTAAGTTAAAATGTTGAACGATCACCCACTTGAGCGGAACAACCCGTTAGCAAGGCATTACTCGCCAGGTTCAGGGATAGAGACTACAAAAATACCATGATGTTCATGGCCACCGTCGTATGTTATTCCCACTCTGAGGGATAAGAGAACTACCGGTGGGATACGCGGGATGTCGGGTGGGATGCCAAGTGGGATACCGCGCGCAGTCTGTCATCAACCATCCCTGATCTTTTCAGGTGATTGTGCAGTATTCCCGGTTTTCCAACATCTAATTAACCCACACTCCTGGAAACGTTTTAATTAGGTGGGCATTCTTTTATCTCCATTCATGGGCATCCCTATGTCAGGGTCTTGGCATGCGAAAATTCCAGGCTAATCCACCTTCTTCTCTAGGACTTTATCCGTGTTGTGTCGGACTAAGCCCACCCTACTTGCGACGTAGTAGTTTCGGAATCACCATCCAAAATAATTGACATTCCCGATGAAGCGTAGATCAATCCGAATGGGTACATGGAAAAGTGCCAGGAGTGAGGCTTTGCCAAGGTCATGGATGGTGGTCCATTATTCGTGGCGAAAAAAGCGCACGCTTTGTCAAGATTGTTTTAAGTAAAACAGATAAAGATTATGCACATGAATTTTTCGGTTGTATCCCTTTGCCTTAAATTGGTACATGTCCTCGTGGTACTTATAACTGTTCTACCTCCTTTGGCAGCACTGTTCGTCCTCTTCATTCTGTCTACCTATCCACTAATACATTCACTTTTATTACCTAGCCATATTAAGATTCTTGTATGAAACAGTGCCATGATGGCCACGGCTAGTCTAACCCCCTCTATCTCACGCCTAAATGAGGCTACTACCTACTTCCCGGCAGTAGGAAAGGTCGAAGACTTGACAACCACTCTTGATCGTGCGGCTCTCGAGACTTCGTCTAAGGTCCTTGACATAATCGGAAGATATCGCTTGAAAAAGGGCAAAATCACCGGCTCACAAGCCGATGGCTCGTTTCTCAAGTTTATTGCTTTGATTTATACACATGTCAAGGCCGGAAACCCTGTTCCTCTATGCCTACCAGCGTTTCCTTTCAAGTCGCCAAATTCAACCTCCAAGACTTTGGGTAAACTGCCCGACAAAGGAGAAGAGATTGCTCTGGCCCATTTGAATGGACTTTGCAATGCTATTGGAGACGTGTATGCACCGGGTGCCAAACTCAGCATAATCTCGGATGGGCTTGTGTATAATGGTATGTCGAGTGTCTGATGACTTCCGCTGAAAACATTCGAACTGACACATCTTGCACAGACTTACTAGGTGTTCCTGACAAGGATGTATGGGCATATGGAGAAGCTCTTCGATCCTTAGCAGTTGAGAAGGGGTTTCATAACATCTCTTTTGCTCGTCTGCGAGACCTCGTAGAGATCGATTTACCAAGAGATCTCGAGGAGATGACCTATGTAGCCAATGCATCAAACTTTCGCCGTGCATTGCTCAACACATTCAGTCGACCTGATTGGAGTTGGGACGAAGTCCGCCAGTTAGAAGACCAATGCATGACTTATCGCGGCTACATCAAGTTTCTCCAGACAGATCTCGAAACAGTTTACCCAGTGGACGAAACACGCACCAAGTCCAAGTACAAGAGGGGAATTGAGTACATTGCTAAACAGATGATGGCCCGCGGAGACGTAAGTGACTGAAAGTCTAGGTTTGGAGTAAAGGACGACACTGACTTGATATAGGCCTTCGCCAACGCAGTTCGACAAAAGTACCCTGACCACGTTCGCCTGTCCATACACCCATCAACTGGTGCAACTAAACTCTCCATCAATTTACTGCCCACCGATGACCTTTATACCACACCGTGGCATTGCAGTTTGGCATACAGGCTGGATGGTACGATCCGAACAGGTATGCGATCAGAGTTCGACAGCGACGAAAGCCTCGAACTAGTTTACGACAATGGCCGTCCATCGCACTACCGAGAAAAGTCGCCTCTATTCTCATGGGCGGAGGAGAAAGGTGGCATTATCGTCGAGCCCATGTACCCTACTGGTCTCACGATCCGTCCCGCCAATGGACCAGGGTCTTTAACACCTGACGACATCAACACCAACAAAGTTCGCGGGCTATCCGAGATCAACTCCCCTGTTATCTTGAAAGGGTTCGTAAAAAAGCCAAATCGTGATAACTTCGTGAATCTCAGCCATCGATTCGGGACGCCACTACCATGGAAGTTTGGGTTGCTGCTCGAAGTCAAAGATAAGGGGCATGAGACCGGAGGGTTGAATAATGTCCTCTCAGCAGAACCTATGCCAATGCATTATGATGGGTTATTCAAGGTGGTTAAGCAGATTGATGCAGACGGTCAGGAGAAAATGGTTTCGACTCCTCCACGGTAATTTTCCCCAGCCTCAAATATCAACATCAACTAACTGAGTTGTTAACCATAGGTTCCAACTGTTTCAAGGCGCAACAGACTCCCCTCGAGATACTGGATTCACTCTATTCTCTTCATCGACCCTCTTTTTCAAGTATCTACCATCATGGCTGAGGGAAGGAAGTCTATCTGACTTGACCTGGAGTGTATCTACCTCAGCATTTAACAACACTGTCTTGGGAGGTCTCCCTCTGGTAGTCCCTCACCCCACCACAGAGAAGCCGTGCCTGCGCTATCATGAGCCATGGCCGCAGTCCAGGACAAGATTCGATGCTTCCGAAGTTGCGATTGAAGGATATGAGACCTCTCAAAGCAAAGCTATTTGCGCAGCGATCGACTCGACTCTTTATGATCGAAGAGTAGTGCTATACCATACTTGGGAAAAGGGCGATATCCTGGTCAGCGATAATTTCTTAATGATGCACACGAGAAGCGAATTTACGGCGGGGGTTGACCGAGAGCTTTGGCGGATTCATTTTGATTAGACTGAGTTGAAGAGGATAGTTTCTTATCACTCAGTCATGCATAGACGGATAATAATAGGTTTAGGTTATTAGTTTGCGGTTATTTTCGGAGGTACTCAGCCAATCATATTTTAAGTAAAAACAATAGTTTCTATCCCGCACATATAATTCCTCCTCAGCAGCATTACTACTCCTCTAAAAGAACCCGAGTAACAACTGAGCTTTGGAGTATTTAAAAATAGTGTCAACAATCACAGGTATATAGAAAGCAGATCTCGTAGACGGTCCGTTTTAGGACATCTTTAAGGGCGGGTTAAGCATTAAGTATGTTAAGCAATACAGAGCTCTGACAAGGTCATGAGACAGTACAGTACTTACAGTAATTTCATTATAATTTAGTAAGTCTAGCTATTTTCCCGGCCTTATTCTTAACGATATCGCGTTGAACTAATACTAAATTCCGTTTTTCGTATAATTCCTTTGCTGCTTGAATTGTCGTCATCTGTCTCATGATCTCCTATCCGTTTCGTAGTGTGCTGAGCTGAAGCCTCAAATGTCCCCTTTCGACCACCAACTGAATCGAGTCTGATACCGAGGCCGGAATTATTCAAGGCATTTTCACTCTGTAAAAGATGGTCAGCCTGTGTATGTCTTTGAAAACTGGGGTACCCAAGGGAAATATATGATAGTCGTAAGGGTAGAGGACAGATGAATAGCATTGAAAGAAATCAAGAGTATAACTTACCTCGCCTGTGTACTTATTACTTTGATCGCGTGAGGTCCCATAGTAGAATCTAAAGAGTTTCCGGAGGGGGGGTAAGGAACAAGCGATAATTCCCAGACAGCATTCAACATTTGACGTTATACTGATAACACCAAGGTGATCTATTTTACAATAGCACACTACATTAACAAATGTATCGATTTGTCGAAGTCTCAGGAAGATAAACTTACATGCTATCTCCTCCGGATATTTAGCAGTGTCGTAGTACTTGAGGTATGGCATTCGAACACATGTAGCAACACTGGCGGAAACGCCCAGACCGAGGATGGCAATGACTGAAATCTTCCTGCGTCGAGACATCTGAAGACCCGCGACAATAAAGCATGGAATGGCTGCACAAACCCAGTCGGTCGCCATTTGGATTGCAGAGACAATGTAACTAACGGTCTGCAGGCTGATCATCTTTTGGCAAGTCCCACTAACAGCCGATGTTAGTACCGTGATCACTCGCAACCAGAACAATCTCGAGGTTGGGAAAGGACTTACAGGCCCGGATTCCAGGTTGCGGCAACAGGCTTGCAGTTTGCAAAGACAAACGTAAGGGCCAGGATAGTCACGATAATCATGACCGCCATGTTAATGTATATGGGGTAAACCACTCGTCGTCGGGAATCTAGTCGTATGCAAGTGAATCCGATGGCGCACTTGATAACGGTCGATGAGGTAAAGTATAGAATCTCCCAGTAGGTCTGGTATTCGGATGCGCGTACGAGGTACAATGGCGAGGGGAGATTGACATCGTGACATCCAACTCCATATTGTGCAGCGCGAACGGCGAAAATAACGGCGGGTATTAGCAGCAGCTGTTTTGCTGTCGATTAGTACATCTGTTGACCAGAGGCAGCTATTGGAGGGAGGCAAACTTACAGTCGCAACAACAGTCATGTAGTCCTCAAGACCGAGCAGTCTCGGCGCCACTCCAGAATAGCCAGCCCGAACATAAATCCGCAGGCACACGACAATGACGCTCACGACGCCGAAAAAGATTGCGAAACCTTGAACGACCGGTCCTAAGTCTTTGGGCGTCAAAGGTTCAAGGCTGTCGGCAAGAGCCTTTATCTGCTGTCCCGTCATAGATTGCGCCATGGCAAGAGACCTGGACTCGTTGAAGCGTGGTCGTTGTGTATTGTGTACTTCGGGAGAAAGTAAGCGAAAAAGGGTGGTCTGGATATTGTTGTCTTTTATTCGTATTCAGCTTGCTGAAGATCTTGCCTCAAAATAAGCCTCTTCGTCGAATACTACCGCAAACTTTACTTTTTTCTTGCAGGTAGCCAGCCATTCGAGCCATTCTAGGGGCTAAGTGGGTTGGCCGTCAGAAACGCAAGTGAGCGAGGTCTGTGGTTTTCTTCCCGCTGCGGGCCGTTTCCTCTTTTTTAGCTGCCGGCTACTAGTCTGTTACCGACTACCAAGTCTGGTTCTCCATCTCAAGGGCCAATGGGTCAGGAGCTTAGCTTTGTTTCCTCGTCTCCCCGTACTCTCATACACATTACCCACGTCGACAAATTCGGCTAATCACTTGATTCCTCTTGTCCTGCATTGATAAGGCCTGATATCTGGAAACGAAGACTCTTTCTGTGTGGAGATCAAATCTCGCTGACGGGCCGTTAGAACTCTAAATAGTGGTCGAGACAGGCGATTGGCGGTTCACAGTCTCAGCTCTCCAGTAGTCTTGGTACGGAAACCGGGGACTGGGGCCGCCAAGACCAGACACAGCCAAGTAAAACTCAGGATTGTCAGTCACCAAAAATGATCAGTCAATTATATTTGCGTATAACCCTGGCTGGCACCGAAAATTTGCTGGGTGTTGTTTTGAACTCAGGAAAAAATCATTCTTCTCTGTTCCTAAATCCCTGCTGATAGCTTGTTCAGTTGTTCGAAAGTGGCTGAGCCATTGCCAGATACTTCCATTCAATCAACTTACAATCCGTAGAACATAACAGGCTTTGCAATTGTGTTTATTTAATATGTCTTAGGTAGCAATAATGAAGCGGTGGTGCGGATACAACAGCACAGATCCTAACGGTGAGCGAGGTAGGCGAGGTAGGCGAGGTAGGAAAGGACTAGGGCTGGAATTGCACCGCATGAAAGAGCAGGGTTCTTCCGTTTCTCGGCAATTGCACGTTGAAACTTGTTCTCTCCGCTTCTGTCATGACAGGACATGGTTCCCAACCAATTGGAAGCTCAAGGTATCCCGCTGAGCAAGTTATTGTAATTGCCGTATTACCACTGTGGTCCGCCCCCCCAAACCCAATCCCTTCACATTTGCTTCGCAAGACGTTGGTTGATCAACTTCCGTGCCGGAACCGCCATGGCCACAGTAATAGGCATTGCTCTGGCAATGATCGCCATCGTTGCTTTTTATACTTTCTTCTGCAGTGTTTATTATGTGACACTTCATCCTCTGGCGAGTATACCCGGTCCCAAGATTTGTGCCGTTACCAGGCTCCCCTACTGGTTAGCTGCGCTCAAAGGTGAAGATGTCAAGTGGATGAAGGGATTGCACGACACCTATGGGCCTGTTGTGCGGTTTGGTCCCACAGATGTTAGCTATACCGCTGGTCAAGCTTGGAATGAAATTCATGGACCCAAGGTGACTGAGAAGGCGCAAGAGTTCTCTGTCCAGCCGATCAATGGTGTGTTCTAAGAGGAGCCAAGATGATAACAGTTCATTCTAACAAGCACCAGGCGTCCCCAGTATGCTGACGACTGACTCTGAGAACCATATTCGAGTGCGTCGGCTCTTTTCCCCTGCCTTCTCCGAGCGCGCCTTGAAACAACAAGAACCTCTCTTTAAGAAATATGCAGACCTCCTCATGTACAAAATCTCCGAAGTTGGCAATGAAGGAGCGAAGCCCGTTGAGATGACTCAACTGCTTAACTTTACTACCTTCGACGTGATGGCCGAGCTTTGCTTTGGGCATCCTCTCAACCTTCTCGCCCAGAACGAGTACAGCCCCTGGGTCAAGTCCATCTTTGAATCATTGAAAATGTTGCCGATTGCTTCCATTATTAACTACTACCCACTTCTGAATTACATATTCACTCGATTTGAGCCAAAGTCAGTCACTGAGCAGCGTGTTACTCACTGCAAGCACTCGGAGGATCGCGTCAACCATCGTTTGGAAAATGGCTCTGACCAGCCTGATGTGTGGAATCTTGTTCTATCAGCGAAGGAGGGGAAGGGACTCACGGTCAAGGAAATGCACTCCAATGCTGAGCTATTTATGCTCGCCGGATCAGAGACAACAGGTAAGTGCGATATGGCAAGCAGACTCATTCGAGAGTGATTTAGTGTTGCTTATACGTTCTATAGCCACTCTTCTCAGCGGTTGTCTCTATAATCTGCTTACTTACCCTGACAAGATGGAGACGGTTCTCAAAGAGATACGAGGAAGATTCAGTACTTCAGACGACCTCACACTTGAACGCCTCGCTGAGCTCAAGTACATGAACGCCTGTTTGAAAGAAGCTCTTCGCGTCTACCCGCCCGTTCCCATCGGAAGCCCTCGGGTCGTCCAAGGCGATGGGCAACAGATCCTAGGCAAGTATATCCCACCGGAGACAAGGGTGTCAGTCCATCATTATTCCACCTACCACTCGGAAGAGAACTTCAAGGACGCCGAAAGCTTTGTCCCTGAAAGGTGGCTCAAGACGGATCCAAAGTATGCTGGAGATATGCTAGAGGCTCATCAACCTTTCGGCTTTGGACCTCGGAACTGTCTTGGACAAAATATGGCAATGCATGAGATGAGGCTTATCTTAGCGACGCTTCTCATGAAATTCGATCTTCAACTTTGCGACGAGAGTATAAATTGGGCAAGCCAGAAGTCTTTTGCTCTGTGGATCAAAAACCCGCTGATGATACTCGCAAAGCCTGTCTCCACACAGACGAGATTAGGTATCTAATGGGGGTTAAAACTTCCATTGGCTAGGCGTGTAATAGAAGTATCAGAGCTATTTAATACACACCTGTCATCAAGTATGTTGAGAATAGTTTTACAATTCCTCTGTTATCGTGACAAGAGCTAGAATGGTGTCATTATATCTTCTCCGAGGAAGTGACACGTTCACCTCTGCCTCTCAAGCATAAATTCTCTTACACATTTTAAGGAGACACCTCTAAAATAGTGCTTTATTTGATTCCACGGGTAGTGCTTGGCAGGCGAGTGTACGCAATAGAGATTTACATACTGCCTTTCTTCTCTATCAAACGTGTTCTGCTTTGAAGTATTGTTTTCAATTAATCTGATGCCGATGAGAAGAAGGTAGGCCGACCGTTATACTGCAGTATACCAGGGCTTTTATAATTCAAATCTTAAATCAATTTTTCAGTGTTTACCTAAAGGGCCCTCTGATTTAATTTAGACAGGTTATATTTAAAATCATTCGGATTGAATTTCCTATGCGTCTTATCATATCGATAGTGTTATCGATAGTGTTATCGATACGATAGAGATTAGATAGGATGTCACTCTATAGAGGAAAATAACTACCCTACATAGAAGCAGAACACACTCTGTAATTGATTAAATAAAAGTATGGATTTAATTCAATACGACTTAATTGAGTTCGATTTGAACTCATGTAATATAGTAGAAGCCCTAGAATAAATTAGAACAGAATAAACTCTATATCTAGAAGCAAAATTGGAAAGACAGTGTTTTAAAACAGTGTGAGAAGGAACAAGTTTAAGATGAATCTTTTACAAGTATTTTCAGCAGCATAATAATCAAACCTAGACTTACTTAACCAATATTTGATCAATGAATCTTTAACTATTTCAACGGTATATTGACTCCCTTTTATATGAAGGCCATGTGGTGGTACTGTATGTATCGTGAAATTCATCACAGTCGGCGTGGTGGCGCCTAGTGGCTTCAACTTATTACCGGTATTGCCATTAATCAAATCTGGCTAGTAGAGTATCTACGCAAGAGGCTTCTCGGACTTTTATTACTCCAAGCCTGCCAATCGCTGGCTGATTATGAAACACCTAGCTCAGCGGAAGGCGCCACCACGCTAATTGCGGAAACATACGGCACACCGTACTAAAGTTTTTCACGTTAGCCAATTGGCTTGTCCTTGATGCTTTGGCCATTAGCCTCCGTGGACATTCTGCACTAAAAACCACCATGGCACACATTCCACAACGGAATAAAATCTTGCACGAGTTGAAAACACATCTCCTATGATTGTCATTGTGTCAATATAAACACTACAGATGGATGATATGCTGTCTTTGTCTATTTTCATATTCAACTGGGATACCATGGATGGTCATTGACTTTGATGGCTGATTGTAAAAAGCATTAGATATCATCATTCAATTTACATATTATGTCCATGAGTGGAAAGATTGCTATAAAGTGTTGAATTTGTAGGACCGTCCGTCACAGCGCGGATTTGTCCAAAGAAAGAAATAGACTATTAGGTGTTGCCAAGTACGCGCACAGCAAGCGGCAACCAAATTCCTGCTCTATCTCAAATGGGATCAAAGATCCTTGCGCTCGGGGTTGTGTGCGTGTTCTGTGGTCTCGATAGCAGCCTGCTTCTCAGTGTCGTGGTAGTTAACTTGTGCGACATTGGCATCATCACCATCGAAGATCCTGGCAATCTCTTCAAGAGTTGGGCCCTTGGTCTCAATGTAGAAGAAGTACACGAAGGCAAGCTCGACAGCGATCCAAACCTGGTTTTTGATTAGTCTTTGCAGTATTAACTGAGCAAGGGGAGCGGGACTTACAGTGTAGAAGCACCAGAAGTTCCAGTTGTTGGGAAGGTTCTCGAGAGCAATGGGGTTGGTTTGGTTGCCAATGGTGAGAGCAACCTGGATGAAGAAGTTCATGATCATGAGACCACGGGCTCGGAGTCTGAATGGGACAATCTCCAGAGCGTAGGCGACAATCAGACCAGACCAGGCAATGGAGTAGCAGACATCGAAGAGCCAGATGAGGGCAATCTGAGGGTATCCGAGACGCTTGATCTCTACCTTACCGCCGGCTTCGAAGCGGGCTGCAACAATAGTCCAGGCCAGGAAGAATAACAGCATGCCTAAGGGTACCACTGTTAGCTACGTTTATTCTGAGGATGCCGGAAAAAGGAAATTTGTACTTACCGACAGTGGCAGTAAGGAAGAGTGGACGACGACCGAACTTATCAATTCCCATCGAGCATCCAATAGCAACGAAGAGCTTCAACATGTTCTCTCCAGCGTTCAATCCGGTCTTCTGGGCTTGGTCCTTGATTCCAGCGCCTTCGTAAATAATGTTGGAGTAGTTACTGATCAAAGCGTTACCAGAGTACTGCGAGATGATACCTAGGGAGATCAGGAGCATGAGACGGTAACGGTTGCCGCGAGTTCGAAGGAAATCGAGGTAGCTGCCAGTCTTCTGAGCCTGGTACTCTAGGGCAATTGTATCCTTGATTTCGTTGTACTCGAACTGCACAGTCGCATTGTTGGCATCGCCGTTGGCGTGGTATTTTGCGAGGATGCCAAGCGCTTCTTCATGACGCTCATGAGCCATGAGCCAACGAGGGGACTCAGGAATCCACCAAATGAAACTAATCTGAATCAAGGATGGCACGGCCTGGATCAAAGTAATGGATCGCCATGACCAGTTGCTGTTGATGTTGATCGTACCGAGACCGATGAAAGCGCAGACTAGGAGGTTCTTATCAGCAGATGTCAGGACTGAACTTCGGATGGTCACTCACGTGTGGCGCCCAGGTTCCACAGGCAGTTGTATATGGCGGAGACGATGGCACGGTGCTGAGGGTGGCAGATCTCGGTAAGGAGGACAGGGCAAGACAGCTGGGCCAGGGAGTTTCCGAAACCGACGAGGAATCGACCGCCAAGGTACACTATCAAGGGTTCGTCAGCTTGGCTCGGAAGAGTAAATTACAGGGAATTGCAAGTCAGTGACGTACTGCCATAGCCATCAGTGAAGGCTGAGATAAAAGCTCCAACGATCATGATAAGGCATCCCACAATAATGGGGATTCTGCGACCAAAGTGATCGGCCATGAAGGGACTGTACGACCAAAAGATTAGTTTTCAATAAGTCTACAGACCACAACATCGCAAACTAGAACAACGTACGCGAATGGGAAACTGGCGATACTACCAATCTGGTAGATAGAGTTGAGAATACCAAGTTTGGAGCCTGTGGGACGACCAAAGTACTCCTGCCAATCGTCCATGGCCTGGGAAGTATTCAACATAGAACTAAGGATTTCCTGTTAGCCTCGGCTTTAGTCTCCCCACCCTTGCAATTGCTTACCCATCGTAACCTGTGGTAGCAGAGCAGACACAAAGAATGGCAGCATAAAAGTACAGCTGTCGCATTCCAGGATCAGTCCACCATTTGACCTTGGCCAGCTGAGGCGCCTCAGCCTGGGCAACGGCGAGGTCCTGCCTGGTAGTCGAAGTACCGACGGCGAAAGGCATCGTGCAGAGCTTGTCAATTCCGGGGTATTAACTGTACGGGCGCGCGCGGGGATGGGGATGGGGTAAACGAGTATACAGCGGAGAATGCTGTTCTCCAATTCTGAATCCTGATAATGAAACAGATTGTAGAATTAGAATGGATTCTAAGGCTCGTAATGCAATACGAAAGATCCGCGGGAGCGCCAAGCATGATATTTAAAGGTCCATATTAGCCGATTAACCAAGGGCCTGCAATTACCCCAGTAACCTAGTCTGTATAGCCTAATAGCCTAAAGCGCCCAGCCTATTACTGTAGCTTCCCCGGGTATTTCCCCAAGGAGGGCAGGGAGGGGTCCTGTGAGACCCCTCTGTTTATGGTTAGCCCACTTGAGCCGAGACAAATGTCAGAGCCGTATGATTCGACGGCCCGGGCAACCGAAGTGATCTACTGCGTGGCTCTTAACTATTACCGGCACTTGTCCCCGTCAACCCGCATGTGGGCTGCTTAACGGCAGACCCTTCCACCCCATCAGATGTATAAAGCTGCTCAGCTGCACCGAAATAACAGCATGCAGCCTTTATGTCTCACCAGGCTAATGATCTGATGTCTTGGTAATTGGCTAATTCGGTTAGCATAGCTATTAGCCTGAGCTGGCCATGACAGCTTGACTTATACCTGTAGGGCTCTGAGTCACTAGAACATGGAATCATTGAAATGGTCTGGTATTACCTCTGGTAATTTCTGATGCCGAGACACTAGCATAACAAAAATATGACACATAGCTGTTGATTCCTCATATTTGTCATTTGTGAAACCCAATTCAGAGCGATTATAAGCTATTTCTATCGTAAGCGGTAAATGGGGTGGACTGCAGTAAGATCACACCACTAAAAAAGAAATACCAGTTAAATACCCCGTAATAATATGCCGCTCTCGGATGTCCAGCTCCTCAGCTAATCGGCACGAATTGTCAGCGCTGATAAATAAGGCTATAGATGTGGGCCTCCGGCTTCCGGCTCAATCAACCACATATCTTATTACGTGGCCAGGCCGTGTTGCATATGGTATCAATTTCCACTAAATTCCAATAAAAACAAGCACAGGGCTCTGATGCTTATGCTTTAAGTTTGTCCATTAAGTTTGTCCGGACGGGTGGATCAGGTGAGACCCACCGTATCCGTAGCTTACCGGCGGTTATTCTCTGGGTGGCATAGTAAATTACTTTATTAGAGATGGTTTGGACACTTTCATACTTTCTTGGCGTCTATATTCTTTCTAATAATCAGCTACTTGAGTATAATACTCCCACTGAAACACACTAGAATTATATGCCACTATCCACCCTACTTGCCTGGCTTAAACTCAGCGACCCAATCCACGATCTGGTCAATCCCAGTCTCCTGAATCGCCTTGACCTCCGGCTAGATACTTCTAGCATTCCAATATGTATCTGTGCAATGGTTGCACATGGGATTTAGGAAATGTTTGATGTAAGTGCTGTTGCCAAGGGTCCCTCCAGGTCTTTGCGGGGATGCATATGAAGCTTCCCACTAAGGATCAAATTGACCGTTCACCAAGACAGTCCTGTTTATATGTTGCGATGGGTCACTCCAACCTCCATAGCGAGCATTCCAAGATTCCGCCGTCTTTCCTTTGGCCAATCCATAGGACTCTCCATTTGGACCAGGTAGGAAGGAACGGGCACATGTCTTCCTGAAGTAGTCTCTGTTCACCAAGCGCGAGACCAACGTCGGCGTTCCCTCTGGTGATCCTGTCTGCCAATACTCTTCGGGCTTGTTGCAGAAGAGCCACTGAAATTGTACTATGTCGGCAATACCTTTATCGTCTAGTTTCTTGGTGCCGTAGATCAAGCTGTCGGCGTCACCAAAGTTGAAGCAGCCCGTGTTATTTGTTCCTTTCCATAGGCCTTGTTTCTCGCATCGTCCTGGTATCCATACCTCCTTTGTCCAGCGCGCATATCCCTTCAGTGCTCTGGCCAATCCCACGCCTTCAGAGCCCGGAAGCTTCGATGGGTCTGTAATATCGACTGCGTTTTCGACGTAGTCGCAGAACTGCCATGTATCCTGTATGCGTAAAGTCGCGCCCCAGCTGCAATTTCTCTCCGGCAGAGGGGCACCAAGGTTTGGCCATGGGCATGGGTACGACAGGGGCAAGGTTGGCTTCTTCGTATCTCAAGAGTACTTACAAAAGTAGTCCTTTCCCACAGTGCACCTCTCAATGTTTGTCTTTGCCTTTATCACTGACACATGCCCGTCAAGTTCTCTAGTAGTCCCAACCCCTCAGTGGTATCCACAGGACGTGCCCAATTTGCTAAGTCAATCCCTTAGGGGACCGCAAAGGACCATAGAGGTAATAAGAGGGACCAGGGCAATCATTCTATAAGTATCTAAGATACTTCCCGACTCATACAAGCCTGCATAGATAAGAAAGTATCTCTGATAATGCAGCTTGCCGATCGGTACCTCATTCCCTTCTGTCAAGTCACCTTAAGGCTTGTATTTGTGGCGGATCGATCAACAGTCAATCAATACTGGAGTAAAATCCACAGTAATACGTGCCTGGTCCTTTATGGTCCCTTAAGGGATACGGTAGTAAAGTAAAAGTATTTCGTAACCAAGCTAGCTCTATCTACCTGGCAGCATATGCTACACCTTCATAGGGCCTTAGTGCCACACCTTCTTGGGTAAAAACCTCAGCGTTGTTCCCAAGCAGCCTCTTCCCACCTGTAAAACCCTCGACGCAAACCTGCTGCTCCTTTTCAGAGAAGTTCAGCAATACAACAGCCGACCTGCCGTCGTAGCTTGTCATGGTGTACGCAAAGATATCCTCGCTATCCTTGTACTCTGGCAGAATAAAGAACCGCCCGTAAACAAAGATATCCTTCTCCTTCTCGCGCACTTCCAGAACCTGCCGCCAAAAGTTCAACACACTATCCTGGTCGTGCTCCTGCTGTTTGACATTCCACTCTTCGAAGTCATCATTGGTACGAATCCAAGGCTTGTCTCCCGATGTAAACCCTGCATTCCTTTCTGTATTCCATTGCATCGGTAGTCTCCCGTTATCTCGCGCCTTCAGCCTCATCTCGCGCATGACATCTGACATATCAGCCCCGGGGCCTCTCCTTTTCAGCTCGCTATTGTAGTAGTTGAGACCTTCGACGTCGATATAGTCTTCGATCTTCCAGGATTCTGGCACATTCGCCATGCCGATCTCCTGCCCCTGTAATAGGAATAGAGTACCACTCAGTGTCCCGAGATAGATAGCCAACATCTTGGCTGCGTCTTTTCTGTACTCTGGAAGGTCTGATCCATAGCGCGATAAAGAGCGGCCGGAGTCGTGGTTGTCCATGTATACTGAGTTCCAGCCATCGAACCTGGGCATGGCTCCTTGCCAGCGGTCTGTGATGATCTTGAGTTTGGAAAGTCTGAAATCATCTCTCTCATATTTGTGGTTGAGTCCAAAGTCCATATCCACGATGTCGCCTGTGAATAACATATTCAGCTCATGCCGCTCCTTGGCAACATAGCTCGCAACGCTTGCCTCATCCTTTGTGAAACCTAGTTCTCCGACGGTCATGCAGTCATACTTGTCCAGGACCTCCTCTCGCATCTCCCGAATGTATTCGTGCATACGTGGGCCGCTGGCAAAGTATTTATCTCCCGGCTGGAACTCATCACCAGGGCGCGTGATAGGCGCGTCTGGGAGATCTGGATGTTTGGACATGAGGTTCATTGAGTCGATACGAAAGCCGTCAACGCCCTTCTTGAGCCAGAACTTCATGTCGTCGTAGGTCGCCTGGCGCATATCGTCGCTGGCCCAGTTCAGGTCGGGCTGCTCAGGTAGGAATAGGGATAGATAATATTGACCGGTCGGTTCATCGAACGTCCAGGCGCTCCCTCCAAAGATGGAAGCCCAGTTATTGGGTGGCTGGCGGTTCCCATTTGCATCGAACTTTGGATCACGCCAGAAATACCAGTCCCTCTTTGAAGAATCTCTCGATGAACGGGATTCTTGGAACCATTCATGCTCATGGCTAGTGTGATTGACCACAAGATCTAGCAGTATTTTGATGCCCCTCTCGTGGCAGCCGTTGATCAGGGTTTCAACGTCTTCAATAGTCCCGTAGGGGCGGTGGATGTCACGGTAGTCTGAGACATCATAGCCCATATCATATTGAGGGCTCTTGTAGATGGGGGATAGCCAGATGGCGGTGGCTCCGACTGAATGGATGTAGTCAAGCTTGGAAATAATGCCCCGAAGGTCACCAAGTCCGTCGCCATCTGAATCGAGGAAGCTGGCTGGGTAGATCTGGTAGACTACTGCTTCTTTCCACCATTGTCTCTCTGGAGGCGATGTTGGCGACATGGTTGTTGGTAGTGCTATGATGGCGTGGTGTGATGCTTAGCACATGAAGTGAGGTGATTTGAGACTAATGATCATTTTAAAATTTTGTTCGTTATGTTTCTTATACCCCAACGCTCATTACCGGTCCGACAAACGCGGAGTAAGCTGTCTAGAACACAATAGTATCAAGAGGCTCAGGTGGAATTATCATTGGATGGCCTCTCCATCGACTCTCAACCCCACACAATTGAATCAGCTCAGCAGTGGAGATCCGATGAGCTTAGAAGGGTGAATTATGATTTGCTGAACGACCTACCGAGAGCCGAAAGGGTCGCAAATCACATCGGTCCGACAAAGTAGCCAATGAATGGTGAAGTCTCAAAGCACGGTTGCACGTTTCCGGGGCAAGGTGAGCCAATAGAAATTCACCCATTTCACCCAGAAACTCTGAGTCTCTTGGACCGATTTCAAGGTGGCAATAATGCTGAACTTTGACGGCGACGGTATGGGGAGATCATGGGTCTATGACTGCAAATTCCCCATGGGGCTCCATTTCCTTGCAAAGAGCCTAACGATATCTTGGGGTTCAAGTCTCATTTGCACTATGAGGTTTACTCATATATAATCTCGCGATGATTCCCTCTTAATCGCCAATAGAGCATCCCAGTATCGCTTCTGCATCATCTCAATTGCACAGTTCAATCTTCTTCTATATTTTCATCATCCTCAAAATGACTATTAAGATTGAAGCCGTGGCGACGGTGTCCGACCATGTCGAAAAGGCACCCGTCTCAGACTCAGTGGCAATCCAGAAAGCCATCGATGCCCAAGACCTTTCCCCCAAGCAGCAATACCAACGTCTTTGGGCCAGTCTGAAAAAAGACAAACGATATGTCTTTTGGTCCCTGTACATCATGTCCCTCGTCTTTGGATGGGGCTACGACTCGGGTCTTTCTGGCGTCGCCATTGCCTTTCCTGAATTCCGAAAGGTCTACGGCGAATACTACGAAGTTGGCGACCAGTATGTCATTCCTGCGCTTTGGCAGAGTCTCTGGAACGCAGCGAGCACTATTGGCCAGATCTTTGGAGCCTTCCTGGCTGGTCAATTTGCGGATTATGTCGGCCGAAAAGCTGTTCTATGGACTGCTGTCGCACTCTCCTTGGCTGCATCCTTCGCACTTGTATTTGCCCCAAGCTTGCCTATCCTTTTCGTCTCCAAGCTCCTCCTTGGTCTTTCCGTCGGACTCTCAACTGTCACTCCACCGCTGTACGTTACAGAGAATGCACCAGCTGCTCTGCGAAGCTCCCTTAGCTCTCTTACAAACGTCATCATCGTGTTGGGTTTCTTTCTCTCGTCCATCACCGGCTTTGGCTCCTCCAAGATTGAGGGCGAGTGGAGCTATCGCCTCGCCTTCGTCATGACCTTCTTGGTCCCAACTCTGTTCGCCATTGGCCTTCCCTTTCTCCCCGAATCTCCCATCTGGTATGTCAAGAAGGGAAGAGATGACGATGCTCGAAAGGCCATTGCCAAGCTCTACGGCCAATCCATCGATGTCGAGGAGAGGCTTAACTTCATCAAGTCTGAGCTCGAGGTTGCTGCGGGCGAGGCCAATATGGCAAAGCAGACAAGCTGGAGGGCCATCTTCTCCAAGGAGCACCGAAGCAGAACTCTTATTGCTGTCATGGGATTGCAATCCCAGAACTTCTCTGGAGGTTACTTCGCAAGTATGTTACCAAAACAATAGACTATCGCAACATTCACTAACCTTTATAGACACCTATCAGACATACTACTTCGAGCTTATCGGCCAATCCGACCCCTTCGGCCTTACCGCGATATCTTCGACCCTTCAATTCTTCTCCAACTGCGTTGCCGTCACCGTCTCCGACGTTCTTCCCCGCCGAAAGTCCCTCATCGGAGGCGGAACATTGCTCTGTTGTTGGTCCATCATCATTGCAGGCACTTCCATGGCAGGCACCGCCAACCGAGCTGCGAATACCGCCCTCCTTGTGTTCATGATCACATGGTCGATGCTTTACACTGCGACTGTTGGTTGTTTCGGATGGGCCATCGCTCAGGAGACCGCCTCTCAAGCAACACGACCCAAGACTATTGCGTTCAGCCTCGTCTGCCAGCAGCTCACGGCTCTCATGCTGTCTTCGGTGTTCCCGTTCTTCATCAACCCTGATCAGCTGAACTGGGGCGGAAAGGTCATGTTTCTGTTTGTTGGTGCAGAAGTTTTTATTCTTGCTGTTCTGTTCTGGCTCCAGCCTGAGACAAAGAACAGGACCTACCACGATATTGATTGTCTCTACGCCCAGGGAGTCCCCCCAAGAAAGTTTGCCGAGTATGTGGTCAACGACGGAACCGTTGTTAAGAAGCCAAGTGCATAGAGGAGCATAAAGCTTTGGCACCATATGATAAGATGTGGCGATCGCTAAATGATATCATCGTCTTCAGATATGCGATGGAACCTGAATTCGGAGTGTAGTTTACGTATTAAATAACAATAAATCATCAACATTTTTCTCTTTCAATCCTCAGCCCAACTAATCTCCTTGTGCACTAGCTTTGCCAGCTAAAGTCACCTGTTCCACTAAATTCATTTGGTGGATCCAATATCATTCGATGTTCTCCGCATTATAAAAAGTCAATCCCCGCAAATAGCTGGTTTGGCTCAACCAACCACCAAGTAACAACATCTCTCCTTCAAAGTGGCAAGAAATGTCTAAAATCCCGGCACATCCAAGGCCTTCCAAAAGACCATCCAAGGTCCGACAAGCTTGTGATGAATGCCATGTGCGAAAGATTCGATGTGATGGACGCAAACCATGCATCAATTGCCAGGGGTTGGAGAAAGCCTGCACCTATTTGGCCGTGCATAAAAAGACAGGGCCACGAGGCCCACGCTACGCCCAAAGATCGTGTCGTGGCCCTTCGATGGTGGCTGTTCGATGCTCTATTCCCAGTCCCGACGAAGAAATCGTCTCCCTTGCCCATAATACCCCCAGCTCACCGTCGTCAAAGAATGGATTCCTTCCCTCGCCGCAAATAAACGATGCAGTTGTTCGATGGTGCCTGGATGCCTACTTCAAGCACAAATACCCACTTACTCCCATCCTACATCGCCAACAGCTTGAGCAGACGCCAGTTTCGGCTGAGCAGTATGGCCTCATCGCAGCTTGCTGTGCCATAATTGCTCTATCCCCAGAAATATTGCCCCCGTCGGCCACCCTAGACAATCTCACCCTCCCATCTTCAGAATTCCTGATTAGCGAAACACTCCGTTCAAGAGAATACTGCAATCTTATTGAGCATCCGTCTTTGGATCACATTCGAACATCCTTCTTTCTCTATGCGGCATTCTTCGCTATGGATAAAGACAATTCGGCATGGTATTATTTGCAAGAGGCTATATCAATGTTGCAAGCATTGCGCTTGCATGAGGAAGCAGCCTACAACAATAGTGACGACGGTGCATCTGCATCATATGCTCGTCGCATGTACTGGGTACTATTTATTACCGAGAGGGCATATGCATTGCAGAGAAACAGACCAATACGGTTACAAGACACGTTGGCGTTGCCGGTTGTTGATCCAACATCCTCAGATGCTGAGATATTACTGGGCTTCCTCGATCTTATCTCACTCTTTCGCCCCTTTGATGCCGAGTTTATCACACAGTGGAACCTTGCGACCCCATCGACCGCGATAGACTCTGCACATCTGTCAAGTCTCCAATGCCTCCTCAAGTATGCCCTTCCCAACCTCGCGAATTACTCCCAGGTTCAACAGGCAGACCTCCTCATATCTCGCCAGTGGCTGAAAATGGTAGTGTGGAAGCTCTGTGCATCAAACCGAGTTCTCTCAACCACGAACAGCCAGGATGTCATGTCGCTGCATTACCCCGCCAGCATTGCACGTGAAATCGTTCTCGTATCCCAGCTTGTACCAACCCAAGCTTTCGAGGCTAATGGAATAGGGATCCTTGAAAAGGTATTTGATGTCGGGTGTTCTTTGGCAGATCTCTTGACGTTGGTGCCACTGGGAGATCACGGATCGGCTATGGATATCGGCGTTGTCGACACTTTGATGGAGATGGTGAGAATCGTAGGGACACGATTTGGAGGAAGTTATCGCCATCTGAACATCTTGGTAGAAAAGGCCAATGGGTGTTTACTCACAAATGTGGACCGAAGCCTACCTCTACCAGATGATGAAAGGTGTGCTATTGTGGAAGAGATCTAGTCAAACAAGGAGTCTGTCTGGCAGCTAGACACCACCGACATTCACAATGACTTCACGAGACTGTGTGTTGAAACTGAGCGCTAATATTACAATATTGTTCTTTGCCTGTTAGCACCCTCTTTCTACTGAGATGCAATACTATGCAATTCAATGAGCTTAAGATTTAAAGATTACTATATACGATGAGATTATCCGTCCAATAGCACTCTATGGGATAGGACAAGGATTGGCCTACGACGACTACTTCACTCTAGTGGATGTTTCAACACTAGCTTTCCGAATGTCTTCATGGCTCCCACTTGAATGATCTCTTCTAGCGCATCCTCCGCTGTGCCCTGAAATTGCCGAACAGGCAGCGCCTTAAACTCGGCCCCGTAGTGGTCAACCACCCAGGCGAGAGCTTTCCACATCCTATCCGCCTCAGCCGGTTGAGCAGCGAAAAATAGCGACTGGCCGCCAGGGAGGTCGAAAGCCACGTCGAGATGACGAGCACCCAAGGTCACTTGAAAGCGCTCGTCGGTTTGCAGGAGCACTGATGTCAGAAGAATGTCGTTGTGGGTGGGCAACGCACTGGCGAGAAGAGACTGAGAATCTGCGGTCCCGACCGCGTCGAAGCCCCAAATTGTTCCGCTACCGGCCTGTACGACTGCCTTGACTTTCTCTACGACGTTGTCGTCTCCGTAGTCGAAGCAATGAGTCGCTCCTATAGTCTTGAGATAATCGTGTCGTTTTTTCGATGCTGTAACAACGATCGAACGAACACGGCTAGCTCGTGCCAGCTGGATTGCAGCCATCCCAACCGAGGTGGCACCGCCCCAGATCACCAAGGTCCCCTCAGGAGGAGCAGTTGTGGCATCTGGCAAAGGGATGTGCAGCCGGTTGAAGAGCGCGTCGTTGGCAGTTTGCACTGCGATGGTAATTGCAGCGGCATCCACTTGCGGTAGGTTCTCAGGTACTCTGTAGATCCAAGCTGGTGGAACAGAGATATATGGTTGATGTGTACCGTACCGAAGTGGTCGGTTCATCTTGCCGTCCACATAACCGGCAACAATGTCCCCAACCTTGAAAGATGTCTCCGCCAAACTTGGGCTTTCAAGAACTCGTCCACAGAATTCATTGCCAAGTACACGTCGTCGGCAGTTGAAGAATTGTATTATTCTCATATCAGATGGATTAACACCTGAGTATAGAACTTGGATGAGAATTTCTCCGTCGGGCGGCTGCGGGATTGGAAAGTCGCGAACAACGACTTTACCATCCTCATCGGCATAGAGTCCCTTGCCCGTCATTTTCACTAGATGTTGTTTAGTCGTTTTTGTTAGGGTTGAAGGAAGGTTTCATAATCATGGTTCCTTTGCAGCAAAGCAAGTCTTATAACAACGCGGAGACTGCTGACTCTCCAAGCCCAACCCCGCAAAACAAAACGGGAATTCTACCTATCGACAGGAAGGATGACGTCAATTTGGGGGAGTTTCCAGAGTTGTACCCCTCAAATAAGCTTAAAAGTCCCAATTAGCCATAAGTCAGTGTCGGCATCGGTGTCAGGACTCGGTGTCGGTGTCGGTGTCGGAGCCAGAACGACCGAACCCGTCACCGATAGTTCTCTACACACAGTCCTCTTCTCTCGAAATGTGGCCTTGCCACGCTACACCTGGCTGATGACGATAGTGATGGGTATGTAACAGCCTGTTACCTGTACAAAATGCGCCTCGGCAGGGACAATGGCTATATCGTATGGAAGGCGAAAAATTAGCATGGAGAGTAAGCTGTCCACGGTCGCAACCGGCTTTTCATTGGCGTAGGGTTACCGTAGGCCAAAGCGGACGACTGTTACTGTCCATTAGTATGAACGAGCATTTAAGAGGCGGGCCATTATCAAGCTTAGTCAACCTGTTCTGGAAATAAAAAATGTTGGCAGGTTTCTACTTGATGTCACCAAAAATGGGAAAACTAGGCTGATATAGAATCCCAATTTCCGATCATGACCACTCTAACGCATGCATACAAGGTAGGTTGAAAGTCCGAGAAGACCGCGGTAAACTGGGACTCATACTCACTGAGTAAGAGTGATTAAAGCCTAAGCAAGAGCGGTATTATTAACTGACCAGGCTTGGCTATGGGTCGCCACAGGTTTTGTTGCAGACTCCATATATACTAAGTTCGTTTCGTCTTCGACCAAGTACTCCATTGAGGATATGTAGAAAAAGGAACAAGAGCCTCAGGGACAAACCCAGAAGCAATTGAGATGGCACAAAAACTGTCGAAATCCATCACAACCGGCATGAAGAAGTTGCGCGATTAGGTAGAAAGAATGCCCCTTGCTCTCAAAACCAAGAGACGCCAAGGCCGAAAGGCTTTCTCAACTGATTTTTCTGAAATCGAAATCGAGCCATTCGCTCCACTTTGGTTGCGCCGACAACGCTTGATGCTTGAGCTTGGCTCCCAAGAGCTGATGCTAACCAATGGACGTTCTTGCATGAGTCAATCTCTGAACCTGGCCGGGTGCTTGGGAAACCCACCCACATACATATCTTGCGAAGCAACAGAAGCAGCAGACGCTTCGGCCTTTCACGTAGCAGCAACAGCACAAATTCTGCACCACTTATAAAGCATGATATTCTCAGTGGATTGTACGGACAATTTAATTACCAATGGCACTCCACTGTCACACTGGTTGGCTCCCTCCTGCTTTACCACAACAACAGCCCTGATTCTTCAGTTGCTTACAGAGCACTTAATCAAAGCGTTGGAGTACTTAAGAGAATAGGCGAACTTCTTGGGACAGAAGCAAGTGCAACTCTAGTGGCCAAGGATTTATTCTAGAGAGTCCATATGATCTTAGGCATTCCACAAGTAATGAGTGACAGCAATCAAGTTGTATTCCAAGTGTATTCCCAGATGATGAGAGGGCTGACCCGAACAGCCACGAAGCTTTTATCACATTATCTCAGGACATATTTAGTACCTTTGGGACCTCATTTCAGCTCGATCAATTTGATACGGGTCCCGATTTACAACTCCTTGATCACGCGAATAACTCAGCTGTAGACGATATATCCGATTTTGGTGTGGACTTGGACAGTTGGTTGATCTAACCATAAGCATCAAAGATATATCCGGCCAACTACCCAGTGTGCTCTTAAGATCAATTCATTAAGTAACTCTTAACTGATGGGATATTCTCGTGAATGATATTCGGCGCTTTAGCTGGATGGAGGGCTACAAATCCGTATTTCCGTTATGTCGTTTACGTCATGCGCCGAACTAAATTAACCACGAGCCACTCTCCGCTTTAACAAAATGCACTAGAGTCACGGCATCACGAAGTGGTGCTTGCGCTCAAGTACCGATTGGTCTATCATCGGTCGCTTTTATAACTAACAAAGAATAGCGGTCGAGGAGGATCTCGTCTGATTCGGCTTATGCTATGTCATAGTAGCAACTCCGGTATATCCGGAGGTATCTGACGGTCACATACCTGCAGTCAGAATAATTCTGACTGCTTACCGATCAGCGATGGCTTATAAAAGTCTCCGTCGAAGTATGCTTATCCTTAGTCCTGTAGCCAACATCAAAGTGGTGTTCATTCTTCAAGTGTGATAATGAAACAAACTTCAGCAGTCCTTGCTTTGGGCGTCTTGGCAGCTCTCGCCCAAGCTGGCAGCAAACTCCTATCCGGCGCAACTATCATCAGCTGGAATGACTCTAGCAATGCACCTCACATTATCCAAGATGGCCATCTCTTGATTAAAGATGACCGTATTGCAAGCATCACCACGACCAAGCCCTCAGGTCTGCCCAACAACACCGAGACAGTCGATGTGACAGGCCAGATCATCACTCCTGGCTTCATCGACACTCATCGTCACGGTTGGCAGACAGCTTTCAAAACGATCGGATCTAACACAACGCTTGCCGAGTACTTTGGCCGGTATGGCGAGTTTGCAGCTGCGCCTCATTTCAACGCTGAAGATGTCTACTGGGGCCAGCTCGCGGGATTACTCGAAGCTTTGAATGCAGGTGTGACTACATCGCTTGACCACGCTCATCACACATGGTCAAACGAGACAGCTTACGCTGGTCTTAATGCGTCTATTGAAAGCGGTGCTCGGGTGTTCTGGGCCTATGCCTTCCACGATATCCCGGCACTCAACTACACTGTGAAAGACCAAATCCCCAATTTTGTGGAAATCGCAGAAGGTGACGCTTTGAAAGACAGCAACGTTGAGCTTGGCATCTCCTACGACTCTTTCGGCCCAAACCCGCCGGCTGATGCCAAGACCATCGCTCAGCTGGCCAAAGAATACAATGTCTCTGCATTAACCACCCACTGCCTCTCCGGTCCCTTCGGCGTCAACAACCTCCCCGAAGATGTCCATGCACTTGGTCTTCTTAACACTTCAATCCCGGTTATTTTCTCACACGGAAGCTTCATGACCGCCACAGGCGCCCACCTTCTACGCCAGACAAACCAATATCTCTCCATCACTCCAGAGTCAGAGATGCACTATGGTCACACTCACCCTCACTCGTACTACATCCAAGATCAAGCAGCCATCGGTGTGGATACTCACTTCACCTTCTCCACCGATATCCTGACACAGGCCAGAATCTGGTTGCAGAGTGTGCGCTACTTCTTCTTTGACAAGGTCCTTTCGGACTGGGAAGTCCCCAACACCAACCCCATGGACGTTGGCCAGGCCTTCTCACTTGCCACACGTGCTGGTGCCTTAGCATTGAGACGACCAGACCTTGGAGTCATCAAGGAAGGAGCCAAGGCTGATCTCATCGTCTGGAACGCAGCCGATTCGCCTGCTCTCCTGGGCTGGTCTGACCCTGTGGCAGCCGTCATGCTACACGCCAGTGTCGGCGATATCCTGCATGTTTTGGTAGACGGAAAGTTCGTCAAGAAAGATGGCAGATTGACTGCCACTGATTACCGTAAGACGAAGCAGAAGTTTCTCCAAAGTGCAGCAAAGATCAAGAAGATCTACAAGAACCTCGAGTATCCAGATCTCGAAGGAGAGTTCAATGGCGGTGGCTTTTATTACGCCTCACCTAGAACGGTGGATCTGGAGAAGGGACTCAGAGCCAAGACCGATTGATCTAAATGTTTGTATTATAAGTTCTGTAAATAGCTACTCTATTTAATACCTTTGTCGCAACAGAAACCAAGCTCTCTAACTCTCACATCTTAAACTAAACCTGTCATGCTCCATCTCTACAAGTGTTACAATGAAACTGAGGCTAACCGGTGGCTATGTTTGTACTCTAGATGTATCCAAGAACTGTTGACTGAAAGGATAGTCAATGTAACCCTTTGGTATCTTTGGGGTATAGAAGTAAGTTCGATCATAGCTCTCCAGACCAACGCCTGCCTTTAATCGAAAGACGAGATCTGGATTCGCTACAAAATATCTCCCAAAAGAAATCAATACTTCATATCCCTTGTACGTTTCATCCACCGCCGCCATAGCCGAGTCACCGTTGAAGCCTCCAGAGATGATGACCGGACTAGCATTGTCCCACAACTCAACTATCCAACGGATTGTTCGCTGTCCACCGCAATCGGCATCATCGTTCCCGCGTATACGAGCCTCAATGAGATGCAAGTATGCAAGACCCATTCCTTTGAGCTTCTGCACAAGGTAGCGGAATTGGGGATCCGGGTCGTTCATGAGCATACCAAGGAAATCACTGTACGGGCTCAGACGCATCCCTGTCTTGTCTGCGCCGATAGCTTCGATGACGGCCTTGGTTACCTCGATATGGAATCTGGCACGGTTCTCGATATTTCCTCCCCACCTGTCACCGCGTTTGTTGCAAGTATCCTGCAGAAATTGGTCGGGGAGATATCCGTTAGCACCATGAATCTCAACGCCATCGAAACCAGCGGCAACTGCGTTCTTAGCTGCAATGACATAGTCGTCGATGGTGCTGCGAATGTCTTCTTCAGTCATCTCTCGTGGTACTGGCGTTGATTCAGAGACTGGGACTGCACTGCTTGACATAAGAGAGGAGCCATTATTGGCAAGGATACTGGGATCACCGGCACGACCTTGATGCCAAAGCTGACAAAAGATCTTACAGCCTTTAGTGTGAATGGCGTCTGTCACGGTGCGCCAGGTTTTGATCTGAGCGTCACACCATATTCCCGGTGCGTTGTCAGGACCAGCTGTATGAGAGGCTATGAAAGTTGCTTCGCTTATGATGAGTGTGCCAGGTGTGGATGCGCGTTGCTCATAGTATTCTAGAATTTTGTTGTCAGCACAACTGTGACAGTTGATAATACATAACTGACCTTGGGTCATTGATGTAGGACAATGATTATCATCGCATCGGTATCTGGTTAAGGGAGCCATGACAACACGGTGCTCAAGTGAGGTTGACCCAATGGCCAGTGGCTCGAAGAGGCGAGACATGATGTTACGAGGTGATAATAGCACAGGGTATTGCTGGATGAATCAACTGACAGTTTATTACGCCCTACTCTCCTATGAGAAAAGCCCCAATGATGTTGTATTTACAGACTTTAATCATCGTCGTAGTCAAATATTTCGGCTTGTCCACTCCATCATGGTGGAACAGTGTATCCGCCCTGGTCCACCCTTATCGCTATCATTCGGAAGACATGCATAACCATCGGCATCTTTTGAGCCGACACGGCGAACCGCTAATAAGCTCGTGTTTCTTATTTCCGACACGCTGCAACGCCAGGATGAGCGAACTGCTGGGATGTCTCGCGCATTGTCGAATGAGCGTCATGTGGGGAGTCCTTGTTATTTCGGGAATAATCATTTCTTCGGTCGGGCACATTTGTTGCGGCAAACTTTTGACGATGACATCAAACTTTTCGTCATCTTTCTCCTCCTCATAATCATTTTTTGTGCGGGAGATAACAGATACTTGATCAAGACAGCCACTGTCTTCGCATTTCTCTCCTTCTTTCTTACTTCTATCACGTTTGTTGGAGTAGAGACCGCTCGGCGGTACCCAGCAGTCCGGCGTTACGATCATTATGAGCTCCAATTCAAATTCTCTCAGAATCCCTCAATCGTCTACCGACAAGATTACACCGAATCCTACTCTACAACCGCCGATAGAGCCCTCTAATCACGATAATTCAAAAATTACAAGCTTCGATCAAAATGACCAAGACGACACCAGCGACACAGAGAGCATAGGCGGTCAGCGCAACATCGACCTTCCGAGAAAACGCCTCTTGATATCGATCACCGCTCTGTCAGTATGTCTATTCGTCTCCTTCCTCGACCAGACCAGCGTTTCCACAGCTACACCTGCGCTTGCTGGGGAACTCAAAACAGGCACGTCGACATCATGGATCGGTACATCGTTCTTGATTGCGTCGACAGCTTTCCAGCTCATCAACGGACGTCTTTCGGATATTTTCGGACGTAAGAATATGCTCTTGCTATGTCTTTTTCTCATGGGTGTTGGAGACCTTGCTTGTGGCTTTGCAAAGACGCCAGTGCGGTTATACGTGTTCCGGGCGATTGCTGGTGTTGGAGGAGGTGGGATCAATAGTCTTGTCATGATCATCGTCAGTGACATTACGTCTCTTCAGAATCGCGGGTATTACCAAGGTGAGTAAATGCTGTACGCCATACTGAAGGCTGCTTAGTACATCCCTTAGCTAACAGGAGTTTGAAGGGATGCTGGGAGCTATTATTGCTCTTGCCAACGGTATAGGACCTTTTCTAGGTGGCGCTATTGTCCAATCTGCAACATGGCGATGGGTCTTTTGGATGATCCCCATCATCACTCTACCTACCACCGCTATCATATGGTTCTACCTCCCACTCAAACACCGATCCGGGGAGTACATGAACAAGATCAAGAAGATCGACTACGGGGGTATTATACTCAATATCGCCTCGACACTGTTGTTGCTGATCCCTATATCTGGAGGAGGCGTCACCTACGCTTGGACATCAGCATTCTTCATCGCCACGGTTATTATCAGTGTCTTTCTGGCTGTTCTCTTTGTCCTGTTTGAATGGAAGATTGCGAAACTTCCTATCATGCCTCTGCGATTGTACAAGGCTCCTCATTGCTGGGCACTCTATTTGCAGTCCTTCTTGACGGGACTGGCTTACTTTGGTAACTTTTTCTATCTGCCACTATACTTTCAGTCAGTGCTTGGATACAACGCCCTTGTTGCTGGTGCTCTTATCCTCGCTGTGGTCATCCCGACTTCATTTACTTCTATCTTATCGGGCCAGTACATGAGCCGTATCGGCAGCTATATGCATTGTATTCTCGCCGGTTTTGCTCTATGGACGCTTGGGAATGGCCTTACACTTTTGTTCAACCGGGATACCAAGCTTGGACCGCTCATTTGTATACTAATTGTGGAAGGTGCTGGTATCGGGTTTACTCTACAGCCCACATTGGTAGGTATGTATGCCAATGGTCGCAGCGAAGACCGAGCTGTAACTACGGGATTGAGAAACTTCATTCGAACTATTGGTGGAGCTTTCGGAGTAGTTATCTCTGGCGTCATACTCTCGAACACTCTGGAAAAGCAGCTTGACAATGAGGGCATTGTATCGGATGACACCATCGCTCAATTGACGTCATCGACTTATTCCTTGAGCAGCATGGGCCTGTCTCAAAATACCCAGGATCTCGTTCTTGCGGCCTATATGCAGGGACTGCATTATATCTTTGTCTTCTTTACTGTCTGCTCCGGGCTGAGTCTAGTCCTCACGTTCTGGGTAGGAAATACCAGTCTCAAAACGCCCCCGAAGCCGGAGGCTGGGATATCATCAACGGATGGCTCTGGAGTGGAGGATGAGACCGTGGGCCAGGCCGACCTCGAAAAGGGAACACCAAAGACGACTTGAATTAGCCTGTGGCAGATAAAAGTGTCAATGAAGATTATTCCGTCCACCTATCAAAGACATAAATAATACTGTATAGCTTTTTAAATCTAGATATTGGGAGACCGGTATTATACTCATCTGTGCGCCATGTGCTACTGGGGCTGGTGAAACGGGTCTAGTTCCGTGGCTGGGAAATGAGCTGAAAATGTTTGCAGGCTAACGAAGTGACTCATGAGCTCTGTCAACCGAAGTGCATAGCTTTGTACCACTCCTAGCAAGACATTTTTCCACTCTGATTGGATGACAAATACTACTTTTCTATACATTGACTAACTTGCTTCATCGAAATGCTTTATCATAAGAGTGATTGGCAATTACATGTTTATTACTGCATGTATCGCCGTATTATAACTACCTTTGTAGCCATCTCCACATTCGCTTATTGCATCGCGGGGGCGAGGAGTCATCAGCCTGTTCACAAAACAAAGAGCGTCGTCATTATTGAGTCTTATTACCTTCAGGTATTCTCAGTCCTGGCTGCGTTCTGCAACTGAGCGGGAATTATAACCCGATTCCAACCCACACCTTGTAATCCTGTGTCTGATCAGATAACCCTGGCAGTGAACTCGCGCTGTTCGCTACTCTAAGAGAGGAGTCACTTACTGTACATTGAGCACGCCATTGGACTCCTTACTCAATATAACTTACCAAGTTGCCCTCGAATAAATTCCAGTGGACTTATGTAACTACCCCCCTGCGGGCCACGGGCATGAATACGAATGCATGTTGCCGGTGGATGTAGAGTGATACTAGGTTGCGGGAGTAATTGTATACACGATGGTGTACCATGAAGTGAATTACCTTACACCCACCAGGATGTATAGGGCTCAACTACTACCGCCAATCCGCATAGGTTTTGTCCAGTTCTGGCTCAGATATAACACAGTGCTACAGCGATATGTCTTACCTTGATGACCAATTCCGAGTCGGGCTCCCAATCAAGGAGATACAACACACCATTCTCTTCACGCCTCCCAACTTTCTCCCTCTGGATGACGATCTTCGTGAAGCCATGTACAGGAGTGCACCAAAGATTAGCCGATCTCGAAACAATCTGTAATATGCCAAACGGGACTATTCAATCAAAATAGCCAGATAATTGATTTGGAAAACTGATTCCCAGGTAAATCCCGAGCTGAAACAAAATCGGAAGCGGGTCGCTGACGTTGTTTTCGTGGGAGACGCTCCCGATAGCTCGTCGCACGTGCGGTGCGCATACGGGGCCAAGACTGCCAGGTTCTTGGCCAAAGTCTCTGTGCGAGTCCAAACAAATAGGGCTTTCTTTTCTTACCATTCGCTTGTAGATGGCATTCCCGTTAATGACACCACCAATCTAGCCGGCAGACGTTGTCATAATGTAAAAGAGAAGAGCAGGGAAAGGGGAATCGCACCATTTATCAAAGGTCAGACCTCTACTCTCATAGAATGTCTTCCTACCATTTGGTCCTCCGAGATTGACTACGTGCAAGCTTTTGTATCGCCCTTAGCAAAATATCTTCACATCCTTATTGGACAATAAATACTACTTGCAACTTCATGTTTCTTAATGATCCCAGGATTATCATCCCTTAGTACTTATATTAATTTGCATACTCAATGTTAAACATATGCTCACGCTTTTTAGAGCCAACACGAATCTCCCACTTTGGTTCGCCCTGTAGTCCCATAGTAAGCTCAAGATCATCATGCTTTCTCCAGCCCTTTGATGGATCTCCTACTGATTTCCACTCGCTTATGGGCTTATCCCAGTCGCACTCAATACGACACAGACTCAGCACACCCGATTTTGGCCTTTTTGGTGCCGGTTCTTCGGCGCTGTATACAATGTTAAAAGAACACTTCGATGGAAAGTCTTTGGGGCGGTGCATTTTGCTGTAAGAGACGGGTATACGTGATTTCTTCCCGATTTTGTCACCCTAGAAAGTTGTGAGTAGGAGGTAGCCAAGTTTGATGCTGGGGCTGCTATTGGTACCTTGCGTAAGTACCACTCCATTCTCTCTGTTATCTTAGTTCCTTCTGGATCAATGAAAACCTTATCCTCTGGATCGAGCCTCAGATCTCTAATGTTCATTTGTGCCAGGACTCCATAGTGAAATCTCGATCGCCGAGAAGTCACATCTGGTAGTAAGTTGAGGGCTTTCTGCTGCGCTTCTGACTTGATGCTCTGTGATGATATGTTTTCATGTAGCAGTCTCATAACAGCGCCACGAGCGACAGCAGACCATCTTAGAACTTTTAGCTAACACAATTATCTTTGTTTTCAGGAGTCTGTCTTACCCATCGTCCGGCCTCAGGACCATATCGGGGAAAATGCCTGCCAACACATCGTAAACGTACGCGGAGCTTCCCAAGCCCCCAACGAGGAGTATTTTCTACATTTCTATAAGTTAGTCTATACGTCGCTGGGCTCTATTTGAGAAATACCCTTGGGTGCCTACCTTGGGTTGTCTTCCTGTCGCCTTTTCGACCTCCCTGCACTGTCTCCCCACAAGATTGCGAATACCAGTAAGGGACCTTTGAAAGAACCCCTCCATTTCGTCTCTGTTTAAACATATCAGCATGTACCCGGGTCGTATGGAAGAGGAATTGAGACGCACTGTGTGATTTTCAGGGTATCCTTGTGTCTAAGCCGATCAAAAGTGCCATAGGCTCTGCTTGGCGGGTGGAGGGAGTAGTGTTGTCTTCCATGAGTAAGGCTGAAGCTTCTCTTCGCGCCAAACTCCCACTCACGGAAAATGAACTGGTTGTATTCATTGTCTTTAAGTGAATTGACTCGAAGCTTAGCTTTGAAGCGCAGGTAAGAGTGAAACGCTTCATCGACATGAAAGGCGCCAGAGAGCTTTCCTGACGGACTATTAGAGAATGGGGAACCTAAGATGACAGTGACCAACCTGCTCCTGGAACACATTCATCTAGCTTAAAGGGGTGCTCAGATGTGACAGTGTAGCTGATAACATCCTGAATAATCGATTAGTTCAAATCAGGTGAGATCTTGGTGGAAGGGGTCGCTTTACCACTGTACCGCCGCCAGCATCGCAAACGACGAAGGACTCATTTCTCTGTAGTAATCATGTTAGTTTATATATCCCAACATGGGTGGATTTCACATACCTGTATCTCCGGCGATCCATTTCGCTGCAATAGGCATGCTAACGCCGCTGCTTCAGGCTCTTGCACGAGTGTCAGAGACGTCACTCCAATATCTCTATAGTCCATTATGCCAGCTAGCGTAGCAGCCTCTCTCATGGCGCTCTGAGCGTAGGCAGGCCAGATGGCTGGCACGGTGATAGCAACGCGGAGAGGAAGATTCTTTATGTCTAGTATTGACTCAAGAGTTTTATAGGTGTGATTCCAGACCTCTTTGAGATAGGAGCCGATAATCTGCACGGCTGTAGTGTTTGTTGAGTTGGATAGTATCATTTTAGCTTCCTGCAGCTGAGTTGCTGTGTGGACCTCCTCCTTGGCGATATCTTCATCATTCAGCAGCAGAAGTTTGAACCACTTGAGAGGCTTCATATCGGGTGTAATCTCATAGCCCCATTTGCCGGAAGGAATGTCGTATAGAGTTGGCACTTGAATTTCAGTGCGATTTCGATGGCATTCACATGGCCAACCTTTGATAAGGTTAACTTCCTCGGGATTAGTAGATCGAGCCCAACAAACACCCGAGTAACTTTTTGGCATAGTTAGCCAAGCGTGTTCAAGAGATGGCAAGTAGAATAAACTCATGCATGGCTCACTCACGTTGTCCCAAAGTCGATACCAACAGCGACGAACGTTGGTGGATAATCATAGTCATTTCTTTGGTAGGAAGGCATTGTGCATCGAAGGGAAGCAATGCGAAGGCCTGGTGACTGGTCTGCAAAGACACAAGAGATGAACTGAATTTCTTATCAAGCCAGAGGCTGAGTGAAGGAAATGGCGGGAAGAATATGAGAGCAACGGCCACCATTTTCACTATAAGTCGGCATCAGTCCATATAGTAGCTGAAATTAGGCCCTGCCAACGCATCTATCCATCAGAATGCCAGTGTCCTATTAGGGGGTTAAGCAGGCCACCTCCCCACCCACATAATGGAATTAGGCGCTGGGGCCTCTGCGCGGGTGGCCTAGTCTTGCAGTTAGCCCAAATATGCAGGCGGCCATCATGAGGGCGAAGTTGGGGGCGGGGAAGATCAGGCTCACTCACAGCCTGATTTCTTCATGCAATACATGAAGGACGGTTTTCTTTAAATTATCTCATGCCAGAGTGATGATACAAGCGCTTAATCTGGCAAAAGAAATTTCGACATGGCTGATAAAGAAATCATGGACGACAGAACTGACGGGGTGATTCTGGTCATGGGAGTCACCGGCGCTGGGAAAAGCTATTTCATAAATCAGCTCAAAAGCGATTCTGCCGTGGAGGGACATTCGATGTATTCAGGTACATATTTCCTCCTTTTTACCTCCAAAGCATTCCAAATTAACAATATTTATAGAAACGCGGAAATGTCAGGCTGTTCAGATCTTCCTTGATGATGAGGATAATGATGAGAAGCGCAGTATAACCGTTGTTGATACTCCCGGTTTCGATGATACTCTCCGCGGTGAGGCAGAGATCGTGGCCGAGATCACAGACTACCTCGCTGCTCAGCATCTTAGTGGGCTGCCCCTTCGGGGGATATTATATCTACACAAGATCACAGACAACAGAATAACCGCATCTTCACAGGAGCACCTCTTCCTCCTCAGAAAGATTATTGGAGACAGCGCCCTTACAAACGTTATATTGGTCACGACTATGTGGAACATTCTTCGCCTAGAGGATCGCCAGCGCGCTCTACAGCGTGAACAAGAGCTTATCGATGGCTTTTGGAGCCCTATGATAGACAGGGGATCCTACGTCGCACAGTTCAACGGCACACCGCAATCAGCGTATCCACTTATCCACCAGCTTGCAGATCGGCAGAGCGTAGTACTCGACATCCAGAGAGAGATCGTTGATCAGGATCGGTCGATTTTGGAAACAGCCGCAGGTGCGAGCCTGGCCCAGAAGCTGATGGATGACCACGAGGATTACCAGTTCAAGCTTTTCAACCTTCACGACCAATTGGATCTGAAACAGGGGCAGCTACCACTTGACAAACTGGAGATAAGAAGGCTGAAAAATGACATCAAGGCGGTCGAGAAGCTGCTGGAGGCTATAAATAGTTCAGTGGAGCGCATGGAAATTCGACCTGGTTCGTCAATGCGGCAGCGCCTAAAGCTGGCTATGAAAGGAAACGGTACCACTGCCATTGCAGCCCTGGGAATGGTTTTGAACATTGCATTCTTTACAATTCGGATGACTCTGGGGGGGGGTTAGTGTTGGCCAGATCGAGGCCGTACGCCTTGAACCCTGATTACCATACTTATTGTTATGGGACTGAATCCCACATACTCTGCATATTGCGGCTGAGTGTGTGGGCGGTTGCCTGAAAATATCATTACAACTCACTCTTCCCGGCGATCTATTGATAATCGACAGCAACAGTTTCATGCATACTGACATGCCAATGTGTAAATATTGGGTCGCGGCCGGGTGGCGGGAAGGGATAGTGTCGCGCCTACATTGGAAACCCCTGTTTTCAGCTAATCGGTTGGCTACAAGACACGTCTTGTGTTCTAGCGTGAACCCACCAGGACCGCCTCGTTCGAGGATGGGTCATAGCATTTTGTGGGAGGTGCAATATGCAACCTAAGGCCCAATCATAAGGATAGGATTCATTGAAACGCAAGTTAAGGCAGCTCGTGTATGCATGTCTCAGTCTATTGGGTAAAAAAGGAAACATCTATCCGCCCGTTCTCAAGTTGTAAACTAACTTCATCTTAAAAGGTTGCTACGGCTAAATAATCTAGGCTCACTACCTCTGGTAGTTACATATGGTATAGACGCTTATTACATAATACATCAAAGTGCCTGATATCGATACAGAACTACGGCTTCCAACACGTTATTCTTTTTAATGTCATTTACGTTATAATGTGTAACTTGTAGTATAGGAAGGAAAAAAGATAACGAAGAATAAAAAGGCCTTGCCAAATGCCCCCATTCTACGGTATATGTATGTATTAAAGTCGCCTAAAAGTAGCTTTAGTTTTATAAAAGAGGGGTACTGTAGCGACTGGGAGGGCTGTCCCGACTTTGTTGTTCTAACTTGCTTATCTTCCCAAGGTCTACTCGCAATAGCCAAACTCGATAGATTTGTATCTTCTTCACACCGGGGCTTTTTAAAGTAAACCCTTCCATAACATCTGACAGCGATAGCTTGTTACCCATGAGATCAACCGTGGGACATTCTCATGACGCTGAGAGAGTAACCACCAACCATCCACCTATGTCAAAGACAGGCCGACCTTCTGAGGGTCCTCATGGTCCTCCCTCAGAACGCCCCCACAGGAGTAGCTCCCTGGCGTCAAGAACTTCAGCTCGCTCTAATCGCCACCACGAAGATGGTTTGAACATAGGAAAAGGCTCCGGCAAGAACAGGACAACGAGATTTAGTATGTTCTCTCAGGCCTTTCAGCGCACCAGCAGCATCATTTTGCGCAAACCTATTACCAAGGAGCAGGCCTTTATTGTTAACCTTGGGAACCAACCACAGTCTTTCGGCAGGGAATCTCTTGATCCCATCAAGGACAAGCTGGAATCAAGTCACTACGATGGACCTCAATTGCCCAAGATCCTAGGCCTGCAACCAGACCAATCTGTCACAAAGCCCGCCATCACTCCAAACCCATTGCCTTGTGATAGAGAAGACCAGCAGACTGTCTACACGGCTATATTCAATTCTGACATGGACGTCATTGTTGAAAATCAGAGTCCTCTATTCGAGACCTCTAGCAAAGTCGCTCCTGTTTCCCAACCTCACCGAACTCCAGCCACAATAACGTCTGAAGTTGAGAGCAGGCTCGAATGGAAGAGCGAATGTGAAAGCCTTCGTGAAGAACAACGGAAAACCATCAGTGGCCTAGAGGACGAAAACGAGGCTCTACGCCAGGATATTACCTTGTGGAAGAACCGGGCCATCACTGCCGCCAGCAAGAATGTGAATGTTCCGATTCATATGCCGCTTAGTCTACCAGAGAGCGAACTCCTCAAAGCCTGGAAAAACCTTGCATTTGAGGTGAAGAACTTTGTCGTTGACCACTTTGAGAGAGTGAGCTCAAATAAGCGTGCGAGTTGGGTAAAGGAACATGGAGAATTCCTCCGAGAAATAACTCCAACCTATCAACAGGCTACGAAACGGGACCAGTCATTCCTTGCTATGATAGAGGCTGCCATCTGGTATTCTCTCTGCAGACTTGTGTTTGTGGGTTATAGGGACCATAGTCCTATGCGCTGGGCTGGTGACTATGAGAAAGCCTTGACAAGTTTCGGTGAGTTTTATGTTTGATAACAAGAGCTACCGCTAAACCACGTATAGTTGATGGACTTCATGGTGGGCACACAAAGGAGAATAATAAACAGTTCATCGCTCTCTTTGACCAATGGAGTGCTCTAACAGCTAATCTGATCGCAATAACTCAATCTCCTGATCATTGCGGTCGACAAGTCGATCTTGTAGTCAAGAAGCTTGAAGAGCTATTCGTATCCTGCCGCCCCAGAATTGCGAGGTCTGACATATATCGACGGGAGTTGCGAGAGCTCATTCATAAAGTTGTCGATATAGATTTCAGGATCTCTGGTCAGACCACTCGGTATCTCATTGACTGGCCCCATTCTCGACGATATGACGTAGCATTCGATGAGACTAAGATGCAGCAAGACCCTCGGAGTCCATCCTCTTCTAGGAAGGTGAGGTTCATGCTACAGCCTTGTCTGTTTCGAGCTGATAGACAAGGGGAGGGTTCTAATAATTTTGCGGTGATTGATCGATGCATGGTATGGATGGTGTAATATAATAGTGTAAAAGATTTATACCTATATCAATTAAGTTATTATGTAGAAAGCTATTTGATATGATAAGTACGCAGAACGCCTATATTGATGTAACACATAATAGCTCAGGAAATCTCGAGTGGGTAGTGTGAAACCGAGTATCTATTTGAAGGTTTATAGTACAGAGGCCTATCCAGACTTGGGCTAAAAGATTTAAATATTTTCATTATTATTATTCTAGGGTCTAACATTAAATTAAAGTTCAGTAATAAGTAATTCCAAATTGTAAGATTTCATTGTAAGAACTTTACGCTATTCAGCATAATCTTTTATTGCTATCATTTATAATCAAGTCTCTCTTTAATTTGTATAATATTATGTAGTATAATAAATCGTGGATATATAACCTACTATCTAACGTATTACACTACTTACACGGCTTTTAGAAGGCCACCATCACCAAGGAATTCATCCGAAAGTCAATCTCATTAGAATCCCAAAACCTCGTACCACTACAGTGACAGAAACTTCTGGAACGGCCACTACCACCGTGGCCCCTGCGGGTGTTTAGACAGCGATCGAGATTGTCACTGGTGAGAAGCCATTCGGACCCTTACGAGAGCATCAGACTGATCGGCATCCCATTCAGACGAGTAAAACGAGACAGAATCCGTGCATACCACGACCACAACTACCTCGACTTCATTTACACCCACCACCGTGTCTACCACCAGCACCGTCGCCGTCCCTACCGGTTTCACTCCCTTAAAAAGAAACTAGCTATTTAGCAAGAAAAGTATACAGGGTTATAAGGTATGCGGAGTGGTGGTAAGGAACCAAGTTTTGGTGAGAGATATTTTCCAGTGCGTGCTGCTTGGCCGGCATTATTACTTTCGCACTGTATCCACATAGCTTAGCTTAGACCTTCCTTGCATTCCCCGGACCAGATTTCCCCGCGCAACAGCATCTTTTTCCTGTTTTTAACCTCCCTGGTAATTGCACCCCTTCATTATCCATCTCCACTCTGCCTTCCCCAGCTTTTGCCATTCACCACGGTATTTCGGTCAGAAATGATTGGTCGTGGAGGGCAGTCTCTGCTCATTTGGGCCGTGCCATGGGGATAGTAGCAAATCGTCATTCTCCTGGCTATTCTTGGCTCAAGGGCGTATTGGGGCATGGATCAACAACTGAGCTACTCTAAAGGCGATAAATCGGAATCTTGGCTCTGTAGAGCGAAGAAAACCTGGATCAACCACTTGAGCCGTTAGGCAGTTTCGGAGCTATTTTTATTTATTACAAAGCCTATCTTCCGGCTACTCTCTAGCATATAAAGTCTGTTGTATCCCTTCAAAAGAGTTACAGATGCTTCTTTATTCCATTCAACCTCATTAATTCATTATAACCCTCTTGTTTCAACCTCTTGTCTACGTCACCAACTAACATGGCCGCTAAGGATAATGAGATCTTCCATGACGAAGATGACGGCACCATCGAAGACATCAACATCGTGCCCACGGCAGACCTCCCTACCAAACTCGCGGAGAACGTTGCCTATTGCCCCGGAGGCATTCGAGGAGTCATTCAGTCTCCCTTTGTCTTTGGCGCTGCCTTTTTAGCCTCTCTTGGCGGGTTCTCCTTTGGTTATGACCAGGGAGTTATTTCTATAATCAATGTCATGCCTCAATTTCATGATGTCTTTCCTAGGGCTGCGTCCGGCTTTGGAAAGGGTTTTATGACTGGCATGCTTGAGTTTGGTGCTTTCTTGGGCTGTTTCTTTATGCCCTGGATGGCTGATAAAATCTCTCGAAAGAGGGCTTTGGCTGTTGTTGTAGTTATTTTTAACATTGGTGCTATCCTCCAAACTGCCGCTGTCAACTATGAGATGCTTGTTCTCGGACGTACAATTGGCGGAATTGGAGTCGGTACTCTTGCATTGGTAAGTCTTTAACCTTTATACCATACTTAAATATTTTAGTCTAACATCTATCCAGGGTGCCCCTCTCTACATTTCCGAGATCTCGCCCCCTAATCTACGAGGTACTCTTCTAGTTCTCGAATCTATTTCTATTTGCGCTGGCGTCGTTGTGTCTTTTTATATCACATATGGAACTCGTCATTTAGATGGCGAAATCGCATTCCGTCTACCCCTGGGTCTCCAGATGGTTTCTGCTACAATCGTCGGAGTCGGTATTCTCTTCTTCCCTTACTCACCCCGATGGCTTGCTCTTGTTGGCCGCACCGACGACGCTCTCAGCAACCTCTCTCGCATGCGTCGCCTTCCTCCTGATGATTCTCGCGTCCGCACCGAGTACCAGGGCATCATCGCTGAGGCTCAGTTTCAAAAGACTGTTCTTGAGCGCCGTCACCCTGGAAAGCACGGAATTAAGCTCGAAATCCTTACCTGGCTAGACCTCTTCAGCCCTAAGACATGGAGACGAACTGCTGTTGGTTGCGGCATACTTTTCTTCCAGCAGTTCAGTGGAATCAACGCTTTCATCTACTATGCCCCGACCCTTTTCAAGTCACTTGGCCAGTCTGAGGAGATGTCTCTTACCATGTCTGGAATTTTTAATGTTCTTCAGTTGGTAGCCGTCGGTATCTGTTTCTTTATTATCGATCGTGTAGGACGCCGTCCTCTGGCTATCTTTGGTGGTGTTGGAGGCGCTGTCTCTTGGGGTATTATGGCTATTCTTGTTGGGATCTTCTCTCATGACTGGAAGGCCAATGCAGACGCTGGTTGGGCTTGTGTTGCCATGGCGTTTGTCTTTATCCTCTGCTACGGAGTTTCGTACTCCCCCCTTGGTTGGTGTCTACCCTCTGAGGTCTTCCCTAGTGCTACCCGATCTAAGGGTGTCGCTTTGTCGACTGCAACCTGCTGGATTTGTAATTTTATTGTTGGTAAGTTTTATATTTAATCTTGAGTTGAAAAGTGAATTTTTAACGATCTATCTAGGCGTCATCACTCCTCCTATGCTTGAGTCGATCGGTTTTGGTATATATGTCTTCTATGGATCTTGGTGCGCTATCGCAGCTATCTGGGCCTACTTCCTCGTCCCTGAGACCAAGGGCAGGTCCCTTGAGGAGATGGATCAAGTATTCGGTGACAACAGTGGTCAAGAAGAGAAGGAAATCATGAAGGCTACTGCTGCACAGGCTAGGAGTGCAGGTATTCCTGTCCACAACGTTTAACCTAGATTCCCTTTGTACTTAAACAGCGAAATGCTATTTATCATCTAGAACATCATTTTTCTTTTTATCATGCTAGCGTCTGGTGTGTAAATGAATCGCTTCTCGTGACACGAAGGTCCTGGGAACCTAGCATCAAGTCATGAATACTGGGTCTGCAAAGGACGCGAAGAATCGCCTGAACAATCAGTTAGGAAATTCTCTCGGTCAATATCTCCCTCCTACCCCATAAACCGCAGGTGGGTACGCGCCAAGAGGTGTCCGTCCAAACCCCTGTCCTTGATTCTTAGCGAGTTTACTTATTGTGGAAAATTTCGGCGATGGCTGTAACTCTTCAACTTAGAAAACTGCAGGTGGGGTTAAGGTTGCATTGGCCAAGATTGCTCTGTTGGGAAATGCGCGGCGACCTACATATTACTGGCGATCCCGCGCTCTGGCGAAGCCAACCGCTTATAGCAAAGCGGATCGGCACATTTTCCCATGACGTTCCTCTGGTTGGCGGGTGCATGACTCAGCTGCCTTCAGCCTGACCTCATCCCGGTATTTCACCTTCATGCTACATCCCCCGGATTCCTCGGAGAGGCTCATTGACAATAACGTCATGCGCTCAGATACCCCAAGGAATTTAATCTGGCGCGTGTAGGGGTGAAGATGGTTCTCCGCACTTATCCATCTTCACTTTCCACAGATTAGTTCCAAGCCAATCAATGTCGGCTTGGCCTTGGTCAAGTCAAGAGCAAAGTAGCTTAAATAAGATTCTTAACCTGGATCCCTGCTTTGTGGCATCTACAATGCATATATTACCTCATCTTTGTCCGGAGTGGTATCCGATGATTAATCGCACAGATCGCCGTCTCGATTTCATATGCTCAGAGCATCCAATCGTGATCATTTTAGCTAGATGGATACTCGGAGAGTTTCTAACAGTAACCAAATTTTGACTAAGAGCTACTACACCCTGCTGTTTCCAAAGCTATGAAATATTACATGTCGCTAAATGACAACCTGTGATGGACTTGAAGTAACTCCATAGAGGTTCCATTATTAGAGACCATACATAGACTAGAATTACATTTCTAACTAGATGTTATGGCACGAGAGACAGTATACATATCATACGGTATTATAATTTATAGTATATAGTATATAGTATTATTATATTAATACTAGAGTATATGTTTTCTTTTCTTTTTAATTATTATTACAGTAATTAAGCTTAGCTTTATTAAAGGACTATTAAATAAACCTTTTATTACTTATTACATTAATTATTACTTTCTAAAGTGGACTTATAAACATGTATTTTAATTTTAATTCTAATATCTACTACAATACTGTTTCTTTACACTATATCTACTAAGTCGCCTCAATATAAATTCTCTTAATGTAATAAGTAGAAGTCTCTCTCCAGGTTAACTACAATATGCTGTATAAGGGTCATAAAGTCAAGCTAAAGCAAACGCAGCCAACAGGCCGAAAAATACTACAATGGCAAAATCTATATACCTAGAGCGTATTTTCCAGTTACTGTTAACTATTTCATCAACTCTACGCCATTCCCAATTCTTGATGGCTTGATACTCTAGTAGCAAGTCAGGCTTGACTGGATCGGGCAGTATATCTGTCAAATCGAACAACAGCTTAAAGCCCAATTTGACAAGTCGCTCAATAACGGGGTTCGGATGACCTATGTGCTGCTGTTCACGCACTTTGGGCGTAAACACTGTCAAAAGGATTTGGCGGCCAATCCAATGAAGTTGTCTGTTATCCTGTTAACATATGCGCAGTCAACAAACCCGTCCTCTTACCTCGGAAACCAGCAGGTACTAAACTCTTCGACAAATTCCGACGCAAGCTTCCGTCCTTTTGCTTGGTCTTCTTCGTTGGTCCACTGATCGAAAGGGAGCTTTTGGAACCACTGGAAGAAACCCTCCAGCTCTTCCCAATTTCGGGGAGAGTTGACGGCAAAGCCTCGAGACCCATCCGAAGGCTCGGTCTTGAAATGAGCCAGTACGCGCTCTGTCCAAGCAGGCCATGCAGCCGCCAAGTGTGGATGAGGCTCCTGATTTCGGGCTCCACAGAGTTTTCTTAGACATGTTTCGAAATAGGCAGACCCAATCACCGACATTTGACCCTCCCAAGGGGCGCTAAATGTTCCAGGCAAGTTTCTCCATACCCTGGCGTGAAGTTTGTTGACGACTTCAATGCTATTCTTCGTTTCTTCTGATCCACTGCCAAACCACATCCAATCCAGGAAACGGTTCTGGGTCTCGTAGAAACGGCGATGAGGTACGCGCCAGGATTTTCCGGTCGAGTGTATAGCGGCAGCAGCAGCTGGTGTCTGGGTCAGATGGATGAATGTTGCGCAGTATCCAATCGCGACGGCAAAGCTCGTTCCGGTGAAAAAGTTTGCTGTCCTAATGAGCTGATCATATTCCGTCTCAGGGTCCAGCTATTTACAGAATAAGTAGTAAGTATAAGATCAGATGTCTATTCCTGCGAAAGAAACTTACTTGATCGAAATACTTTGAGATCCATTTCCCTTTTCGGTCAGACTCAGGCGGCCATTCTGGGAGGGGACGTTTAGGTGCTGTCGGTGGCCGTGGCTGTCTTGCATTCTCTCCCAATTGGTCGACATTATCAGTTCCTGGCGGTAGGTATTTGGAAAGATCCATCTTGTAGTATGTCGGATCTCTCGCTTGTGAATTCTCAAGGGCCGACATTATGGATTGTTAACAAAGTGGGTTTTGGCTTAATAAATTGATTTTGAAACCCTTATAATGTGTGCTTTTAAGGTTGGAATTCTTAATTCTTAATTCTCAGTCTTGTCCAAGCTTTTATATCTACTGCGATGTGCTTCCGTGATGTATATCGGTAGCGCTCTCGGCATTTAATAACATCCGGACTCAGTAGCATGGCATTTCTCGCCGCTTCGTAAGGATACTCAATTGTTAATCCTAAACCCTGATTGGCGGCTACTAATAAGCCTTGGATGGGGGTGGGATAGGTTACTAATATGTGTCTTGGTTGATAATTCATTTGTTCTGTATCCCGTCTTGAATTGTTAAGGCAATCATCCTTATACTATTCCTACCGAAGACGTCATCTACTTGAGTGACTTTCCTTTTATCCATTTGACCTTCGATTAGTGAAAATGCCATTTGTCTTGTTATATATTATATCTGGCTTGTTAAGGTATATATGGAAACTGGATTTAGTTAAAACCTAGATGTTCAGGCCTTTTGTATCTTTTTAGTATATTTATTAGGATTCAGTCCAGTACCATCATTTAGAAATAAGTCTTGCTATCTTATTGAAGCCTGTAGGAGTATTGTAAACAAATTGCATATTCACTAAACCTTTTCTTTTTTTCGCCTCTTAATTACATATCACTTTCAATTAACTAGCTCTATAATACTTAAATACCATGTATCAAGTCTAGTAATTCCAAGACAGTACTTAAAAGCCCCATTGCATTACCCTTACCATTTAATTCTATTCTTTAAGATTGGATACTTGGCAGTGGGTCATTAGAAAAGACCTTTACGGTACTCTTAGGTTTCCAGGATATTATGTAGTAAGATAGATAACGGATCTATAACTTACTACCCAATACGGATATATAATACTACTTGCATGGTCCACTCAAGCTTTATCAACATGTTCAACCCTGGGATCAATATCTTCCTTCGCGACACGCACGGCATCGACGCGAGATAGCCGAGAGGGTACAAAAGGGGCTCGTACGTTATCCTGCGAAAAGAGTTCATCCATGTCCTCCAGAGCAAGTCCTGAATAGCTCCGTTAGTGAAAATCCCAGGAAAGCGGGATATGTAGCTGTGACTAAATGAGTTACCTTTGGTTTCTGGGACAAAGACCCAAGCAAACACAACCATAGCAAAGCAAAATGAACCATATATGAAGTAAGTACCAAACCCGCCACGGCCAAGTGTGGCAAACATGCTTGGCGTACTTTTGGCGACAACAAAGTTGAACAACCATTGACTAGCGGTCGCCATACCCATCTGGAGTGCGCGCATGCGGGCAGCAGGGATTTCCTAGAAGGCAGTCAGCAACAAGATGGTGGTTTCCTAAATCAATTAACTTACGGAACAGTATGTCCAGACCACAGGGCCCCAGCCAAACTGATAGACTGCCGCAAAGATGTAAATGGCCACGATAGCGACATAACCAGCAGGCCCAACGGGTGAATCTGTACCGGGAGGATCAAATCGGACATAAAGCCCGACGTAAAACAAAGCCAGTCCCTGCACAATTGCAGTCCATAGAAGACTCTTTCGTCGGCCCAGCGAGTCGGTCACGAAGAAGATGAAGATAGCACAGGACACCATCTTAACAATACCATAAATGCCTGTGGCGAACAATCCAGCTGAAGAGGACGACAACCCTACAGATTTGAAAATTGTAGGCGAGTAGTAAGTCATTGCATTGGTACCCGTGAGGTTACTCCACATCATAAGAGTGATGCAGAGAAACGTTCGTCGCCGATATGATTTGACAGTGAAAGCTTCTTGGACTAGAGTCCAACCTGAGCTGTTAGCTGCCAAAGATCGCTCTTCCTCGAGCTGAAGAGAGATGTTCTCCATCTCTTCAACTACATAAAGGTGGTCTTGGGGCAGTCCCCTTAACTTGGCAAGGACTAAGAGAGCCTTATTTGGGTTCTTCTGGGCCAGGAATCGGGGTGACTCGTTAGCGAACATCATGCCGAAGAAAAGGATGACGGCTGGAAGGGCCTGTAAGGCAAGTGGGATGATGTGTTGTGCATGCCCTTTGACGTGAAGAAGACAGCCGTAATTGATCCAAAAGGCGAGCTTACAAGCTGTTAGCAAGGTTCAACGCAAACTTCTAGGCAAAATTCACAGTCAATCCAGTGACAATGGAGAGTTGATAGAAGCCAGTAAGAAGACCTCGGATACCTCGCGGAGCATTCTCGGACACGTAGAGTGGGTTGACAGTGGAAGAGATGCCAACGGTGATGCCGGCGATAAATCTGTGACATGTGAGTTCTGTATTGTTGCAATCCGAGGGGAGAATCATGGTTTACCTCCCAATATACATAAGCGAAAGATGGCCACTGGCAGCAGCTTGCATGGCGATACCAACGAATACCAGAAGAGACGCAGCCATCAGAGAGAGTCGTCGACCGATAAAGTTAGCCAGCCACATGGAAACGATACATCCAAGAAATGCGCCAGCTTGAATGGTTGAAACGATATTCGAGGAAAGGTTGGCAATTTCGGCCGCAGGTTTGTCGGTCAGACCGTATTGCCTGTGTTATGCGTTAGTTCATTCACGGCTAGAGATTCAGATGGCGCTACTCACTCTTGGAAAGTAGGCATAGTCAGGACACCCCCCATAACGCCCATATCCATCTGAAATGATTAGCTTAGACTGATGAGGAGTATGACCGTCGAGAGTAGCTTCTTACGCCGAACAGAAGTGCACCGCCGCATGCCTATCATGAACAGTCAGCAACTCAACTTCACGAGACTCAATGGCGGTGGCCGACTTACAAGCAGACTAACCACTACAGTCCTCACATTGTAAATCTCTGGAGGGTCATTCTTGGTTGCATCATTGCGAACAAACTTTTGGAAAAACATGATGAAATGAGATAGCGAGTTGAATCGGAGTGCTCAAAGTGCTGATCATGACTATACTTTACGACGAGATCGTTGTCTTTTAACTTTCTCAACGCCAACCCCAAGCCCAGCCACGAGCCAGTCTTAGAGGCCGAAACTGTCTCGAGTCGAGACGGCAATAGACGGCGGAAAACAAGTCAACCCCGCAAACGCCTCTTTGAGATAGCGCCATATATCGAAACCTTATGCCAGGCCTGGATCAGCAAACCCGCAATTTTCTTCTTCCCCCGCATTATTCAGATCGCCCTCGCTCCGGGGAAGCTGGTCACTAATTACATGTGAGCACTGGGGAAGGGCGGTTGTAGACGGAGTATGACGTGTATGAGCTGCATAATTCCTCGCATTGTCATGACGTTCCCATCGCCCAGTTATTGGTTAGCATTTGGAGCTTCTTTTCCCACTAACTTTGGTCAAATTAAAAGAGACAGACACAAAATCATCCGCCTTAGCAAGAACCCAATCTTTCATGTAAATTGTTGCCGCCTTGGCCCTACACTTGTATCTTTAGATGGCACGGCGCTCAAGACTTTAGGAATAATGTGACGAGGGAAACTTGGCAGCCAATGCAAGCACGTGTTTGAAGAACGTTGATTTTATCAACTGGTCAAAGATTTCTACCCAAATAAGAAAATTCAAAGCGATATTTGTAACCAAGTAGAATTAAATTATCAATACATACAGATATGAAACCCTGGACAAAAAGACCTAAAGTCTTGTTACTACAATTCTTTTAAAGATTTATTACTGTTATTCATTGCTATAGAAATCTTTCCCTCAACGCTCAAATCATCACAAGCCATCTAAAGGCCTGTAGACCTTCATCCATCGCTTGAACATGTTAGCACATTATACGCATTGTCAATTGGCTTTCAACAACTTACAGTGTCATAGGGCATCTCCGGGTCAACAAATCTCACGTCCGTTGCAAGACGAATCTTGTTGTTGGGGTCTCGATTCTTACAACTGGCATGAACCATGTAAGGGTTGTGGAAAATCACATCGCCAGCCTCATACTCAGCAATGAGCCATTTTCTTCTTGCCTCCTTGCCATAAGCAACTGTATCTCTGCTTAAAAAGCCACCGTCATTCATATTCTTGTTGAATGCGCTAACTCGCTCCTCATCTGTCAGGTTGTGTGCGTTCGCAGCAAAGTCGTCTTCGGTCTTCTTTCCGATGTCAGTTGAGCCTTGCAGATACATCAGACCGCCTCCTTCGAGGGAGACGTCACCGATGGGAATCCAGGCTGTGAGACTTGTGGGAGGACCTGCTCGAAGATACATTTGGTCAAAGTGAACGGGTGTCAGCTCGCTGTTGGGGACAAAAGCACGGAGCATTGTGCGTTGCAACATATGAGGGCTCTTCCAGCCGGTGAACCTGCGGACAAAGTCACGGAGCTGCTCGTTCTTGCAGAACTCGACGTAGAATTCAGCCTCGTGGGCTGAGACCATAAGCTCAAGATATCGATCACTCTGGGGATCTCCTTTGAGACCGAAGAGGCGGCGCAGGTTACCCGGAGGGAGATATTTACGTGGGTCGACTCCGGAGTAGATACCATCAACAGGGTCACTTCCTTCTTGAAGAAGGCCACTCGGGGCCATATGCGTGAAGTAGTCGCGGCGACAGGCAAGGGAGGTTTCTTTGTCAATGCAACCTTTGACCTGCAAATAGGTAAGTGAGTGATGCGTTTTGACATGGTTTTAGGCTTGATTTGTTTACATACAAAGAGGTAGCCATCCTTTTCGAATCGCTCATGCATTACCTCCAATGGCGTATCCATGGTTGTTGGCTGGAGGTATCCAATTGCATCAGGTTCCATGGGACCATAGTTGGATTCGAGATTCAGAGTGGTTGGATCAGCGGGATGGTAGTGGCCATAGGGATCTAGCGAGGCTGCATTTGATATCTTCAGCTTGTGAATTGAAGAAGTTGTAGAGGTCTCTGTAGGCAGAGAGTCGATACGACTGGGAGCCATTGTGGCGCTTGATGAGTCGAGAGATCGATTGGAATGGTAGCTAAAACAAGTACTGCTAAGACAAACTAAGAGGCTATTGAACCTTTTGAAGCGTTACTCGCTGATCAATTGATGAGTAGGAGTGGTAATCTTATATTTAACAGAAGGCAAACTAAACCATCAATTTGTGTCCTCGCCAGACCCCGCTCGAGTACCATCCATGTAACCAATCGCAAGATACATAATTGCGTTTTTAACACAGTTCGAACTGAACCATCGAATCGAAGCTTCGGATGCTCATCCTCACGGGCAAGATGACTTCATGCCAAGAATAGTCCGTCTATAGCCGTCTATAGCCTAGCTCCATCTGACGGCAGCAGACGGTTATAGAAACCCCAGGTTTCCCCGCCATGTCAGAAATCCTGGGGCAACGCAACCTTTGTTGCAGCGGAGTATCCGTAAACCGAATCCACTTCTTTTCTCAATTGATCCCGGTCGACTCAAGTCTTAGTCGACTCATTCACCATTCTCACGGCCCTAGACAACTGGTCACGAGACTCGACTGGTCATGACCAAAGGTTTAGGCATAAGGCAGTACCGATCATGCGTCAGATGTCGCTCGCGAAAGACGCGTTGTGATCTGTAAGCTACCTCATATCGTCTTGTGCAAAGTGCCATCTCGGGCAGCTAAAATCCGACCACTTACAGAGGCTCCGAGGGTGACCCTGGCAAACCTCCCTGTGTAAAATGCTTTCGAGAGGGTGCCGAGTGTGTTCTCGCAGATTCCCACAGAGGGGGTGACTATTCACGTTATAGACGTCCACGACGGACCACCCATAGTAGACAACCAGTAGCAGCACTTTCAATATCTTCGAGCGACCATATATCCCCACGACAGAACAACACCAGTAAGACCACAGAAGATGGAGTTCACGACAAGTTACAGAATCCTAGTGACGCTTTACTGGTGCTTGCACATGCTGCCGGCCAGCCTGACGATGGAGTCGGCTCAGATAATAATCAACATCCGCCTGATGGATACGAGGGCCTCACGCATGTGACAGAGGTATCACCACTAGCCTTGTCAATGCAAACACCTCAACTTAGCGGTTCACTGCCGCAACCAGTCAGCGAAGCAACATTCGATGATTACCCTTTAATCAGTGATGGGTCTTTTGATGCGGTCCTCCTTATAGAGTTATTGAGATAGTAAGTCAAAACTCCCTCGAGCCCAAAATAACTAAAGGTCTACCAGTACACCAATCTCAGACTAGGATTGGGAGGATTTAGTGGCCAGCACGATGCTAACAAGACCACAAAGTTATGCGGATAATTACCACCACTTCTTCCCTCTAGTCCCAGCAAACGTTTTGAGACCAGAGCACATCCTCGACACAATAAGAAATGAATCATTTCTTCTAACCGCCATCCTCATCGTTTCCTCGAGAGATCGCAAAGATCTTACCGAAACCCACCATTCCATCTGGGAGTACATGAAAAGCCTTATCCTAAAAGTAGTTCTAGGAAAGAAATGTGTCCGCAAAGTCGGGTCTGTCGAAGGATTACTACTCCTAGGCGAATGGAGTCTGCACAATCGAGATCAAGTCGATGATGGTGATGAAGCTTCTGCCTGGTCAATCATTGGTCTAGCCGTAAGACTCGCATATTTACTACGCTTAGAGGATAGTGGCTTCAAGACTGACGATGCTGAGCTTCAATCCGTCCATAGAGAGAGACTTGTTTGGACCTGTAAGCCAATCCTTCTTTTGCTGAGATGGACGAGATTAGAGTCAAGCTCACGCTTACCTTGTTAGTCACATATCTGTCAGACCGTCAGATATCTATCCGAATGGGACAAGCCTTCTGGTGCAGAGGTCCCGCTCTCTCGGCACGCTTCACTGCTCGAGACTTCCCAGCCTTGCAGCCTACACGTTCTCACGATGAAGACTTTGCTTCGTTCATCCAAGCACAAGTCGAATTGACAACCCTCTTTGGCAACGCACACGACATCCTTTTTGCGTCGAGGTCTAGGACTGCTGAGCTTATGATGCGAGGTGACTACACAAAATACGTTGATGATACGATGAAGGCCATGTATGCGTGGCAGCATACCTGGACATCCCTCTCTGTCTCACCCCATCTAAAAAGTTGCTTGAGCCTCATGCAAGAATATCTGCGTTTATATGTAAATGCCTTTGCCTTTCAAGCTGTCATCTATCGCGCTTCTGTCAAGGACTCCAACTCTGAGCCTCCGGATGGATCGCGATCGAGGGGTTCCAAGATGTTTCCTGACTCTGCAATGGCCAGCCCTGATGCGCGACACATATACGAAGCCGCAGACGCTGCCGAGGCCTTGATCAGAATCGTAACTGATGATATTCATCCTGAAAAGTATTTACGTTATATGCCAGCTCGCTTTTACCTGTAAGTAAGCTCAATACGTAACGGTTAAGTGCTAAGTACGACAGTTACGAAATTCACTCTTCTGTCTTCTTATACAAAGCTCATGCCTGCGGCGCCATTTCCTCCGGGAATCACACCCACATAACATCTCTTATGGAACGCTTCATCTCAGTTTTGAAAGTTGCTGCTGTCGATGACAACCATATCGCAGCCGCATATGCCAAGCTTTTAGACAGACTGTGGTTCAGACGAACGCACGGCTTGTCAATGAGCAATGACATTACGAACAACAATACCGAGTTGGGCCTAGGAGACCAGGAGGTAACAAATTCGCCATCGAAGCTACCGATAGATACCAACATGTCGCAAATGTCGTTTTTTGACGATTTTGGCTTTCAACCGCTTGAGTACACCGATGTTATGGATGGGCTTTTCTCAATTCCATTCGTTACCTCATGGGATCCTACAACGTTTCCAAATATCATAGCTTGAGAAGCTCTTTATTCCTGTTAAGAGTTACTATGAAAGCATTGGTATCTAATAAATAAGAAAACACAAGAAATGTAAAGAACCTAGAAACCCTGAAGAGAATAAAACATTATAAACTAAAATGTCATTATTAAGATTATAATAGTATTAATAGTACACATACAAGTTATTTACCTAGGTAGATTACCTCACTATAAACTTAATAGACACTATAAATTCCTATTTAAACTACTTCCTAACTAACGTATCAAACGCCATAAAACCAGTGCCCTCACGGCATCCTACATACTCGGCGAATATGTCTGGGCCTCTCATAATTGAGGTCTCTTCCCAGAGGTTAATCTGACCTACACCATTACCCATCTCTCCTCCCGGCCCATAAACCTCCATCCATCGCTTGCGAAGCTTAACATGACCTCTGTGAACTCTACCAACCCGCTCAAACTTACTCATATCCTGCCAGTAGAACATCTCAATCTTCCTATTATGGTTCAAGTTGATTGGGGTTCCATTATTGAACGTTCCAAAGTCCGAGACATAGCCCATTCGTACATCGAAAAGTCCGTTAGCAGTGGTATCCTTTGCTAGATGGTCCATCCATCCAGTAACTAGGTCGTCGAACTCCTCAAACCACAGCGCTTTCTCTCGACTCGACATACCCGAGTGGTCTTGGCCCTCGACCAGAAAACATATGTTCTCCGGTAGGTCGGTGACGATCGTCCTACCAGGACGGATGCTTCTTGTTTCTGGTACCCGTGGAGGCATTTCCTCTAATGATGAGGCCAACTTATCACCCAAACTCACGTCCGGTATACGGTGACGAACGCACCCCCAATATCCAATCTTGTCACCAAATGGCTCCATCTCTCCAAGGCCATTCATGCCATTCTTTAACTCAGCAGTGCACGCATTCTGTACCCGACTGGCTGTGACGGTAAGAATTTCTCGCCACATGCCTGCGTCTTCTGGGAGTCCGTCCCAGAACTCTTTCACGGCAGGTGTTGACCACCATGTTGCATGGGACTCTGGCCACCAATATGAGAGCCAGATCTGGGTGCTCATCTCATCAGTACCTGGAACAGTGATGCGATCGAGGTGGGCCTGTCCAGCGATAAGGTTGTCGAACTTTTGAACAAGATCCAGTTGCCGGCCGCTTAGGCTTTGACCCTGATATTGAATGCCATAAATCCCATAGACGAATTTATCTCCGGGTTGGAACTTGGCTTTGTAAAACATGTTGAGGAGATTGACAATGAATGGAATTATATGTGTGCTAAACGATTTCTCGGACAATGAACTTTCCTAATGCAGAAATTCCAACATTTGTTTTGAGGAGACACCGGCATTTACTTATAGTCACAGTGTAGCATTATCCCTCTTCAGCTGCCCTTCCCCGTGCTTTGTGCCACACAACTCCATGGTAAAGATCTCATTCCGGCATGGATTCTTCCATTGATCTAAACCAGCTAATCGAGGAAGCTAAAATCCATTCCGAGTAACAGATCAACAAGGCAACGAATCGAAGCATCAACCTAAGCATTCCGCTATCCTTAAACCATAGCTAATCAGTGGGGCATTAAAGTTATGAGCAATTTCAATATCCTACTGGAGGCCCTGTATCCGTATTGCTTGTGGAACGATTAAGCTCTAATATATCAGGTTGAAAAGCTTGTTTTCAGACTAAACTGCCTTTAGTTGTACTAAATCCTCGGCTTTAATCTTAATTGGCCAGGCACTTTCGGAATGAGATAAGGACTCCAATATTGTGGTTGATTCCGATATCAATGCCGGGGACAGATTGCGGGGTAAACAGCAGTTTGATTCCGATATCTCTCTCAGGTGACAGATTCTGGGGTGATTTGTAATTGATAGCTTATCGTAGGTTGATGAAGAAAGGGGTAAAAGTTCGCTATAAACAAATCCTCAACCGGTTAAAATCTTATTCATTCTACAAATAAAAATAGATAACAAGTCCTCTGAGTTGTATAAGCCATTGAGGACAGGGGAAGAGGGTCTTCTCTCGGCGGATGTTAGCCTTTCATTCATGGCCATGATGCAATAGAATCTCGATTCTGTGGGATATTACTCGCTACCTGATGCGTTGAGTATTTAAGTGACAACTGAGGCTGCCATTCCAATTCGGTTTAAGGGATGATAGCCTACAGGTGTGACTATAGGAGTGAAGGGTGGAATAGTAACTAGCCATGTATACTAGAGAATAGCATTAAATGGTTGATTCTGAAATGTGTTTGGTGCGACTACTTAATTAGGTTCGCTAGAAGAATGAAAAATCTTCGCAACTACCAAGAATTTGACTCAGATTAGTGAACAATGACGGGTCAGTGTCTGCCCATGTGGCATCCACAGTATCTAGGTCAAAAAGACCAATTGGGATATTCGCCGTTCCAGTGCCATTCGGTAAGGCTGGATCCCCTATAGAGTTCGTCATATGTCCTGCAAGAGGGTTCGCGTCCTCCTCCAAGAAGCTAAAGTCTTGGTCCGCTCTTGGTGTCACTGTACTCGGCACTGGCTGAAGGCTATCCCCAGCGACGGTCGAGTCGTGTTTCTCAGTCATGTCATCCGTGCATCTTTTAGACCTCAGATCGTCAGTAGCTTTCCGTATGCTTTTTAGTTTATCCTTCAGCCTCCTCGTGATCAAAGATTCTCTCGCCAAGCGGTGGATTAACTGTGTTGCTATAACCACATCTTCAAGACAAGACTTGCTCTGATTGGGACTTGCATAGCAAGAAACAAGAAGTAGGGAAGACAAAGCAGTCTCTAGAAAATGGTTAAACGTCTTGTGTTGAGCATGATATATGTCGGTCTCCCTCGCTAGTCCAGCTAACACTTGTATTGAGTCTCGAGCAACCCTGATCATGATTTCGAAGTTCGTGGTGTCGATATTATTAGATCCGAAGCGACTGGCGGCCTTACGGAGAATAATTGTCTGCATTTGATTTGCTCGCAAGTAAAGCATCAATCGAAGCTTGTAGTCTCCACGCTTCTCGACTGTCGCATTCAACTTGTCGTGGATGCTGTTAAATCTTAGTCGGTGTGGCAGGTTTTGCTGCCATTGATTCACTCGAAACTGCAGATAATCCTGAGTCAGGCCAGCATCATGGATGCTAGATGACAAGGTGCCGAGAAAATAACTTCGCACATCTGACGCAATGCGGCAAAACGAAACCATCTCTTTTAGGTAGGCTAATGAAAGGCTACTGTCGTCCTGCAAAATTAATTAGGTTATGCTTCAAGCCTTGGTACTGTTACTCATACCGTTGCTAGTGGTTGTCGAATGATTTCAGAGTCCTGGAGTGCGAACGGTAGGCCAGTGCCGAAGCTCCATCTTCGATCCAGGGTGTAAAGGGACCAGAAAAAAGTATCTGGAAGGCTTTTGGCGGAGACTTCTTCTTCTTGACAGCTTTGTTCGTGCACAAGCCTTAAGACGCTGCCTATTATTCTCCAGGCCTCCTTCTCGCGGTCGTTGAGAAAGAAAAATATACACTGTGATATAACGCGGGATCAATAAGAGAACAATAGAGCGGGATACCCTGACTTACGACCAAAATCAGTAACGTTAAGTCGCTCAGGCTAGGGGGCCCTAGGTATATCTTGGGGATGGTCGAAGTAAAAGCCTTCTCCACAAGAGGGTTCGTTATTTCCACAGCCTTGGAGCCTTCGAAACTTGAAACAATGGCCAGTACCAGGAAAGCAATAATTTCGATCTGCTCACCACAAAGGCTACTAGAAGGGGGATCCTCTAAAAAGATACCTCTTTTCCTCTGAAGCAATTCATGACTCAACCGGTCGATATCAAGAAATGGATACATCATGCCGACCTCCTCATCGTAGATTCGGAGAACTCGGACCCAAAAATTTTCATCGAGCGATTCTAGTACTCCCCGTGGAGAAATATTACCTTGGACGAAGAGTACGTGTAGTTTTCTAGAGACAGGGCCATCAGAACTGTGGTTTGTGCTGGGGGTGTCGCTTTGCTGGCTTGCTTGAGATAGCTGATGCTCAGTGAAGCGTATGAAATCATCGAAATTGCCAGATGTTAATACCGAACCAAGAGGTTCTAAGGGCCAGTTCAGTGACGATTCCCCTAAGCTTCCTGATTGGTCCTCCGTGTTTTCTTGCTCTGTCTGAATAGCCCTTGACTCTTGGGTTGATTCTTGGGAAATTACCCTCGCCCTGATTACAGTGGGTAAGCTTAGTAGCCTTCAAGCAAGCGAAACTTTACCTACGAGAAAGAGCGGGAAGATCGGTAACGTGTCGCACGTGGATAGTGACAATTCGTGGAGGCATTCCGGCACCCTTTACATGGCTGCTCACCACTGCATCTGGTCTTGCGCTGTTGGCATCTCTCGCTACAATGTAACCTGTCAGTAGAAGCACACGGTATTAAAATAACAGATTTGTGATATCTGCGAAGTTTACTAACCAAGCAACTGAAGTGTAGGAGGAGCGTCGCCTTTGTTTTGTGGCCATTGCGAGCTGCGAATGCGAGGGTGTGAATGCAAGGTGTACACTGATGGTGTTGTGCGACAGGCTTGCCGCAATGACGTGTTGATCTTAAGGCACGTGAATTTTAAATTTGTTCATCGCGTTTAACTAAACGTGACTTACTTTCGGCGCAAAGACGCGTTAAGGTTAATCTCGTTAATGGTACAGAAACTACAGTTAGGTACCAGGTAAAAATAACCTAGACTGGCGAAAATTAGCATTGCCACAGGTAAGTGACGCAGATACCAGCTAAGAGAAAGTACACCAAAACAGGGATGATTCAGGGCCTGTATCAAGTACCTCTAATTCTCGCTTATCTTCAGAGCTAGATCGATTAGGTATTAGATCGTCGGTCATTGGAAAATCGGATATCTCCAAAATCTATTAGCGACTGTAGCGTCTGTACCATTAAAGAGAAAAGAAAATAGCCAACTTGCTATTAAATAAATTTTAAGCAATCTTTTTATTAAGAAATGGTATTTTATAGTACATGTTAAAATCACTGTGATACCCCGTTGTACTATGTAGCACAGCAGCCCAAGGCCTTTTTTTTAACAGCAGCCCAAGGCCTTTTTTTAATGAGGGGTACATAGACTCCGCCTCCTCATCTTCAGACTGCGCCTCCCTAAAACTCGGATATATAACTACTGAACAAGACTACCGCAATTTTAAACCTAATGCATCATTGATTGTATTATTCCGACTCTAATGGCGTCTCTCGGCAAATTAACTAATGCATTTCTACAAGCATCCCAAGAAACAACCTTTACTCTAGCCAACCTCAACTTTAACTTCGCTCTTATTAAGTGCGACGCCCCAGAGGAGTACAAAGGGTTGGGTGAATCGCTCTCAGTACGAAGAAAGGCAGCAGCTGAGGATGGATCGATTCATATCACAGCCCGGAAGCTCACTTCACTGTTTCGGAGCCTTGTTCCACCTGTGCCTAATCTGATCAAAGCCTATGGGATACGCTCCAGCGAAATCGCAAGCTTGCCGAATCTCAATCCCCGAGGTAGCGTGAAGCAGGGGATATTCGCTGACCACGTTGGTGCAGATGGCACAAGCATATGGGCCTCGGCCACGTCTGGAAAAGACGCTGTCACCACACACTTGCTTGCATGCATGTTGGCTAGAATCTGGAAGCGGGAACAAGCCGTTCCTATTTGGATGGAATTTGTAGAGCAAAGAAAGGCGATTCTTCAAGCTTCTATTGCAGAAGCTGAAGGCCAGTTTCAGGTCGATGATCTTGCGGCGACTCGGATCGAAGTAAGCAGAAGCGAGTTAGACGAGTGGGACTCTAGTGCAAGGTAAGTCTCCTAGTCATTATTAAACTACAGAAACCTTCTAATATATTCAGAGCGTGGCTGCAAACCGCGGATATGGGCCAAAAGCTCCGCCAGACTCAACTTCGCCTAATCGTCGATAACATTTCTTTGCCAGTTTCCACAAGTAGAAACATCTATACAGCGATTTCGGATGCGTGGACAAGTGCTATGCAGACCTTGGAGAGTCTTATTAATGGCGCTCCCCAGCGGATTGATAATGGCGCAGTGCTTCTGGGCTTGTCAGCATGGCATTTATATCCTGACATACTTCTTGCCGGTACAAATCAGCTCATCACGCAGTCAGATCCTCTCATCAGCTCGGGCGGCATTATAACCGTTGGATTACGTAACAAGCATGAGGATAGCAAAGGAGTAGTCTGGTCGCTACCGTTGACCCAGGCAAGGTATTACGGTGAACCTGTTGTGGCGACCAGACACGCTGGGGTAGAGGAATCGAACGTCTTGTTTGAAGAATCTATGCTTGTGGTTGTTGGGAGCGTGGTTGGTTCATGGCAACTGCCTTTCGAAACTGACGATGCATTGGATCTGATCCGGATCATAGCGAACTCGGTACAGTGGCACGATTCTTCTTTCGAGACACATACTACAAACCATGGCAAACCTACAAACCCACTTCGATCTATGCATGGACAGGACTGGGTGGAATGGATATCATTGCTTGGACGATCAGTTGACTTTTACATTGAAGCACTTGGTACTGATAAACAGAATCTTATGCGACTTATCAAGTATGGTCAACGCAATTGCTCGAAGCTTCTGTCATCACGAAAGTACTTCCCTGCACCTGTCTTTGGTCTGACAGGATTTTCGCAACTTTTGAGTCCCTTTGATCCTGGGTCCGAACCTCAAATCGAGCTTTTGCGAAAGTGGGCAACAAGGGAACTCGATCCCCATCTCATCAAGAATGCCCTCATTAGATATCGAAAAAGTCCTTATGGGAGGTTTTACTATACCAACGTGGTTGGTCGTTTCGAAGCCAAGCGGCGTCGAACCATGAACCCTTCAAGCAAGGTGCCTCGCGATGTCCCGGTGTTTCACTGGAGTGATGACGAAGACCAGTACGAATACCAGTACGAAGACACCCTACTGAGTCTCTTTGTTGAACAACAGATTGGTGCTCTTTCTCTTCCTCCCCCATCAACAGAAGAGGGTGATACCGTAGATCTACCTCCTGGACCTGGTTGCAAACCCGAACCCCATACATTTTTGTGTGGTATCCGAGAATCAGCTGCGGTCTACATTCGATCAAATACTGGAATTAAACTACCGGTCAAGAATAACCAGATGAGCGTCATGCAGCTCTATAGGTGCATCAAGGAGCTCGATATTAGCCCAAGGCACATTGCGCTCGCATTCAATGATGTCGGCAAATCAACCCTCTCTTCCAAGACCATCACGTATTTCGAATCCCTCTGCGCAATTGGCGCTGCGGCTAAGATTTATGAAAAGCTGCCTGGCGCCCAGGTCAATCTGCAAGCTATGTCTCTGCGTGTGAGTAAGGCAAAATGGTGGCAAAGTATGCAGGCTACATCAGCGGACAGGCTGCAAACTGTTATGAGCTGTATCGCTTATTTCGAAACGGGGGCTCATGATGTGGACCCTAAGAATCTTGGAGAGCATACCTTTGCTGTCTGTCACGCAACATCCATCTTTGTGGCGAGTCGGCTCTTGGATGACCCGATTGACGATACTCTCCAGTACTCCGTAGAGAGAATCGTTGGAAATGTGGGCAAACCGGGGCTGTCGTTCCTTATTACACCACCTGATTCAAAAAGCAGGAAATTCAATGCTTCATCTTGGCGCTTGGTCAACCATGAGAAATATGATGGGAAGATGCAGGATAGCTTTCATGGAACATCGTTCCACCTTTCTTTTACCGGATATGAGCTTCCTCTAGATGTCGGCCAACGAAGTGGGAGAGATATTCCAGCATATTTACTTGAAACCGCCATATCAGTCTATGACAAGGGCGAATGGGTAACCGATTTGGATATCCTAAAAGCTTCGAAGCACTGGAGTAAAGCACCCAAAATATCATGCTTGCACACTCCTGGAGATCGGCATCCCCCACCCTACCTATCACTTATATCTGTTGATTCCTGGATAGAGATCCTGGATCCTCCTCCAGATGGTCAGCATGCGGTTGTACGGGCGAGTGGTAACCCCATAGCAAGACTTGCAACCGCATCCTTGGCTTTACAGAAGAGTCGAAAAGTTCTCATTCTTCCCCCAAATGTCTGCTGGGATTGCCAAGGGTTATCATTTGTCTCTGTGCAGAATGCTAGTATGGACTTGCAACTGGAAGATACGCCTTTTCCCGAGCCCTCATTCCAGGTTAATGATGACCCGAAGCTCTACGGTGGGTCTGGGAGTGAAGGCGAATGTGGAGATCGGGAGATAGATCAATGGTCTGATATCTCAGAATCTGATGGTCCAGGTGATAGAATGGTTTGTGGAAAGAATAATGATCCTACTGAATTGGGAGTATTTCTTATCTACTAAGTATAGGGGCGGAGTGTAATATGGGACAATCAGTCGGAGGACATGAATTGTACTCCTTAAGGTTAATGTGACCGGAGGTTCTAAAGTCTCCAAACTTATACAGTTCGATAGGGCCAAGTTTACTAAATTATCTCCATCTAGCGCGCTGGACTTGATAACTTCTGTAGAGTGGATGTGTGGATATTAAGGCATGACTATAGGACGGGAGCATTCTATTGCAACTTGTTTCTCATTGCTCGGCCAGCCAGCCACCTGAGGAAGAAGTTGAATACTTGGGAGTCATGCGTGAATTGATGCAGATCGCTCAGGTGCCTTATGAACCGTCCGAAGTATTTCTTTTGGATTCGTTGGGCCAATACTTTCTGTGTATAACGGTCATACTACAGGTTAGAGTTCCGGCTCCCTTCAAGAGACTTCCGCTCCCTTATAGTAGCTAATTCACCAGAACATGGAGGATTCCGAGTGTGTAAAACAAGTTAATTTATCGCTTTGTAATTTCTGATACAAAATCCGTAAACTCCTGTTCGAAATGCCACCAAGTCCGGTCATTATGGAGGACCCCATGGAAGTCTTTGGCAGTATCGCTGGCGATAGGTAAAAGCCCGCCCGCGATTCGAGCTTTGACATGGCGATATCTAAGTTAATTAATGACTGGCATCGAGTTATTATGCATGAGGATAATCTGAATTAAACGGCATGGCTCCGCCGCAAGAAAGAAAGTAATTTATTCCACGCAATTAACTAGGAGGAGAGCCAAGGTTCGAAGTGTTCTAAATCTCAACTCGATTTTAAGCATTTAATTCAAGGGTCTATATAGTTAATTTAGAGAGGCTATATCTAAGTTCACTTGAAATGAATTGGTCTGCAATTCTTATCTTATCGATAAGAGTATCGTCAAGATATAGGATAAGATAGAATATCTCTTTTTCCATTCTTCAAGAGGAAAATAACTACCCTGCATAGAAATAAATATAACCTTTTGATTAAACTAAACTGAATAAATAAGTATACAGCTATATTTGGTTTAAAACTGAAATAAGTAACTTATTTAACTTACTTCCGTTCAATCCAAAGGGTTCAAATAAACGAGAAGGGTTAGTTCGAAATTTCACATTACACGTGGTGAATTGGATCGGTTGAAAGTTCGTAGAAAACTGAAGATAAATTATTATAAGTTCCAGAAGAGAAGAAACAAAAGATATTAAGTTTCGTAAGTATTATTTCCATATAATGCTCTGTATAGTAAACCCGTCCTGCTGTAATTATTCTACTTGGTTTTGTAGATAGTTGTGCTAACTTACCCTGGAGAAATAAGTTTTATAATGACGTAGTGCGTAGTGGTACTGCTGTAATGTCCTAGCGTGTCTTATCGGGCTCCATTATCTCAGGAAGCTTATCCTTATCAGTCAGTTACTTCTGTGCGACGCTAACCCCGCACTGCTTATCACGAACGGCGCTTGAAATATCTCCGATTCGAGTCACTAGAGCCTATTGGTGACGTTTCTCCTGACCCGATTCAAGATTAGCCAAGTTGAACAAGAGACAACGAGGTGATATCCACATCGGGTGGGAAATACCCGAAGGAAATATGACAAGCAGTTAAGCGATCTGTCAAGATAAGGCATCGGCGAACCACTACAGCATTCTTATAGTTCATCTATTAATCGCGAACCAAAATTCGTCGCAGGATGATTGTGCTGTCTTTTTAATTTAATCAACCATTAACACCGATCTCCAGTCACATTTACAGTACCTACTATAACTCAAAATGCCTGAGGCATATACATCCCACCCTGACTATGGCTTTGAGCGCGACTTCAAAGGATATGGAGAAAAGGGCTTGGTTGGGTTAAAGTGGCCCAATAACGCCAAGATTGCTGTCTCTTTCGTCATCAACTACGAAGAGGTAATTCCCATGATTGAAAGATAGAGACCTGGAGACTAATTGCTGACCGCTGATATTGCACAGGGTGGTGAGCGTTGTGTTCAAAGTGGCGATGGGGTCTCAGAGACAAACCTTCGTGAACATCCTGGAGTAGCACGCATCAACGAGCGCGATTATAACGGTGAATCCGAATACGAGTATGGGTCTCGTGTCGGTTTCTGGAGACTCTTTAAGCTGTTCAACCAGAACAAGATGAAGTTCACCCTCTACGCCGTTGCACAGGCTGTCGAGCAACAGCCTGAAGTGGCTACCCGCTGTGTTGAAGAGGGCCACGACGTGGCATCTCACGCATACCGCTGGGTAGACCACCACGATTGGTCTATTGAGAAGGAGAAGGAATACATAAAGAAGGGAATCACCACCTTGAAGAACATCACAGGATATGCACCCAAGGGCTGGTACTACGGCCGTCCTTCACCACACAGTCGCAGCCTCATTCCCCAGGTCTACCAGGAGATGGGCGAAGAGCTAGTATGGGCCAGCGACACCTACGCCGACGACGTGCCATACTGGATTGACCTCCCCAGCGAGCGTGAAAAGCCTGATGCAAAGGGCTGTCTGATGGTGCCCTACAGCTACGACTGCAACGACTTTAAGTTCCATGTCGTGACGGGATTCCGCGACCCGAGTAGTTTCTACACCCATCTTAAGAACGCGTTCGACGTGCTGTACGAGGAGGGAGAGGCCGGTGAGCCCAAGATGATGACCATCGGACTGCATTGTCGTATCATTGGCCGGCCTGGACGATTCAAGGCTTTAAAGGATTTTGTTGAGTATATTGCTCAGAAAGAGGGTGTATGGGTGGCGACGAGGACAGAGATCGCGGAGTCTTTCAAGGAGCAGTTTCCTTATAAGAAAGGTGAACTGGCGTGAGATAGTAGCAGTGGATTAGCATCATAATATTGTATTTGGCAGATGGAATTCCACACTATTTCCTATCCTAGTTCTATGATTTAACCCTCGTCTTTAAGTAACATCTCAACGTGCTTGTTTGTTCAGGCTCGGCCGTTATTGGCAGTCATAAACACCGTTTGCGTATTTCAAGGTCGAGTCTTCTACCACTCAACCTTTGCGATGTTTGGACCATGCTCATGAAAAATCTATTCCCACCCTCGACTTAGATCTAAGTCATTCTGAGAAAGATTCCATACATCTTTATAGCCTTTCGTCGCACTACCTGTAAAGCTATCGTTAGAAAAGTCTGCTGTATTACTACCCTCTCCTAGCATCTCGTTCCACATATGCCATCCGTGCCAGCCACCTGGTGCCTCCTCATCCACCTCCATGAACGCTTCTTTTACAGCGTCAGAGACTAGACCACGCATAGTCATATCCTCCTGACCACTTTCATTGTGCGAGGTGGGTTGACGCGGCGGTATACCTGGAATGGAGTCGAAGCTGGATCCTCCTTGATCGAATTTGGTTCGCAGAGGCCGTCTCTCTGGGATCCCCATGCCCACATGCCCAGAGAGTCCTCCGGGACTAATCAGTGTCTTCAAAAGACTCCCTGACAGAGCATCAAAGATATCGCGATATTTCACAGCCCCCGCCCACTTCTCGCCAAACACTGTAAGGCTCTGGGAACATGCCTGTGTAGCCTCAACGACGTGGTAGCTGAAGAGACTCTTATCCTTCCAGATGCAGTACATCAGAGTCAAACCTGCCACAAAACAGCTGTGAAGCGATATCATGGTGTACGTTAGTGTTCTTTGTTGATTGAGCCGTTTGTAGGCTACGCAGACACATGCAGCTGACTGAGCCGTGGTGATGAACCGGGGATCGGCGGTGGGGAGGGATGGAAGTAAGACTGTGAATAGGGACAACAGGGCTTTGTGATACTGTCTGAACTTAAGTCAGTCTTTTATTCTAAAGGATATAGTGTTGGAAGATAATTGTGCTTACAGACTATAAAAGTCACCAGCATCCTGATTGGTGCTCTCAGGATCATAGAGCCAGGTTATCTTCCCGTTGTCTTTAGGTGACTGGGGCGTTGTTTGGATCCACGTGTCGAGGTTAGAGCGAATGGACGCCATCTTTCCATCCAGCTTTACTCGTTCTTCGACGGGACCAGAGAAGATGTCTTTGTCAACTCTGAAGACTGTACGATGTATGCGTGATTGGATCTTTTCCAGCTTGATGATGTGAATAAATGGTTCGATATTGCACCACTCTGTTCCATGATCCTCGGTGGCAGAAGCTGCATGGGTCAAGTCCCAGAACTCACGCCCTGGATTTGGCATCTGAATAACTTTTAGTTTCATGCGTTGCACTATTGATTAGAGAAGGGTAGAAAATACCGCGACATTGATATCTCTGTCAGATATTGCAAAGGCCCTGCCCAGAACCACGCTCGTTCCTCGGTCCAGGCCATAGCACGACCAAAACGCTCTGCGTCGAATCTCTAGATCCCTCGCAGCCTCTGGATCCGGTGATGGGCCTTGTCGCTCCCGATGAAGACCAAGCTCAATGCATAGTGAGACGGCATAGCGGACTTGGCTCCACGCACCAGCTCCATAAGGTGACCTCTGGCCGTGAACAGCAAGAAGAAGGAGGAATTGAACCGTGGCGAGATTGTGCTGCTCAAGAATGTAATACATGGGTTCTATGGCCGCTAAGAGATGTTTCTCGTGCTCCACCTGAGATGGTTTGCGGGTCAACTGCTCGAATCGCGCGGCGATGGCATATATTAGATGCATGATGCTTCTCTGTGTGATTGATAAAGACCCCTGCTGATACTGGATTGCAAAAAGCTCAGTGTATTTCTTCCTGTCGAGAATAGGCCAGCGGGTATGCATCCGGTCAAAGAAGATATCGAATAGATGGCGAGCCTGGTCTGGGAATGGGAAACTCTGAGATGATTCGTCTGGATGGAAATGCAGTGTTGGTGACAGACTGTCCAGATACGGATCGACAGGGTGAGTAGTTCGTGCTGAGCGGTGGTTCAATCGTGTGGCATGTCTAGAGTTATAAAAGATAGATCTTTGTATCATCCTAGCAATGGCAGCTCCGGAGCTCGACCCCAGGTATGTTGGATCGGGAGTCGCTTCAGCTGTACCAGATGCACAGAGGGAAAGATATGCGACGCCATCGATGATGGAGTTACGTTCATAGCCATCAAGATCTTCAGAGACGGAACCACGATGAGATGATGTTGACTCTGGATATGGCTGTGGATTTGTTTGGTCATTATTCTCGTCAACAGTGGAGAATGGCGCAAGAGTCTCAAAGTGGTCTTGAGCGTGGGCTGGAAGTCGGGCCTCGAGAAAGGCGATTCGCTCTTCGAGGGCATTGATATAACTATTCCGGCAATTAGAGAATTGGAGGATTAATAGAGGTTTATGGAGTGTACAGTGTTTTACCACCTGGATATTGTGGTCGGATCGGTCTCTCATAGATGCACGTTGTGCTGACCCTTTCGCAAGACTTGCATGTTGGGTGTGAACCGTCGCACTGAAATGAGCATCAGCATGCTGGAACGTCTTGAAATAGGTAGGTCACTTACCCTTTGCTTTCGGCTCTTGCACCGCTTACAAGCCAGAGCGACTCGGCCTCTCCGTCCTGGACCAGGTGTAGCCTGTGGCTGTCTTCTGGCGGAAGTCTGTATACATTATTAGAAGAATGCTCTATACACTAGTCGTCAATCAGTTCGTACAGGACGGTCATGACTGGGAGGGGATGTTCTCCCCTGCAGGGCATCCTCATTAATCCGCGGAGTAGGCCCGTCCGCATTCATCGTCATTGTTACACGACCTGATTGGACTTCCTCAATCAATTTCGGTTGTTTGAAACCGATTGACAGTGAATTGAGACCGTCACAGATAAGATTCGAGTGAACAGATGTTCCCCATGGGCAATACCCCAGTAGCCCGCAATCACACGTGTAGTGAGTGGATCAATTCTAGCACCGTTATCTCGACTCCAGCTTATCTTTGCCCAGCTAAGTCAACCCCTGCAGGGTTACATATACGCTACGAACTAAAGAACGCGATGGCCATAACGCTAGGTTTACCTGTTAATGTTATCGAGCTATGTCAATCATGATTGGTGTTTAGACTCTTATCTCAAAACTCCAATCGGACGGTTCAACCCCGCCCTTTATCGCGTGGAAAGGGATGCCCTTCATCTGGTTCTTGCATCTCACAGCGCCACTCAATTGTTTGTCGGGAGGAAACAAGCCGAGGGGTACTGATAGACATTGCGACTCTGTATAGTGCCAATGGCGCAGCTAAGCATACATGGTGATAATGATGTAAGAATGGTTATTAGTTATGAATGGAACAAGACCCAATAGTTTATACACAAAAATTCAACAAGATTGTTCTAAACTAGCATCATTTGATCGACAATCGAGTGTATCCAGACTCTATCATGGTCAACCTCCCATCAAGGAGCGAGCTCGCAGCGCCTTTCCGCTCAAAGGAGGCTTTTGTCAATTTCGTCAAGGCTCCTGAATCTGCAGATGGCCATACCCGAGTCGGAAGTGAGAGATGGTCCAACAAAGATCTTGAGCCTACGCCGCTGGAGCATCGCAACTGGACATGGTAAGTCAATGCCCCTCAAAACCGATATTAGTTACAGTGCTAAGACCTGGAACAGGTATAATTTACCGCTGTATTGGTTCTCCAACCAGTTTAGTCTTACAGGTTGGAACACGGGCTCTTCTCTCATTGCTGTTGGATTGGTATGTTTTAAATCTGATAACTGCATTACATCAAGATCACTGACTCCCACAGACTTGGCAGCAATCATTCGCCTCGTGTGTTCTAGGAGCACTGCTCGCCTCTGTGATCGTCGTGTGTATGGCCAGACCTGGAGTGCAGTACCATATTGGCTTGTGAGTACATCGTATTTTAACAACAACTGGATAACAGCTTCTGACTACATCGTGTAGCCCCGTCCTCGCCCGATCTAGCATGGGAATGTATGGCGCCTACTTCTTCATCTTCATCAGAGCGATTGTGTGCATCGTTTGGTATGGGTAAGTGATAAATCTCTATCGACCGTCCATCCAACACTGGGTATACATACTGACGAGGTACTCAATACAGTATCCAGACCTTTTACGGCGGCTCCATCCTCTCAGTTATGCTCCGATGCATCTTTGGTAGCTCATGGGAAAACTTTACAAACACGCTCGGCGCCAACGCAGATATATCTTCGAAAGTCCTTCTGGCCTTTTTCATTGTCTGGATCTTGCAATTCCCATTCGTGCGTATCCTTCGGATTGCTACTCAACTTCAATGCATCCCGCTAACGTTATAAACGGTAGATGTGGGTTCATCCGCGAAACATTCACTACGTCTTCACCGTCAAAGGCTTCACTATGCCCATCGCTGCATTCGCCATCTTTGGCTGGTGCATGGCCAACGGCGGCGGCATCAATGGTATGAACATTGCGTCCAAGGAAGCCGAGACAGCTGCCTCTACAACTCCCCTTGGCTGGAGCATCATGTCAGGAATCAATGTCATCATGGGCGGCTTGTCGCCTATGTTGGTCAACCAACCTGATTTGGCCAGATACTGTCAAAAGACCCGTGACGCTGGCCCGCTCCAGGGTGTCAGTGTTTTTGTCTCATCCGTCATCGTCTTTTTCCTTGGTCTTGCATCGACTGCATCCATGCAGGCCGTGTGGGGAGAAGCGTACTGGAACATTTGGGATCTGCTTGACTCTGTTCTTGACCATCACTGGACTCCTGGTGCTCGTGCGGGAGTCTTCTTCCTGGCCTTGGCCTTTCTCCTGGGAACCTTTGCCACCAATTTCGGTGCAAATTCGATTCCCTTTGGCTCTGATATGACTGGTCTTTTCCCGCGCTGGCTCACCATCCGGAGGGGACAAGTTGTTTGTGCTATTCTGGGCATTGCAGTAGTCCCGTGGAAGCTTATGGCGAATGCACAGGCATTTTTGTCTTTTCTCGGCAGCTACAATATCTTCATGGCGCCTCTATGTGCTGTCATAATTGTTGACTATTTCTATGTCCGGCGAGGTAACATCCATGTTCCATCTTGCTACGATGGAAGCAAGCATGGCCTCTACCACTTCTGGTCGGGTGTGAACTGGGTAGGCTGTCTAGCTTGGATCCTGGGCACAACTATGGGACTTCCTGGATTAGTTGGGGAGTATCAGCCGCAGCTTCTCACAAACGCATCGCGATACATGTATATGATGGGCTGGCTGTTAACCTTTGTGACTGCTGGGGTGGTTTACACTGTTGGTGTTCAGTTTGTCAATATTCGTGTTTTTCCAGCTGGGAGGGGTATGGTTAAGACTTGGGAATGGCTTGCTAAAGATGGAAGGGAAGGCTTCTTTGATGACGAGAGGGATGGTCAAGTCATTTATGCCCAATCTTCGCCAGTCACTGAGAAGTCAGAGGGAGAGGTCAAGATGGGCACGAAGGGTGATGATGGATCGCTGTGAGGCAGCCTACCACTCGATTATACCTGTTTCACATAGTCAAATTCTTTGTTATACGAAAGTTTATCTACATATCTTCTTCTTCCCAAACCATCTTTCATGTCACCCTTTCCCCAGCTTTTTGACTCGCCTTTAATTATGGCCACAGTGACTGCGAGCAGTGAAATCCTTTTTGATGGGCTACGAAGAAGTAATTTCTGCGGCATCTAGATGTCCTTGAAAACTTCTGAATGGGCTCAACTAATAGAGTCAATCGTTCCAAATCCAGCTCATGAATGTAGAATGTCTGAAAGTGAGGTAATTCCCTGAGTGGACCCTACTCCATCCGCTTATCTCCGGCCTCTCGCCGTATCCCGCTTCGGAAACAAAAGTGCCGACCGGCAGAGATCGGCGAGATCACGCTGACGATATTTTGGCCGATCGGAGGTTATGTCAGCCTCTGTCATGAGAACCCTGAGAAAAGACGCACTTCTGGTAACACGCATATTATATGCAGCCCAATCATCTCATATCAAACTCTGACGTGTAATCACAATTGCCTCATTCAACGACGTTCATCATGGCCGAGCTATACAAACTATCAGCGTCAGAAGTCGTTGCAAAGACCCGGAATGGCCAGTTGTCAGTGGAAGAATATGCGCAATCGCTGTTAGCACGCATCAAAGAACGTGATCCAGTAGTCAAAGGCTGGGCTTATATCAATCCCGACCAAGTACTTTCGGAGGCTCGAAAATTGGATCAAGTTCCTAAAGAGAGCCGTGGACCATTGCATGGTGTCGCAATTGCTGTTAAGGATGTCATCTACACGAAAGGTGAGTCTGCGACTGAACTAGATGTACTCCGTATACTATGAGAGAATGTTATTGACACCTGGACGACATAGATATGCCAACACAGTTCAACTCTCCTATATACAAGGATGATGCCCCCCAGGTCGATGCAGCAAGCATTATTATCCTGCGCAATGCCGGTGCGCTGATATTGGGCAAGACAACCACGACTGAGTTTGCAGCCACCACCAAAGGACCTCAAACGACAAACCCCCATGATAGCTCGCGTACACCTGGAGGTTCATCATCGGGATCCGGGGCAGTTGTTGGTGATTTCCAGGCCCCAATTGGTCTTGGCACGCAGACTGGAGGAAGTACCATCCGCCCAGCATCCTTCAACGGCATCTATGGGTTCAAGCCTACCTGGAACTCCATCTCGAGAGAGGGCCAGAAGATATTCTCGTTAATGCTTGATACCCTGGGTATCTATGCAAGGAGTGTAGCTGATTTGAATCTCCTCGCCGATGTCTTTGCTTTGGAGGATGACGAGCCTCCAAAGACAGGCTATACGGTTCAGAATGGCAAGTTCGCTGTTTGCAAGACTATGGTCTGGCCTGAAGCAGGGCCCGGCCTGGTAAAGGCCATGGATAAAGCCGTTGAGCTCCTGAGGTCAAGTGGCGCTACAGTCGATGAACTTGAGTTCCCTGAACACCTTCAACATTTGCCGGAATGGCACAACATCGTTTTTAACAGCGATGGAAGAACAGCCTTCCTACCAGAGTACAGAGTTGACAAGAGTCTTATTGCTGATCAGCTCGTTGGCCATGTTGAGAATAATCTCAAGATCTCACGAGCTGCACAGCTCAAGGCCTTTGATGACATTGCAGCGGCAAGACCAGTTGTAGATTCAATGCTTGCGAAATACGATGCTGTCTTGACACCCAGTGTCCCAGACGAGGCACCCAAAGGCATCGAGGCCACCGGAAGCGCCTCTTTCAACAAAATATGGACGGTAAGTGTATTCCCAACTTAGGACTGGAGACATCAAGCTGATTAGAATGCAGGCCCTTCATGTTCCCGTAATTAACATTCCTGGATTCGCTGGCGAGAACGGGATGCCCATTGGGTTGTCGCTTGTGGCGCCTAGGTACCATGATAGAAAGCTCCTGGTTGTGAGCGAAGCAGTTGGAGAATTGTTCGAGAAATCAGGAGGATGGAAATAGAGCCAACTTCATAGTCAAGTGAGACGCCTGCGTCGATAAAGATAAAATTGATTGAATTGATATCATATTTGCTATAAACAGAAACTCGCTTTATAATGCACACTATAGGTAGTAGATAACCCGTCCCTCAAAAAGCCTTCTCGCTGTGCGGGAAACAGCACAACTGGCAATCCCATCCTCGCCATTTTTCTTCACCAGAACCGGAATAGTTCCCTTGCTGTGCTCAAGCACAACGTGTCTTATGTTAGACTCCTTCCTTCCATCTTCTGACACTGGAGAAGGTGTGCGCTCTGGAGTAGGGGGTCCGTCGGAAACAGGCGTGGCTGATAGCTCTGCTGCAATAGTGCCCTGGATGCTCATTGCAGACCCCAAGCATACTGCGCCGGTGAGTTGTAGTGTGGGATGGGGTAGACCCATGGAGTATGACTGGACGTAGATATCGGGGGAGTTTTTGCCATCGGCAGTTCGGGTGGGTGAGCTAAGCATGGCGATCTTGGGGGTTCCTCGGACTAGACCAGCAGCCTTTGTAGAAGTTGCAAGACCCATCTCCACGGCACCTTGACATCGTATTGTCTCGACCAAGGCGTGTTGTGTCTCAGGTACAGCACCTGCGGGGAGGAGAGACGCGATGGCTGATGCGCCAACAAGGACGAATGGGTTGGCAGCGTCAATAAGAGTGGCTCTGATCTGGAAGGGAGCAAGCTCAGGGACCAATGCGGAGGGATCGACGTTAAGCCATTGTTGCTTCTGGCCAGAGGGGAACAGGCTTCCAGCCATACTTCCAGCAGGATCAACAAAGGAGCATCTGACTTCGCTACCAGATGTCTTGACACCAGGGATGTCAAAGTCGCCATCCTCGCGGTAGTAGCCATGGCCATCGAGTTGCACTGTCTCGACGATAACTCTGCTGGTGTTTGTGTTGAAAATCCTGACATCAATCTCGGTCTGTCCAGGCTGTGGTGTGACAAGTCGTTCCTCGACTGCGAATGGACCGACACCAGAGCTCATGTTTCCACAGTTTCCTGAGAAATCCACCGACTCTTTCCCAACTGCGACTTGAACGAAAGTGAAATCGACATCGGCATCAGGCCGAGATGAAAGTGCGATGACGGCAACCTTGGATGTGGTGGATGAGCCACCACCAACACCATCGACTTGTCGTGCATCGTTGTTTCGCGATCCCAGCGCTGAGATCAGGTGAGGACCCCACTCAGACTCTTTCTCGGGGAGGTCTTTTCGGTGAATGAAGAGACCCTTTGATGTCCCGGCGCGCATCAGCACGCACGTGAGAGCATGTCGTGTAGGATAATGTTCTTTTGGGGGTTGGATTTGAATAGCCATTGTGATGTTGTGTAGTTATGAGAGGTATCGCTGTATGAATGACTGTATTAAGTAAGGTAAATACATGGACTCAAATGATGCGAGGACCGGAACCCATGAGTTAAATAACGCCTGTCTCTTTAATTGATTTGCCATCTTGGCCCGGGTAGCGGCAATGGGAGCATGAACGAACATGGTTCAACACTCTGGAGAAGCAAGCCAAGGGAACAGTGGAGATGCCATGGGAAGATTACGGAGTAGTAAGACGGGAGAGAAAAATGGTTCATGCCGCGGGAAGAACGGGAAGAGTGTGGCAAGGGACCTCATCGCCCAAACTGGAACTCCCCAGTAGAAGACCCATGGAAGCCAAACAGTGGATCTTCGAGAAACGCTGCGTCTTGGTTGGACGGCCAGAAGGGCTGCTGCCATTGATTCCCGCCCTCCATATCCGGCGCAAAGTTGGCCATTCCCGCGGGAAAGTTTGCGGGGTAGTACACAGGCTGGGCCGACGTGGACGTGGACGTGTGGAGATAGTGCTCCCCGTCGACCTGAGGTATCTTGGGGGGCGCGTAGGCGCTGTTGGCCCCGTAGGCAGTGGACTCGCCGGTATGAAAGTCGCCCTCGCGGAGGAAGCTCTGGATGATGCCGTCGATGTTGATCCAGTCGGAGCCGGGTGAGGGCACCGCGCTGCTGCCGCTGCCCACTTCCATTGGCTGCAGCTCTTGGCTGCGTGTGTTGTCTTGGCTATTCCCGCTGTTTCCGAGGCTGCTGTCGTAGCCAAGCTGCTGCGTGCGTTGGGGGTGTTGTGGTGGCTGCTGTTCTCTCGATCGCGTGGCTGGTTCGGCTTCGAGCGCGTCATCGGGGAGGTCGTCTACCACGACGCCGTATTTGCTCATGAGTCTGTGAATAATCACGGCTGCTTTTTGCACTGCTGAATTGGTCTCCTGGTTCTCTTTAAACACGGCCAGACACGTCATCAGATTGACATAAGCTGCAGACTCTTTGCCATTCTTGGCGGCAATGCGGCAGTGGATTGTGGCAGCGACGTAGGTTGCGTATGAGATGAGATATGGCGCGCGACGCACTGAGAAGGCTCGGTGGTAGGCGCGTAGGAGACTGCAGATGCTGGATGCTGCTGCTGAGCATTTTATCACCGAGTCGACTGATATTGAGCGGAAGGTGTTGTATAGATGCCCGTCTGCCACGAAGGGGCGATGCAGGAGGATCACAAGCACATTGTACATAGCGCTGAAACATTAGCTTTTGTATGCAATACCTAGATTTTAATAACTCACTGTAGACTCAAAACATGAGGCGGAGGAACAGTAGCACCAGGCCCATTCGCCGCTTCAGGCTTGAGATGATCAGGCAAAGACGTCTGCCACTCGCGCAACTTTCGCTGAAGTCGCTCCAGCACTTGAGACAGCTCATCTGGGCTCTGGTCCGAGGTTCGTACGGTGTAGATGGAGCTCAGAACCTCGCTCATAACGATAGACAGCTTGCATAGTGCAGTAAAGGTGGAGATGCTGTAGGCCGGCGAACCCGAGTAGTCGTTCTTGGACGTTGAGTAGGCAAACGGCTGCCAGAATTCCAGCTCCGAGTATGTGTCGATGAATTTGATGGGCACCATTGCGTCGGCGTCTTTGAGGGTCACGGGGCGCCCTTGGTACAGGCTTTGGATCTTGTCAACCACTGTTTGTGTTAGCTGATACGTGGTTCTTTAGTTCGAGGGATACATACCGAAGGCTCCCCAGAATACTCGACGGCGTATCTCGAGATCTTCATCTGAAAAGAGTTGGGAATTCGTCAAGTCAACATGTAAACCAAGGTCAATAAGCATGCGAAAGGCCAGTCCAGCATATAACCACGCCGCACTTCTCTCGTCTCCCAGCGCAAATAGAGAGTTGGTCATGACCAGCAAAGCCTGGATGGTGGTGATGTCGCTCCTATCTAGGGAACCACCCAGCAACTCACGCACCCTCTCGCGATACCTCCACCCTGCTGTCCGTACATCGTTGATATCCTTCCGGACCTCAAGTCGGGGACTGAACTTGGATGATCCAAAGTAGATGGCGTTGAGTAAGAGTTTTGAGAAATAGGGACCACCACAGGCCATGTCCCGCATGAACGCGGGCCGGTAGGTGATAAGAAACGAATGATGTTGACGGTTCCAGTGAAGAGAAAGGAGATGCATGCCCAGGTCAGGATCGACACCGTCAAAGTCGAGCTGTCCCTTGCTGTACTGAATATCCTCCAATTGGCCTGTCCCGTGTTAGCCCAGCTTCATTACACTCCTAATCAGTCAGTACCCACGTTGCTTAGCAGCCTCGGCGATAAGACCGCGCTCTACCCAATGATCAGGCATACGGGGCTGGACCTCCTGCTCAACAGGCCTCTCCTGGGCGTTATCCTCAAACAAAGCACTCGTTCGGCCGTGATAGCTCGACTCTCCATTTGCATGAACTAGCACGCGGGCAACACCTGGATCCATGGGTCTTGCGGCGGAGTCAGTGGGATCCCACGAGCGACGAGGATTTGTGCCTCCATCACGATCACGACCTATCTGCGTCTGTTGGCTACGTTCATCGGGCAGGCTGGCTGCTTCACTGTCGGCCACCGAAGACGCAGCCTCGCCTTCTCGCGATTGGCCGACTACGCTGGGAGACGCGGTACGGGCCTTGACGCTCCGGCTCTTACTCTTGAGGCGCTGGTGCCTCTGCCGACCTTCGGCCTTGTTTACGTCAGGCACGGGCTCGTAGACGCATTCTTTCTCGTATGTCTGGCAATTGATGCACGAGGGCCTTTGGCCGTTGCACTTGATCTGTGTGGGGTGTTAGTCCCGCGGGAAGCCAAGAGGTGAGGGGGAGAGACAATAGCAGGGGTGGTAAAAAGGGAAGGAGAATGGGGAATATGGGGAATGGAGAAGAAAAAATATTAGTCACCTTTCTTTTTCGACAAAATGTGCAGGCTTCAGTTGCGCGCCTGCGTACACGGGAAGATGGCTGAGCGTCAGGCATTTCGTCGAGTGTGCAGAGACGGAAGGGAAGGGAAGAAAAAAGACACGCACGGGAAGAGACGGGAAGAAAGAGAATCTCCATTCTCACTCGGTTCCACTGTTGATCCGCGGCTCAGCAGCCCGTTCTTGGTAAAGCGTGGTTTTATCCCCAACTCCGTAATGCTCCCGTTGAGTTTTCGCCCGTTTGTTACCGTGTCACTTCTGAGCCGCATTTATTAATTACTGAGGCTATTTGCTAATCTTTTCGTATGATATTAGTTGAGGCTATTCCCCGTCCATCCAATCGTCGACTACTTGTTTTTCCAACCCATCCAGACCTATTCTATCCTAATATCATCCGCCAAGATGGACGCCGTTGCTACTACACAGCCAATTGCCAACGCTCTGCCCAAGAAGCTGGCACCCCAGGCCACACCAGCCCAAAAGAAGAAACTTACCCCTGGCATCTCCCTGGCTGCAGGCGCTGTCGCCGGTGGTATTGAAGCCACCATCACAGTACGTCACTGTTTCCCCGCATGCATGGCTGAAGCAATGCTAATTTGTGCAGTATCCCTTTGAATTCGCCAAAACAGTAGCACAGCTGAGTGCGAGGCAACAAACTCCTGGCGTAAAGGTCTCACGATCTCCTTTTTCCGTTCTTGCCCAGACCGCTCGCACTGATGGTGTGCGAGCTATCTACACTGGCTGCTCATCATTGATCGCCGTAAGTTGCTGTGTCTCCAATTCCATACTTGCTCAACTAAAGTCATTTTCAGGGTACTGCAGCCAAAGCCGGTGTTCGTTTCTTGACTTTTGATGCGGTCAAGGCGCAACTGGCAGACTCTAATGGAAAACTGACAGCGGGATCTAACATCCTCGCTGGTATGATCGCTGGTGCTGTCGAGAGTGTGACAGTTGTTACACCTACAGAACGAATCAAGACTGCTTTGTAGGTTGCCCTCCCATTGACTTGCATTAGACTTGTATACTAACATGTTGTCTAGAATTGATGACTCAAGATCAGGAAACAAACGCCTCAACGGTGGTTTCCACGCCCTCCGAACCATCGCAGCAGAGCGTGGCATCCGTGAAGTCTACCGTGGTCTAACATCAACAACAATCAAGCAATCAGCCACTTCCGGAGTGCGAATGGGGTCTTACAACATCCTCAAAGAGCTTGTCTCCTCGGACGGAAAGAACCCATTTGTAACTTTCGGAATCGGCGCCGTGGCTGGTGTCATCACCGTCTATGCCACTCAGCCTTTTGATACTATCAAGACGAGATCGCAGTCTGCCAAGGGCGTGTCGATTGGGGAAGCGGTGCGGGGAGTTATGCGCGATGGAGGTGTGAGGGCTTTCTGGAGTGGAAGCACAATGAGATTGGGAAGATTGATTCTCAGCGGTGGAATTGTTTTCACGGCTTATGAGAATATTGCTGCGCTACTCATGGGGTCAAAGTAGCGGGGTTCAATCTTGTTAAGTTGCATGGGAGGTGTTTGGTGTTTGTTGTTTTATCACTAGCAGGGATTAGAGAGTACATTTGTGAGAGTCTTTATACACACTGAGTTTCAAACCATTCAAATTTGATCAGTCAAGTATCCTCGATTTCTCTAGTTATAGGTAAACGGTTTTACTATGAACCACTCCGTAGATTTGGCAAGTTGACGGCGACATCAGCGGAGATGCAGGGTAGCTCAATGCAGGGCTTTGTACTAAAACGATCATCGCTGTTCGAATTCTAATCCCCAATTTTTAAGCATAAGCTTAATAAATGCTTATTACACGATTCCGCAAATCTTTAACTGTGAATCTAACCCTGGCATCGGATCAACCTTATACAGAGACATCGTATATCGTTCACCGAGGGTATCTGTACTATCAAAGCAAAATTATTTGACACTGTAGCCGAGTGCTCAGAGCAAAAGTCTCGCATGTGAGACATCGCATGACTCTCATTCACGAGCCACGCTTGTCATTATCCACCGCTAAGTGGCCAGGGCGGTAAATCCAGCACATGCCCATACTCTAGACTCAGGCCACCGTTCTCGGCCTTCCCCGCATCAACCCAACACATTGGTAGGAGACCGATAACTCTAAGGTTAAGCATACAAGCTGGTCCGTGGGAACGTCAATCTGGGGTAGCTAGGTCAATATCAGGCCATTGATCGGAGATTCGGTGTTCAAAACTGGAGTTGGAGAGCCAGAAACGGGAAGATCGTCTCCAATTCTCTCTCCCATTTGCTTCCCGTTCAAGTGACAGCTCCATCAGAGTATGCAATCCCCATGGGGAGAAGCAGGATTCTAGAACCGGGAAGTTCTTGGCATGAGCAAAACTCCCGCGGGAACAATAAGGCTTGCTGGGTATCCTTCTCCAGGCGTGATTTCTTCCCCGCAAAGATAGGCGGTCCCCTGCTACTGGGTTCTCCGCGTCGTGGGAAGCGCTGGCGCCAAGCAATCTAAGCTTAAACCAAACCTTAATGGGGAAGACGTTAGCAGGATTGAGTTTTTTCCCACCAGCCGACCGGGAGGAATCCACCGCTGAGGATGACAAGAGATTGCCAAGAGGCTTGTCTCCCTCTGGTGTGTATATAACCCAGATGTTCCTACCCCAGATTTGAAGATATCAGACTCATCTCCACAGCAGCTTTCTTGGCCGCATCAACCAGCTCCAGCTTTTCTCTGAGTACTACCCTCTTCATCATTCCAAGCTGCCAAGCAGACTTCGCCACAATGACTGCTTCACGCAACAACAGCGTTGATCGCAATGAGCCCACCGACGAGAAGGCCGAGATGGCCTGCATCGAAGACACTGTTGCCCGCGTTGGCCCTATTCCTCCCACCGAGATCCAGGCTCGATTTCCTCTTCTTCGGGATCTCTCGCCAGAGCGTATGGATGAGTTGAACAAACGGGTTCGCAGCAAGATTGATTGGCACATGATGCCTGCTGTTACACTCATGTTCCTGATGAAGTAAGTCAAACAATCTCCCCAGGAGAGGATAGCAGACACTAACACCTTCAGCTACCTCGATCGCATCAACGTTTCCAACGCTCGTCTTGCTGGTCTCCAGGAAGATCTCAAGATGGACGATACCATCTGGAACACAGGCATCTCCACATTCTACGTCGGTTATCTCATTGGCCAACTCCCCGGCAATCTCCTCATGGCCAAGACCAACCCCAAATTCTTCCTCCCCACCATCATGCTCATGTGGAGCGCGGGAACCATCTGCATGCCCGCCATGACCAGCGGCGCCGGTTTCTGCACTGTTCGCTTCTTCATCGGCTTGATGGAGGCTCCTTTCTTCCCTGGTCTAACTCTCATGACATCCTGCTGGTACACCAAAGAAGAGAGTCCCTTCCGGATGGCAATCTGGCACGCTGGCAACACTATCTCCAATATCATCTCTGGTTTCTTGGCTGCTGGTATCCTCGAGCATATGGATGGCATTGCCGGTATGCACGCTTGGCAGTGGTTCTTCCTCATTGAGGGTATTGCTTCCATCCTTGTCGCTGTCGTCTCCTACTTCGTCCTCCCCTCGTGGCCCAACGATACCAAGTTCCTTACCGAGCAGGAGCGTGAGATGGCCCAATACCGAATCCTCGTTTCTAACGGTGGTGTCGATGAGAAGCTAGGTGGAACTTGGGATGGTGTCAAGGATGCAGTCCGTGATCCCTTTACCTGGTATTTCTGTCTCATGCACTTTGCCCTGGTCACCGCTCAGAGCTTCAAGGATTTCCTCCCCTCTGTAAGTCTACTTCTATAAGCCCTCTGGTAAACAGTCACTAACAGAACTTTCAGATCATGAACACTTTCGGCTTCAACAAGATGACCACATACCTCATCCAGGCACCTCCCTATGCCCTCGCGTACATCTCTGCTTGTCTCATCGCCTGGTCTTGCGGTCACTTTATGGAGTCAACCTACCACGTCGTCATCCCAATCATCCTCTCTGCAGCTGGATGTGGTATCCTCATCGGCACCATCAACGTCGCGGCTCGATACATTGGTATCATCTTGCTAGTCTGCGGTACCTACAACGGTCTGAACTTGCAACTCTCCTGGGAGACAACCGTCGTCCCTGCTCCCCGTGCCAAGAAGGCTGCTCTTATCGCCATCGCCAACTGCATCAGCCAGGTCAGCCATTGGTTCAGCCCCTACTTCTACCCCCGAAGCCAGGAGCCCTTCTACCGCATGGCAGGTGGTCTTCTCCACCTCGGTTGCGCCTTGACTGTCGTCTCGGCCTTCCTTGTCAGGTGGAGGGCTATCAAGCTTAACAAGAAGCTGGACGAGCAGGAGGGATGGACCCCCAACTCTGGTGTCGAGCGTGGCTGGCGGTACAAATACTAAGCTGATCAAAAGGCTTATTGGAGTTTTTGGACAGTGGTGGCTTGGCGGGAGCGGGACAGAATGGCGCTTGGAACTGCAGCTCGAGTTATCTTGATGGTTTATTGTTATGAGTAATGAAATTATGTTTGAGCAACTTGAGAATTGGACTGAAGTGCCTCAATGAACCATGTCTTTATTTAACGTGAGCTCTGACTCTAATTCTAGTGATGTCGGTTGGAAACGAATCAAGACTACTCATAAGTGTGTCGCACTTCAACCGTTCGCAGAATATGAGAGTCATCAAGATTTGCCCCAAAGTCCCTGTTTCCTTCACTCACGCTACCTCCCTCTGCGCCATCATCTCCACCACGCACCTGAGTGGTAACGTATGCCTTACCAGCCGGGATGAGGATATTCTCGTCACTCCCTAACTCCTCATTGTAGTGGACGCTTTGCGGAGTCTGGCTTGCGTTGCGGGATCGTTTGTGCGACGAGCCCATCATTTCGAACTGTGACTTGGAGTAGTTGGACGAGTAGCCGGGCTTGTCCTTATGGAGGATCGACTTCCACAGCATGGGCATGAACGGGAAGCACGCACAGACAATTCCGATGCCACACTCGGCGATTCTAGCTCGGGTTAGCTGATGCTAGTCGGGCTTAGCTGGGGTGACTCACCCGGTAAGATTGATTTGCACAAAGACATAAGTCTGGTCCAGGCTTTCCCCGTTCTTGATGATGAAGACCAGCCTAACAAGACTAAAGATGCAAGCGATACCCCCGACTCCAAAGATAGCGGCGATCTTGAGCTTAGCTACCAGGCCCACCTGGAGCTTTTTAGTCAGCGGACAAGGCAGAAGAAGAACAACAATGTCGCTGAGAAGACTGATGATGTTATCGACAAGAATGAGAACGCGCTGGTTGAAGCATTGTCCATCTGTGGTAGCGCCCCAAAACATGGAAATGGGACGGCAGATGAACATCTTTAGAAATAGCATCACGACGTAGTAAATGGCCATGACGAAAAGGAAGCCGTAGATCCATTTGACGTAGGTCTTGTAAGGAGCGAAGATGCTGGCAAGGAAAAGAAGAATAGCTGCTTTGATGGCGAAAACTGTTGGGCCGTAGTTGACCATTGTCGCGTAGACGGTCTATCATGAGTTAGTAATGGTCGTCGACAGTGTGGTGGTACTAAGAGGCTTACCTGACTGTATTGAGGGATGAGATCTTCAGGGACTTCCCACTGATGCAAGCCTCCGCCATATCTCAACACTAGAATTGTTTAGCGTTAGTCACTTTGACTTGCTGGAGGGACTCACTTGTAAGGCATATAGTGCAGTATCCCATAAAGCCGATCTGGATTCACGAGTAAGCAACGAAAATTATACATGTTGTTGGCTGACCACCTACATATCCGATCACACAAGCAACTGCAAGTACGTTAGTTGGTGAAGATCAAAGACTGGGGTATCAACGTACTGTCATCTCGTCGAAGTCTCATGGACAGCCTGTAACGGGCCCACAACCGAAGACCAACGAATATGGAGCAAACCGACATGGCAATCACGTTGGAAACAATGCAGATGTAGAACATCTCGCGGTCGGGATTGTCAAAGTTGGACTCCTTCCCAGGAGGGGGCTCCATGCCTGGCTTGATCATGGTTGACGGTGTTCAGCGTGGAAATGTTAAGGAGAGTAAGTGAGCAAAAGCTACGAGAAAGTCGGTGCATCAAAGTGCAAACAGGAGAATCCAAAAAAAGACATTTCGATTAATATCGACAGACATATATCCCCTGCGGACATAACGAGATTTACAGACAGGAGCTATGACACAAGGGGCAAATCCTCATGATCAGCCAGATCCTTCGACAACGGCCATTACCGGACCATTCACATTGCTTAGTCCAGGATTTTCAGGCGGCGGATGCCAAACAAGCCGGAGGGCACTCATAATTGCTTCTTGCGGGGAGTTTTGTTGGAGAGTGTTGCGAGGGAAGCGGCCATTGAAGGAGCCGGAAGTATCAGCCCCTGGATGAGTGTTCCAGTGTTCCTATCGCTTGCATATGAATGATAATGACAGAACTGGAGAGAAAAGTTTCTCTTTTCTCTTTTCTATCAGTGCAGGGGAAACAGTGTTGGTTGGTCTGCAGGGATGTATTGGCTGTTGGCAATCGAGATAAGTACCTGCGTTTCACGCGGCAACAACAAGTTTGTTCTCAAGGAAAACCTCGGCATAAAAATATCTTCAACAAGCTGCCATAACTCCAGGAGGCAAACTACGAGCTGTCAAAAACGACACCTGTACATACTTCTGGTGCTGATCACTGCTTAAACAACACACGACGCAATACGATATGTACATCATGCTCCGATACTAGTAAACCTACCGAGATTAAACCCGCAACGGACAACCAGTCTCCCTCGGCAGTCATAAAAGACAGCTGCAGAAGCAGAAAAGATGGTCTAATTGCATGCACGTTGGTTGCTGCAGAGTTACATCGCGCGACGGGTTCGGCTCATTAGTTGCCGATCAAGGTTTATATCCCTGCCGGCTTAATTCCCCGTAGTCTCGGGCCGTTGAATGATGTCTCAAATGTGGATCGTGTCAGCTGTTTTCTTTTCTTTTTTCTCAATGGGATTTCATGCTCTTTGAAGGATTCGCTAAAATTAACTGTTGTGAGGCTTAGCGTGAAGGATCCTTGTTGGTTTGGCATGTGCAATCACAAGTGAATCACGCATTTGCTGTAGCCGAGAGTGTTGGGTACGTGCAGTAGTTTCAAAGTTTGACACGTAAACGAAAAAGCAATTTGTGGTGAGACATTTCTCTCTCAGATTGGCCTGGCCGTAATGGCATTAAAGAGATCAGACATTTGATAATATCCATTCTATTCCACTAATGCAGCTGTCTGGCGTATATCCTAAAAGATGGCCTGGGCATTTGGTGGCGAGGAAATACCGCCTCTCATGTTGAATGGCGAAGACGACATGAAGAATGTCCAGCGGTTCTGCTGCTTGCATGTCTCTGCCAACTTTTCCAAGTCGAACAATTCACCTGGAATGTTAGCTGATACGACCCCAAAATGATGAACAACATACCAATTGGCATTCCCCATCCAGCCAGCATATACTCATGCATCAAAATAGTCCCCGACGGAGGCGGATATACCTGCAACAAACCAGTCAACAGCTGAAACACTGCCCATTTAGTACAGTCGCTCACCTCCCAACTGATGGCATCGCCAGCCACAGCCGCAAATCCTGTATCCCATATCCACTTGAGCACGTCCATGGTTCCCTCTACACCCGCATGCTGCGGGCTGGTAGTCGCCGCATAAGCCTTCTTGGCCTGCACGTCCATGGAATGCTCCCACTCTTTGATCACGCCAACGCGCACGAGCAGGATGTCGCCGCGCTGAAAGGTGATGTTGCACTCTTGTGCAATAGCGAGTATGTCGCTGAGTTTGATGGTGTGCAGTGAGAAGGTTGAGTATGTTATGCCTCGCTTCTCAGCCCATGATGCGTAGTCTATGAGCACCCCACGTCCTACATTGTAATGCGTTAGCTAGCACTAACTTGAAATTGCTTTTTGTAAGACATTGACAATACCTGTGATTCCCTCTTGGGCCCAGTGGTGAATCCCAATGCGATCATTGGAGCGGTCCAGGATTTCTTCTTTGGTGGTTCCGCCGTAAAACACACGCTCTTGGCTGCCTTCTTCGCAAGGCATGGAGAAGTGTCGCAGACCATCCCACTGGCTACTCTGTTCTTTCACTTTTGTCAACACACGCCACTGCAAAGCCGAGAGAAACACAAACGTGGATTCATAACGTAGATATCATCAAACGCCACGCCGCCAAGCAACGGCACCATTTTCAGCTCACAGGGTTGTCGATTGAAACAAGCAAACTCCAGCTTATTCAGATCCCACCCCAGATTAACACGAATGCCCGTTTTGATCTGTGTCTGCGCTGCGTGAGCCACCCGCTCTGGAGTCAGCAGGACAAGTCTGCCCAGCCCTTCTTCCCGACTGCCGGGTTTTCCTACCCATACGCGCTTCGGGTCGGGAAGTTCGTCCCACGTTTTCTCCATGTATGAGGGGTCCATTCTGTGAGGTGTTGAGTTTTGCGGGTTGGTGAGATCGAGGGGAGGTGGAATGCAGGCACGATGAGGTGCAGCTATTGAGGTGCTTGTTTATACAGCTCTCGTCATGTCGAGTGCAGTATCTACGAACCCTGCAGTGGTTTGCTGTGTGATACTGTCCCACATTTCACAGCCATTGTCGAATTCAAGTAACCCTGTTCACAAACACAATTCTCTCCAATGTTTGCTCTTTTACCTTTCGGTTACAACCATGCCCTCATGTGGATATCGCTCATGCAACACAAACATAACAGGAAGCGACACCGATCATCCCTGCACGTAAAACAAGAGACCGAATCTGACACCGGCATCTCTGTTCCATTATCCGGCGATCCAAAAAACGGTTGGAGGGTGGGGGTGTCGAAGGAACCCTTTGGTTGCACTTAATTAAGGTAACCTTGCCGATCGCAACTGTTCTTCTCGTTCCCAAATTAATTGCGTTCTGGCTTTTACCTTTTCTTTTCTTTTTTCTCTCTCGTATTGTTGCTCGCTTTGACATTGTGACAATGCCGCAGACCGGGAACCAGACGAGCTTGTACAACAAGCTTGTCATTACTTTTGTCGCCATCGGCGGAACCGTAAGTATTTCCTCTTGCGCATATTCCCACTCCCACGAGATTGTCATAATTACCTTTAATTTAGCTGCGGCTTGCTAATTTGACTTGCAGACATATGGATATGCCGCCTCAATTATCGGAAGCACAATTGGACAGCCGGGCTGGTACCAATACTTCAACCTGCCCAATGCTGGCGAACCGGGCTACGATACTATAACTACGCCGGCGATTGCGACGGCCAATGGTCTCTTCTCCGCTGGAGGTGCGGTTGCGTGTCTCATTCTCATGTGGGCATGTGATTATTATGGTCGATTAAGGAGTATTCAGTTTGGCTGTGCGCTGGGTATTCTCGGTGGTACACTACAATGTGCTGCTCAAAATCTTGCGTAAGTTGTCGTCATAAACCTCGGTATAGGCCAACACTGATGGTGTTCTGTTAGTATGTTCCAGGCTGGAAGATGGATCATGGGAATGTGCGTTGGCCTTATGGCCACAGTTACTCCCATGTATCTCTCCGAGATGTCTAGTCCCATGGCCCGCGGCTGGCTCGTCGGCCACCATGCCATATTCCTCGTCTTTGGTTACATGTTATCCTCTTGGATTGGCTTTGCTGTGTACTTCTCCAAGAACCTCGAATTTGGCTGGCGCTTCCCTTTGGCTTTCCAAGTCCTGCCCCCACTGGTGTTGCTCATAGGGTCACCTTGGATTCCCCGCTCACCTCGATGGCTCATGTCCAAGGGACATAATGAAGAAGCATGGACTGTGCTGGTCCGCCTTCGCAAGTCTGCTACTGACCCGGAGGATTTGATTGCAAGAGAAGAGTACCACCAGATCAAGAAGCAGCTTGAACTCGATGCGAAGAAGCTTGAGGCTTATGGAGGTAGCCCTTGGAAGGCTGTCTTTAAGAAGAGGAGCTACCGCAAGCGCATGATTATTGGCTTTATGACACAATGGGGTGCTGAGTTTGGAGGACCTCTTATCATTGTGAGTCTTTCTGTCCACGGGTACACAATATCACTAACATGTTCAAGAACAACTACGCTGTCATCCTCTATACTAGCCTGGGGCAAACTGGCTACATGCCCCTCCTGCTCTCAGCTTTATGGTTGACAACCGCTGGCCTCATTTACAACCCTGGTGGTGCCTGGTTGCACGATAAGGTTAACTCGCGCCGAAAGATGTACATGACTGGCTTCATCGGCATCGTCATCACTACATCCATCTACTGTGCCATGGTGTCGTTATATGCAGGAACAGATAACAAAGCAGGCAATGCCATTGGTGTGCTGTTCATGTTTCTGTATCTTGCTTTCCAAGGAACATTCTGCAATACCACCATGTATCTATACGTCTCCGAGATCTTCCCCACCGAGATCCGATCTATCGGTATTGGATGGTCTCTCTTTGGACAGTTTGCAGGTAAGTTTCTACCCCAATACTTCCACCTTCACGCACCAGAGCCTAACCATCGTTACAGCCACCATTATCCTTCTCCAATCAGCACCCATCGGCTTCAACGCAGTAGGATGGAAATACTTCCTTCTCATCATCTGCTGGAGTGCCCTTTTTGTCCCCGCCATTTACTTCTTCTGGCCAGAAACTGCAAGGTTGTCTCTGGAAGAGATTGGTAAGCAGTTTGGCGATGAAGTTGCTGTGCACATCAACGATGCTACTGAGGAGGAGCGTGCTGCCATTGACAGAGAGATTATTGGGGCAGGCTATAGCGAACACAAAATTCCTGGCGATGTTGTGAATGACGTCCCCTCGAGTAGCAGTAGCCAATATATTGCCACAAAGCAGTAGGGTACCTACACAGGATGAATAGCATACAGGCCATGGCCAAAGGTTGATTGGAAATGTTATTTTACGGCATCTGGCTCTTCTATACAAGTAGACGTTGAGCAGTACTTTGCATCAAGTTAAAACAATTGAAAAACAACATGTTATCAACAATCATTTGACAACCCTTTCCTCTCCATCGGTACCATTCCAGCCAAGTTAACAACACAAACCCACCACATTTTGCGGCACAGCTCGGCTCAGTCAAAATGGACAACAGCATTTGTAAAATATGACGAACGTCGAGGTTACAGCGCTAACCATGTCTGTCAACCAACACAATCCTCTGATGGATGCGCGGAATTGCACCCTGGTTCGATGGATCTGCTAGTTGCATAGGGGCTTCCAGGGTCCCTGGCGTCACTCGTCTCGCATGGTTCGCGGCATCAACCGACGACAAGATCTCAGTGGAGTCCGCAAACTCTGAAAAACCTTGTGTTTGCAGTTCTCGGCAATCATTTGCCCTCAATTCAATGGGATAGCTTAGCTAAATGGCACGACCACCGTCAACATCAAGATTGACACCAGTGATGAACGACGCATCCTCACTCGCAAGAAACACAGCAGCTTTAGTCACATCTCGAATCTCCCCCATACGTCCAAGAGGAACATTTCCCAACGCCTTCTGAACCTCGGGGGTAATTTCCTTGCCAATAAACTTTGGAAGCAACCCCGTCATTGTCGCCAAGGGACAAATGGAATTAACGCGAATTCCGTCAGGGCCATACTCAGCCGCAAGTCCCATGGTAGCCTATCAGATGCGTCGTTAGTTTTCTCTTTTCGTTTTGACAGAAGGAATGGTTTGATGCAACGGTAACCGCCTGCAGGATAATGGAATGGGTCTCGTTACATTTGCGATTGCACCCTTGGATGCATTGTACCACACCAGGCCAGGTCTTGGTCGATGAGCACCAACAGAGGCAATGTTGATCATGGAGCCCTTTGTGCCCTGTCTCTTGACCTGTGCTGTGAATGCATTACTGCCGAGAAAGACGCTCTTGACGTTGACGTTCATAACCTTGTCAAACTCCTCCTCTGTAACCAAATTGGTGCTCTACCGAAAGGTCAGCCCCGGTTTACATACACCTCAGACTTTCACTCACCTTGTTCTCGTAGCTTGTGCCCGCGTTGTTGACCAAAATATCTACTTGGCCCCAAATTTCTACCGCTTTGTCAATTGCACTCTGCCAATCTGCTGCTTTGGTGACGTTCATAGTCTGGAATGCGAATGACTCCGACTTTGCTGCCACTTTGTTACCCGCTTCTTCGTTGATGTCGCAGAGAAGAACTTTAGCGCCCTCTTCTGCGAAATGCTCTGCAATGCCTTGACCAAAGCCGGACGCAGCGCCTGTTTGCATTTCAGCAGTCGCTGGATGTGTGAGGATGGGAAGTGTGCTGACCTGTAACAATAGCAACCTTTCCTTCTAGACGGCCCATGTTGGTAGAGATTGACGATGGGTGCAGTATTCTGTAAGAGTTGCAGTCTGGTCGTGGGTCAAGACAGCGTGGTATTATACTTGTATATCAACTTTAGCAGTTTGTTTCTCTATGACTATGGCCAAGATGAGTTGACAGTTGGCTCAAGACTCAAGTAGGCATCTTGCAATTGTCGATCTTGACCGTTGCTGGAAGGTGGCTTGAACTTAGTCGTCAGCATTGGTTGGTGTTCACGAAGCGGGGAAAGTTACACTGGTCATGACTAACCAGGTTGTTACACATGCACCCTGCAGGTGAGGTCATGACGACAATCACCAACGTCTTTGATCGGTTTCTAGCAACGAGCTTACTCGATACATCTGAAGAAAAGAATGAAGAGTTTGACTTATAGCCGTTAAACATATCAATATTGGTATTCGTTACAGCAACTCCAGCTACCGATCGCCATTCTTTTGTCAACAAGATCGCTGGAGAATTACCCCACATCAGCAAGACATCATGGCGTACACGCTACCTTTCAAGGTACGAAGCCCACTCCTTGCCATCTGAGCAGGAAAAATCTTTACCAGTCTCTAGCTAAACCGCCCTGATCTTCTCATCACCGATTCTTATGTCGAAGGACAAACCAGAAGCGCTCTCTCTGGTGAAACATTTGACGTACTTGGTAAAACTAAACTCCCTCACCCCAGGTATAAGTATCGCCAACTAACTCAAAGATCAGACCCAGGAACAAGTAAACCATGGACCAAAGTCACCAACAACTCAGCAGATGATGTCGATGTCACTATTCGAATCGCCCACAAGGCATTCCAAACCTTCAAGAAGACATCACCACGAACACGTGCACAATGGCTTTACAAATGGGACGCACTCATCCGGGAGCACAAAGCCGATCTAGCCACCCTCTTGGTCTACGAGACAGGTAAACCGTACGTCGAGGCCATAGGCGAGATGGACTATTCCTTAACTTTTGTTGCTTGGTTTGCAGGCGAGGCGGAGCGAATCCAAGGAACCTGCTTCGCACCATCTGCACCTGATAGACGCGTCTTCACCATTAAGCAGCCGCTTGGTGTCGCGGTCGCGCTTGTACCGTGGAATTTCCCTGTTGCCATGGTCCTGCGCAAGGCCGCAGCGGCGTTGGCGGCTGGGTGTACCATGGTCGTTAAACCATCGCCGGAAACACCGGTTACTGCCATGGCTTTGGCAAAGTTGGCTACAGAGGCTGGCTTTCCCGATGGTGTTTTGAATATCCTGCCGACTAGCTTGGATAACACGCCTTCTTTGAGTGAAGCACTCTGCAAGCATGATCTGGTGAAGAAGGTCACTTTCACCGGATCAACCCGGGTCGGAACTCTTGTCGCAAATCACTGCAGTCCCGGTCTCAAGAAAGTCGTGCTGGAGTTGGGCGGCAATTGCCCTTGTTTGATCTTTGACGATGCCGATATCGAAGCAGCATTGAAGGAATTAGTCGGCCTCAAGTGGCGACACGCTGGTCAAACTTGCGTAACAGTCAATCGCTTCCTGGTCCAATCCGGCGTATACGATAAGTTCCTAGAGCGTTTCGTTGAAGAAACAGCGAAATACGTTGTTGGACATGGAGCTTCTGAGGGAACGACACTTGGGCCTGTGACAAAACCCGACAGCCTAGACCGAGCAGAAAACCTCATCAAAGACGCTGTTGAGAACGGTGCTCGGGTTGTGACAGGAGGCAAGCGTCTTTCTCCAAAGGGAGGCGAAGGAGGTTATTTCTTTGAGCCGACTATTCTCAGCAACATGTCGCATGATGCACGCATATCTTGTGAGGAATGCTTTGCGCCCATTGCGGCCTTCTACAAGTTTGAAACGGAGGAACAAGCCGTCAGAATGGCGAATGACACTCCCATGGGTCTTGCCAGCTACGCATTCACCAAGAACGCCGATCGTATCTGGCGACTATTTGAGAGTCTTGAAGCTGGAATGATTGGTCTAAATACCGGTAAGTACTTTGAACCTACTAAAGTTAACGTTTGCTGATCATAATGGCAGGTAATTCTTCCGCTGCTGAATCACCTTTTGGTGGAATCAAAATGTCTGGGTACGGAAAAGAGGCTGGGAAGGATGTGGCTGTGAGCGAGTACATGATAACTAAGACGGGCACCATGACGGTTGATGGCCTGGTATGAGGATATAATGAGAGGGAATATGGTGTTGAGTTAAAATGGATGATGCGATCTCAACACTCACACATCATGTGGGTGACAAACAGCATGTGTGTTGCACGAGACGTTGTGATCAGGTTAGCTTTATACTGCGTAGTCCCAATTCAATCTTTCTACTCCATCAACAAACATCATTATATCAACTGCTTCAGAGACTAGAACGATCTTAACTCAATCAAATAATTGTAGCATAGAACAAAGCCCCAATACTTCATTCTTCGGTACCCTCGGGAGTTGCCTCAAAACATATGCACCCTCCTGGAAGAATGAAACATAGCCGGTAAGAAACCCTTATTCTCATCCACACTCTCCACTGCGGTCTGCAGACTCTTGGGTGTCTTTTTCAGAACAGAAGTGGCCAAGTGCTTATCCAGATGCTGGGCATGCATCTCGCAGATCTTCTCATACGCCGCGAGGACGGTGTACTCGCCCAGGGCTGTGGCAGCTTCCTTGCCTTGGTCGAGAATATCATCAAAGAGCCCTTTCCCAGATTCCTCCTCGTCTGACTCTAGGTCTGGGTCTTTGTTCTCTTTGGGGTTTTCGTAGAATGGTAGCTTCAGTGTAGAAGACGACACAGACCCCATGCTCATAACCCTCTCCAGACTCTGGTTCCCTGCATCGACAAGCCTTCCATAATTCTGAGCAGCTATCTCTGAACCATTATTAAGCCTTTCCTGTCCCTTAGCTGCGCTGGAGGAACTCTCGATGTACCTATCCAATATGTTACACATCTTTCTCTTCTTCCGACCCATGTAGGTCTGCCAGGCATTCACAAGCCCAGGTTCGACCGCTGAGTTGGCAAAATCAATGTCTGTGGCGGCGATGCGATGTCCGTAAAAGGAATGTGTTGAGCCTAGCTCGAGGTAGCAGAGGAACCACTTGGCGCCTGGTGCCCCAGAGAAGCGTGCTAGAACCCATTCGCCTGCGACCAGTTGTAGTTGTGGTTCTTGGATGAAATCGATGATTCGCACGATGGCTTGCTCCTCTTTGGTGGGCTTGGAACCAGTGACTATCTTGTCCAGGTCTCTAGATTTATCATCCTTGGACAGAGGTCCATCTACCTTTAGCTTTGCTGCTCCCTGGATCTCCAGGTCGCCGTGAAGCTTTGTGGCCCTATCTTCTTTGATCACTTTGTCCTCGACTGTCTGTTCAACATCGAGCTGTTTCTTTAGCATGTGCTGCTCACAAGCAAAGTTCACAACCACGCTAGCGAACCCTGTACTGATCGTACACCAGCCTGAAATCTTTTGTTTTGGGCTACTCGCTCTAGCGACTTGCCTCAAGAGTTTCTCCCGATCGATCATAGTAACGATGATGCGCTGAATGTCGAAGATACCTTCGATACCGGAACTGTTGATGATGATTGGGTTGGGGCAAGTCAGGTCATTGAGAGAAGAGTGAGTCAATTCGGTTCCACAATTCCCTGTTGTTGACTCTATCCCAGTTGTCTTGACCTCGAGCTCTTGAATCTGGCTGGGCAACTGACAACCTCTCTCACCGCTGGGGTCCGGGGAGGAGATGCTCTTCAGATATCCTTTGACCGATAGATCTAGTGACATCCATTCAGGCACTTCGGGCGTGGTTGAATAATCTGGGCCAGAAGAAACTGGCTCTGGACTAACATGCTTCTCCACTGGTTCAGAACGGTGTCTCCCAAAGGATGGCTTACTGGTTCCTCCAACCCCAAATCCTGGTAGTTTGGGGGTTTTGCGACTAGAAGGAAGCTTCATGCTCGGCAGCGAGGGTTTGTTGAAGCCCCAACTGGGTTTCTCTTCAGAAAGCAGCGGCGTGTTTGTTTCCAAAGGCGGCTGCTTTTCGGTCGCCGGCGAAGAGGCAGTGGGTGGTATACAGAACTCCCGAATGTACTGTAGAATCTTGGTAATGCTCTCAAACTCGGGCTGAAGGTCATCGAAGCTGGACTTGCGAATGAAGGCAGAGATCTCCCGAACCCACTCCAAGGGAAGACCCTTGCGACCCTTCACCTTAATACAGTCTATAGCATTACGAAGCAGTGTGATGATACCTTGATAGGTTACCATGACCTCTTTACGCTTCCTCTGCACCTCTGCAGAAACCATCATACTATACCGCCGGCCACAGTCTTCTTCATTCCCATAAGCATTGTGGGAAGCAGGATACATCGATCGCCCTCGCACAGGGCTTCCCATATCCACTCCCGCCCAGTTGAAGACAGAGACGTCATTGTGACTGATTATAACCTCGTCGAGGAGGCGTGATAAAGCTTTGGGGTAGCCTTCTGCGTGGAAGGACTGGAATCGCACGTCGAGAATTCCCATTAGGGAATATACGTGGTCAACGGGCACCGTTGCTTTGCGTCGGCAAGAAAGTTGCAAGACTTGTTCGGCTGGGAATCCACTGCGGATGGTTCCTTGCTTCCAAGATTCTAGTTGGCTAACTTGGCCAAAGCTAGCGATTGTCTTTCGGTCTGATAGGATGTGGCCTTTTGTTTGAGAAACAACATCCTTTAGGAGGAAATTGATCACGTCTTGCGCTTCTACCTCAGCCGTCCGTCCTTCTGTTGCTGGTGTGGAAGGCATGTGATGCTTTAGCTCATCAAGGATCTTCGTCGCGCGTTCGCTTGAACGATTCTCCTCATCTCTCGCAAGGTTCCATGCTGCCAGATAAACAGAGCGGCTCATTTCAGACATGGCAGTCTCCACTGTCATATCTGTTGGGAATACAAATCCCAAAGCGTGAAGGATGGAGATGAGACGCACTGCCACCTTGACTTTCTCTGAAGCTTCCTGACCTCCATCGTCACTGTTGGTAATAGCAACTTCATCTTTGTCCAGGAGTGATTCAAGGGCCTCGGAGTTTGTGATGCCACTTAAAGCTTGTGCTTCAGCCTCCTTCGTTTCGATGGATCTGGCGTGCATGCTATATATATCACCGCGGGTGTAGAGCTCAACAAACGGGACCAAAGGATAGACGTATCCCAGGCTCTCGATAGGTCGGCTCAGTGACTTCCACTCCGAGTTTGTGAAGTAGGCCATCTTGCTCATGACTAGTTCTTGAAGTGTCCACGCACGGTTTGCCCATTCAGGGTTGGTACCATTAATGGCTTCGAAGCTCGGAATACCAGTGGTGTCGTCTTGTGCAACTTCTGGTTCGCCCTTGAACTGTTTCCAGTCACGGACGGCATCAACTGCGTTCCAGTCTGTGTCTAGATGCACTAGACAAAACTCAGCATTTGCATACCAATCACCCATGAGTGATAGTGACTGGGACAATTCTCCGTAGTTGAGCTTGTCGATGCAGCAGGTGTCAGACCACATGTAGCAAGCACCTTGCTTTGGGAATAGGTTTGTACGAAAGATGTTGCGGGCCTCATTCATTGAGTGGTCGAGTTTGATAGCTGACTTCCATCGCTGGAGACGGCTCATCATTTCGCTTATCGCGTCACCAAGTCGGCTGTTACCATGCAGGAATTCGGCTTCATCATTTGCCTTTTTCTGGTTCTCTATCCAGACGTTCAGTAGTACTTGAGCCTCTGCGTACTCGCTTTCTGCTTCATCCACCAGTGAAGAGGTGATTAGTTTTGAATCAAGAGTATCAGGGAGAGCGTCCTGGATCTCTTCTGTCGTGTCGTTGATATTTTGGTGTATGCGGCTGATCAGATGATCAAACATGTTCTTCTCCATCCGGCAGCGCTCAGCTTTTGCTTTCTTGGCATCCCGGTTTTGCCTTCCCCAGTTGACTTGGGCCTTGGCATCATCGGCATTGATTTTCATCGTCAAAAGGTCGCCAACAGTCATGCCTCTGGAGTTACTGCCCAACAAAGACATGATAGCCTCTTCTTGCTCCATAACATCGATCCGGGACTGCTCTAGAACAATATGGATGTCATCATCATGTTCTGGCAGTTGCCCACTTCTTGCGCGCTCAAGGTGCTTCTCTCTTGCTCGCTTGATGTGGGCCAGAGTGATTTCATCTCCCTTCCATCGATGCGACAACATGCAGTATGAATCTAAGGAACTTGTGTTCCATACATCAACCAGATTTCCTGTCTCGAGATCAATTAGACGTAGTGGCCGTTGGGTTTGCTCTGTGTCTTTGTGATCAACGAAATCAATGTCCTGTAGCCCACTGAAAGCATGGTTTGGTGGCTCAATGAAGGTTGGCTTGAAGTCTGGCACAAACCACAGGTTCAAGATGGTACGGAGCTTCTCAGGGCTGCCACCGATCTCATCAAACAGCTTCTTGAGATGCTGCGGGGTGAGGTCGGTGTATGTGCTTAGGTCAGTGACCTTTGCTATCTTCTCGGTGATGCTGTCCATGGCTGATATGTGATTGAAAGTTGGTCTCTCTCATCAGTAAGTTGGTTAATGGAAAGTTTTGACTGACTTGATTGTTAAGTGTTTGATCAACGGTGGCATATCAAGATTTCTGCCGATAGCTAGCTACCAAATCCCTAACGTGACAGGTCAACGAGTGTCCCACAGCAGCTGGAACCACTGCATTTCAATTGTCGAGCTACAAGTTTGACAAGTCGTTACTGGTGGCCGTGAGCGCTTGTGATTGGCTTTGATGCTGATCTATTTGCTGACATGCCTTTACCAAATGCTACGTTAGCCAGCCACAGATTACCATGACATTCCATTTTCTATAGCTGATCGACAAACTCGGGCGAGCTGAACTCCAGCTGCATATGCATCAAAGCTCCAATCATGAGTTTAATTGTTACGACAACATTCACCGGTAATGTCCTGAATGACCTGAGCTCTGTCGGCAGGTCCTCATCTTCACCTCCGGCACTTGTGATTGGATCTGGGCATGGACCCCCTCACTCAGCTGTCAACAGTCTTGCACAAAAGGGCTGCCCGGGATAGACTATTGAACAGGGAAGAATTCCTATTGGCCACCAGCTTCATAAAATTGCTTGGACGGCAGTTTGAAGCAGTACAATCCGGCATTGCAACGGGGTTGCCCGGCCTGGTGAAAAGGTCCGCATGACACTAACGAAAGAATATTGAAGCTTATGGTGCATCCTTCTCATCGCGGATGGATGATGGTCTGATTATGTGGAGCATTTTCTTCTTGTTTTCTCTTGCCTGGAGAGACTTTGGAACATTCATCTCCAAATTGACGATGGCCTCTTATCACCGGGTTCTCGACACATTCGATAGATCAGTCAATTTGAAGAGCGTTGAGTGCGATTAGTATGTACACTACCAATCTATTCCAGTACTTAAACTCATGCTTTTCAGTGATATACACCCGTGGGACATTCTTGTGGATGGCTCGCGATGGCAGGGCAAAATTCGCCTTGTAGGATTTGTCGACGTCTTCTTTCTGATCTGTTACTCGGGAGAGTCTCGCTTTGAGAAGGGCATCATCATATACAGTAATCCCTCTTCGGTTTAAAATTGGTTGAAGACTAACAACCTATAGAGGACGATGTTTTTATCCGTAACATCTTACGGGAAGCCAATGTCACAGCCGCAGAGCTGAGCCTTGAGGTCATCAACGAAAGTGAGATCAAAGCCGCACAAGCCAAAGGTCATGGTATGTAGAGACAAACTCACTGTCAGTTGCATGACTTATTGACATTTAATCCACAGAATCAATTCTTGAGAGGCACTTCAAGTTTCAAAGCATCAGAGGTGGTCTTGATTATACGATCACCAGCCTCGGACACGAAATAGGAGTCAAAACCAGGTACGAAAAGACGGATCTGAAACGATTTGAAATCAAGATCCGAAAAGGCAGAGACTTTGCCATGAAAAGTAAGTACAGAGGGCAAAACCTCACTGCAAAAATGCTGATAAAGATGTAGAACGCATTCGTCGCGGAGTTTCCCAGCACGACTTGTTCGACTTGATGCATGATGCTATTCGCCTAGGAATCATCACGCACGCTGAGCTCATTGGACATATTGTTGGAAAGACAATTGGTGGTACAACAGTGGAAGATATGGGCTCCAAATATTTTGAGGCCATCACCGGGGCTAAAAGCTCGCAGAACTTGGCGTTGGCAGCGGACAGGTAATGCTAGTGAGCAGCAAGATAGTGTGAGGGTGAGGTGTAGGGTAGTCAGTCCTGAAATGTGGTTGGTGGTTGTTCTGCAGTCTGCGTGACCTTTTGCTGCAACTCCTCTCCACTTCAATCCCTGCGCGTCCTCAAAAGTGGAATAGTATGTCGCAATCACAGCGTTACGAATACAACTATGATTGGGCAACCATACCCTTGTCCGGCGTAAGCGCCAGCATCAGCTCCGTGCGTGCTGACTAGTCCTAGAGTCTTCAGGGGCAGTAGAGCAGGGGTCTGTCGCGTCAGATTATTGCAACCGTCACAGAATTCAGCCAGCCTCATTCAATTCTCACTCATTACTCTTTTGCCTAGCTCCGACTAGAGTCTCGGGAGACGCCAAGTATTTGATAGCGTCGAGGCTTGATTGTAGTTCCCGTCCTAATTTCCACCAGGGGTCACACTTTCAGCATGTCTTCAACAGCTGTCCCAGACTCAAGCTCAGGCGGCGGCGATGACAACACTGAGCTCATCGTCGCCGTTGTCGCCCTAGTCATCTCCGTATTGGCCTTTGTCATCGCCATTCTTCAAGCAGCCCAGCAGTACCTCGCCACTGCCACGGGCTTCTCCTCCTGCAGCGAAGCCGTCATAGGGAAATGGGCGCAGTTTGCCCGGCGCCAGATGGTCTGGTCAGAGTTCCGCTTCGAGGTCCAGTTCGAAGCTCCCGTTATCTTTGTCGCCAGGCCAGGAAACACCAGAGGCCCGCTGGGCGACGACGCTCTCGCCAAGGAGGAAAGGCAAAAGATTATCCGTCTGGACGGCAGCAGTGACAACTTCAAGTACACCGATAGTGTCAAGGAATATGACGACAAGTACAAGAAGAGCACGCAACAGGTCGTTCACACGGCTGACAATGAAAAGGCCACCTGGAGTGCCCTTCTCATGGCTATTGTTCGAATGGAAAAGGAATCTCGTGAGTGGCAAGGCAAGAAATCTGCAGAGTGGCGCAAGGCGACTGGCCCTCGCCCACCACTTGATAGCTCGACGTCACCCGAAGAGCCTCACGCTCACCACTCGCTGCTTGTCTGTATGCAGAGAAAGAGACGTACCTGGGATAGCATGCCCAAAGACTTTGCTAAGCCCTACGCTACCACCACCATATCTCACATTGTGGAGATTGCTGGCATGCTTGGTATCCACTGGAGGCAATTCGACCTAAACAACGACCAGTATCGCGCCCAGGGCAACGGCTTTGTCGTATACGGTTCATACACGGACGGTCTTGGTATCTGCTTCAACTTCCAAAAGCAGGGGCCGACGTGGTTCGAGAAAAACCGTGTAGTGCCTAGCTACAACGTCAAGCAGCTTTGCTTCGGCATGGCTCCTACAATCTTTTACCGAGAGCGAAAGGTTTATGCCGACGAGGCTAAAGGCGCCGAGAGTCTCCAGCTGGGGAGTCTTGCTGAGATAGCAAAGTCACTTGTAGTTCTTGGCTGTGATATTAACACTGTCGGCTATTTCCGCAAAAACACTGACCAAGCCCGCTACAGCCATCTGTTTGCTAGTAAGTTATTCCACGTTGAAGACTATGTGAACAAGGATTGACCTGGAATAGTTCCTTTCGAAGTCCTCGGCATGGTCGGAGAGATGCTCCACGTAAAAGACACTGTCTTCCGCATGCTTCCAAACCCAACTGTTTTCTACTGGGATCCCAGCACGTTCTCTCTACCTACGCTACTTTCCGAGTTCATCACCTCGTTGAGGCTTCTTCGCGAAAAGTCTTTGCACGAAAGCGAGCAAGTAAACCGAATACTTGACTGGGCAGAAAAAGACAAAAAGTTCCCACTCCTGCGAACCGAGGGATCAACGCTCGACGTTTTTGGTGAAGACATCAATGGAGCTACTTTGGTCAACGGCCTCAACCATCTCCGTGCGGGGATCGAGCTATGCGACGACTACGTTGGGAAGATGAAGAAACCGGGCTTGTCTATGGTTAAGAAAGTTGTGTGTGCGCATATCCAAGAGATTATGAGTATTCTACACGAGAAGAAGGAAACCGACGACAACACCAAGAGCGACATTGTCGACAACGCTTTAGACGATGAACCGATCACTATCCACGATATTGATTCAGCATCAGCAGACGAGAAAGAAAGTCTGCTGATTCAGATGTACTTTGATCGCGTACGACAAAGTGTCCTTAGGACTGTTGCGAAACAAGGCCTTCTGAGTAAGCACTTACGAGCCAGACAAGACTCCTTTGCGTCTGGAAAAGTCTCAAACAGCACCAACTCCAAACCTGCCAAGGTGTACAAAGATGAAGATGTCAGTGAGGCTTGGTGTACGCTTGTGTTCCGTATGCTGTGCTGGTTGCAGCTGCATGACTTCCACAAGATGGATATGCATATCAACAAAAGCGATGCTTACGCAAGTCGAATCCCGGTGTATATTGTCTAGTCGTATGCGACTCGGTGATGGGCTTTCAGCTTGGATTGAGAGCGGTTTGTTTCATACTGCTTATAGTATATGGCGATTGTGGAACTGATCAAGCGTGTTATTGTTTGATGATGATATGATAAGATAGTTGGACGCATTGAATAGATAATTTATCACGTGCAGCTCTGGATTACTCTGTCCTTGGTTATAGATCACCTACACTTGATCTACGGTTAAACACCAGTACGAAATACTACGATTACCAAAATAGTCTTCAGGTTCAGTCGAAGTAATGAACGTCTCCTCCACTCTCAACCCCACTCCCACATTGCTCGTGATAGCGGCTTAGACAACTAAACGTGACAATGTAACTAAAGTCGATGAGACTTATGAGATGGACTTTCAGAGCACATTAACGCATATTGAACCGGGTGTCTTCGATGCCAGGAGTCAACATTATCCTCAAATTTCCCACTTCATATTAAAATGTGACTAGTAGACTTAGAATAATGCGTGGATTGATAAATGGCTTGTCATTGATGTTGGTCAGCCGAAATCAGGAACAAACACAGTCGCAGACTCAATAATGCGTATTCAATCCTGTGACATGTTTTGGCCGATAGGTGTAAGAAAGTGAAACGGCTCGCATGGATTCTGCCGATGCGGACAGCTCTTTTGCTTTCATATTAACAGTATGGTTTTATTCCTTGCTGTTTCAAATCTCTTGGATCATAAGATCGATAAGAATATTACCTCCTGTAGCAGCAGCCATAGACCCTAGACTGAGGAGGAAGTAGTCACCGAAGAGTTGAAATCCTAGGAATTGGGTCCATACACCACCAGTAGGATTGCATACTGGGTCGTTTTCATCGTTAAAATCTTCAATGCAAGTCATAGCTGGCGCACTGCATTTCAGAGCGCCTCCATCAGCCTGTCCCTGGTCGCAGGTGACGGGTGCCTCGTTGGTGCGGGGGGATGCGTTACAAACATAGAGCGAAGCTGATTCAGAGCCACCATAAAAGCCACATATCTTGGAGCCGTCGACGATAAGGGCACCAGTACTTGCATCGATAGAAAAAACACCCGCTCCCACGCCGGAAGGGTTATGTCCGCCCAAGGTTATGGTGCCATACTGTGCAGGTGGAAGTCTGGCTGGTGTACCACTTGCACCGCCGCCCTGGCCGATTGCGTTGAAGTTCCCAAGAACTGGAAGGGACGTAGAGGTAGGAGAGGCAGTGGATGAGGTCGCGACATCTAAGGTGACTGAAGATGTGACGGAAACAGTAGCTGTATCAGCCGAGGTAGGTACCGATTCAGTGACTGACAGACTCGTTGGCTGAGAGGAAAAGCTTGTGTCGGTAGAGGAAGGCACAGGTAGTGTAGAAGTCTGGGAAGTTTGTAGCGAAGTAGATGAGTCAATTGTAGCTATATTTCTGGTGTCAGCACACAAATTCTTGAGAGCTGATGTGTTCTCAAGACCTACCAGAAGTACTTGGCTTGCATGGACTTGCTACCGTGCCCAAGGCAAGGGCCAGCGTAACCAAAATGTTGCAATGCATTGCAATGGAATTGATTGATTAATGAGAGACAAGAATGTAAATAAGAAGAAGAGTTGGTATTGTTTAGATGGTGAGCATGGCAGGCTTGCTCTTTATCTTTTATTACCGTAGGGGGCAGCAAGGAAATAAACGCCACTTCATTTAGTGACAGCGTATTAGCGAAGAATTAGTGAAAACTAAGATCCGTTATTGATAGTTTTGTTAACAGGACTCCACCCAGCTCTGTCAATCCGACAAGCATGCTGGCTAAGGCAATTGAAAGACAAGTTCTAGAATAACTGGTGGCGCTGGAATATTTCCACCTTGGCCAATAAGAGATAAATAACATGCTATTTATTTACTTGAATTATGACTTTAGATTAGTCTCTTCGCTATTGAGAAACTATTGGTATTCGCTTAATATTCCACCTTACATCACCTTATTTACTCTTTACCAGTGAATATTTTCATTTTTTAATTCTTATTCTTAGATCTAAACTTCCCTTAAAACATTTTAAAATCACCTAATCTACTAAACTACCAGTTTCAGCCTAATGATTACTCGATTCTTTTACCGACTCTAAAGAAACCGTAATTGAAGTCCTGTATATCCATGATCTCAATTAAAGAGGCGGCCTAGGCGGGGATGGCTAATGTATAACTAAAAACATGTATGAGTAACTGTTTTTTTTCCTACTCTATGGTACGTTCCTCCATTATTGCCTTGAAATTATATATATAATATATATAGTACCATACTATAATTATACATTTAATTCTTGTTAAGATCAATGTCATACAACTATATGTAAGAGATTCTACGTTGCTTGAAGCCCTATCTGCACCTGCTATAGGTGTATAACTGCGGCACTGTCAGGGCTGGAGTCTAGCTGATGTTGAAATCTGATTCATCTTATAGATATAATAAATAAAATCCTTCCCAGGCATTAAGAGCCTCACTCGGGTCCATTCCACCCGCTGCGTTGGAGCCAATCCTCGAAAGTGCTGGCCTTTAGCCCAAGCTCCTCGAAAGTGTCATTCATCTTCTCATAGTCCATAGCTCCAAAGCAGACCTTGTCCGCTGGTACCACAGAGGCCCATTCCATCATCTTTTGTGCATCCAATTTGAAGGCAGGGCCGATGAAGGGGGCTGTCAACTCGCCAAACCTTTCCGGGCTGATAGGATTATGAATTGCAGGCTGACCAGTAACTTTGGTAAATATCTGGGCCATTTCCTCGGGGGTAATGGGCTCGCTCAAGACGAGATATGTCTTGCCAGCGGTCTTGTCAACTCCCAACTCAAAAACCTCTGCATAGCCGCAGTCAGTTATGTTATTGCCTATGAGCATGCATATGACTTACTTGCGGCAAAATTGCCCATGTCGTAGATTGGGTCGGTCCACTGAGCAACCTGTTTGCTGGGAATGGCGGTACGGAACTCAACCACACCATCAGCTAGTGAGGCATTAGTTGGTCTGTGAGATTTGCCGCATTTTATATGCCACCAATTGCAGACATTACTTACATAGACGCTGACTGTAATGAGGCCATCTCATATTTGTATAAAAGAAGCCTGCGTGAAGAATCAAAGAATTAGCTAGAGTCCTATATTGGGTCTTCAAGAAGGACAAACCAGGAATAAGACAAGTCACGCCGGTCAAGTGCTCCTTTGCAATCTCCTCGATGGCATGCTTGTTATTCATATGATGAATTCCGAGGAACTGCCCGTTAGTTGTCTTATCCATATCAGGTAGGCTACTGAAGACGAAGTGCTTGACGCCAGCTTCTTTTGAAGCTAAGACCATGTTGCGACCCGCCTCAATCTCGTGGGCCATCTCGGCCTCCTCGACCAAGACCCGACCAGTGCCGGTCTCCGAAGTGACGGCGAAAACACCATAAGCTCCAGCGAACGCCGATCGCAGACTACTCAGGTCATAAGTGTTGCCCTGAGTTAAGCTGAGGCGGCCTGCCTTAACATCGTTGGTGCTTTCATCAAGGAGTGCTTTGGCCCAGGGAGAGCTCACGTCTCGCGTCAGGGCACGGATGTGCCAGTCCTCACCAGAGGCTAGCAGAGCGCGAATAGTGCCCTTGCCTTGGTGACCCGTGGCACCAGTGACAACAATGATTCGATGCGCTTTAGTGGTTGACATATCGATAAGTTTAGAGCTTGTCCTATTGAGTTTGGTTCAAATCAGATCCGGGAATAAATTTACAGGCTTTAATATTAGCGATTTATAGTCACAGGCTAGTAAAATAATACTGATTGTTTTCTTATTATCGCCGAGTATGTGATAACGTTAGTAGTAGATTTTTAATCGACCCATCTATTTCTAAGCAATGATTTCTAAGCATGTGTCTATAAATATTTATTTTAAGTACATGCTTATAATTACTTCTTCATAGGGCTTACTATTAACTAAGGCCTAACTCTGCCCTACTGACTGGGCAAAGGAAATAGAATTAAAGTATTCCTTAACAGTGTTGTTTTGAAACGCTTAAAATTGTACTAGGAACAGTAATGCTGTTTGTATTTTGTAAGGTTAAAATACGAATTACCTTTAGTAAAGTATCTAATTAGGAGTAGTTTATACTATAGGTCTATAGCTTTTAGCGGTGATCCCAGGTATGTTAGGTAGCGAGTTATCCCTAGTTCATCCCAACTATCTCTCTCCTCCTGGCTTGCAACCCATATAACACCTAACATACCTGCCGCATTAGCACCTTTATTAGCCACAGAATTGGCCTCACGTCCGTGACGCCGGGGTATCAGGCAGAGCCATTCTTTGGTCATTGCAATGTTGTAGTCCAAACCAAAGGAAGTGGCTTTGTTATTCTTAACACTCTCCGCAAGTAGCCGTTGATAGTCCTTGTATATGCTGTCCGGGTTTGGATTTTCTGGAAGACGTAGAACAAAATGCTGGTATGGAACTCCCGCAATGTTGCTTGCAATCTCTAGAACCCTATTAGTATTGTGCTTTGAGGTCTCCTATAAGACAAGACGAGACATACCTTTAGTCGAAGCTGCAGAGTCGGGAAATAAAGGGAATGGTTCAGGCTTCTCAAACACTTGCATGTGTTTATGTCCTTGCGAAGAACCTGAGTTAACACCGCAGTTGTAAATCATCATCTGAGGCCCTTGGTGTTCCAACGAGCTCATAACGGTCAATGCAGCGGTAAAATCAGTTACATCAAGGTCGTCTGTCTGAGGTGCAAAGTGCTTCGTATGTAAAACAAATTGCGGCCGGTAAACAGAGTACATATTCAGTTCAAGCACATGGTGGGGATTAACATAGGCGACAACAAAGTCTGGATCTGGGTTTAAAAATGGCCCTCCTAGACCTTTTCGAGCCTCAGAGTCTGCGGGTAGGATAGGTTTCTTTTGCAAACTGTTGCAGATTCGAAACTCGACCTGCCACATTGTAATTGATTAGTACTTGTGTTGGCCTACAAGACATCCTTGGCCTAACCACAAACCTTGATTGCTTCTCCATCGACTATCTCACTGGTACTTGGCCCATAGAGCAGTCTGCCTTGTTTGACGAGGTCATCGAATCTAGCATGAGCAATCTCTGCAGAAATTTCCAGTGAAGACATATCCGATACAACGCGCAATTTACCAGGCTAGATGCTTAGAATGGAAGTCCACAAACCCCATGTAAGATGTACTGAACCCCGCAGAAAAATGCCTCGGGATATGCCTGACTAATCCTCTTTCAAGTCGGGTACCATGATATTCCTTCTCCGAAACAAGAAAGGCGGCTCGCTGCTGCTTTGAGGCCCTTTCCTTGCCACAGCCTCGCGACACAGCCACCATCTGCACCACCCACTCAGCCCCCGTACCAGGTCCAGCTCCATAATTAAGACCATCTCTATCGCAAAGTAAAGTTGTTTCACGAGTATATCAGCCTTTTATAAGGTTCCTGACGTAATGCATTTAAAACGAGACATTGTCACGACCAGCACACCTTTTCATGTTCCTAGAATGTCACCAGTGAAGTAGGCTGGTGAGCTCGGGTGGCACACTCAAAGTCGGTCGAAGCTGACTATTTGCACAATTGTGTGTATGGCTTGACTGCAGACGCCAATATGTCAAGTCGTAGGTGGCGGTTGCGATGTCTCGAAATCAGGCACACTGAAGAGGCCTATGTTTGCGAATGAGAAAGGAAAACAGCCCACGAGGTAAATTTATAAAAAGACAGGTCTACCCCGATATATTTCCGTAGAAAACAGATTTCTCTGAGGAATATAGCACAAAGCTACAGCAGTTCACATTAGTACCTTAAATCCACCCGAGGAAAAGATAGAACGCAGTGAAGATGCGTCGCCACTCATTGCCCGAAGTTCACAAGCTTAGGCAAGCTCCTCATCCTTTTATTCCTCGCTTAGCGAGCAGTTTTAAGGATGTGGAAAGGCAGGATATTGATCCTTTGCAGTACCCAACTGCCGGTCAGGATAGTTTCGTCCCATCGCTCATCGATATTTCCTATATCCAGGGTATTCTTGCGAATACAGAGAACTTTACACAGAAGTCCTCCTGTGAGATATTTGAGTTACAGAGCTCATCATCCGACATGGCAGCTGGACATTGGTTTAAGGCAGCGGACGATGCAGATATCCAGGGGTTTCTCGAAGTAAGCCACCACTGCGCTTCTTTATTGTCAAGGAATATTTCTCTTAGAATCGGAATATTAAATTAATGGTGCTTCTCAGACAACTTGAACGACCACCGAGAATGGTACTGTCCGACTTCGCGTAATGTAAGTTGAGAATGAAGTATTCTGCAAGCTAAACTCAGAGAGACTAATCCTTTATAGATTCTGCACACTCACGACCCGTTCCCAGACCAGCTTCGGACATAAACTCTCGTTAAGCCGTGACGTCACTCTGGAACTGTTATCGTCTCTGGACATTTGCCCGCATATCTGCAAGTCTCTTTTAGGAGAGCCGGATTACTGGGTGCCCTTGGAAGTTCATTCTCGTAGTTCATAGAGTCAACTGCGCTCTTCAGGTTAGTTGTAGTTTCTGGCATACGCTAAGTCGTTTGAGAGCTTAAACTAACGCCATTGATTAGTCTTTGCTTTTCAACACCCCCGGTATACGATTCATGTCCGACAGCAGCCGTGCTCTAGCTACATCGGATATGATGCTGCTCGAGATATGACTACATGTGTGGTCAGTAGCGGAGAAGAATAACTCTTTGTGGAACGTACCAAGGTTCGCATAAAAGATTACTTTGCCAATACCCTTAATGAGCCTGCCAAGATTGGACCTGAAGCATTTGATCCTTTCCTTATCCAAAGCATTCTCTGCCAAGAGTCACTCCTTGCAGCTAGGAAGCCCATAACTGAGTTACGCCATCGCTTGCACGACGTTCTCGATGTAGTAGGCGAATATTCCAAGGAACCCTTCGACCGGAGCAATCTCAAGGAAATGACGGATAAACTCCATAAGGTATCTCAGGACGCGGACTCTCTCGCAGCCAGCGTTAAGATGGGTTTGATGATTGCGCAGAACAGCAGCCGAGGTTGGAATGCCATCCGAACCTCTAGACTAACTCGATCCAAGTCAGGAGGTAGTACTATTGGAGACTCGCTAGATTACATAGCCAGGTCCTTAGAGTCCCAGCTTCGATGGTTGCAAACCTACAAATCTCGCAAGGACATTGCTATGAATCTCATTTTCAACTTGGTAACTCAACAAGACAGCGAGACTAGTACCAGCATTGCTCGGGACACCAAGGACGACAGCGCAAGTATGAAGATCATTGCCGTGCTCACTATGATCTTTCTTCCTGCAACTGCCGTGGCGACCGTCTTCGGCATGTCCTTACTCGACGTCAAAGACGATGGTACGCTTCGCGTGTCGGATTTAACTTGGCTTTATGCCTTGGTCACTGTCCTTTTGATAGTCACTATCTTCCTTTTTTGGCTTTACTGGTATTCTATTCTTTATGCTATATCTCAGTGTAGAAGAAGGCAGAAAAGGTCGATTTCAACTTCGATGGATATTGCCTAAGGATGGGTATGTAGAACTTTAGTCTTTCGTTTATCATAAGGTTTACTGAACATTATGAGATTAAATATTTTATCACTTTAGAGAACCTGGACTGGTGGCGAGAGGTGTATTGGGTGATCTGGGCTGACAGAGAGCAGCGTGTTGTCTTATTGGTTCACAATAGTTGATATAGCTCTCGGTTAAGCCTGGCCTGAGCTGAGTAGTACCCTTGAAGTGCGAGGGATTCTAGACACCAATCCGGGAATCTCGTAAGCTTACCCATCGCGGTTGAGTATCCTCCGCAGTAAGCCTTCCTCACTCTTAAAATAGCGAATTGCTAGATTGGAATAATATCAAGCTATTTTCCGTTTTGTAGATAATCAAACTAAATATTGATTCCCTCGCTACAATAATGCAGCCTTGCATCATTCACAGCCTGAATTATGCGTTGGGGGCTATGCACCAAACAGGGGGCTATGTAGATATCACGTGCGAGGCGTCTTGCATGCAGCATGCAGCATTTACGTTCAAGGCTGTGAGGCTGAATCGCTCTTGCGAAAAACAATGCTCAAGAAACGGCAGGGTACGCGGTAGGAAACACTTACACTCCACGCAAACATGCACTTCCACCTACAGCGACTTTCCAAATTGTTTTCCAAGCGAGGGAATGGCGATAGCGAAGTGACTGGGGCGTCTTTCAACGGAACGGACGCGCCCGATGAATCGGCACCAGTTGATCTGAACGGCAAGAAGCAGGATTCACAACAGAGCGCACGCCAGCCGAATGCTGAAAATACAGGTCGTTTGGAGACCGCGGGCACGTCCGACGAGGCTCAATCTCCTTGTGGCATAAGAGAAGTGGTTTCCCAGTCAAATGAGAATCCCAATTGTATCGATATAGTAGCCATTCATGGGCTTAACGGGCATCGCGACAAGACCTGGATTGACAAAGTAACCCGACTGAATTGGTTGGAGGACAAAGAGTGCCTCCAGAAAGACTTCCCAACAGCTAGAGTTCTTACGTTCGGCTACAACTCCAGGACGTACTTCAGCCGATCCATCTCGGATGTTCGAGACTTTTCCTCTGAGTTGCTTGCCGCCCTAAAAGCGTGGAGGAGGAGCGCAGCAGAACAGTCCAGGCCTCTCATCTTCCTATGCCACAGTCTTGGCGGGTTAGTATTCAAGCAGGTACTCATGCCACTCAAGCAGAGCTCGGATCGAAGATCGTACTAATTTGTCTCGTAGGCAGTTATCGATGCTCACGAGCAAAACCACCATTACTCTAACATCCTAGATAACATACATGGAGTTGTGTTCTTTGCTACTCCTCATCGTGGGTCCGATCTTGCCTTCTGGGATGATATCGGTACTACGTTAGTTCGTATAAGTACACTTGGCCACTCGACAAACACAAAACTGTCCAGAGACTTGAGAGTTAACGGAATACTCCTTAAGTCTATCTCTGATTCATTTGTTCATAGGGGAGGGAGGTTTAAGATCAGGAGTTTCTACGAGACACAGCAAATGCAAAGCCTTCATTGTGAAGTAAGTAACGATTTCCGAGTGGTATGTAGAGAGATCAAACTGACCATTTTCATAAAAAGGTGGTCAGAAAAGATTCTGCTATACTGGGATGGCCAAATGAACTTGCCATAGCTGCATCAGCCCATCACTCCAATATCTGCAAGTTCCCATCTCCATCTGACCAACGATATCAGAACACAATTTCAGCCATTCAAGAATTGATTGGTGGCTCAAGTAAAGGCGCTGCAATTCTGGGGGATCAAGTGCAACAACAATCACCTCAAGAACACCAAGGATTTACTCGACGGGAGGCTGAGTGCTTGCGAGCATTGAATTCTAACTATGAGGGCCACCTAGCACAGGTGGAAGATCCTGTGCCTGGTACCTGCGAATGGGTCCTATCGCATGACAAATGGCGCCAGTGGGACTCGTTGTCAACTCCAGCTCTCCTCTGGATTACAGCTGGTGCTGGTTGTGGCAAGTCGGTCCTCGCCAAGTTTCTCGTTGAGCATTTGCTTTCACAGAAAGACTCGTATCCTCGTAGGCATGTTTTTCACTTTTTCTTTAAAGAAGGGCTCGAGAACCAAGATAATGCTTCAAAAGCCGTGTCTGCCCTTTTACATCAGCTGTGCTGCTCCCAACGTCACATCATTGAACACGTTGTAGAGAAGTACACTAGCACGTCGACTAGGTTATTCAACCAATTTTCTTCCCTGTCAGCCATCCTCATGACTATTCTGAAGGACCCAAGAACAAGAGATATCGTATGGGTTTTGGACGGTCTTGACGAATGCGATAGACAATCGCTCGAGCAACTCATCAAGGCTGTAGCTGCCTATTTTGATTTTCAGTCGACAACAAAAGGTTCAAGAAGCTCCGCGTGTTGCTTCAAAATGGTTATTCTCAGCCGACCGCATAATCTAATACAGCAGAAACTCCATTTGCGACGGAAAGAAGACCCTTTAGATCCACTACCAGCGCCAGCAGTGGAATCTCGCAACAAAATGCGACTTATTGCGGAAGAAGAGAGTGTAGCGATTGCGAAAGACACCACCTTGTTTGTTCGTTCTAAAATCATCGAACTGAGAGAAAATTCTGATCTTTTCCCGGACGTGCTACAGCGCCTCGAAGAAAGGCTGATCAATGGTGCTGACTTCACCTTTCTGTGGATATCCCTCGTGATCAAACTTGTCGAGGATACGGAAGTCGATGGTATCTCGATGGCTGAGCTCGAGTCCATCCTAAACACAACGAGCCTCGACGATGTATATGAAAGATTTCTGTCAGGCAGGCCATTACCGTTGAAAGCTCGGAAAGCGTTGATGCTCGTGCTGGCTGCTGTGCGACCGTTGACACTGAAGGAACTGTGTGTTGCAATCGAGACACGACAAGATCATTTCCCCCAGACCAGTGACGATGCGCAAGCCCGGGAAAGATTAAATAAGTATGAACTGGATGAGAGCAGTTTAGGAAAGCGAGTGAGACTAGGAGAAGGCCCAATTTCAAGCAAAACTGGGACCCGGGGGCTTGGAAGTGATGCCAGGGATAGGAAACTCGAGGCTCATCAGACCATGAGGGGTCGCAATACCAAACTCGATAAGACTGATATTCCTATGCCTGGCTCACATAGCTCGGCCAAGATTTCAAGCCTGAGTGCCTTGAAAGATGTTCTTCGGAAACCTTTCTCCAACCACCTGCGCCAAATATGCGGGCACTTTCTGAGAATTCGAGATCGCAAAGTATACCTGGTCCATCAAACAGCTCGGGAGTTCTTACTAGGCCGATATAACACAACAGTTCCAGAGACCGGTTTATTTGAAGCAAGAGTCCGCGAAACACCATCCCGCGATCATATGGCGAGAGCATCAATGGACACCTCGGGTGATATGCAGGTTTCAATTGGAACTCTTCCATGTCAGGCCTGGCGCCATTCGATAAAACTAGCAGATGCAAACCGTTATCTTCTCCAGATTTGTGCCGACTATATCGAGCTTTTTGCTTTTGAAAGGTCTGGAGGAAAAACTCGATGGGCGAACAAAGATGCTATAGCTTATCTCAAGGAGTGCCGCGATGACCCACCACGCGCCTTCTTCAAATACGCCGCCTTTAATTGGATCGATCACTACCGACCAATTCGCCAGTCCTTTGACTTCTCTTTCGACTACCTCTTAAAGCCGAGCGAACAGCATTTCAAGGTTTGGATCATCGTTCACCGCTCCTGGGTACCTGAGGAGGAACGGCATGAACTAGAAGCAGGAGGGATCCCTATACCCGACGAATTGAAAAAGTCCAAGGAGTCAGGTGAAAAGGTTCGGGTCAAATGGTCCAAAGACAGCATGCATGCAAGGGCGCTGAACAAATCGGATAAGAGGGCGGCAGACCTCGAAGGCGTATTGGAACATTTTCATCTGAACCCCGAAGCAGAGACGGAGACATACCGTAGCCAGTACCTAGACGGAGATCAGTACTGGAAGAGAGATGAAGATCACCAGCTCAAATCAGTAGATGCTGATGATTATGATAGAAGAGGAGGTGAAGAGGATGAAAGCAACACGGCTGGGATTGAGAACTGGAAGATACCTGACAGGGTACAATTCTTCTGGCGTCAGAATCGCAGAGAGGTATTGGAGACGTTAGAAGAGGTAAGTAATCCATTCTCGCCAACGGGTGGAAACCCGACATCGTATTTTACAGGTATATTAGCCAGGACGCTGTAGAAACTTCTGAAACTTTCATCTTTAGTTATTCCTTTGTGGTTTTATTTTCAATCTGTATTAGTCCTAGACTTTCTATTGTCTAATGAGTATAACTAGTATGAATAACCTGTGATAAGGTTAAAAGTTAGTATAATTATAATAGTAGAAGTAATTCAACGTGAACGAGCTCTAGTTGAGTAAATATATATATAATAGAGTGGTAGGTCAACTAAAGTATGTAAAGGGACTTATGGCCTAGGTAAAGGCTTTTTATAGCTTTGGGAAATATAGTTAAAGTAACTAAACAATATAATAGGTAACTATGGTATTACCTTCTAGTCTATAGAAAGACCTTTATTATTGATATCTCTACAGACTTTGTTAAGATGCCTAGATTCATTTTTCAACTTACTACCTAACTTTACATAAATATTAGAAAGTGAGGAAGTTTCAGAATTGTTAATTAAGGCGTGTCAACTATGTAAATGACGTAGCTAACTTATTTAAGCTGATATTATCCAGTGGGACATCAAGAGCGGTACGGATAGATAACGGCCGAATGTTCTGGGGTGTATGATGATCTGAAACATTTCCTACCTCAGTATAGCTCTTCTTTCTCCTTGAAATGTGAGCATGACTGTGGCGGTCAATGTATCATCTGTCAGATGACGGGCAAATGTGTTTTGAACATCTGTTCACTCTGAGCAATGCCAGTATGTTCATTTAAGAAGAGAATAATGTTGCTAGCATTTGGGTACCCTCTAAGCTCTTCGCGATTACCATATTCCTGGCCAAACACGTATTTATTCATCACTAAATTTCAGTCATTCCTACCCTGTTGTCCCTTCTTTCCATTTATTAAATGATGAAAGTCGCTATTATCTTCATGGCTTGCTTTATAAGCATGGTGTTAGCCGGCAGAATTGGAAGCTCTGATAGACGCAGCTACTGTCACAGTCGCGACAAGGCACGAAGAGATGCACTCATTGCAGGTTGCGATACCGTCAGCCTTTACTATAGCACAGGAACGTTATGTAACCCCTATGGCTGCGATTGCAGTTGGGGATGCATAGAAAGTGATGGCTATTACGACAACTGGGTCTCATATAGATGTCCCAACCGTATTGGGGTAAGTAAATGCTGGAAGGATCTATGTAATTTAATAATTCTGACACGGAAGTAATCTAGAGCGACGTGTGCGGCGACTACTAAGTCATTACTATTCAGTTGTGATAGCAGGTCTTTTCATGCAATATCCTTCGCAGCCTACCGACATGTTACGGAAGGGAAGAAATATAGAGATTAATAATCATTTATTTGGGAAGAGAAACTTCGATTGGATGGGCTTGAAGGATCCAATTGCAAACGGATGGAAATGGAATGGCATATTTTGCCAAACACAAGCCTCTATTAGCAGGGAGAACTGTCTTAAATTCATTTCCAAACGGAGACATACCTTTGTGTGGAGGTGATGTCTCACACATTGAATACCTTAGCTGCAACAGTCTTACCTCAATGGAGGCATGATGACATGATAGCATTACTGCGTACTCCCTTAATTTCGCAGGAATGTTATGCCTCGACACCAACTTTAGGTTAGGGGTTTCTCATTGTATCTGGGAATAAAAGATAATTGAAGGTTCTTCACTTGCCAGCACAGCCCAGTCAGTGCCATCAAGTCATGAACATAGCCTGTATATTATCTCTGGAACTCCTCAGAAACTCAGAATATCTGTCGTGTAATAATCGAACTTATAGTCATAGTTATTTCAATACTTGTAGAGGCGTGGTGACATATTCTACTTCAACAGCCGTAAAACCTTATTTTAATAAAGTACCTTCAATGACGATCTCATCGCTTGAGATAGGCTGCTTTCGGCCCTTGCGAAAACAAATGTAGAAAACACAACCAGCAATAAACCCGGAAATACCCACGGCGCCATACATCCACACGAGGTAGGGGTCTTGAGATACGACTCCCAAGGCGATACAGATGGCGGCAGCAACTGCAATAGTGAGCCAGAAGAGAGCTGAGATAACAGAGCGTAGACTAAACGGCATGGTTAGCAATTTTTTTTAATGCGTCAAGTGGGAAAATGCAAGGGTACATACTTGCGAGGTGCCTGCGTAAAAGCTAGCTCCAGACCAGTAATGATGACAAACGCTTCGGATAAGGCCACTAGGATATATGCTGGCGCCTGGATCCAGACATGTATGCTGTTGGGTGGGGAATTGTAGATATAATGCTGGAGGACGCAAGCATAGGCCATCGAGAAGGAGGCGAACATAAAGCCCAAAAAGATGCGAGTCACAGGGTCGAAGTCGATCTTGTACTTGCGGAGGAGGGGATAGACGATCACTAAAAAAAGTTTTGTTAGCAATTGTTATATGAACATCATTCATAATGGATTTAGCTTACAGTCAAGGAAGGGGATGAAGAAGCAAAGAGCAATTGGATCGAGGTTTTGCAGCAAATCGTTAGGTGTCCCGTGGAGTGCCATTGTTCCGGCTTGGGAGATGAGATCGTTCCACATCTGATTCCAACAGATGAAATAAAATGGGAAGAAAAGGAACATCTAAAATAGTGTAAGTATATGTGTTACAAAGCACAGTGAACGATTCACAAACCTTGCAGCTCTTGAGTCCTCGCTGGACATCTCCAACATACTCGTCAGTATACCTGGATTGACTCGCTATCGGATACTTGTCGCTGTTGCCCTGGGCTCTGAGGACTGAGGGTCGAGCATTTATGAAGCCTTTCTCCTTGATGGCGATGCTGGTTGTACGGCAAGCATCGAGGATGGCTGAACCAACTGGTGGGACGCGTATGTACTTGTTGCGGCCCGCGACGAAGACAGAGGCAGAAATGAGGATGGCTCTGCAAGGATTTGGGTTAGACGGGGATCTGAAGATTAAACCTTTCGCATGAACTACTCACATCAAAGGGATCAAGTATGCCAGCCAGAAAGAATGATGGGCCTCGACGTTGACTGTGATAAGAGGCGACAGAGCTCCAATGTTAACGACCCAATAGAACCTGTATGATATTAGCGATTAAGCAATAGGATGGGAGTTCAATGATGACTAACCACATGAAGAGTCTCTGCACGGTAAGCTCGGGGTCAACAATAACTTCTTCTCCAGACTTGAGAGTCCTAAGAATTGGATGGGAGTGTTGGTATTGCTCAGCGCACATGGGAGTTACATTGGCCTTAATTCCCCCTGTTCCAAGACCGATTGTGACCATAGCGGCAATGAGACCTCCAAGACCGGCATTGTTTAGAATAGCTGTAGGGGTGGACGTTGAGACGAGAATAACGAGGCCGAGGGTGTAGATGACACAAGCGCAGCAAATTGCTCGGAACTTGCCAAGGTATTGATCTGTAGGATTATGTTAGTTAAGTGACACGGTGTGTGACAAGCAAAGCATTTACCAGCTACGATGGCACCGATGACTGTTGAAGCATAGGCCCAGAACTTGAAAAAATTACCGAGAGCTGTCGCAACAGCCTGGCCCTTCCCAAGAGCGCCCGGGAGATCAGATCCTGGTGCATATGGGTTGCTGCAATGCCAGGGTCAGTATAAAATAGAGACATGACGTGGATTCTGGATGGCTATACTTGATGTAGTTTTGGATAGGGCCAGAGAGACCAAAGTAGGTAAATCGCTCACCGAGCTACATGTTGGGTCAGTTCAGCTCATAATCATTACTTGTAAAGTTTGGGGTTGACTTTTAGAACATACCTCGACAGCCAAAATCAGTAATGCAACCTTGGGCAGGTTATCAGGTACTCTTCTCAAACCTTGCCACCGCGCCTCAGGTTCTGCGACGCTGGTGGTATCCGCCATGTGAGCATCGAATTTCTTCTCCATGTTGAGATCAGACACCATGTCGAGCGAGTGAAGAAAATGTTTTAAAAGGCGAGACTCTAAGAGATAATGTTATTCTCCTGGATGATATCTCAATTTCGAGGTTGCAGGGCCCCGTATATAAACGTGGACAAGTCAAACTACCCCGGAAGGACCCAGTCGTTTGGAGCTGCAGTTGAAAGATAACGCGGGGTTGCCGACAAGGCTTGTGATAGGCGGCCTTCGACGGCCTATCTACCGAGATAGCGACGGCGGGACCGTTCGATCGGCGTTGTGGACGCCGCCAATCATAGCTGATACCGAATCAAGATGCGGGCAAGACAGGGAGATAAACTAAACTCATTTAATCAATAAAGCATGTTTTCATAAACCGCATCCAAGTGTTCTGCTCTTATCGACAATTTACTATTGATTTTTTTTGAGTTCATCATGTCTACCACTACTATAACCACCACAGCTACAGAAGAGGTCACGTCTTCGCTTCCAAGCCTCAAGCGGCTTGAACTTCGACACGACGAGTATCCAGGTCTAGACCAAGAATGGCGCCAACTATGGAACATTCACGGTAGCTCAATGGTCCGAGCGGATGAAGTCAACATCGAGGAGTACCGCCTTGACCCAGCCAAGTACAGTTTTACCTACCCAACCTGTCGAGGGCCAGACGTCTTCCACGTTGAGGATAGACAGATTCCAGTGTCGCATCCTGATGGTGAGATAACTGTTAGGATCTACTCTCCAGAAGGACAGGGGCCTTTTCCTGTTCATCTGAATTTTCATGGAGGTGGCTGGGTGCTGGGTGGTCTCAACTCAGAGGCGGCCTGGTGTCGCCACATGTGCAACAAAGCATCTGTCAAAGTCATTGACGTGGACTATCGAATGGGACCTGAGTGTCGGTACCCAACCGCCATATATGACTGCTGGGATGCAGTGAAATGGGTACTTTCTGTCTCTTTCTTCCTTTTCGTGGCCTTGGACTAATTCAAGATAGGCGATAAACAGCGCAAGTGAACTCAACATCAATCCCAAAAGTGTTTCATTTGGTGGCCTCTCAGCAGGTGGCCACATGTCTGCCGTTGTAGCCCACTTTGCTCGCGATGAAGGCATTGATATCAAATTGCATCTTATGATTGTTCCAGCCACCGACATGCGCTACTGCAATACCAAGTTACAGAAGCTCACAGCCGACAACTGTCCTTATGACAGCGTTTTACAGCTCAAGGATGTTCCGTGGGGACCGTTAGGTCGTGAACAGTGGTTCTTGAAGTACTGGGTTAGCCAGGAAGCTGGTAAGTACAATCGTGTCCCTATATCGAGGGTAATCGGGCTTACACATATATCAGACGAACTCGAGCGCATTCTTAACAATGAGTGGATTCTCACACCAGTACTTGCTCCCGACTTCAAATATCTTTCACGAGCGCATATTGTGACCGCTGAGTTTGACCTTGAACGAGACGAAGGCGAGTATTACGGCAAGTTATTAAGAGATTCGGGGAACTCTGTTAGTACGAAGCGATATGATGGGTGCCCGCATGCGTTTGCGCACTATAATCATCCAGAGAGGGGGATTGCGAAGAGCATGGAGTTTATTGAGGATACGGCTGAATTGCTTAGAAGTGTACATCAAGATTAGAATGATCTGCAGTCATGCAGTTACAATTGAAGTGTTTTATATTATATGCCAGGACTTCCTCTCTGTAATGATGGTGGAATATGATGACTACTGGATGGGAAAAACGAACCCTTGAATTTAGTTAATTTTACAAATTTTGGGCTTATTCCGACTCTAGTAGCAAACAAGTAAAATGCCATTTACTTACTCTCTGGGTCTTATCAGTTGAGACATTTGAAATCCTATATCGCTATCTAAAGTCCTATCTTGCTGGATCGTCTCATCGCTCCACCTCGTTTATTTCTCCGGTCCTTGTTCCGTAATTCATCCATATTGGTATCGAAGGTTGAAAGAGTGGATATTAGGTACCGTAGGCGCGTGACCGTCGCTAAACGGTGCCGTCGTCCTAGCGATAGCTTAGAGACAACCTTGATAGTGGATAACACAGAACGCCACCAATCATATTGAACGCCGAACCTGGAAGCCGAAACTCGCTACTCCGTAGCACTGTTCCTCACATCCGGCCTTGTCTATGCCGATCCACAACCAGATATCTGGATTTCTTGATAGATCTGATGTTTTCTTGTATTCTTCGCCAATCAATATTTTATTCTAAACCCCCTCCTCGACACGCAAACTCCAACCATCCCGTCAAGACAACAAGATGGCATCCGATAGCATCGTTATCGTTGGGTGCGTTGCCCTTTTTATGGCTACTCTATGACTGCGCTAACAAGAAAACTTGTAGAGCAGGAATCATTGGCCTCGATGTCGCTCTCGCTTTATCTGAGCAAGGCCATGGTAAAAGCATCACAATTATAGCTGAATATCTCCCCGGCGACACCGCAGCATCATACACCTCACCATGGTGAGATCGAGTCACAACTCCACTACGTCTTCATTCTAATTCATCTCAGGGCTGGCTGTAATTTCTCTGCTATATCTGGTACCGATGCCAACGCTATCAAATGGGATATGTATGGCTACGCACACCTGAGAAAACTCGCGTCGGAGAACTCTGATAAATCTTTTGTTAAAAAGACTCCTTCAATTGAATTTTGGGACGACAATGTGCCGCACGATAAGATCAAGGCAATGGGCAACTATCTAGAGGATGTAAGTCTATACCTGAAATTCGAATTCCCCCAATGAGTCCAGGTACTAAAGGTTCCTAGTTTCGTGTTCTGCCTGACAAGGATCTTCCCCAAGGCGTGAAGTTTGGCTGTGCTTTCACCACTCTAACCATCAATGCGCCAGAACACTGCCAATACCTACACAAAAGATTGAGGGACGAATATGGCGTGACCTTTGTGCGGAAGAGGCTTCCAAGCATCCACGCTGCTTATGCTAGTCCGACAACCAAGGTTGTGTTTAACTGCACAGGTCTTGCGGCAGAAACACTGGAAGGCGTGTAAGACACCAAGTGTTATCCGACTCGAGGACAGGTGCTCCTTTCAAGAGCACCGCAGGTCAAAACCAACGTCATGCGTCATGGTAGAGACTACGTCACTTATGTAATCCCCAGGCCCATATCGAATGGAAATGTCATTCTTGGGGGCTACATGCAAAAGGGTGTTAGGTGAGTAACACAACAGTCTCGAACCTAACACACACGACTAACGATCGACCAGCGACAACAGTACATATTCACACGAAAGCGAGTCGATTCTCGAACGTACAATTGGTTTGAGTGTTGAGTTACAGAAACAGGATCCTGAAGTCTTGGCTGCATTCTCTGGTCTCCGACCGTCCCGGGAAGGTGGTGCACGTATCGAAAGGTCTTCAATCTCTGTTAATGAGGAGGACCGGCCAATCGTGCATAATTATGGTGCGGGCGGCACAGGATTTCAGGCTGGATATGGTATGGCGTTGGATGCTGTCAAGAGTATTGAGGACATCCTGAGCGCAATCCCCATTAGGGCATCGCTGTAAGATAGTAAATCACATTATAAATACATTTTCTCCTTCAGCCTACTTCTACTTAACTAATTACCCCCCTTGGACGCTTCCAAAGCAAGTTTAACATGTGGCTCCAACTTGAGAATTTGATCAAGGCCCCTCCAGAATATCGCATCTGTTCTCAAAAGCCCCAACCGGAGAACCACGAAGGCATTAGCTTTGAGTCTCATATGCCTACGGGTCATTTCAAGAAGCTTGATAAATGAGAAAGCCTCGTCAAAGTCAGGTGAAGACACGAACATGAACAGCATAGCGAAGCACAACGATGAGAATGCACTCTGGCACCATGGCTGCCAGTATTGCGCTGTCTCGTCGCTCCTGAGAGTTTTCACGAAATCATGGAATTCTTCAAGAACCTCTCTCAGGCTTGCCCGTGACTGCTTCTCTTGGACTGGGGTCCCGGTTTCTGGCGCGGTGGAGTGAATGCGGGCACGCAGAATAAGTAGGCGTATATAATATTGACCAAGCTTTAGAACAACACCAGACACTGAATCGATGCTTTCAGAGTCTTTTGGCTCGGTATCTCTCGAGGTCTTCGCATCTAATTCTTCGAGGAGCTCAGATACGATATTGTCGATACTTCCCGGTGTTTGAGCAAATGTGCAGGCTCGGATGGAACTACGCACCCTATTAGCTATCTAGACTTGTTCAGGATTTTAGATTATTCTTACTAGAAATGATCAAGAGTAGAGGCTAGACAAGATGTCAATGCCGAGAACTCCATGGCATCTGTCCATTTCATCGTATCAAGACCACAAGAATGATCGTCTTGAATAGTCAATTCGTCCACAAGCCAATTCGACCTATGAATATGAGGTGGTCGTCCAAGTGCTGCTGCTAGCCACTTATCAAGCGCGAAGATGAAGAATGACAACCTTCGTCTCGCGCGTGATTGATCTAGTGGAATATTCCAGGAACTTGGGTCAAGATGAAGACCAATGTTTACGGCCGCCGATGCCAACATCCCCATGGTAGTCCAGCGATACGAGGCATCGGAAACCAGAGGGTTGGAGGAAGACTTAGCAACGACCAAGAAAAGAGCCTGCACGGTAGCGAGAGTTGGAGAATGGATATCTGATGCAACGGCCGTATTTATCAGTCCAGCAAGATCTTTGGGATCGGGTGAGTCATAGGCCATGTCGATGCAGAGCTGGTCGTCGTACATTGCGAATGGTGAAGATATGGAGTATATCGCCGCCAGAAGACCAGGTGCGCTGGTTGCTGGATCCGGAAGAGAGTCGGCCGAGAAGATTGGGTAGTGCGGTGCGATGAACCTCATGTAAAGATCTATCAATCTCTTTCCCATGCCTTGGGTAATGATCTTTTCCAGTTCCCTTCTGAGGTCTACCGTCGGTGAAGGTAAATGTCCTGCTTCTCGCCGACTATGTGTGAATAATGATTGTTGAGAGATGAGAAACTGGACAGGCGGATTATCATTGACCGATCGTATGGCTAGCTGCTTGAACTTGAAGGTGCCATTCTCATCAGTCTGATACCGCTGCAGCAAATAAGGATCCATATCTCCGCTGAGGCCAAGTGTTTCTAGATGAAGATTTTCATGCCCGTCTAGTAGCGGATATATCCGATTCCAGGAGCCATCGGTCGCTTCAGACGCTGTTGAAGGAGGCTTGTCGTTAGGTGTCTGAAACATGAACTGGAATCCAGATCCATTCATGTCGAAATCTTGAAGAAACTGCATCGTCATGTCAGGGAAGACAGTCAAGGCTGTTGGTGAGGATAAGTTTTGTTCCAAATCAATATCTACCAGGGATCTATTGGATTGAACAGGCGACCCCTCGAGAAATGCAGCTTCATTTTCTTCAAAAATCCCATTAGTGTTTATTTGGCTTGTTTGCTGCTTCTTGCGAGGTTGTGCAGACTCGGCAAAGGTGCACTCTCTTCCATGTTGTTGACACAGCCGGCAGGGAGGTGCCAACTCAATGCGACAAGCCGTTTTACGGGAGCGACAGAAGTCGCATGGTCTTTGTCGCTTGCTCATGTACTTCCGCATTGTTTGGTATCTGCCGGCTAAACAGAGTAGGCGATGGTAAGGAAGTGGGTTTGACGCTTTTGAGATAGCTGATATTGAATTCCTATGATAGAGAACACGTGATGCTACAAGTGGAGACCCATTTAATAAAAAAGAACTTTTATTTAAATAAGTTTTGAACAGGAGTGATATAAATAATTTAAACAGAAAAGAAAGAAAAAAAGAAAAATCATTAAGAAAGAAAGAAGTTATGTTGATTCAGATGTATAAGCAGCTTGTCTGAAGCATTTGATCCTTTGTGGATATGAATCTACTCTGTAGATTATGCGATTCAGGTACCTGCTTACCTGATTGGTGGACTTTGCTTCTTAGCCTCTCGACAAGCAAGGGGGCTCAGCTGGCTACCCTACAAACTTTAGGGCGGGGCGGGAGGGCTTCTTATTGTGCGAGTTTATAAAAACCGTGTGTTTGTGCCTTCCATATTGAAGAATAAATATGTACTATAAAACATATAGAAACGTAGTTTGTTCTTTAGTAAACTCTCTCTTTAGTTCATAGTAAAAGTGATAACTGGTATGTCGGACAGGTTTGTACAAGTTGGGGCCCGGATTAAACCTCTATGATGCGTTCACTTCGTCACGCAGTGGCTCAATCCGGTAAGCGACCCGCTTCTTGTTATACAAATGTGTCCTATTCATCAGCGGGATGAGAGCCTAAAGATGGACTGAACAAATAAAGATCTCGTGTACAGTTAATCTACAAACTCGAAAAAGCAATAGAGCTAATTGAGTTATTAATGATCTAGGAAAACGATCTGCAGACCACTGTGGACCTACCGAGGTCCTGCGCCGCTGCTAGTAAAGGCCTCGGCTTTTTAGTGCCACACCTAAAGCATTTGCTCTGAGACCTTGCGGTCTCTGGTTTCTGTCCCCGTTGCTTGTGACCATGCTGTGCTGTTATTATGTCGATACAGTTACGTTGGATAGTTTTCCTTTTTCTCGCCTGGTTATACCTTATACTTGGTAAGTGTAATCGGCGGTAGAATAATCAGAACCTCTGTTGCATTGAACTAAAGCTTGGAGAGCTCCATTGTGGCGTTGCCAAGTCTAGAAGAAAGATTCTTATCTTTGAAATGTCTAGTCTTTTTGTTTCAGATCTCGCCTTTTGTGTCTGCCCCACCCATAGGGAAAAATGTCGCCAGATCCACTATCATGCAGTAGTGTAGCCGCTAATCTCCAAGCTCCTGACCTACAGGTTGCAGGGGTTGGAAAGATCTCGCGCTGGTACAAACTCCATATTATTTATATCCGCATTTTAATCATAAATAATAGGTAACATGTAAATACTAATTAAATCTCTACAAGAGACCGTATACAGAGCTATTTAAGCCAATAATTGTGTTATATAAAGTGATAGAAAACCTTCGGTGGCAAAACCAGGTCGATTGGGGCCCAGTTTAGTACATTTCCAACCCCTGCAGCCTGTTCGCCTGTAGACCACCCATTCCTGCGGCAAGTTCCTTCCGGGCGGTCTAGACCCATTGCTAGTCTACTGTTGGTGGACCCCTTGAGATCTGCCCACTTGATACCCCGCTCCCTTTGTACTTATTTGCTGAACTTGGATTGTACTTCTTACTTTTGTAACAAACAGGAGGAGACAGACTCGTCGCTGTTGCCCTCGCTGCGATATTGAATATCATCTAAAATGACCGCCAAATCACGATCTAGGCACGTTGTGCCTCACAGGACTGTATCTGAAGCTGTCCGTGAGAGGGAAATGCTTAGGTGAGAACCATCTTGGAAGCTTGGACGTCTGCGAGCTGATGTAGCACCGTCCAGACATTGGCTTCCATTTCAAGCCTCCCAAGAAGGGCAAGATTTTCAACAACGAGTATCATCAGCGAACGTTATCCTCACGGCTCTCGCACAGCTTGGCATCTATCATGTGGGCGCAGAACGAGCATTTGTGTCTCTTTTCGACTCGAAAAAACAGTATTTTGTCGCCGAAGCTACTTCTGGCACTTACCTACGCCCGTCAGCCCCGAATCACGAACAAGACCAGCCACTCCGGCTTTGCGGGACCGCCGCCCCCCGAGGCGACGACGCTTGTGAATACACCCTTTTGAACCAGGCTGGCGACGACCCCGAGTACGGTGGCTGTGTTCAACTCCCAGTCACTGTGGTGCCGGACCTGGCAAGCGACACCAAATTCTCGGCCTGTGCTCCTTCTACGGCAGAGCTCTCCTGCGCTCGCTTCTACGCTGCTGTCCCAATCCGCACGAAACGAGGCATCAATGTTGGCGTTTACAGCGTCGTCAATACCTCTACGCGCCCTTGGACCGATCTAAACGCCGAGCGTTTGCGGGACATCTCTTCTGCCATCTCGGACCACCTCGAGACAGAAGGGCTCAGGGCCGCCAACAGGAGAAATGCGCGCATGAATAGAGGAGTGGGGTCCTTCCTTGAGGGTAGCTCGACTCTGTCCGGCTGGCGCTTCGGATCCAACACCACCGCGTTCACGGATGTTGTCGGATCATCAGAAGGAAGTCTCAATCAGGCGCAACAGTCCTTGCAGCTAGATAGTGAGGATACCGCGTTCGGAAAGCCTCAGCCCAGCTATGATGCATTGCCAGCGCAGCACGATCGTATTCGTGGCCCGCTTGATCGTGCTGGAAAAGCCTCGGACACGATACTGGAGAACCAAGCTCTGGGTAATGTTTTTTCAAGGGTCGCCAACATTGTTCGAGAATCCGTTGAAGTTGAGGGCTGTCTCTTCCTTGACCCGAGTATGCCTAGCTATGAGACCCACAAGACACGAACCTCTGACCTTACCGCGTCTGCATCATCATCAAGTAGTGACGATAGCACCCAACGTCAAGCCGAGGATAATGGTAGTCTTTGTGACATTGCAGGCATTTCTACGTCTGCAATGTCCAGCATCGATCGTGCTCGGCAGCCTGAGACCTCCGTGTCCCTTTCCAAGAAATTCATAAGAAAGATGTCAAAGCGGTATCCCCAGGGCAAGATCTTCAATTTTGGCGATGACGGAGAGCTTCAGACATCTGATTCGTCATGTGATGAGATGCGTTCTTCGATCTCCGCGTCAACGAATGTGGCTCCTCCAAAAAGTCAAGAAGCGCCGTTTCCTAGTATTCGCAGCGCTACACATATAAAGCCTGCGTCACGCCAGCGCGATGGCAAAATCATTTCGGCTGCGTTTCCGGGCGCTCGCAGCGTGGCTTTTTTCCCCGTCTGGCACCCTAGACAGGAGCGGTGGTGTGCCAGCGGATTGATATATACCAACTCACCTACCCGGGCATTCACGGTTGAGGGTGAGTTGAGTTACTTACGAGCCTTCGGTATGCTTGCTGCGGCCGAACTTGTACGCCTCGAGGCTCTGCAAGCCGTCAAGGCAAAGTCAGACGCTCTCGGATCCCTGTCACACGAACTGCGTTCTCCCCTTCATGGAGTACTACTGAGTACGGAACTTCTGGCTGACACGGACCTCAATGTCTTTCAAAGTAACATCGCGCATACGATTGAAACGTGCTCCCGGACGCTCTTGGATACGATGGACAATCTTCTAGACTATTCCAAAGTGAACAACCTTTCTGACAACAAGAAGAATGTTATTGGTGGCAGGCAACCCGGCTATCCCTCCGCACCCGCGTCTAGCGGGTTTCTTAAGAAGAACCTTGTAAACGACTGCTCGGTTGATGAACTAGTTGAGGAAGTGGTCGAGAGTGTTTTTGCGGGTTTCAACTTCCAACACAAGTCTATCAAACAACATGTGTCTCAGCATCTACCACGAGGCAGCTCTTCTCATGCGGACGATGTAGCCAACTCCGCGTCAGATTATCTTGGCGCGATGGATCAGCTCAATTCTGGCACCTCGGACAGTCCATTATCGCAGTTCCGTTTCGGAAACGTGACTGTGATTCTCTCTTTGGATGCCAACTGTGACTGGTTGTTCCGCTTCCAGGTCGGAGCAGTCCGGCGCATCGTCATGAATCTTGTCGGCAATGCGTTAAAGTACACACACAAGGGAACTGTTACCGTCTCTCTCATGCAACAAACTGCTTCCATCAGGCGTCGCAAGCCGGAACAAGTCATTCGGTTCACGGTTGAAGACACGGGCAAAGGTATCAGCGAAAGCTATCTTAATGGAGGTTTGTTCACGCCTTTCAGCCAAGAGGACGACATGGCACCAGGGACCGGCATTGGCCTCAGCCTGGCCAAGCAGATCGTGTCGCGATTGAGAGGCCAAATTTCAATCAACAGCCAAGTTGATGTCGGAACTTTTGTCACTGTATTGCTTCCACTCGATCGGTCAAAGATATCTGAGACTGCTCTTCAGCTCACGGACCCTCAAGCCCAGTTTGATGAGCAAGTTCGAAACATGGCAGGACTCCGCGTGCGCGTTATGTCTAAGTCTGTACACGGACTTGTCCCAACTCTAGATCTACATAATTCTCTAGGTCGAATTTGCCGCGAGTGGCTAAAGCTGGAGGTGCTCCACGATGAGGATTATTCTAGGCAGCCTGATGTCGTGCTCTGGACGCAAGACACATTTGCTGCCATGTCTAAAAACATGAACGCTCTTGCCTATGCCCCAAACATAGTTATATGCCCGGACGCCCTGGCTGCGCATCAGAAGACTAAGGAATCTGATATTGCTGGTTGGCGAGGTGTTTTTGAGTTTGTGTCACAACCGTAAGTTGACCTTCCCCTTACGATCGATCCACTGCAGAATATTAATGAGGCCACAAACATAGTATCGGACCCCGTAAGCTTGCTAAAATATTGGCCCTCGCTTGCAGTCGTTGGACTATCTACGAGGGGGCTCATCCATCTTCCTTGGCCGGTTCAACGGTGGGGCCCCGACCACGAGAGCCAGATCATAACTCAAGCAATTCATCATGGTTGCAAATTGCGCCTAGTTGTACTGGATGTGCATCACCGGGATCACAGCGTGACTCATCAGTTCCGGTTGAAACCCGTGGCAATGCGCCTGGGGAAGTGCCAACACATCCCCCACAAAGCGACCGAACAGCAGTCAGCCCACCTGAAGAAACTACCGGAAAGTTCCTCCTCGTCGATGATAACCACATCAACCTCAAGATTCTTTCTACGTACATGAAAAAACTACATTTACCGTATCATACCGCTACAAATGGCAAGCAGGCTGTGGATCAGTATATGGAGTCGCCACAAAGCTACATCTGTATTTTGTTAGATATCTCAATGCCGGTAATGAATGGCTTTGAGGCGGCAAGGCAGATTCGGGAGTTTGAGAACCGTCAAGGAATCGACAAGGGGGTCGTGATATTTGCGCTTTCCGGCCTGGCTTCAGAAGAAGCACAGAGGGAGGCTTATGAGAGTGGCTTTGACCTATTCCTACTGAAACCTGTCAAGTTACAGGTGTTGGGCGAGACACTACAACAAAATGGCGTACTAAATCTTCTAGATGGCATTTAAGAACATCATGCCACGCATTCCATGTTCTGACGCTGCCCGAGGCTCTGGAAACAACATACCTGTTGAAACAAATATCTGGCTGTTTAATGGGCCTTTTCTTGGATCACTATTTGCCTATCTTTGTCGACTACTACCTTTCCATACAACCCGAACTTGACCTTTCGTTCAGCAGCACCACCGACGCGAACTTCGTACGACAACCTGACCCGTGTCCATTATGGTTTTGCACAACCTCCGACACGTCGAGACAGATATGTCCACTTAGTAACCATTTTTGTATTACAGTCTGGCCCGGCGATTGGAAATTTATTCAGGCGGCGATTAATGAGCGGCGTTTTAAGGTATCAGGGATTATGCCTTGTGTAAAAACAAAACTGTGTCTTTTAGACATATGGCCTCGATCTATTTCTTCCAGATGTCGCGTAACGTTCATATATATACGATTAAAGAGACGTTAACTACGGGATACTTAATGATCTATCGCTCCGCCAGCAATATGAACGACGATCTGACAATCCTGCCGGTTACATGTAATGCGACCACATTCCTCGATTCGATCTTGATCGGTTTATATAGAGAGCAGTTGACTGACGGGTCTTTGGGTATTAACAATGCCGTCTACACCTTCTGGACCCATGCCTGCTTGAGATGCAGACGTGTGGGGCTTTTCTATAACTATTGATATCCAGCAAGACATGTTGTCGGCATTACGTTGTAGTATGTGAATGTTTGTAAGCAAACAGGATAAAGCAGAAGACGGAAAGAAAACATACTGCTTCCGCTGAACTCCAAAAGTACCATGCCCAGTAATAGTTCTGCGTTACGTCTTGCCGTCGTCTCTACAAAAATATTAATTATAATTAATATTTTAATTATAGTTAGATCTATTTCTTAATAGTACTACCAGTCTTAATATTAATAATACATTTAGCCTATCTAGAGCCTTGTTTACAAACTAGGGTGGCACGAAAAGGTAGTATTAAGGTAATTGATTTATATTTCGTTATGTTTCCAGGCTTAGTCTCTGATTTTCTATTCATATCACTGAACTACATACTTGATGAGGATCTGAATGGTATTTCGTAAACACAAAGGCAGCGAAATGAAGGGTTGCTGCGATTTAAAACGTCATTACTCCTATTCCCACGGATGAACAGATCCATTATATGGGAACAGTAAGAACATCCTTACTGCTACTTCCTAATTTAATTACTACCTAATGTGAGGCCCTTAAGATGTCCTCTGTGCTTGACGCACCACCGTTATTCTTAGATTCTGTGAATTGTACTTGATACTCGTTGGTAATAACTATGTTGTCCGTTTCGGTAGCAGGCGGTTGCTGAGAACGTCCGATACTGTGTAGCTGGTAGCCATGATTTACCTTATCGCCTCTCCAGTTATAGCTATGGCTGTTGCTAGGCTGATTTGGGTAGGACTTTTGAGCAGACGATGTTCTTGACACGAACTTCGTAAGGAAGGGAAGATGCCTTCGAATAAATGGCTTCATATGGGCGAGGCAGTTGCAAATGATTCCAGTATTCATCTCGATACAGCTCCATTGGGAAGCCGAAGCCTGCGTCCAAGTAATATCAGGGTTATCCTGCATCTTTTGAACATAGCTGAAGCGAATGCAAGAAACGATAACAACTCTAGTACATAATTTAGCTTCGTTTCCTCGAACGAGGAATGGTGGAAATGAGTAAAGCACTAACGCTGAGCCAAGAGCCAGAAGAATACCAGCGGTAATTCGCTGTCTGAGGGGCATATTCAACCGATGTATCAGTGGAATTGGTAAGACGATAACAATGGCATCGCTGACGATATTAAGAACCCCCTGGGATATAGTAAGATTGACAACGCAAGTCGTTGTGCCGGCCTTTAAAGGATGACAGGGCCATGCCAGGAGTATCGTGAAAACCAGTGTATATATCACAAGACCGGCTGCGATAGCGTAGATGCCCAAGTGAAAGCCTTTGTTAGGAATGAGACGGTAGTAGAGCACGAGGATGGCGAGTTTCGTAAGCGTAGGAGGCCATACGTAAGTCAAACCGAGGACGAGGAGAAGCTGTTGGAAGGCCTGTCGTTAGATAACATTGGAGTTATGCCGGCGGGAAACTGTACGTTGAAATAGCCAGGAAGGCTCGTTGCCCTGACATCCCAGAGGTGTTTTCCAAAGCCAGAGGGAATCGCTGTATACCATTAGTTGATGTGTGCTGTGGGGAAGACAAGAATACTAGACATACCAAGAACCACACCTATAAAGAATCCAAGAGATATTCCCCAGGCAAGAATAATAAGAGCTAGACGATAAAACATTAGAAGTCTTCGCCACAGCTTGGGCTGGAAGTCAAACTAACGGATGTCCCAGTCCAGCTTCCGGAGAATGAAGCCAGCACTGTAAAGCCGCAGGCACATCGTGATTGTTGCAAACGCGAAAGTACATGAGTAGACAACTACGATTGAGCTCTGAAGGGCGGTACCGCCATCGAAATCGGGTGTGACGCCTGCAGGTGGAGGCATAGCCCCAATGTCCTGTGACATATTGATGGTGTGAGGATTTGCTTTCAGCAATACATTGAGGAACACAATTGTACCAGGAGTGAAATAATGAAGGCTGAAGTCAATAAGTAGCCCATACGAAAACTAGTTAAAGGGGCTAGCTGTAAGGCTTGGCGAGGTCTAGGGAACGCCGAGTCATGCCTGTTGAACTTATCTGCAGTTACAGGCGATATTGCGAATCAACGTCTTGAAATGGTACTGTACCGTACCCCACAGAATGTAACCTTTCGCCTTTTCTTTATCGTATTAGGAGCAACAAAGGTACAAGGGGGAGAACCTGATATGGGAGAGGAGACAACTGACTGACCGGTTTAAATCCTATTTGATAATGAAACAGAGTGAACTAATCTCAGCTTGCAGGGATGAAACGGGAATTACCTGATGGCACAGCGGGTTTTGAAGCTATGAATCATTCTAACTTTATATGGTAGTGTCGTTGTCGCATACTAGGTCATATAAGGGACGATCGGCAAGAATTGCCATGGATTAACATAACAGGAGGATGAACTATCGACGCCCAATATTAGCTAACGGGTTGTAGTAATCCCTCCGTCGCCTTGCAAACTCCCAGTCCTGCGGTTCGTACCTGTGACCCCAGAACCAGCCTTTACACATGATGCGTTTCTTCTGTGACAAGCATTGGATGGTGTATGTACCTGACTAGCGTAAACCCTAAAAGATGGATTCCCGATCCTTCTTGACGGCTTGTCCAGTAAAAGACAGGCAGCAATCAATTTAACTTCAGCTAGTCGTATTATACGAGCTTACCGCGTCTTCGGTAAGTACAACCCTGGTCGGTATTCCACTTCCCCGAGTAGTGAGTTGTTGTTATGTCCACTAATTAACAATCGTTAACGGACTTGGGTTTAATTTTACGACAGGCCATGGAAATTCTTGGGAATAAGACCAGCTTTATTTGACTTATCGCACGTGAATGGAATTAATAGTCTCTGCATATATCCATGCGAGTTATCAAGTTCATCCTAAGACTATCTCCGAAAGATGTGCGGATATGTACTGCATTAATAATCAGCTAATGCGTCCAGGGGCCCAGTTTCATCACTTCCTTCGACAAGGTTACTGACGTGGTCAGGGTGGGCCACATGACTTTGAACTTTTGCTTTTTCTTGAAAATTGGAATCCTGTATTAGTAGCGCTTGACCAGCCCTGCTAGCAAATTGACACGGATGGTCTTATGAATCGACGTCTTGCCACCTTGTCAGACCGTTGGTACCCTGTTCTCTCGGTATCAGGCAAGGGCGGACACAGTTACTCCATGCCGGGTGGTATCCGGACATTGGGTGGTATCCGGACATTGGGTGGTATCCGGACATTGGGTGGTATCCGGACATTGGGTGGTATCCGGACATTGGGAGATCTCCGGACATTGGGAGATCCCCGGGTTTTGTCCCAGTTCTGATAATCTTTTGCTGTGTACTGATCAAGGCAATGTTTTCAAAATCCTGCGCTGGCGTCGAACTTGTAGGCCGCGGCAGCTGCCCACAAGCTTGAAAGTAATTTAATTATGGGTAACAAAGAGTTTTGTTGGGAGGCTTTTGCCTTGATATCCTCTGGGGTGACACTGTTGGAGACCATGAACTGATACTTTAAATAGTTTTACTAAATGTGTAAAACCTCCAACTCTGCAGATAGTTCCTCCTACATCTCCAGTCCCTCTAATAATTCTATACTCTTATGATCGACAATCGCCGCACAGTGTCTTTCGGTCATTGCATCAACAATTTCACGGCTCTGCATCATCGGTCCAGCGAGAGACCATGCAAATCCGTGAAAGGCTTGCCTCCTGTACTCACTCCATACTTCTTCCAACCGAAGTTTGGGTCCACCCGCTCCATGCAGGGCATCGAGCCAGGACTGCACAAGGTCTTTCTCGTGGTTTCGACGATCTTCAACTGAAAGCGAGCCAATGATGAAGTAAGCTACATCGTGCATAGCTGATCCTGCGTGAATGACCTGCCAGTCCAAAAAACCAGGTTCTCCTGCAGGGGAGATGAATGTATTCCCGATATGTGCGTCTCCGTGCACGAGGCAATTCAACTTAGTTTCAGAGTCCCACAGAGCTTGAAACACGACGGTGATGCGTTCGCGATCTTCCATGAACTCCGGTACCGGAGGTCTACATTCTGGAGCAAATCGCTTGCCCCATTCTCCAGGCGCTACGAGGCCGACAATGGCATCCCTGAGGGAAACTGTCTCTTTCAGAGATGGAATATCACTCCCATCATTGCCCCAAGTGCTGGCATGCAGCATAGCCAACTGCATCACACTCGACCTGACCCGATCAACAGGCCAAGGTTCGAGGGGATTTCCAAAGGTGTAACCTTGGGCTTTGAGGTCGCCCATTACAAATATACCCTGCCCATTGACGGTATCTGTGCCAGTATAAAGTATAGGAGGAAGAGGTATATCGAGTTTCGGAGCAAGGTAATGGTAGAATTCGGCTTCGAGTCGGTAGATCGCAAACATGAACGGAAGAGAGGCAACCAGAGCTGGATTGAAACCACCTTTGACGCATACTCTTGTCGGGGCGTTATCGTTGGCATCTTCGAAGGTCAGCTGGATCAGGATCTTCGATGCGGTACCGTGAATTGCCTCCACGACATTCACGTCCTTGACGGAATGACCGAGAATCTTGGTAAACCAAGAAGCGGTGAGTTCGTCGACTGTGAGGGGGAGAGGGTCACTCGATTTCATAACGCCATTCGCTTTGTTGTGAGTATTGGATGACATTGTAAATGTAATCGTAGTTGTGGTAATGTGAGTAAGTGATTGAGATCTCTTGGTGAGTACTAAACCGTTGCTCGTCAATAAAAAGGCCAGAACTTCAAGGTGCTCTCCCTATTTATAAACAAGAGCATGACTCGTTTAAGTACCTGGAGTGCAAGAATTCAGGTCAAGGAGGTGGTGACCCCTGCTCTGCAGCAAGGGTTTAAATTTGTACACCTGAGATAATTAAAAGCTAAGGAGTACTGTACTTCTCGGGGTCTATGATCAGCCCGAGCTTTATAATCCAATCATGAACCGAGTGGGTCTAGTAATGGGTGAGTGGGAAGTTTTAGTAGGCCACTTACTGAAATCTTTTCTGAACTGCAGCACAGTGAAGAGAAACTTGAGACCCTAAAAAATTAGAATAATTTATACTCTTTTAAAGTGGAATCTTAGTAATACTTATAGTTCGATACTATGATTTGATTAAAGCTGTTATTGCTATTTAGTGAATGAGGAGAAATGTGGTTAACTTTACCCAAGAATAACGTATTTACCAAATAAAACAATATCAAAACATGAGTTTTTGCAACCTATGGCTAGTATATGATTTATCGACTCATGTTAAAAGATGTTGTAGGGATAATTAGTAAAGATCATAGAGGCACGTGACTATAAACGTATAATTCAACGTGAAGGGGTGTTCCGTACAAATTGTCGCGAAGACAACTTCAAAGCCACACATTGGAAAGACCCTGTGATTGTAAATTTGCAGAGCTTTTATCAGCAGACATAAGAAAACATGAAACTAAAACGCCGTGGTTCACTGGAATCCAAGATATATAAACTCAAGACTTTCTTCCTGCAGAAATAACCTTTCAACAACCATCACTTACCTGTACCCCCGAGCCTTGGAGCAATTCGTTACTATACAAAAGATACTATTACCCCTAACACTTGACCCAAATTCCACAACCATGTGTCAACTCGAGCTTACGACTAGCGAGACCAAGCGTCCTGCTGGAGAAACTCGTGTCCTCGTCGACTCATGCGAATTCGAGCACATTTGGGACATTTATGGAAAGAGAAAGTACAAGAAAGTTAAGGACTGCGGGTCCAAGCATTGCACACATTCCCAGGCGTACGTAAATATCGCATTTAACTTCTAAGTACGGATAGACAAATTCAGATAATACGAGATTGGATCTACTTCACGTTGTATTTCGATTATAGTCTAGTTTTATAAATATTCCTCTTTTTATAATCTGGCGAACTGAGAAACCCGCTATTACTGCATCTAATCCTGGGCCACGTAGAGAAAACCAGCTCAATCTATAGCTACCTGCATTTCCGAGGAATCGGTAGTCAAGCAGTGTTTATCGCTAATTCACGATAAGACTCGTAGACAAACCTAGTCATTTATCGGACTCGAAGAAAATGTGTTGTAGATCGGAGCTAACTTCACTGCGATTATCGGCGACAACCCCGCATCAACCCGAGAAGCCGCGGAGGAATCAAGATATCAGAGTCAACCTTGACAGAAAACACCTACTCCGCACTGTTATCTCGCAAAAGACTACGACTTGAAACATCACACTGCGAAAATGACAACAATAAAGGGACCGTTCAGGCTCGTCACGGTTAACACCGCCCCGGAACGTGCGAAGCGTCTCATCGGACGCTTGATCACCGAGCTGCAGGACGATTATGAGATCATCCACGTCGACAATTGCCAGAGTAATTCACACACGGCCGTTCATTATTTATGGCTGACAATGTGATCAGGTATTGAAGAGGTGATTCCCAAAGTCACTGAGCATAAGCCCGACGTTCTGGTGAGTGATTAACCAGGCCGTAAACCACAAACTTCGAACCGGGTGGCTGATTTGTCTTTACAGTTCTCAGCTTCCATGTGGTCTGTAGAGGAGGCTGAGCAGATCCATTCAATGGCAAGGTCTATCGTGCCTAACATCAAGCTTCACGCGATACCTACTGGACTGCAGGTGGAGCGAGGACCGGATGCCATTGTGGAATACCTTGTTGAAAAGGTTCCTCCTCTGCTAGATAGCTAGAGCACAGACATGAAATCTGGGCCATAGCTAAAAAGTACGTTTGGGACGGAGTACAGAAATTGTGCAAGTCATTTATTTAATCGCTATTCACTGGGTCTGAATACCAAGCCCTTATCTATTCATTCTCAAAGCGGCTCACAAGTGTACCGATATGCGGCAGAATTTCCACTCTGAATTCATCACCGTGCTCAAGATTCTCTTTGGGCTTTTTACCCATGCCCACTCCCGCAGGAGTACCGGTGATAATCACAGTACCCGCAGGCAGCGTCGTGCCTTGGGACAGGAAGCTGATCAGCTTGGGAATGCTGAAGATGAGGTCGCTTTTTCAAGTCAGCAAAGGGTGCAGTAGAGCAATGGGGTTCGACACTCACTCTAGAGAGCAGTCTTGTAGAACCTTGCCGTTCTTCAGGCCTCGGATGTGTAGTTTAGAAGGGTCTGGGATAGCCGAGGGAGAGACAAGGGCCGGTCCTGTAAAGATGGTAAGCGAGGAATCCCAAAATGATGAGGAAGGGGACTGAACCGATGGGGCATGCTCCATCGAAGCCCTTGGAGAAACACCACTGAGACTGATTCAGTTGCGAGACACGACTTGAGACGTCGTTGGCTGCTGTGAAGCCCAAAACATGTTCCATAGCATTCTCTTCAGAGACGTTCTTGGCTACTTTCCCGATGATGACAGCCAACTCGGACTCGTAATCGCCACTTCCATCATTCTGAGTGATCTTGGGCAGTAAAGTGACAGACGGCCATGGATCGCCTAAAGCGGTGCTGGGCTTACTACGAGAAAGGTCAGTGAGTGTATTTATGGGGGAGTTGTAGACCTACAGGAATAGCGTAGGGATAGAAGGAATGTCCATGTTGACTTCTTTCGCATGTTGGACATACTAGTCAAACTGTTAGTATGGAACTGACTTATCGCTGCGGGATATACTCACGTTCAGTCCAATGCATCGAATAGTTCCTACTTCGTCTTGAGACAAAGGTGAGAGAATTCGGTCAACAGTTTCAGTTCTCTCCGTTCGAGTGCCAGGCGACAAGACCGACTGTCCCGAGAAGACATTGACAGATACATCTTGTCCATCACGAGTAGCCACGCCCACATCCAAATCTTCTTGAGATGGCTCGCCAATCAAGATACTCGACGAGTCTGACTTGGGGACAAACCGAACGAGACCTGCCTTCTGTCAGTTAATTGAGCCAGCAGGGTATCCATCGATGGGTGCTTACGTTTAAATGCCGAAGAACTCATCTTGCTTATCTGTGAGGTGATTCAAACAGCACAAGTGATAGACTTTTGGATTGTTGTTCTTTAACTAAGGGTTCATTGCGTCAATTCCACTCTCCCCTCATAGCTCCTATATCGGAAGATGGGTCCAGACCTCGGATATCCCGACCCGGAGAAATCGGAACCCCTCATCTCACCCCTCATTCCGAGACAGAACGATTCATCCGGGAAAGAAGAAAGCCAATCAGCGGAGACCAATTGCCGGACTTGGTACAAAAACACTGCATTCAAAGAATAACAGTACATCCGTCGGATCTTGGCTCCAAAACATCGATATTCTGCCGAAAGCCCGAGGCATCTTGACTCAGCTTCCTAATCATAAAGACACTATTCCAACCATCAATCAGGCGTTGACTACCCGATTTTCCAGGGTGTCATTTCCTCAAAATGGACTCTTCACTGAGCAAGGCTCAAGGCTTTCGCCAGTATCTCCCGGATCTGAGCCAGCCGCGATTCCAGGACATGAAAAAGCAAGACGCTCATGAATACGCCGAGAACTTCAAGAAAAATGGCCAACCTCCATGGCTTCATGGCTTATACCTGCACTGGCGCAAGCTATATCAACAGCCTTATCAAGGCATTACATCGGATGGTACGTACTTCGGTCAAAGACCTTTCCATTTGGTCTGTGCTAACAATTCTCAGGTATCGTCAGAGACGGGCTGTTCAAGTTACAAGATGAAGGAGTTCCGATAACCGCCATCACACAAGCTGCAAGTGATCTTTGCGACAGCCTCAGCAGCGAACAAAGGCTAAAGACCTGTTACCACATTGATAGCCCCGAATGGCGAACATGGTCAAACCCAGAGTTCCTTCTTAGCGACAAAGGCATTCGACTCGACGAGATCACGAGCGACTTGAGAAGTAAGGTACTGAAGGTACTGGAACTTACACTCTCGCCTGAGGGGTATGAAAAAGCAATTGGGGCGATGCGAGTAAATCACTTCCTAGGGGTACTGGTGGAATCACCCGCCGTCATGAACGAGTTTTCTTATAACTTCGTTCTATTCGGAGAGCCATCTACTACTCGTCCTTGGGGGTTTTCCTTCTACGGCCATCACCTTTGTCTCAACATCTTCCTCTACAAATCTCAAATTGTAGTAACTCCTTGCTTCACTGGCGCGGAACCCAACCTTATCGACGATGGTCCTTACAAAGGGACTAGAATCCTCTATAAGGAAGAGAGTCTAGGATTGCAGTTGATGCAGAGTCTATCACCGGAACAGCAGGAAGCAGCACAAGTGTATAAGCTGATGAAAGATCCCGCGATGCCACACGGTCGTTGGAACCACGATGATCAGAGACATCTATGTGGAGCTTATCGTGACAATAGGATTGTTCCATATGAGGGTATCCTCGTGTCGAATATGTCAAAGGAACAGCAAGATCACGTCCTGGGGATCGCCAACGAATTCTTGCTTTATCTACCAGATTCTGCTAGAGCGCTGCGCATAGCACAGATTAAAGAGTGGTTTCATGAAACCTACTGGTGTTGGATTGGCGGCTATGGCGACGAGGATCCATTTTACTTCCGGATACAGAGTCCAGTAGTGATATTCGAGTTCGACCATCATTCAGGCGTTTGTCTTAATAACGAAGAGCCTGCCAAGTTCCACATTCACACATTGATGCGGGCCCCTAACAAAGGAGACTATGGTATGGCGCTGAGGCCACTGATACCTGGGGTAGAGCAGGGATATTTATGGGAGGGATAGTAGAGGTAAAGAGTTTCAAGCATGTATTTATCCTTTGAGATCTGTGTTCTATTGGGGTATGTAAAAGCATTGATGTCACGATCTACCTTATCATGAAATGCCACCTCGCCTTCTGCTTTTGTGCCGTCTAGTCACTCAACTGTCCCATGCAATGTGTCGTCTTATAATTTGACCCCAGATGGAGATCCTATCTCGCTCACGATAGTGGGCTGACGTGAGATGAACAGAATTTCTTTTGTGGGAGCTGAAGTGCTTCTCTGGTACGGCCAGCCCCGAAAGAGAAAGATCGGTAACAGCATTGAGTCGCTGAAAGCCCAATCGAGACAGCATGGCTTGGTCGGAGGAGAATCAGCTTCCTAGTCGTTATTTTTTCAATGTAAAGCTGACTGGAACAATGTTTCAATGTGACCAAATTGCTTGCGCGTTCACGCATGCGCAGACGCATGAGTAATGATATGATCATTGATGGAATTTAGTCGCTAGGGGATAGTATGCAAGCTTTACTTAGTTCATCAAGTTGTACATAATTGTAAACCTGATATATTGGCTTCTAACCCTCCGATGACTAATTATTTATCTTAATCTCTTTCCACGCCAGTTTGCGTTTACCAATTAAAGATATTCCCAAGCCCCTTCGGGTAGCTGAAACTTACAAAGGAGGGCAATACTGCATACTGAAGCAGCCATGTGAGGGAGACAAGCTGCATTTACCATGAGATAACAGAGTACCTGCCGGGCAAACCGGCAATTCAGGAGAAATGCAATTATCACCCAAGGCAATAAGTGGAAGGATGCAAGTCGGTCCGTTATCCGAAGCGCATTTGTTATCCTTGAGCGTGGTTCCGTGTGGACACGAAGGGACAGTAATAGTCACACAACCCTCTGGACGCAATTCGCTTCCAGGAGGGCATGGCGGGCTGTTGATAGTAACGCAGGAGCCATTGTTGAGCTGCGTACCAGACAGGCAAGTGGGCGGCTGCTGAGAGACACACTTCTCTCCCTGTAAGGTCGTTTCAGGCGGGCAGTCTGGCAGTTTCCCCGCAATGCAACCCTCGGGTGAGAAGACAAAGCCCTCGGGGCAGTTAGGTCCCGCCTGGGTGGCACAGGAGTTTCCGCGAACGTGGGTGTCTGGAGGGCACTCTGGAAGCTGGCTGTGAAGACAAACCCTGCCATCAAATACGTCGCCTTCAGGACAGGCTGGCGAGCCATGCGAGATACAGGCGGTGCCGTTAAATGTAAAATTCGATGCATATGTCGGAACTCCAGGGGACACACAGTTGGTACCGTCGAAGACAGCTTGGCCTGAGCAGGCCGGTCCCGTGCTAGAGATACATTTGCCATCCTTGAGTGTGCCAACAACGTATGTTGGGGTTTCAATGGTAATACAGAGACTACCACCGCCGGAGACCGACCCAGCTGGACAAACTGGTGGACTCGTTCGGATACAGGCATCCCCACGGAGGATCATCTGGTCAGGACAAGTTGGCGGTACCGTGGACACACAGATCTCGCCTGAGAGAGTGGACCCTTGGGGGCACGTAGGCGCTTGAGGCACAACACAAGCCGCTCCTTTGAAAGCGCCTTCTAAACAAGTCGGCTTATCTGTGAGAGCACAAATTCCCCGAGACAAAACGGCATCCGGAGGACATACAGGCGGGCTGTTGAAAGCGCAAAGTTTACCGTTGAAGGTAAAGCCTGAGGGACACTCCCCATCCTGAGGAGTCGTCGTACAGATGCCATCTATCAAGTACGAGCCAGAAACGCACATTGGGGCCTCAGGCGCCTCGCATGTCCAGCCGTTGAAATGTCCTATCTGGCATTGTGGCGCCGTATCAGAAATGCAGACACGTCCGCTGAAGGTCGCGCCGACTGGACAGGCGGGCTTCTCCTCGTGGGAGCAACTCTTGGTCTGCTCGCTAAAGGTAAAACCGGTCGGACAAAGAGGACATTGCTTCTGAGTGCATAGACCATTGTTCAGAGTCATCTGATCTAGACATGACGGCGGTTGGGAATGGGTGCAGGATGCTCCATCCAGCCTCTCGCCGGTTGGGCAGACAGGCGGCAAGTTGGAAACGCACAGGTTCTCAACCACGGTGAAGCCCGCGGGGCAAACCTTTTGCTCATTGGAGACACAGGATACACCGTTGAAGTCAAAGCCAGCGTCACAGGCGGGAAGCTGCGTGGAGATACAGTTGCTGCCATCGAAATGCGCTCCAGAAGCACAGCTAGGGTTTGTGTTGGACACACACTTTTCATCGCTCAGGACGGTGCCTTGAGGGCATGTGGGCTTTTCATCGGTGACACAGGCCCCCTCGTGAAGGTTTGTTCCTTGAGGACAGACTGTTGTGGGCTTAAACACGCAGCTGGTGCCGTCGAAGAAGGTGCCCGGGGGACAACATTTCATTAAGCCTTTGGAGTCTACCGAAGGGGTGATATCGTCAAGGGCAATTTGATTGAAGGCATTGATAGGTGGTGCGACGGGGAGAGTTTCTGCTTGAAATTGCAGCGGGGCCTGAACAGGGACCTCTTGGGTCTGAGTCAGAGAAGCAAATAATGCTAGAAGGGCCAAAACATAGAGGTTTGCCATAATGGACGTTGGGTGGGGTTTTCCGTGTCAGTAAAATGATGGAGAGCAAAGAAATTTACAAATGAGGAGATGTGAATGAGGGCCAGATGGCGAGCTATTGGCCTTGCGCTAGAAACGTTATATGTACTGTTAGGTTGACAATCCATACCTTGCAGTCTACCTTGTTACCCATTCGCCGATGGACCGAAACGCGCGCTTTGAGGATTCATAATATTCAGCTGCGAGAAAAGCCTAAGCCCACAGCCAAAATGTGACTCTATAAACTGTTGCCTGAGTGGTCAGCACACAAGAGATCCAGCCAGCCACCGCAGGGCCGTGTCCCCAGCTCGGACATGTTCGAAACTGATAATGCAACTGTAGGAGCCTATACGAAGTTTGCATGCATATGCCTCAAAGGCTCAGTAGTCAATAAAACTCTCATTCATGAACAATCCAGTGCCTGTGACCGAATCTTATGTCCACGAACGCACCTAGCTGTGCATAATATTAGTTGCAGCTGCGCATTGCAGGCCTGTCAGTTCCCATTACGGCGATGATCGCCAACGTCTTCAAAGCTGACTGCCGTGGCTAGCTGATTTTGCTGCACTGTATGCTCAGCTGTCAATGTGATACTATCCTAAAAAGTCAAAATCTGTATCACTTCCAAGGCATCGTTCTTTTGATTCGAAGCATGTGAGCGACAAAAGAATTGTCCCACTCTTTGTAGTCTACGGAGCTGGAGAGTAGAAAGAGAGTGCTTTCCTTCCACATCAATAAACTCATCCATCTTCATCACCTCTCTCAAGAAAAGCAAAATGGCTCATCATCTGTTACTATTTTATCTATCCTGTCTGGTATCAATCGCCATCCGAGTCAGCGCAGAACCATGCAGTACCACAGGAACTTTCGACGACTGTTGTCCGTCCTTAGACAACAAAGTCATTCCTGTCAAGGGCAAAGAGTTCCGAGTCTACTGTAACTCGTTTATTAAACAGGAGTTCAAGCAGACTAGCACTTCGGTAGAGTGTATAGACAACTGCAGTTCCGATCCTGCCTGTGTTGGCGTACATTTGAAACGACCTGCAAATGCCAGGTTCACAAGTTGTGAACGGAAGCTTCAATCTCCCGAGGCCAACACTGTGAGCTTCGTCTTAGTCGACCCTACGGATACAACACAGTTGACCCAAGACTTGAATGACTGTCGCCGCGATCTCGGCAACTGCCAACCGGGGGACCCGGCTTGCACAAGGAATCTTCAACAATGCCTTCGAGATCTAGATAACTGCAAGCCAGGCGACCCAACCTGCCCTGGAAAACTTGACACCTGTCTCACGGACAAAAGGAGGTGTGAAGGAGACCTCGACCGCTACAAAAAGCAGGCGAAGCCCTTCTGCTGCTCCGACACCAAGGTGCAGACGATTGGCGGGGGAAGCTACCGTCACCACTGCAACCAAGTCACCACGCCGGCAAGCCCCAACCCTTTCCGGACGCAGCATCAAGCAGAGAGTATAGAAGAGTGTGCTCGAATTTGCACAAAGAACTCAGGATGTCAATGGATCTACTATGTGGTTAGTAGTAAGACATGCTCGTTGGGCCGTGGCGGGTGGAAACATCAGACCAAGAACGCTTTCACGACGCCCGGTGCCACGGGTAAAGGCTGCACAGTCATTGAAAAGGCTTAGATGGAGAATAGCTTTGGAAGACCCAATCAAGTGTTTGATAGTCCGAAAATACGCAGGGTATTTTGAGCTTTTGTGATTCTATGCTTATGCTTATTTGATCTCTTCTGGGTAAATAGTAGTCTCACATAAGCCCGAACATGACAAGGTTGGATTCGCTTGCATAAGTGATGATTCTACTGGCTTAGGATTAGGTCGAGTAAGCGCCAAGACATACGCGACTTCCTGAGTCGTCCTATATAAGGCGTCCGTTGAATTACCATGAACTTACATCTTATATCTCATTCGAGAATACTGAAGATTTACGCCAACTCTGAGATTACAAAATCTACTCCCAAATAAGTGAAGAGAAAAGGCGAAATGGAAGTCACAGAACAATCATCCAAGCCACTGTTCATCTGCCTCGCAGTAAGTCGCCTATGTCATCTGGATTGTGCATTACTAATCCTCAACTTAGCACTCGCCATCTGCACAAAGTGTCTTCTGGCTCCTTGAGGAGCTTGGAGTAGATTACGACATTAAAAAGTTTGCACGACCTGTGGATAAGGCCGTGGTAGGTCTGAAGGAAACACACGTCCAGGGCCATTCGCCACAGCTTATCCTACCCGATGGCCGGGTCATCACGCAGATGAGCACCTGTATGCTATATCTCCTACTCACTTATGATACCGACGAACGGTTTCATAAGACGGACCCTGAATACCGACTACGAGAAGACTACCTCGTCAGCCTTGCCATTTCCGACGTCATGGCTCGAGTGGGGACCAAGCACCTTTTTCTGATAATGGGCGCTCAAGGTCCCTTCCTACTGCGTCCCTTGGTCAACTTGTTGGGCTATGGACTCAATAAAGTATTTCTTAACCCAGAGGTGGAGAATCAGCTCCATGTCATGGAGATGGAGCTAGAGGGCCGGGACTGGTTCATGGGAGGGGATGCGCCATCGCGTGCTGATATAGCACTCAAGGTTTCCACGGATCTGATATTTCACCCCGGATTGGCTGATGTGGAGAAATGGCCGAGGGTTAAGGCGTGGCGGGAGCGATGTGAAGCAAGGACTGCGTGGAAGAGATCCATTGAGAAAGGCGATGGCTATAATGTGGACTGGATTGCAAGACTTCGGGAGAGTCGAAAGTCTTGGTGGTAATTCTGTGCGAGGGACAGTAATTTATTTTACATGAAACAATATTCAAAGTAGGAATAATACAAATTCAATTGGTATTTGTGATCTAAGCATTGTTGTCCGCGCCATCTGCAACAAGCGCACCCTTCTCTTTTAAACCCTTCACAAGTCGGCATATGGCCTGACAGGCGAGCAAAGCGACTGTGTCACCGCCTTCCAGACGAGGGTCAAATGAGCAGACGACAAGTGAAGTTGGGTTCACCTTCTGAGGGATCATCTGCATTAAACCCATCAAGTCCTCGGAGAAGAAGCCACCGGGGGAAGGGAAATCATTGACACGGCCTAGTGATTCGTCGAGGACATCCAAGTCAAGATGAATATGTGCATCCTTGATATCTTGTCGTCGATCGAGAACAGCAGCAAGACCAGCAGTAAAATCTACCTTTCCAGCAGTGTTGCCCCAGACTACATCTACTCCAGCATCCTTGATAGTCTTGAGTTGCGTTTCAGAGCAATCTCGCAATCCACACCACACGACCTTCTTGACGTCCAAGGGCTCGTGTCCGGGGACAGTCTCCATTAATTTATGCCAGCTCGAACCAGTCATCATGGAGGCGGCCATGGCATCGAGATAACCGTTCTCATGTGTCGAAGGCGTATCAAGGTCATCGTGGGCATCCAGCCACAGAGCCGCAGGTTTAGACCCTGTGTTGCCCGAGTTTTGTTGGTTGAGACCAGCCAAAGTCGCAGTGCTTGCATAACAATTCCCGGAGAGGACCAAGGGGAATGAGTTGTTCTTGGTAGCTGTAGCGACCGCATTGGAGATACGGCGCAAGATCTCAAAAGTCTTGCCGATTTCGCCCTCGAAGTCATCAACGGGGCCGATGTTAATGAAGGAAACTGGGGCTAATTTGCCCAGATCCCGGGCGATGCCATGGGACAGGATGCGGAGGGGACCCCCGCCGACGCGATGGTCATAAGCGCCGACATGGTAGGGAGAGATGATAATGGTGATTGAAGTGTATGCCATAATGAATCAATTTGTTGATGATTTGGGAAGACAGAATGGATTAAGAATTTGAAGATGTGGCGACTTTACAACAGGTATAAGAAATAGTAGTAGATAACGTTATAGCCCGCAAATAATAACATTAGAGTTTTAAGATTTTCAACCAATTAAAGTCGATTGGGCCATCTTAGTGTTGAAACGTTTGAAGTGTAGTATCCACTTGTGTGGAGATGACATGATGAGAGACAGTTAGTTACATAATATGGAATCGCCGTTGTGCACCTAGATTCAGTGCCCCTATGACAAATCATTGGTCTATTCATCAGAAAAAAAATAAAGTAAGGATGATTTGACATCTTTTCAAATATTCAGGGCAAACCCTTCTGCCCGGGTTAGTAGACATGCAAGGCTAGCCATAGAAGAGACTGTTTCTCACATTGTCAAAGTGGCAAGAGCGCTGGAGATGGATGGCCCGGGCTCCAGGTTTTGAGAATAAGGTTGTTGTGGTAGTCTACAGTCTACTAGACAAAAAGGAATGAAGGAATAGCGAAAGAAGTGATAAAGAATGAATAATACTTGCATTGGCGGGATTGCCCGTTGTTCCTGATTGGCGAGCTGACGTTCGCAAGCTTCCCGTGCAACCGCGCGATGTTTGTGGAGGATATGAGAAATATGAGGCAAACAATAATGCAGATCAAGCAGAATCAGATAGTGGGCATCATCATTTTTAAAAAGACGCTGTACTACTGGCCAGCATTCACATATCGAACGGGCAGGTTATGATAACACCTAACCTATAGGGTAATGGGCTATGTAGCCGAAATAGTTTCCGAAGCCATTGCAATAAGATGTTCTATATTGTGGTTAATAGCATAAACTTCTTAGTAATCCTCCCACAACAAATCTGTTAGACTAAGTTCTTCCGACCTTAATCTAAAAATGTTCGGCGATTAACAGTTTCAGCTTCACGACATCCACGTAATTGAATGCGTAGTGCACGAATTAGGTAGTCGCCGAAACTTCAACAGTCACCAACATAGGAAAGGACGTGACCTCATTCCTCCGGTGACCTAATCGACTGTAGGGCCTCCTCCCCCTTTTTTATGTTGACTTTCATAACAAGCTTTCACCTGCTCAATAGAGCATAAACGTGGGTCAGTGGCCACGCGTTGCCAGCTAGGCATCAAAATTATTAGCTTTGTCCGTCGGACACGGACCTCATTATTCGTAGGTCAACGGAACCCCACCGAGCTACGGGTATAGTGCGGTAGCTCCACGTATCCCACCAAATTCGCGTGCGAATCGGGTAACCTTGTGCTTTTCGCTTGGCGACTTCCGCGCTAGAAGCGTTAGACAAGGTTTGGATGATTGGAAATACGAGAAAGGCACAGTAGTATGTGGGGACGGTTTATGTTATTGGGAAGTGCCTTATCATGAAGGGGCGTAGAATTCAGGTGGCAAGAGGGATATCCGTAATGGATGGTGAAGTCCCCGAGGACGATAGCAGGATTAGATACTCGTACATGGAGGGTAAAGTATTTGAACATCTTGACGAGCACGCCGCGGTAACTCTTCGGCGCAAGCTCTGCTTCTTTATTTGCAAAGTGGTTATCGTTGATAGACAGACGTGCTGGATGACGCTGACGACTTATGATCAAATCAAATCACAAGGACGGGCTGTGAACTTTGATAGGACCTAGCGTATCTAGCACAGGGCCAATTCATGGGTCTATTACGGGAGCCTGGACATCATCGACATGCCACGTATTGGAGAAAGAATCACGCGTTAGCAAGTTGCGAATGATATCGTCATTGGCGGAGCAATACACAATTGTGTCGTCTGGCGGTTCCTCCAAGTCTAGACCGGGACGAGGGCGAGGCCTGAAATGAGATGGGATGGCTTAAGCGAGGCTATGCAGAAGTAAATTCCATATCCAGGGTTGTCGCACTGAGGGATTTTGCAAGAGGCTTGTCAGCTCGCACCGCAAGCATAAGGACGCTAGAAGAGTCCACCGACTCGGTCTCGTGCGAACTTGCTATGTTAGACTTAGGCAACTCAATTCTGAGGCTACAGAGAATGATATATTACGGGGGGGTGGTACCTTTCCAAGTATTAATATAGCTTCGCTAACACCTGGCATTCAAGAATCTACACGGCAAACAACAAATCCACACTCTCGCGACAATGTGGTTCCACGCCCACCCACTTACATCCTGCCCAAACCACTACGAACTTATTGACAGTGTAGAGCGCCAATCATCCGACTCTACTTCGGAACAGTTGCACAAGTCTTCATCGTGGAGGGTTCCAAGATTCATATCCTCCAAACGTAAGACATCGTTGCTTATTATTGCGGACTTAGTCCTACTTGGTCTTATCCTTCATATTCTTTCACCACTCATCTCTTTATTACGGCACAACAAAGAACTATTCCCGGCGCTCGTTAGCATTACCAGCAGAGATGTACCCAAGTCTTTCACGCCACGGAATGACCAGATACCACGGATTCTTCACCAGACCACCAAAAACGACACTATACCCAGCATCTGGGCAGACTCCCAGGCGAGCTGCCTCAAAATATACTCCAATTACGAGTACATGGTATGTCTGGGTGTTTATTTGCCATACCACGCGCGCTAATATTGCCATTCAGCTGTGGACAGATGATAAAGCCCGATCGTTTCTCGCAGCCGAGTATCCATGGTTTTTAGAAGTCTGGGACAATTACCCCTTTCCCATCCAACGCGCCGATGCCATCCGTTATTTCGTACTATACCACTATGGCGGTATTTATCTCGATATGGATACTGTATGCCACGAAGAGTTCCCTATTCACCAAATCGAGAACAACAATGTCACACACAATTGCCTCTTCGAAGGTACACTACCTACTGGAGTCACCAACGATATCATGATTTCGTCTGCCAGACATCCCGCATTCGAAAGGGCTACCAAACTCCTTCCTGTGTCCTTTCGATTCACTTGGTGGTGGGCCAAAATGCAGCCATATGCTGCTATCATGTCATCAACGGGGCCTCTATTTATTTCTCTTGCTGTTGCCGACTACTTGTATGAGCAGCCGTCTTTGCCTTCACCAACAGTTCAGGTTATTTCCCCTACTAGCCTCAAGCCGTATATCTCGGACCTGCAAACAGCAATCTGGCATGGCTGGGATGCTCATGTCCTGAAATGGCTCTCTAACAAGCCATTGGTCTGGTTTATTTTAGGCACGTTTCTCTTGGTTGGGGGACTGTATACTGTGAATAAAGTCTTCGTGATTGTCTCTAGAGTTATGCTTCGGTTAATTCAAGCTCTTTTACAGGGTATAAAAAGGATGGTTAAAGCCATTTGAGATTAGAGTCAGTTAAATCGTTGGGCATATACTAGATCCGTGCAATGCTATACTCCATCTTCATTATGTGTATGAAAAAAAATTAGTAACCCTTTATTGCATGGTGAAGATAGTGTTTAGGAACCATGATTTCAACCCTCTAAGCTCCATTTCATGTCTTTACCGGGATAGTTCTCCCTAGAATTTGAAGTCAATGAATAACCCCAAACCTCCATGACCGTATATGACATAACACATAATCTATTATACAGGTTGAGGGATATATTAACAAGGGGTGGCGTAAAGTCGAAAAAGGAAACCCCCGAACTGACGTGTTCAAAAGGGGTATCGCCGAAAAGTTATATAATTTTACTTCGGACTTGAGCATACGCCGCTGACCCGCACTTCATCTAGACTACTCGAGGCATTTCTGTGGCGAATCACAGTCTATGGCGGTGAGCGCGTTTGACGTTCTAGGATGCTCATCCTTTACGTCGTACGATGAACAAGCGATTGTTAGTATCCCCCTTCCCCGCAGATAATTCTCAACACATACTTTCGTATCTCTTGTTGTCGTCACCTTGACCACAAACCACCGCGCCAGACATCGACACGACTTCCAAACGAAAAGTGCATCCAGGACTTCTCAATCGAACCCACTAGGAGATAACTCTGCTCGCTATTAGAGCCAAAAATGTCCACAAAAGATGTGCTTTCTGATCCCCAGCGACTTCGGCGTGAGTCCCATGCACAATGGCGATGGGCCCTAGAGAGATTTGTCATATCACTTGTCTTATTGGCGGCCGTGTACTCTACTGTTTTTCTCGTTCTCGGTTATATCTTAAGTCTTGTCTCTATCACAACGTTGTAAGAGAGCTTCATTGTATTAACAATTTTAACAGATCCACCATAACTAGGCCCAGCGCTTCCCTAAACAAGGATGTCTCGACAAAACCCAACTCTCTACAATATTTCACCAGGGAACCAACATCACATCGACCGTTGATAACATAAGTTCTAGTCTCTAGGTCATCGATAGAAAAGAGCCAGACTGTATATACGACTTCTTGACTAGTAGAGATTTCCCGCTTCATAACGTCCCCAGACCATTTGATCCTCCTTCAGTACACCAGCCCCAACTCTCGTAAAAGCCCCGCGGACAAAACTATCCATCGAATATTTAACAATGATCACATAACAACTCAGAACAAGAGGACTGATAGTGTCACCCGATTTAGCTTTACCGAGAACAACGCATCTCAAGTCCGCAGGCAGATATCCATTCGAAACGTCAAAGGTTATTGTCTTGAATAACTCGTCCCTGCTTTGGGCCAAGTTCATCTCTCTGGCCCTGGTTAGCCCAACCATCGGCGGCCAGTTGGTGCCATCTGCTTCCCAGTGCCATTTTCCATACGCCGCACTTTGGGTGGCAAATGGAGACGAATACTCTTTGGTCCAATCCACTTCGTCAAAGTCGACTTCAACATAGGAAATGAGACCGTCATATGCCATCCATGACCAGCTCGGGACGTTGCGTTGCTGAGGGAAGTTGATGTTTTTCAAAAAAGGCGTCTTGTCGGGCCTTTTCCAGAGTAGACCTCGCTCCAGGAAAGCTTGAAAGACTCCAAAGCCTCCCCGCGTGTCAAATACGGCTGTCAATCTTTTTTCCAGGGCGGCAATAGCGACAGGACGGTCTTTGGCATCCCAGAATATCCGTTTGGAGTACTGCTGGTACAGATCTTGGACAAGCATAACTCTGCCACCTTTATAACGAGGTTCAACCGAGGAAGGAAAATTAGAGTCTCCAAGAAAAGAAGGCCTTGGACTGGATGAAGGTCAGCTACCTGGTGAACAAGGACTAATGTGAGATGCGATTGACTTACTTTGTCAGTCTTGAAAGACTCTCGCAATGCACACCTTTCCCGCATTCGAAATAGACCTGATTATCCGTAAAGTGAACGGTGCGTCGCGCGAGGGCTCTCTCCTGGAGGGTCCAGCCTCTGGTATTGAGTATGGCCTCGTCAACATCACGTTCAAAGTTATCTATGTTTTTACACAGATAGCTGATCCCTCCGGATTGAGATTTCAATACCATGTATGGACGGTAAGGGTCCGATCGTTTAAGGAAACCATCCATCGATGAGCCGGCGGAGCTGGCGGCTAAAACACATAAAGCGTTGCTGTACACTTGTTCCATTTTGACTGACTCGACATTCCAATCATCGTCGTCATCTTGGATTATGCATAATGAATCGATCCATATGTATCTGACCCCAACTCCCCTGGCCACAGTGACAGCGTCCTTGAAGTTCAAAGGTAATTCGCTGTCATCGATAGACCGGTATCTGCGAGTATGGTTATTGCGTAGGATGCGTCCTATATGGAGTTGTGGGCTCTCACCCCACCGGTGACTCAATGCAAGATATATGGGAGATACCATGTCCTCACTTTTCACAAGACGGACATAATGATTTGTATCGTCGCCGACATCAACAACACGCGTCGGGAGACCTTTTATACGTTCCAAGGTTCCGGCAGTAGCATGATTTGTAGCATGTCCATCATGCTCGTGAGTCTCATCGCAGAGTTGAATCCATTCTAGGAAGAGTAGAAACTGATCAGCGCTCCCTGGGGCCGGTAATTGAGTGGTTCCAACTTGGGACAATCCTTTGTCAACCTTCGTTGAGCCTACTATTCATATTGACCGTGTCAGATCTACTATGATCCGGGTTAGAAATATTCGAATGGGTCTTACCTGGATGATCATAAAATGAAAGTATTGATCTATTTCCTGGCTCCACCTCAAGTGTTGGGCCATTTCGTTGAATGGTGATTTCATCGACGTAGTCTGGTAATGCAAGATCTGAGAGACAGTCCTTTATTAGAGAGCACAGTTGACATCCGGTATCTGTAAGCAGGATACTCAAAGTTACCGTGAACCGTAGATCTGGTTGCCACAAATCTAGTTCAGAGCATCTAGCGCATAGACGTGGGGGCTCTAGTAAAGGTGAGGCGCCGTTCATCCAGCCTTTGTATCCTGTTGCCTGAGAGCTATACTTCATAGTTTCCCATAGACGCTGTGCAAAGCCATTGGCGGCATGAGGCTGCCACTTGTCCTCAAATTCGCTAACTTCCTACCCGTTGTGTCAGTCGATGATACAACGCGCAAAGGTGTTGGGACCTTACAAACTAAGGGATGTTAGCGAGACACAGCTTCAATATATAGTCGTACTTACAGTCTAGACCTAATGTATTAGCATGACATATCGGGTAGTATGTGATCCTTGGGGCAGGTTTTAGAGTAGGGATTCGGTTTGATCTTACTTTCTGTGTATGGATTAGTACAGCCAACATGGATCTCAGTCCCGGCTTTACTCACATACTAGAAATTCCAGGTTAGTCCGAGGTTTGTATATGGCCCTGAGTATCATTTAAGAGGAGGACTTACTTCTTGTCCACGACTTCGCGACCCAGGAACACTACTCGGCAAGCTATAGCCTATGATCTTCAACCGCCGCTCGGAATTCAAGCAATAAGCCTCATCTACATGGGCTCGTTGTACTATCGCATTCAATGGCTCGCAGACCTCTTTCGACGTGCTTCTATAATCCAAAGGCTTAAGCATTTGGGAATCGACGAGACGGATTAGGTCGCCAAGCGCAGTCTCCTTGGGAAGAACTGAAGTGATGTTACCGATCCATTGTTTTATGCTTTTGTGTACGACCCTAGAGCCATGCGTGTCTTGCCAGAATTGTTCAATATTCACTTGACTGAATTGGTTCAAACCTTTCACACCCCAAGCTGCCCATATGATAAATTCCATGAAGAGGCAGCCTAGAGACCACACGTCGTGGCGTCGGGATATAAATCTGGTTATGCGAGGGTCAAACTCTGGGGGCATGTATCGAGCCGTCCCCGTCATCGTTCTAGTGTATTCGTTACCTTTCATCCGATTATCTGTTGACTTGGCGTGGAACTTTCCCAAGCCAACGTCAGCAATCTTCAAAATGTTTGTGTTCTGTTCACGAAAGACAAGTATGTTTTCCGGCTTCAAGTCCCCATGGCGGCAGTGAGTATTCCCACCTGTAGAACTGCCGTGAATCGGACGGTCCAAGTGTAACTGAACAAGAGCCTCGCATAGTCCTCGCATCTGCCTCAAAGTCCAAAGCAGAAAGTCTGTGCGAGGAGAATCCGGGAGTACGGCCCCATCACGATTCTCTTCCCTATCCCACAGCTCTTTGAGATTTCCTTCTTGGGCCCAGGGAAACATCAAGAATCCCGTCTTGCTTCCCTTTCGTTTGTAACCAGCAATTGGCGTGACTATGTGAAGACCAGGGTTTTCCAGAACTATCTTCTGAATGCCTTCCAAAACCCTCATCTCTCGCTCAAACCATTCAGGTGATGAAGGATGCGTTTCTTTCAGGGCAATTCGTAAAGGCTCACCGTCAGTCTGATTCGGGACTGTCAGTTCGAGTCTAGTCGTAGAGGTGGAGAGCAATAACTCACATGCTGAATTACATTCTGGTGTGATTGGTGCATTATGACCCCTCGAACACATCCAAAGACCCCTCTTTGGAAATCTTGTATTTTTCGACGAAGGGAAGAGGTACTCTCTTATCAAATTCATGGTAAAACTTTGATATGGTAAAGACGGGGGCCAAAAACCACCATTGATAGAGTTCAATTGAACCGCGGGTACTGGATGTCAAAGAAGTAAACTCCGCTGGCCACCTTTTTCGCTCTCTTTCTTCTTCCGTTTCTTCAGTTGTACTGTGAATAGAAGGATCGTTGGTATAGCTCAAGTCTATCGGAAGGTCCAAGTCGTTGAACTTATGTCGGTCGGTTCTTAAGACTGTTACCCATTCTATCTTCTCACAAAGAACTAGGAGGAGGAACAGTTTCTTAGCTGGCTGGTTCAAGACATATTGCGTCAAATTCTCAACCTCAGCTGCATCGATACTCGAATCATCAAGCACACTTTGGACGATTCTTGCTGTGGAGAGTTCTTTGATCTTGTCAGATGGGATGAATCTTTCAAAATAATCGCCAAGCGTGGCACGATGAATGTCCTCGACCAAGGTGACGGTTACCATGTTTTCAACCAATGCATCATCAGGCCGAGGAGTCTCATATCGCTCTGTCAGTTCTTCACAAGCTCAAATGCCAGCATTATTCGCGTATCAGTTCGTGACTACTCACTGTCCGACTGTCTAGAGAAGCGCTCCAGCCCATAATAACGGTGAAATTGGAGGTGATGGTAATGATTGTGAGAATGAGAAAAGTACTGGGACTCCGTCTACGTAGCACTGCACATATATGGGGACGAGACCTGTCATAATTCCAACATTAGCCGCCCTGGCAAAGCGCTTAGCAACTATAAGCAAATATACTGGCTAACTGTCACGTCAGAGGACCCGCAATCAACAGGTCCCTTAATCGCCTGCATGATGTGCGTGTGTCACATATGGTTACCACTTAAGTCTTGCTATTTGAGCCAATCGTTCATTGGAGGGCGCGTATCCCCCTGCGTTAACTTAGTATGTCTGATAGTATTTCCAAAAGGCCCGGCGTTAGTGAGCCGATCATTCAGATGGAAGATTATCTTGCTGCTTTCAAGCCCAAAACAGACCTGCGAACCTTCACAGCATCAACGGTTCAATGGATGTTCTTGCGACTTGTAACCTGGGTGTCATACAGGACTATTGCCTGCAATGAGCGATGAGATGCGTGACAAGGCATCTCTGACAGCGCCCAGATCCAAGGAGCTTGAGGTTGATAAAGAGCCTCCCGGTAGAACGGAAGAAGTGTTCCATCGGTCTCGCCGTAACGGGAATGCTATAAGAGTCCCGATGCTGCCCTCCAAGAGTACTGCACAGTCCTCCTACGGCCTTTCTCGAATTTCTACTAATGACACGACTCTTTGCACATCACAGCTGGCAGTTACAGAATTTGCGCTATATTGGACGAAGAAGAGCGATACTGAAGCAACCGATAGGGAAGGTGAATAGGTCCAAGTTGGCGGTATGATTTATAGCGGGGTTTCCACTCCCATCAGAGTTTGATACATGCCAAATTTCACAGTGAAAAATATCACAGAAAGGTTGGCCCAACCTTCTTCTTGGTCTTTTGTCTGACATACTCTTATCTTTCCCATCCATGGATGTTACTCTAGGACGTCACAGTAACTAAAAATACCAGAAAACAGAATTGGGCGATTCATGTGGAGTATTTACCATTTAGCCGAATCTATCTACCTCCTTCCTTATTCAAGGTTGTCGAGCACTAGGAACATGGAATCCGGGGCTTAAGTCGTAGTCTGTATTTCAATGGGATATAGCTCAACCGGCTCTTCTGCAAGATGCCCGAGGGCTTCTAAAAGCTCCTCTGAAGGAGACAAATCCTCTGGACGCTTCATGTCTACAACCTGGTACCAGTCGTATAATGCAGTCATGACCGCTGAAATGAGTCGTTCCATGGTTTTCAACTTAATGTCAATGTCCGGATTTGGTTGCGGACCTAGCCTTTGACAGTAGTGAAACAAAAACTCGCTTTGAATCTTTCGCAGTATACGAAAAACGCACTGTGACAAGGAAGGTTCATCGGCGATGGCGTAGCATCCTTCAAACACCCTCTCGGTGATTATTGAAGTTTCGAAAAAGAATTCATCCAAGTGATTGGGTAGTTCGTTGATTTGATGCAGGAAAGGGGAGACAGCTGTTTTGACAAGACCCCAGGTAACCAAGGCGCTGTGTTGCCCCTCATATGATGGGTGACGAGGCTCCAGTAGATCAGGCCCAAAAGCGTTCCTCACTTTTCGACGCAGTAAACGTTGAAAGGACCTGACCCTTGAACGCTCACTCCACGGGTCGCGTATTTGGTCTAGTGCTTGCAAAAGCCCGTTGAGTTTGCTGCAACTATTCTGAAGCCAAACCCCGTTGGCAATCAGAAGCCGTTTTGACCGATGGTACCCAACATTACACATGCTTGTAATGAGATCAGGTGACAGTATTTCTGCATTTGGTTCCGACCCAAAGAAGATTGCCGCTTCACCAAAGGATCCTGCTAGGTCGAGAAAGCGTGCCCGGCGGATAAGGCAAGAATCACAACATGAAGGGTCTGAAACACTACGTATGCGGTGTTGAAACTCTTCTAGTTCATGAACAAAATAATAGTTCGACGGACTCATAACTGAGCAGAAAGAAAAGAAAGAATCATGCCGTATGGTGGGTGCATTGGCCATGTCTATGAGCTTCCCAAAGAAGATGTAAGCTGTTGACTTACTCTCAATGGAATCTCTGGGACATAAAATAGTTTTTTCCTGGATTGAAACATACTGATCGGTAAGTTTCCTCTCGAGAAGGTGATCTGCTAGTGCCGGACTGTTATTGAGCTGTTGCCAGTCGTGGGCCCTCAAAAGGGTACGGGTGAGCTCGAGCCCATTATGTGGGTCAGACTCCCTCAAGGTAGAAACCATGCGTTGCCCAGCCGTTCTGTGTCTATCGAACTCGTCTTGGATAGCCCTGTTTAGTTCTAAATCCAAGACCTCTAGTCTATCTTGACACCTCGTGACAAGTGTTTTGTGAAAGAATTGGAGTTGTATCGGCAGGTTCGTCCAGAAGTGCGTGCCCGAGGGAAGTTTATTGATAAAGATAAAGGCATAAATCCACAAGGCTGTTCTCACACGTTTGCGTCGGTCCTGGAAATCGGCCATCCTTTCGCCTGAAACATGGCCTTGGTTCTCCTGATTTCAAGAGTCAGCACCCGAAGCATGTTTCAAGTAAATATTTGCGTTGATACACTTACAGCTTCATAATTGGTACCACTCTGCATCGAGAAGCCATATATGATGATGAATAATAAGGAGTGGATGAATTGGATCTGATCTTGGGTATTCCACTCAGAGGCATTCTCTCTGGCAAGACTTGTGGCTCGTTGAAGAAACTGGAATAACGACAACTCACAGCGACGGTGCCAAATCCAATCTCCGAAGAGTTCCAAATTCCCCCCACACTTGTTAATTTGACTCATGGAACAAACTGATGCAAGTTGAAGCTTAAGTTGTTAGTCTCTATGACCAGCAGCTTTCATGTTGAACCTAAACTCACAACCCATTGAAGTATTCCTCCTTCTGTCGGTTCGTCAGTGATAGTTGTTATTTCGGACAGCGGGTGATCTTTGCAAAGTCTTGTTAAGAAATCTTCAATCTGGTACGCTGAAGGTGATTGATGGAATCCTTGCCGAAAATACAATAAATCAAACGCTTCCAAAACGAATTCACGACGAAAACCGACCGCTACTCCGACAGGGCGGCAAGCTAATAGTTCTTGTTCGGGGTCGTAACTCCCTGGTTGATGACTGTGGGCAAGTTTATACCGGCCCTTTTGTAAGCCCACTGTTGCCAGACATGCGGGCGCAGGGTAGTACTTTGAATCATCTAAAAGAAAGCATAGTTGTAAGCATATAGAACAAAATGATAGTTAAAGATACATCGAATCCTTACGTGAGAAAAAAGATCCGACTGATACGATATCTAAAAACTGGGCCTTGGTACATGGTCCGCGCCAGATTCGTGGCTTGCGTATGGCTAGACAGGCAGTGCACGGAAATCCGCCTTCGCACTAAACACACAACAGTAAATAACCATGCTTTGGGAGGATGATCTGGTATCTAACCCGCAGTCTTGTTGACCAACAACGAATGCAAGTCCCATTCAGCCGTGCTTGCTGCCGTTGCTGCGCTTGTGTCTCTGTCAAACGGCCTCTCTGACCACCCCGCCTAGATGGAGGAAGATCGACATGCTGACAAATGACGGGGCCTACCGGAATAGAACCAGTTGTTGATGAATCCAGAGAAACACTGTATGTTGAACAGAAATCCTGCAAAGGTGGCCCATAGTGCATCTGTCCATGGTACATATTATCTGAGAAAGAAATCGTTCAGAAAGCCATTCTCAACCAAGTTGACAGGGAAACTCGGCAGTAACAGTTTATAAAAACGCGAACGACTTACTGAATGGCTGGGGCTCGTTGTTTGTGAGGTATGGTTCGCAAGTCTGGATAGACTGATGAGAAATTTGATAAGATGGGGCCTGCAGTGTGCGGTTGGATATAGAAGGGACGAAAACTTGATTGATGGGTTCAAATGGCGAAGGTGCAGTATCCACAGGTTGGGAAAACGGCTCGATGCCGTACTCTTCAGGAAGTTGGAGGAGGGACGGATCAATTTCGACCGGAATTTCCACCTGGCTGAGATAGTGATGAGGCTGATCTGCCTGGGGCACTATTGTCGTATCTGAAGCATATGAGAAGGGTTTTCAAGTTTATAAGAAGACCAGAGACATGCCTTGTTCTCCAAATGAAACAAAATCTCCAGAATGGCCAGCATCGTCGAGGAAGGAGAAATCAAAACCGAGATCCGGAAAATCCGACATATCGAGATTCTCAAGATAACTAGTATGTTCATGCTGTGAAGAACCATGGAAGTCTTGTCCTTGAAAAGGTGTGGGCTGAGGATTGTCCTCGTCTTGTTCAAGTTCAAATGCCATCGCAGTGCAAGTTCGGTGGATGGGGATGATCAGAGAACTGTGAGGAAAAGGTGGATGAAAGACTTGTTAGATCGAAGGTATCTAAAGGCGTAATTAGGAACTCTTATACAAATAGAAACCCCCGTCTCTGGCGACCCAAAAGTTGCCTCACCATGGCCTTGGCCAATCAAATCAGACATCGGTAAGCTGCCCTTGTGGAGAATAGTTGGGAAAGCCAATGAGAGACATCATCGGTAGAATAAAGGTGGGGCTGTCTCCTATCACCGTTGTTTTTGGTTTGTTATCTGCCTGCGTACCAAGTTATACGCTCACGTCGAAGATGGCCTGGAATATTCGAGACATTGGCTCTCCTTATAAAAACTATTTTTACGGGAACTGTACAAATCGAGAGCCTGCACTAAGTAATAGTAACCTGGTCTCCCGTTAGTACAGTTGGATTCCGCCGTACCATCTTTTTGACCAAACCAGCACATGACGAAGCCTGCATATTTCTTACTGGTCTAACAAGCACTGCCAAGTCAGATCATTGATGGCGCAGCTGCATTTTATTGTTCGGGGAGGTCAAAAGTAACAATTGGAAAGACAAAGTCATGAATATAACAGCCAATGGAGATCATCTCAGTAACAAAACAGTGCTTATAGTCCTCTGACACTTTCACAACACCTAACCCTCTCTTCAATATTTTCTTATTCGCCACCAGAATGGATCTGCTCACTATGACAACAGGTACGATTACATGCCTCCAAACCAGCTGCTCAATCCCCACTTGGTGTTATGGAATACGAGCCGACAGGAAAAGTATTCCATTGGCACTCATCGAAGTAATGAACGAGGTGCACGACCTTGGTAACGTCATCGAATCTGAAGTCGGCAAAGTATCGTGTTTCCCGTTGTCAATGGTGTCGTCAGCTCTGGAAATTGAGGAGCGTACTCTCGCATTGGGAACAAATATGGGAAGAAGTGAATCATCCAATCCATGATCAACCAAGTGACAAACCACCGCCAGCTGATCTATCATACAATGATATACACAATGCCGCAGTCACAGTTGGAACAGTAACAAATATAAAGCATAGCTAGTATTGTAACATTGGTATTAGTGGCTATGACTGGTACGACGAGCAGTAGGCGTTTTGGTACACGTGAAATGCCCTGACTTCCGCCCATTTACGGCCTTGTGTGTATATGTCGCTTGGTCTCGGACCGGTCCAGGAAGAAGATATACTATTGCATCCAAAACAGCCCGAGAAAAGAAGCCCAGAAGTTTCAATCTACTCAACCTCATGGACGTTACTATTCCTAGTCCATCGGCGAAAGGTCTTGCCATAAAAGTAGAACACAGCGCCAAGTCCACAGAAAAGCGTTGTGAGTGCCATGTTGGTCATGAAGACAGGAATAAATCTAGTGGAGTGTCAGTATAGAACATATCTAAATCTTAGCACGGGGTACAAACCCAGACTTGATGGTCCATGGGGTGACAAATCGACCCATCCCATACCCCCAGAGACTCTTGTTGACAGTGATAGCAACAAATAGAGAACCGGTGACGGGCTTGTAGCAGTCAACGGCGTATGTGCTGGCAATACTAGGCAGGGCAGCGACCTGTATACCAGCCGACGAATAGCCCAGTACAGCAATGACTGGCCAAGGCCAATGTCGCTCGTAGCCGATAGACGTGATAATGTTCCCGAATATCATGATGATAACATAGGGAATCATGGCCGGCAAACGCATCTCCGGTTCACGAATGCCACCATTTCTAGTCGTAGCTTTGGCAGAAACCCAATCACTGAACGGCCCGGCAGTGACGAGCCCTATGAGCGCACCAACAAGAATGGCGAAATTGAGAAAGCCTACATCAGGTTAGCACATCGAATGAAATGGTCGGTCGCATACATACCAATTGACTGCGAGCTCATGTTGTAGGGAGGGGCAGCAAAGACTTGAGACTGTGTGAGGTTGAGGATCAAGAAGTTGCTGCAACTCCAACTGACAACAAAAGAAGCGAAGAGTACGATGGGATATGTGAATAGTCGCCACGGAGTCCAAACATCCACCAGAATACTTCGGAGAGGCGAGGAGTTGGATTGGAACAACATCCACTGTTTCTTAGATGGAGAACCTTTACCAAGCTGAGGATCAAGCACAGCTTCGAGATGGGACTGGTCTGGAGAGTCGGTAGATTTCTCAACATCTCCCTGGGTGTGTGTGGCTTTGTCGTTCTCGATAGTAACGTCGCCTCGATCGCCAACAACTGCTTCGGCTTCCACTATACCAGCACGAGTCCACTTGGTCTCAGGAAATCCGAAGACTCCAAGAATAATGGAAAGGCTGGTCACAGCGACATTGAGCCACCAGAAGTTCTGCCACCCAACGCTTCCTGCCATCGGGCCAGCGATGATGGGTGCTATCATGAGTGATCCCATGTAGACAACCCAATATAGCGCATTCCATGTTCCGCGATCGTGGAGGAAGAAGATGTCGGCGATGACAGCTGGTTGAAGGATTTCAGAAGGTCCGGCTCCGATTCCGTTAAGTCTATAGCTAGACATTAGAGTTTGTATGAGTGGTTGGGAGGTGACACGACTTACACGCAAGCCCCCATAAAAACACCATATGTTGATGCCTTGGCTCTGATAACGTGGCAGGCGAGGCAGATGAGTTGCGAGGCGAGGTATACTGGTCGACGGCCGAAGGATGTAGAGATAGGTGCCCTGCGATTGTTAAATACCAAGCATCAATACGTGCGCAAAGAAGACTAACCAGACAAAATTGCTAAATCCAAGAATGAGAATGGTGACACCAGTGAATTGGATAACATCCTCAAGGTTACTATTGTAATCCCGAATCATGTAAGGGAACATGGGCGCAAGGGCCAGTGGTGCAAAGCCTTGGGTGAAGGTCATGGTTGATACGCAGAATATTGCAGAAAACTTCCAGAGAGGCTTCCAATTGAGAGGATCATGTGGGTCGCTGGACGGCTGTGGAATTAAAACCGTATGTGACTCTTTGGTCTTGACAAAGTGTTCTTTACCAACATCTGTCATGATCTCTGTACCCGGAAGAACCTCGATGTGAAGTTCATCTTCGAGGTTCTCACGATGCTAGGATGTGTAAGAACATATCCACACTGAAGGCGGACGATAGGTCAGAACAAATACATACCTGTTGGTTTGCCATTTTTGCTTTCTTTGCACTCTCAAGCATACTGATCAGTCATTGCAGTACGGTAAGAGCGAAGGCTTCCTGCTATTTATCATATCAATTGATTCCCAAGGCATTCTACAACAACAATACATTGAGGGGGTTAGCTGAGGGACAGACATCCTCGGATGACTGCTTTTAGCTACGCTTAACCTATATCACTCTCGCGCTGATTAACGCTCCCCTCGTGGCGTTTCGGTAGAAGCATTCGGCAAGCGGAAGAGCAGTGACGGGCATGATGTTTGGCAATGTGGGAAAAGGAGGCTACCGGGGTGTTCCCAAGTGCGGTTAGGATGTGCCGAGAGATTGCGGGGTAATTAGATTGGTATCGAGACTAGTCGTGCCGGCAGTTCTCTAAGCATCATGGATAAGTAATCAATGTTATGGATTAATTATGCACGGTTATATAAGGTACGTTAGATGTTATTGTTAAATTACTGTGTCTATATACAACGCGCAGGATAGGGGGAGCTTGCAGGCTGCAAAACGCGCCCATGATAAAGTACGGGGGATATGAGAAAAGTGCCAGCGTGGGGAACAAGAGCCGATGCGACTATGATTGCAGAACGTTTCCAATTCCATCCAAAGCATTAACGTCATGTTCCTGGGCTTTCACGTCAGGCTGCGAAGCTTCTTCATCCACCTAGGCACAAATGCGAGCTGTCACACTGACAGGGCTAGGGCAGCCGAAGACCTTCTTCATGCTTGGGGTGCTATAGCAGCTGGCCTGGTTGGCCTTGCAGTCGAACTGCTTGCAGCCAGAGCCGGGGCTCAAAATGTTGTGCTTGTTGGCGAAGGGGTTTCCATATTCACTATTCATTAGTTAGACAGTATCAATATCAAAACATCAAGGCGTCAACTTACGTGCTGAATTCATCTAGGGAGTGAGGTCAGATTATGTTATCGGCGATACTAATCAGGAATGGACTTACAGTAAACATAGTTTGGCTTGGAAGTAGAGGAGTAGCCGAAGAAGAGGGGCTTGGTAAGCGTCTTGGTGGTAGCAATCTTGACAGTCTAATAGTAGGATCCATGATTAGTCACAGTATCAAAATATTATTAAATGAGAGAAAGAAAAGGGTATACGAACTGAACCAGAAGAGCGCATGTTCTCAGAGAACTTCTGTCCAGACTTGAGAGTATAGAGAGGTCCAGGAGAACCGCCGTTGTAAGGCCAGGACTGAACGTATATAGTGCCAGGACAGTTGTTAATTACGACAGCCTGGTTGGCCGCGGCAGTGCTGCCAATGATGGCGGTGAGGGTGGTGAGGATGCTGAACTTCATTGTTGCGAATTGAGTTTGATTAGAAAATAGAGGTAGAGATGATAGCTTGATGAGATAGAGATCTTGTGAATGGATTGACCTTACTATTTAACGTCTGACCTCGAGATGATAACAATAAACTTCAGTTTGATACGAGGTCCTGAGAAATGGTGGCGCTGGGCTATCGCCTATCCGAGTATCACCAATTCGTATTCTCAGGGGATTATCTTGTTAGAGGCTTGGTCTGGACCTGAGACTATCCCTAGTGCGTCACTTGACCCCTCTTGACGAGGTTCCGAACGGGCTAAGACGCTTCCCGATCCGGACACTCCACGACTGTACCTCACTTTATAGACCAACATTGGCAGACTACATGAACCCTTTTGGCTACAGATGACCCGATAAATTGCTTATTTTGTGCCGTGTAGCTAAATGAAGCTCAAAATAGAATATACATTACATCATTACACTGATATTAGGACTGAAGAACTAATTTTAAAGTTCCGGTTGGATTGCTGGTAGAAACTTTGTTCGCTGCAACCACTCAATCAGTCAATACGAGGAGCTAACAAAGGTCAGCTGCGTGAATAATCACAGTGCGGCAGAACGGCAGCGATATATGGTATCTTGAATCAGCAGATACAGCCTGTGGAATAAAGTGTATCAATTACACTATGGACGAAGTGACTACACAGCAGCACATACAACCTCCTTTAGTTTGCAAATACATTTATGGATGCATTTAGTGGTGTAATGTAGGTATGTCATCTGCGGTGGGTCAAGTTATTCCCGCACTCAATGTTAGCAGACACACGATCGACAGGCTCCCGTAATAGCTTGCCGATCTCTGTGCCGACGAGCCGTCGTCAACCTGGAGGAAACACCCAAAAGCCATTTCCGGCAAAGCTCTAAGCGTAAACATCAATACGGTTTTCATACTTTCATCCGTCGTTATTACGGCCCTTGGCAGTTCGGATATGGAGTGATTTGAAGCCGACTTGGCGATTTCATTCACACGCTCGCTTGCAGCTCTGAAGATCACAAGGATAATGTTGCATCTTGAACAATTATTTTGATGATGCATCATGGTCGTGTATGACAGGAGGAGACTTGATACTTTCCTTCTTACTTTGATCCCTATTTCAGGATATTTCTGGACTTATAAGCTTTCACATGCCTCCAACTCCTGTTCACTCGCTCACAATTAACAGCCCACGCCAGCACACTGACTGCCACAATGGGAATAGGAACATATGCCCATAGCATTATATCAGTTCTAGAATTTTTGAGCTGCTGCAAGTGTATGCCAAAATTCGATGTCATGAAGGATAGCGGCGCAAAAAGGGCAGCAATGAATGGACCCTTGGCAACCGCTTCTGCTTGCTTCTTTCCACGCTGCACCTGGCGGACTGCCGACTTGTTTAGCAGCATCTCCATCTCATCTCGGCAGGGTGACGAAACAGCTTAGGCTCGGGAATGAGCTTTTGAAACGTGCGTTTAAGACAATCTGCGGCGTCTTTAGCAAGGAATTGAAATATTTTGTTTAGCGCATGGACGGGAGAAATGTTCCTTGCCATCGCCTCTGCGCTATGTTCGCTTTGGCCAAGCCACCGACAGAGTAGTGAACGTCGCTGTTCGAAAAGATCAGGTTGGGTGTCTTCAGCTTCTTGAAGTACATTGTCCAATCCTTCTTGGGTGCATTCGATGATATGCCTCGACTCCACAATGGCTATAGCTCAAACGGTTGCCACAATACGACCATACAACAACTGGATCAGTTAGCAGTATTCGAAAGCGGTCATGCTATACCTTCGGAAAACTGAGCATTCCACATATTTGCCATGCATGGGTCTTCGTGTCTTTCACCAGCACTGAACAAGGAGCACTGGGACTCGTAGTGGACTAGTAATTATCCCATGTCCCAATCCTGGTTTTTTCAATTGGTTGGTCTCAAGCGGCGATCCCGATAAATCAAATATCAAATCGACTTTTCAGGAATTGATTTGACGGTTGAATTTCATGTGGAGAGTTTAGAATTAACTTAATTTGGAAGAGTTGACTTGTTCTGGTGGTTAATGTCTTATCGTTATCCCTATCGATTAGATAACGAATCAGATAACGAATTCGATAAGAGCGGGCAAGATTTCTTTTCTTTTCTTAAGCATAAAAACAACTACCCTATATAAAAGTAGAGCATAACCCTATAATTAAATTAAATCAAGTAAATAAGTCTATAGAACTAATTGAACTTAAAAAGTAAAACTCCTAGTTTAATATAACTCGACTCAACTAGATCAAACGGACTTAATTATAAAAAGCGCTAGAATTGACGCAACTCAAGGCGATTTAACACGTGGTGCGTAAGTCTAATAGCCTCTAACACCAGATGATGACCAAATCCAAACGAGTCGTGGTTTCTAACCTCTGGTGCCGAGAAAAGGACTCGTAGTCAAACTTGAAAGTCAATTCCCACGGTTAGCACACACAAGGAGCTACCGCGACCAGTCCCACCTGTAGGTGGCTGTTGTGTTTTAGATAGCCTAGGTTGTTACAACCGATGTGTACCACCGGAGATGCCCTGGCTATTATGGTTATTTGACTACCAATGTTGGATACTAGCCAGGTTTTTCATTCGCCCCGCTTAATCCTTAGTATTTGTTTGTATGTAGTACAAAGGCCAATGGTCCTTGAGGGTGAAGGGAAGGTCATCTTACATTGGGCAGAGCCCTTTCTGAGAATTACTTTCAACAATGCTTTGGAAACTGCCATACATACGCAACAATACCAGATACCCTCGACTACCCAGTATGTGGTCAAGGTTTCCACTTCAGATTAACTTCAAGACTGGAGGGCAATACCGAGCCTCTGTATCCTTATCACATATCTAATTGCGCTTTATCATGTGAAACGTGAAACTTAATAGTGGTTGGTTGCAATTTCTAGTAATGAAAGCATTTTATAACACCGGTTTCTAGCTGGTAATAACAGGAATGGGCTGTTGTATCGACAATCGAAATAGCCCCAATTTGATGAACCCCCAATAAACAGACATTTTCTCATAGTTATGCAGCAGCTGACGTGTCTTAAATGCCCAGGGCATGACGTCGTCCAGAGGATCGAGGGTCTAAGTAAGGTACCTCGCCACAAGCACAGACTCTGTTAGCTTTGCGGATACCGGTACCGCCGTAGTCATAAGTAGCGCACTGGAGGCGATGTTAGTCAGTATAAAGCTCAATCGCTGGGGCAATAATGATAGTGGGAAGACTCACGTGGTAGACAGCTCTGTTGTCCTAGATAACGAGGTTGTCCGGGGCCCATTTGACACGAGCCTGGATCTAGTGGTTTTCAGTGATCAATCTTGAAAGAAACTCAAGCATCATGTTGTTCTCAACGTTTCCAAGACCCTCGATCCTTTCAAGGTGATGTCCAAAAGCGTAAAGGGACTTCCATCCGGTCACAGGGTTGGTCCTGATACATGGGTGAGTGGCGCGAAGGTAGGAGCCGACGTTCTGTGGGGCAGCTCGACTACCAGGCCACAGGCGATCTTCGATAAGTTCTGGCGAGTGATGAGGGGGCATGAAGGTGGCCTGAAGTCCCTCGAACATTTGCGGCATTGGAGCCGACAGAAGATCGTAGGCCTCATAGGCCGAGGCAAACAGAGTGTCGCCGCCTGTGTTGGGGCACATCTTCATTTGTAGCAGAGTATAATCGGCAGGCACGTGTTCAAAAGAACCATCGGTGTGCCAGCCATCTGCTCGGCTTTGATTCTTCGCGGTAGTAGTGGCATATCCGCCCCCCTGTTCAGGAAAAGAAGCATTAGAAATCGTCAGTGTGGCAGCGAACAGCATGTACTGACCTTGGTATAGAGCTTCTTCTTAGGATCACGAGAAGGTGACATGATCTCTCTATCCAACGTTCCATCAGGCAGCGGTTCACAGGGTGAATCCAGAGATCGGAAGAATAGGCACGTGTGCTAAGCTGGGCTATCGTAAATAGCTTGGCTCCGATTAGAAATCTAAGCGATCCTTAGAAAGTCCCGCGGACACTATCCGTAAGCGATCCTCAAACGATCGCGCAGGCACTAAACGATCTTAAGACGATCCCGCGGATACTTAGCGTACAATAAGGCCACGTACAATTGTACAAAGTAATTATATAACATAGCTTTCGTTTAATCCTTATTAAAAGATAAGTTTTCTTCAGCTGATTTAATTAATAAGCAGTAGCATGAGACTTGTTTATACATGATAATATTTATACTAATTGTAATGACTTTGATAAGGCAATACCCTTCCAATAATCCCGCTCAATTTCAAGCTCTAAAATTTGCTTTTGTAAGCCCTGGAGATACTGAATGTTTCGGCTACGGGACTTTTGGGTCGCCAAGTTCTTACGAGCTCGCTTGACAGTAACGCTATCTTGGTGACTTCCAGCACAAACAGAAGGCAACGATTCCTTCCCTTGTTGAAGATCGACACGCAGAAGAGAACAGTGTTGTCCCCGAGAAACATATGATTTAGGTGCTTTTTGCCGACGTTTGGTTTGGTGGTTTCCAATAGACCCAGCATTGCTTAATCCATGCGGGTAGCATTCTTTATTATCTGGGGCCTTGTAGACAAAAGACTCTTGGCATAACAGATCGAGCTCAAGTGTTGGAGGTTCGAGAGATATGTCGATCTTAGTCAAGACAGAAGACTCAAAGATTGTGGATAATCCAGATAATGGCGTATTGGTATTGGCACTGGTATTGGTTCGTATGCGGTCGTGGGGCTTGTGAATGAGATAGTCGAAAGGTGAGACAGTTGTCAAAGGGCTCGGTGATATGGAGTGGTCGGTATCGGAGGACGGACAGGTCGCGAAGTCCCAGTCAAACGGGATAGTCACGTCGTCCAAAATGACATCTATCGGTTTGTATATGTCAGTCATGACCAAATGCTAACATCATGGATCCAACAAACCTGCTGCGTTCATCATATTGTCAAATGTTTGGAATTTATCAACCTCTTCTCGAGAATATACACAATAATAGCTGGCCCCATACGAGTGGGTTTGCGAAATCCTGGTGTAATATAATGGACTCGGCTTTATCGCGACAAAGTGGGTTATGGAGGAGACCCTGAGAACAGGGACTCCCACCCCATATGGCCGAACCAGGTAATCAGACTTGTTGTCATCGTCAGCACGTCATCCCGGCAGCTGGACCGAAAACCGTGGGGCTTGCATGGTCCACTGTCATGAACCCTGCGCTTCGCTTTCGCGATGCTCGCGACTTGACTTCGTGTAAGCACCGCTCCAAGCTAGAATAGTCTATGCCGTTGCCGTTGAACTCGAGCCAGAGCTGTCAAGTTAATACCGCATCTGTCAAAATGCGGCAATGTCTACGATTGGCAGACTGAGTACCCTGCTCCCGTCCCGTGTGGCTGACGGGAGCGGCCGGCATCTAATACAAACACTAACGTAAGTCAAACGTACAATTGCAGCGTCGGCTTTCTTGACTCGGATGAGCTAGCTTTGATGACCTCGTTCTCAATTGATGGAGATCATTGGATCTCAACGGTCTTGCCCGGGGTAGCTCGCTTCGGCTAGATCATAACTGCCGAGTCACGAACCCCCTGTTCTAAGCCTGACAGGGCACCATTTTGACATGGATTATAAGACATGTCCTGTATGGCTGTGAACGCAATTATTCTTACTCCACCCCTAGGCTACCATGCAAAGTCACATAATTCGTAATACACTATGGGCCTTTCTAGACTCTTTCTTTCTTGATCTACGATTAGCGGTGTAATATGGCGTCCAAGCCTTTGATGACCATGCAGTAGATACGACGTGTAATATGCTCATTGTGATACGCATAGGGTGGAGCTCTAAAGAAGGTATAGAAAACAAGAAAGCTAGAAATATTAAGCTTGGTCACCATTTACTAATCATCAACTTCTTTCAGGGCAATTCGGCACGGTCAGATCACATGTAGATCAGACCTCTCTGAGTTTACCGCGATCAGCCCGTGATCGCTTTTCACATCAAATAATTTAGCAATCCAGCAGTATAACACCACGTCCCATTCAGGCGCGTATATCCAGCCTTCCATCCTATTTCATGCTGCTCATGATCGACTTGGCACGGACTTCTTGTCGGTCCGTCGGCACTCACCAAGCTGCCGATTGCGTGCCCCCACCCGCTCAGAGAGTCAGAACTCTATCGAAAATACTACGTGGCTGTGTACATTACTCGCGGGGACCTAGAGTCATATCCCCTAGTGGGGACCGGGATTTTAGGGGCTTAGACGTGCTATGAATAGGTAGCTTAACGCATCTTACATACAGGCCGACTTAGGAAGGAGCTACGCCATTGAACTTAGATATCTCGCTTAGTTAGGAATGTTGTTTACACCAATTACATCCGATGTTGCAAACTAGGAACATATTCCGCGGAATACGCGCCAGGTGGACAACCTTGTAAGAAAACAAAGAAGCTAGGCAGAGAGCCGCGTAAAGCATGCAGGAGAAGATCATTTCACGTACATTACAATTGGATTCGGAATTTCGGAGCAGGCATAAGGTGTGGGGCGATTTAACGGTGGCCTGACTTGAATGGAGAAGAGTAACCACCCGCTTTCAATCTTAATGTTGAGGAGGAGCACGGCCCGGTCCGGCGGGATTTTAGTATTCCGATTTCGTAGGAACCGGCCTAATTAACACCCCGTTTCATATATATAAGTTCATGGCCAACGATCCAAAAGAGTCCTTTTTGGATATACCGATCGGATAGTAATGCTGGCTAGATACATTAACTCTTCAGGTCTATTAGGTTATTCCATACTACGTAGCATATGCCAGTCATGTATTTGTAACACAGTACATATCTGCCGCGTATAATTGACATATGGTAATTGATGGACGATCCTGTCTTTGACCGACATATTTTCCCCACTGATTCAGGTGCTGGTATGTTTAGGCGATTGAGAAGAGAGACATGATGTTAGAAGCTATTAGTCATAAAGCACTGATCTTTACCCATTCAAGTCTATGCACGGGAAGCAACCGAAAAGCTTGATTCTCGTCATCTATCATGTCCACTTTAAACAAAGGGACAAACATGCCGAATACTCTAGATCCTAAGTCGGATATAACCATCAGTTATATGTAGGAGTGTCTCTAAAAGCAGAGTGTGGTTGATTTTTCTTCACATTGAGTAAACAAATCGTCAATGAGGTAAGCTCTTCATCACTATTGGCTTTCCCTACGCGATGATTGGTTACACGAAAAGAAGCATTTAAGTTTGCCTTACTTGCACTTTTGTTTTCGGACCCACAATCTATGCCCGCAACATCTCACTACCGGCATTGCTTGCCGCATCTCAAAGTTGGCCCCTGTACAGCGCTTACGTAGCGGAAGCTAACAGCTATAGATACCTTTATAAGGTGCCGAGTTATCTCTGCTAAGATACACCCCAATCAATCAATGAGCCTCGTATATACAGCACTTCGAAGCTATACCCATCAACCATTCAGTAGAGTCTTAGTAAATGGGTTCTGTTGTGGAAATGACCATGGGTTCACAACAAGGCCACCCAAGAGGAGACGCAGAGTCAAAAGAGCGCCGCAGAGAACAAAACCGAATAGCCCAACGGAGATTTCGTTAGTAAATCAACCTCTTCCACACACGATGTTGAGCTGACCGGTCACAGGAGAGAAATCGAAGAGTAGACTGCAAAGTGTAAGTGACAACCCTCAGGTACGTAAAGCCAAGTATGGAAACGGTGGCAACCATCGGGACTCATAATTCCCTTCTGTCACTTGTTCTTATTACCCCACGTTCGAGATACTGTATCCTACTGCCATGGGAGAAATATGAACTCTTGTTTTACTCCTTTCAATAGCAGCCACCCAAATTTGCGACAGACATTCTGCACAATACCCATCTTCACACAAATTCCGACTGTCGGAGTGTGTATCAAAAAGAGGGGCCATCAGTTTTTCCAGTGAGTTCGCGTCCACAGACCGTTAGTAGTCCGTCCAGCCTATAAGCCTTTGTGTCAGAGACTAATGCTCCCAGAGCTCAAATGTTCTTATTGATTCTCATTCAATGGCTCTCGATCAGCTTGAGACAGGGCTGCCATCATTATGGGAGCATTTACCAGTGGTTAATGATGAGCGCTTTCCTTCACGAGATGGCAGTAACGATGCCATACTTTTATCCGGTTTTCTAAGAGTAAATGCACTTGATTTAATCATGTCTCCATCCTTTGTCTATATTATCGTTGTGGCTAACACACCTCCTCTGGAGCCCTCGTGATGGAGCAGTGGAGTCAGCATTGTCGACATTAGAATATCAAAGGAGTGAGTTGTGCTGCTAAGCAGATAGGCTGATAGATAAACTTCACTCTATCTATGATATAGGGCAGTCGATTGGAATCTTCCCGTTGGTTCCTCAGTTCCAATCAGAGCTAGATAATATCGCAGAAACATTCCAATCATTACGATTAGGAGGGAGTGTGTTAACAGATAGCACCAATGGAGGACAGAGTGACTGACATCATTAGAAAGGCAGGATGGAAAATAGTAAAGAATGGCAATAGAAAGCAACATAGATCATTGATTGGCAAATTACATTTTCCCCTACCACCTGAAGCACACGATCTTGATCTGACCTCCTAAAAAGCTGAATCTTTATTTGACTTTTCGGGGAGTAATTTAACAACCTTGAGAATTAATAATGGAAGTAGCTTAAATTGGGAAGATTCAAGTAGAAAAGTTAATCCTAAACGGTCCTTTTGAGTTAAATCTTAAATCTAAAAAGTAAAAACTCCAGTTTCACAACAGCCTCGAAATCTCGTCCACTAATTGCTGAAGACTTTTTTGCTTTTCAGATTCAAGATTTAATTTAAGTTGTCGGAGCGGGATCATGCCCCTCTGGGCCCGTTTTGATCAATGGAGTACACATGGTGATAGGATGTGAGCGGATTGTCTACCCAAATTTACTGTGAGTCTAGGCGGTCTTGAACCCTACTAACCTGAAAGAGGTTAAATATTAAGTCTGTGTTCGACTTCTAACGCTTTGATGGTATTGAGTTTTCACCGCTATTTTCATTGTTGATATTATTCAAACATGTGAAAAGCCTGGGCTTAACAAAGTTAAAGGTAGAAGACGAAAAAATACGAAAAAATACGAAAAAAGCTACATGTAGACAACATAAGATAAGATAAGACTAATTGAACATCGGGGGAACTAAATACAATTACCACTTTGTCCTTATCCTTGAAAGCCTACCCTACATGCAAATAGAATGCTGCTGTTGTCGGCTGGCTGAAGGTCCTTCTAGAGGGCAGGAAGGTAAGGTGTTATTAATGTGTCGACTACGATTGAAGTCAGGTTTGATAATTCAAATCTAATAGGTCTACTTAGAGGTTGAGTAATGATCTAGTTATGATTTTATTTAAAACTCAAGGAAATTACGCAAACTGCAGGAAGTAGCTAAAAACCAAAAAAACAGCTTTAATAACTTTTCTAATAAAATCTTCAGTATAAATTGACTTGACTAGGTTTATCTTAATTTGAAGGGATTTAACTCGCCATTGGCGTTAATCTTAACAGGACTAGCTAGTAATTAACAGTATTTAGCTACCTCTATAATGCTCACAAGGGCATGGGTAGCCTTTGAAGCACCGCGTACTTCCCACCTATTCTTCGTCACCTTTTTGAATTACAGCAGGTTTACTTGATACTTAGGAAACAACATAGCTTAGTTCTTTTTGCCTAAAATTAATCACACATGCCTTTCTCAGACTACTTCCAGTTCACAAACATTTTATCATGTTCGTATAGATCCCCGCAGGTAGATCTAATACACTACCTATCGTCCTCATCTTCAGCAATCCAATAAGCCTCCACCTCAGCGATACAAGTCCTTGCCCCAGGCGTCACCGCAATGGGAAAGCCACCATAATCAGGATCGTCGTTGGGCATCATCATAAACTCGCCATGCCTCGTCTCATCTCCATTCAAGATCCTGAGAGTTCTCAGATCGCCATTCTCATCAACCTCCTTCTCCTCACCCCACAGGATACCACCAAACGTCGCCTCTTTGCGGGCTCCCTTGAACCGAGCGTGGAAACCCCGTCCCACGAGAAGAAACTTGGAATTGCCGAGGTGGATGATCATACCGCCACCGGGACCGGGCTTGCCAAAGACGAAGCAACGCTCAACGATGACCTCGATGTCACCAAACACGCGGGTCCACTTCTCAGGCTTCTTTTCACTAGGCTCTTCGTCAAAGTAGAAACCAAAGCGGTCCTCGGGCGCAGCATCTAGAAGATATTGCTTTGTTTGGTCGAGGAGCTTGAACTCGCAACCGATGATATCAGAACCTGTGTCGATGCCAAATGGACTGGCACCTAAAGCACCGTATGTTGCATATGACAACCACACACGCCGTGCTCCATACTCATCACGTCGCTGTTCTGGGATAAAGAGGGTGTTTCCTTGCTCCGTGTAGTTTCGACACACGGTCTCGTAGTCGTGGAAGTACAAGTCCGGTGCTAGCAAGTCAAGAGAGGGCGTGTTGAATCGCCATATGTCCAAAACATGAGGACATGGGCCCCCAGACGGGTAGATGCCAGGTTTATCGCCTCCGCCAACCACAACAGGTACGCCACCTCCAAAGTCCAACTCGGACTGATCTTCAATGTTGAGCCACGTGTTTGTGAAGAGGGGAATGGGATACTCCTTCTTACCAGCAGCCGCAACTCGTCCGACATAGGAAGAGATGAGATGCGCCATGAAGGCTTCATCAGCTGCGGTGCCAGCACCGAAGACAGACTCCCACGAGTGCGAACCTGAAGACGGGACGTGAGAAATACGCTTGTTGAATCTGGAGTGTGTATCGACTTGGCTGAGATGTTGAAGCAGGTCGCCTGGGACAGGCTCTGCAAAAGCCTTATCAGCCCTACGTGACCGATCGCGAGAGTCGCCTAGGACTCCGGTCTCGTTCTGAACCTGCACCATAAGTACAGTGTGGTGATGGGAATCGACCTCAGCAAGATGTCGCAAGAGGGCGGAGAAGGCGCGTGAATCGGCTTCGCAGGCAGCGTTGCATAGAGGTGTGATCATCTCAAGCGTCCTCTTCACACCACCAGCCTCGAGAACCTGAACGCGAGGAAATCTCTTGGGATCCCGCTTTACCCATGTGGGAGCGTATGTAGAGAGACCATTCTTGTATGTGCCGAACCACAGTAACACAAGATGCATGTCGTGTTCTCTGGCGCCTTCAAGAACACGATCAAGCTCGCTGAAGTCGAAATGGCCCTCTTTGGGCTCAATCATTTCCCATGTTACTGAGCCGAGCAATGTGTTGATGTGATCTGCTTTCATAGCTGGCCAAACTTGGCTCATGAATTTTGCAGAGCTCAATGAGGAGTTGTGAAGCTCACCAGGGAGCATAAGGAAAGGCTTGCCCTTGACAATGAGCTGGACTGAGCCCTTGTCTGAGCGACGAAGGTGAGGGTGCGCATGCTGGGCTTGCGTTGTTGGGATTTGTGTGATGGCCATGATGTTTGGAGATGTGGTTAGGGGTGGGAGAGATGGTGAGTGTGAGTTTGGTGGCCTTGCGATAATGGAGACTGGTTAAAATAGCCGGTGGTTCCAACCGAAGAAGGATGGACGCCTCGATCATGTGTTTGAGTGCGGAGAAACATGCACACACAATGTCATCAACTGCGGGCCTGTGCAACATGAACGCTACGGAGTAATTGGCGTGAGATGCGACGTAGTACAATTATCGCAGTTGCGGGCCATCGGACTAACTTCGCATTTACTTGGGGGCTGGATGGAGTCTGAATTCTGTTGCAGTAGTTCTCGGAGAAGTACGTCTACGCGGAATAATACCGCTGAAGACCCGAGCAATCTGTCCGGGAACCTACTTCATGTTTTGTTCTTTCCATTATACAGTATCTCGTTATAATTCAACTCTCAAGGGCGGACCTTCAAGCACACCAATTCCCTGCCAGCAATCTAGATCATCTAGCTTCCGAAGTAAACGCTCCAGCTTAACCCGCCCGTCACCAATCTCCTCTTCACCCACGCCATTCCCCAATTGAGTCTGCTCGAGGTACGCTGCCCCAATGTCCCGAATCTTGGGGACGAGACTACTGCCATTAGCGTCGAAAACAGCCCGTGGCAAATGGTACAGTATTTCTAACAAATCATCTACAATTTTCTGGTGTTCCTGAGCACTCGTTGCAGTTGGGCCGAATTTCTGGAGGATGTTTGAGCGGATGTTGAGGCTTGTGACGAATAAATTGGCGATTTGCACGTCGTGGCCTTCTGTAACGTTTGCTGGTCGCGACAAACCACCGCGCCATCGCAGCTCAGGCGGGAGACTGTCGAGGACGTGTTGCACCTTGATCAAGTATCTCGTGATGGTGGCTTGCGGGTCAGTGTCGGTGGGAACTTGCTGCACTTGTTGCCAGATGAGAAACAAGTCGCTCAACGAGTTGAGCCCTGGGACGTAAGTGGTATCGTCCCCATGCCAAGGCGGTTCGTGACACATGTCGGGGTTCGCAGGCTCCATCTGATCATCTGATAAGGGAAGTGGTCTTGGGAAGTTCTCGATTCGATCCTGGCTGAGGAGGCTGATTGGAAGTCTTCCGAAAATATCCGCGCTGCTGGAAACCCCAGGTCTGATTAGCCTTGACCGATGCATCTCTCTTATCCACTCTAGAGCCTCAACGTACCACGCGCCAGCAAAGAGGAGCCAAATAAGCCTCCTCAGAAGCTGCTGTTCAGCCTCATCGTGTTCGTGTATCCGATAATACGCCAGGTACCGAGTCCCTGCAGCCGCCTCGCTCAACGCGTGATAGGCGCGCATACTGCTCAGACCCGACTTTGCGGTGGCGCCCATGGCGGTACCTAAATTGTACAAGGCGATGCACCTGTCGATGCTGAAAGGGTCTTGAGTGAAGTGACTCTTGAGCAGTCCATGGCTATCCAGAAACTCGACGCAATAGTCTACCGTGACAGGTCCATAGTCACTCCGGGGTAGCGTCGCTTTGGTTGCCGCGCATACACTAATGACGAGCCCGCAAAACTCGGCGTTGACGTCGGCTACACCTTGACGAAGACGGCGGAGGAACTGGCGACGGAGTAGGATCGGAGCCAACGGGTGGATCACGCTGAACCAATCCCCAAGCAGGCGCGATATGGTAGACTCTGGGGCAAATACCGAGAGCCAATGGCTGCCAGATCCGGGGCAGGCTTCAGGTGTTGGGTTTGGGTTTGGGTTTGGGTTTGGGTTTGGGTTTGCCATGCAAACTGGTAACTGTGGGCTTTGTAGCGATGCACTTGAACCATGGGCCTCGCTATTTCCAGCTGGTGATATTGTGTTGGTGGGAGACGGAACCGCTGGGGATCCAGAGGTTTCTTTCTGGGCTCTCTGTGCATGTCTACGATTCAGATCAGTATGCTGTGTTCTGAGTATAACCAGTAGAAAAGAATGCACTTGTTCGGCGGTCCCCGTTTCCTTCTTGGTCGTTCATGCGTACATTCCACGTCGAGGAATTCACAACCTCGACATCGTTGTTGGCTGGGAATATAGGTGCACTTTTCGACACTGTTAGGGGCCTCTTACAGTGAGGGGTAGGTAGGCCACAGCATACCCGGATTTTTCTTGCTCGGCAGACATCGCATGCGGTTTGGTTGCGAGCCTTTTGCGCGCCATTGGCTACCGAGGACTCGGAAGGGCCAGAGACGTTGATGTTGGCATTTGTTTCGGCCATTATTCTGACGGATTTATTGCGGGGGAAAATGAAGGTATTGCCGGTGGAAGTGGTGAGATAACCAGCGTCGAGTAACCCCGAGGAGAATATTCGGATCACCTGCTCCCTTTTAGATCCTCTTGCATGGAGCCATTCGCAGAAATGTCGGATATACCCAAGCGACCTTACCTTGTTCAGAATGGTTTGACACCAATTCACACCCATCCCTGGTCAAGGTAAAGGTCCAAGAGTCGTCATCGTCCAATTGAAGTCCTCAACAGAGTGGACCGTTCCCCAAAAACCTTAACCTCTTGCGGGTCTAGTCCCGTCGTCTTCCCCATGGGGAGACAGGAGAGCAGGAAAATCCTGGCAGTCACGTACCATTCTAGGGATCATGCCATCGTCACGAGGCTATTGATCCGGACCTTGCAAGACTCTTGTGGCTGTCAACCATCAGGTCTATTTGGTTCCTCATGCAGGCGCTCGAGACATCGTTTTGGAGATATAAGACCTCGAGGTCGGAAGCCAAGATTATCTCCATTGATCGACATCGACATCTATCTTGCGCTCTCAACTCCAATCCACACTCTTGATACCCTCAACAGGCCCAGAATGGCTTCAAAGGAGACCCAGGTCGACATCATCGAGGACCATCATGCACCTCAAGGCTCGACAGTTCCTTTCTGGAAGCAGAAGGAATTACGAAAGCTCTACCTGATCATGGTGTTTCTTTTCATGGGCTCAACAACGCTTGGATACGACTCCAGCTTACTAAACGGCTTGCAAACAATGGGATCATGGCAGACCTGTAAGTTCATATCGAAATGCACTGTATACCCACTGCTAACCCGGCCACCAGTTTTCGATCACCCCGAAGGAAGTCGTCTCGGTATCTTTGGAGCCATGCCCGGCTTCGGAGGGCTTTTCGTACTTCTCTTCGCTCCCTACGTCGCCGACGGACTTGGACGAAAGAAAGGCACCGCAATCGGATGTACCATCGTCATTATCGGTGCCCTGATGCAATGCTTCCCCCAAAAGAGCCACGGAGCACGACGAGATGCCTTGTACCTCGCTGGTCGATTCATCATGGGCTGCGGATCCAACATCTCCAACGCCACTTGCCCACTTCTCATCACCGAAATCGCCCACCCACGACACCGAGGTAAAATCACGACTGTCTATAACACACTTTGGTATCTCGGGAGTATCATTGCAGCCTGGGTATGCTTTGGAACGTTGAGGAACCAGACCGGCACCATCCAATGGGTTCTTCCCACTGGGTTGCAATGCCTCATGCCTGGCATCCAACTTCTGGCCATTTTCATCGTACCTGAGAGTCCCCGATGGCTCATCAGCAAGGGCCGCGAAGAGGAGGCTCGCAAGATCCTTGTCAAGTATCACGGTAACGGAGATGAGAACGATGAGTTTGTTAGGTACGAGTTCACCGAGATTGTCAATACCATCAGGCTCGAGCGTGAGACAGCCGACAATGGATGGGCAGAACTTTGGCGTACTCCTGGTAACCGAAAGCGATGTGGCTTGATCATTGCTACGGCCATCTTTTCACAGTGCAGTGGCAACGGTTTAGTATCATACTATGTAAGTAATAGTTCTTGTGTTTGAGAAGGAACAAGAGCAACAACTGATACTGGGTACAGCTTGCTGCCATTTTGAACACCATCGGTATCACTGAGTAAGTCAAGAATCGGAACACCTCAAAACATACACTAACACGGTGTAGTGCCATCACCCAGGCATATATCAACGGAGGCCTCACCATCTGGTGTTGGCTAGTCTCTCTATTCGCCGCCTTCTTCGTCGACCGCGTGGGACGACGAGTCCTCTTCCTTTTCGCCGGTGTAGGCATGTTGATCTCCTTCACCATCTGGACCGCCTGCAGCGCCGTATACGCAAAGACTGAGTCTGCCTCTGCCGGTATCGCAGTCGTGGCCATGATCTTCCTGTTCTACGGCGTCGCAGGTGCCGCATGGCCCGGTCTGACCGTCTCCTACACCGTTGAGATCCTGCCTTACAACATCAGAGCCAAGGGTCTTACGCTTTGCTTCTGCTTTACTGCTCTCTCTGGAGTTTTTAACCAGTGGGTCAACCCTCTTGGTCTGCAGCAGCTTGCGTGGAAGTTCTATTTTGTCTACATTGTCATGTAAGTCCTCACCATACAACAGGAATGTGTCGGTAGCTAACAAAGCCTCAAAGTTTGGTCATCGAATGCCTGGTTATCTACTTCTTCTTCGTTGAGACTAAAGGTCCTACACTGGAGGAGATTGCTGTTTTGTTTGATGGTCAGAACTCTGCAGCTGGCATCGCCAAGAATCAGGCTCAGATGAAGAGTGCAGTGGCTGAAGTCGAACATGCCTAGTAGCTTAGCAAATCATGGCGTAGAAGCCACTTCGATTATAGGAATAATTAAAGAGTTTCACCATCATGGACATACAATTGATGCGTCGCGTTTGTGATCAAGTCATCACGTAAGTTATGGAGAATTAAATAAACTTAATGATACTTTAAATAATCCGGAAATTTATTTTATAATTTAAAGAAATACTAGAAGTATGAAAGAGTAGAGGCAGGTCATATACTCATAACTTAATCAACCCTTATTGTGGACTTTTTGTAGTTATACAGAAATAGTAACTTAAACTTCTATGAGTGTGCAATCTTAAACTCGTCAATATACCAGTTCTGGATAGCCTTTGTGTCTCCTGTGATAGCCACTGTATCATATCGCGGTCTCTCTTCCTTCGCCGCAGAGCCATTATTCACCATACGAGCCACCCATTTGCCATTCCGCCGGCCCGCATCAATGATCTTATTAATAGCAGCAACAAACTCAGGCTCGTCTCCTCGAGCAGGAACATATCCGAGAAGGGACTGCGCAAGATCGTTGGGGCCGATGAAGAGCATGTCCACACCAGGAGTGGCAGCGATCTCATCGACATTCTCGACGCCCTGGCGGGTCTCTATTTGAATCATGGTGATGATGGTTTCGTTAGCCGACTTCATGTACTCGGGAGTTGTAAGACCGTGACCAATCGCAGGGAACGCAGAGCCTTGGCCGCGAACGCCGTACGGTGGGAATTTAGAGGAAGCGACAATTTGCCTGGCCTCCTCAGCATTGTTGATTTGAGGAACCATGATTCCATGAGCACCCGTGTCAAGGGCTCGCTTGATGATGTCGTGGGCGGGTCCGCGAATACGGATGATGGGTGACACTCCAAGGGCTGAAATAGCCGCTACTGAGTTGTGCATCGAGTCATCCCCGATGTGCCCGTGCTCACAGTCAAGGATGATTCCGTCTAGGCCAGTCAAGGCGACGATCTGGGCTTGGCGTACGCTGGGGATTGCGACAAAGGTCATCAACGGGAACTCCCCAGCTTTGAGTTTGTTGAGAAGCCTCAGACGAGGATTGTCGATTGTGGTTGTGAGAGCAGTGGTGTAGGTCTTTTGAGTCATGATTGCGGTTGTGTTGATGATCTTTTTTTGGCTGGCTTGTCGGTGCGGGCAGAAGGTTGAGGGCGATGATGAATTGGGATAATTTGGTTGATTGTCTGGGTCGACTTACTCTTTAATTAACGTTTGTGGAATGGCTCAATTTTAGGATTAATATCCTCACACTGAAACATGATGAAATTGGATATCATAACTTCGCATATCGTGCCGGACCCACACGGAGGAGCTCTCCCCAACCTGCAGCATTGATGGGTGATCTGGTTTGCCGTGCTGCAGGGGGTTGGCTGCAGGGGCCTGCAGGGCCTTTACAGTGAGCTCCTCCGATAAGCCGCGACGGCATATTCCGATAAGACAACTCCGCGATTATGACCCCGGACCCAAGATTCTGGTATCTACCTTACGCAAACCTGGCTTAACTTAGGTCTAGGTCTAGGTCTAGTAACCACGGATCCTCTTCCCGAGCTCCCGCGTATTACCCCCGCACTCTGATATGCTTTTTGTCGTCTATCCCTGACCACGGGATATCGGTATCGCGGAACATCGTTATCTGGTCTGCCCGAGAACTTAAAGGTAGGCCCATCTCTCGGTCACAACGGGCACAACAGATTCAGACCATCATCCTTCTCCCTTCTCAACATTTTCCATCATGGCAACCGTCGCCATGGACGACTCTCTCAAACATGTGCCTTCGTCCCATGCGGAGGGCACTAGCACCGCCTACCAGAGAATGCCAGAGTCTCTTCTGCATCTCAGTGAACAAGAGGTCGCCGCCATGAACAAGAAGCTCGTCCGCAAGATCGACTCCATTATCCTTCCCATAATTGGCATCCTGTACATTCTTAACTACATCGATCGTCAAAACTTAGCCGCTGCTAAACTACATGGCATTACCGACGATCTCAATATGACGACCGAAGAATTCGCTACCGCTATTTCGATCCTCTTTGTTGGCTACTTGCCTTTCCAAATCCCGAGCAATCTCATTATTGCAAAGATTTCACGACCGGGCATGTATATCTGTGTTGCCGTTATCATCTGGGGCACCATCTCGGCATGTACTGCTCTCGTGAAATCCTATGGTCAGCTCCTCGCTGTCAGAGCCGTTCTCGGTGTTGCCGAAGCCGTCTTCTTTCCGGGGTATGAGAAACTTCCTTGTTCAAAATGGGCGCATTTCTGACTTATCCTAGTGCCATCTACTACCTTTCCGCATGGTACACCAAGACCGAGCTTGGAAAACGCATTGCTAGTCTTTACATTGCTCAACAAGTCGGTAACGCCTTTGGTGGTCTTTTTGCTGCTGCCATCTTCCAGCTCGATGGCCGACACGGGATCAGAGGCTGGCAGTGGCTGTTCATCATCGAGGGTAGTGCCACCGTTGGAATCGGTGTTGTCTGTGCATTCTTTATGCCTGAATTCCCCTACAACAGCCGCATCCTCTCACAACCCGAGCGAGATCTTGCCGTCTGGCGAATGGAGTCAACCACTGGTGCAGCCGAAGGGTCACAGAAGGAGGAGAGCACTCTCAAGAGTTTTGGAAAAGCCCTGTCCGATCCCAAGCTCCTGCTTCTCATTTTCTGCAACCTCCTCTCGCAGGCTCAAGGCTCGATCGCCAATTACTTCCCTACTCTGGTAGCCTCGCTCAATTTTGGCAGTACTGTCAGCCTGCTCCTCACCGCACCACCCTACATTCTTGCTGGTGCTGTTTACTGGGTCCTGATGTGGTATAGTGACCGGAAGAATACAGCGTACCCTATCATCATCGGCTGCATTGCCATTGCCATTGGCATGTACATCATTCCCATGTCAACACTCAACGTCCCTGCACGTTATTTCTCCATGATGATCCTTCCCTTTGCGTCTGTCGGCCCTCAGCTTGTGCTTTACAAGACCATCAACCTTCATCTTGCACGGCCTGTGTCGAAGCGTGCCGCCGCATCTGCTTTGGTTAATGCTATTGGTGGCACATCCAACATCTGGGCATCCTATCTTTACTATGCGCCCCCTCACTTTTACGCTGCATTCGGGACTTTGATGGCATGCGGCTTTCTTTTCGCTGGTACCATCACTGTCTATCGTTGGCTTGTCTTGCGCGAGAACAAGCGACTGGAATCCGGTGACCCTGAGGAGATTGCCAAGGTCATCAATGGTGGTGTTACAGAAGAAATGGTTCAGCTTGGATGGCGCTACGAAATGTATTGATTTGTTCACCGTTAGATTATTATTTAGAGTAGGCCGAATAGCAGTTTGATTAGTACCGGGTTATGATGGTTTGGGATGTTGGAAGCCAATTGGATCACAATCTTATAAATACTTATTTCTCTATGGCTGGATCATACCTACAGGGTACAGAGTCGGCAACTAAATCAGCGTACCGAGTTGCGGGGTAATTTGTCGGGAATATTTGTATTTAGGTAGCCAACGATAAGTCAAAAGATAAGCCATAGTTAGCAAGATTGAAAAAGACCTGCTGCCCTGGTATGCGATAACAGATAAAGATCATGGATAAGTTGTAGAATTAGTGCGTCCGATAGCAGTAACCCGCCATGAAGCTAGTGATTGGGCCTTGGATGTCTGCTGTAACTACTCCGTATCAGAGGCATATCTCAACAGATGGTAGTCGGGATTTGGCCCCACAAGCCTAATACCGTACCTCCTGAAGAGATAAGGGTGACGAAAAGGATAGATAAACTAGCCTATATAGGTATAGGAAATCTTGACCCCAGCATGGTATTTTGCGGGGAAGGACGGAAAAGTAGTCAACATTATCTGAGGGAATCAACACCTGAACTCACCTCGCCTTTTCAACCACGAGCCGAGCAAAGTCGCGATAACCCACCCACTTCGGAGACTCAAAATGGCTTCCACCATTGCCATATCCGCAACGGCCCAGTCAGAGGCTTCTCATCAGCCTTTTCAGTGTCAAGTATGTTCTAGTCGCTTCACACGCCATGAGAACCTCAAGCGTCACGCTGCGCTGCATTCGCGGTCGTCCAGCAATGCCTCGTTGCCATGTCACCTTTGCTCGGCCACTTTCTCCCGCCCCGACCTGCGACTTCGGCATATGAAACGAAAACACCTACAGCAGATGGAAAGGGGATCTAGGGCGAAGAGGCAGCGGGACATGCAGGCCCCTACGCCACCCTCGCACAGGAGCGCCAGTTTGTCTGCGTCACCGTCACAAACACATGATGATGATTCGAACATGGACAGTCTCGGGTGGTTGGACGATCAAGATACCGAAGCACATACTGTGAATCTCTCCAGTAGCTTGTCATCAAATCCAGACAGCCTCCACAGCCTTTCGGCTGTCACCTCATTGCCCCCACAATCCGCCTTTGGCGAGTTATCACCGACGCAATTAATGACCCAGAGCGCAAACGATTCAAATTTATTCGGTGTGAGCTTTCTCGAACCGCCTGAAAATAGTCAAATGAACCACGCATCAATATCGCAGGCCGCGCCCTTTGGAACGAGTCTGCTCAACTTTAGCCTCGACCAATGCAGCCCCGAGAGATTGCTATATCGATCAATCGACCTCACCCATGACCAGAATGACTGGTTTCCATCCAATGCGCAAATAGAAATTGGTTGCCAGTTATATTTCTCCCACGTTTGCCATTTCGTTCCCATACTTCACCAGCCAACTTTCAATACTACTCGCGCCCCCTCCCATTTACTACTCAGCATGCTTTGCCTAGCATATCAATACGGCGAGGATCCAGATCAAGATAACCAAGCAGATTCCGGCGTCGCATTGTCCACGAGGTGCTTCCACCGCGCTCGGGCTCTCGTTGCCGACGACCAGGATTCGGCAGATGACCCGACACAGAGCCTCTCGGTTATTCAAGCCTACCTTTTACTCGAGATCTATACCATGATGTATCTTTGCGGGAGCCACTCGGCGTATGGGCTCAAGACACACAGCAAAATGGTCTCACTTGCTCGGTCAAGTGGACTGTCGTTGCCACTACCAACCGAATGCGCAGTGACCTCTGACCTGGACTCATTATGGCACACATTCATAGAGGCTGAGTCACATAAGAGGACGCTCTTTGTCGCCCATCAGCTCGACACGCTGTGGTATCAATTCCTCTCAATACCCCGGCAGTTCTCACACCTAGAGATCAAGCAAGAACTACCCTGTCCAGAAGAGCAATGGGTGGCGTCTTCACCAGCTGAGTGGGCTCACAAAAAGCTTGTTTCTGGCGTCTCTGGCTCACCAGTGCAATACCCCGATGCTGTTCGACGCTTCTTGTCGTCTGCGTTGGACCTCACTTCTCTTCCCGCATTCGATCCGTACGGAGCCATAAACATTACTCACTTCCTCGTTTCTAGCGCCCAAGAGATATCTGGATGGTCCACCATGACGGGCATGATCAGTACAGAAAGGCTCGAGCCATTGCGTACATCCCTCCAAGCACTAGGTCCATTTACTCGCTCCAAGTCAGACCAGAAAAATTCGTCGCGTGGAGCGCTATGCGAAGCTTCTTGGGAATTTAGTATGATCGAAGTGCGATTATGGTCGCCATCGCACACGGGTGGAATTGTCGGAGGGACTATGGATGCTGTTGTGCACCAAATGGCATATCTAGCTCCTTCGTGCGAGTTCTTGTGCGAGCCCAGTACTGCAAAGGCTATCCAGCCCCATATCGACTGGTTCCTCCGATACCTCGATGCGCCATCTGTTCCGGACTCGGAAGCGCCCTGGATTATGCTGTACGGTTTCAAGGCTTTTGTGATCGCTTGGCAGCTGGTCCAGGGAAGTGTCTTAGGTTCGATGCAGGCGGTTGGTGTTCAGGATGGAGATGGCCACGCAGCTCTGGAGTGGGCCCGAGAAGTTTTTGGACGGAGACAAAGGTGGCAGCTTGGAAAGATTATTTTGGCATGCTTAGAGACAATGTAAATACCAGGAAGTGAAAGCGGAGTGCATTGTGCTTACAAGGTAGCATCAGGGGAATGGCCTGATTTCCTCTTGCATTATTAATTGACAGAGTCTACAATACCACCACCACTCTAACAGCCGTTTAACAAGTCACATTTGATTCACGATTACATGTGGGAGCATGTTTTGCTTGACGATATTACTGAGTGCTTTCTATTTCTAGTCTGACTAAACCTGCGCAATGCACTCGATTTCGATTACAGTACCCTCGCCAGGGGGGAGAGCCTGCAGGCACGAGCGCGAAGGCATAGGTTGGGGCAAAAAGTCGATGTATACCTCGTTCATAGCAGCAAAGTCCTTCATATCGGCGAGGTATACATTGTATTTGACAACTTGCTCAAGAGACGATCCTGAGAGCTCAAGCACCTCCTTGAGGTTCTGGAGAACGGTTCTCTGTCCACAGCCAAGTCAGTTTCTGTGTCAACTCGAGGTCAAGATAGGATTAACAACGCACTGTTGCTTGCTTAATTTCACCCGTGGCAGTTTGGCCGGCACAGAAAACTAGACCGGGGACCTTGGTAGCCGGGCCTGCGTAAGGTTTGTTTTAGTGACTTGGACGCAGTGGAAGAGACTGTGATTCCTCTCACTTACAGTTGTGGGGCTTGGTAGGGAACTTGTCGCTGGAAATGAGTTGGCGGGACATGGTTGATGATTGCGTATGGAAGACAAACGGCGCAAGATAGATGCAACGGGCTGTGAATGGATAGTTGATTGGAATTGAGATAGATAGAAAAGCAGTGATTATTCCATGGTAGCATCTGTCTCTTTTCTAAGCCTACTTTCCTTTCCCCTCTAGTGATAGCGTTGGCCTGCACTGTACGGAGTACTAAACTATCCATGCTTATCTGGGAGGAGCTCCTCCCAGATAACGCTGACCCCTGTCCACGGCTCCTCCTCTCACCTTCAACTCCTCCCAGAAATTGTCCTCCAGCGCTAAACTCTTTTTGACCCCTTGAGGATCATCACCAACTTCAAAGTTGAGCGATCTTACAGCAGAGAAGCGCGTATCAATCACGGTGCGGGGTAAGCAATTATTGTGCATCCGATGGAAAGGTTTCAGGGAGCGAATTAATCGTACGTTGACAGTGTGAAATAATTTGATCAATGACAAATCGGGTTTTGACTTGCACCTAATCCGGGTTTCACTGGTGGAGGAGCTCGACAAAGTCAATCGGGCGAAACTTGGGGGATTTGTTTGACGTCGAACAATATAAGAGTAGAGTGATCTACTGTGAGATAGTCATACGAAATATACCAACAAGTTATCAAGATTCGAGCCAACTCTTACTCTTACTCTTACTCTTACTTACTCTATCCCTCGACATGCCACAAGCAGCCCCTTTTAACCCCCCTCCAGCAGATTTGCCTGGCAAACCCTCTGTCGCCCAGTGGATCCCCCCACCAGTAACCCAGCAGAAGGAGAACTTTGCCAAACTGACTTCTATTGATCTCTCCCTACTCGACTCGGATGACCCTGCGGTTGTTCAAGATTTGGTCGATCAAGTCAAGCGAGCTATTCGTGAAGATGGCTTTCTCTTTCTTGAAAACTATGGTGTTTCCACAGAACAGGTACACAATCCTGTCCGATAAAGTGGTGATTGACGCTAATCTTACTGCCATAGCTCCATCGCCAGTTCGGCATCGCACAATACATGTACAACAATATTTCCGAGGAGGACAAGGAGCGTCTTCTTTTTGACCCTGACTCGGGTGTGTGGTCTGGTTATAAGCATCCATTCGGCTTCAAGGTAAGACATTTCTAGACAATCGAATCAAGAGTCGGTTTGTTCTGACCCGTTCTTTCACATAGCGCCACCGTGGACCAGTTGATGGTATCGAGCAATTTAACTGGTATCGCCCCGACTGGGAGGACATGGACCGCGTGCCCACCTGCCTGCACCCTTTCATGGACGAGATTGAATCCTTTGCCAACTACCTCACCAAGTCGGTCAACCGCCGTCTGCTCACACTGTTTTCTCGCGTTCTCGAGCTGCCCGATGACTACCTCTGGGAGAATGTCCAGTCTCACGGTAGCCCAACTGGTGAGGGCTATTTCCGACATGCACTCTTCCGACCTGTACAAAAGACCACAGAGGAGGCTTCCAAAGGTCTTCGCATGCATGGCCATACGGATTTCGGCCTGACAACGTTGCTCTTCTCTGTCCCAATCTCTTGCCTCCAGATATGGGGTAAAGACGAGAGGTGGTATTATGTACCCTACAAGCCCGGTGCTCTTGTTGTCAACATTGGTGATACACTTGAGATTGTTTCTGGTGGTCACTTTAAAGCCACTCGCCATCGGGTTTTCAAGCCCCCGATTGACCAGCGCAATAGCGAGCGCCTGTCCCTTGTCCTATTCAATAGCTCTGTCGGCGAATTGCGCATGACACCAGCAGCAGGTCGGTCAAGAATGGTTACTCTCTACGTGCGGACCGCTAACTACGCAACAGACTCACCCCTTATCCAGCGTGAAGGCTGTGTCGAAGACCAGGGCGTGTATGCCGAATTTAAGAAGCGGACACAGCAGGGCCAACTTGTTCCTACGAACCGACAATGGCGTGAGATCCAGATTGCGACATGCACAGATCCTACTGATACGGTCAAAAATAGGATTGGTGAACATCAAATTCTGATCGATGGGAAGCTAATGCACCAACGTGAATATTTGGGTGTTAAGGTTCTCTTGCCAGTCTAGGTATAGTGAAGTACTCTAGAAACCCCAGAATAATATCTATACAAGAATTGGAGTTTAACTACATACTTATTACTTATTCAAGTATTGACTTATTTATTTATTTTATTTCTCCTTATCTTATCAAATCTCTCTTAAATTTTAGCTGGCTTCGGGCTTTAAATTTTATCCACAATCAAAAGACCATCCTGATACATGTCTAATGGCAGACACTAAGAATGGAGACGATCAAACACGACGTTGTGTTTGGATGGGGCCTTCCAGCGATCCTGGTTAGCAAAGTAACTCCTTGATTATTGACGTTTATCAAGGTACATTCAACAACATCCATCCCGGCAACATTCCGAACATGAAGGATGGAGACCGTTTGATTCTAGGGGCCTATCTTGAGTCTCCTAACAAGAAGCACAGACTTACCTTTGAAGAAGAAAAGTTCGGAGTCTAGGATGTTGATAACAAGTCGTGGGAGTGGGATTCAGGTGTATCCACTGACACATCCAGCGATCCATACGCTGTGTTTCGCGGACCTGGCCAATTACAGTTGTATCACGGCTCCAATCAGATAACAAGCTGGGGGTCTACATATTAATCTTTGTCCATGGACTATGTGGTAGGTGTGAGTGATGGTGGAATACTACAGATTGCAAACGGCAAGTCCGGCGATGTTCAATGGTCTAGTGGCTAGAATTTTGCTGAATCCTTTTCACTTTAAACTTGAACTTTGTCAAACGCAGGCTTTCCAAGTCTCTCAATATTATCAAGAATACAATAGCCACCAGGTTAAAGTCAAAACAATTAGGAAGATAGAAGTCGGCTTACTTGACATAAATGCTCCCGACTTTTTAGTTATCGGCATGTCAACACCCCGACTAGCTAGCGAGCGAATGACATTAGACCATGTATGTTGGTCAGTGGTATTGCCTTGAAATTTCTGAACTACGTGTCAATTTTCGACAGACTACGCCCTTCATGACAAATGCACGCATTCACAGGATATACACGAAAATGTTCCAGGTACCATACAAGGAAGCCAAGTATAAAAAAGTGAGTTCCTCCCAATTTGTAGAATAAAGACCTTCGATAAAACCACTATTGACTCCCTAATCAATATGTCGACAACCAACGATGTTGCGAAGACTCTCAAGTCCCTCCATGTTTCCCACCAGCCTCTCGTCCTTGCCAACGTCTGGGATATTGCGTCTCTGAACACGATCCTCAGTATCAATACCGACAATTCCAAGCCTGTGAGAGCGATCGCTACAGCCTCATGGGCATTCGCTGCCGTCCTGGGCATCAAGGATGAAGACCTCACCATGGAACAGAATCTAAGCGCCATACAGTGTCTTGCTCCCATTGTTTCCCGTGCGGGCTTACCGCTTTCTGTCGATCTGCAAGACGGTTACGGGTCCCGTATTCAGGAAGCAGTTATGCAAGCTGTCCAAGTAGGTGAACACGGCGCCAATCTTGAAGACAGCATACCCTCTCAAGGACTAGGAAATGGAATCGAAGGGTCGCTGTATTCACTCAGCCAACAGGCCCAGCGCATCCGGTTGGCTTGTCAAGCTGCATCAGACGCTGGATGCCCCGACTTTGTCATCAACGCCCGCTGTGACATATTCGCTCTTGGGGACGTCCCAGGGTTGGACATTAATACACGGATGCAAGAGGCTGTGAAGCGAGGAAAGGCGTATCTTGAAGCTGGAGCGACAACTGTCTTTTACTGGCGAGGATATGGAGCAGGTTTGACAGAAGATGAGGTGCGCAAGCTAGTGGACGATCTGGGTGGTCGTGTTGCTATCCGTCTGGGACAAACCAAACATGCTTTGTCGGTGGCTGAGCTGGGCAAGATTGGAGTTGCAAGAATCAGTGTAGGGCCAAGTTTATTCCAGATAGCGATGCACGCTGCGAAGCAATCCGCTATCGATTTGCTGCAAGGCGGTCATTTACAAGAGGTGTAGATATGCTATACACAAGCTAAGATATATTAGTTAGGATGATGAGTTTAGGACTGTTTACATGTTTACCTACATCAACATGTAGTTATACAGTACAAAGAAAACTTTCATGTCAATCCAACACCAACATCCTGTAAATCAATCCTTCCAGAAACATGATAAGTTTTTGAGGCCCTATTCGTTATCGAATCCAATTTCCCTTACTCACACTGGATACCGCGACCGCCACAAGGTATGGGATCATGACTCCATGACTCATAGTCACTGCTCATGATAACAGACTCCTCAATAGCCCTTTTCAGTGCCTGCTTAGGAAACCCAGGACCCTTCATTAAGCACACCGCTATCTTGGTAAGGTTTGCTATCAGTGAGCTCACACTCACATGAATTGTAGGTGATGTGAATCTCTGTCGTGGCGTTTTCGATGGAAAAAGGTTGACAAAACTCCAGCTTTCTGGCTGTACGCATAAAGGCTCCCGGCAATTTCCCGAAAGAATAGCCAAGTTATTAGTGCTTAGCTCCACGGTTTCTTTCTCCAGGGAACGGGCTCCTAGCGCCTTGAGCTGTTTCTCAACACCAAATACGCTGAGGAACTGGGGAGCGGATGAGTCAATCATGCTTGCAGCTGTTGCGCAGCTAGCAAGATCGTCGCTAGAGAACTCTTGATCCCACCATCTTCCTCCCCAAGGCAGCAGGGCTAGATCCTGTAGCTCGTCCTTGCCTGGGCCGAGAAGCCATTTTATTCGGTTGATCATCTCCTCCCTTTGGCGATATCGAAAGGTTGAGCCAAACATACGACTCTCTTCGGTCCATGGGATAGGTGATTCGACGGATCTGTTGAGGACAAGACCACCGGCATTGAAGCATGAATAAGTTAGGCGATGGTTAAAGGAATTGGGTAGAAAGCGCTTTGGTGTAGTCCATAGGATAGGGCCCAGTGATTGCGGGATTGTGAGTGATACGTCAGGCGCTTGAGGGTAAAATTCCGGTGTCATTATTTCCAGGGGTATGCCTTCAAACTCGACAAGAGGGTTTTGCATGGGGAAGGTTTGTGTGATAGTTGTCGGATCGGGCATAACGTCTTGATGCCCTGGGCAAAGAAGCGCACTATCCGCAGTGGCGTCAATCGGACTTTGAGATGGATCTGAGATAGGCTTACTGCCCCCAGTAACGCCCTTCACCTGAACACTTTTGCCCCTAGCCCTACGGATTTTGGGTGCGTCTTCTGGATCACCAGCTGCATTTGCCAAAGCGAGAACCTCCTTAATCACATCCTGGATAGTTGTAATGAGATCAGGGTATTGCAGTACGACAGGGTCCTGAAGTAATTGGTCCGTGAAGTCTGCAACGACAGTGCTCATTCTCTCTATGACCCATTCAAGAGACTTCAGTCGGTGGAAGCGCAGGTCATTGGCTTCTTGCCTGCGCTTACGGAACTGCTGCTGTGCCTCCCGATTACGATCTCGGCGTTCCTAAAAAGTTAGGTTATATGAACTCCTTTGATATAAGAGATCCGAACAGGAAGCTCACCTTATTTGTCATAATTATAGTGGTATCTGAACTTTTGGCTCTTGGCAAGATGTTTACCGCTTCGGGGTTGCTTACAGCTTGTGTGTTCTGGCGATATTGATGATGCCAAGGTTTACAGTGATAATTTAAGTGGTTTCATCAAATTCCGGGCATGTAAGTGATGCGAAAATGCTGAAGAAGTAATCGAGAACGGGGGAGGATGTAATCGGAGACTGATGGGGAACCGAGGCTCGGAGCCTTTGACATAAATTTGCCCGACCGGACCCATATTCCCGTTTGATGTTAGTCTGTAACAAGACTAGCTCAATTCCCAGCATTACTCCTTGTAGTTGGCCAGAGAAGCTAAAAATGGTGTGGAATGCAGGTGGCTGTGGTGTAGGGTAAATCATGACTACCGGCTGACCCGAATCAAATCACATTTGTCGATATACCTACATACGCCCTAATTGACGTTCTAGATTATCAAGCGGTTGTGTTTATGAACAAAAACTATGTCTTTTATTTGCTCTATATTGTCTATGCACAATCCAATCCAATCTCTATGTACGCAGTTGATCGACTCCAGTGTATTGTTTTGATTTAGACCGACGTCATCTGAGAGAGCAAATTGTTGGCAGCTAGGAACTCCTCCCAGGTCGTCAACTTGAGACCAGGGAGCTGGAAAGGAATTTCATGTTAGTATGATCCAACAAAACTTTGCGAAAATTGTTTTGTGTTTTAATAACCATGAATGAGGCACATACCTTATTGGCCTGGAGGAACTCAGGTCGCTCATAGATCATACCGCACTCTCGGAAGATCAAGAGCTGTTCAGTGAAGTCCAAGGCAGTCATATCGCTCATGTTAGACTTCTTGAGAATTCCTTTGAACTCGTCTGTAGTCATCTCATGGTAGCGAATGTCAATACCATAAGCTACGAGCGGTCAGCAGGTTTCAGACGACAAGATTTGCGATGGGAGATTACCAGAAGCCATGGACTGAATCTTGTGGCCTTCAGAGATTGCCTCTGAGTAAAAGGCGATGCTCTTCTCAAGACATTCTTCAGGGTGGTCAAGAATGTATTGTACCAGTTTGCCCGTGTCAGAGATGGCCACGTTGGGAAGAGGAGTGGTCTCAGGCAGCACGAAGGACCTCAAGTACGTCCCATCTGCTTGCTGGTATGCGATGTTAGCATATATCAAGGAGAGAATGGAGTCAGTGAAAGGCAAACCTTGATGGGTAAGTAGGTGCCAGGCTGATTAAGGCAGTTTTCGAAATAATTAGGGAACAGCACAGTGGTTGTCTTCTTCCACAGATCAGGCTTCTCCGTGCGGATGTAGTCCGTTACAGCCGCCTTGCTCTGCCAGTGATAGACATGTGGGAGCTTACCACCGGAGATTTTGTTTGCATCAGGCAGGTCAGCCCAGATGATGTGCTCTAGGTTTGGCAGGCCAGAAGCGATGTCCATGATGGACTTTCCCTGAGCTTCTTCCTTTTCAGCAGACATGTGTTGCCAGAAATCAGTCATGGCAAAGATGACGTTGGCATCTTGGAATGCACGCTGAAGACTCTCGGGGTCGTCGACGTCGGCCTGTTGCACCTCAATTCCGAGTTTTGTCAAGTCTTGAGCCTTGGAGGATGATGTGTTGCGGGTCAAACCACGAATGGTGTACCTGTCTAGTGACTTGGCAAGCTCTCGAACGATGGAACCGCCCTGAGAAGGGTCAATACTGTCTAATAACGTTGAAGGCGAGGATAGAAAATTACCTGCAGGCCGGTCGCGCCAATGACAACGACGGTCTTCTTCTGAGTACCTTTTTGGGCCATTTTGATGGAGCGAAATTGAATGAAGTGTGGTGTATGTGGTTTTTTTATGGTGTTTGAGACGATTGAGAGGATAGTGAAGAGAACTATAAGAAGGCGAAACAGCCGTATTATATAGTTGTTATGACATCAATACCATGAAAGGGACTCAACGATTTTCTAAACTTTGCGGCGGGCCGAAGATCGTCGAGTTCGGCATATTTGATCCATAACAGAACGGTTAAATGGGGCTGTAGGTAAATGACTATCATTAATGCAGGGGACTTCAGTGCATTTCCCGCTGATTCAGCGGGTGGATCCCGGCATAGACGTGATCTACGGAGCATTTAGATCTATCCGTAACTTGGATGGAAATCGCCCTCGCACTTCGCACCACGCCCAAGACCGAGTTCCCTACCTTTCAATAGTTTCATACCGATTCTGCAATCGTCAAGTGGAGATCCGGATAGTTGCAACTTTCCTCGATCGATCGACTGCTTATTCAGCTGGGCTCGGCACCGTTCCACCAATGTCATACATGAATCATGATATAGCTTACAACGTCCAAAATGAAAAAGACACAGACCTTACGCCGGAGCTGTTTTGAACAAATGGTATCGTTTTAAGAACTTACGAGCTATTGCTTGCGAAATACGGATACTACTATGACTACTGATAAAAATACACTTGTGTAGGGTAATCTCTGATTCTATCCACCATGTTGATGGTTACGTAATAGTGATGTCACTGATATCCTTCCTTATCTGATCTTTAGGCCTGAGGCAATAGAACTGGTAAAAAATTGCCCAGACCCTTGTAACAACGAATCACTACAAACATAATGGCATACTGAAGGAGTCGTCCCATTAATGTGCAATGTCGGAATCAATAAGGGGTCGGAAATCGAAGGCATGTGACTCATGCCGCAAGAAAAAGGTACAGCCTAACAGCGACTGCGTCAAAGACAACACAGTTGTTTTCTGAATGTGTTGGTCACTTACAACGACATTCTTGAACTGACTTGTGTTTAGATACAGTGCGATAGGGCCTTGCCACGATGTGACTACTGCGAGCATCGTGGCTTAACCTGTACATATAAACTAGCAGCGAGGAAAACAGGTTCTGTACCAAAGTAACTAAACTCCTTTCTGGACTATCCTTTGTCATTATCCCGATTAAGTGGCATGCCGCGCTGTATCCCTCCCTAGTTAATTTGATAAGTAATACGAGGCCGTAAGTAACACAGAGAAATAGAACTGGGGATTCGCCCCCTCGAAACTTCGAATCATCAAAGCTTCAACCCCATTTTATCCAAGCGGGATTTAGTCACAATACCGGTGGGTTGCCAGACCATTCTCGAATGTTTTAAAACTATACCATAAATATGTCACTAAACTACTATGTAGAAGATGTATCGGCGGGAACGTCACCAGAAGACTCTCAGGCAGAGTGCAACCATAACTATCTCGAAGGCCTTTGTCTTTTAAATGGGCTGCCGCTTTTCAGTGACAGAGGCCAACAATGGATCGAAGAAAGAGCAGGATCAAAAATGTCGTCCGCCATTCTCGATAAGCTTCACCGCCCGTGGCAAAGTCAACATCCTTCTTCGTCCAACTCTCCATCGATACACCACCAGGAAAGTCCGAAGCTGCCTTCATTCGAGAGTGTCGAGAGAATAGCCATGGCATTCTGCTCATCAATGCAGTTTCTGGTCTTCCCGGTGTTAAGTCTCGATCGCTTTGTTAAACAGACACTCCCACTTGCCTATGCAGAAGGTAATGGCAACCAGCATGGTGTGCGCAGTGCCAAAGCTTGCGTGTATGGTCTAATATTTACAAGTGACATCTTTGGTCATAACAATGACAGAGATATGTCAGAGGCAGTGTCTGCATGCGAGAGCTATGCCCTCGAACTAGAGGACTCAATTCCGATGATATTGCGAGAAATGACAGCTGATGGACTTGAAGCGTTGTCGATGCTGGTGAGTACTACAATTTCATTTCTTAGACCCGCATTAACAAAATGTGAAAATGCAGATCATATACAAATATTTCATGGGCGATCTGCAGTCTGCGGCCTTCCTCGTACCAATGACAATGCGCCTGATATTCAGACTTGGAGCCCATGTACCTCCTCAAACAACCGAACCATACAACAAAAACAACCTCGCCCACCACCTGCGCGATCTCTTCTGGGTCTGCTATTGCATCGACAAAGACCTCACGCACAGAATAAACCAGCCCCCTGCCATTAACGATAATCATTGCAACTTGGTATTACCGGCCAACTATGCTCAGATGCAGAGCTCCAACATCTTGACAAGTAACGGCTCTTCAAACCACAACTCCAGCACTGTACCGCTGTATCCGTGGGATCTCCGGCTATCTAAGATGAAATCTCGAATTTACGAGGACTTGTATTCCATGAGTGCATTGACGCAACCGGAGGCTGAGGTACTAAGAAGGATCCGGTGTCTGGATGAAGAATTGGAGATGTGGCGTCTCACTCTGCCTATTGACCACCGACCGACGTTGTCCTTCTTGGAGCAAACACCAGTAGACGCCCATACGAATACACAGGCAATTATGCTTCGTCTATCATACCACCATTGTATCACCCTTATTCATAAAGCTCGGTGCAGAATATTCGGCATGAACCTGAGTCCTTCCATTATGCCGGATGATGGCGATGCGGCAAACTTCCAGCTTTTAGTCGATGCATCCAAGTCGACTCTGACTTACTTGGAAAAGGCTCTACCTGCCTTGGCACATGAATGTTTCTGGTACGTCCATCGGTGAAGTTTGAATCACCCCTCCGTGTTCACTAGAGAACGTCTAATAGTCAAACTCTAGGATCATAATCTTCTATCCCATGACTGCCATTGTAACCATCTTCTCGGTCGCCCTTTCGAACACCAAGACAAGCCCTGTTCTGCGCGACTTGGAACGACTGGAAGACTTTGTGCAGGTCATACGACAAATTCCCATCCGAAAGTTGACAGTTGCGGAGATTACTCATCTCGATTTCATAGAAGAGCTTGTGCTCGAGATGAGTCGGCTGGTGTTAGGCGCAACTCACCAACCTGGATGGAAACCCATGAGGCTAGAGGAATTGGGAGCTATGCAATTTGATTAAAGCCGAGAGAAACAACGGGCTTAACAAGATATTTACGCTTCAATCGGCGTTAACTCCAACATGAATAAGCAGTCGCTAATATCGGACAAGTGCAGTTGTCCGCGATGTGGATTCACGGCACAGGTGAGATTCCGTAAAGAAAGCCAATCATAGAGCGCAAACATGTCGCTATGCCACTTTAGGAAAACGATCTCTGATTGGTCGAGACACTTTCATCGTCATGTCGCGGGGAGCTCTGTTGGATATAAGTTGAGCTGTCAGCATGTTTTTGAAGGGAAAGAAATCAGAACAATTACAATTAATTACATCTCTCACATTCATCGAGTCAAACACAAACAACTATTTCGACAGACATCTCAAAAATGGAGTTCCCTAACCCAGCTCTCATTGGTGGTGCAGCCGACATCCCTGTTAACTCTGCCACTCCCATCTTCGCCTTTTCTCCCGTCACTCTTCCCGCCAAAGACCGCAGAGTCGATCTGGATATCAAAGTCACAGCTCCCGCTACCGGCGAAAATCTTCCCATAATTCTTCTCTCCCATGGCCATGGTCCCAGCAATTACCTTTCCTCCCTCAAGGCTTACGGACCTCTCGTCGACTGGTGGGCAAGCCATGGTTTTGTCGTCATTCAGCCTACACACTTGAGCTCTCGACAACTTGCTTTTGAGCTTAATTCTGAGAGTATCAGAGAACTCTTTATGGACGAGCGTGTCAAGGACATGGTTCGAATTCTTGACAGTCTCGACACTATTGAGGAGACTGTCCCTCTTCTCAAAGGCCGACTTGATAGGTCAAAGATTGCTATTGCTGGTCACTCTCTTGGATCATTGACTGCTAGTATTCTTATGGGCGCAATCAACACTGATCCTCGGGATGGTACCAAGCAACAAACAGCCGACAAGCGCATCAAGGCCGGCGTTGTCTTCGGCGCTGTTGGTAGCGGCGGTGATGACCTATCTGAATCTGGACACAACATGCTCTCCTTCTTTGACCCCAAGTTTGATACCATGACCGCCCCCTCCCTCGTCGTCTGGGGTGACCAAGACATTAGCCCTCACCTGACCAGCAGGGGAGCCGATTGGCACCAGGACCCTTACCTGCTGTCCCCAAGCCCCAAGGCGTCGTTCAAGATCACAGGAGGAAAGCATGGCTTTGGCGGTATCAGCGGCTGGGATGCTCTGGAGTGTCAGGACGAGAGTCCTGAAAGGCTGGCGGCTGTTCAGCGGGTGAGTTGGGCTTATCTGAGAAGCCAGTTGTACCCAGAGGATGATTCGTGGAAGAAGGCTCAGAAGGTTATTGGGGAGCATGCGGGAATTGGAAGTATTGAAGAGAAGTAATTTTGGAAAGATCGTAGCTAATTTCAAACGATTTGATTCATCCTACATAACCCATAATGACTTGAGGTCCAATGCAGTGAGATTCTTGTATAATTGCTCGACCTGTCTTTAACTATTCCAAAAGAAGATCCTCCGGGCCAAGGAGGTCAGCTGTAAATTGTCCCGACTGGCTATGATGTGGACTGTATTTTAGCAATTGATGTGCTAGTGAGTACTAATGTGTTGTATTGGGAAACTGCAAGGGACTGAGAAGTGTGACCTCGGTTGCCTGGCCAGGCCAACTGGAGAATGTCAATCAGCTGAATATTTTGAAAGACCGCGATTTTGCTGCCGTTCGAGCAAAACAGGCCGTGCAGAGCTAGCGGTTTTCCTACCAACAAACAAGCCCCAACACTGACAGGAGGCAGGTTGAATTGAAACTCTGTTCCAGATGCAGATTAAGCTTATTGAAGTCGGGCTAGCGCTCCAGCGTTGGAAACCTCCCTTCTCCGTTCAACAACGGAAGGGGTAGAGGAATTGTGGTTAGCTTATACTCGGTGGGACACTGAAGTACCAATTTTCGATCCAAAACAGGGCAAATGACTGGTTTGTTCTGTTTGAGGCGCCAGACGGCGTTACTGTTAGTCATGATAACGCACTTGATCATAATACTTAGTGCCAATGCCAGGGTCTGGAGGTTACCGCTAGAAGAGCTGTTTAACCTTGTATTTAGAGATTCAGCCTAGACTTGACGTGGCGTCCTTGGCGTCCCATAGCCTCCACCGGCAGATACACCATCCGAAGAATCTGACAGTGGCTCATGGCATTTGATTCTGTCTGAACATAATAGTCTTAGATTTATTCAAGTGTCTCAGTGCAAATTACCTAAAGCTGTGATTTGCCCAGCTCTTCTGTGTTCTACCTGCAACAACTTATGGCAAGGGGGTAGAAACCAGGTAGATGGCGTTTTTACCTCGCCTAAAAGCTCCCAAAGCTGTCTGGTTTGGGTCAATTGGGCGTTGCCAAGAGCCCCATAAGGCTGATGAGCCGCAAAGCATATTGGGTAGAGGGAATGTGTGTTTTCAGCTGCAGCTACTAGCGCAGGCTCTCAGCTCCATGGCTGCTCAGTCAGAGGTCTAGATGTGAAGAGGGGAAGCGAAGCTTAGAGCTTGAACGCGCATATAAAGAAATGCCATGGTTACATTTTCGATTGTGGTATTACTCCTATTCTCCCAAAATTGCTTTACAGGGCTTACTTTGTAATATATCACTTACCATCAAATTTGCCCCACTACCAGCATGCAATTGCTCAAAGGACTCATTCTGGGTCTCCTGGTGAATAGAGGGTTTGGTCAGACAGATCCTCTCCCAACAGATGACGGGGCGGTCGATACAGTGGCTGAGCCAGTCGCGACTGATGCCCCCGATCCTTCTGTCTTGGAGCCTTCAGCACCCCCGCCAGAAGGTCGGTGCAACGAACCCCATCTGAAGATATAGAACCCACGGAGGTGTCTCCGTCTTGAGCTTATGTTACCGGAATAGCACTAACGAGTTCAAAAGAGAGCCCAGTGAATACCGGAGGAGATACCGGAGATGCACCTACTGTAACGATAGACGAACCCGCGCCCTCGGATGCCAGAAAGCCAGCAGAGGAGCCCACTCCGGAACCTACCGCAGTCGAAGATCCCCCAGAGCCCTCGGATATACCAGACGATCCAGTGGAGACCCCGACTGCTGATGCAGAGCAGCCGGAACCCACTGATCAACCTCTGTCCTCCGAGCCCGAGCCTGCTCCCACCGCAACCGACGTCGGCCCTACTGGAACTCTGGACAAGAGTCCTGCTGAGACAGAAACAAATGGTGAGAACACACAAACCGATGATCAAGAAGTTACAAAAACAGAAGCCGAGGCCGGGGTAATCGCTACAGAGGCTCCTCTAAACTCTGCAGCAGCGGAGACCACTGCGGAAGAAGTGGCCACATCAGGAGGTGAAGCGCAAACTACAGGCTCCGATCCAGATGATGTACCGGCCACTACTGCCTCCCCCTCGGCTACTACCCAAGATCCGAACTATGTCGTTGGCCAAGATACTACAAGCTCGGAAATTCAGAATGTTCAGACCACAACTAACACGGATCCAGGAGAACCGACCGGAAAGAAAACCTATGGAATTGTAGCGCCTACCGAGACCAAGAAGGAGGACGCCGAAGAGACCCAGGACGCTGACGCAGATGGCGAAACCGGGACTCAGCAAAACTACGAGGGTCCTACCAATACCGGGGACAACGAGAAGCCCGAGGAGACAAAACCTGGTGACTCAGGTGCTGGCGGTAAAGCATCTGATAAAGCAACGGGTAAAGCGTCTGCAACAGCCACTGGTGACTCGCCGGGTCCTACCTCGGCGCCCGAAGATATTCCCGTTCAGCTGGAGGACTCCAAACTGGGTGACTATGCAGCGTTCAAGGACAAAGACGGAGAAACTGTTCTGTAAGTAGCCATTCCCCATCCCTCTTCCAGTTATACTAACCATGCAAAGTGTATTCAGCCCACCGCCCAACGGAGAAGCAACTTGCGATCTTCCACCAACAGGAGGTGACGACGTCCCTGTCGGCGAATACATCAGACTCGTCCTGTCCGTCAGATTACAACAAGTTGGTGGCAGCGCAGTCATAAAGGAGGACAGGACAGGATCCCGTCTAAAGGTATTAGTTGACAAGACTCAAGTTTACGATCAGGAGCTTATTGGTACCGGGGGTGATCTACAAACTGTCTCCACTGAAAAGTTTGAGGCTGCAAAGGATCAGAAGATTAGGATGATCCAGCAATCTGGTGATACGCCAGTTGAGCTTGAGATTCAGGATGCGAATCTTCAACTTGCGAATTCTGTGAAGGAATCTGGAGATGATGACAAAGGTGGGGACGATGGGAAGGGAGGTGATGACGGAAAGGAGAGTGATGGTAGCAAAGGTGGTGATGATTCTGGTAAAGATAATGGCGATAAGGATGGTGGTGGAGACTCTGGCTCTGGCTCCGGCTCCGGATCTGGATCTGGGGACGCAGATAAGGGTAAGGACTCGGGCGACGGTGGCAGTTCCGGTGGCAACGGAAGTGGTGATGATGGAAGCAAAGGGGACACTGGTGGAAGCGACAGTGGCAGCGGAAGTGGAGGCAATGGTGACAGTGGTTCTGGTTCAGGGTCAGCGTCAGGAACCAGCGACGAAGGCTCATCTCCGTCTGCTACTGCAGGCAGTGAGGGTGCAGTAAATGCAGCCGGAAAGCTCCAGATGGTGAGCGAACTCCTCATGTATGCTTTACCACTAGCTGCTGCATTCATGGGGTAGGGCTCGAGAGAAATAACGGGCCAAAGCGATGGTTCTTCTGATGTTGGGATTTCAGAATACCCAAGGAAAGTAGAAAGTAGATTTAGTGTATCTAATTAATATCTAACTGATAACACTGTCTTGTCATCCCAGTTTGGAATTTCACTGCAATTTTAACACTCGTTGAAGCCACAGTTGATGGCATAGCTCCCAGTTTCTTTTCTTGCACTGCAATTTTAACACTGAGCTGGGCCCGCCACTACTTGTCGAACATCGGTTGACTTTAAATTCAGCCAATAAAAAAGTTCAAGTCCTTATCATCAGCTACCAGCGGCGCATGGCGTGACGTAAGAAGCAACAGCTTGTAATATGTGTTGGTTCTAGCTCCTTCTATACTGTCGTAAGACGACTTGAATTTGTAGGAGTGTCGGGGCATTTAAAGGCTTATCTGAAGGTTGGAAAGTACACAATCATTCCCTCCTGGAATAGGGACCTTTCACACAGCCTTCGTTTGGCGTTGTTCGCGATGAGTGGGAGCGCGTAGAATAAAATATACAAGCTAATAGCCGACGCTGTACATTAGTATGGTTACAATGTGACGTAAGTTATTCATTAGAAGAGTCCATTTGTACCATGCTTTCTGGGCAAATTGCTATTGTAACCCTGACCATGGCGAACGTGGGGGGATGGCCCAAGATGATGAAGTATTGGGCGTCATTTAAGATGATGAAGTATCGGGCAGCATTTTCCACTGCAATTTTAACCCCCGCGAAGGGCAATGTATGTCTGTTGACTCACGTGATGGTAGACCTCCGTGTTTGCACTGCAATTATAACCCTTACCGAGGAGTCCGTCGGACTAATTTTCAGCCCTGCAGGTCTTCCCTTCACTGCAATTATAACCCTTACTGAGAAGCCTGTCGGTAGGGACTGTTATTTTTCTGTTAATTCATTTCAATTGTGGTTCCTACGGAGCTTATAGTGTAGTATACTGATGTTAAAGGTTCATTTATTTGTTTATCGTATTTCATCCATGCTATTTCTCTTCATCTTCCTTCGTGGCCTTAATGATACGATCTTCACAAGCAATCTAGTTCATCACTATCTCCGTCGATCCCCACGTGTACTTGCCCTTTTGGAATTCTTAATTCCGTGCTTTGAATTTTGCACATCTGCATCGTCAGCCGTCGATGTCGCACTTTTCTGTGACAATGTGGCACATGGATTTGAATCAAGGAGTTAGACACTACAGGCACACGAATTTGAATGGTAAGATATAGCAATAGAACAATTGTGCTGTACGATAAAATCTTAGCATTATTACGGAAATACACTAAACTAGAGATTGAGGCTACACACATCAAACCTATCTCCCCCAACCATATTAACGAACAGCTCCTACAGTTTGTAAGTGCCCATCTTTCGTGGACTGACCTTGTTATGGAACATATGGTCAATCTCGTCGTATCGTCGACCCTTGAGCTCGGGAACATAAACCCAGGCCCAGATAAACCCAAGCAGGCCAAGTCCACCAAAGATAAATCCAACCTTGCCCTTGAGATTGCCCTCATCTGGGTTGACCATGTACGGGATAGCAAAATTCATGGCGATGCCCATGACAGACTGGGTAGCAGTAGCCAAAGCCATGGTCTTGGCCTTGAGAGCTAACGAGGCTGTCTCCCCTAGAACTGCAAAAGCCATAGCACCGACAGTGGCGAAGTAGACATAGGCGTAGATAACTGTGCAGGCTGCTTGGACCCATTTGGCAGAGGCGGTTGGCACCACATCCATGATGCCGATGAGCATTAAGAGAAGCGTCAAGGCTCCCATACCAGAGAGGAAGATCTTGCGACGGCCGAAGGAGTTGACGACGAACCAACTGCAGATATTGCCAAAGACACCACATGCTGTGACTCCAACACCGAGATCAAAACTTCGAGAGTCTTCCAGACCGGCGAGTTGGAAGAAATAGGTCGAGTATCCAAGGACAAAGATGATGCCGACGAAATGCTGGCAGACAAAAACTCCCATGCTGATCATGGTGCGAACTCGATCTGTTCCCTTGAAACACTGAGCCCAGGATGGTGCTTCAGTTGTCGCAGCCTGCTCTTCGGCAATAGTTTCCTGTATAGTAGCGAGTTTGGCCTCTAAATCGACCCCAGAACCGTAAAGCTTGATGATAGATTTCTTCGCGTCGTCAATCTTGCCCTTTCGGACCAGATACCATGGAGTCTCTGGGGCAAAAGGTAGACCAGCAGCCAGCAAAATGATGAAGATGCCTTGAGTAGCAAAAGCACCACGCCAAGCCCAATGATCGGTTCTCTCGCCGAAAGCTTTAATAACGCCATTTGAAACCAATTGGCCAATTGCGATTCCAAGGTTAACTCCAGCTGTCGCAATTCCACGAAGAACAACTGGTGAAATCTCAGAGGTTGCCAAAGGAGCCAAAGTGAGGAAGAAGCCGAGGCCAAGGCCAAGGATCAGCTTTGAAATGAGGAAGGCGACGTTGCTGTTCGACATGCATTCTCCGATGGTGCCGCCTGTTGCAAGGAGGAGTGCCATGGCGAGTGAGTTCTTTCGGCCGACGTAGTCGCAAATCCAGGAGCACATGAATCCGCCGAAGAAACCTCCCACGGAGCTGATGGTGTTGAAGGCGGTTTGCCAATCTGCGGGAAGAATTGCCTCGCCGTTCTCGACATATCTGACAAGGTATTAGCCGTGGTCTCGATGATCGATCAGTGGTAGAGCGTACCCGAAATCGCGACGGAACGAGGCGACGGAGATCATGGCGCCGTTAATTTGGGCATCGAACCCCCTATAAGACTCTGTCATTAGCAAATAAGCTTCGAAAAGGTCGTAGGTCATACCATCCAATGGCCGCAATTGACCAGTAAAAGCACCACCACACGACACGCGGGTGTTGGCGGAAGCATTGCTTGAGTGTCAGGTTCTGCTCGGCTTGGTGGTCGGCGATGATAGCGTGTGATTTGGCGTCCATGAATTCGGTTCCAGAGACTTGAGCGTGGAGTTCAAGGTCTGCTTTACCCTCAGAATGCTTCCGTGAAGCGTCCATGATTGATGTTATTTCTTTGCAAAGTGTTGAGATAGAAGCCGTTGATGGGTAGCAATGAGAAGGTGGTCAATTGCCGAGTCTTATATACATGGGCCCATGTCTGAATAGTCGTGGTGTTGTCGATACGTAGCATCAATAGCACCAAACACCAGGACAACTAGAGACATACGAAATAAAAGTCGTGCCAAAGAAATCGGCTTAAGGTTTGCGAATGCGGTCTAGACCAGTGTTAGTCTGGGGTATGTGGGGAGATTGCCTGTCACACAATGTGGGGAGCGCGGGGATACGCGCGAGCTGAGCTGAGCTTGGCCCAGTCTGGTCGATACGAGCGACATTCCCCGATGAATCTCCACTTGGGCAGCTGAAGGTGGTGTCACTATGTCACGCACCAGGAGGAGGTAGTGTCACGCGTCGAGAGGTATAAGGAGCGACACTCCCCGAAAGAGCACCCACTATCTATTTACCACTTCTCCACTTCTCCCCATTTACAGCTCTACACAATGTCTCCCCAAGCACCAGCCGATGAACCCGAATCGGGGCGTAGACAAGGCAAGAGACCAGCTCCACGTGGGACAGCCTTTTACCCAAGGAAACGGGCCAACACGGCTTGCCAGGTCTGTCGAGCTAGGAAGACTAAGTGCGATAATCAGAAACCGTCATGTTCTTACTGTCTCAGCACCGGGGCCACTTGCATACAGTCCCCGGTCGACCTCTCGTCCTTTGACCCCGCGAGCCTCAAGATTCTCGAACGGTTGGATGAGTTAGAGAAGCTGATTCGCGAGCCACGCAATGACATACCAGCACATGTTGTCGTGCAGGCGGATGATCAGCCGCAAGAACCCTCGTCTTCTCAAGAAACCCTTTCAGAGGACCTGCAGTCGGAACCTACAGATGAGACAACCGACATTCCCCTGAGGAGCATCCTCCCAGAAAGGATGGAGAGTCTCCTACTATGGTCTGTCCTCTCACGCGACATGTCAGCTCACACAACCCTTCAAAACGATCCTCCCCAACCATCGCCGTCTTATTCCCCGGGTTGCACCTCGCTAGGCGACATAGCCGATCTGGATACCCAGGGTGTCAAGACGCTTCTCGATAATTTCTTCGCCCACGTCCATTGCAAAAACCCCATTCTCGAAGAGGCGGCTGCTCGAAAGGCGGTCCTCAATGTTGTTATTGAAGGAATCGATTGGTCACCCGCATCCTGTCTCATGCTGCTCATCTGTGCATTGGGGAAAATCGCTACGCCACTTGATGCTAGTTTTCACATGAGCTCAGATTCGGCTCCGTACCTTGAAGCTCAAGCTTTGTTTCAAGCGGCGCAAAAGAGAATCGGGATACTCATGACCCGATCAGATATCATCAGTGCCCAATGCTTCTTCCTGTCAGGGGTTTTCCTCATGAGCACCTTTCGACCGTTTGAAGCCTGGCGTTATTTCTCGCAGGCGTTAGCCACCTGTCAGACATTGCCCTTTCTTCAAAGAGCTCACTCTCTGAGAGCCTCCAACGCATCAGACCTACCGATGCCAGAGTTAGGTGAAACACAGCAAGAGGCAGTGTATTGGTCTGCGTGGAAGTCCCAGAGGGAACTCAGCGGAGAACTATCACTGCCTGATTTTAGTATGCCTTACTTTTCGAGCGTGCTGTACCCGCCCTTCTTCCCCACGCCTCCCCTTCCTCTCGACTCTACTAAAACCACGGCATCGAGTCGACAGCATGCGGCTTGGCTGTTCTATTTATCCGAGATATCTCTAAGGAGGCTCTCTAGTCGGACCTGTCATGATGTCCTTGAACTCCATCGCGCATCAACATCTAATCACCATTTCCTTGAGAGTCTGGCTCTCGTCGTACCAGCTTATGAAGCTCAGGCAAACGAATGGGCTGAAACTCTCCCGCCCGAGCTATATATAGCAACGGCGCCTATTGATGACAACGTATGCTGCTTCGTCCTTCGAGGACATCTCGTGAACTTCTTCGAGCGCCTGTATTGGCCTTTTGTAATGGCTCATCTGACCGCTCTTGAACGCGGTATGACAAGTCCTATTCCCGGGAGGCAGTTCGCAGAGAAGGGATTGGAATATCATGTTTTGAATGTGGAAATTAACGAAGCTGGCTTTTTACATCGTCATCATGGCACCTGGCTCATGGTCCGAGCTCTTGTACGCTCCGCAACGGTATTACTTGCAGCGCGGCTCTTAAACTCGGCAATGCCGAAGGGTTGGAGGGAAGGATGCGAGAGAATTATACAGGTTCTAAGAGCATGGGAAGATGATATCCCAGAGATGTCGAACCATCGGAACTTCTTGGAAGAGGTCTTGTATGGCTTGAACGAATGATTATAAGGGTGTGGTCGGCAAAGCCGGTCTGTAGTCTGTACGTACAAAGCTTACTTAGGCATGATTCATACATGAAAGCGGCGGGGAAATGAAACCGAATATGGAAAGGCGAGAATTTCCCCATGTTGAAGCAATATTACCCGGAAGGCTAAGGTGCAATGACATTATTCTACCCTAATTGCGGGGTTTCTTATGTTGTGTGTAAGGTGTGTTGGTGTGGTGGCGATCTGTCGGGGAGTATCGCCCGTAACACATCACCCCACTTCGAAGGAGTGAAGACTATATAGTTTGAGCACCTACATGTCCCCAAATGAACAAGGGATACACAAGCCCAACTTATTTAACCATTTTCTACTATCATTCCTATCTTCTTAATGATTGATTCTGTCGTCTTTTCCTCTTCCGAACAAACACACACACGCACACTACAATGGTCGCAACCGCAGATGGCTCGGGCTCCTACGATGAAACGTCTCAAAAATCATCGTCCTGCAAGATGCTGCATACTCAGGGTAGCAAAATCGTTGACCCCTCGGGAAAACGCGTTATCCTGAAGGGCTCCGCGATTGGTGGCATGCTCAACATGGAGAACTTCATCACCGGATATGCCGGCCATGAACATCAGCACCGACAACAAATGGCCGAGGTCATCGGTGAAGAAAAAGCTCAGTTCTTTTTTGACAGACTCTTGTATCACTTTTTCACAGACTCTGATGCTGCATACTTTGCGTCACTGGGATTGAACTGCATTCGTATTCCTTTCAATTATCGTCACTTTATCAACGACATGGACCCCGATAATCTCAAACAATCGGGATTCGACTGGCTTGACCGATGTGTCGATATTTGCGGTAGACACAACCTCTATGCCGTCCTTGATCTTCATGCCGTTCCTGGAGGACAGAATCAAGACTGGCACAGTGATTCCGGACTATCACGAGCCGCATTCTGGGATTTCAAGGATCATCAAGACCGAGCAATTCAGCTATGGAAGGCTCTTGCAGCACATTACAAGGGTAACCCCGTCATCGCCGGATACAACCTACTCAACGAACCCGCCGACGAGTCAAAGACACCCGCAGGCTATTATGGCGATAGGCTGATCAAGTGGTACGAAAGGGCTGAGAAGGAGGTCAGGGCCATTGATCCCGACCATATGATCTTCATCGACGGAAACACCTACGCGATGGACTTTCGAGCTTTCCCTGAAAACCCTCTTCCCAATGCAGTTTATGCATGTCACGACTATAGCTTTCTCGGATTCCCACTTGGAGAGCAATACGAAGGCACCGAAGACCAAAATACGAAGTTACGCAAGAGCTTTGAGCGTAAGGTCCAGTTCATGAGAGAGAAGAATGTTCCCATTTGGAATGGCGAGTTTGGTCCAGTTTATCAGAACGAGCATAAGGAAGGGGAAGAAGGTGTCAAGATCAACAAAAAGAGATTCAACCTGTTGCAGGAACAACTCGCTATCTATAGAGAAACAGACGTCAACTGGTCAATCTGGCTCTACAAGGATATCGGATACCAAGGCATGGTTTACCTTGACCCCGAGTCAGCATACATGCAACTTATTGCACCCTTTGTGGAGAAGAAACAGCGCCTTGGTCTTGACTTTTGGGGCGTGGTCAACAAAGATGGGGTCAAACACCTTTACGAACCGTTCATCCAAGGACTCAAGGAGGAGGTGCTGGAGAAATACAGAGATACCAAGTATCCAAAAGTCTGGACCTTTGAACGGCAGTTTGAGCGTGTTATTAGGGAGTGTCTCATGAGCGAATATGTTGGGTGGGAACTGGCCGAGTTGTTTAGGAATAAGACGAAGGATGAGTTGGAGGAACTTGCGAGCAGTTTCTCTTTCGAAAAATGCATCAAGCGAGATACACTGGTTAGTATACTTAGCCATGACTCGAAGATTTCAGGAAGTAAGTAGTACAATAATAAAGTGTTAGATGGCATCATTTAGCTATTTCTTGAGTATAAAAGACTATCGTAGTTCCGTCACTGAATATTACGTTACAAAAGTGTTCATTCTGTCTCTTTCGACACACTGCCTCTATAGATCTTTTGAGTCGTAAAGTGTTCTTCCACCTCTTTTTCAACCTCATCTCAATTCTTTCTTGATTAACTTTTCTAATCCCCTTATTCAACTATTTTGAGCATCAAAACACTACTAACCTATTTTTATCCTTCTGCCAGCCCTTACCGCCCAAACCCGTCTAAGTGTCGCCACTCTCTGTTCAGCCAACATTATACCTTACAACATCAAGCTTCGCCATAGACGGGATGGCATTCAACCAATTTCCCAACAGACGACGAGTCATACAAGCATGTGTCAATTGCCGTATGCGCAAGACACGTTGCGATGCTGTCCAACCTCGATGTGGGCTCTGCACTTCGCAAAATGTCGACTGCGTTTACCGTGATGCCAAACAGCCAAAGATCGACTACAACACACAGGTTCTTCTAGAAAGAATCCAAACCATGGAGGATCGAATAATGTCGTCGAGCTTTTCTTCTCAGTTTTATAACGGAAACCTTCGCTCGTCGCCCGCCAATAGCCAGGGCCCGCCCGAACATGTCCGACCAAAATCAGATGTCCTACCTGACTTTAACACCGCGGCAAATGAGCCACTTTTCGAAGTTCAGATACCCCTGTCGCATACAGCAAACGCCAATCATGTCTTTTCATGGCCTCTGGTACAGGAGCTCCTATTAAAGGCCAGCGAAGACGGGGAAAGCTTGCAAACACATACCAATGCAACAGAGGTGTTTTTCCAGCCACAATCAAGCAATTACCTTTCTCCGACGATTTCACAACCTCCTCTTTCATGGAGACTGTATGATAATGCAGAACCATTCTTTTCATCTTTGGACGACTTTGTATCGCATCTTCGGGACTTGATCCACTTGTATTTTACCGAAGTCAATATTTTCTTCCCGTTACTGTTGAAGGGCGATATCCTCGACACATTCGAAAGGGTAACAGCTGCGGAAGTATTTGGTCAAGAACAGAGTAGCAGCATCGGCATGCCACAATATGGACTGCTGCTTGTGACACTCTGTCTTGCCTTATTGAGCTCAAGTGGTCGATCTAATATACATCTTGAGAAGAGCCACGCAGATCACGAGGCCTCATCAAAATCTGCCGTGCAGATGGAGCGGCTGAGATCCAACTTGTGGGACAAATCGAGGCTTGTTCTAGGATACGTTTCGACAGACATGTCAATGGCAGCTGCCCAGAGCAGTATGCTGGCGAGGTAGGCCACCATCCCGGACTAATGATAACTTTTTAATTGCTCAGTATATATATGGGAGCCTGTGGTCGAATTGCTGAGGCTTTTCACTGGGCACATGCGACGGCTGTCAAATGTGAAAGCATGGCACAGATATACACGAAGAACGAGAACATTCCTGACGCCTTCTGTCGCTTGTACTGGATCTCGTTCATCTATGAATGTGATTTCATTTCGGAGATATCCGTCATTTCACCGTCTGGCATAGCTAGATACGAAGATAAGATACCATATCCAGCATTTACCACCGAAAAATATCCCACCACAGGATCCTGTCCAGACTCATCGGAGTCCAGCTCAATCAGGTGCCAGGAAGAACTGGTAGCTTTCCAAATAACGACCAACTCAGCCATTAGGCGCTTTCTAAATACAGTTAATAGTGTTTTCTACGACGACAAGGAACGATTCAGGACGAGGCAATCAAATTACGCTTCTTGGCTTTTGAGGATTGCGGAAGATCTATACTCGCATCATTCGGCTATCTATCACAACCTCCCTGAATTTCTGCTGACCAACTCCTCACAAGATGTCTCCATGACAGGGATTGATTCGACTTCGCCTTCTAGTCTACAATCACCCACTACGCGAATTCAGGGCATCCCCACTGGCAACAACTCGTGGAATGTTCTCAGGTTGAAGGGACGATATTATGCAGGCCAATACATAATTCACAGGCCCTTCATCGAGTTCATTATTCTCAACATCGACAATTTTGAATGCCATCCTCATAAGGAGGCTGTTCTCAAGAGATCCAAAACCTGCCTTGATGGATGTGCGGGATTTATTAAAGTATTCGATGTTGAGACAGCGAACAGCTTAACTTGCTTGTTCCCCACTGGTATGGTGTAGGTCAACCTGATTACCACAATTTTGATAAATATTGACGATCATTACCGCAGCACCTTCACCATGACCATCATTTTGATGGTTGCGACAACCCTTCCGGTTTTCCATGATCTATTGCCGGAGGACGTGGAAGAGATAATTGTAACCGGAAAGAGGAATCTGGTCCGATTCAGCCAAAATGTGGCAGAATTTGAGTGGCATCTCACCGTCCTAGAATATCTTGACGTGGCTAGGCGGTGCAGAATAGCAGGTGACGATGAGTAATCAAGAAGGTACAACTGGGAATACACGGATTGGCTTCCCATTAGCTAAAAGATATGTCTATAAGTACAGTTCTTTATTCGGTAAAACATGCCGGCGCAGAAACAATAGTTTGCGACCAATTGGAAAGTATTATTGGCAGGTTGCATAGTGTGACACAAATCTATCTCCGAATATGTACGGAGAACCCCCTCAAGCTATGTCGGTGACCTTAAGATGATTGTCTTGAATTTCGTGGCCATATAGCCAATTGAGAAGAGTACACTTGCAGCGAATGCCGAGGGTCTAAGACATATCAGGATCGGCATTCCTACTTTAAGCTAATCCTCCACGTCTACAGCTGTCTGGGCCTATCACTCCGAGTTGCGGTTCAGCCCAGGGATATTGAGAGAAACCATCACAGTTGATACCAGGACTCACGAATCAAGACAGGGTACTTAATCAACATCTGAGACAATGTGTCAGCAAACGGCATAGTCGTTGATTTCGAGTTAGAGGATGTGATGGGAACTGCCGAGCTGAAAATAATGGCCAATCAAAGCAGGTCATGTTATCACACCGACACGGGACGAGGAGTGTTTAATCTGAAGCATTTGATTCGTGTTGAAAGGTTGCTTTTCAGCTTGCTACTTTTGAGTTTTACTGCATATGCGGTCCGGTCAATGACGCGATCTGTCGTATCCCCCGCACTCACTAAACTAAGTGCCACTTCATATCTCAACTTGCGACTACACAATCTTTGAATCAGTTTATCGTAACACAATCAAGCTTTGAACAGCGGCGGGTGTGCCTCATTATGTTCTACATTTCCATGGAGCTCGTCGCCTCGACCAATACTCCTTGTACGCATCTCACATCTCCAAGCGGGCAAAGCATCGAGAAAGGTCTGTCTTAGCCAAGACATCGCAGTGCCGCACAATGTCTCACTGAACATTGCGAAAACGGCACCATGCAGAAACGGCAGAGTATCACATCAATGCAGGTCTGAAATCATTGGATATCAACGGTGATTCTTGTTCAGGTGTGAGACTTCAGGCCGGCCTAGAATTGCTTGTGGCGAGCTGAAGTTTCATTAAGGTTAGCTCAGTATTACGGCTGAGTTATAGTGCTCTCATAGTGCTCTCTGGAGCGCGGGGTTGATACCTTCCAAAATGACGTTTATAAAGGAATCCAACTATAAATACCCACGGGTTTGCAAGGACCAGAATGAAGTTCAACGCAATCATTACTGCAGTCAAACCCTTTAAACCACTCACAAACACCCTTCTTATTTTCCAAACTGGCTGAACCACCTATTGCTTGGTGCGGCAATATCAATCAACGCGCCGCCGCAGCTCTAGCCTCAGGTAGAACCAACCCAGTCGTTGCCATGTCAGACTCTCAACCCACCGAGTACAAATGTCGTACTCAAGAGGATACAGACCCAAGTTGGGGTCCTGCTCCTGTTTCCAACCTTGAGGGCACCACTGGCGATAACGCACCAGACAAGCCTGATTCCCTCGTCATCGGTTATGGGTCTATCATTCCACGTTGGGACGTCACACCATCTGATGGCAGGAAGCTCCAGTACCTTATCAGGGATGACACCTTTCCAGATGCCACCAAGGCAAAGTTCGCAGCTAAGGAATTCCAAGCCGCTGCTGATACTTGGGCTGAACTCGAAACTGGCCTTACCTTCTCCGAAACAACTGATCGAGACAGCGCAAACTTTTACCTGGTGTACAAAGTCAACTCGCGGTTTGAGCAGGGAGTGCTAGCCCAAGCCTTCTTCCCTCATGAGATTGATCAGGATGTGATTGTCTACTCGTATGCCTTTGAGGGCCAAAACAAATCTATCTTGAAGGAGATCTTCCTGCATGAAATTGGCCACATTTTTGGTCTTCGACACGAATTCGCTATTGAAGGCGATTCCGACGGCAACAAGCCCGAGGGCGAAGGCGCCAAGATATTCATGGATAAGAATGAATACTCGGTTATGAGCTACAAGTTCCCACCCAGGATTCAGGATAGCGATCGCACGCAGACCGTTGCGTTCTACAAACTGCCTCTTGGGTACATGCTCGATGGCAGTCCCGTTACCGACTTTCAGCCCAAGATCCGTCGTAAGAACCGGTAGATGCCACGGCAAGTTATCCGAGATTTGTGTACTCAATTAGTAACTGTTATAATACGGGAGGGCATATGTGAGGTTACGGTATAATCAGATTGTTTGAAGAACAAGTCCCAAGGGAGCACGATATCACAGGAAGCCACGTACTATCTAGTCACACTCTTTAAAGGAACTTGCAATATATCTGTTCCCCTTCTATTCTCAATCTACTAATATTATGTGACCAAGTACACCCGACCATCAAACGGCGATAATCCCCCTAGCCTAGTCCTACAGTCCAACACTCTCCCATGCTTACAAACACTAAGTGCTTCAGCATTATGCCATGCCGCCTTCTTTAGGCATCTAGAGACTCTTGAATCTAAGCATTACACATTTCTATTCAGCTCTCTTTGTGGCCCAACATTAAGCCGCCACTGGCACAATCTGGGCCGGCTGTTCCTGCTGCTTTTTGAGTTGAGCCTTTTGTTGTTCTTCCGGTGATAGCTCAAAGATGCCGACCCCAGAGATAGATGCCTCTTTTGATACCGGGCCATTGCTCGAACTTTGTTCCGACTCAATGACCTTGCCCTGCAAGCGCTCATCGCCGGCATTCATGGGCGCATATGTCTTCAGGAGCTCATTGAGCCTCTCTCTCTGTACACAGTTCTCATACTTCCAACTGGCCGCAAGCTCGTCCAATTCCTCAAATGACTTGCCTTTGAAGTAATCCGCCCACTCGGGAATCATATACTCGGCGAGTGTGATCCCTCGAATACCGCGAAAGACGTGCATGTGCATACGCCACTGCCAAGGGTACTTCTTGGAATACTGGGCCGGAATGTTATCCTCGAACCACTTATGCAATGGACCGAAGAGGCCATCCTGGAGGTGTGCGTCGTCGTAAGCCCAGGAGTCTACAGCCAGATCGCGCTTCTTCTTTATTATGGGTCCAAGGAGTTTCAGCCATGGGGAGTCGGGCGATACGTAGGATAAGCCCATGACGTTAATGTCCTTGTATGACCAAATTGACCAGGCTATGGTATTGTTAGTATGACCGATTAGTGAAGGGCTATAAATACTCACCAATGCTCTCTGATGTATAGATAGCCATTTGTCGGTCAAGCATATTGTACCGTTCTTCATTTTGCACTTCCCAATCCGGGTTGTACTCTTTGCGTTCATAGATGGGTCCGAATTCGCCTGCAGGGTTTAGCTTGATACATCAAGCCATTTGGAGATATTCTTACCATTCCAAATTGGCACCTCATGCTTTTTCATGAATTCAACCTTGCGATCGTACATCCTTCGGATGTAGCTCTCTTGTTCCTCTGTACCTTGAAACCGGCCGATCCTGTTGGGGAAGCCAAAACCGCAGTAATCGTGGATTGCATACACCGAATTATCCCATACTTTGTCGAATCCGGTGAAATCCATGCTGAATCTGTTTGAGCAAAGGCCGTTAGTAAGCACTGGGAATAAAGAGGTTTCGTGCATAACCCTTACGTGTTGCCTTCCAGAAACAAAATGTGATCGGGGTCAATATTCCGTATTGCTGGTACAATCCTGTCATAGAATGCCAAGAGACGACTCCATTCGGAATCAGCAGGCTCATTCATGGGATTATAGCCCGCAACCCAGGGGTTGCCCTTGTATCGCCTGGCGATATGCTCCCAGAGATTAATAGCCCTATCCTGGAAGTGTTTGTGGTCCCAGAAAGCAGCATGGCCGGTCGGGTTGTCGGAGTGCCAGTCCTGGTTTTGGCCACCGGGTAGTGCGTGGAGGTCTAGGATGGTGTAGATACCGTACTTGGCACACTAGAGATCCAAAGTTAGTAACGATAATTAGATGTGCAAGGAAAAAGTGACTTACAAGGTTGACCACTCTATCAACATGCTTGAAGCCCTCTTCTTTGATAACAAAAGGGTTCATGTCATCCTCAAAGTGTCTGTAATTAAGGCATAGTCGTAGACAGTTGAAGTTGAGAGAGGCAAGGAACTCGGCATCTTTTTCACCAAAGAAGTATTCGAGGAACTTGTCGAAAAAGAAATCGTGCTTTTCCTGGCCGAGAACTTTGAGAAGTGCTGCTCGAATCTGATGTTCTCGCCCGGGGAAGCCATTCATAAAGTTCTCCATGAGCATCCATCCGCCCAGGGCAGTCTGCAGAGATGGGGTTAGCAGATACAGCAACCATACACGTAGTAATGACCTACACCACGCAAGAGAACAGCATCGCCATTGGCGTCGACGATGCGCTCACGATCTGTCTTCAAAATACCAGTAGACATGGTTTGAAGGTGCAATTGCATTCAAATTAGAGCACAATAACAATGCGGATTAGTAGAATCGGGTGCGTCTGGAGGGTTCCTAAATACTCCTCGACAGGTCTCCGCCAGCCGAACTTTTGCTCCTGGTATGAACCGCATGATCGTTCCGATGATCCTGGCGTATGGAGACTCTGGATAAATGGATCATTAAAGGAAGAAATCGTCCTAGTTTTTGGTAGATGATGACGAATCAGAACTTCTCGGGGCATCTAAATGCTTGCCCCGAATTCTCAAAGTGGGTCATCATCGTGGGGTTGCCAAGGGGCAATGAATTAGCTCCCCCGAGATAATATGATTGGCCCGCTTCACCCACATATCCGTCTGGACTCTGGCACAATATTCTACTCTCGCAGAAGATTACCGTGACATGAACTGACAAACAGAACGACTTGCATCATTTTTTTGCGGAGTTCCCCAGAGATTGCTCTTTACCCCGCGGAATTTAGCTTTTACGTTATTGACTCGGCGGGGTGCATTACATTACACCCGGTCTCTCGGATCCTGACCGGGTCTGTGCCAGGCTGCTCTGCGATGTAGGAGGCAGGAAGAGCGCTTGACTTTCGGGTTAGTATCAGATAAGATACATATATAACCTCATTCCCATTCTTCTCCATAGCTAAAACATTCATCTCAACCATCATCGCCTCCAGTCGATATCCAGCAACATGAACTTTCTTCGAAATCGTCTCCCAGCGCCCAAGCAGGACCTTCTTGCAAAGCAGGCCCGCAGGCAGGGTTCTACAGAGTCAGCGTACAAACCTTCGCGGATATCTGAGCTCTCTAGCGAGTCCCCAAGTTGGTACAAGTCGGCAGCTCGACGTCGGCTTTACTTTCTACTGTTCCCAGCTTGCGTTGTCTCGTATGCTACCTCGGGTTACGATGGTAGGTCATACATTGATCCCAATTAGCGTTGCAGAAATGACTAACTTAAGTGATAGGCAGTATGATGAACTCTCTCCAGACTGTATCTTACTGGGACGACTTCTTCGATAATCCCCGAGGATCTCAGCTGGGTCTGATGAGCGCTATCATGGCGCTTGGCAGTATTTGCTCCACGCCCATCGCCCCTTGGGTTGCCGACAGATTCGGCAGGCGATGGGGAATCACTACAGGAAGTATTATCATGATTGCTGGTGCCATCCTTCAATGCGAGAGTGCCAACTTTGCCATGTTTGTCATTAGCCGTTTCATCCTTGGCTTTGGGCTGTCTTTTGCAACAACTGCATCCCCAAGCATGGTCAGTGAACTGTCTCATCCCAAGGATCGAGTCACAGTTACTGCAATCTGCAATACTTGGTAAGCCATCTCTCGTGCGGGACGATCTAAACTCCTATTGACCTAGACTAGTTGGTTCTTAGGCTCTATCGCCGCCGCGTGGATTACCTACGGCACCCGTGTGATTCCAAGCACGTGGTCATGGAGAATCCCTTCCTTGCTACAAATGGCGCCCAGTCTTATCCAACTCTCGACGGTCTGGTTTCTACCCGAGTCTCCTCGATGGCTAATCTCGAACGACCGCGGCGACGAGGCCCTTGAGGCTCTTACACGATATCATGGAGAAGGTGTTAAGACAGAGCTTGTGGAGTTGGAGTACGAGGAAATAAGGGCAGCAATTGAGCAGGAGAAATGTCAGTTGTTCCTCCTCAAATCACGTGTAGTACAATTACTAACAGCGTTTAGTGTCTGGACAAACGACATGGAAGTCCATGGTCAGCACCAAGGGTAACCGATACAGGATGTTCCTCGTCATCTGCATGGGTCTAATGTCTCAATGGTCTGGCAACGGATTGATCTCTTACTGTAAGCTTGATACATCTGTCACAGCTCAAGATGCCAATGTCTAACATGTTGAACCTTTAGATCTGTCACGAGTTATGGACACAGTCGGTATAACAGACAAGAAGACACAGGCTCTTGTCAACGGCCTCATTAATATCTGGAACTGGGGCTTAGCTCTCACCAGCGCCTGCTTTGTCGATCGCGTTGGTCGCCGCCCTCTTTTCCGCATCTCTACCATCGGCATGCTACTGGTCTTTACTGGATGGACCATCGCCTCGGAACGCTTCGCAGCAACGGAAGCCAAGTCTGCGGGTGTTGCAGTCATGGCACTCATCTTCATCTATGAGATCTTCTATTGCATGGCATTCTCACCGCTTCCAGTGGCATACTCAGTTGAGGTGCTGCCATACTCGATTCGTGCCAAAGGAATGGGTGTCTACGTGCTTGCCACAAAGTGTGCTGTTTTTGTCAATCAGTATGTGAACCCGGTGGGCTTGGACAATATTGGATGGCGCTACTACCTTGTTTACGTGGCCGTTTTAATTGTTGAGAGTTTTATCGCTTATGGTTGGTTCCTGGAAACAAAGGGTAAAGCGCTGGAGGAGATCGCAGTTCTGTTTGATGGGGAGGCTGCAGATATCACTGCTAACGACATGACCAAGTCCTACGTCTTCAGCGCGGATATGCCAGTGGCAACTGAACAGGAGGATGTTAACCGAAAGGTCTAGGGTAATGGTTGCCAGATTGGAATAATCAACTATTATTAATCACTGATTATCTGTTAGTCGCTGCTTTCTACCTAACCTGGATTAATTTTACATGCCGATAAATTTGTTTAAGGATTTCAACCTTTCTTTCTCTTGATTCCCTTCATTTACGAGGTCACTACGTTCTTTTTCTGTTAGCATATACATTTTGACTTCAGATCTAGAAGAAAAGCTATCAGGCACCAGCAATATCAACGCCATGCATAACCTCAGCCAACTATTGCCATGTTCATTATCATTATCAGGCTAATCATAATGTCTAAGGACCAGAAGAAATACAATATTCTTGGCTAATAATATTCTCGTTCTACTGCAAGCTATCTCTGTGCGAGGGAATATGGTTTGCAAACAATTCAGTATTTTTATATCAGGTGTTATTAAAAAAATCGATTCAGTACCTAAGTAATAAATACCTTTTTATTTTCCAGGAAGGAATTAAAATTTTATGATACTCTAATGTGATAAAGCCTGCCAGTCTACGGAAGATGACTTCACTTTTAAGCCTATGGCCTAGTGGAAGTAGTTTAGTGGGATTTAGCACATATGGCTAATACTGCTTAGGTAGTTCATTAGTGCTCGGAACCGGAAAAACACGTTTCCCCACTTCACTTTTCTACCCCTCGTGACCGCTACGCCCGAAAGCAGTACGTAGCAGATCCGTCCAGGGGCCTAATTGCTCTGATCTGCCCTCATCTAGGTTGCATCAGGAGTGCCTACATATAGCATATATACTCCCCCTAGCTGATCCATTTTATTGAGCTAGCCGCATCCTGTTGCATGAAAGATCATACCACCTGCCCTCTTGTTTCCAGTGGGAATCGGCGATGATGAAAATAATCAGGTTGAGTGAGGGGATGATTGAAATGCCCGAGAAGGATAGCGCAACCCGTATCGTCTGTTCTGCACATATGAAGTCTGAGAAGACTGTCATCCTTCATCTTACGCCCAACCCAACGAACGAAGTAATGCGTTTTTACTCTCACAAAAACGCCTATACTGCTTTTGTAGTATGGAATGGGCGCTTCCTGTTCTTCAACGGCGAAAAAACAGAACAATTATGCCGCGGCGACTTTATTTTTATACCCCCAGTAAGCTAACTTTGTTCCTGGACTTTTTATACGTGGGCCTTGAGTTTTAATAGAGTTACCAGGGGATTGTGTATGGTTATCAACCACTAAGGCCACAATCAGAACTACTGGTTCTCACCACCCTGGGAGATCCAGCCGCTCTACTGGAAGCAATCGACCAAGATCAAGACGAGGCGTTTCCAAAATCATCAGGAAAGCCGAACGGAGTTGCAATTCCCGACGTTGAAGACGTTGACAATATTAATTGCTATCGCCCCTTCGATCTCGCGAGACCCATAGACCAGGGGGCTTCTTTGTCGACATTTTTACGACCACATTCTGTCGATGCCACCACCTGTTCACGGTGGATATTCGGTGGAGTGATAACACGACCTTTTGTCAGACATACGGAGTGTGAAGGAAAATTTTCCATCTCAGCCATGGAGTCGTCTCAGATGCACAGAGAATGGCCATTCCTAGACAGATGGCTGAACTTCACAAGTGTGGATCATTGCTTTTGTGTCATTGAAGGCAAATTCTTGGTCAAGTTAAGAGGCCAGGCTGAGTGGACAGAAGTTCGGGAAGGTCAGGCTATTCAAATTCCGGCAAGGCAAACGTTTACCGCTGATGTGGGGAGTGAGTATGTCAAGATACTGACTATTACTAATGGCGTTGGCATTGACGAACTGATTTGCAAGGCTGGAAATCTATATGGTAGTACGAAATTACCAGAGACAGCTGGTAAATGGGACAGCTGGGATGAGGTTCGTTTTATATCAGCCTGTTCTGAAGTGGGAGCACTCCTTGATCCATGCTAGCTATAACAAATAGACCGGCGGGGCTGGAAAGTTACTATAATTAAGATCTTGGTCAGTGGTAAATAAATATCGGCTCTCCGTGTCCAACAAGGCGTTTTAGAGGTATGTTAGTTTTACATGTTGGTGACAGTGCCTTATCTCGAATACTCCATCTGCTAACGGCTTAGCAGGTTCGTATAATTCCGCGAGCGTCGACTGCATGATTTCACAATACCCTTTTCAGAACACACGCTTACCAAGATTGGCATGGATTTCATTATGTACTTCAACGAGCTGAGCGAGATTGCTGAGCCTTTAGTCCCTCATCGTGGAGCTTCATCAACTATGCCACAAAAAGGAACCCGATTTCGAGTGAGGTCATGCTTGCCGCATCCAAGTCGCTCCGATCAAATGCGAGTCTGGTCTTAGATGGAATGGTGACTGATTATGAACGTGCTTCGGGACCGTGGTATATTGAATGGATAGTTATTCCAGAGCTTTTCGTCATGGCCATCGGTGCGCTGAATCAGGCTTCGTTTGTGCTCTCGAGACTGGACGTTAACAAAGACAGCATGACTATTAACTTATACTCAACCAAGGATCTCATTGTTGGCGAAGCCGTTATGATGGGATTGGCGCCGTTTGTTGGACATGATGTGGTATGCCAAGCTTGCAAGCAAGCCATTGAGGAAAAGTTGACCCTTCAAGAAGGTTTAAAGGGTGTGCCAGAGGTTACGGACAAGATTCCAGAGAAAAAACGTGAAGAGCTTTGTGATTCCATTTATTATTACCTGGGGTCCTGTCGTGAAATGGTGAATCACAGTTGCCTTATCTTGGGTCACAGGTAGTTAAAGAGTTGCCGCAATTCTCGTTTACCATCCGTGTTGACCATTTGGCTTCTGAATGTAAATCAATCAACGACTTGAGTCAAATTCCTACCATTATCCCGTTTGGATATCTAAGGGCTTCAATCTATTAGTCCAAGCAGATATTCTATCTTTGCTGTCATTCCATAGGTATTTCGTTCTTAGTATGCTATAATTTTAAATAATATATTTCAGGACAGCGAAGACTTTCATCATTGTTATATCTATATATTGAATCTTGTCTCGGGCTGGTCAATTCAAGTTGAGTCTGGAGAGGGAATTGTGGCTCTAGCAGTTCCTGCAGGGGTGTTATGCCTTTAGGAAATAAAGCTGTGGTAACCAACACCGTAGGTAATCCTACTAAAACCAAGATACCATTACTTTTCAGTCTATATAGAGACCTCTATAAATAATATTTCTATAGATTTTATTAAAATAGCTATCTCTCTTTTTTAAAGGTATTTGTAGACTTTATATAAATGTATATATTTATTATCAGAAATTCTTTTTCACTTCTCTTATAATAATTAAAACAAGGCTTTATTAATTCCGGATCAAGATAAATTAGTCTTAGTCCAGTTCAAGTAATACTAGAGGTACAGGGGCTCATATATGGCTATGAAGTATTAATATACTGATCTTCTCTCTTCTCCTTCCCATTATGGTGCTTCGTAGACTTCGGGAGGGCCTCTAGGACTTGCTGAAGGCAAAACCACAGGCTCAGCAGGTAGCTCACTCTTCGGTCTCTCAGAATAAGGCTGGTCTTGGTTGTAACTACCAGGAAGCTCTGCCGGTGCCGCATCATCTTTCATTCTTATCCGTCTTTTCCAAAGCACCCATCCAATAACCCCAAGAACCAACAGGCCTCCAACTGTGGCGCCGACTGCTACACCTGCAATTTCACCTTTAGATAATCCAGATTTCGGACTTGTTTCTGATGTAAAACCTGCTTCTTTGCTCGAGGACGCATCTGTAGTGCTTGTAGTGGCCTCTGCGGTGAGAGTTATCAATACCGTGGACGCAGGAATAGTTTTCGTCTCCTCGGGTTTCGGTGCGCTGACATTGAAGTATTGAGAGTCCGCTAGTGTCGCGTGATATCGGGGGTCAACTATCCGAAACCAATAAGTGCAATCCCCCTCGTTCTCTGTCATATCGGACATGTCGTACTGAGCCTTCCAACTAACAGAATCCGGGCTGACATTGGCTAGGCCGCTGAATTAGCAAAACAATAAACACAAGGGTCGAGTTGCTCCTACTTTTTAATATACCCTCTCTTTCTCCTCCATCTTCCATGACTTGCAAAATATGGAGGTCAACAGTTTTAATATTCGTTTCAAATAAGATCGGAATGATGTCTCCATCGTCATATTGGTTGTTTTTTGTCATGTCCTGGTCTGCCTCTGGTCTGGGTCCCTCTCTGGGGGGCGTAGAAATTTGGTGAAGCATGACACCCAGCTCGTGAATAGAGACAGTATCAGGCCGAGTTTTACGACAAAGGACATCTTATTGCCAACTTGACTAAGCAAGATTTCACCTACTCTCTGGGCTTGGCTTCAGTTATGATGTTTAAGGTGGACACATCTAAGAGGGGAAGCTATCACTTCTGAATATGGAGTGAATTCGAAAGGTATAAGTATCCGATCATCCAGGTATACGACCCAACCTTGCCACTGATAGGCACAAATGAATCAGGACTTCATACCCACTCGTTATGCAGTAGCGGTCCATATGAAGTCTAGTTGCGGCCCGGGCTGCAAATGATCATGCCGGGGTTGCGAACTCGTGATCCAGGTTTGTTCCCCAGCCGAGGGTTTGACTAACACATCTTCAAACTTCTTCCACGAGCTAGAATAGCAATGTATAGGACTCAGATCGCTGGACTTGAGAGCGCTTGACATTTCAAGTTCTATTTTCATTTTTCAAAACATCAATGAGAATTCTGAATCCGACCTCAGCTGCTTGTCTGAACTGTCAAAGCGCTGCCTGATTTGCCTAGTTGCATATAGAAGTGGGACAAAACACAACCAACAGCATAACAACCAACAGAGCGTTACATTAGTAGGATCAACGGGCCAAGTTCCGGGACCATGTGAACGGACACATGGCCTGATTTGGAAGGTGTAAAATGAAAGCTGAAAAACCAGAGGTAGGCAATGTTAATTCCCTTCTTTGACGGAGGTGCTTTGGACGAAATTATGGGAAATAATAGCTAGGGGATTCTGCATATCGTTTAGCTAGGTTTATTTTTACTGTTGATATCATTGGGAGATTTGAAAAACCTGGACTTGACAAAATTGAAGGTCGAAGCAAAAAGATCGTTTAGCCAAGCATTCAAGATAGAAACTATGTCAACCTCGCAGTGATAAGTAGAATGTCATTTATTACCACAAAATGGATTTATATTGAACTAAAACAATGCTATCTTTACTAATGGCGTTATGGTCATAGGCTTTATCGAGCATTCGCAGAGATATATCCAAGAGACCTAGACCTAGTAAGACGCGTATAGGTATGAAATACTTACCAGAGTAAGATCTCGCATCATCTAGAACAAATAGAAGTCTCAGTATTAATAGCAATAAGAAGTGGCTAAAATAGGAAGTAAGGGTTAGAATCATTCGACTTTTAACAGCCATCACGACTTGAATACGGCAACATCCTCCCTAGAGAGCCGTTCTTAATAGTCTAAGTACGACTGACATTACGAAATCATCAATAATGCTTATCTATAAAATTAGATGCTATGAAGTAGATAATTAAGAGGCCAAACTAAATGTGTTTCTGCTCACTGGCTACAATGCATAAATAGACATGTTTAGTAATAAGTCAGTGTCTTACAACGAAATCGACATCAACAACAATTCTCATTGCTAGTCTTCATACATTACCATATATAGATTTAGGCTCAGACGTATATACTCAGCTTTATATAAGCATTATTACGGACCCTCAACTGGTATATAGCCCCAATTTGGTCCTCAACACGGAATAATGACCAGGCACATGATTTCAACAAGGGGCTGCTCAAACACCTCAGCCCAACTTCAGTCCAAGCTAATCACCTACCATTTAGTATTGAAAATCAATGGCCTACCTTTCTACCAATTTGTTTCGATCACACCTATCTGACACGATAACAGGTCTAGACCAAGCATCCCACAAAGATAGTGCTTATCTTAAAATGCCAGCCGAAGATAGTTGTCAGCTTCCTAGCAACTGGGCCATTGGAACGAATCAATTAAAAGACCACGCTAACTATCTGACATAAGACAGCACCTTAGATTTCACCACCTTCTACGTTTCATAGGCCCCCATTCGAGTAAGCTGACAGTCCCTAATTCAACTTTGTTAACTCTTATCGTACAGATCTTACATATGATGTCATATACATTTGGCAAATCTTTGGTTTTCCCCTGCTGTCTCAGACTCTTAAAGGTTCCACATACTCAGATATCGAACAACAACTTAATCATTATTGTTCCTCTAATTCAAGTGAAGCCATGAGTCATCTCACACGAGACAATATCTTCCCTGGCTTCACAGCCCTATCCAATCAAGTCTTCATCCGCAGTGGAGAAGAACTTGGGACTGCAAATACACGACACCCCCACACCGTCATCGTCTATGGTTGGGGCGATGCTCCTGCCAAGCATGTGTCCAAGTTCACCGACGGATATCGAAAGCTTTACCCACAGGCCAAACAAGTCGCAATTCTGTCTCCCATTTACCAAGGGTTCTTCGACAGTCTCGCTCAACGAACTGAGAAAATGCTCCCTGTGATCAATGAAGTCTTCACAAAAGACTTGCAAGGTGCCGCTCCTGGTCCAATTCTTATCCATTGTTTGTCGAATACTGGCATTGGGAGCTACCACTCGACTCTTAATGCATACAAGGAGCTTTACAATAAGCCGATGCCGCATAGTCTGACTGTCTATGACTCCACGCCGGGAACGTCCAATCTTACCTGGTCCAACGTGACGAGATGGTCGAATGCGATGGCGATTGGACCAGCTGGCAAGCTCCCCTGGCCATTTTTCATTACCCAAGGCTTTTGCATTCTATTCTTTGGCTTCATCCACCTATTTGATTTCCTAGCTGGGAGGGAATCTTCGCCGTGGTTCAGTCATAGGGTGTTCTATGACGAGAGGTGGGAGAGTAAGGATAGTTCGAGGTTATTCTTGTATGGCAAGAAGGATATTCTGATTCCGTGGGAGCATATCGAGGGACATATTGCAGAGTCCCGCAGGATTGGGTACGTGGTTGACAGTCAGTTGTTCGATGACAGTGGACATGTCGGGCACATGAGGAAGCATCCTGAGATATATTGGGACACTATTCGAGGTTCCTGGGAGAAGGCGAGAGCAACCTGATTAGGAGCCTTTTCGCACTCATTAATCAGCTTCTTCAACTTTGCCACACGACAAACCTTGGAAACCGATGATGAATTATCCCCACCATAGGGTTCTTGAGGTGCTGGAAAGAGAAAGGAAATAACAATAACAGGCTGATAGATCCCTGGCTCATCCTTAAGCAAGTATCCAATGCACGACTTTCTTCGATTGTGACAATCCCAGTACTGATCTGTGACGCTGCAATGGCAGAAACCATGATGTAATCGATAGTGAATGAGAGTAGTTCCTAATTATTAACCGTTTTCATATATGTCCGGATACAGGCCGCATTTAAGCACTTTCTAACACATACATGTCGGCACGCGATACAGTTTCACCATTACGATTCTTATTTCTCGGTCTCGGAATCAATATCTTTCCAGAAGAATGACATCAGGTGAATGAAGAATGCGAGTCTGTACACCACTACTCTTCGTTGGCTGATGGGTCATTGTTCATAGAATTTACTGAGTGAAGGCATTGTACACGTAGCATTAAATACGAACACAAATCCTATAACAATAGTAATGTATTAAGTGACATGACTGAAAAGTAACAAAGTGCCATTCACAAAGGGTATTAAATGCCGACATCCAGTTCCTGGAGTAGAGGATGCCGTTCATTGTAAGGATTATAGTCAATCTAAGTTAATAGGTTGAAATGGAATTCTAATTATTTAACAAGATTATGAGTTAATTATATATGTAGATTAGGGAACAGGGTAGGTATTTACACTAACTCTAGCCAGGTTTTATAATATTTAATACAATTGGAATAATAGGGGCTTGACTAGAGATGTGATAGATGTACCCAACTACAGTGGGCATGAAAAAGTTCCGACAATTTCCTCTATGGTAGATTTTATATAAGATTATGCAAATCAATGCGAGCTCTTCCTAATTTATATAAATTTATTTAATCTTATTCCAAGATTATATAAAGTTTTCTTGGTATGATATGTTTAATATCATCTCTCCCAATATAAGTATCTCTTGTTTACTCGTTGTCAGAACTTTTGCACGGAATTATACAATACATCATTTTATACTAACATCAGGTACGGAGCGAAACAATCATTGTATTTAGATTCTACGATCAGGTATAAACTTCTCAATTTAAGAGAGCTTCTTTTGTTGTTTGCCGTACCGCTTACCTCCTTGATAGTAATATATCGACATTATCAAAATCAAGAGAGGTATTAATGTCCCTGCTTCGCCGACAACTGAATGAATGTAAGAACTGTGTAATAGATATTGGGGCCTGAAAATACTTACCCAATCTCCACTTCAACCATGACCAAGGCAGTCTGAGCTCTCCATCCTCATTGTGTGGAAAGCCATCCGAATTGACAGCGAAAAGGCTTGTCATGAATGAAAGAGGGGTCTATGATGCATTGAGACATCTTGTATCAGTCTTCTAGGCAATCCAACAAAGGCCGTAACGCAAGATGAACTGACAAAAACCACAGTAACCACAGTAAATGGTAGGATGATAAGATTCATTAGACGCGCAGTCTCGGCCTCTTTAAGTGATGCTTGAGCTTGCATTGCTTGGGTGATACTGCTGAGCTAAAATATCGCGGCATGGTTAGTTAATAGTACAAAAGGAGAGAGCACGATGCCTTTAGGCTGATTTCCAGATAAGGCTCGACTTACCCCCTCGAGGATGGATGAAGCTTCCTTGTCCATGTCCCATGTCCTTTTGATCATCTCTTCGATAATCAGGAGCTCATCGAGATCATCCCCATACCTCCTTGACTTCCCTTCCAGAATGTTTACAAACTCCTCCATAACCTTCTTCTGGGTCTCAAATACTTGTCGGATCAGGCCGAGTTCATCTCGGATGTCTTTCAGTTGCCAAGTAGACTTAGCAGCTTCTTGGATAGCCTTGTAGACATTTTCGGGCTTCCAATCCGCATTGTTAAAGTCGTTGAAGAAACGCAATTCCTCATTTGCCTGGAATTCAATATTCAGTACCAGAATTCGGAAATTAGTAGATCATTAGTGTCATTGGTTTATAACAACTCATACCTCTAAGGTGATCTCGCCTTGGAATATGTCGAGAATGTGTTCACCGAGTCCAGCCCATCGGAACTCTTCGGGAAAGTTCACAGCTTCCATTATAATACGTTTCATCAGCTCATCTGCAGTTTCGATTTCGTCCGAGTTCTTTTGTCGTATGGTTTCCAACAGATCATCAGCTCCATTGGAACCCTTCCGTAACGGTATTGCAGTCAAGATGGTCTCTGTTAGGAGGTAATAATTCAGAAACTTTGAAGTGTGGTAGTGGCCAGTGGAAGAATACATACTGTTATCTAGCTTATAAAGCCAGAGCTGGCGAACTACCAGCCACTTCGAACCAGTGCTTTTGCGAATATTTTGCATTCTAGATGCATTCGGTATGTTGTTTCCGTCCCTCGTTTGAACTGGAAGGCCAGTCTGGATACTCTGAGGTTCCTCTCCTCTCTTTGCCATCTTCTGTTCGGCGCGTCTCCGTGTCATCTTCTCTGCGGCTGCGAATAGATATTTTTCTTCCATTCTTGGCCAAAGTTTTGATAAAAGCCAGGGTAACAAGTCCGCGAAATGTTGCTTAGGGTCGTACATATATCGCTCGGTTTCCTGCTTCATAGTCGCTAGCCAGGGTCTCTCAGACCACCTATAAATTACTTGGTTTTCCTTGGTCCCCAATGTTTTAAGGCGTCCGGTCTTGTTGGATGTCTCATCAAGCGTTTGCGGTACCTGAAGACCATCCATTCCTGTGAATGGAAAGTACGCCTGTTCAAGCTCCTGGACTTTTCTTTTAGCAATTGACATACTCCCTAACGTTTCGAAGTCCAAAAAGGGAATCTAGAAAAGATAAGGCCTTTAGTCATATTTTAACCAGACTTTTGCTTTTTTACGTACTACAACTGATATCATTCCTTGTTCCGCCTTGGCATGGGGTGTTCGAAGTAGAGCCCCAAGATTGGTGCTTTCGCGAACTTTAATACTGTCTGTGAAGAATTGCATCGTTTCCGCGTGATTCTCAACATTAGTATTCTGAATAATGAAATCCTGAAAACGATGAGTTTCTAGATGCTATTCGAAAGATCAAATCCATAGCAAGTGCTCTACCACGTACTTTGATCCATGACATCTATAAATAGCGTAAATAGGTTTTCCATATTGTTGTGGGTCAGCACTGAGGGCTCTTACGTTGTTCGCAGGAAAGTTCATCCATCGGTAACAGTGTTCTGCTATTGTCTTTTGCAGCTGCTCTTTTGTAGCATATATCTTCTCTTGTGAGCCAGATCCATTTTGTTGCGTATTCTGAATTTCATTTCTTCGCGTCTCGTCCGTGGGCTGGCTGGGGATAGTTTGCTGATCTTTCCGAGTCCTCTCGATAAAAAGCTCATACCAAACGTCTTCCACGAATCTTGTCTCAATGCTGTTCAGGAAGCTCGGAGGATGGGCACTTTCCGGCGCATATAGAACATCGGACACCTTCATATCTTTCGCCGTCCAGGACATGGAACTGCGGCCAGCAACATCGGGGAGAAATTGACTTCCTCGATAACTCAAATAGATTGGAAAGTTTTTACAAACCCTTGACTTCTCCTTGGACATCGGTCCTGAGCGTTTTACACGAGCGATGTCTTTTTTGTGGCGTGGAATACTGCGCTGGAGCCTTGAAAGTCTGCGGTCTGCAAATTCTTGATCGTGTGTTGGAACCGATTGAAATACTTCACGTGGAGTCTTCCACTCGTTATTTTGGCAATTCATGTCAGCTCCGAAGCCAAGTAATTTCAGGATGGTTTCTTTGTCTTGCATCTTACAAGCACTGTGGAGGGGGGTGTTTTCTATAATCAGCAGAACAGATCAGTAAATGTATGCTTGTTGATAACAAGTTGAATAATCCAATTGAGAGATGGAAAAAGTCAAACGTACCATCGCGATCTTTTGTGTTGACTTCGGCCCCCGCATCGAGAAGACATTGTAAAAGAGATTTAACACTAGCGTCCACGTAACTTGAGACCAACATATGAAGAGGAGTTGTGCATGCATAATTGATGGCGTCAACATTCGCTCCGCATCCAAGAAGCAGCTCAAGGATAGTATGCTCATTGCTGTTGTCGAAAATCCAGTCTGGATCGAATTTTGTCTGAGAAATACAACACATCACCAATTCGTGGAGAGCTGTATCTTGCATCCAGTTGCCGGTGTTAATGTACAAGATTGGGGGCGTCGAAGAACTCTTCAATATCATCTTTGCTAAGTCCCAGTATCCGAACCTTATAGCATAATGCAATGCTGTTTTTTCAGTGACCCCGCAGGTAGTGTGAAGGTCGATTTTCGAAGTCTCAAGAAGGCAAGACACATTGTCCTTCTGGTTACGGATAATAGCAATGCTCAGGATGGAATGCATGCCGGCCGCACTCATCCAATCTCCAGAGTATTTCCGAATAGCCTCTTCTTCCTTTTTGGAAAGAATGTGCCATAAATTGGCCAGTTCCGTGGTTACTTCCTCTATTTGTACTTCGGTGGCCCATTGCAGTTTCGAAGAACTTAGATCCCAGACGTCTAAATCCCGATAGACAAGCCTCCCGATGAGTTCTTCAAACTGGGTCGGGGCGGGTGGGTTCTCCCCTGCCTCGAGGTCACCAGGGGAATTAGATCTGCAGTGAAGTCTCGCAAAAACATCTCGAACTTTGCCATCTTCGCCGTATATGGCCGCGCGCCAGACTTCTTTCTTTAATTCCTCCAGATATTTAGACAACGCCACTTGGGGAGTGTCCTTTTGAAATGGCAGAAGGAAGTTCAGCATGGTTGAGCGAGAAAGATAATTGGAATCAATTGAATTTTGCTGCTGGCATGGGGGTGATTACCCCCTCTTATGGCTCTGCTACAAATCATTCCACTTGATCAGGCAGAAATTGGGGGAAAGATCAATGCCTCAGCGCCACATGCTTACTCGATCAAAGCTGATTGGGATAACCATGCACCTTGCATTTCAGCTGACAAGACCTATATTATCCAAGCAAATCATTTTTCAAGCAAGCGTGGGAATTACAGCGTACAAATCCATAATGCATTTCCTTCTAGGGCTTTCAACATTGATCTACACCTAATCCCTGTTCAGCTGAAAAACATGGTGTATGGGGGTCGAAATCCAGCCGCAGATAAAGGGTTTCAATTAAAAATCGCACTACTTCAAATTAAATGACTCGAAACCTACGCAGCCTCATCCAGACCAGATTCCAAGTGGCGGCATCCTATTCCTGGAGCAAAGGATGCCCTTCGTTCTCCTGGTGCAACGCCTGGCGCTTCGTACTCTCCAGAACAAGCTGCTTAACATTGGGCTCATGAACGGTAGTGGTGAAGAACAGAGAATACAACGAAGTAAAATCCCAGACACGAAGCCTTTTCCACATGAGATGCATCGCAGTTAGGCCCAGTGGAATGAAGTTGGGGAAAGCATAGTGAAAGAAAAAGACTTGATGGTCCTTGTTGTGGTGGGAACGATTAAGCCCTGACTATGTAGCTGCGTTAGAGGTTGTCAATAAGTAATACTTTGATGAAAGACTTACCAGAGAGATACCAATGGTGTCACCAGTGAACTGTGTATGGCATTAGCCAATATCATCATGAGACGGTCGTGGAAAACTCACAATCTTGCCATTCCAATGAAGGACTGAGCTTCCAGGGAAGTGGCCCCCAAGCTTCACCATGTTCACACCAGGTAGAATGGTCTTGATTTCACCTTCGACAAAGATCCTCCGACCTTCAGTATCTTCTTGGTTCAGCCACTCCTGATCCTCATATGCAAGATACACAGGACAGTCGAATTCCCGCGCCCACTCTAAATGCGTGCTGTAAAAGTGAGGATGCGAAATGGCAATAGCAGCAAGACCGCCCCGAGAATTGATGAAGTCAATGGTCTCCTGGTCAAGCAAACTGATGCAGTCCCAGAGAACATTTCCGGCCTCGGTCTGGATGAAGATTGCGCGCTGTCCGATGGCGACTTGTGGGGTGGAGAAGATTGACCAGATGCGGCTGTCTTTGTCGTCTTGTTTGAACTGGTTTTTGTGCGAGGCTTGGAGTTTCTCTAGAGTGGTCCAGGATTGTCCGGAGGGTGGAACAAACTGTCGGGGTTCCTGAGACTGAGTTAGCATGGTTGTTGGCGTACTGCAACAGGGAATTATATACATTACACATGCGACATGTCGCTGGTTTGTCGTCGAAGGGAATGTCATACTGCGTACCACAGGTGACACAGAGGCAGAGATTATTGGAGTTCGACATAATTTTTGAAGTGATATTACACAAATGTTTGTAGGATGTTTGATGGTTACTGCTTGGTTGAATTCATAACCGACCGCGACATCACGATCATTTTATGCTCCAGTGGTCAGCCCTATGATGTAAGATTACCCCAATCAACTAATGCTTTCTAATGACTCCATTCAGACACTCTCACCTCTGGTCGCCGGTCTTTGCTCTTTACGTAGTGCTAACTTAACCTTAAATCCACCGTTGAGCATGACTCAGCGGGAAATTCACCTTGGTCGGTCAGATCTGTGGGGGGAATGCTTAGCTTATCCCGAGATCTGCACATTGAGAGTTGCCATCGTGTTTAGATTTGGAATCTTGGGGCGTGTCGGTCTTTGAATTGTCCCGAATACCAGGTTATTTGTCAGGTGTCCATTATGAACATGCTCTCATTATTAAATCTTGATTGTAATCATGGATGTGTAACTAAGTTGGCGCCAAAGTCGGAGAATGGCGATCAATCGAGATCCTGTGAAGAGACTGAGTTTCATAGTACGTCTCACAAGACATCATTCCTATGTGGAGAATATTGTTTTTAGATGCTTACACCTATGTTAGTACAGCAACAGGCGTTTCATCGCATACACCCATCAAGTTCCAGAAAACACAGCACAAAGACCGAACGGCATAATTTTACATTTTTGTTCCCATCCTCTAAGCTTTTCATTCTGTTTAGAAACACGCCTCTAATCTAGTTCTTTCCAAGCTCTTGAGCACGATCAGCAGCAGCCTTGACAGCCTTGTCGACAATCTCCTTCAGCCCAGAGTTCTCAAAGCTCACAAGAGCAGCGTGGGTAGTACCGTTGGGGCTGGTGACGTTCTTTCGCAGCTGAGATGGCTCCTCGGAAGACTCAACAAGCATCTTGCCGGCGCCGAAGCAGGTCTGCTTGGCGAGGCGGGTGGCCTGCTCCTCGGAAAGACCAAGGCCGATACCGCTGGAGATGAGATGCTCAACAAAGGCGAAGAAGTAGGCGGGGCCGGAACCTAGCAGAGATTTAGCGAATGCAGTGTGACTTTGCTTTTGGTGACTTACCTGAGATGCCAGTGACAACGTCGAGGAGTTCCTCCTTGTCAACCCACTCAGTGGCCTTGCTGACACTTCCCAGCAGAGCAGACGTCAACTCCTTCTCAGCATCGGTCACATCCTCAGCAGCGAAAAGTCCAGACGCGCCCTCGCCGACCAGAGCAGGCGTGTTGGGCATGACGCGAACAATAGCGGGCGCCTTGCCGCTATCGCCCTTGAACCACTGTGCGATGCTAGCAAGGGTGATGCCAGCAGCGATGGAGATAACGACAGGTAGACTATCCCGTCCGGCCCACGCAGCGCTGAGCTCCTCGCACACACCCTTGGCAACCTGAGGCTTGACAGCGAGGATGACGACGTCGGAATTAGCAGCGGCCTCCTTGTTGTCGGCGGTGGTGCGCACGCCCAGCTCGGCCATCTTGTTGCGGTTCACGTCCCAGGGCTCGGAGACGTAGATGTTCTGCTTGGAGATGTTCTTTGCGAGGAGACCACCGATGATGGCGGCGGCCATGTTGCCGCCACCGAGGAAGGTGATTTTTGCGTCTTGTAGTGAAGGAGTCATTTTGTTGAGGGATGTGATGAGTGAGATGGATGTGGTGATGAAGATGCGGCGGTTCTGGGGGTGGGTTTTTGTTTTATCGTGGGGTTGATTGATTTGATACGTAAAAGTTTGGCACCCCGCATCGGATTAACCCTGCGCTACCCTTCTTAGCTCTGGCTGTGAGCGATAACGGCCTTGGATGACTGGACATTTGATGATTCGCAATAAGTCTTGATGACTTTTTAGTGGGCTCGTAGAATTGGAGAGGGTATTAATAAAGTTTGCGATTGTCGTTCTTTGAAGGTCTGTTGTTATGGGTTGCCTTGAGATGTCATTGACGTCGCTTGGACTTCCACAAGCGGCAGAAGTTTCTGTCTTGCAAGACCTCGCGCATCACCCGCTCACGATAATCATATGGTTACTCTTGAGCTATTGATATCTCCATGATAACCCCTTCACTCTCATGACACATCCTTTTGTCACTTCTTTCAACCCCACGTCCTCTCGCTTACAGGCGGCATTGGAAAGACCCACTGATAAGATAAGACTGTTGAGATAAAGCAAGTCAAAGTTAGCTGAATGCTCCACGATGGAGTATGCCGGGTCGTATGAATTCCGGGGAGTTATCGAATGGTGTTGTGTTTACCCGTGATAAAGAATCAACTCTGATTCTAACTCGTCGTGTTGTGCAAAGAGACGAGCCGCGTGTTTGCGACGGTGATATTTGCTCATTTCTTACGCAAATTCCACCTGAAACTTCCACATCGAATATAAACACACCGAGTCCTCAAAAATTAACAGTTCAAGACTTTGAGAACTAAACCTAGATATAAACTTCGGCCAATGGAATTATCCAACATCATTGGGACACATACATGCTGAGACTTCTTGGAATAATTACAGCAAGACGATGAACTTTAGGGTGGGTGGCTACAATGACGTCACTATTTTAATCAACATAATCATTGCTGTATTGATTTTGAATACATATCAGTTAGAACGCAGGCAATCCCACCAGTTGGTTCTTATTTCATGTAAGAATATGAAATTCATACTATGTCATTCTGTTCCCTTTTGCTCGCGTCACATCCTGTCGCATCCCTTTACAATTGGCTTTTGCTAGGGAACTTGCGGAACATATCCGCAAGCTTATCGATAGGCGCCGCCATGAGACCCATGACCGTTTCAAACGGTGGCTTCTCTCCCGCACTGGGATGGCTCCGCGTCGGCACGAACTGCTTCGTCCTCGCAAATGAAGTCGCTAGAGATTCGCTTTCTTGGGCTTGTGTCTTGAGCGCTTGTTCAAGCGCCGGTAGATCGCGCTTCTCTTCCTCCTCGATGTGCTTCTCCAACAAACCCCAGATTTCTTTCAGCTTGGGTATGTACTCCGGGTCTTGGGACTTTAGGTTTTGAAAGACTTTTAGTAACTCTTTGACCTAGAGGCTGTCAGTGAATAGGCAGATAGTGGTGAGTATGGGCCGTACATGGTGGTGCTCCTGGCGATCCTCATCTGCTAATTGTTTGCCCTTGTCGCCCATGTATTTCTCCATCGCCGGGTAAATAACGAGTTCCTCGCCAACTGAATGGCGCGCAAGCTCCCAGACAAATTGGTTGCCGAAGCGCTGCTGGTGGTCATGGTCGGTGGAGTTGACTACTTCATTGTAGTAGTCCTTCAGCTCACGGTGGTCCTTGACAATGACGTCTGAGACCGCGGACATGGCAGCGATTTGGAACCGAATGGGACTCTGTTGTAGGCGGAAATATCTAGGTCGGATAGTAGCTCGGAGCTGAGGTGTGAGAATTGCACGGATAGATGACATTTTGATAAAGGTGTGGATATTTTCAATTGTTGGAGGAATATGGCAGTTTTACAGAATGTTCAACAATTCCTGTCTTCCTACGAGTAAAACATCTACATATAAGGCTTCATCATGAGAGCATGACGGGAAAATGAGAGATGTGGCTTATGCGAGCGAGTATTTACTGTTCTTCTTGACGCGAAAAATGTCACAAATGACGGACTTCAGAGTAAAGTGCATGCCTGTGATGCAACTCATGATGCATACCAATTGACCAGTAACAACCCAGCATATCATAATCTCTTGCCCATGATTTGTCTCACCTCTCAACCCGCAGAAGCTCTGTCATCTCACGGGCGAATAGCTCCGGTTGCATGGTCGACGGACAGCACCGGTCTGTCTGATAGGTGATTTGTGGCTGCATTACGATTTGTGATGCACAGTGTGACACACCAATCTTACCCCGGTTATGCGGCGCCGGATGAGAAAAGTTTAAGTATGTAGATCGGAATCGCAATCGACATCTTTCCCATGTCAACGGTTGCACGTTTAATTGGGCGCATTCCGATGGTGGAAGGATGAAACTCTCCGGCCGATGGCTTGAACAGTGAACGGAACCAATGCAACGGCGAAACGTTGAATGCAGTGTTTCTTTAATGCCTGTTGAGTATTACAGGAAAGATATTGACTATTTGTTCAAGGCATAGCGACCGGAGAACTTAATTCTGCCTACTTTTGCAGGAAAGCACAAAGAAACAGAAAGGAATCGCCAAGATTACGCCATCATACAGTCACAAGTACGACAACGACTTTAACCTCCCCGGATCAAACCGTCACATACGGCTAGTCCCGTGCCAAATGCCGCCTCCACTCTCCGCCGGTGATACAACCTTGCAATATTTTATTCCCAGAGTCATAATGTCATTGACTTTTTGGAATCAATTGAGACACTGGTTTCTCTCCATGCTACTCACTCGTCTAGACCATGCAATTGGGATGCATTATGTTCCGGAGCAATTACGATATCTACTCCGCATCTCGATTGCATGACGGAACGACCGATAAATGTTCCTAGTACGCATCATAGTGGATCTGCCGTGTAAGTCAACAGCTCTCACAAAGAGTAAATCATGAATCGAAGATAAATGTTCTGAGCTGCACCTGCATGAAGATTCCTTTTTTATTCTGTAGACTCCATTGACTTGTTTGCCATCATGACAATGTCCCCAAACTCCTTCCTGCGAAGTGTAGCTCTGCTCGCTTTTGCACGCAACATCAACGCTGTCCCCGTGGTCTCTGAGGCCCTCACAACAGTCTCTTCTGCCGGAGTCGTGCCTTCAGCTATTCCCTACAGCGACGTCACTTCCCACGGCCCCTACAAGGGAACGCCCACCACCACCACTGGTGCTGTGTCGACGACAATTCTAGCTTCGGCCATTGCTCCTGCACCTCCTCCTCCGGGCTCTTATGACTACCCTGCCAATGGCAAGCTCAACGCTCCCCAGCCTGCGCCCTACACTCCCGACGGTGGAGTAGGCACAAACGGTTCTGCGCCTGTGTACCGCGTGCAGAGCGACTTTGACTACCAGTCTCTTGCGCTTGCGCTGTACCAGGAGTGGATTGAGCTTGATCTCTTCCGCTGGGGTCTAGCCACCTTCTCCAAGGAGGAGTTTGACGCGTACGGCATCAACGAGGAAGACCGCTTCCTTATTGAGTACATGGCTCGTCAGGAGATTGGCCATGCTACTGTCATCAGCCACATGCTCGGCCCCGAGGCTCCTAAGCAATGCACGTACAACTACCCCGTGTCCAACGTCCCCGAGTTCATCGACTTCAACCAAAAGCTCACCCGCTGGGGTGAGTCCGGCGTCTACGGCTTCCTGCCCCATCTCAACTCCGGCCCTGCTGCACAGCTGTTGTTGCAGAGCATCACCATCGAGGCTCGCCAGCAGATGATCTTCCGCCAGTTCGGTGGTACCTTTGCCATGCCTGAGTGGCACACACCCGGTATCCCTCAGAGCTGGGCCTGGACTCTTCTGGCTCCTTACATCTCCAGCTGTCCTGCCGACCAGACCCGCCTTGTGTGGCAGAACTTCCCCTCGCTGAACATCCTCAACCAGCCCAACCCTGCCCGCATCAACGGCTCGGCTGTCTGGAACGAGACTACCGGTGGATACGCCAACACCCTGTCTACCAAGGATATCAAGAAGGATGAGCTCTGTGTCAACGCGACCGATAAGGCCATGGACTGCAAGGCGGCCATCACCCAGAACCGCACCATCCCTCTGTCCTACCCCGGCCGCCAGGTTTTCCTAAACTGGGACGCGCCCGGCATGGCCGTTGGCCCCAACAACAGCTATATCACCTCGACCAACGTCAAGGTGCCCAAGTTCGCCGCCTGGGTCTCTCAGCTCAACGTCACATACTCGCCTCTCCAGAACATCAGCATCGAGGACAGGACTGCTTACACCATTCAGCCTAATGTTTCTACCTGGGCTGGTGACCCTGCCATTAACGGAACTATGTTCCTTGCTCTGACAGACGTTGATCTGTTTGTTACGCCTTATAACTTGACTATGATCAATCCGCATGTCGCTGCCCTGGCTGTTTACCAGGCTGGCTAAATGTTTCGCATTTTGATGTGCTGAAGTTTTAGTATATACAGCTAATGGATAATGGTTGGGTGGATGGTCTTGGCTTGATATGGCTAATGACGCCTGTTATATAATTTTATTCTACATCAGCACTATGATTTAATGACATCACAAATATTCACTTAAAACGTCCTCATCGCAAAATTCACAATCGTATAAAATAAACTTTTCTTGAATATTAAAATGCTATAACCAATTCCATTCTCAAAAGCACTTCAACTTAGATGTCATCATAGCTATACAATCCCTCTTCTAGTCCCTTAATCTGGAGAGCCAACAACTTGGAGAAATACCGACACATCGCCAGGTTACCACCATGGTACCAGAATCCAGGATGTCCACTCTTCTGCCAAATCGTCCGCATCTCACCCTCATCGTTAAATCCCCACACATCACTGCACTTATCTGCAACCGCATCACCAAACATCATCCTCGTCTGGGTGCGCATATTCTGGTACCCCGTCGCAAAGACAATCTCATCGGCCTCCAGCTCCGTACCGTCCGCAAAGCGAAGACCGTGGGGAAGAACGGTTTCGATCTCTTGGCCATGCTTCACGTTGATCTTGCCGTCGGCGATGAGCTTGGAGGCTCCCACGTCGATGTAGTAGCCTCCGCCGCGCTGGAAGTACTTCATCAGAAGGCCGGCGCCGTCGGGGCCGCGGTCCACCTTGAAGCCGGCCTTATCGAGACCTTCGAGGATCTCCTTGTCGCACTCGGCTTGCTTGTTGCAGGTTTCGACAGCGAGAGCCTTGAAAACAGGTGTAGGGAGTCCGTGGACGAGGAAATCGGCGTCGTCAACCTGCGGACCACCTTCGCAGTAGACGCCCTTGAGGCCGATGTCGGTGATGGCCTTGGAGGAAACAACATGTGTGCTGGAGCGCTGCACCATGGTCACATGGTAGCCCTTCTCGAGGAAGTCCTGAGCAATGTCGTGTCCAGAGTTGCAAGAGCCTACAACGATGGCCTTCTTGCCCTGGCTGTTGTCCTTGGCTCCAGAGAATTCAGACGAGTGGCAAAGACGATCGCCCTTGAAGTCGGAGATGCCCTTCATATCAGGCATATTCTTCTTGCCAGAGTGACCAGTGGCCTGGATGATGTGACGAGGGTGGAATGTTCGCCTCTCGGTTGAACCATCCTCCTTCTTCTTCTCAACAGTGACGTTCCATCGCTGTGCAGCCTCGTCCCACTTAGTCTCAATCAGAGATGTGCGCATCCAGATATTAAGTTCGAGAAGTGTTGCGTAAGACTCGAAGAACTGGGCCAGTTTGTCCTTGGGCGTGAAAATAGGCCATTGAGGTGGAAACTGCATATATGGCATGTGGTCGTACCAGACGGGATCGTGGAGGACTAGTTGGTGGTATCGCTTTCTCCAGTTGTCTCCTACGCGGTCGTTCTGGTCGATTGCGAGGGCTTCAATGCCGAGCATCTTAAGACGAGCTGCGGCTGTGAGACCAGCCTGGCCGGCACCTGGGCTGTGTTAGCACCTTGTATGTGTCAGGCAGGGAAGACCACTTACCAACAATCAAAACAGCAGGGTCGTCGCCATCGGCAAAATCAGCTGCGGCAGCTCTTCGCTGCGCCCAGTTCTTACGACCGGGCTTTCCACCATGCTCAACGCCTCGAGGTCGGTTCTCGTTGACGGTCTCCTCGTGACCCTTGATGTCTTGAATCCGGGTGTAGAATGTGAAGATCTTCCACTGGCCGTTGACCTCCACCAATCGTGCAAGACCTTGTCCTTTGCCTAGGACAGTCTCAAGAGTGAAAAAGAACTGAACACCCTGTACTTCACCCTTTCCATCGATATCAACGATCTGCGGCGCCCGCGTGGCGTTGGCTGTGTCGACGTCAATTCTGGCAAGACGGAATCCATCCTTGGACTGTGCGCAACTCTTCAGGAAATCAAGAACCTTGCCGGGTCCCTGCACAGTTCGGAATGACCAAGTCAAAGCAAGGTGATCTCGCCAGAAACCATCTTCTGCGAATAATTGCGCGAGGGCGGTGTAGTCTTTGCTCTGGAGTGCCTTGTTTACGGCGTTGACGACGGTTGTGGCGATTTCTTGTGGGTTGGAGCTTGAGGGTGTCTTGGAAGCAGAGGGGAATTTGGCGATGGCGATGTTGGTGGAGCCTGGGACTGCCCACATGCGTGAGGTCCGGGGGATATTCTCAGCGATAACGTCACCCATTTTGTAGAGATGGGATATGTGAGTTGGATGTTGAGATGTAGAGTGAGGTTGGAAGAGAGAGATAGAGTTTGTTTGATGACGAGGCAATTGAGGGGAAGGGCCTTGGGTTTAAGTAAGGCCAGGACTTGTGAAATATAACCACATGAGTAGTCCTTGGCCAACACATTTCACATGTCCCCTCACTGATCGACGCTGTATTAAGATTCTCTCCTCTTTCATTGGAGGCTGCAGTTCTCCTTGGTTGACTTCCCCACGTTTGGAAGCACCAACAATTCCGCTGAGGATCCTCCCCCGCTTGAAGCTAACAATCCCCCCGCATTGCGGTTCCGACCGCTGCGGACACGGTTCCGGAAGGGTTTATGGGGATTGTCTTGCGGAGGCGGCTACGGGAGGGGAGATTTTAGCACTGGAGATCTTAATTAATGACGACGTTGGAATAGAACTTTTGGGGTAGGTATTTGAGATGCGGAATTGAATCTGTGGCGATAGTTACGGTCAACATGTTGGGATATGCAGGTCTGAGACCTAGGGCGACACAAATTTGCAATTTCATTAAGTAAGTGAAAATAGTACGACTATACAACGTCAAGTTTATGTTGACTGGGCGTTTCCTATCGCGCCAATAATATGTTCCTTCTTCTGCTACGTGTTCCAGATTACGCCTGCCAAAACAATTTCAAAAGCGTTCATATCCTACGCGGCATGCTTCGCGAGTAACTTGCAATATTAACTTGGAGAATAGTTTTTGTCGTATATACGTTTGCATAGTATCTTGGCCTTGCTTAAATCTATGACAAGATGAGGCTATTTGCGTGAGGTTCACTTAGCGCTATAGATCAGCATCTGACATGTAAGCACGCTACCAATTTCGGGAGAAAAGGACAAGATGACTGGTAATAATTGCCCGAAGTCAGCCAGTGATGGCAAGGGTGAGATTTTAAAATGTAGAAATCTGACTAAATCTTGTTAATTGAAGCTAAGGGTGCGTTCCAAGATCGTGCTCTAGGCGTAATGCGTACATCTATACCCAAGCCTGTGTCGATAACCCACCACCATCTATACCGGGAGACACGTAAAACAGAACTGCTTCACATTATGTCTTCTGTATGCAAACTCTATGACTTGCAGGTGTCCCCTGCGGCACAAGCCAACTGCTCCCTGCCAATCTGGCTCATCTACTGCAGCCGGAGAGCCATACCCTTGTCAAGAGCTCAGCATCTGCCGGGACACCATGTACTTGAAGTCATTGGGTAAGGGGTATCTAGGGGTCTAGGCATTCATGTAAGTGACTGCTGCAAGTGAGTCCTGCGATGCGACACGCAGCAGGTCCGTTAACCAGAACGACGGTGCAAGCATGAACTAGGTGACAGTTCTTGTGGGGCTGTTTTAGAATGTTAAGGAGGCTGTGAGGTCCTAAGTCAAGTCGTTGACTTGTTAACTGGTGTTTGTGGTCATAGCTAGTGAGCGAAAGCTTGAGTGACTTGCTCTTTGAATATTGAGGAACCTCATTCGAACTTCACTATCGTCGGGAAACAATCATGATCGCTCCAGTGAAACAGCATTAGTTGTATTATCGTTATTTATCTAGTCCTCAAACTTTATGCATGGGGAGTGTAAGGGACGAACAAGATGTCATGGTCCTTCCAAGCCGATGTTTACATACTGGACGCACCAGAGATACGTGTATTTACCCTGTATTATGTGGACAGTTCCTTCACTCTGCAGCTTGAATTGGGAACTTGTTTACTGCCTCGGCATAACGCAGTAAGTATGGAGTGTAATGAAATGTCAAGCTCACAAATCTCAAGACTCTACGGCCATATGGGTACTTTGTCTGCCTCACCCGAGCGTCCGGAAGTCAATCCCAAAACTCGCATTCAGACTCTGATATCCCTGACGTGTCATACCTTTGGAGTGTTACACCACATAATACGAGAGGAGCAATTAGCCTCTCCTGCAATCGGTATTGGACAAACAGTATTACGAAAGCATGCGTCAGAGAATCGTTATCTTGACCGAACAGAAACATCACTACCCTCGCACAATCCACGAATTACAGCATTACAATCGTCGCCCCGCATGTTTACAAAGACAAAACCAGGGGCCACTTTAATCAAGCTCAGGGTCTAAGAAACCTTCTCAGGACTAATTCGATGCAACGGTCAATAATCCACGGGTAAGAGATATAGTTCCGAAAGATCTCCCACCTTTTATTTTCTCCGTCGCATCGCAACTGGAGCGTCCTGCTGAGAAAGCTGGTGACTACAGCTTACTAACCCCTGCACAGAGCGGGGACGCCTGTTCATGTGGGAATACCTGCATGATGACAAACCGCGCCAGAGGGCTTACGAGCGTATGACACTGCACCTTGGGTTATACCATCCCGGCTGTGAACTGCGGGCCGGCCTTGTGCATATTCGCATCGACTATGGCTTTTATGCGATGGCATATCGGTCACTGCGGACGAGTGTCCAATGTGCGCTGTGATAGCTTCGGCCGCTGGGATCCACGCTGAGGCGGATTTCATTTCCGACTGTGCAGTCTGCATGGATAGGCATCGGAATTTTTCAATCCTTTCGTTGCAGTGACCAGAATGGGATAAGTGAGAAGTCGTGTGAAAATTGGATTGTAGAGTATATATACCTGTGTAAACACCCGACTTTGAGGAATTGTTCGACAGGTCCAGACAGCCATCTTCAGCAGATCCAGCACAACAAGCAACCACCACACTCAAGATGAAGTTCACCGCTCTTATCACCGCGGGCTTGCTCTCTGCCTCTGCACTTGCCAAGCAGGCCGCCTACAAGTACGAGCGACTTGACAAGAACGATGCTGTGAGTTGTCTTGATGAAAAACAACCAGTTGACGATGCTAATGTTGTTAGGTCCTCCTCGTTGTTGATATTCAGGAAGGTCTCTACCAGTTGACCAGGGATTGGGATCCTACTCTTTACCACCACCAGGCTATGGCCCATGCTGCTCTTGGCCAGGCCTTTGACATGCCTGTTATCCTGACCACCTCTGCCGATCAGGGTGAGTACACAACTATCCATTGATTCAATGAATCATACTAACAGTTTTAGGCCCCAACGGCCCTCTCATGCGAGAGATCCGCCAGATGTACCCTAAGGCGCCACTCGTCCAGCGCCAAGGCCAAGTCAACGCCTGGGACAGCGAAGAGTTCCGTGACGCCATCCGCGCCACCAACAAGTCCCAGGTCATTCTCGCCGGCATCACCACCGACGTCTGCACCACCTTCCTCGCCCTGTCTCTGCGCGACGCCGGCTTCTCCGTCTGGGCCAACATGGAAGCCTCAGGCACCACCACGGAGCTCATCCGCGACGTGTCCAACGACCGCATGCGCGACGCCGGCGTGCAGGTTGTCAGTTTGTTCTCCATCGTCTGCGAGCTCATGCGCGATTGGCGAAACAAGCCTGGTGCTGCTGAGATCTACCCCTGGCTCGGAAAGTACTACCCTGCTGCTGGATATATGGCTCGTGGTCACGCTGCCGCTATTTCCAACGGCACTATCCAGCCTGGTGAAGAAGGATACACCCACTACCCTTAAGCGGTAGATGAATGACGTGGGAGCGGTTTGTCTGGAACGATGAATTACATCTCACACTAGGGTCTTTTAGAGGGATATCTCAGTTTTTGAGAGTCTATCAACTAAAATCTTTTCTGTCCAGGTATAAAAAGGGATAGTTTTTACATAGATTTACACTTTCTTCTTAGTCATTATTGGCTCAAATACACGATTATCCTTCTCCGTCTGCCTGCCCTCTTGAAAACTGCCTTGTGATTTGTGCGTTTCCACTATTGAGTAGTGATTGACCTGTCCGATTTATTCGGGAACCATTGATATCCTTATAGTCGCCAAAATGGTGTTCCTGGACTAATGCCAATGAACCTGGTCCGCTCAAGTATAGATAACCCACAATGCTGGCCACGCGATGAGAACGAACCATAACGAACGAGGCTGTAAATGATCATTTAGTCTTATTTTGATTTATTCTATCTTCTTTGTCCTGATAGCTATGATCTATAGCCATGTAGCCTTTGTTCTCGCGGTAAACCAGATATTCCATGTGCTCCCGCGTGACGCCAATGTATTCTCAATCTCAAACACCAACCGTACCTAACCAAAACGCCAATGATGAATAATATACAATTATAGAATGATTGCCTGAGAGTTCAGGTTCACAAACATTTCGTTCCACGTCATGTCCTCTTCCGGTGCCCGCTTCCAAATATCCTCCAAAACAGCAATGACCGAGTTAACCGATGCAAATCGTATCTCATCATAAATAAACCCAGCCATACCGCGAACATGCTTTTGTTGTTTGGGGCATTGCGAGTGGGCACCTGCTATGCAGATAGGTAGTACCGCGCAGTTGAGAATCTTGGACGGTTTCTGAATACTGAATATGCAGTCTAGGCAAGACTGGGTGTGTTGTTGCACAAGTGGGTGGTTTGCGGGTAGGCCACAAATTGCTCGGTATAGGTAGATCAGTGCTGCGTGTTGAAATATTCGGACCATGCTGAAAGCTTGAGCAGACTCGGCGTCGCATTCGATTGGTGGGTGGTCCATTGGTGAAGATCGTGGCGATGATAGATCCTCCACAGCCAGTGATGCATAAGTTGGTCGAAGAGCAGCTTCGTAGATGCGAATACGCTCGATGGAGAATTCCTCAACCATACGTGAGGTCGTGTCGAGATAAAAGGCCATACTCGATATTTCTTGGAACACGGTCGACAAAGAGCAGTATCCTTGGGTATCCCGTCCCCACCAAACTGGCCCGCGGTCGACAACCTCCCAAATAGCCGGCGGAAAAGACGGAGGACGCCCTGTGAGCATGGCGTGTGTGAGGTCGGTGGTTGCAAATTCCGACAGCATCATGTGGAGCGGGTCCTGGCCTGTGCCCAATACTGTCGTCATTCCGCCAAGTTGATTTATGATAGCCAGAACTCCGTCTCTGTGGCTCGATGTCGATGCTGACGATTGCGCGCATTCGAGGAACCCGTCGTGGAAGTAAAGTAGCAGCACTGCAAAAAGAAGCGTCTGCAAGGGGCCGTCTTCTTTAGAACAACACCCATCCACCTCGGCCCGCAGCGCAGCCAAGCACTCGGCACGCTTGACGTTTAATATACTGCGACTATTCCTCCCATCCTGCAGCCATCGATGCGAATCGGCGAGAACACACGTCGCTAGGAGCACAACGCGATGCTGCAACGCCATCATGGTCGGCGGCGCACAAGGCTTCGAAGCTGTCGACAGCAAAGGCCAGAAGCGCCCGTGGAAGTAATCGAGCGAGCGCTTCTCGTACACGGCGAGCGAAGCGGCCAACTGCTCATCGTGTGTGGTGACGCGGTATATCGCGGGGACGGTCACGGCGGGGCGAGTGCTCCAGCGGATGAGGCGCTGGTTGTAGTCGCATGCGGCGCCGACTTTGGCGCATCGCGAGCAGGTGGGTTTGGAGAGGTCACATTTGATGCGGCGCTTTTTGCAAGGCCAGCAGGAACCTTCTACGACGCGGACGCGTGCCTTTGGTGGTTTGCACGACATGGCCGTGTGAGGGGGGATAAGAAGGGGGATTTGGAGGTTTAAGTTCTGTTATCTTAGCAGCATCTGGGCGTGGTCATGGATATGGATGGGGAATCCCAGACGCACTAACAGAACAGAACATGCCAAGGAACAAAGGCTATCACGGGCCCAGCGATCCGGCTCAGATGAATCGAAGCGACTGGCATGTCTCTCGGGGGTCTTTTACTTGGGCAGAATTCATTGGTCTTTGTGTTTCTTTTGCAGTGAAATTGCGCGGGGAAGATCAAGCATGTCCGGCCAAGCCTCCGCAATTGACGCCCCGCTGAGGAATGGGCAATCAAGTTGCCGTCTTTGCACTAGCTTGCGATATCTTGACGAGCCATGGTTGGTTAGGTGGAGGTTTGGGCGGGGTGACTGGGTTTAAGTACCGGAAGAGGCTTGCCGGGATTAGCACGGGCGAGATTGAGGTACGATAGGGTAATCTGACATATCGCGCGCATAACAAGGGATTCGGTCATTGATTTACTGAATTATTCAACATATTATCAAAATTCTGGCAGATGAGTTAGCTGGGGATTAATTAAGTCAGGTGATGAGTATCTTTAGAGCTCTTCCCTAAGCAACAATTCTGATCTTCGTCACGATTTATAAAGTGGGAAACCTAAAGTCCAGAACGTGGAGAGTTTGGGATTCAATAATCAGAGGAATGAGGTTCTGGACCTTGTGATTCTATGATGGCGTAAGTGATCTAGCTAAGACTCTTGTTTCTTTTAGAGATCAGAGCGATTCCGGTGGGGATATCAGCTAAAGATAAAAATAAAACTTTAATCATCCAGCAACCAATAACTGAGTAAGACTGGCAGTGAGCTTTAATACAAATAGCCATCAAAACTCTACAACAAAATGAATGACAAATTAATTTCTTCAGCTAGCTACCGTACCCCTCATCCTCCCATATACTGACAATATTATTCGTGATATTCCTCAGTATCTGTTCTGCCCGCCACGGACCTTTCTGCCGCCCAAGCATATCAACCCACTCATACATAAGATGATCCTTATCCTCAACACCAGCAAAGTGCACCAGAAAGTCCCCTCGCATGGCGTGATGATATTCCAATCCCGTATCATTCGTGCGCTGCTCAAACTCTAGGGCAGTATCTCCGGGATAAGAATCAAACCACACACTGGGGACCTGCTCAACCCCATCGCGATATCTGGGCTGCTCGAAGAGTATCTCCATAGCGGTCTGTTCCTCAAACGGTAGTGAGACATTGGGCTGGAAATGGCGAAAGGCAAGTAAGTCGCTGAAGAAGTCTATTGCCCAGCGATCTACCCTGACCAGGAAAACCCCGGCATTTAAGCCGTTCCAGTCTTTTGTCATGATTAAATGCGGCTCCTCTTTCTGATCTCTCGCTTTCTTGTCTGTGTTTTTATGTGTATGGCTGATCGGTGGGAGGAAGCTCGAGATAGATCTGCAGGGGTCAAGGACAAGAGTATCCCGATCGACCCAAAAGAGCCAGTTCAGTCGCTCATCTTCTGGTAATGCCATCTCTTCAAGTAAACGAGATAGGATAAATGCAGGTTTGTTCCAGATGTGATCAATGATGGGAGAGCACAAGACATCTAGTTGCGTTTCGTGTACTAGGCTGTGTATCAAATGAGTTTGGAGTGCTTTTTGATACTGCTCTTGTACATCTCCTAGGTGTGCTGTCACAGCGCCTATCCGAACATCTGTAGGGGGGTATGCATGCAGCTGCTCGCATGATTTGCGTAGTGTATCTGCTTTTTCGATAATTGACGCTGTGGTGAAGATTGGCAAACAGTCACTGCCACCATGGGACCGCAGGGATGTGATTGTGCTATTCGGAGATAAAGGCTCGTAGACGCGATACCGGTCCCACTCTGAGGCAAAGACGAACATTTGGTACAGGACAAAAACGCCGATGGAGCTAGCGGCGACATAGATGCCAAAGTCCTTCGCTCTCCGTGATGTCATATCGAGGCGAAACATGGCCATTGCCTCGAAAGCGTGGAGATGATCGGCGGATATTGCAGTTAATAAATAGATAGTGAAAGCATGGCTCATGGCGACCGGATTGTCAGGGGACCGACGAAAAGGAGGTGGCATCACGCTTTACCTAGATCAGGCTAGGTCGATGAGATAATTTTAGTGTTGGAAATGTTAATGAGATACAACCAAGTTTCGAGTAAGTCATATAACATGGAGCGTCTTCAAATGGGCTGGTTGATAAGGAGCCGCCGTGTAGAATAAACAATACTATTCCATTATTACAAAATTGTGAACATCACTATATATCTCTAAAACGCTAAAAATGAACATCAAACCATACATCAAGGCCATACTACCTCCCCCGTATTAACAACGGATGGGCCTCAGTGTTGAGTACATATTTCATCCTCCCATCACTCTTAATCTGCATTTCCGAATCCTCTGCAAATATCAAATACAAATACTTCAACGTCTCCGCCAGCCAAAAGCTCTCCATCTTATCCACAAACTGCCTCGTCTCGTCATCCGCGGGCTGCATCACGCTCCTCAACCCCGTGTACCCGCCCTCGACTTTACTCATCCTGTTGAGCGCCTCAAAAGCCTCCCACGCCCAGTCCTGCCATTTCTTGTCGCCCGTCGCGCGGTAGCCGTAGTACAGACTCTCGATAGTCTCGGGCCGCAGGATGTATTCCGCGTTGGTGTGGTAGAAGCCGCTCTTTTCGTAGAAGGATTGCCATTTTGGTGGTGGGAGACGGTTGGCTGCTGGTTTGACTAGGGGCTGGCGGCCGTCGTCGACCCAGCGGAATAGCTCGGGGCCGATGCCCGCGGGACTTTGGCGGTAGACTTCGAAGTATGACTCTGATAGCTTGAGACCAAAGTCGACAAAGGTCTGGTTCTGCAAGAGTAAGCCGCCTAGGATGAGAGATCCGCCGCAAACACTTGCCACTGGTATTGTTAGACTTTGCTGCAAACCGACGCATATTCCGGGAACTCACAGTGACTTGAGACTGGGATGAGCGTGCTTCCACGCATCTCTCCCAAAAAGGTAAGATCTGGCCTCGTTGACGGCGAAGATGCCAGATGACGCATCGACGTCTCAGCCGCCTGGATCCAACTATCTCCATACTCAACAAAAGCGTCAGGATCGTACGCATACATCTTGATGAGGTACTCGTAGTAGCTATCCGAGCCGCCGCCCCAACCCGCCTGGTAATCCCCAAAGTAGCCATTATCCAGTTTGACATACGTGCCCACCAGACCCGGCAGGGTGAACTCTTGGTTCGTCTTGGGACGGATCAGATGAGCCTGAGCTCTCTGCGCGAGAGCGGCATAGGTTTTGTTGCCGGTGAGGTCGCTCAGTCTGGTCCACTCGAGGACGAGCGTGCCAAAGCATGTGATGGAGTTGTCGATGTTGCCGAATCGACGGGGGATAGGGTTGAAGATGATTTCGTCGTCTGGTATACCGCTTGGTGTGTCAAATGCGATACTGAGCCTGTCTGCAAGAATGACTGCTGCTTTGAGGAGATTGTTCCTCAGATGGGCATCTTTGATGAGGTGTTTGTACGAGCCAGAAAGTAAGTCATGGGCTGTAAGTGAGGTTAGTGACTTTCTCACGTAGTCTGGATGACAACTCACCCGACAATAGGCCTCCGAGATATCGAATAGTAGTCTCGAACAGCGAGATAGGTTGATCAGGCACCGCCGTCACAGTAAAGTCCGTAGCAGCAATCTGTCTCAGGATCTTATCCACAATCTCAACCTCCTCCATGATAATTGCCGTACTCAGACCATCAACAGCCGTGGCACCCCAGCCATTACTATGAAAAAGTCAATTCGCGCTTCACTCTAGTTCACATCTGACATACCGGTCGTCCTCATATTTCTTGCTGATAGGCAACAACGTATCGTGAGGCGCAGCGAATTCTTCATATTTATCCCACGAAAACCGGAAAGCCTCGACAATCGCCGCGGCTCTTTGGGTATCTCCGCTTAGCTTGGGGGATTGTGATTGTGTATCGGAGCTTGGACGGCTGGATTTTGATGAGCCGCCGGAGAAGAGCAGTGAAATTATATGCCAGGCTATGAAGACGGCTCCGAGCCAAATAATGGCTCTTTGGAGTGTGTTTTTCATGCTTTTCTTCATTGGATTGTGAGTTTTGTGTAATCAATACACAGACAAAGCAGACGAAATGAAAGTCGATCTTGATCAAGAGTCAAGGATCAGTCCCCGTGGAGAATTTCAGACTTCCCCTGACTGTCAAAATCTTCAGGGGTAAATCTTTATCAAGCCACAAAGAAATAGTGAACAGCTGAAGGGTTGTTTTGAGCTAGTGGCCGCTTATTGGGGTCTTTAGCGTCCGACATCCCCTGTAAGCTTTTCAAGCTATTGATAGCAGCTGGGAAAATGCCCCGAAAGCTACCATTCACAATGGACAAATATCACTGACGGACTGCGCTAATAAAAAAGCAACAAACGATTTCGTGAGTCTAGGTAGATCTGGGCTAGATTCTGGAAACTATTGTTTCGCATGCAAGGTACTAGTTCAGCAAATATTGACTGTGCCACTGTCAATCGCCATGGAAATCAAAATGGGCATCGGAAATGGCCTTGGCGTTAGGTTGAGCTGAGTTGGATGATTTAAAATGCTATTCCTCCTTGAGTCCTAAAAATCTCCTTCTCTTTCCAACGCTGCCGTTCGTACACTCGCTCATCAATCGACGTTTCGTCCATTACTTTCGTTAATATCCAGGATGCGTTTCACCTCTCTCTGCGCCGTGCTCGGCGCCGCACTTCTCCCCGTCGCCAGCGCAGCCCCGTGCCGTCCCAGCAAACCCACCTCTGCGCTCGAAACAACCGCGACAACGACCGCCGCCTCCGAAACATCGGCCGTTGTCTCCGAGACAGGTGCTGCAACCACTATCGAGTCTTCAGCTACCTACGCCTCCACCAGCGTCATCGACATCACCCTCACCGAGACCGCCACTCCCACCGAGATCACATCAACCGGCTTCACCACTCTGGTTACGTCTACTGCCGAATCGACTGTCTCCGAGGATGCCACCACCACGGCAGATGCCACCACCACCGTCGCTGAGGAAGCTGGACCTAGCAACTTTGTCCACAACGGCGGCTTTGAGGATACTAGCAACACGGACTGGGTCGTGAGAACCGCCGAGATCAAGGAGAGCCGCGCAAAGGCCCGCTCCGGCAAGAGATACGCGTAGGTCTTCTTGAGAAGTCGACCATTCTCATGCTAACAGAACGCAGTGAACTTAAAGCGACGAACAGTCTGGCGGTTGGAGGCAACCACATCAACCAGACCATCAACGGCCTGGACACCAAAAACATCTACCGCCTCACTTTTTACGTCACTGTCCTCGATGAGCAACTTTCCGTTGGCAATGCCATCTGCTCGATTGAGGCTATACAGGGTAGCGAACTGATTCAGACGTGGCGTCTTGAGTACGATAACCTCGGCGAGTACGTCGAACGTACAGTCGACTTCATTCCCGTCGCCGATGGATTCGAGTTCGATCTCAGACTCCGCTGCACTCAGGAGAACAAGGTTACCCTGACTGTCGCCCTTGATGATGTCTCTATCACCGATCAAGGTCCAGCACCGGCACCGACCAATTAAGTGGTTCCGCGGTTGAATTGCTCGTTTTATGTCTTGGGTGGTTTTAATTCATGGTAGCACACGTTAGATATCGTCGAAACCCCCGTTTTTGGGGCTAATGAGAAGCATGCGAACTAGCGCTGATGTCTAACGTTGCTATTACTACTTTTTCAATATGATAGAAATAATTTTCTATTTACTCCAAATTAACTCTCAACATGACGATGCGCGTCTTTGTCACATGCTTCTTTTTCTGATATTCTTCTCACATCCGGTCGTGAGTCGCCTCAGCCTCGCCTACAACAACTCCACTGTATTGTCACTACCCAGCCCATCATCACAAGCACAAGTGTGTAATGTCGATCCTGGAACGAGGGGTCAGGAATCTTTTCCTCACGTTCTATCCTTCCATTAATTGACCCAGCATATAGCTTCCACGCCAAACGCCCCACGTCAAGAGGGCCAAGTAGTCTGTTCCAAATATAGGAACAATGAGTCTTGCTCGTACCGAAAAGGACCCTATCTATCGATTAATCATACCACGCGATGCAGATATTTGTTGCACACAATTCAGCATAAATATGTCGTCAGTTGAGAGTGGTCCAAGATATCCGGGGTTGTGACATACTTCACTGAATGGCGTGCTCAATGGTTCCATCTTTGAGCCTTATCGGCCTGTCAAGTATCAGCATGCTCGCACAATAAGGACGGAGGATGAGCTATTACGACCAAACTCCGGAAGGATGGCGATAAAGGAAGAGAGGGATTTAAGAATTGTACGATTAAGTTCGTTCTGCTTATAATGCGCTTCTCGTCGAGATATTTACAATGCGCCACAACCCAAGCTTGTCTCATCTGATCTGAACCCCTCACTTTTTCAGCTCTATCTAATTGCCAAAGAAGAAAAGACTAGACTTCTCAATATGAGCCCTTTTCTGACAAGCGGGAGACCCGATGAACCAACCAACTTCAGTCCCGGGATCAAAGTAGCCGTTATTGGTGCTGGTGTGAGCGGGATTTGTGCAGCCGCTTACCTGCTCAAAGAGGGTGCCGACGTCACGGTATTCGAGCGGTCCGACGTCACCTCTGGCGTGTGGCACTATGACCCCAGGGCAGCGACAGATACAAAGTACCCTTCTGAGAAACCCTCAGCTGGCGACTATACGACCTCCATTCCTGGACAGTTCTCACTAAACGCCAGTCAATCAAAGAATTATAGTGATGGCAATAGACATCCCCTGGACTCTGGAGACGAGAATGCTCTCAACGTCGCATTCTCTCCCCCAGGTCCTGCATACTTCGGCTTGCGAAACAACGTCCCGACAAGTCTTCTTTATAGCAACCTCGGTTCATGGCCACAGGGTACGGAGGATATAACCGGCCACGCTAATATTCAAAGCTACCTGCAAGGGCTTAGTAAACAGCATGGAGTCGACGATGTTACTGTCTTTCAAACACGTGTCGAAGACGTCGTAAAGAGCGACGACGATAGTTACTGGAATCTGAGAACCATAACTCTACACAAAGGCGACGGCGAACCGAAATTCACAGAGCGGAACTGGAAGTTCGACGCCGTTGTGGTGTCAACAGGTCATTACAACCTGCCTCGAATTCCCGATACCCCAGGACTAGCTGAGTGGAAAGCTCACTTTGGAGATGCCGTTATACACACGAAGCAATATCGTCGCCCGGAGCAGTACGCAGGCAAGACAATTCTTGTTGTGGGTGGAGGAGCCTCGGCATATGATGTTTGCCGTGAAGTAAGCGAAGTGGCCAAAAAGGTCATTCAGAGCACTAGAGGAGGAGACTTTGATCTGCCGGCTTCAATGTTCCCTGATAACATCGGGCATGTAGGGGCCATTGAGAAGTTCGTGTTAGAGAAGGATGAGTCGACAGGGTCGGTCAATACCTCGGTGCTGTTGCAGAACGGCCAAGCTCTTGATGATGTTGACGGTATCATTTTGGCAACGGGCTACCTTACATCTTATCCGTTCCTTCAACAATACCATCGCGATGATGTGGCTGTTGATGACGCAACACGAGAGATCCTCGTCACTTCGGAGGGAAGCATGGTCCACAACCTCCACAAAGACATTTTCTACACCGAGGACCCATCGTTGTCATTCATCGGCGTTCCCTACTACACGGCAACTTTCTCCCTGTTCGATTTCCAAGCACAAGTCCTCGCTCGGGTCCTCACAGGCAAGACAACCGTCCCTAGCCCAGAGGCTTTGAGGCGAGACTACGATGACAGGGTTGCTAGCAAGGGACGTGGACGTAAATTCCATAGCTTGGCGGGTGATGGGGAGGAGGTTGAGTACGTGAGGGACTTGCTGCACTGGGCTAACACAAGTCTTGTGGATGGTGAAAGTGAGCCGCTAAAGGGCCATTCGAAGGAATGGCTGGATACGTACCACGAGCAGAGAGAAAAGCGGAAACTTTTGAGAGTTGCTAAAGATGCTGAGCCAGAGGGGCTTTGGGCGCGGGCAAGTGATTTGGAAAAGGCTTGAGCATCTGAGGGAATGATTGTCAATATTTCTGTATTAATTTCCGTTTGTCGCCTAGGTCAAAGCTCTCAACCTTGGAATTATAGTGAGAGAATGAATGAGAAGTCGGATATTACTAGGTTTGCGAAATGTTATTTCCGTTGTGAGATAGCAGTATGCTGTGTGTAAAGTTGCAGTGAAAATCAGTCCTGCTCAAATGATTGGATGACGATTATAAACTGGCGGTCTGGGCTGGGGTTAAAATTGCAGTGAAGGGGTCTATCACAGTTCTGTGATAAAGCCCTGCTAGTCTGCATCTATAGTGAAGGTGCCTTTACTGTGGCCTGTGGCCTAGTGGAAGCTTTTCGACAACAACCCTCATCCTTATTGTGCATTAACAGGATACTTGCTATGTAGTACACCATCTTCTAAAGTATGATTGGGTTCATGATGCAGCTCAATGATGAGACTTGAACTGAAAAGCTGTCAGCTTTTAAGGTATAATAACATATCTGGTTTTATTGTCCCATTTTTTCTCAACTATTTGCATTGACCTATATTTCCCATAGAGCTAATTGAAGTAATATGATAAGCTTCCTCAGGATAGATTGTGACCTGCGGTAGATGCTTTTAGAAAAGGAGTCGAACGCTGCTGGAGCATTGTAGCACAAGTAGACATCTACTTTAGTTAGTGTTTCTTCTTCGAAATGGTGGCATTGCCACGAGGTCAACTTAACATAAACGATTCATATCATGCGTGTATTAGTAGCTTAGAAGAGGAGAGTGTATAGAGCGGTCTTGTAGACCGAATAGATCTTGGTAACTTCAATTGAGCACTTTAAATCCTACTACGATTTATTCCTCGGTAATGAATAGAGACTATCCGTTAACGCATAAGTAATTTTAACCTTGCTGGCTTATTCTATAGCTATAGATAAGTATGTAGGATTCTATACTGGCTCTTCTCGCCAACCAACCAAAGATTATTGTTGATTTAATTGAGAGATTTGGAAAGGCTGGGATTGATAAAGTTAAATGTTAAAGCAAATTTTCTTTTTTAGGATTCTATTAATTCAAGTTTGCTTGTAAAAAAGTGCATAAAATATCCATGCAGTTAACTCCTGAGGTAATTAACTTTCCTACTAGAAGACTAATTGTTATACTTCCTTATATAGAAGTAATTAACCTACACGCCTGACTTTTCTTCTGTATTTAATATAAGAATATAAGGAAATAGTTATTAATATTTCTAGATTAATATTAGCCTATTATATTTCAATAGGACTCTAAACTCAGTATTATTTATAATCGGAGAACTAATAAAAAGTCAGATAGTACTAGGCTTATAAATTATTAGTCTTACTCTAATATAGTAAAACACTTTATCTAATAATAACAGTGAATATATGTATAAATATGAAACTGTTTAATAACAAGATAGTAACTATGAACTAATAGTCTAGGCTAGGGCTAGAATTGCCGTGAATATAGCCGCGATTTTAGATATATAAGAAAAGAGTACTATAATAAATGTATACTGCCCTATAATTTAAACCTTACCAAGGATGTCTCCTATTACATAACTAAGCATAGTTCCTTACTAGAATTGTATCTTTTAATATGTACTTAAAGTACTTTTGTAATTAAATATTATTGAAAGCTTTTTTAATATCACTCCTTAAGAGCCCTGAACTAGCGTTGTATTTACCTGTATGCTCTCTAGAGTCCGCCCTTGACTTAATATTGATACCTTGAGCTTATCCCAGATGTGAAGCGAAGGCGCTTGATTCGGACCAAAGAGCCGTTGTGCGCACAACAAAGCCTCAAGCAAAGACTCACTTTCCAAGTGTAAGTTGCCTTGGAGCCTCTGGAGTTCTGCAATGTCTTCCTTAGTGTATATCCGCAAGTCTTCAGGAATAATCATTTTTAGATCGCTCAATATACGCCGTTGAACAACAATCGCTTCTTCGTATCGCCCTTGGATTTTGAGGACGTGTGCTAGCTTCCTTAAGGCTTTGGGCAATTGAATCGGCCACTGAGGTGAGGACTCCATGACTTGAACGAGTCGGCGTGCTGTAATCTCTGCTGCAGTGATGTCGCCATTCTGTGAGTATCGATTTATAAGGGCCATATTGGCTTGAAATGTCTCATGGTGGTGCTGCCCCAGGTGTTCCTCGAAAAGTCCACTCATGAGGGTGAGCGTAGACTCCGCTGTTCTGGGCCCTTCGTTGTCCTGTCGGATATGGCCACAGATCTGGACAAGTGGGTGTGATATACCAAGCTTGATCTCGACGAGGTCTGTAATGAATTTCAGAGTTGAATTGGATACCTCGGGGAATGCTCTCAAGCTTCCATAAGGGTGAAGGGTTGTTAGCACCTTTTGGAGTAGAGTAATAGGCTGTGAGAGTAAGTTTTCGGCTGCTGTTCCCCAGCAAGTATGGAGAGTCTTCCATCCCAGAGCTGTAGATCCAACTCTCAACAAATAAATTGCGGTTTCGCAATCGTGCCAGAAGCGGTTGGTCTGTATATTTGACACACTACCAGAGCTGGCCTGGGAAAGGAAAGGTTGTGCAGTAGTATCGCTGTTTGAACCGGAGGTTAATACGAAGTTCTGGGCCAACATCTTCGTAGAGAGGAGGATGATCTCGCCAGAAGACACCCCACCTATACCTCTGGACGGCCCCTGCATATAGTGACTAGTAAGAGCATCTCGTGGGTGGCTAGTGGCTGTCTGGGCGAGCTGTGTGCGGTTGGATCTTGAGACGCAGCTATCCTGATGTGTCTTGGTTCGCCAGTGCCTAAGGACACGATGATGCTTGATGCTGCGACCTCTGAAAACCAGACAGTCCAGATTCTCGCCATTAGCCAAGGCCTCGCATACTTGTTTGACCATCATATTCTTTTCTTTGGCCTTGTAGTTCTTCATGGCACCCCAGCGTTGCAATCTAGTGGAGTACATACGGGTCCTGTAATATGGCAACGATTACAAATGATGTTAGATATACATCTCCATTATGATTGGCAGCCGAATGTTAATGCAGAGGCACTCACGTTGCCTTGAAACTAAATTTGCTCTCCATGATTTGTCGTACCTCGCTTAGAGGCTTGTCTTCGACAATATACAGGCGGATAATAGTATCTCGATGATTTTCCCAGTCTATTCCTGATGTAGGATACGCTGCTGCGGCGGACATCATAGCAACCGAGTACAAGTATTAGCGGGAGTTGTGATGGGGATACAGTGGCTTAGGGCGAGCAATTGGGATTGATGACGCTGGTCTGCTCAAGGGAAAATAAGATATCGCGCAAATGCGAATGGGGCACAGTTCCAGAGCAGGATGTGATCGGTCACCTTCATACAATACAATACAGGGATCTTGCCACACCACACCACAAGGACCAATGCCATGCCAAGAATTTGCGACTCTAGCGCGCAAAATTCCCGTGCATGAGTGGCTCTACGGCCCAATCGCAGTAGAACAGATAATGTCACGGGGCGAGCCAAGTGAGCACCTCGAGCTTACATGGGCCAACGGGCACAGTAGTTGGGCCTCGACATGCATGGGAATTTTGATAGAGGCGGTGCAAGCTAATTTTTCTTTCAGCCTCACGGGGAGCTCTTCACTCCATCATTTGCATGCATAAAATATGGGGTCGATTCCTGTCGACTACCAGCTTTTAAAAGACCTGTTTAGGGATCTTGCTCGGTCTTTCTCTAATCAAGGACAACTTGCTTTCTCTCTACAATTCCACACAACCCCACAATCATTGTTTCGTTGCCCAAGACTAATCAATCGACTATTCCTGCTCTCTCTTTTACTCGACTGCAGCCATGGCTAATGCACTTTGTGAACGATGCAAATCCCTCAACCTCTCTATCGCCAAGTTCCGTATCAAGGACAAAAACGGAGATGAGGACGACAGGTCGCTAGAAGTTACCAGCTCGCGTTGCTATTTCGGAACGGTGACTCAGATCAGAGACTCGGCAGAGAACTGCAAGCTCTGTGAGCTCATTGCTGACACTGTCCGCGATGCAAACGTCCCGCACATGGATGATGTGGCTTGCCATCTCCTTTGGGAAATGGATGGCCGAAGCTCGGCCAAACCGCTAGTTGGCTACGTAGGCAACAGGACACGCAGACTTCGAGTGTGTTGGAGCGACAGTAGGCTCAAATCCTGTGAGGCCTATGTGATGCTGGCAGCGCCTCCAAAGTACGACAAATCCGATGTCGACTATCCCGGCCTCTTGAACGACGAAACTCAGTTTCTAGGGAGGCGCATCGGATCCAGTCACAACAAGAAGAATCTTGTTCTGGAGTTTCTTCGTCTTTGTGAGACCTGTCATGACGAGCGATGCACAGCTAAACTAGGTATCGAGGACCCTTTCAGAGACACCTTGAAAGAACCCTACTTTGGTGTCATCGATATGGAGAATGAGAGCCTAGTTCCGCTTCCTTACACAGATGATTTAGTCGAGCTTCAATTTGCAGCATATGCCACAGTCAGTTATGTCTGGGGGAATGGGCACGGTCGACAGCATGCCACCAGAATCAGCAACATCCAGAGCCGGCGCAAGTCTGGTGGTCTTTCTGCCGTCATCAAAGATCTTCCAAAAGCTCTTCGACAAAGCATCGATTTAACTCATCAATTAGGAATCAGATACATCTGGATCGATGCCTTATGCATCGTGCAGAACAGCAGGCACTCCTGGAATCTCAACGCAAGAGCGATGCACTTAATCTATGGCAATTCCGTCCTTACAATATGCGCCGCAGATGGGATTGACGCCAATTCGGGTCTCTTAGCTCTCGACGACAATCATCAGACACGGCAAATGGTTGTGAACTACGGCCCAGGAGTTTCTCTTATGCTACATCGACCGGCGGAAACAAGTATTGAGACGACTCAGTGGAATAAACGCGCATGGACATTCCAAGAACGGCTTCTATCGAAGAGATGTCTGATTTTCACAAAGGGAAGAATCTTCTTTCAATGTCGATCTACCGGCATGTCTGAAGATGTATTCTCAGATCGTCTAGGGAGAGGCTGGTCGCTGGATCTGGTTCGGGCGCCCCTCCAGATGCTATCTCAGCTTAAAGTCAGAGCGATGTGGTTCTACGCACATTGTGTTGCTCTATATACGATTCGAGATCTGTATGAGCCCTTCGATATTCTGGCAGCATTCGGAGGCATATGTAAACTGATAGAGAAAACCATTCGAGCGCCATTTGCTTTTGGCTTACCTACGTCACATTTCGATCTCGCCCTTCTCTGGCAGCCGGTTGGAAGATCAGTGCTTTTAGAAGAGGCAAATATCTCCAATGATCCAAAATACAAGGATATGAAATTCCCCAGTTGGTCATGGTGTGGTTGGAATAGCCAAGGAGCAATTTATAGTTCGGAGATGATTGGCGGGTGTCTAGCCGATGTCCGCACTTGGATCTTGAACCATACTTGGATCGACTGGCATATTCGCGATGGGTACGGCACCCTCCGCCGAGTTTGGGACACCCGTCATTCCAAAGGAGACCAAAGTGAAGACGTCCGATGGAGAGGCTACGACACAGTCACACGAGACAAAAAGGCAAATGATAACAGAGGCGAGAAGGAAACAGAAACCTCCAGTAACAGTTCGAGTTCTTTATCCGACTTGGAGTATAGGCGTGGTGAGTGGAGAGAATTAAGTGGAAGATCTATTCCCGAATCATCTCGAAGATTATCGCTTTCCCTGAAAAGTAAATCAAAAGCCGTTCGAAAATTACAAAGACGGCTAAGTGTCAGTTTTTCTTCGAAGACGGATAAGTTTGGCCGGACATACCTCGAGCTTTCAACTCTGCCCGTCGTCTCAAAAGCCTCATCGCCAGAGTTCACGTTAACGCTACCTGAGGACCCATACAACGTTCTCACAACAGAAACAACTCAGGCATCCATACCTTGCAACTCAATCGAGGAGTTTCCAGACCAACCGTTCTTACAGTTCTTCACTTGGAGAGCGGAGTTCCACGCCATACGCCCCGAAACCCAAAGCAACTTGGACTTCCAGCAGCGTCCAAATGGCGTAGAAGACGCTCAAACTGAACCTGTACAGCATCTCTGCCGCTGCGAGATCAGTGATCAGCGAGGAGATAAGTGCGGGTCAGTAGTCGTCGACAGCGAGTGGCTCAGAAGCAAGGAAAGTAAACACGAGACCTTATTTGAGTTCATCGCTATTTCTGATGCAAAAGATTTCACCCACGAAGAGTTTCCAGATTGGACATATTATATTGCAAAGGAAAGAATTGAGTCAGAATGGGACCTGTACTTTGTTTTATTAGTTGAATATTACCCAGAGGAAGGTATTTATCGCCGAGTTGCCTTGGGGAAGGTTTTCAAGGCTGCATTTACGCATTCGTTGGAAAAAGAGTGGAAAGAGAGTATTTTGGGTTGATAGAGTTACTTGAATTGTATATCTGTTTCTTGTCTTGATTATAAAAGAGTCTTAAACTAAAAGCATTAATTATGAGTCTTGTTAGCTTGTTCTATAGCCGAACCATTGTGTGCAGGATGATGTTGCTTATTGTGTGCCTATTGAACCGCCACGTGAAATCTTTGAGCAGAAACAAAGTCAACTCCCGAGGTAACCAAGTCTCTTACCTAAGTACCCATGTTGTCCTTCCTCAAACAGCAGTGATCAACCTGCGCACCTGATCTTTCTTCCGTATTTAATATATCCTTTTAGGACAAGAAATGTAATGGAAATAGTCCACTAGCCTAAATCTCAACCCATAGTTTTGCGCGCCAATAACATTTCAGCGTTTGGAACAAAAGTGCGGAGAAGAAAACCTAAAAACATAGCCTTGACCGATCAACACCTGCAGGGGTCGGCCATCACTGCCTAGAAGAGATGGGATTTGCAGATCCGGGGTATTAACTACCGAATGACGTTGTGAAAAACGAGGAAATGACCTGCGATGTCGCTTTGCCAAGAGTCAAAACGAGAAGTCTAATAGAGACTAAGCCAAGGTCCGAGAGTCTGAATGGGGAGAACTAGTAGAGCGATGTGGATATACGAGATATCAAGGTTTAGACCAAAAGTATTAAGAGTATTATAAAAGGGGTGGACCCTCGTGGTGTAAGATATATACAAGACATCGATCTCTGGTTATCTATAGATTGGCCATTGCCTAGTTACTCACCATGCTGCCACGCCTCCAGCATCTTTCTCTCGCCTTCCTCTCCTTGACATCAGGAGTTCAATGCAAGGCCAAAGCCCATGAAGCCCTCTCCACCATCTCCGTCAGAAACATCGAAGACATCCGCGGCCACATCCATCTCCCCGCCACTTCCAACGGCCACCCCGTATCATGGCGAAGTAGTGACCCTGATGTGCTCGGCAAAGATGGTCTAGTCAAGCGTCAAGACAGCGATACAGATGTTCTCCTCGTTGCGACAATTGAGCAGGACGGCGAATTGCACGAGCGCGAGTTCAACGCCTCGGTTCGTCAGGCAGTCCAGGCTGAGCCTTTTGAGGCTTATGCCTTTTCCTACTTCACGGGCAACTCGAAACAGGGCGAGAACATCTTCTTTGCTGCCAGCAACGGCAACAACGCCCTGGATTGGCAGGAGCTTAACGGTGGTCAGCCTGTGCTGACTTCTAATCTCGGTACCAAGGGTCTGCGCGATCCTTTCATCATCCGATCTCCCGAGGGCGATACATTCTTCCTGATTGCTACGGATCTGTCTATTGGCAGTGGAACGTCTTGGGGCGACGCTGTCAGAAAGGGCAGCTTGTACCTTGAGATCTGGGAGTCGCACGATCTTGTTACGTGGTCTGAGCAGCGACATGTCAAGGTGTCACCCAACAACGCTGGAAATACCTGGGCTCCCGAGGCGTTCTGGGACTCAGAGAAGAACTCGTATGTTGTTTTCTGGGCATCGTCACTATACAACACAGACGACCACTCAGACAACTCCTACCATCGCATGCTTTACTCTCTCACCCGCGACTTCGTCACCTTCTCCGAGCCTGAGATCTGGCAAGATTCGAAAACTTCTCGTATCGACACCACTGTCTTGAAATCTGGTAACAACTTCTACCGATTCACCAAGGACGAAGGATCCGCAAGTGGATGCACCGATATCATCCAGGAGAAGTCAGCGTCTTTGCTTGCCGGTGTAGACGACTGGACCGTTCAGGCAACATGCATCGGAGCCAACGCTGGTGCCAAGGCTGTGGAGGGTCCTACAGCATTCAAGTCCAACCCTGACGATGCGCAAGGCGAGAAATTTTATCTCTTTGTTGATGAGTACGGTGGTCGCGGTTATGTTCCTCTTGAGACTGCTGATCTCGACAAGCCTGCCTGGAAGGTCTCTGCTAAGTACAAGCTTCCTACGAGTCCTCGACATGGAACTGTTATTCCTATCACTGCTAAGGAGCATGAGAAGCTTCTGAGTGCGTATGGTGCATGAGTTGAAAGGACATGTTGTATATAGTGGAAAGTAGATAAAGAAATTAGTTGTCTTAACTATGTGTTGACCCGTGATGCTGCGACGCTGAGACTACCTAACCAACTGTCAAACCAACACACCAGCCCACAGCATTGGGGAATCTGTCGAACCAAACGTTCTTCTTTTACCCCTCCCGCCCCAAATTCATTTATCCCAGAACTCACGTCCCCAGTGCATTTACTGGAGGGATTTATCAATTAACATCCCATTAGTAAATCATCAGCTTAACCCCTCATTTCAAAGATCTGCGTGATATCTGGGGTAAATGAGCCGATTCAAGGATCTCCCTGATCGCGGTAATAACAGCACCAATCAAATCCATCCAATTCGCTGCTCAACCCCTCAGTCATGCAGCATGTCGTGATGCTGGATAAATGGCAAACCTTGATGATATATGCCTGGTAAACATGGGATCATGACGGCATGTGCTACGGAATTTGGACTTATCCACCAATACGAGGTGCATCTATACGCGCAACATCGGCACACTCGGGTTGTGATCCGCCATGGTGATTTCCGGGCCTCAATTCAAATAGTATATAAGATGGCGAACCGTTGAGTCTTTGTGGTTACTGGCCAAGGATTTGTCGACAAGATGAAGTTATCTAGCCTTTTTCTCACAGCCTTAGCGGCTGGGAGCTGCCATGCTAGAAATGTCATGCCGCGCGGTGGTCGTCCAACGGATATTATCCACGATGCTCACAAAAGAGAACTACTGCAGAACATTGTGACTTTCGATGAAAATTCTTTGTTCATCCGCGGCGAGCGCGTGACTATCTTCTCTGCGGAGATCCATCCCTTCCGTCTCCCCGTGCCGTCGCTTTATCTTGATCTTTTCCACAAAGTCAAGGCCATGGGGTTCAACATGGTTTCGTTCTACGTCGACTGGGCTCTTCTGGAAGGCAAACCCGGAGAATTCCGCTCGGAAGGTGCACTGGCATTGCAGCCGTTTATCGATGCTGCGCAAGAGGCTGGGGTGTTTCTCCTTGCGCGCCCGGGACCTTATATCAATGCTGAAGTGTCGGGAGGTGGATTCCCGGGATGGTTGCAGAGGGTCAAGGGCTTCTTGAGGACCAACGCTTCTGATTATTTGAGCGCTACCGATAAGTCAGTATCATCCTCCCCAGTGTGAGAATCCCACGTTGACACTATCCAGCTACGTCGAACACGTCGGTGCCATCGTTGCAAAAGCTCAAATCACAAACGGTGGGCCGGTGATCCTGTACCAACCCGAGAATGAGTACAGCGCTGCTGAGGGAACACCTTTTCCCAACCATGATTACCTAAAATATGTCAACGATCAAGTCCGCAAGGCTGGTGTTGTTGTTCCTCTCATTAACAATGACGCTTGGCAAGGTGGCACCGGGGCTCCAGGAACTGGACCTGGAGCTGTTGACATCTACGTAAGCCATACTATCCATCTCTAGCAGTGCTTGCTGACCAAAATAGGGACATGATGGTTATCCTGTAGGATTTGACTGCGTGAGTCCAAGAATCGAGATGTTCGTACATCACTAACCTTCCTCAGACCAAGCCGTATAATTGGCCGAAAGATGGTCTGCCAACGACGTGGCATGCAGAGCACGAGGACAAAAGCCCCAACACTCCTTACTCAATCATTGAGGTAAGACCAATTCGTGATCATGCGCAGCAATGGCTGACTCGTTCTAGTTCCAAGGAGGAGGTTTCGACCCACCTGGCGGCGCTGGATTTGATAAATGTTATGAGCTTACTAACCATGAGTTTGCTCGTGTCTTTTACAAGAACAACCTTGCTGCGGGTGTTACCATCTTTAACATATATATGGTGAGACTAAAACTCTTTTGGGTTGGGACGTATCTAATAATTCTAGACATGGGGAGGTACCAACTGGGGCAACCTTGGTCACTCTGATGGTTACACCTCATATGACTACGGCGCAGTGAGTCCGCAATATACATATTTTACTGATACCCTCTCACATAATCGCAGGCAATCAAAGAAGACAGAACAATCACTCGGGAGAAATACTCAGAGATCAAGCTCCAGGGCCACTTCCTACGTGTCTCCCCAGTCTACGCCACCGCACAACCAAGCAATTTCACCACCACAAAGTATACCGACAACAAGAACATCGCTGTCACGGCACTGACTACCAAGAAAGATGATACTTTCTACGTTGTCCGCCACGCAGACTACCGCACCACAGACTCGGCGACTTACAAGCTCAAAGTTCGCACATCAGCAGGAACACTAACCATTCCTCAACTCGGCGGTTCGCTTTTCTTGCACGGAAGGGATTCCAAGATTCACGTCGTGGACTACCCCGTTGGGAAGCATAGACTTGTTTACTCTACTGCTGAGGTCTTCACCTGGAAGAAGTTTCACGATAGAACTGTGCTGGTTCTTTACGGTGGTGCGGATGAACTCCATGAAGTTGCCATCAAGGATGAGACGAAGCTCAAAGTCGTTGAAGGTGATGGCGTCAAGATTGAGCAAAAGAAGAACGCAGGTGTCTTTCAGTTCAAAACTAGCTCGAAGCGTCGCGTTGTTCAGGCTGGTTCGCTTCATATCTACTTGCTAGGTAAGTCCTACTAGAATATGGCTTTTACACAGACTAACGAGTTAAGATCGCAATTCCGCGTATAACTACTGGGTCCCCGACATTCCAGCAAAGGGTAAGAATGGCGCTTTTGGTTCATCCGTCATGAACCCTGACTCGGTTATTGTCAACGGTCCTTACCTGGTTCGATCCGTCGCCGTCCAGGGCGCTAAGCTTTCGATTCAGGCGGACTTCAACACCACCACCCCTCTAGAAGTTATTGGTGCTCCCAAGAGTACATCCAGTCTGCTTATCAACGGTAAAAACACCCAGTTCAAGAAGTCCAAGCTGGGTAACTGGGTCGTCAGCCCGGAAGTTAAACTCCCAAGCATCAAAGTCCCTGACCTCAAATCATTGGATTGGCAGTACGTCGACTCTCTTCCTGAAGTGAAGAAAGATTTCGACGACTCCAAGTGGCCCGATGCGGATCTGAAAACTACATATAACTCGAAATGGCCTCTGAACAATTCCGTCTCGCTATATGGAGGCGACTACGGCTTCCATGCTGGCGCTCTGGTATTACGTGGGCACTTCACCGCCGATGGATCAGAATCAAGCTTCAAAGTCTGGACCTTTGGCGGACGCGCGTATGGAAGCTCAGTCTGGCTTGATGATAAGTTCCTGGGTTCTTTCACTGGCTACGGGACTGCGAATAACGACACTTCGACATACAAGCTTCCAAAGACGCAAAAGGGTAAACGTCATGTCATTACTGTCATAGTCGATAATATGGGCCTGAACGGCAATTGGGTGCCTGGGATGGACGAGACGAAGCAGCCCCGTGGTATCTTAGACTGGGCTATTCAAACAAAGTCTGGCAAAGAGACGAAGATCTCGAAGTGGAAGATCACAGGAAACTTTGGCGGTGAGGATTACACGGATAAGTTCCGCGGACCGCTCAACGAAGGTGGTCTATACTTTGAACGACAAGGATATCATCTCCCATCTCCCCCGTTGGACAAATTCAAGTCTGGCTCACCATTCAAGGGCCTCAAAAGCCCCGGCGTAGCATTCTACACAGCCAAACTGAAGCTCAGCCTGCCTTCGGACAAATTTGACGTTCCTTTATCCTTCGTTTTCAAGAACAACACCGAAAGCACAGGAGCTTATCGCGCGCTCCTCTTCGTCAATGGGTTCCAGTACGGACGCTATGTCAGCAACGTTGGCCCACAGAGCGTCTTTCCTGTTCCAGAAGGTGTACTTGATTACCGCGGTGATAATTGGATTGGTGTGTCGCTGTGGGCGTTGGAGAAGGGTGCGAACCTGGAGGAGTTGAGCTTGGCGGCGGGTGTTCCTGTGCAGACTGGTCGAGAACCTGTCAAGGTCGTCAAGGGGCCTAAGTACGCTCGCCGTCGTGGGGCTTATTAAGTCCGGGCTTGAGTGTAAAGTGCCGAAGTAGTTCTTAAGATATTTGAGTCAATTGGCTACTTCGTAACTCTAATCATTCTATATTTAGCCAGTGAGTCTGTTTGCGCCAATTACGTCCCGCTGTGTTCATGTCACCCACGGCCCTATGGAATTACCCGTCCCTATTTCCTTGGCCTTCTTGCCTCATGGGGGTGAAAACACTGTCACTCCTTGGCAGGAAAAGTTCTGTTGCCAAGGCTTGCGTGGCCTTCGGCTTCAAGTTGCCGTCTTCTCCACTGTGCCAAGTAACAAATCTTGTCTCGTTCTCTGCTCTTTTCACTTAAAATTGTCGACATTGACTGTATTTATGTGCAATGAGAGCTTTATAAGTGTCATTTTTTATTTATTCAGATGCCTGATAGAGATGTAAGTCATTGATATGGCCCTAATACAATGAGCAGGGTGCTGCGCCTCGCGGGATCTGGGGACTCCAAGGTCCGGCTGCAACGGCTGAACGGCTCCGGAAGTGGACACGGACCCACGGCGCTATAGGTCAGCATCGGCGCGGCCGAGATCTGTCACTCTAATTCAAGGTCTCTTAATAATTGACACTCTCCCTTGTTATTATCTTGACGTATTTCTATTTTCTCCGCTTGCGATTCTAATTGCTTCATATATCCAATGGAGTGCATGTGTTGACTTTTCAATCTTGTCTTTCTTGGCAGTGACATATTCAACAGTTGACTTGCCAAGGCAATCTGAACCCTTTTCTTTCAACTCACCTCATAATCCAGTACCCAAAATGATGGACGACATATCAGCAGCCACGAAAGAGGTCACCGCCCCCTTGGGACCTGTAACAACAAGCTCCCAAGATGTATCCTCAAACGACCTCCCCATCCCCGGCCCCGACACCGTCACACTCACCAAAGCCCCATCCGGCTGGTTTTGCGCCGACGATACACGTCTTAGAAACAACCTCTTCGCCGCGGTGGGATTTCTCGAGCTTGCAAACGCAGGCGACTTTGCAGCCAACGTATGGAACGACACCCCCGTTCCTGTCTACGCCATCGTCTTCATGGTAATAGGAGGTTGCTCGGCCTTTGTCATTTCGATCTGCGCCTTTTTCGACTCGCGCAAAGCTTGGCGTAATATCAAATTTCTTCGCCAACAACGCGCATCATTCAGGACGCAGAAGCAAAGTCTGGATAATAATGCTTCGCCACGGGTGCTCGATGTTCTTATTGAGGTTACGACGCGAGAACTACGAATCGAGATTATCAATCGATATGTTATGGACCTTTTGATGGGTGGAGGTGCTATGTTGATTAGTATCGGTACATTTATGGCTATCGGCGGTGCGAACCCTCGTGTCTGGCTCGCAAGTAACATTTTATCCGGATATCTCGGTAACGCCCCCATCGCACTATACGGACTTCTCAGCTCCATCTGGGCGGCGATGGTGGTAGGCAAGATGCGAGCTCACGTCGCAGTGGCTCGAAAAGAGCTGCAGGGTTCCTCGGTGCTGCCTATGCTCAAGCGAAGGTGCTTCAACGTCCAGCTGTTCTTTATCATAAACGGAACTGCAAACGTCCTTGGTGGAGTTGGCTCCATGTTGACTGCTGAGAGGTGGTGGGCATATGTGATTCTTATTCCCGTCATTATCTCCTCCATCTTTTGCAACATCTGGTGGCGTCACAGAGTTGGATACAATCGACCCTACATATCAAACATGTCGCGCATGAATCTTGACATGATCACGGAAACACTTGAGGCGACATCTCAACTTCGACAAACTATCCACGATAGTACTGCAACTAATATGGAGCAGTTGTTCAGCGGCATGGCTAGTCTGCGCGATGTCCTCGAATTATTTGTCAAGTACGACTTATTTGAGCAATTCTGCCTCCGAATGGTCACCAATAAGCGAGTTAGACATCTTGTACTCAAAGCGCAGGACGCTCAAGTACAGATTAGCGTTGCTAGCATCCTAGAGGTTCGAGAGGAACACCATCCTAACATCTTGGCTGCTGCTTTGGTATTTCTGAAGAAGCAGGGACCAAGACATATGCTCCACAGGGAGAGATTCCTGATTGAAATTTTGGGGACATACCTGAACCAGGAGAAGGAGAGCCAGGCAGTGGAAGTTGAGAAGTAATGGGTCATATTTTTCATAATATGCTTGAATCTAAATTCAGTTTAAACAGTGTCGCGATGTTCTAACTGTGATCTATGTGTACATATCTGATTTATCCAAAGACAAATTCCCTGTAGTTGTCTGCTATCTTTGCAACACCCTCTTCCAACCCCCACTCCTTGAACTGGCATATAGCACGATACATCTCCTCAAGTTCATTGTCCATTCGATTGCCCGCCGTATGCAGATCACTCTCGACCAGTATTCGATTATCAGGAACAGCTTTAACTGCATCTTCGGCCTTCTCTCTTGCTCCTTCCGTGCTCAAATTATTAGATTTGCAGAAAGAAAAGAATATCTTGGCTGGAATGGATGGCTTCAGATATTGTTTCACGGCATCTGACTTTCCACTGAACGAATGGAGGCAGATTCGCGGGGGATAGGGCTTGGGAGACTCCTTTTCGACTTCGATGGCTTTGCTCTTCTCCTTTCTCTCCTTATCCCTTGATCGACGACCCCGCAGCTCGTGGCCTTTCCAGCACTCCGACAACGCATCATATAAGATCCCATGTACCTGGACACCATGCACGCTGACTGCTCTTCCAAGTTCGCCAGCAAGTTTGAGATGTGCCATAAACACGGCCTTTTGATGCGGAATCTGAATGCGATGCTGGCTCAGTGCTCTTCTTTCTCGACCTCCCGGGGTGCGAGTAGGATCTCTTTCAGGCCTCGGGTCAGTCCATTGCATCGGTAGTCGAAATGGCTTGTCCAGACCGATCTCGCCGATCATGGCGAAAGGGTCGTTGAGCAGGCGAGCCCTTGTCTCGGCGAGGAAGGTAGAGAGTGCTATAGGAACTGGTAAATCGCGCCAGAACGCAGGGTCCTCGGGGGCAGGTGAGAGAACTGCCTTATAATGCCTCCCTTTTGCAGCCTGGACATCTTGGGATGGTATATATGTAGGATTCTCTAAGGAGTCGTCAAAAAGCTCATGGCAGAACCACGGATGTCTTCCGTAACCTACGACCACGGTCGTTTTATCCTGTGAAAAGCAATCCGGACCTTTGACTCCGTGAGATTCCACAATTGTGGAAACGAGTGGTTGATCTTGGGTTCGAGTTGCCATGATTGCCACTGATCGGGCTTTCATATTTGGTAAGTTCTCTACTGTGAGAATGCGTTCTCCGATGTGATTGTGAGCGTCAAAAGCTCCCAGATGCCAAGGGAATGGTTCTGTGTGCTCGGGCAGCGGCTCTGATGCCGGACCCTCTTGTCGGTCGCACATACACATTGTGGCGGTTTGATGGAAGTGATGACTTCCTTTGCGGTATACTTGCTTGTAATGATGCAGTATAGAAGTAAATACAAATATGGCTTTTATTGAAAGCATTTGATGAGTCATGTGTAGGATGACTCACGTCAGCAATTAGTTCAGAGGCTCAGATACAGTGGACCAACAAACATGGTGATGCAGGCAACAGCATTTGTGCACAGCCTTTATATATCGCTGTACTATGGCAAGGTTATCAAGACGGCCGAATAATTTTCGTTTGTCTTTTTCTTTGTCTTTCTCGTTTGCTTTACCAAGGTGAAACACATTGCACATACGCGGCTGTGTCCTATTTAATATTAGCAAACGATGAAATTACACTGGAATAATATTGCTTTTGTTCTCCATGAATTATTCCATGATTTCAGAATCCAAATGATGTACAATGGCGCAGAGGAGGAGGGTTTATGTGAGTAGTTTAAAGCCCAGTGTGTTATGTTAACAACCAGGCAGTTGACCCCCCTGAGAAAACATGAAATCCTGTAATTCACGGTGTGGGAGATAACGATGCATGTTCATAAACTCTACGAAAGCATCGCATTATTAATAATTTATTGTCACCAGTGAAGCAGATACTCTGATCCGACTACCGATCTCACTTTTGTTGGGCGAAAAAAGAACCCTGCTTGTGGAATCCTTCGACCACCCTAGACTCCCTTTGTGTCCGGATCATTCAGAATAGTCAACTCGTTGTGTTTTAATGTTAACGAGAAGATAATGTGCTTAGGGCGTAACTGAATGAATTAAATCAACAAGTTATTATGTTGCTGTAATCTTTCACTTGCAATTGACCAGTCCCTGCTATTTATAGACCGACCAGACAGTAGTCTCTGTTGTACCTAAGAGTTATACTTGAATTTACAGTATTTACGCCTCTCCTGTTGGTGTGATTTACTCGAAATCACCGGGTCATCCATGATATAACCATAAATTCAAGTCTATTCCAAGTCATGACTCCTTCGCATCTCCTCAATGCGCCTACGGATCTCAACTTGATCCCCACGGACTTGGCGCTACGCCTCATAAACGGAGACCCACTAAATACAGCCCTCTAGTCTTCACTGGTGCATATCGCTGTGCTGAGCTTCCAGGGGTCGGACTCGCTTAATTCCAGCGAAATTGATAGTGAGCCACCTGCAGATCTAGCGCATCAGTGAGCCACCTGCATGGGAAACTGGGATTGTATTGAACTATCTCATTTGCAGATTTGGTCTTGGTGCGAGTGCGATTGCGGGTTTGATATGGTTGAAAGCCAGACTGACCCAACATGAGCTACAGGAACAAACAGCCGTGATGTATATATAAACGCAATGTTTCCCTTCGAATTAGACATTACCTCTAGCATCACCATTAAAGCACATCATCTCCATAGCTTCAAACATTTTTATACTCTAGAACCCTTCTTTGCATCTTTTACCTGGTATCAACTTCGCAACCATGAAGTTCATACAAAGCACACTTCTCTCTCTGGCGCTCTTCTCGCCCTTGATCACCGCCGCCGGGAAGTCAAAGCCCACTTGGCCCAAGCCTACCGACGGTTTCTACACCATCTCCAACTTCACATTCGACACGGGCGAGAGCCTCGACGAACTCGAGATCCACTACAAGACCCTGGGCAACCTAAAGGTCAATAAGGACGGCTCCAACAACGCCGTTGTCCTCTTGCACTCCACCACCCAGTCTAGCGAGCAGTTCTTTAGCGAGGACTTTGCTGCTGTTCTCTTCAACCGTGGACAGTTGCTCGACGCCAAGGACTACTTCATCATCATGCGCGATGCTATTGGGCATGGAAACTCAAGCAAACCTAGTAATACTGACTTGCGCGCTTCGTTCCCAAAGTATCAGTACCCCGATATGATTCGCGCCGACCATATTCTCTTGACGGAGCACTTCAAGCTCAACCGTACCCGCTTGACCCTCGGCGTTTCCATGGGCGGAATGCACATTTGGATGATGGGGGCCAAGTACCCCGGCTTTTCGGATGCTCTGATGCCCATCTCTTCATCTCCAGTTGAAGTCGGTGGTCATAATCGCTTATTCCGAAAGTTCATCACCGACATAATCACTCTCGACCCTGCCTGGAAGGGCGGTGACTACAAGGAGCAACCCGTCGGCGGCCTCGGAGGCTCTCTCTTCATTCAACTCACCATGCTCCAGTCTCCCGCATTCTGGCAACGAACCGCCCCGACCGGTGAAGCAGTGAACCAGTACGTCGATCAGGGCATCATCCCACGCCTTCTTGAGTTCGACGCCAACGACCAGCTCTTCGCCTGGAATGCCTCTCAGACATACAACCCCAAGGCCGGCCTTAAAAAGATCAAAGTGCCCCTGACTGCGGTCAACACAGCTGATGACTGGATGAACCCTGTCGAGCTTGGGTTTCTGCAAGATGGTGTTGAAAACGAAATGACTCCTGGGTACGGGCGAGCGGTTATTCTGCCTGCGAGCAAGGATACCACGGGCCATGATAGTTACATCAAAGCTAAACTGTGGAAGGATGAGCTTGAGAAACTTCTCGCTCGATCAGCTTCCTATTTAGGTCTAAGCAGCCTGGGAGAGTTGCATCATACGCCATGAGAAGGCGAACAGGGTCAGTACAATACCACAATACAAAAAGCGAGTATCAACCTGCGCTCTTTCCTACCTTAGTCGCCATCCTGAGTAGTCGCTGCTTTAGCCTGAGCTGAGCTTTGCCAAAAGTCTTTTGGCATTTCTGAGACTAAGAGCAAGTGCGACTACGTAGATATTAATTTACTGTTGCTTCGCGCGCCGTTCATTCTCCCTCGAAATCTTCTTGAAGAACGTGCTCTTTTCACCCTTGTTCTTCTTCAGTGCACGATTGGAGGATTCGTTCTCCTCTATATAGGCCATATTCTGCCTACCACTTAGTCCACCAAGGGCACCTGCTCCTCGTCTCACCTTGCCTTTCTTCCCTCGGCCACCGCCCGTTTTTGCACCGTGGAGATAATCTGTCTCGACATTTTCTTCCACTGAGGTTTCAGTGTCAATCAATGTACGCTGCAGTAACTCGTGCTGCTCAGAGGCAGTGGCAAATGCAAGATCAGGCATCTTGTCCATACCAGCAAGTTGCGTGATTACCTTGAAGGCGTATCCTTGGTCTACCAAGAAGGCCTGCCGCTTTGATGAGTAGTACATTTCCTGCGTATCTTTGGACACGAGGGAGTAGAAAAAAGCATTGAATCCTTCGTCATTTCGGCGCTTTGCTCGCAAGATACGGCCGAGTCTCTGGGCTTCCTGACGGCGGGAACCGAAATGGGAAGAGATCTGTATCAGACATGTGGCCTCAGGGAGGTCAAGCGACGTATCGCCGATTTTCGAGAGAAATAAAGTATTAACTAGTGGATTGCGCTGGAAGTTTTCGAGTATCTTGATTCGTTCCTCTTGTCCGGTACCGCCATAGATAAAGGCCTTGCCAAGTTTCAATGCATAGAGCTTGAGGGAGTAGAGTTCGTCTGAGAACACGATGATTTTGTCGCCACGTCCCTCATGATAGTTGATGAGGTACTGGCAGGCTTGAAATTTGGAAGGGTTAATGGCGCCTAGAGTGCGCTTCATTCTGGATGGGAGTTGTAGGTATTTCTCATAGAACTCAGTTGGCATCGGACACCAGACCTCTGCACACTGTACCCTTGCGATATGTCCTTGTTGAGAGAGCTCCATCCAGTTTGCTTCGTATAGCTTAGGCCCGATCAAAAAGTTAAGATGTGAGATCTTGTCGTCTTCGCGAAGGAGAGTAGCTGTAAGTCCAAGCTTAGAATGGGCCTTGATTGAAGAAATAACGCGGCGGAAAATATTCGCAGGGACGACATGAACCTCATCAAGCAGCATGAGGCCCCATTCCCGGCTTTTCAGAAAGTCCATCATCTTCTGCGAGTCATGGGACCGTTCGCGGCCGTTTGTGACCATCGAGTACGTCGTTACAATGACACCGGTACTCCCTGAAAATTTGTTCTTGTTCTCGGCAGTAAAGGTAGTGATGTCGTCTGGGTTGATATTAGACCATTTCAGAAACTCATGGCGCCACTGGACTGCAGAGACGGAGCTTGTGCATAGCACAATCACGCCCTTCCGGATCGTGCATGCGGCCGTGATGCCGACCAAGGTTTTACCGGCGCCACATGGTAGAACAATGATTCCGCTCTTGGCTCGACCGTTACCGAACATCTTGCTCAAGCTCTTCTCTTGATATGGTCTTATCTGTGTGTTCGGTCGCAGATCAATAGCCAGATCGGGGTTCACGTTATCGTATCGGAAGTCGTACTCTTCAAGAATTGGATAGGAGAGGTCCAAGCATCGCTTTTGGACGATTTCGACAGCAATGTCGGGAATTTCGAAGGCATGAACGGCTTCCTTCTCATCTTCATTGTCGTCGTCATTCAATACGGCTTCGATTTCAGCATTCGTATTCGAGGCTGAATTGTCTCTGTTGATGGCTTGAGAAAGATTGGCTTGCTGAACACCCGCAGCGTTCTTCGTTCCAGGAATAACCAGGCCACCCAGTGCTGGGGCGCGCATAGTGGTGATCTGATCAGAACCCTGCACTCGTAGCGGGCCGATAATTTCGTCTTTCAGTAACATCTGTAGAATTTCTGCATCGATACTCTCGACGAAATATTTGTTGTTCTTCAAGACAAGCTTCACCTTTCCGTAGCTCTTCGTGCAGGACGCGATAAATTTTCGGATGCTTGGTGGAAGCTCAGTTTTGAGGAACCGATCGAGGGTATTGATGATATCTTCGGGGTTCAGACCGACAGAGACAGCTGCATAGAGACTATGGGCCGTCAAGGCGTACTCGTGGAGGAAAGCAGGTCGGGATCGAGGTTCGGCGATCGTGATCAGAAAGTCGGTTGCTTGGTCTGCCAAGGGACTAAAACGCTCCATAATTATGACACCGCGGTCGGGATCGATCCATAGAGGGCGATTCGCGTTGTCAGGTTTGAGCGAGAGGTAGGAGAAATCCCGGTCACCAAAGTAGCTGTGTCTACCTTGATCTTGGGTTTGAAAGCGGTTGCTAGACACCGCCCAACAGTTCACAAACTGGTCTGACTCCTTCTCTAACTCTCTCTCCTTCTCTGTCACCTCCTCATCGACGTCGTCGTTGGTATCGGAAAAGGTGTTGGGGCTGTCGACGCTTCGAGGAGCCGAAGATCTTGGGGTTGATGTGCCAGAAAGCTTGCCGGCCTTGGAAGAACTCGATGTCGCATCTTGGGTCTTTCTCTTGGGGGGCATGTTGGCGGAAGAGCGATGCCGCAAAAAGCTCGCTCGACATTAGTGATACGTGTGTGTTGAAGGGATGAGAATGGTGGCTTCGCTACCGATGACGAAATAAAACAAAAGAGCTGACAAAGGATCGCGTTAGGCAGTTGTATCACGTGACACGCGCCCACCCGTTTCAGCCATCGTTCATTGGTAAATCGCGGTGTTATCACTAGGCTGGCCAAAGTGTGCACATGGCCATTATTGCTTATTTCATGTGACTTTTCCAAGGCGATCCTTCCTGCCATCGCGACTAATGTATTGTATGTCTGTTGCTGACGTCGTAGCTCAGCGCTAATTTGTCGATTATTCCGTCAAGCTTGTTTGAGTTGTTGTGGTGTTGACTTCCGAGTCTTCTTGAGAGAGCTGTTCTTACGATCCTCACTGATCCGCTGCTTGAGTGCTATGCATGCCTTTGTGATGAATGTCATGTAAAGCTTTTTGAAGTTTGCCATGGCAGTGACTTTCGAACTACTAGTTGAAATCGCCGAAACTACCTAAAGGAGTTAGCCAGCATTAGCCGTATGAATTAAGAGTCTATACAAGAGAAGCCATGATTTTTTTTTGGGTTCAGGCTTGTGAATTTGAGAAATTTGTTTACAGAATCATCCACATGGAGAAAAAGACCTGTTCCCGATTCCCTTTCCTATGCCTTCCGCTGCATTATATTGGGGGGTGCTAATGTGTTTCTATGACGGGGTGAGGCCAGTTTTGAACCCGTCCTCCCTGCTCAAAGTGTACACCTGAACCCCTAACTCATTCACAGTGGAGTAAGACTCCTGTTTTCTTAAGGTTAACCAGTATTCTGATTCGACACTGGCTAATTCACACACATAGGGAGCGTGAAGCCCATGAAAGCCCTACCCAAGCTGCTCAGATAGCCAATCAAAGCGGCTGAACTGGGACCTTACCACCCGTACTAGCTACCTCACTGTGAAAGTTTTAGGGCTTCTGGTGTACAAAAGCAGACACCACTGCTCAGGCAGGCTCGACAATAGGTACTAATCTTGCAGAGGAAACGGAATTGCCCGAATCTGTCCACATACCTTCCCTATAAACTATTCCTGTGATCTCTGGAAAACCCTCTCCAAGATCATCTGAAATGGCCTCCTCTTCCCCGCCCTGACGGGTCACAAGTAGCCTGCTGTTGAGGATAGTGCAGAAAAGCAAAATCGCAAAAGGAAAGCAGCGTTTATCAGTTTTCAATAGTAGTCTCTAAAAGATATTATTACTACTTATCCTAGAATTCTTAATTAGCCACTTAAAAGTAAGTCAATTATTTTAAAATGAGAAGATTTCGACTTGTACAAGAAAAGAATCAGGTCTACAATATGGATTGAGAAAATCAGCTATGAAGTCCATAATAACTAGAAATAAAAAAAAACAGTACGATCAATACTAAAAATTGTAACCAAAAGAATTTCATCACCTTACCCTAGATTATAAGATCTCCTTTAGTTATAATAACTTCATTTGTAAATATTTAAATAAGTAAAATCCATGTTTAATTTTTTAATAGATATCAAAGATGGTGGCGGGTAAGCACTTCACTTATGCGGCGACAGATCGGAGTGACCCCCCGTTCCCAATCCCTATGAACATGCCGCTGGCGGTCTGGGCTTCAAGTCCTTGCAGAGCGCAGCGGACAACGCTCTTGTAGTTGTTGAGGGGAGAGCATCGGGGGCAGGTAAGGTTATAAGCGCAACTAATCATGGCATTCTTATTTCTGTCACGAGAAAGCATAGTGATCGTGGGTGTACGCAGGGCAAAGAAGAGATTGGTGCGGAGAGAGGGGGTTTTACTAAATATTGATCTGCGAATAAGGTTTGATAGTAGAATAAATCGATGCCATATGCCGCGATGCTAACGGTCATAGAGTTCCAATAACAGGGACCTGGAATTCTGTGAGGATCGTGTTGAGCCCTGCTGATATACTCAGCAACCAAGTAAGATGAGATAACTACACAGATATCTGTTTCTACTTCGTAGCTACCGCAACATTGGCCTTGAACATAATCTTGTTCTTTCCATCTTCAAGCTTCTCAAATCCCTTCGTCAGCGTCAAGGCTTCAGCAACTGCATCCACCGCCTCATCCCACTTCTCCTCATCCGATTCCAACCATCCAGCAGTGGTAGTACCAGCGATAAAGCTCCAGATCATAGTAGAAAAACGTTTGAGATTGCCGATAGTCATATGAACATCCTTTTGATGAATCGTCACTTTATCCGGTGAAAATCCGCCTTTGATGACCACATCCCGCAATACCCCCGCGCCTTCCCATTTCTCAAGGCCCTGTCGTGGTAGGGGAGTATCGGCGGGTCGCGTCTGTTTGCACGCTGCGTGAATGGCAGGGAGGGTTGGCGTATACGCCCAGGAATTGACAATGGCGACACCGCCTGGTTTCAGCGTACGATACATCTCTTTCATCGCATCGACGCCATCGTTTGGAAGAACGAATACAAGCGCACTTCCGATGGAGTGCGTGAACGTGTCATCCGGGAAATCAAAAGATGATGCGTCCATCTTGAAAGCTTCAGCTGGCCATTTGTTCTTAGCGATGTTTTGACGATAATCTTCAAGGACGTCGTCGTTGATGTCACTCCCCTTGATGGCGACATTTTGGCTCTTGGCGCTGGCGACGATAGCTGAAGTAGCGGCTCCAAGACCACAGCCGACATCATGGAAGATAGCTTCGGTAGTTCCGAAAGGGTCTATACACGAAATGGAAACAGCAGCGAGCTGCTCCATGCCGTCGCCGACTATTTCTCCGTAGAGAGCTGGAGTGGGCATCAAGGCCTGCTTTGGGGCGAAAGTTCGATCAGATTCTGGGCCGTTCATAGTGAATTGTGGAAGATGGTCGGATACTTTGAGATTTCGAGTGATCTGGACTTTTCACGAGGAATTAGACAGTCATATATATATATATATATGTATCACCCTGAATTGTCTCCGAAATGTTTCCGCTGACATGATATCGGGCGTGGACATGTTTCCGGTATTGGTCTGAGTCTGAGTAAGATAAGGAATGATCTTGACTTGCATCTCCATCCCTAGTTTCTTTTGATCGGACTGTCAGCACAGCCTAGCCCAATTGTTGTCTAGAAAAGAAGAAATTCAAGGTCAAAGCTTCAAGTCCCACTCGCAAGAGCTGTTCTACGGATTCATCAGGGTAAATTCACGTCTGGAATAATTGGCGACCAGAGTTGTCACTAATCTATATCACTCGTCATGAATTACGGCAAAAGGATGGGCTTTGAAACTGGCTATGCTTAATTCCAAAGTTAGATCTGAGCCTTGTTTTACTGATTATTTCGTCCGCCGTGACTACTATTACATCCACATGCTTATTCTTTCCTCTCTATAGACTATCTGGTTAGTACCCTGCGATCAAACCTGATTGCGAACTGGCTATGCTACCTCATATCCATAGCCATCGACCCCATATTTGCACTCTGGAATATCGGCAGGATACCGACAGGATCTTCCAACACTTTGATCCTCTCCTCCAAACTCTCCTCCCCATCCATCAACTCCAGCTGCCGATTATGTAATTCCCTGATGTTCTTCCTCGTCGCCGTCATCTGCTCGCAGTAGATCTGGCAATAGTTTTCTAGGCTCTTGATCCGCTCTTGCAGTGATTCCACAATTTCCCAGGCTGCCGAACTGTTTTGGTACGATGCTTTCAGCTGTGTCGCTGATTCCTCTTGATTGCTCTCCACCATCTCCTCTAGGTCACCTATCCGGGCCACCAGGTTCTCGAGCTGGTAACTGCCCTTTTGCTGCAGCATGATCTCTAATTCTCTCACCCGTTTCTTGAGACCCTGAAGATCTTCACTTGTTCTTTGGGAGGAAGTCGACGAGTGGAAGCAGGAGAAGTGACCGCAGTAGCACGTTGCTCCTGGTAGCGATGTGTTATGATGAAAGCCCATGCAGCCGCATCGATGGCCTTTTAACTCTGGTATTGTGAGGATATAGCGACATTGTCCTTTTGGTAGCTCGAACGGATCTCCAGGCGGCGCTGAAGCTGACTGAGTGGAGCGTTGGAGGGTATGATGTGGGTGTGGGTCAGATGTAGATGGAGATGGACGAGATGCGCCGTTATCAGACATATAGACGACAAAAGGAATACGAGCAAGATGCAGAAATTAAAGCTAAAATGATCAGTAGAATGTCCAGGAGGGATTTTCCCGGTTTATGGCGTCTTATACCGCCATCTTGCCACAATTAGAGCCCACGCGACCCCGCGAGGGCCTCGGTTTTAAGGCCGAGAGGGGGGGACGTGGGGGTTCAGTATGGAGCCCAACGGCATGGATCTGTGGACGAGTAGGAGGTTATTTGGAGTCAGAGATTAGTACTAAAAGAGTGTGCATCCCACGATCTGCGGAGAAGTGTTGGGTAACATCCGGGAACAAGGACGGCTTTATGGCAGCCGATGACGGGTCGGTTGTTTTGTGTTGAGGGCCTTTTTACAGATGCGACATCGACATGTGAGAAGCAATACGTAGGATCCTATATTTGTGATATTTTCTAATACTTTCTTGTGATTGCAATACACAACTATTATGGCATCTTTATAACCACTGGCTATGATGCCTTCCCAGGAATTATTTCAGCCGCTCTGTGCGCCTATAAGCCGTTTGTTGATAGCCAACAGAACTGTATACAGAGTTTCAATCGTGGAAACATCAATACTAAGTTCCCGGCCCTTCTTGACAGGATAACCCAGGATAACCTCAACCTCCATCGGCTTACCGTTCTCATAGTCCGTCCGCATACTGCTCCCAATAGGTGGCATGCGAAGGATCTTATCGATAAGCTTGTCGATGAGCTCATCTTCAAGAGGCACGCCAAGAGCATTTGCAACATTAATGACCTCTTTCATCAGCTTTCTAGTCATTGGTGTTGACAGGTCTGAAGAGCTTAGCCAAGAATGCGTGTCCATGAGCGTCAGAGCCGTGAGGGAGTTCCACGCGGCGTTCCATACGACTTTCTCCCATCGTTGGACTTGGATGTTGGGCACGATCTGGAAAATGGTCTTGCCAATGGATAACAGAGACTCGAACTGCGAAAGGCGCTGGGTCTCGCGTGCCTCGTCGCCAGCTTTGTTTGGATATAGGCCGACTTGCATATCCTCGGATGTTGTATGCTCGATCACTCCTGGTTCTGGTTGCCTTGCTCCAACCCACGTCTATATAGGGTATTAGTGATGTTTTCGCAAATCATGATGAAGATGGAGCATACCACGCATGAAATGATAGTCACGTCCGGAAAACGCTCACGGAACGCGTCTTCGTTCCCAACACCGTTCTGAATAATGACAATAGTCGTGTTATCACCCACGCCAGGTGCGATATCGGCCGCGCTGCTGGCTTGGTCTACAGCTTTGTTTGTACAAATAATAAAGTCAAACTTTTGTTTAGCATCGGCAACCGACCTGAGTACTGACGGAATGGTCAGTAAAGCGTGTGGTGAATGCACGTCAATACTTGCCTTTATGGGGTTTCACATGATGCTTTCCGTGATTTTGACTGTCAATCTTGATTCCGTTGGCAGCGACAGCTTCGAAGTTGGACCGCGCAGCAACAGTCAGACGAACATGCTCACTGCGACTGAGAATGAAGGCATAAAATGAGCCAATCCTTTCTACTGTCTTAGCTTCAGGTGTGGTGACTGCGACGTACAACTCACGCTCCAAGTCCGTAGACCAATACTTCCAAAGTTTCGTTGCTCATTTTGAGGATACTCCAGACTAGACTAATAAGAAGGAGCAGACATGAAGGTATAGATAGATGTGGACTTCACTGCGTCGTGTGTGCTTTTCCGATTCCCCGAAACCCCTCATTTGAAACTCCATCTGCCAAGCTTGAGAGCGTGGGGGTGGAGGTGATATAGCCGATGCTCTATGCCGACAGGATTACGGAGACGCTGGCTACCCTAGAATCAGTCATTTCTAAAGTACAGCTAGGCTATATGGAGAACATGTCGCGTGAGACACTCGTCCTGGTCAGGTCGACTCTGGGAAAACGCGGTGAAGTCGATTATTACTGGGGTCTGAAATCATTGCATTGAGTAATTCAGCATATCGGAGGTGTAGGTCAAATGATGCATGCACTTCTGTCGGGCGATTGATCATTCTCTATTCAATCTAGTCTATAAACCAAGAGCAAATTTCTCACTCTACCACTCGCGAATGCTACCGTCAGGACCATGGAAAGTCTTGCACTGCCACGGCTCCGTCTCCTTGGCAATCTTAATTACCATCTCTTCGTCAATGTCAATTCCCAAACCATATCCCGTCGGCGCTTTCACATAACCATTCTCAAGATCAAACACAGCCGGATCCTTAAGATACGTGAGGAGATCGATATCCCCAGCCTCAGTGTTATAGTGCATCCCCAAGCTCATCTCAAGAATCGAAAAGTTAGGCGATGAGAGCGCGACTTGTACAGACGCAGCGAATGCAACTGGACCAAGAGGGCAATGAGGTGCGATAGCCACGTCGTAGGCTTCCGCCATGGTAGCAATGCGCTTCGTCTCTGAGATACCGCCCGCGTGGGCAATATCAGGCTGAAGGATATCCACACTGGAATCTTCCAAGAAGCGCTTGATATCCCAACGCGTATATAGCCGCTCTCCAAAGGCAATTGGAATAACGGTCTGGTCTGAAAGCTTTTTTATGGCTTCTGGGTGCTCAACAAGGATGGGCTCCTCGATGAACAAAGGTCGATGGGGCTCAAGAGCTCTTGCTAACTGCTTGGCCATGGCCTTGTGACAGCGGCCATGGAAGTCAAGACCAACATCGAGTCCTAGAGCCTTCACTTGTTTGAGACGCTCTACGGTGCTGTCTAAGGCTGATGGCGAGTCGATCCAGCCCAAGTCCTCAGTAGCGTTCATTTTCACGCAAGTCAGGCCTTGTGCCACGCGCTTTTTCCTAGTCGATGTAAGCAAAAAGGGACTGAAATGGCGATATTTGTTTGACTTACGCAGCGGCTTCAACATCTGATGGGCGGTCTCCTCCAATCCAGCAATATACTTGGACTTTGGTTCTGACCTTCCCACCGAGAAGTTCGTATATGGGGACCTTGAGGTTGCGGCCTGTCGATCCGTCAGCTCTAATCCGTCAGTGAGGAAAACCGATTTACCTTTCAAATCCCACAGCGCGATATCAATTCCTGAGAGTGCAGACATGAAAATTGGCCCGCCACGGTAGAAGCTATGTCTCCAAAAGGTTTGCCAGATATTCTCGATATCACTATAACAATATTAGCACCGAAAATGGATTGTGGCTAGCAGGTGATGAAAATGAACGTACTTTGCTTCTTGACCAATAATGCGAGGAATCATCTCATCGAGACAACCCTCAACGGCAAGATCGTGGCCCTCCAACGTGGCCTCGCCCCATCCATGCTGACCATTCTCATCAACGATCTTGACCATTAACCACCGAGGTTTAACTCGGTAGTACTTCACAGATGTGATCTTTGCCATTGTGAAAGTTTGTCGAACGTGAGAGAAATGTGAATTAGGAAATAGCCGGGATGTGGGCGCAAGAGGGAGACAGGAGGGGTTGTTTGTAGTTGTAACACAAATCCTTCTAACCCAGCATTTGTAACTTTATGAGTCGGCTTCCCCGCCGATGAGGGTTCGGTTAACATACGTAACATCGTCAGCTTATAACCCACTTGCCTTGACTCAGCTTAGTAGTGACCCCCACGAGAAAACAGGTTGTTTACCCCCACGATCGAGGATCTCCATTTCTGGGGTAACTCCAAAAGCCACCATTGGTCCGTATTTATGCCCAAGCTCCAGTGACTTGAAGGGCAAGGGTGTCCTTGTTCAGACAAGTTGACAAGCTTGTACCTTGTCGGGTCGATTCAGGTCGTTAGCGGCGAGCTCTCCACAGCCCTTTCCATACTCGTCCAGAATCCAAGGGTCAAGAAGTAATACTGGAGTTTCCCCCACGCTTCCTAGCGTTTATGGCCACTTGTCCTCTGGCTTACCTGAACAGCGCCCGCAGATAGTTTGAAGTTAGATATTTCGGAAAATCTTCGTGAGTCCCCGGGCCGGACAATCGGTGATTTGACATGATGGCAGTTCGTTCAGTTTCAGGTCCCACGGCTCTCATACACAGATGTAACCTCTCCCCTCTAGGATGGTGCATCTAATCGTAGTCTTCTGCATTAATTTGCCCAGGAACATATCATGGGAGAGATAATTACTCCATCTTGAAGGAGGTCTCGGTTGTCATGACTGTTAGATGGTGCCATAATGTATTTGTCTCCTGAGGAACCCTTCCGTTGCAATGCCATAGTCTGTAAATTATAGGGGATTGTCAATCTACAATGAGTAAATGAGTCAATATAGACCTTTCATACTTTAATGATCTTAACCATAGTAAGATGATACCAGCACTTAGACAAGCTGAACAATTTCTCACTCCACCATTCCCATCGCTGCTATAATAACTCCAGTACAACTTCATCCCTTGCCTATAGTAAGACTAGGATCAAAGTCATTCAGAAGGTTCAAGTTGAAGTTCGGATTGTTGATACTCCCAGGCGTAGCATTCCCAGAACTACCGCCGTTAGAGCCTCCTCCTCCAGCCGACTCTCCTACAGCGCCTCCACCAGTACCCCCTTCCGCAGATTCTCCTCCGTTACTCCCACCAGAGCCACCAGCACCACCTCCGCCAGTGCCTCCTCGGACAGATCCACCTCCGTTACCTCCTTCGGACCCGCCTGCGGATCCTCCACCGGTACCCCTCCAGCCGAGCCACCGCCATTGCCTCCACCAGTTCCTCCGGCAGAACCTCCTCCTGCACCACCTCCGGCAGAGCCTCCTCCCCCTCCTCCGCCTATTCCTCCACCCGCTAAGTCACCACCGCCTTCGCCTCCAGTCCCACCAGTGGATCCTCCACCGGTGCCACCTCCAGCAGATCCTCCTGCGCCATGGTGTGATAAGATCATATCATGTAAATGATTCGCAATTTGATCCCTACATATTATGTTTGAAGTCTGTTGCAACTGCCTGAGATATGGTGAGGGGGGTCTGAAAGTTTAAAAGAATGCCGACAACGTCTGGAGTTGCATAAGAAGTGCCGACATGACGGGGTCTGAGAGTGTCTTAATGTTTCAGATGCCACAAAAGTTCAGACTGCCGCCTAGCTTGCCATTGTGATGTGACGGAGAGTAACGCGAATCACAAGTCTCGCCACCATTGTATTGTTAGAGCAAAGTTAGTAGTGTCGCTCTTTTCCTTTTTTAATACCGCCGAGATTCCCGGTGCGGCTCGTGTCGTTTTCAATCATTCAGTCACCTATTGAACCCTGCGTAGATTTAATCAAGGCATTGTGGAAAGCAATCAAAGCGGCTGAAGAGGCCGCCCGTACAGATGCCTCGGCTAATGCAGCAGTTGGCTACCCAGTGTCTAATGTTGTTATACAGTCCTCACAACTCTTTTATAACCATTATAACTGTAGCGAGCGTGTTAGCATTCATAACTTAACTGCCAGTCTTTTAGCAGCTATCTATATAACTTCAAGCACCAAGCTTCTCGAATGTCAGGCCATTGAAGTTCAAAATTGAACACTAAGAGAAAGTACTTGCCAGTCATCGTGCCATCTGAGATATCCACAAAAAGGAGATATCAGTCAAAGTCTCAAACCCACCAATGCCAGTGTAATAACGATGGTTTGTAGTTATGATTGGCTGTATGGATCAGACATCTCATACACCTGTTTCGGGCCTCAAAGTTCCCTCGAGGTGAAATTTGAATAGTCATCCAGAATAGAAAGCTCCAAATCGGGACACAATACATTCTTTTATCATTGCAGACTTATCTATCGGCCCATCCACCCACCATCAACCGTAACGAGCTCTCCAGAAACATACAAACTGCCCCGTCCCGCCAGAAAGATAGTAACACCCTTGAAATCATCTGGAGCTCCCCACCTCCCTGCCGGAATTCTCGACAAGATACTCTCTGCTCTTTTCGGGTCGTTGATCAGTGCCTCATTCATATCCGTAGCCACATACCCTGGCGCCACAGCGTTCACGTTGACACCCTGGCTGGACCACTCGTTACTCAGCGCTTTCGTTAGCTGCGCAATTCCGCCTTTGGCCGCTGCATATGCGGGGACGGTGAGACCTCCCTGGAAGCTGACGAGTGAAGCCACGTTGATGATACTTCCGCGGTGACCATTCTGTGGATCTGGTGTTCGGGATAGCATGTATGCGCCAAAGTCCCGACATAACGTCCAAACAGTTTTGAGATTAACCTGGAGAACTTCGTCCCAATCACTCATGGGAAATTTATGTGCCGGGTGTCGTCGTTGGATCCCAGCGCAGGTAATCAAGATACTGATATCGTGACCATCCCCCAAGATGCGCTTGCTTAAGCTTTCGACTTGCTCCTGGTTGCTCAGATCTGCTGTATACACGATCGCTTGTCGACCGAGTTTTTCGATTAATGATTTAGTCTCGAGATTCCCTTCGTCCCTCTGTTTCGATATTAGTTATGTAGGGTGATTTGTAGCAGTGCTGTGGTCTTACTTGAATGAGGATGATGTCAGCGCCAGCTTCAGCAAGGGATAATGCCATAGCTTGGCCAATTCCCCTAGTTCCACCGGTAACTAGAGCCTTACGGCCTTTCAAAGAGAAGAGGGCGTCGAGAAAGCTAGCCATCGTTACAAAGAATTAGAGGTTGTATTGAAAAAAAATGGTTTGCACCTGGTGAAAAGCGTCGTGCTCGACCCAACTTTACATCGTTTAGATAAGGTGTTCAGAAATAGAACCCGATGTTCATGACTCGACTGAATGCAGTAGGATTCAATTCCCAGGTCGATGAAATGGTCAGCCAAGCTAGAACCCCCACGCAAGCCCCCGGCAAGGCCATTTATCGGCTTTCTGCCCGCTGCTGCAGGTATCCGAGTTGGTTTGCGGGGAAGCGTCACTAACTCGACGATGACTGTCATGCAAACCGGATATTAAACGCGGTGAAACGCTTGGTAGGGCGCGTGGGGGTCAAGTCTATCAATTTGTTCTTAGCTGGAGAAGGCATTCCTGCTGTATGAAGTCAGAAACTAGACGAGGAGGAAAATCAGCCGCAAACTCTGGGGCGTGGGGGTCCAAGTGTTGCTGTCAGATGGGTGGACGAAGGGGCATCGTCAATCTAGAGGTATGGATGTCCAACCAGATGAGATGCGAAAACACTAGTTTTGAATCTAGAACCTTTTATGTTGAACTCTATTTAAGAACTGGGAAAGCTGCAAGTTTATGGTTTTGTAGCAGTCAAACTTGCAGGGATCATGATTGTGCTGAAGGAGGAATATTTGGTTGATTACGCAAGGGCCAGCGTTGGATATTCATAACGGGAAAACCCTCACACGGTACCCATATGTAAGAGGAACAACATCCTCAAGGCATTATTTCAGGGCCTTTGTTTATTATCTATCATTCCAACAGTCAAATAATGACCAATCTCTTCGAGAACTGCAACGACGAGAATGATGAGTCCTACCATTCAAGACTTGGATCAAGACAGATGTGATGCATCGTCCAGCCGCTGGACCGCCGAGACACCTCGGCTTACCAGCGGTACACGATGCAAAATAAAGCCAAGACCCCCCACGAAAAGTCTCCATTTCCCCAGCTCCAGGTCGACAGTCGCCCTCCATCTCCTCACGACGGTACTCTTCCGTTAATTCCGCTGCAATCCAACCCAACAAACTCGGCTGTTGTGAACCTAATGACGTCGCATCTAAACCCAACTAGGCAACGGGGAACAGGAACCGGCCGTGATGCACCTCAGCTTCTTCTCAATGGATGACCAGCGTTGCAATTGGCATGACTCGCCGTTCCAGGGAAAACGTGCGCCCTTCAAAGTAACGATCGTCAATGGGACGGGGAAATTGGCATTGACCGCTCTACTCACCTCATCGTGGTTACCCCGCAACTTGGGCAAATATCTTGGTCCACTCATCCCCAGCTTCTAGTTGACAGTCCCCCAGACTCTTTACTCCTCTTTTAACCGCGTGGGGGGACTTGGATCATCTACCGGTGCAGGCTTTCAGAACTCTATGCAGGGAACTTGTAAGACCTTTCCCCTCAGCTGATCACACACCTATCTACTCACTCCAAGAAAGTGAATAAGAAGGAAGATCTTCGCTGCTTCGACATTGAAACTCTCTCCTCACTTCTCCACCAGCATCTTCTACTTCGGTCTCGCCATCATGTCTCACACCGCAAAGGACGATGAGGCGCCTTATCAGCAGCACGCAGAAGAGGTCGAGTCTCAGATTGCAAAGCCCACCCTCGATCCCGGCCATGTCGACCGCGCTGCTCAGATGATAGGTACCCAGCACATTGAGGTCACAGAAGAGGACGTAAGTTTCATCACCATCACCAGATAAACCACCCGCAGCTAAACTCTCATCAGAATAAACGCCTTCGTCGCAAGACAGATAAACATGTCCTCTCCATCCTCGTCTGGGTCTACTTCCTCCAGATCCTCGACAAGTCCGTCCTCGGCTACGGCGCCGTCTGGGGTATGCGCGAGGACACGAACCTCAGCGGCAATGAATACTCCATGGTCAGCTCCATGGCTCCCATCGCCCAGCTCGTCTGGCTGCCCTTCTCCTCCTGGCTCATGGTCAAGGTTCCCCATCGCATCTTTATGGCCAGTCTCGTCCTCGGCTGGGGAACCGCTCAGGCATGCATGGCAGCTTGTACCACCTACCAGGGTCTTATTGCCACTCGATTCCTGCTTGGTCTATTTGAAGCGGCTTGTCTTCCGCTCTTCTCCGTCATCACATCGCAGTGGTACAGACGTGCTGAACAGCCAATGCGCGTTGCTTGTTGGTATGGAACCAACGGCGCGGCCAACATGTTCGCTGCGGCGCTATCGTTTGGCCTCGGTCAGATCAACGGGTCGCTTGCGTCGTGGCGCATCCTGTTCCTCTTCGCCGGCCTTATCACCGTGCTTACAGCCCCCGTGGTCTACTTCGTGCTTGACAACGATATCGTCTCTGCGCGCTTCTTGACAGAGCATGAGAAGCTGCAGACGATCGAACGACTCCGCGCCAACCAGACTGGAACTGGAAGTCGCAACTTCACGTGGTCCCAGGCTTTGGAGGCGCTTATCGAGCCCAAGACATGGTTGTTCATTGGCATGGCTCTGTGCCTCAACGTGACCGCCGCCGTGACCAATACCTTTGGACCTATCATCGTCGGTGGCTTTGGCTTCGACAAGGGCGTCACGTCGCTGCTTAATATCCCGTTCGGTGCTGTACAGCTTCTCGTCATTTTCCCAGCCTCCTACCTTGCGCACCGATACCGCCTAAAGTCAGTCTTCCTTGTCGGCGTCATGCTGCCCGTTCTTGCAGGCGCTGTGATGCTCCACCAACTCGGACGCGACAACACAGCGCCTCTCCTCGCCGCATACTACATGCTCGCGTTCCTCTTTGGCGGCAACCCACTCATCGTCTCGTGGATGATCTCCAACATTGCCGGCACCACCAAGAAGTCGGTCATCATGTCCTTGTACAACATTGGCGTCTCGGGTGGAAACATCATCGGTCCTCTGCTGTTCAGCTCCAAGGATGCGCCCACCTATAAGCCTGGTCTCACCAAGACCATGGGAATTACCGGGGCTATGATTGGTGTGATTCTCTTGCAATTGGTCAACTTGATGTTCTTGAATAAGCTGCAGGAGCGCAAGCGTGTGAAAAATGGCAAGCCAGCTAAGATTCGAGATCTCAGCATGGAGCATCGCTATGTGGCAAATGCACAAGAAGGAGAGGATGAGGGCCAATTGGGTCAGAACGCTTTCTTGGATTTGACCGACTCCAAGAACGATGAGTTCGTCTATGTCTATTAAGGAGTTGTGTTTGCAGTTTTGGAGTTTCCTGACTAGTAGCGTTTCCAATACATTTTATATCCACCATCTGATCAATGTTTCATTTTCCTCTTCGCGGAGTAACAAAAATATGTATGCGAACTGCCCCATGCTTTCGCCTCCGCGAGTCCTTCACCGGATGTTAATTGAGTTGGCTGTAGGTTGACTGGAAATGTTGACAGCCCGTGGAGAACGAAGGTATCTGACCAGTCGAAGAAAGCTTAGATTTGTTACTTATTGAAGTTTTACTTCCTAGAAGATCAATTCACATCGCGATGGTCAAACTTAAATAGCAATCATAATAAGGGTATATAACAATGAGTATTTACACCATGAGCAAGCAGCCGATATACGACAAAATCCATCAAGGATTGTTAAGATCAGGCGATTCCTAACCTGACATTTCCCCCAAAGCGCTGTAAAGATCCCTTGATCTCACTGTACCGCCTTAATCATCCTTCCTCATCCCCTCAAGCAGAGTCAAAATTCTTCTCGCCTCGCTCAATGATGGCAGGGGGCTTAGCAATCTTCTTGCGAAGAATGTGTCGCTTGATAAAGTATGGAAGCCAGACCTTTGTCTCGTATGAGATGAACTGGGATGTAGGAACGGAGAAGACCTCTGTATTGTGCGTTAGTGGTGGTTCAGAAGAGATGAGGAGGTTACTTACGGTCCAGTTCTTCGAGTGTGAGTTGCTTGGTCTCACGAACGAACATGAATATCATAGCCCAGGCAATAAGGTTGAGACCAGCGTAGAAACCAACTATAATCTTGTTAGATGATGCATCGCCTTGGCAAGAACGGAACAAACTTACAGGCTCCAGTAGGGGACATGGCCTTGGTCATTCGAGGGAATGTCAGACCGAGGATACCAGCTGCAGATTCTTCGTCAGTAGTGTAGTTATGCTGTTGAAACCTTGGAACTTACCAAAGGTATTGTTAATGCAGACAGCCCATGCCATACCCTGCTCACGCTGGATGGTGGGAAATACTTCGGCAGAGTATTGGAAAGCGACTGGTCCTTCACCTAGGGAGTAGGCAATGGTGAAGAGGTATACAAACCTAAACTGTTAGCTAGAAGACAAAGAAGACAAGCACTATGAACTTACAGGACAACGGGTCCAATCTGTGCACCGCGGCTACCGCTGTGGTTGAGGAGAGACAGGCCGGCGGCAAGCAGGAAGACACACATAAATGGGAATGTCTGCAGATGGTTAATACCGATACTGGATGTAAAGTCTCAGCAACTTACAATGAGACACAGAGTTCGTCTTCCCTTGGTGTCGATCAAGAACAGCGTGGGGATAGTAGCAACTACCTGAATGGCACCATACCCGAGTGAAGCATACAACGCTTCGACTTGTGAGTACCCAGCGTTGACGAAGATGGTGGAGCTGTAGAAGGAAATGACTAAATATCGTCAGTACATCACATGGGAAGATAGAGACATCTAACATACTATTGATACCACACATCTGCTGAGCAATCATGACGGTCGAAGCACCATAGTTGGCACGTCTAATGCGAGGCACCGCAAAGCAGTCCCACAAACGCTGAAAGTACCCAGCACCACTAGCAACAGCCAACTCCTCCTCGTAGATGACCCACGAGTAGTAAAAGTCCCTGGCGGCGATGATGTCGTGCGCGCGCAGACGCTGCATAGAATGGAAGCCCTTGGCATGCTTGCCGTGCTTCATCAACCAACGCGGCGACTCAGGGCAGAAGAAGATACCGATGCCAAGAAGGAAGGATGGGATGAAGGCCGAGCCGAGCTGCAGTCTCCATGCAATCTTGCCTGTGTCTTTGACGATGACGTTGGCGCAGAAGCCGAGGAAGATGCCGATGACGACCCAGAGCTGCCAGAACATGACCAGAGCACCACGGATTCGGGCGGGTGCCATCTCGGCTGAGTAGATTGGAACAGTGGCGTTTTTGGCGCCGATGCCGATGCCCATGACGAAGCGCACGGCGAAGAGTGCTTGCCAAGAGTGTGTGAAGCCGGAGGCGATAGGGGTGGCGGTGAGACAGCAGGCGGTAACGAAGATTTCACCACGACGGCCTAGGTAATGGTTAAGAGGATCAACGATGAAAGCGCCACTGTGATTGTTAGCAGTTGTTGCAATTGTGAACCAGCAATGACATACATGAGGCCGGCAGTCAGGAAAATAATGGAGTTGACAAGACCAACAATCCACTGATCGCGAACACTTCTGTCCTCATAAAGACCGAACTCTTCCGGAAAGGAGAGATTGGCACCGTTGGAACCTGTCTGATCCCATCCCTGGGTCGCGGCTCCGATGGCGCACAGCGAGATGGAGTACCAGAGCATCTTGGGGCCGTGCCACTTGTGGTCTCTCTCGTACTCGAGGGCCTGGCGCTCACCCTCGGTGAGCTCCTTGACCATGTTGAATCTTTCAGAGTCACGAGCGACGAGGGCTGCGCGGCCGAAGAGCTCGGCGTGCTCGGACATGCCGTGGCTTTCTGCGAAGAGGCGCGCATCGAGGACGGCTTTTTCGGGGGTTACGCGCTGGAGAGAAGTTGTCAGATTTAAATTGTTCAAAGGCTCAATTGGCAATTGATTGTTGTTGGTAAAGGTGGGCAGGGGTGGGTTATTGCCAAGACGTTAGGCGACAGAGCCAAGAGAGGTCTTCCCCACGGCCAAGAAGCCAAGAGGCCAAGAGATCGCCAAGCTTACCTTGAGCGGGTTCTCCACGATATTGACAGCGGTAGATCCACGACGCGCACCGCCGGTGTCGTGAGTAGCTCCAAGAGCGTCTTTCTCATTGTGAGACGCCTGAGGGACGTCGGGGCCCAATTCCTTGTTATCCATTGTGAATTGTAGAGGATGGTAGGATAAAAGATGCGATGCTGGTTTGGAGTGAAGGAAAAAGCCAAGAAAACTAATCAGGGAGGGCAGATCGGCCGGTAGATTAAATACCTGGGGGCAAGATCTTTTTTTTCCAAACGAACCCCAGACTTGGGTGCCCGGATCCCCCGCCTTGGTCTGGGGAAGAATTGGGATTGGGTTTTGGACAAGATCAGCGGAGGTTGTCTCATCCACGGCTCATGCCCCCCATGCTAAGGTAGCTTGGAGGGATGGGCTATCCACTATCCACACATAGCGCGCGGGTTTTCTGACCACCAGTTTCTGGAGAAATGTGGAAACTTAAGGTTAAGTTATGCTTTGGGTACGGACTCTACCAGGGGTCTTTTTTGCTTGCTTGCTCTTATTTGGGTATGGGGTTACACTGTGGGTTGGACAGAGGTTTCGAGTAAGGGTCGAGTGTCACACGGAATTGCCCTTGATTTTGGGAGGGATCTTTCCTGACAACTGGTTAATCTCACGGCGGCAAGGCCATTGTGAAAGAATTCATTGGTCAGAGATTCAATGATCAATTGGTATTGAATCACAACTTAGCAGTATCAACGACAACGCCCAAGACAATTGACTCCTCCAGTCTAATCTCCGCGCTCCATTCTTCCCCATAAAGATCCCTCGTGTCATTAAGATTGATCAAAAATTGGAGAAGCTCTCCTCCGCTCAAACCAATAACAAAACCCCCCTCCCATCCCGCACTAGCCAAAGCCACTGATCACGTCGGAATATTTGGGGTCTGGGGGAACAAAGACGTACCGATTAATTCGGCTGCCTAAACGTCATCGGCTAAGCGGCACAGAATGACGTAGTGGAGCATTCGCCAAGGCATCAGTATTTCCTGGGTGTTTACTGGCTGCGGAGTAAAGGATCTGGTGCTACCCCAGGCATCCGTTTAACGGTACAGTAGCGTTGCTATAGCTTCTGTTCAACTTGCATCCTTCGTCTCTGTTTTATATTGTGGCTTTTGTTTTAATGGTTCGAGAATGACAAAACCTCAGAGTATTGACTGAATATGCCTCAACTGTAGAGGGGCGTTACTCAACAAATCCCCAGGTGAGGAGCTGCAGTTGCACCTTGAATCCATCCACCAAAAACTTAGTGTTTCGACGTTACACTGTTGATGCATATACATACACTAGGCCACCAATGGCTACCTCAATGATAACAGCCAATCACGATCTACAGCTTCTCCAATTGTGACGGGAATGAGACCATCATGGACGCCCACTTTGTTCCCGATTGAGTTTTAGGTGCGACATTGGAATAAGGGTGCCTAAAAAGCTACGGAACAAGCGGAGTACTCTGTCCGCTCATGTGATTGCTTCAGTTCCGGGAATTTGTATTTCCTTTCTAATGCGGTCTGGGCTTGAAATCTTTGGCAAGTTGACTCTATTGTCACTTGAGTTTCAGTGGAGGAAAAGGAGGGGATCCAATGTGGTTGATCTGCTGATTCTTCTACATAAATAATCTCTAGCGTGCTGAGCAACGGGCGTTAATCCCACCTGTTATCTGACATCGGCGTTCAACTTCCTTTCAATTTATTGGTTTGGCTTGGCTCACTGCAACTTCTGGCCATCTTGATTGGCAATGATCTTCATCCCAGCCGCACCACTTAACAATCCTTGTCCACAGCAAAATACGGTAGCTTTAGGGAGTACATAAGATCGGTAGTACCTCGAACTTGTTTGTCATACGATTCTTTTTGGAACTGCTGTCAGTCTGATGCAAGCTTGAACCTGTCTAGATTGAAGTTGCATCCTTTCCAACCCTAACCTTAAGCTTATGGCTGCGAGGCAGAAGCTCAATTGGTCGTGTTGGGACGCTCCAGACAACAAAATACCAGACGAGAAGACCAGCACCTAAATATTTGAAGTAGACAGCTTCCTGAATTCTTGCCAAGAACAAACTGCACTACCGGGAATAAGCACACTTGTTTGCCTGCCCAAGCCACTTGCAGCTGTGTTGAACCCCAACTCAAATACGTCATAGGTTCGCAAAAATGTCTGCTTACACTGACCCTCCAGGACACAAGTGAGGGGTCATGATTGACCTCGTGTGAGTATTGTATTTGCAACCTGATGTGGAAAAGCAGCGGTGTCCTGCACACACTAATTCAATTGATTGACAGGCATGTTTTATCGTGTTTAGTTACATAAGACTAGAGTGAGTGTCTAGGGTAGGGGCTCATCTCAGTAAATTATCATACGAAAGATTTCACTGTCGTAACTTTTAGTAGAAAATATCGATAAATACCAATTGTCATTGTGTGTACTCGCGAATGAACTGGATATATTATACCGGTAATCTATTTCAACAACCTGTAATAACGATGTGTGGGAAACAACGCTTTTCATCCACTGCTCGTACTTTAGACCTTTTCTTGTTCAATTCTCCCGGGAACCTTCGCTTTGGATTCGACATTTTCTTTATTTCCAAAACCTTAAGACAATGACCTTGAGAAAGAATAATCCCAGAACCAATTTGGTTGTTCAAATTTCTGATCAATTGTCTCCGACGTCGTGCGATCCTCGATGCAGCCTTCCTACGACCCGGGTACACAGATCTTCTCAAAATCCCATAATCTTAGACCATATTTCCATTTTCCACTTTAGTGTCATCCTCCCGAGCAGATGACCTCGCACCACCACGACGTCTCCAATCGAAGAGAACATGAGGCTTCGTCTTAATACTCTCCCGAAGCTTCTCTTCGCTATGATCCATCCACGCGCCTCCCTGAACATGACTGACGGGGTACAACGGTGCTCCTCCCAGGAGAAATCTGTCGCCTCCACGTCTGTCAAAAGACGCCGTGATGTCCAGGTCCGTGGCAATTTGATCACAGAAAACCTCCAAAGGCAAATCGTTGACATCACGACCAAAGGGGTTCTCGATCTCTTGACCGATAAACAGTAATCCGAAAATTATGTACGCTGCTGTGATGGTGGCGGGGATGGCGATCCAGCCAAGTGGGCCCGTCAATTGGAATGGCAGCAGAATGACATAGACAAAGGTAATCTGGCTGATGGCGATAGTGTATGCAATGGGAAGGGGTGTGTTGAGGACACGGTCGCAGCCGACGGCGACATCGTTTAGCGTGGTAATATGGTTGTACGCGACAGTTTGATGGATGGGCAAGGGCAGTTGTTTGTTGGCAACAAGTGTGTCAATGGCAATTGCTAGATGATTTAGAATCTCCAGAGGGAGGTTCCCCTGATGTTCCTCGGCTCTCTTGATATGCTTTCTTGGGTCGCTCTGAGCAAATGACAAACCAAGATACTCGCCAGCGATCTTGTTAAGATTGGAAGGTTGTCTCTTAGGTACGCTGGTAGTTCTCCCAGCGAATGTATCAAGATGGGCGATATACTGCTGCATATCAGGCTGACTGGCGCAGTGCTCAAAGCGAAGAGTGTGCTTGAGGGCAACTGCGAAGCCAGCGATGAGTTTCAAGGCTGCCAGTTTCTTGACAAGCACTTCGCGAGGGCCCTGTCCATCAGCGCCGGTCTCAGAGGCATGGATCCAGATTATGCGGCCGAGGGTCTGAGACGCAGTGGCTAATGTTCCCCAGTAGCGACGGCCCTCAGCGTAGCGCTCGTAAGCTGTCGATGACCGGAAGGACAGACTCAGACCGACGACAAAACCAAGGATGGTGAGAAGGACTGAGTTGACGCTGAGTTTGTGATAGACCAGCTTTGAGAGACTGGTGATCAAAGTAGACCAGCAGGCTACTAGGAAGAGTGGGATGATCAGCGATGGCATGATGGAGCCGTGCAGCTGCAGGATAAGTGGCCATTTCGAGTGTCGTTGCAGATCTCGCGGGCCGCTGAAGTAGTTCAAATCATCGAGGTTGGTATGCGCGTGGTGGTTCTCATGGTTGAGAGTGGGGGATGGTGCGCGGTCGTGATGATCTGAAGAACTTCCTGCAGCTGAGTGATCTTGTCGGATATGTGCCTGGGGGTATGGCTTAGCATGCGGATGGATATCCCCGCCGGCGTCAGACATGATGATTATCAAGACAAGTGGAAGGGGAAAAGAAGGCAATCAAGTGCACAGTAGCACTACGCGATAGATAATGAATACGAGAGTAAGAAATGGTTAACAATTAAAGGGTTACCCTGGTATTATACTATCAAGATCAAGTAAAATGAAGCTTCCCAAAATGGGCCTATAATTCGAGCCCTCCAGCTGAAAGTTTAGTGCTGATGGTAACAAGGGACTTGTGACTAGCGGTCAGATTGTAGCCAGTAACGATAGACCCTTGGTGTAAGCATTCGCCAAGCATCGTTAGGCCAGGGTCTCCTGCAGATGGGGCTCGATTATTTAACCCAACCTGATGTTAGGCTGTTTGAGACCATGGGCTAGAGCGAGCTTTTTGGGCTGTGTGATTGATTTATCAGTTCTCGGTTCTAATTATAGTAATATATCTTTGTTAGTGGCGACGAGGGAGCTTATTGATGTTCAGCAAGTCATTGGACAAAAACAGCACCGAGTTGATACAGCGTTGATGGAATCAACAAATAAACAAGACCAGATTAGGTAACAATCCTCGCAGAAAATACGGACTAAGATAGGTGTTATTGTTCGAAATCTCCATTGGTAAGTCGAGTTCGAAGGTGGAGGCAGTGATGAAACCACTTCCCATGGTCGCGTGACCACGTAAATCCGTGGTAAACTTGTATAGGTAGTCGTCAAAGAAACATATTATCAGTATGCACTATATAAACCATGCACCTTCTCAATTCTCGTCCATGTACATTGTCCCCGCATAAAGTCCCTCATACCCAAATTCCTCACACTCGTTCAACTTTGAATCGAAGTGGAACCTTGGATCGCAGAATAAGACTTGGATTTCTGAACTCCAACTCCTCATCCTCTTGAATCTCGAACTTGAACTCTCGGACCATTCCTACCAGCAAGACCTTCATGTTCAATAAAGCCAGCGCCTTTCCAGGGCATATCCGAGGACCGTTTGAGAAGGTCTCCATAGCAAACGGACTCACGGCTTCACCATCCCATCGCTCGGGCTTGAAGACCTCCGCATCGGCACCCCAGATCTCCGGGTTGAGCTGGATCATGGCTGGTACTATCTGCACTGTCGTTCCCTTTGGGATTTGTACGCCAGCGATGGTCGTGTCCTCTAGTGATTCCCATGGGACGGTCAGTGTGGGTGAGTAGACGCGAAGAGCTTCACGGATGACGTTGTCCAGATAAGGCAGTTCGTCTATTGTCTTTGCCGAGATCATGCTTGGTTCCAAGGCGAGAACCTTGTTCCTCAACCGGTTTTGCACAGCAGGGGCTTTGGAAAGTGCGTAGATTGTCCAAAGCAGAGCACTGGCGGTTGTCTCATGCCCTGCAGCGATTACTTGCATGGTCTGGAAACCTCGTTAGTCCAGCACAGAAAAGAGGTAGGTTGGCAGCTTACAATATCGATTAGTTCCTGTTTCGACAGCTTTTGCTCTTCTCCAGCACTAGCCTCGATCATCCTAGTCAGCATATCATCAGAGAGACCATCTTGTAGATCTTGATCCTTCGCGGCGTGCACCTCTGCTGTGCGCTGATCGATCAGCTCCGTCATCATGGTTTTCAAGGCAGATTTGGCTTGGATAAAGTTCAAGTTTGCCGAGACTGGAAGCCATCGAAGTGGGATAAACGGGTTGATGAAACTGATTACTTGACCGGCGAGAGGCTGTGCGAGGATAGCGCTGTAGCATTGCTCGAACGATAGAGGCGAGGATTGTGATCGAAAGTCGCGCAGTTCTTTGCCGAGTAATGAGACCCCGATTACGTCGAGTGTTACTCTTGTAAAAGCCTCTTAGATTGAATGCACATGTTAGTTACGAAAGAGCCGGCATGAGTCTTATGGGAAATACCTTCAAAGACCCCATTTTCGCTCTGTTTCATAGCATGCTCAATTTCATGGTTGAGCTTTTCAGAGTAGTTGAGAAAGATAGGAAATAGCTTTCGTATACTTGGACGAGACAAAGGACCTTTGGAGTCAGAATCATCACCTGATCTTCAGACCACAAACTCACCTGCAGTAATACGTCTCAATCTCTTATGTTGATCGCCAACACTGAATAAAAGCCCGACGCCGAGAAACTCTCCCACAAGAGTGTGAAAGAAAGCCGGCTTGGCAAACAAATAGGCATTCTTTTGCAGCACCTCTCGACATGCGTCTAAATTATTAACAAGCAGGACTTCTGAATTGAGCCAGGAGAGACATCTTATAAAAGGCGCATCTGGCCAGCGACGCATCCACTGTAAGTAAAGTTCGTTGGGACCTGCACCACGGAGGACCTGCACAGCGTGCCCAACTAGGAATTGAGGACTCTTTTCAGGATCGCCGAGTTAGTGAACTAGATAGACACTGTATACGAGTCTGCGGTTGATGTGCTTGCTAGATTGAGCTCACCTTGGGACCGGGGAGATGTCGCAAGTGGGAGAAGACTGGACGGAGTAGGACTCGGATGATAGATTGGAGTAAGATACCGAATATCCCCAGGACAGCGGCCGACGCAAGGGTTTGATAAGATACATCCATAGTGGCCAGCGATGGTTCCTCTCAGGCGTGATTTCAGAGGTCCGATGGCCTAGAAGTTACTGTGTAATGTCGTGTGCAAGGTTATCTTTCTGAGTAATGGAACAATTTTGATTTCGTTCATTCCATTTCCGTCGCTGACTAAATACTGACCTGAATTGGTTCGTTCATGATCCTTGTCACTCAGGCGGCCCCTCAGTAAGCGGGATTCAAGATGTGCTGCATGTTCTTGTGATCTGGCCAATCGACGATGCACAGTCATGATGACTAGGTTTTTGGTAAGCACCAAGTATCAATCAAGTCTGTATTTTTCGTTCTCTATTTTATAATCGCCGCAAGTTAGCTGATAAGATAATGCTTTTCGTAGAATAAGACAGCTGTAGCCAAGTGTGCGAGCTGCCCGGCTGAGACTTTGACCAAACACGGAAAGTAATATCTACCGAAACACAAACACCAGTCTTACAAATTTGGTGACGAGGGCTTGGTGTTCAGCATTTAATTGAATTGGCAGTTTTTGCACCACATCTCTAGTATTTCTTTTTTTTCACTAACTAAAGATAAGCGTGAAATAGAAAATAATACCACACGTATACTCTGTATGTTGCTACGTTAACGCTTTCAGCAAACTGGAATGTCAAACGTTTCAGATGTAAGAGCCTTAGTAGTAGACATACCCTATACCTGTGTTCCCTTTTGCAACTTGGGCAGAATGACATCCCCACTACAAACAAAAGATAAGATTACTTCTCGCTCATAGAGATTCGTTCCATCTGTACTTGAAATAGCATTTAGAATTTTCTCAAGACCTACTCTGGCGATCTACCTTGAATTACAGTTCAACAGACTGTACAAATGTGTTACCAAGTAGGCAAGCCTATCACAAAAAACTTTCAAGGACAATGGACCCCCTCACCCCTTTACGTCTTTTGCCACCAGAAGATTTTACAAATAAACAGTAAATGCTCGTTGTAAACTACCCAGAAGTTTAATCTTTTCACACTGCAAACAGCAATCTAGATCATACTACCAAGATTTAAACCTCCGGTATTTGATCCAAGCAGGTTTCCACCTTCAATTGATGATTAGACTATAAATGCCTACTCTTATCAAAGGGCTTTATGACAATGAACTTGTAATGAATATGCCAAGGTAAAAGTGTATGACTGACCTCTCGAGAGCCAACGACTACTTCAAAAGCGACCACATGGTAGTTTCGCGAAGCCAACATGGATTTAACTGCGCTGGACATACAGCTCGAATTCAGCAAAAGTCCATTGATTATAATCGAAAGACACAGAACATCAAATTTATTTGTTAAGCATTGGGGGCGTTGGTCATGAGTGGTAGCCTTGCTGGGAGAAAACTATTCGAGCTTCTGTAAATGCCTCAATATGTATGTGGTAAATCTCAACACCGCTGTGAGCCAAGTCTTTCCGGCGCTAGCCAGTGCCTTGATAAAATCGAAATTTGTGACAGAGAACTAATAATACGCTCTAATTCCTGGATCATGGTCCGTTTGTGAGTGGCCCTGGTTGTCTAACAAGGTTGCAGCGGCGGGTCAACGATCCAGAGCGTTATCCCCTCACGTCACTCCATCGAAGTAGCGGCCGAGACAAGAAAGTTAAGCATATTATTTACCTTAAGTGAGCATGAGCGTGGGGTCTCAATCGATGGCGTTGAGCGTGTGATAGGCTGTGTTTGCTGCCAAGATACCCTGATAGTTACCGCTTGGTGGGAACTGCGAACCCGGATAGACAGTAGACGGACAGAATCACCTACCGCAAACCAGTTTAAGAAATTTCTAGCTACAAGGCTATTGAAAACTTTTTAATGTGATTCGTCAGTTGCTGAAATATGATGCCACAGAGAGGAACCCGTCAATTGACTTTTCAGTCGAGGCCCCGGCGAGTTGTTTGTCTCAATCCACCAACATGGTTACGTCCGGTCACTTTTGCCAGCCCCCGCGCCTTTAACGATGAGGGATTAGAGACTAAAGCTAGAAAATGAAAGATTTTCGTTTGCCTCGCAGTTCGCAGTAAGATGTTCCCACAGTCTGGGTACCCGGATGTGACGACAAGGGTACAATGATCTGTGGTAGACCTGTATAAATACCTCCCAAACACCTCCTGCATAAACCATTCTTACCTCCTCAGCCTCTCAACTCATCGCCTGCTTGAACTGACAACTCCAAAGACAAGTCTTTCCATCCAACCACCTTCAAGATGATGTTCAAGTCCACCACCGCGGCCATCCTGCTCTTCGGAGCTGCTGCTGCCACTCCCATCTTCGGCCGGGAGGAGCCCAGCCAGACCAAGTCCGCTCCCCAGTCCACGCAGACCAACACCGTCTACGACTGGGCCGATGGTTGGGCCAAGGAGTATCCTATCCACCAGTCCTGCAACGCGACTCTTCGTCGTCAGTTAACCACTGCTCTGGATGAGACCGTCCAGCTGGCTCAGCACGCCAAGGACCACATTCTTCGCTACGGACACAAGTCTGAGTTTGTGCAGAAGTACTTTGGCAACGGCTCGACTGCTCAGCCTATTGGTTGGTATGACCGCGTTATCAACGCCGACAAATCTGGCATGCTCTTCCGTTGCGATGACCCTGACAAGAACTGCGCCACTCAAGACCGTAAGTAATCACGAAGTTGGAGGCATTCAGATACTAACTAGGATTGCAGAATGGGCTGGCCACTGGCGAGGAGACAACGCCACCACTGAGACTGTCATCTGCCCTCTCTCGTTCGAGATCCGCCGCAGTCTCGACTCAGTCTGCGGTCTTGGCTACACCGTCGCCCAGTCCAAGCTCAACACCTACTGGGCAACTGATCTTCTGCACCGTGTCCTCCATGTCCCCACTATTAGCGAAAAGACCGTCGACCACTTCGCCGAGGACTACGCCGAGGTTCTGGCCCTCGCCAAATCTGATCCCGAAAAGAGTGCCATCGACAGCGACACTCTTCAGTACTTCGCCATTGACGTCTACGCCTACGACATTGCTGCCCCCGGCGAGGGATGCACTGGCGAAGTTGAGGAGGAAGAGGAGAAGAAGGAGACTCCCACTAAGAGTGAGACCGCGAAGCCTAGTGCTACCAAGGAGGCTCCCAAGGAGTGCCACACCCACGACGATGGAGTTGTTCACTGCTCTTAAACAACGACGACTTTAATTTCGATTCTACGACCTGTTTGATGGGTTTGGAGAAGATAGAATAGCTCTTCCCGAAGGGTGATTCAATCGTATTTAGATAATGCTTCCATGACTACTATAGATATATTACAGATTATTACTACAAATAGTTAGTATATACATTAACTCTTTTTCACAGCAAGGTGAAACTAGCCAGTCTCCAATTTTGTTCGGTGATGCAAGGCCATTCGACATCGTTGTTTGTAAGACCATGACACGAAGTGAGGTCAAGCTAAATAAGAGAATCATATGCTGTTGGCGCAACGTCATTCCCATGGATACAAAATGATGCTCAAACCAATTTACCTTCTATCAACAATCCTGTCGCGCGTCCCATGGTCTGTTATGGTCTGGAGCCGAAGAGGTTCCTTACGCAACAAAAAGAAATTGAAACGACCCCAAAGATGTGTCCGGGGTAGATGGATGTTCATCCAGATCCTGTGATCTCCCAGTACTGCTCGAGTAGTGATGCGCCCCATTCACAAGTAGTGCCCAGTCCTTCAACATCAGAAGGGCTAAGGTCACCGACATAATGGTTATCGAGATTTGCGGGCTCCATGCTGGAGATGGCCCGTGGCTTTAAGCAATTGGATTGAGACTCTTCCTGGCTTATGAGACTCATCGCTTCTTCAGGAGAAGCAATACTTTGTGTTTGACAACTTGTGTTTAACTCATTGTCGGTCAGTATCATTCGTGCCCCGATAGCCCTTCTTGCCGAGACTGCCTCTAGCCAGAGAGCTTCTATGTGCTGCCATCGACGATCACCAACCAAGTTAGGATCTCCTTTCCATTCCTCAAAGATCTCGCTTACAAGAGTCCAGGCAGCTTGTGAGCTATCGCTAGAAGGTGTAACACAAAGGTCGAGAAGAACGTAGGCCAGAGCATCCCATTCAACACAGGTCTCGAACAGCCAAGACCATGGTCGGCCAGGCTTGTAGCATCGCACTGCATGAGACTCTCGGAGAACATCGAGACAGAGAACAAGGTAGTTCTCCCTGAAGGGATTTCCCCTGCCCTGGGATGGCTGCGGCTTGCAAACCATGACTTTGAGCTTGGCATGAATGAGCCGCGCCGTGGCGGAGGCTATAAAATCGAGAGGAATCTGTGAGGAATGGCGTGTAAGTATTTTCATCTCTGCACAATCGCATAACTCGTCCAGCTTTTGGCATTGTTCTTCCACAGACAAGGAGGGGTAGCCGTTAGCTCTGTTGAAGCTCTCGGAGAAAACAGTTCTGCGAGTTAAATCAGTCCCCAGGATCCGAAGAAGAATAATGGTCATTTCGGTCTTTTTATCATCGTCCGCAGGAGTTGTATCGATATGTGGATGTAACGCAACGTCGTTGATATTTCGGGGCTTTTTGGTGTTGAACGTCTGTTCGAGAATGGCAGGTTCGGCTCCGCATTCCATAGCATTACGGGCATCGAGCACGTATACTTGCCACCACAGACGGCGTCGCATTTCCACTTGGAATGGAGAGCACTGGGACCCTGCTTCATCGCAGTGAAGGCCGATCCTCATGGCATTTCCAACAGCCAGACTCGTAAGAGATTGTATGTCTGGCGCATCATCGCTTTTTCTCACAAAGGTCTAGAAATGCGTTAGATGATACCATGTGGAGGTGTTACTTGATATACCAGGTAGATCACGAGGGCTTGCAGAACTCTAAGATTCGACGAATGCATGAAGCCCGCCTTCAATAAGGCATACTCTACTCCAAGGCGAAACCTGACCGGACGATTAATGTAAATCAATACACGAAGGTGGAAAGCCTACTGTCGGAGAAGATCCGTTTTGCTTTGATGCAGAGCCTTTTCACATTCGGTTGCAGGCATAGTAGCTACAACACCGTAGTATACCGCAAACATGAGACATTCCGTCGCCGTAAAAGTCTCTGATGAGTCCTGTATCGCCGCTATAAATTCTCTCTGGACTGTGGGGACATGGAACAATTTGAGGGTTGGGTCGACGACATCTATGTAAGTTTGCCAGAGGAACAGCTTAGAAGCGGAGTTGGGTTGATAGTGCTCAAGAGAGGGAAGATGGTTTGAAGTGAAGGGAAAACACGAGAATGGAAATGGACGGGCGCCTGATGAAGTATCTGTGATGCTAGTGTTTGGTGTTGTGGTGGGCTCCGACGCTGTATCTGATTGATGGTTGATAACATTCTGCTGAGCATCGACAGTAACCCTGTTTGAAATTGTCTTGGTGCTACCGTATTGTTTTCGCGACGAAGGATATTGACACGGGAGTTTCAATCTGATGCAGTAAGCACAAGGCGAGGCCCGATCACATTTTATTTTGCGTCTGCGACATTCCAGACAGGAGCGGCCTGGGGCAATGGCACGCCGAGCCATGGAACTGTGCCTTTCTTGTTGGGCTGGGATTATCTCGTTTCGTGAGTGGTCGATGATGATGCTAGACTCGTCATTCCGGAGGGCGCGGAGACGCTCTTCTCACCTCCGTGATCAGCCCGCTTATGATTGGCCAGGGCGGAGGATGGAAGACGGAGAGCGGAGGGCGGAGAATCTGTCAGCAAAAATGTCCGTTTTCGTTGGTAATCGATGACTTCTGGGGCTTGACTGCACCATGATTGGTCAGATTAGATCTGCTCTCGGAGGCTCCTTTGGTAGATCATCGAGCCTCTTGTAAGTGTAGATGAAGTATATAAATGGGTTTGTCTTCAGGGAATTTCCTTTGTCTCCATCCAAACCATACAAGCTCATCTCACACTTACAACTATCCACTGTCATCCATTGCAAAGTATCTCATCATGTCCGCTTACAAGAACATCGCCGTCGTGGGTGTAAGTATCTCATCTACACGCCAAGGATGATCTACTAACACGTTCACAGGCCAGTGGAAACACTGGCAAGATCATTATCGATGGATTACTATCCTCGGCCAAATTCAACATCACAGTCTTGTCTCGCCAGGAAAGCAAAGCGACTTTTCCCCAGAGCATCACTGTCCGAACCACGGATTTCTCTGAGACGGATCTCGTCAGCGCGCTTCGAGGCCAAGATGTCGTCATCTCCGCCCTGGGAGTCGAAGGGTTCGGCCAACAGCAAACAATTGTCGATGCCGCTGCACGTGCCGGTGTCAAGCGATTCTTGCCATCGGAGTTCTCTGCCAGCAGCGAGGATCCCGCTGTTCTGAAATTGATGCCGCTTTTTGAACAGAAGAAGAATCTCATTGAGTACCTCAAGTCCAAGGAAAAGGATGGACTCACCTGGACTGGTATCGCGACTGGTCTCTTATTTGATTGGGTAAGAAGACTGCCGTGAATGCGTTGAGATCGTGCTAACATGACCAGGGCCTTGCCAATGGCTTCCTCGGATTTGACGTCGCTAATCGCACCGCGACAATCTGGGACGACGGGGACACAAAGTTCACCCTGACCAATGAGAAGCAACTTGCGCAGGCTGTTGTGTCAGTCCTAGAACATCCCCATGAGACAAGCAACCGGTATCTCTATGTATACTCCGTCGAAACAACACAGAACGAGATCCTGCAGTCCCTCGAGGAAGCTACCGGGGCCAAGTGGACGGTGAATGCCACGTCTACCGACCAACAAATTGCCGAAGCTCAGGAGAAGCTAGGCGCTGGTGATTTTAGCGGAGGATTTATTCTCGTGCGCGCGACGAACTTTGGCAACACGGATGCTCTGCGCTTGAACTATGCCAAAGAGGAGAATTTGGCCAATGACATTCTGGGTCTCGAAGTCGAAAGTGTCGATGAGACTGTGAAGCGAGTGGTTGAGGGCTGATAATAGGTTATACGAAGATCAATAGCTAGTCTTGACGTGTACGACATATGATCCATCACAGAAGGCGCGAATTAGGCAAGGAATATTATAAAACCTATAAGACTGTTTAAGAACTGTATCAGACTGCCTATGTAGTACATGAATACCTTCCTCGGGACAGCTATTTACAAGTATCAAAAGGGCCCAACTTTGCGGAGAACATATCCACATCCGGGATAAATCGCCGCCTCTAACCGTATACTCCCGCACCAAATGACCAAACAACAAGCTCCAATCAAAAAGACCCATTTACTCTCCAAACGTCGGTGGTGAAAGCTACAATTCCTGAGCACACACCGAGAGCCAGATCTCAACCCACCATGGACTCACCGAGCATTTCGCAGGGCGACGACAAGAATCCTCCCGTGAGCGAGCAAGAGCGAAAGTATTTAACTCAATTCTCCCCCGCAGTTCGGCAGCCATCTAACGCCGCGATATAGGAAGCTCCGCAATCGGCTATCCCAGCGTGCCTTTCGGCGCAGACAGGCAGAATGTATCAGGGAGTTGCGGAATAGGGTGAATGCGGATCAGAGGCCCGACAGTGAGCGCGTGGAGGCGCTGCAGAAGGAGAACCAGATGCTGAGGAAGCAGCTGATTGAAGTCCAGACCAAGATGTCGAGAATGTTGGCTTCGGTTCAGTTGTTGAGTGATTCTGTCGCTAAAACATTGGATAATACGGCGGCTGGTGAGGATTCGGATGACAGAGATGGTGACGCTGAGGATATGCGGCTGGGTGATGATCCTGGTAGAAAGCAGGACCAACAGCTGCATGTTTCAGATTCCTCGCTAACATCTCTGGACTTGGAATCTTTTGACCCCTCCATGCTGGACTTTGATGCTCCTTTTGCGCCAGCCAATATCGCAGGTCAGTACCAAAACCTCTAGTACTTGTGCTAAGCTAATGCTTAGATACATACAGCACCAGGGTCTGGTAGCGGTCTTACGTCGGAAGTTGTCAACGTCGCTGGCACAAACCCTTTCTACTCTCAGATACCAAATATCTGGAGCCATGAGTACCAGATGGGCATGCAGCCGTATCTCAATGCCATTAACGCAACGGAGGAGTCTAGCCTGGTTCTGGGAAAGGATTATTCATTCACAAATTCGCCCTTCTCGGATCATATTCAGCTACTCCAGAGGATGCTTAAGAACAAGCTTAACACTCTTGGGTTCGTTCCCAATGCTCACAATCCGGTGCAGAGGTAAATGCGATGCCCTCTCCTCACTGAACAAAGGCTTATATGACACAGCGTTTATCAGCCGGTGCTCATGGTCCTTTCCATGTTCAACAGCATGACTCGGCCAGACGTAATGGCATGGTACGCCAAGACTCGCTTCTACCATATCATCGAACTCACCGCCTGGCAACTCTACCCTTCTGCAGCGACCTTTAATAGACTGCATCCCCGGTACCGGCCCACCAAAGCGCAGTTGGAAAATGCCCACCCTGGTATAATCGACTGGATCCCGTTCCCATCGATTCGAGACAGGTTGATACAGCTCCATTCCGCGAACCCACACATCGACCAAATCTTCTGCGATGCTGTCACAGGTTACGTGGTGGAAGCTCTCATGTCGGACCTCATCCTCGGAGCCCCACAAATCACCGTCTACGTCCGGGTCACCGATCTCATCAATACCATGGCGTCCGGCACGTCTGAAAACGAAAGTACAATTGCCGTTCTACCTGCACCGGACATCACGACTTTATTCTCGTCGCCTGCGTTTGCACGCGCAGCCTTTGGCAAATTGAACATGGACAAGGGAGCGGGTTACTACAAGATCGACCCCGCATTCTTCGAGAAGTATCCTGAACTCTGGGACCAGGTCAGCGACCTCACAGCGACGGGCATGCCGCTCAAGCCGAAGTATCAGAAGATTCTTACCTATCCGAAACCGCTGGATCCCTCGACTGTCGACACGTATCGGAGCTTTATCGACTTTTCTCTGGACGCGGCAAACACAATCTCAATGTCCCCCGCTTCGTAGCCCCGTGAGCGGTAACCGGGCCGGTTGTGTTATCTCACCGATATACCAGCGAAAGAATGGCCTGTCCGCATGATGCGATTTCTTATCAATACACTCAAATGCGGCACCATTAGCGCACAAGATTTGGGAAAGTTTCGGGAAGTGTCATCGAATGTTGAGTAACGACCCACTACGAGCGGGTTGACTAACGCTGGTCTTACTAACTGCCCATTCCGTGATGCATCTGTGGATCATCGAGTGGAGATAAGACATTCTATATAGAAATGCCACTGTTAGTGTCAACACCAACACCATCATCACAATCTCTAACCCTCGCAATATCCTCATTATCGAAATGCCGTCTCAAATACCTACTTCAGCGCCTCGCTACAGCTTCATGGATGACTATAGCGAGGGTGCGCATCCAGCCCTTCTTAAAGCCTTGATCGCAAGCAACACAACGCAAGAAAACGGCTACGGGGGCGATACATACTGCGATCTTGCGCGCCAAAGAATCCGTCGCCATCTTGGTCGAGACGACGTAGGCGTTTTCTTCGTGCCCAGCGGAACATCTGCCAACGCCATCTCCATCGACGCCTGCCTCCGACCTCACGAAGCTGTTATTGCCGCCAGCTCCGGCCACATCGTCACAAGAGAGACGGGCGCAGTCGAAGCCAGCGGCCATAAGATCATAAACGTCGCGCCCAAGAATGGAAAGCTTACTCCAGAGAGTATCGAGCGTGCGTTAGACGACAACTGGCATTTTCCTCACATGGCCAAACCTCGCTTGGTGTATATCTCGAACGCTACCGAGATCGGCACTATATATACGAGAAACGAACTCGCAGCGATTAAACAAGTCTGCGAAAAGAACGGCCTCATATTGTTTCTCGATGGCGCTCGTATCGGCACTGCCCTTGCATCCAAGGCCAACGACATGACGTTAGCGGATATTCTTGAACTGACTGATATGTTCTGGATCGGCGGCACCAAAAACGGGGCTCTTCTTGGCGAGGCCGTTGTTGTCAAGGACGCACGGCTAGCCTCTGAATTCGAATTCTATGTCAAGCAGCACGGCTCCTTACTTGCAAAGGGGCGTGTAATCGGTGCCCAGTTCGCCGAGCTTTTCGAAGGCGACCTGTACTTTGACCTCGCGGCAAAGGCCAATCTTGCAGCTGAGACGCTTTCAAGCGGAATTGCACACGCCGGATTCTCGGTATACGCTGCGACGGAGACAAATCAAGTGTTTGCCGTGTTGCCTTTAGATTTAATCAATGTGTTGAAGGAGAGTTTTAGTTTTTATGTTTGGGAGAAGTGTGGTGATGATGAGGCGGTTATTAGGCTGTTGACGACGTGGGCGACTGATTTTACGCAGCTGGAGAGGTTCATTGAGGTAGTGCATGCTTGGGGAGCATAAATAATTCTGATGGTTAAAAAGTGAAAAGAAGAAGAGACGAAATTTAGATTATAGGCTACAAAAATAATAATTCTTTTGCAGATATCAAGTCCCTTTACAAACACCAGCCTCGTAATTGATCTCAACTAGATCGGGTTTAGCCAGCCACTCATTCCGAACAAGAAACTCTCACATTCCGCTCGATACGACAACGAATCACTTAAGGACCCCAGTGTCATCTCACTCGAATCCAGACTACTCGGGCAACACAGCCTTACCAGCCGCCCTCGCTACCTCAAGAGCACCGTGCAGACCATACTGGGAATAAACACCATTGATGCGATGTGTTGCGTTGAGATTCTTCACAACGACGATCTGGAAACAAGTCGCAGAGCCCTGCCGAGAGGCGATCGTGGAGTAGGCCAGGAAGATCTCCCATATCTAAAGGAAAAGGTCAGTGTTTCTTTCGAAGCTTGTCTCAACCGGTGTAAACTCACTCGGAACCAGCGCACGCCATATTTGGCTTTGACTTTCTCTTCGTTCCCAAGCCAGTTTCTGTACCATCGCCAGAGCGTCCCGGAGTAGTGAACACCAACAGTATCGACGCTAAATCCAGTTAGTTCTAACCTCCCAGGGAACACCGAGAGTATGTAACTCACCTCTTGACTTCGTAACCAGCGCTCTCAAGACAACCAACATAGAAGGACAGGGGCGTGGAAGCGTCAGCACCAGGAAAGATATACTTATTAAGGAACAGGCCCCATATGAAGTCCTCGTACTGCCACGCTTTTCGGAACCCAGATACCTGGACATACATAGCCCCATCATCCTCAAGCATATCGTAGCACTGGCGGAAGAACCCTGTCAGACGCCTTACGCCAACGTGCTCAGCCATTTCGAGCTGCGTGATCTTGTTGAACTTTTGCGCTGGAATATCGCGATAGTCGCTGCACAAAAGCCTGCTCTGCTCTTCAGGAACACCTGCTTTTCGAAGACCATCGTTGCCCCATTCGACTTGGTTACGAGCAAGGGTTACGCCCGTGACTTTGGCACCGTAATTGAGACTCGCAAATTTCGCCAAAGTGCCCCAACCGCATCCAATATCTAGAACCGTCTCTCCTTCTTTGAGACCGATCTTTTCACAAACAATAGCGAGCTTGTTATCTTGCATCTCCTCTAGAGTCTCCTCACGGGTAGTGTCAGAGATAATCCCCGAGGTGTAGATCATACGAGGGCCGAGAAACCAGGCGTAATGATCGTTGCCACTGTCGTAGTTGTTGCGCACTTGCTCCTCGTCTTGCGAACGGAGGTGTAGGATGACGTCGGGGAAGAAGTTGAATATGAGATACCGAAATGTCTCCCTGGTGAAGTTAAACGTCGCCCAGTCATGGCGGTACTCGAAAACTTCGAGAGCATCGGCATTAAGATCGACTTGGCCTGTGAAATAGAGCTCGAAGAATTTGTTCATCGGGATCTTACGCCGGCCGTTCCATCGCGCTCGGTGTTGTTCATTCTTGAACGTTAGGTAGAATTCAACCGGGCGACCGGGTAGCTTCACGTTATCGTTGAGTCGCGGGCTGTATCTCGACATAAGAGTCCAGATGACGATCAAGATTGGAAGTGTAGTGAAAACGGCGAGGAAAAGGGCCGTCTTGAAGCCTCCGCCGAGTTGCCACGAAAGCCACTGGGGGATACCCACAAGTACGGCGCCGAGGACGAGGTTAGACCATTGTTCGTGCCCAGGACCTTCGGCTGGAAGAGGTGCATTGTTTATGGCGGGGGACTGTTTACTCGAATGGTTAGTAGGTCTCAGAGACGTTTACAAGATTGGAGAACCTGCGTTGGTCAAGGGAACCCCAGGATTTTGACCCGTCGAGAGGGTGTTAGTGGGCGCTTTCGGGGTCTTGATAAAGTCAATGTCACTGCTCAAGTGAGCCCCTTCCTTTTCTTTGAGCGCCATATTTGGACTATGACGAGTCACTGATACAAAACAAAAAGTGCAACAGAATTTAAGTAGTTTGGGCGACAAAGTTGGAGGCAAAAGACGATGTTGAGCGGCAACGATGTGCTTTTATCAACAAACCTATTTTCGGGTGGTCCAATCCATCAACTCAACTCTACTCAGTTACAGTACAGACAGGGACAGGTGGATCCATCGTAGGCTCCAGCATACCAAATTCGCGCGATCCTTGTCTGAACCCTCTCAGGGGCAGCGAATTAGTTACAGGCAGCCGTTTAGGACATTCTTGGCTGCTTAGTCGCGTCCCGCGGCCACCGCCTTACATATCCCAAGAGAGTTTATTCGGAATGGATGCGTAATGAGACAAAGACGCGTAACTACATGTTTCTTATTTTCTTGCTGCCTAGTGGTGTGATACAATTTTACTGCAGGTACTCGCATGGGTAGTTCTACTAACCTGAAACATATGAAAATAGAATGTTAGTTGTATTTCACTTAGGGGTTGTCAATAAGTCTATCGATAGATTAGATGAGTTCAATTTGAAGTAAACTAACCCGAGAAATCACTTGACTTATCTAATTGTAAGAGGTATTTTACTGCAAATAATTAGAAGTGGAATCGACTACATCAATTTCATAGTCCACCTACACACAATTGGCATCTAGAATGAGTATGGGGTAATATACTATTCAATGGCAGTGGGAGTAGGGAGTTTTACGGAAGCGCTCAAATCAGCTAGTATCATTCCTTGTAACCTTTAGGCGTACGTACCTGTAAAGTGAGAGAAACGACCATGGCCAGGCTAGTCAATAATATGATGGGTCTGATATTGTGAATATCATTGAGAGATTTGGAAAGCCCGGGCTTGATAAAGTTGAAGTTTGAAGCAAAAGAAAAATGCTGGGTCTGAAATCAGACTTAGAGTCTAAGTAGAAGAGTCGTCAAAGAGCAAGTCACAAAACACATGGTCTGTGAGGAGGCACAAAGGCCTCCACAGAAGCATCTACGACTACCTAACTAGTACAGCCCTGTATAGCGCAGTAGGTCATCCTTCTTGCTGGTCAGGGCTCAGGGACTTGAGCTGAGGGGTCAAATCTTGAAGATTTATACGCCCTTCAAACCTATTTGGACCTACAAGGGAAAGGTACGTGAATAAGCGAGAATAGCCAATCGCTTTTATCGATAATAAAGCCAATTGTTATTATATCAACCTTAGTTTACTTGATAAATTAGGGGTCTTATAAAAGAATAAGTAATTCTTATATTTTGTATTCAATATAAAAGGGAAATACTTCACTTACAATAGTGAATAAATTAGTAAAGAAATTAATTACCTAAGGTTACGTATTAGTAAACATAATTAAGCTTTTACCTTTCTATGTTCTTAAGTTTAGAAAATACTAGTCGTAGGATTATTATAATTTTAATACTCTAATTTATATATCGACGAGAAAACTAATAGTGTTAAGACTACTAATTCTTAATACAAGATATAGTTAATTCCTGATAATAACGTATACCTCTCTACGGTTTGCGGAACCATTATTATACCCAAGGTCATTATCATCAGCATCTTGGTTCTTGAGTTTATATACAATGGAAATGTAATGATTCTCATAATGAATCACCACACTTGAGCGTCTCAGCAAACAGGATGACCTTACCCCTAGTTGGGTCACTCTAAATCCCAATGTGACCAGTTAAGCTGAAGCTTCATTATTCCCGTATCAACCAGGGGTAATTGTTATAGTCAGGCCATATAATTCCGCTTTAAATTCTCAGGTTGCTAGACATATCCAATAAAGCTGGGCCATCCCTCTACCAGATCTCCATAGACATCTCGGACCTTCGTCTTTGTTAATCTACATGTGGGTCTAAGCTGTCGGTGTTTTACTCTTAACGGGGAGACTTTGCCAGATGAGGAAGCTCGTATTGCTGCGCCTTTGCGGCTGAGTTTCAAGATATGCATGTTGGTCCCAAATACCTCGTCCTGATGATGGAGGCAAGGGTATGTCAAACACTTAAAGGCTATACTCCCAAGATTACTACCGCGTAAGAATTATCGCTTGACATAATTAAAACCTAAAGTTGGGCACTGCCGCCCAGTTTAAGCAACTGCCACAATGAACCATGCCTATCAGAACCAACTTGTTGTTCCACAAATACAGTCTTGCTGGAACCCAAAAGACCTTTTCAACATCACCAAAGGCACTTCTGCGATTTGGTGTGTCGGAAGATACGTCAGCTATCCTGGTGGCTCCTGCAGTCGAAACTCTAGTCCTAGACGATCGGCAGAATTGGCTAACCGGGAAGTTGAAGGCTTGTTACAACACATGTCTATGACACTTGGAACAGTTCAGAACAATGATCTGTATAGACTGGCCAATCTCTGTCTTTGCACTATTCATTCAGGACAAAGCACGGAGGTCGTAACAAAATGGATGCATATCATTGAAAGCGCTACAAGACACCACTTGAATCTTTCACGGTTTTCTGATGCGAGCGTTCGACTATCTCTTACTAAGCTGGATCTTGACACCAGCATTCACCACAATAACGTTCTCCAACAGGAACTTAAATCTTGGCAAGAAAAAACCGCAGCTCTAGTGGGCAGCTCGGAGTTGGAAAGGAAGAAGGCTGCTCGGTTTTCCGTCAAGGCAGAAAAGCAGATCAGGGACTTGGAAATAATGATATCCTCGGCAAAACAAGCCCTCAAAAAGATGGAAGTCGAGGCCACGAATCAGGGTCTTACTATAACAGGCTTGAAGTCTACTAAGACGCACCTTGAGATAACAGTAAATAAGTCAGCTGTTGAGATAAAGGCTCTCTACACAGAGAAAACTGAAGCATACGATAAAATCCAACTTTTGCAGACTGAGCTCGGTGGTCTTCGCCAGAAAGAGGAGGTTTCTGCGCAGAACCTTGAAAAGTTACAGGCCGAGTTTAATAATGTCGAGTACCGCAGTCGTCTCATGGCAGAAGACCTCGGGGGGAAAGAAGAACTGCTGAAGAAGCAGAATACTGATATGGTCCACGCTAAACGACATATCGAACAGCTAGAGCTACAAATCTTGCAACTGAAAGATTCAGGGGACAGTCTAAGACAAAGCATAGCGGAATGTTGGTTTCACAGGTTATGCGATTGGTTCAGTGAAATCTTGGTAAGAAGATCGAAGGATCTGGAATTAAAAGGAGCTGACTACAGTATAATCAAGACGGACGGCGTTGTCGAGTGTTGATGGAATTCGATGGGCTTCCGATAGCTTAGAAGCCTGTATATATTAGTTAGCAATGTGTGAACGTAAGAATTTAAAGTTGTAAAGCGGTATCACGATTGTAGCGCCGAATTTCAAGATCTTCACATGTTAATTCCATCGTTCATATTAATACATCAAACACCAAATTCTGAAGTGATTTGTGAGTATTTCGTTACGTTTGATTGGTCTGCATAATGGCTTTAAAACACTCAGAATCTCTGACATTGCGTCCTAATTGCCCCAGTAAGAACATCCTTTATTGAACACTTTCTTCTCTATGTATCGTTTTTGGGGCGTTTGACTTCGGCCTGGCCATGCATATGGTCTGCCATCATATTTACAAGTGTGGACAATGGATTTTGGGAGAAGATGTGGTTCTCTCATTCCACTCCTAAAGTCCCTGTGTTGCTAACCATTTATGAGCAATAGAAAAGGTGGCATAGGCTTCACGGTGGAAATGCCAACAATGGCCGGCAGATGGTGGTGCGTACCACTTAAATTTGGCAGCAGGATAGAGAGCCTTAGTTTGCGCTAGAAGTCCCGTCTTGTGTGGCCCGCAGTCGAAGGTTGCGAATGTGACATTAACGGGGGGATCTGGATTGGCGAGATCGCAAAAGATTCCGTCATGTTGGCCTGTTATAACGAAGACAGGTCTGGTGTATCCTGGGGCTATGACCGGGCCGAGGGAGATGCTAATAATTTCTCCAGTTGTGACGGTGCCCCTCAAGCTGTAGTCCAATGCGGCAAGCGCTGTATCGAAGCCGCCAGGGTAGTAGAAGAGCTGAGTGAAAGTCGTCTCATTGTTAATTGCTATGTATCCTGGATCGAGGTTGCCGAACTTCTCCGCGTTGACCTGGGCTGCGGGGGAAAAGTCCGTGGTGGTCACTTCGGAAAGGACTGGCTCGTTAATCGCATTTGTGAAGCCGGTAAGAATGGTTGCATCGATATCAGAGGGATACTTTGCGTTCAAGCCGTTCCCGATACCAGAGCCAAAGCTGTGACCAGCATAAATGACCTTGTTGAAAGCCCGAGGTTTTGAAGGCCCGGGCAATGTCCCAGATCGAGCTTTGAGAACAAGCTGATGGATGGTCTCAACGTGGGTTGCCAGTTGAACGACAGTTATTGGATCAGGGTGATCCGACAATCCATTTCCAAGACGGTCGATGGACAAAGTAGGGTAGCCTTGCTTAGAGGCAAATGCAATCCAACTGTATTGATCGCCATGGTAACTGGATCCTGGCGGCCCATCACCAGACCAATCTACAGATACCGGTAAGTACAAAGTATGGTATCTTGATTTGTGAGGGCTTACAATTGCGGTCATACGTAATGCCATGAACCAAGATCTGAAGAGTATGTTGCTTGAAGGGGATTTTGATCTCAGGCTCACAGTATCGAGCAGCGATGTTGAAGGTCCCACGAACAGGAACATTAAACTCAGGTCCAGTCGAAGCGATGGGAATTTGGAGATTAGTGGCACTTATGGTGACTGGGATAACGACATCAATGCAGCTGAGCTGGCGTTTTCCCCCAGTTGGATGTGAAATCGAGGGGAATGTAAAACAGGAAAGGGCCAACACAACATTCCAGGGTGATCTCATGGTGAAATTTGACTAACGAATAATATTATGCAGTAGAGTATTTGAGACTGTTGTTCTCTAGAAGATGAAAAAGGATTCAACTGCTTGTATATATAGTCCTTTTGTCCGAACTCTTGGCGCCGCGAAACCTTATGAATGGTAAATTAAGATCCCAGCACCATCCCAGCATCCTCCTTCCTCGGCCTTCTAACACACACCGAACCGAGCGGGACACTTACTCCTAAAATCGGGTCTTTAATTAACATGCGAAGACAACTCAAATCAGGTAACTACAATGAGATCGTTTCCAAGCCCGTGCTCTCGCTAGGCCCCTGATTAGCAATCACTGCCAAGACTTTAACAGGGTTGTCCAGTTTTAATAATTAACGGATAGTCTTTTCTCAAACTTTAAAAGGGTTCTCCAGTATCAACGGACGATCTTCTCACCGAAGGCCGAGTAGAATAGGTATCATAATTCCGCAAGCTACCTACGCATAGCTCGAGAGATTTGCCTAGCAGCACAACTCACTTTATACGCCGAAGTCGGGCCCTAGTAGAAAAGATATATAGGCATCGAGATTTATTTGAAGGAAACCTTATATATGTTTTGTTTAGGTCATATGTTTTGCCATTGTTAAATAAATTATATACATGCAGCTTAATAATATTCTTTATAAAACTCCACACTTAATCCAGACGGGGAAGATCACCCTTCTTTTGGGCTTCTTCAACAAGATGGTTGTAAATCTCAACCTTCTCCTCATACTCCTTGACAAGGTCATCGTCTCTCTTTCCAGGTGTAGCATCACCACCACCAAACGCCCTGACGGCGGCGTAGTAAACATCAGCCAGACCTCTGCAGACACTAGCAGCGCTTGAAGAAGTGCACTGATAGTACAGGCTACATACAGTCAACAAAACATGTTCTGTCTGGGAATGATTCCTTTACTTACTCGGTCTTGAAGTTGCTGTCGATACGTGCCTTGGCACTCACGGTGAAACGGCTCTGGGCGCGGTAGTTGTTGTAGCCAAAGTCGTGGCGGTTGCAGGCTGGGACGAAGGGGAATCCGAAAGGGTTGTCGGGCGAAGAGGAGCAGCCGTCGGATGTCCAGTTGAGGGTAGGAGGATCGCGGGCATTGCGGCGGGCAGTGAAGGTTGGTAGCGTGACGCTGAAGAGTAGTTGATCGGTCACTGTGTTGGCGCTCTGGCGCTTAGATACAGACGCATCCTCGCCGGTGGGCAGGGCGAAGACTGCTGGGACAAGAGAGAGGAGGGTAGTGCTGAACTTCATCTTGCTGGATTGGGTTGACTGGGAAGCAGAGAAACTTTGGTGTCGTTGATTGTTTGAGCCACGACATCATGTCTATTTATACATATTTAAACTCGCGCACATAAACTCTCCCCGCAACCTTCAAAATCAATACAATATAATTATCGGACTCTGCTAATGCTACGCCGAGGCCACTTGTCTCAGTGGTTACCTGCCTAATGGAGTAATGATCTTTCTGCGGAGAAGTTTTCCAAGGTCACGCTTCATCGTCCGACGTAGTGATTTGCTATCGCCCGCCAAGACCATTTTCGGCCGGCAGTAACTATTACGAGACGCGGATGTCAAGACCTGCTTGATCTAGCTTCCGGGCATGGATCTGCGACTTCGTGGTGGGATGAAGAGCATGTATTGGATGGGTTAGGTTTCGATTATCGGCCAAGCAATGCGGGGACGACAAGTGCTAGGCGCTTGGTTGCTGAAATAGGAATTTCGTCCGCGACGAGTGGTAACGGACAAATGACATGCTTGAATTATACACCTTTTGGTGACCGAGAATCAAGGAAATAGTAAAGCATAACATTGAGCTTCCTTTTCGATACATTCAAGCTGATGCAACAAGTCATTGACATGTGAAATTGACATGATTACTGTTCTTCGTTCTCCGCATAGATAAAATTCGCAGCTAGGCAATGTCAATTTCAGTTACCAACTTTGGAATCATATCAACTTACCAACAGGAACAAGGCCATTGCTATGCGCCCATTCACGTACTCCATGTACAGCATGCTCTGAACCCCAATGCTTCCTCTCACCCGGTTTGGTCAGATGAAGCTTCTCGGTTGTTCCATTGGCCGCGATAAAAGCGAAGAAAACATAGCGATGCTTGCCAGTTTTCGGCGGCGGCGCAGGGGCTTTGTACTTGATGATGCTCTTGAGATGATGTTTGGAGCTTGCAGACGTTGAGATGAGTCTGCTGGTGGCGATCCAATGGCAAAACTCTGACCATTTGGGATTGTCTCTCGATGGCGCGTCCGGGTCGGTGAGAACGATTACAAAGCTTGTATGTTTCTTGACTTGCGCGGCGGCAAAAGACTCTGACTCTATCTGTTCGAGATGGATCGAGGGCGCTGACTTGAGATGCTTGGGTTTGAGGGTGTTGCCTAGATCGGCAGAGTCGTGCTTCCACGATGCGCGGAACCCAAGAGCAGGTGGAAAGTCGTCAATGACGGTGGGAATGATCTCGGCTCCAAGCAGTCTGTTCAAGTCAGTGGCACGTTCCGATTGAAGGGGGATTGGCAGTACTTTTCGCGAATCGCGTCCAGGTCATGAGACTCATGACGGTTAGAGGTCAAGACCGCTTGTTCCTTGCCAAGGGCAGTGCCAAGCTGGGCAGCGATGAATAAGAAACGTGCCCACAGCATTGCAAATGGTATCTCGGACGCGAATCGTGAGTTTTGTTTAGGAGTACAATTGATGTAGCTTGCGACGAATAGTGTATTGTTGTGAAAAATGGTAAGTTCCATATTGAAATCTCCGCAATCAAGATTGGGTTATGAGGCGCGTCATGATGTCATACCTTGCTGAGCGTGACGTTAGTGGAAAGCATGGCATTCTACGCGTAAGTTGTGACTACCTACCCTAACCTCTTATTGTATTTGACAATCTCAATGAATCTTATTTCAAAAGGTCATTTATTTTTCAAAACTCAATTGTATCAATTCGTCCTATTAAGATTTCTTATCAATTGTATCTGCTATGGACTTTGTCAATCATCAATGCACTTTATATCATCATATAGAACAGACGCTTTGAGCCCACATGCCTCATGGCACTCTCGACTCATCACCTCAACTATTTAGTTGAAACCCTCTGGCCAAAACTCTTCAAGCCACTCATAAGGATCCTCAGGCTCATAGACACCAGCGGCCTTGCCCTTGTATTTCGTAATGTTGTCCCGAGTTTCGTTATACAGGGCGTACTTCTCATCTGGTCCGTTTCCGACATAGTACGGAACAGTCTGCACGTTGTTTCCGATTTCCTTATCCACAATGCTGGTGACATTGTCAATCTGGGCATTTTTGAGGCGGAATTCGTCGCCAAAGTTGGGGTTGATCTAATTATCTATTGTCAGAGGATTGCGTTGTCAAGAGATATGGATTCACTTACAATGCCCATTCTTAACCCATCTACAGCAATGACATTCTGGATAGTTGCGTTACGCTTGGCTTGGTTGAGGCAGTTTCCGCAGGACTGGTAGAAGGTTCCGAATCCCTCGGCGTAAAAGCCGGTGATGTTGTACTTGCCACCCAGAGAGTTATCTTGGAAGATCTATAGAGTTTTAGTGAATTCATCTCTTGTGCAAGGGAAATTCGTACCTTGTCTGTGGCACTTCTGGCTCCACCTCCGATGACTCTCAATTGTGTGTTGAGGCCCTTGGATGTGAGAGCATCTTCACAGACATCTTCCCACCAAACTTTAACCCATTAGTTTAGAAATTGTTTCAAGGAAGTTTGAGAGGACAAACCGTTCTCTACCCACGCATCACCGAGAGCATGAATTCCCTCCGCTTGATGCTTGCCAATAATCACGTTTCGAATGGTAGCACCCGGCATCAAGTTGAAGACAGTATCGGCATCAGTACCCTCAGCCTGTTCATTACAGCTTCCCTCAGGCCGCTCATAACGCTTCATCTTGCCATCAAAGACCTCGCCAGGCAAAATGTACTTGGCGTTCTTGAAGACTACTGTCTCTTTGGCGACGGGGAACTTGGTGATGGGGAAGGGGAAGCGCGGTGGCGGTCGCTGGCTAAGATCTGCTTGTGTGGCATCACCTTCTCCCTGTTTGCCATCGCCCGTCTTTGATTGACGGGTGTCGATGACTGCGCCTTGGGCGATGGGGAGGAGGGATAAGAGTAGCGAGGCTTTCATTTTGGCGGAGAAGAGTGGCTGGATGATACCCTATACTGGAGTGTGAGGCTCGGGAGTAGACTGGGAATCAAATGATCTACTGTCAATAAAAAAGGAGGAGCAGGTATTCAGTACTTATACGTTGCTACAGTCACACGTCCTTGCATAAGGTCATGTACTGTGACCCTAACCTTGTCGTAGAATGGTAACATTAAACAAATGATAACTTACATGTTATACATTTACTTCACTTAGTATACCTTAATTCAGACTAGCACAGTTCTCTCTCAGCTAGACCAATACATACCAGCCGTAGTTCACATTGACAAGGCTTCATTCGAAAGCCATGTTCTCGGAACAATCCTTCCCATTATTTCCATAAATCATTTCCTCGGGAATCTACAAGCTTCTTCCCAAGCGATCTTGGCATTGTCTAAAAAATCCGGGGTAATCCATTTTCCACAGGTTTGATAGCCACAAATCTGACCTACCTACCATCATAATGCAAATTCTGTGGGTAAATCGAAAAGGCGGGGTATAGTTCCCGTCAAACATCGTTAGCAATGATTCGTGGAAATGATTTCACCCGCTCGATGGAAGACTCTCCACCAATCGCCTCTATTCTGAACCCTGGCAATTATCTGTACTCTCCCCAGACTAATAAATGATGTACAATTAAGCTTACTGATAGAGTTCTTAAAACGGGGTTTGCTAAGGTCTAGGTGCTCATGTGAGGTCACAAGGCTCAAGCATTCTTGTGCACAGACACGGACACGACAGGGCTGTATTCTATGGCCAAGTCTGGGGAAATCAGATCTCACATGGATGGTCCTGGCTTTTGCTAAAGTGATTGGGGGTATTTCTGCATCGTACTCGCCCCCAATTCTTACAATCGAAACAACGAGTCCATTAACGGCATGTTGTCAATAGTACAATCACAGTGTCTAAGTGTATAGACGAGGAAAGTTACGTACTATTAAAACACTATATATCTAATCTATCGAATCAAGCGGACCGTAAGTCCGTAAACCAAAGAGCTTGATATGATTTGTCTCTTCCCCAGATTTCAGGATATCCATTCCATATTATACTCAGCCCTACCAATACCACAGACATCCTCAATGTGCAGCTGACATTTGTGCATATATATGGAAATCTGCAATTGGCATGAATTTCTTGGCACCTCGTACGTGCCTGCGCACTACCTCGACATGTCCATATCGCCCTGTCTTAGCCATTGAACTGCATTTCTATGTGATGCCCCTATCATTGGTGCATAGTTACATGTATACCAGTAACCTACGTCCGGGGCCATACATCGTAAAATGGCTTGAGCTATCACTATCGATCAACGATGTGATGCTTGGTAGCAAAGCGGCCTCTATCCAGTCACTTTTAAGGATGCGTGTGGATAGATTATATATGTTCTAGGTTCTAAATAAATTTCCGAATAGTATCCATTTACGAGTAGCTAGATTTTATAGGTGATATATATTGTATTTACTCACCTACCTACACCTTGATACGGTTCATCGCTCTGTTCCACGTGGGCTCAACACCACCTCCTACTTTCCTGTCACCCTCGGATACAAGCTATGTGAGATAGGGAAAGTGGCCTCAACAGTGTTATATGCCGTGTGGAAAACCAAAGTACCTCTCACCGAACTTGAATACAACACTCGCGCCTCATGATCCTCGGAGAGACCATCTGGAACCTCCCAACTGGGCATTTTGGGCTAACCATTTGTGTATCCGCCCGAGCATTGCAGAAGTCCTGTAGAAGCAATACGCGGATAAGGGACCCAGGATTTGGCTGATGTACGCGATTTGATTCGAGGAAGATCTTGACCGTTCGTAAATTCGCTTTTATGTCCCTTTGTCCTTGGGGGTTATTACCGGGAGACGCATTTGACCCCACAGTTATTCCCACCTTTGGGGGACAATTCAGGCTTCCCATCTGCTCAGGCCTTATGTCCCACGAGGGGAATACTCGATTGAATTACAAAAGCTCACTCTACGGTAAAGGACTATGTTTGAAGTAGTTGATTGATTGTGAAGCGTCCATATGGCAAGGAGACAGGAATGAATTGTCTTCGTGATAGAGCCAATGGCACTATGTGCAGCTCGCTAATCATACCCCGTTTGATTACCCCAGATTGTCAATAAACCCGAGGCCCAAATATGCCGAATCCCACACGGTAGTGACATTGGGGAGGGAGATCGTCACGGATCGTTGATATGAGCATTGCTACATTGCGGTCTCGGGACTTGGAATCCACCAACCATTGCCAAGTCTCTGCGAGTATTCCACCAATAGTACCACCCCATACCATGAATATCCTTCAGCGTGACATTGATGCTGCCTTTGTAAATTTGATTGTTTCACATACCTAACTCAGTGGACAGGCACATCACAGGAGTTTGTTCATGTTCCAATAGTAGCCCAGGATGATTCGTGATGGTTTTGACGGAAGGGGTAATGCGAACATCATCTCCGTGGTCCGTAGTCTTGATTAGGAGATGGTGGTTTGCGTGATGTTGTATCATGTTGTGTCTTAGAATCTCTATATTGAAATGAAACTATATAAGAACCGTGTAAACCTCACATCAATAGCACTTAAACTATCATTGCGACTATTAGAGTTGTTCTTCTTCATCTCAGCTGGCTACCATTGTCCGATAGAGCTCAACTTCATATCCTTCATTTCGATCCCTCTGCAAATACCGATCCAACCTTCACCATGAAGTTCGCTTCAGTCCTCACCGCCGTGTTCGCAACTCTGGCAGTTGGTTCACCGGTCGAGAGCCGCGATAGCCTCCTCAAGCGCCAGGCAGCTGAGCCCTGCAGCGTTGGATACTGCACCCAGAACGGCGGTACCACCGGTGGTGCAAAGGGCCAAACCGTCACCGTCACTACTGTTGCTGCTCTGATTGAAGCTGCCCTGCGCACTGAACCTCTTACCATCATCGTCTCCGGAAAGTTGACTGGCAGCGATAAAGTTCGCCCTACGTCTGACAAGACCATCATCGGCGCGGCTGGTAGTTGTAAGTCAACCTCACTGCCCCCCAACTCTAGTAAATGGATCTGGATTAACATAACTAGCTCTTACTGGTGTGGGCTTCTACGTTCGTCGCCAGAAGAATGTCATTCTTCGTAACCTCAAGATCGCCAAGGTTGATGCTTCCAACGGCGATGCTATCGGTATTGATGAGTCTACGAACGTTTGGGTCGACCACTGCGATCTTTCTGGTGATCTGAGCGCCGGAAAGGATGATTTGGATGGTCTGCTCGACATCTCCCACGGTGCTGACTGGATCACTGTGTCGAACACATACTTCCACGACCACGTAAGTCAAAGTCTTTCCCTCAATTGTTAACTTTTGTTGCTGACATAAAATTTAGTGGAAGGGCTCTCTGATCGGCCACTCGGACAGCAACGCTGCCGAAGACACAGGCAAGCTTCACATCACCTACGCCAACAACTACTGGAAGAACGTCAGCAGCCGCCAGCCCCTTATCCGCTTCGCCACCGTGCACATTGTCAACACCTACTGGGACGGCATTCTGCTCTCTGGTGTCAACACCCGCATGGGTGCTCAGGTTCTTGTCCAGAGCTCTGCCTTTGCCAACTCTGTTGAGCGCGCCATCTTCTTTGCTGACTCCAAGGAGACTGGCTACGCTGTTGTCGATGATGTTGACCTCGGTGGCTCGGTCAACTCTGCTCCTAAGGGTACTCTTACTGCGGCTTCGCTTCCCTACAAGGTTACTCTGCTTGGGTCTTCCAAGGTTGCCTCAGTCATTCCTGGAACTGCTGGTCAGAAGCTTTGAATTAGGGTATCCTTGTCATGCTTCAAGATGTTCTGAACTCTCTTTGGAAGTAGATCATCTACCGGCTCATATCCTTTTATATGCCAGAATCAGTATTTAAGAGAGTTACATATTTATTTGACAGAGATCTTGAGAATGTATATTTGTTTGGCATTTGCATGTATGGTGCCCCTGATAGGTTATCCTGTTATAATGCGATAGCGAATCAAAGCTATTACTAGTCAATCGTGCCGAAGATCGTCTCGAGCCTAAACTTACACGTTATTTCGGGATCATAGCCACTATTCATTTGAGAAACACGGCCCTTCACTGTCGTATTTGCTGTCAAGTTAATCAATAATAGTAGAGTGCACGGGCGATAGTTGTAGCTCAGTAGTAATAAACGCCAAACTCAGTACCAACCAGATACACGAGCCGAAGTGAGCTTTCAATAGATGTCGCTTATACAGGGTTTAGTAGTTAGAATGACCAGTTGAAGGGCTGTGCCGCTCATGGGGATGACCCTTGTAGTGACACAAGAGAGAAAATGTGCCGAAACGCAGAACAGAGCATACCCGACGTGCCATCATCGTCAGCCCACCAAGTCGTCAAAAGTCAGACAATGTGCAAAAGGAGAAGACTCGAATTGAATTGGACCAAGATGAGCGTTCAGTAGTGTCATAAAATTTCGTGACGGATATTTGAAAACATGCCCAGCGTATCGGAAAGCAGAGCTTCGTGATACCACACCTTCAAGCCATACTGGAATGATATGATTGGTATCTCCCACGATGTCAGCACGGTATATGCGTGCAAACTGTACTTGCTGAAATACACTGTAATGAACTGACAGGCTATGTTGCTAAAGACCTACTTGCACTGTGATAATGAGGGGTCTCGGGAGTGTCGTCAAATGCTACCACTTCAGCAGCACGAATATTCCAGCATGACGTTGGTCAGCATCATATCATCAGACGGGATGGGTGGAATGACGACATTCAACACGAGAGGTCTGCATGGCTCTCGATTATATGAAGCTGTGTGCCGCCGAGGTCGAGCTAGATATGACATCCTCTCAAAATCCCCTGACTAAAGGAAGACTATCAAGACAGCAATAAACGTACAGCCATATTTTGACAACCAAAATGCCTGAGCGAAGACAATCCCACCCCAAGGTACCCACTGGTCTCGACGATGAGACCGCCGTCGAGACTCACGACCTCATCCATCGCGCCGAGGAAGAAGAGCAAAAGGTCAGCGGTCACTCTACTGATGCTCAATTCAGGTATTGACTGGTGATAGATGCACGGCAAGGATGCCTTGACGCAGGAGGATGACGGTCCTCAAGAAGGCAACCAGCAAGGGCAGTCGGCAATGGACAAGGTCAAGGGTGCGCTGAATCTAGGCAAATAAATGTCGTGGTAGTATGTTGGCAAAGGGAAGTTGTGCTTATAATTGCGGCGTTGGTACCAGATTGTCATATCAATCAATTTGATCATTGTTTCCATATCAACTAAATAATACTAATAAGTACATGTCTAATGTATATCGGAACAGGGTATAGAAACGAAACAGTAGGGTATCTTGACATTAACATCCTTCTCCACCAACATCAACTCTGATCATCAATAGACATCCGCGAGGCTGACGTGACACATAAGCAAAACAAAGAAACGGAGAAAGGTCTACATCCCAAACATGAGACACGCCGAGAACAGAACCACAAGCGCCAAAGCCTTCCCGCTGGGCTGCGCAAGACCCGTCGCCCCGTCCTCATCCGCAGGCTTGCCATCCGCCGCACTGACCTTCTCCCCGCTCGGATAACGAATGTTATACACGGTCTGACCCTTGAGCTTATCAGGCACGCCCATTGTATGCGGACACGACGCCTGGTTCGCGGCGGGGTAGTCCAGATCGCACGTCTCATCGTGGCCCAGCGTACAAATGGAGTCGAGGATGTTGTAGAGAACGTAGTTGTCGCCGACCCAAGTGCTGTCTTTGCGGTCGAGGCAGCTCGTCAGGAAGTTCATGCTGTTGGCCGCGCTGAGGGGCAGTTTGCTGTGCTTAGTGTCGATCAGGTCAGAGCACTTGGAGGCGTCGACGTTTTCGAATGTCATCTCGATAGGGCCGCCAGCCGTGGGCTTGTCGGTGGCTGAGTAGCCGGTGTAGAGGTAGTTCCACGCATCGTAGCTAACGTCGTACGCGCCTTGGGACTGGTCGATGCGGAGGAGATGGACGGTGCGGTCTTGGTACTTGAGGGCGACGCATATGTTGTTGCAGTCGACGGAATTGGGCCAGTAGGCGATGCGATTCGTATTGACCTGGGGGTTTATGTTAGCCAATTGGTTCATATACTCATACACAGCAATGCGACGCGACGTACCTTGCACCCGAGGACGCCTATCGACGACGAGTAACTATCGTGGGGCGTCACCCAGACCGTTCCGCTGTCTTTGTCGCGCGCGGCAGACACGGCGATGAGCAAAGAGTGGAAGAGCAGCAGCAGCCGCAGCCGCAGCAGCATCGCGAAGAGACAAAGCGCCAAAAGGACTGAGGCCTAGAGTGGGCAACTAAAAGCAATACAATGAGCGGATGGCTGATGGCATCTTGCGACACGCCATGCGAAAGAGAATGGATGAGGAGGAGAAAGTGATAGGGGTCCGTGTCTGTGGGTGCAGAAACAAACTTGGAGAGCCGAATCAAGATTAAAGTTGGAAGAGGGGGGACTAGGCCGCTTTGGGGATGATGCTGCGAGTAATTACGGGGGTTTAATTGAGTGCATTTTGCTTTGTCTACGCTTGATCCTTTCGGTTTAACGCTCGGGCTGATTTCGCGGTATCATGCGCAATTGAGAAATGATCGCTCGTAATGATTTAATAGCATTTTTGAGACATGTGGAATGTTTGAGAAGAATACCGATCTGAGACTTTGTTCGCAGAGGTCTTGCCTTATGTCTGCTCTCAATGTGATACTGAAGCCATTTAATTACGGACTTATCACACAGCAAAAGCTATGCGTGCATAACTGCACATTCATAAATACCACTCACAATTACGTATAGAAATATGCATCTCAGCCGTTGAAGCTGACCCGTATCTCGCGTTATGATCCCCCATCCAAGCCACCTCCACACAGATCCAGATTAGTCTTGGTCTTGGCAGGGCTGAGCGACCCATCAGCCGAGTAAACGAGTAATACGGGGTCCACCATCGTCTTTAGGCTCGGGACATGATCCCTCGTTGGGGATTTGAAGTTGCGAGATACTTACGGCGCAGAAATACCAGACGTTTCGATTCAGCTCTGGTGGGTATATAATGCCATACCCATCCTGCTATATCTCAGCAAAAAAGGGCAATTCCGAAATCACAATGACTCGTCTTCATCCTTTTATCGTTTCCACACTCTGTCTCCTATCCTCTGCCTGGGGAGGTAACATCCCTGGCAAGTCCTGCAAGGCTTACCCAGGCACTTCAGACTGGCCCTCCCATAACACATGGTCGCGCTTCAACGACACTCTAGGCGGGAAACTCCTTGCGCCTACGCCCCCTGGAGCCGTGTGCCATAAGGACTGGCCTACCTATAACAAAGATACATGCTCCAACGTTGCGACTGCGTGGAAGAAATATGACTTGCACACTGAAGACCCCGTCTCTCTTATTTATGATCAGTTTTCCAACTGGACTTGTCTTCCAGATGCAGACTTCCCGTGTAGTGGCAGTGGTTACCCTGCGTATGTTGTCAACGTCACTAAGCCAGAGCACATCAAGATTGGCATCGACTTTGGTAAGTCCCCTGTAGTCCTGACTGATGTTCACTCACACTACACTAGCTCGCAAGCACAAGATTAGACTCATTGTCAAGAACACTGGCCATGACTACATGGGCCGCTCTATTGCCCCAGGCTCACTGTCGCTCTGGACTCATCATTTAAAGGATATCACCTACCACAAGGGAAGCTTTAAGTTATACAACTCAAAGACTACCATCACTGGTGATGCTATCACTGCTGGTGCTGGATCTCAGATGTACGATGTCTACACTTATCTAGACAAGTATGGCCGCGTTGTCGTCGGCGGCGGTGGAAAGTCTGTCGGGCTTGGAGGCTTCGTCACCGGAGGAGGACATTCGCTCTTGTCGCCTCGATACGGTCTTGCTGTTGATCAGGTTCTTCAGATGACGATGGTTACACCTAGTGGTAAGATCTTGACTATCAACGAGGATAACCATCGTGATTTGTTCTGGGCCATGCGAGGAGTAAGCATCCACCCTGATAAATGATAAACCGCTGTACTAATATCTCACAGGGCGGCGGTTCTACCTTTGGAGTGCTCACATCCATCACTCTCAAAGTCTACAAAACACCCAAAATCCTAGCTTCAAGCTGGCTAGTCGGAACTTCATCCGAAGCGCCCTTCAAGCACGACCTCCTCGCCTACATCCTCTCGCAGTTCCCATCTCTTGCAGACGCCGGCCTTTCAGGCTACACTTCTCTCAGTCCAAAGGCACCCAACCCCGCCCCATCTCCAGGCGCACCAGCAGAAGTTGCCGGGATCCAGGGCATTTTCGTCGCACAGGATGTGCAAGACCCTGAGTACATCCACAAGCTCTTCAAACCGATCAACGAAACTCTTCAGAAGCGCTGGCCCGGCATGGTGCAGTTTACTGCTTCGAATGAGAAGTATAGCTCGTTCTTGAAGTGGTACGATGTTTATTACGACACAGGCGCTGCCGGGGAGACCAATTATCTCGTCTCGAGGCTTCTGACCAAGGATTCTTTGGAGAAAGATGAGAAGGCTTTGGGTTATGCGGTAGAGCAGGGATCAATTCCTTCAGGTGGTATGATCGCTCACTTGGTAGCTGGGAAGGGTGTTCGTGATGCTCGGCCTAGGGGAGGAAGTGCTTCGGTGAATCCTGGTTGGAGAAAGTCCTATGTTCACATCCGTAAGTATCTCCCGAGTCTCACATTATTGAAACTACTAACGATGGTGTTTCGCAGTCGCTGGCCAAACCTTCGAGCCCTTCAACCGAACCGACGAAGCTCAGGCTATAGAGAGCTTGATCAAAACCTGGCAGCCATTCCGCAGACTCTCGCCTGACACAGGCGCTTACGTTAACGAGGTATGTGAAACGTGGTCTTTGTCGTCATATTGGACTAAGCTGTTGTAGGCTCTTCCCTTCGAACCAGACTGGCAGCATACCTTCTGGGGCAGCAACTACGAGAGACTTCTGGCTATTAAGAAAGCTGTTGATCCTGAGGATGTGTTTTGGTGCCTTCCATGTGTTGGAAGCGATAAATGGGAGCAGAAGAGCAATGGTCGTCTTTGCAGAATCTAGTAAGGGTGTCACAATTTAGGTAACATGGAAGGTAGGATCATGGTATTTCTGGATATGCTATGTAATATAGTAGTCCATGGAATGCCATTCGTTGGGTGAGGCATGGAAATACATATAGGCTGTAGTGCAGAAGCAAAACCTGGTTGATAGTCGAGACTTAAACCTTTGGCTCGCAAACAGCGATGAACGGTGAAATAACACCTATCCTCGTCAGTAACACTCATCACATCAGACTTGTTAAACTTACTGCTCAAGAAAAGCCTTCCGGTCTTGGCATCATGCACAACCGTCGTAACAGCCGGAAGAAGCTCACCATCCGCATCCTCGATAACCTTATCAACCACATACTTGCCCTCCGTCTTCTTGACCCTCAGCACCGCAGTCGGAGTACGCGCACCATGCGGATCCTCATACGCTGCGAAAATAGCAGCCGTGACGGGAAAAGCAGCGATCCAGATATCCCCGTTCTCGTCAACCGAGGCATTGTCGAGGCCGTAGCCGAGCTTCACCTCGTCGACCTTTTCGAGGTCTTTGTTGGGCAGGATGCGGTAGATGGACAGAGTGCCGGCTGCGGAGTCTGGGACGTAGAGCATGTCGTCTTTGCGCACGAGGCCGTTGGGGAATTTCATGTTGCCGGCAACTTGTTTGCAGGGTGCGTTTGCTTCACAGTAGTGCATGTTGGCGGTGCCTAGAAACATGGCCAGTTGACTTTGCTAAGTATTGTTAATGGTTTGATCACATAGAATGTCAAAGGTGAATACTTACCAAGCCAACCTTGTGGGGTCTGTGGTCATTTGTGATGTAAAACGTCTTATCGTCCAGAACCGCAACACGGTTTGGCGTGGAAATACCCTGGTCAGCAAAAGTACGAACATGCTTCATCTCAGTTGCTTCAGGGCCCGTTGTAAAGTGATCGATCGTGGTATTGGCACCATGGGCATATTGGTCAAGGAACTTTCCACTTTCAGGATCGACAGAGGGTCGCAGGTTAACAAGCATCAAGTCAATACCACCAGCAGAGTTCTCCATTCCAGTGAAGCCGACTAAATTAAGCAGTCCGTCTCCATGAGTACCCGAGAACCCAGGGGTTTTAAGAGTTCGCATTTGGAAGCCACCGCCAACAGGCTTGTCAATGTCCAGCGCGACAATAGCGTCTCGCTCAGAACGACCAGTGAGATTCAGTTTACCAATACTAAGCCCTTGTTAGACGCCGCCGAGAAACCATAGCTGATAGACATACCTAGGCATCCAGGTCTGTCGCGAGATAGAATCCGAGCACGCAAGGAACATCTGCCTCGTAGACTGCGACAACCACATGTCCTCACAAGCTTCCAAACGCGGATCGACGATCCTGCGGCACGTGTAGGGGAAGTCAGACAGCGGCTGCATAACCCTGCCGATGCCGAGGAGCATCCATACGGTGTCTTTGAGGAAAACCTGGAATAGAACGGCGAGGACGACGACGGCGGAAAAGCCGACTTTAGTGAGGAGATTGACCATTCTCGGATTTTGATTGACAAAGAAAGATTGTTTGAGGAAAGAGACCAAAGATTCTGGCGGTGGGAGAAGATATAGGAAAATCGTCGACGGATCAATCCGGATTACGTGAGGGCTAATGAAGGATTCGCACCCTGGTTGATGGACTCGCACAAGGCCCCTCACGATTATAATCGCAGAAGGGTTGAGAAATCTGACATAAGATGATTAGCCTTACATGTGCACCAACAGATCGGTCTATGTACTTCATCACCATCATAAGATATTTCTTCTAATCTGGTTGCACAACTTCACTGCAGTCCATTTTTCAGTCATATTTCATAATAAAGGCAATTATGTATGTATAATACACCACGATAGAATGCAAACATTCCATTTTAAGAAAGAAAACTGTATATCAGAATAAACAGAAGGGAAATCGCCCAGTATCTACAAAACTATTTATACGTTTTGAATGCCTCCGCTTATTACAAGGGTATTAAATGCCACACAATCTATGCATCTTATCTACAGAGCAGCAACAAAAGCACCGACCACAGCAGCAGCAAGCACGGGGATGTTCCATGCTGATGCGCCGTTGATGACAACAGGGCTGGTCCCTGTGGGCTCAGAGGGCGAGACGCCGGGGGTCTTGATGACGGTGGCGACGGTGTTGGAGGGGATCTGGGCGTAGACGTTTGTGGGGATGTAGGTGTGTAGCTCCTCGAGAGGGTTGCCGGAGTGAGAGGCGGGCTTGGGAGAGCCGGGTGTTGGCTGAGGGTATGAAGCATGGTCCTTGGTAGGTTTAGCATCACCGTTAGTAGGCTCAGCGTAGCCGGTGTGCGTGTTGGTGAAAGTGTGTCCACGCGCCGTGCTGGTGATAGTGTAGCCGCCAGGGTAGGTACCGTTGCCGTGATGCTGGCTGGGGCTAGGAGGACCGCAGTTCTTGCAGAAGCCGGGAACAGGCGTAGGCTTGGGGGCTTGGACGACTGAGGTCATGGTGAAGGTCTTGTAACCGAAAGTGGTAGCCTCCTTGCAGCCAAAGTTGCCAGCACCGCAGTGAATAGCCTGGGGAATGGTGAAGACGCCAGTGGGCTGCTCGGGGTGCATGATCTGCGTGTTGTACACGATCTCGGTGGACACAACGCCTCCCTTGCAGGGCCCGGAGCCGGGGCAATCGGTGACGGTGTGCAGGAGGGTGGAGGTGACGACGGTTCGGACAGGGCCCTTGGTAGGTGCGGGAGCAGGGTGGCCGGTGCCGGTGGCGTCGCTGCCGGGGCAGTAGGTGGTGAGATGGGTTCTGGTCTCGGTGGTGACTTGTCCGACAGGGCAGTTGGTGACGCTGGGGGGGCAGGCGGTGATAGTGTAGACCGTGCTGGTGGTGACTGTGGAGGTGATCGTGGTAGAGGGGACTGCAGTGGTGGGGAGAACATAGGTCTGGCCAGATCCTCCAGTAGATCCTCCGTGAGAGCCAGAAGTCTTTGTGTTGATGACCGTGCTGTTGGTGTAACGGGTAGCAGTAGGGTAGGGACGGTCACTATCAGAAGAGGCAGTAACATCGGCAGAGGTGGTCTCGGCAGAAGAGACAGATTCGGTAACAGACTCAGAAGCAGTCTCGGTGGAGGTGGGTGCCTCGGAAGTCTGGGTGTTGCCCGAGCCACACTCACCAACCAGATCAGGCACAGCATTAGGGCCAGAGCCGATAGCGACAAGGTTAGTACCACAGTCCTCGTTGTTGGCGAGCCAGACATTTCTGTTGTCCCAATCGTACACAACGTAAGCAGCGCGGAGGAAAGTGTCGCCGAGAACGGGGAACTCGTCGTCCTGGAAGACGCCCAGCACGCAGCGGTCGTCGTTGTGCCAGATGAAGTCGGCGTAGGGGACCTTGATGACGGTGTTGCCGAACTTGAAGTCGATGCTGCCCTTGAGGTCGGCGACGTCGCAGTCCACGTCGACGTAGGCGCCGAGGCCCTTCTTTGCGGTGGGGAAGGCCGCGACGATCTTGTTGAAGATGGCGCCGGGGAGGGCGCTCACGGTGTAGCCGCTGTCGAGGAGGACGGGCTGGCCGTTGGTCTGCGAGTAGATGGCGTCTGTGGAGCCGTCGTCTTGGATGATGCTGATGCCGTCGAGGTAGACCCAGTAGCTGCGATTGTTAGCGACTTTTGACACACGCGGTTCAATTGCGCGCGACATACCGGGTGAGGCCATCGGGGGATGACGAGGCGGGGATGATGGGGCGCTTCTCCAAATGGCCGGAGTACTTGCGGGTGTCAATTCCACCAAAGATAACAGCACCGCGATCGCTGTTCATAGTGCGGATGTCGAGACTGAGGGCTCGGCTCTTGATAAGGCCTTGCTTGACCATGCTGTCGATGACCAGAGGATACGGCGCATCCCAACCGTTCAGGTCAGGACCAGCGCCCATGATGCCAACGCTGGTAAAAGAGCTGTCATACGCGACACCAAAAACCTGGTTGCGAATGCTGGCGGCTTAAGATTGGCGTCAGTAGTGTCTCAGCAACAAGCAATGCGGGATACTCACCTCCAACAACGATGTTATCGTAGCCATAGTTCCAGTACGCATAACCGGTACCGTAAACAACACCACCGGTCGTGTCCAAGTTGACGAAAGTGCTACTCTCGCCAAAATGTCCAAACGTCGAGCAAAACGAGGGCTGCTGCGCCTTTTCGCACACGGGGTTGACCCAAAGCTCCGCAGAACCTGTATCCAGGTTGACCGTGACCTTTTGTCCGGGTGTTCCCAGGGTGACGTCGATGCTGTAGAAGAAACCGTTCTGCTGGCTCTCGAGAGCAACTTCGTTCTGTCGCTTGGTCACGCCCTTTACGACGGGCGCGCCGGTGCTCACTGTGAGGGGGAAGCGGATGAGGCCATCTGGGGTGGTGGCGTCGGCGCCGAGGTCGAAGGCGCTGGCCAACGCGGGAGCCGCGGCGGCGAGGAAAAGAGCGGATAACATCTCAATTGGTAGAGATGTCTATGTATGTAAAATAAGATTGAATACAAAAGAGAAAAGACAAGATAGAGAAAAAAGGGAAATAATGTGGAAATAAGATGGCTTTTGTTAACCCGGCGTAGTGAGTGACCGGGGAAACGAAACAAGTCGTGATACCCTCAACGAAATAAGAATAAGAAGGGATGAAGGAGCAGAAAAAAGAACATGGAACGAGGGAAAGGTTGGAGTTGGAGGGGGGGGGTTCCAAAAATGGAGACGGCGGGAATTTGTCGTGTTTCTATATAAAACACATGCACTGCAGATGCAGGGGGTTACACGCAGCCAAGCACCTTAGCCCCTTTGTCAACTGGAGTCTGGCAGACGAGACGCCCTAGACGAACGTTGCGTTGCGTTGCCTGGCGCTAATCTAAAAGAAGGGCACTCGTATTGAGTTAGCGGGTGGGCTCCTCAGGGAAGTGGGAGTAGGAAATTGGAAATGAGATTTTGTGCCCTTTGTTTCAAACAGGCCATTACAGCGACAATGCGATTTCTCGTCTAATTGAAATCTTTCCAAATAATTGACGGTCCATACTTTTTTCCAGCTCTCTCGGTCTCGCGTGAGACATGAAAGCGGGAGGATACAAAACTACTGAATACGAGACTCCCTCATGCAATGGTGAAGTGTCCCTGCTTTAGGGATCAGCGTCAGCCCGTAAACATAAGCAATTGATTGGCAATTCTGTCTCTCTTTCTACTTCCCTCCCCCCCTCTTGGCTTGGGTCACTCTTTTCCCCTCGAACCCAACAGCTGGGAGGGTTTGTGTCGATCAGCCTGAGTTTTTAGCGCTCTGTCTGCACTGCACGCCTGCACCTGAAGCTAGGGTATCCACGCACCCCATCAGACTCGTATCATGGCAGCAAATACGGGGTTTTTCTTCTTCTAGTCTCAGCCTCAGATCTCTGATCTTCAAAAAGCGTGATGCTCAACAAGGGTGTTTGTGGGACTGTATTCTACATGAAACAGCGAGCGGATAACTGCAGTGTCAAAGGGCAACATCGTGCCCTTTGTGTCGATCAACTAATCAACCTCCTTCATAAAGACCCGAGACATTGATTATTGTTTCTTCGGCTCCCGGTTTTTGTGTTAACTCGGGGTTGTTATTGTTTGGTGATGTCGCGGCCTTTGCAATCAAACTCAATCAATCCTGCACTTAGCCGCCTCCTCCGACGAGCGAGTGCGACACCTTCTCAGTGCTGCATTAGCCGAAGGAAGACACAGGCCAACCACCTTTAGGCCAGGCCAGTAGTACAAACTGCTGTTCAACGGCTTCGTGTCGTGTCAACGCCACGTTTTGTCCCGTCTGGTTTGACTTTGACAGCGGTTTTACTTGGCTGGTGCGGATGGGACGGGAAAAGTCAGGGGGTTGGCCACCGTTAGTTTACCCTGTAGAGTTTGCGCTGCAAGCCACAGTAAGCCCGCTAATTGTGAATGTCAGCGGCGCAGGAGAAAGCGTTTAATCAAGTGGCTGCGCGATAAGCTTATCTGAGGGGTTGATATTGAGATCAGCGTCCTGCAGCTGCAGTGTGGTGATGGCACAACCTGAGCGTGGTTGGGGCTGTGTCACTGTTGCATCATTTGCATGCATGTCTATGTCAACCTCTTAATTGTTAAACATCTTCAGCCATCGTTTATCTGATTGGGCTTGTCAGATTAGGGAAATGTATATTGTGGTTGTGAATTAGGATACCTGATGTCTTCGGGTATGTCAAAATTGAAATAGGGTAGGTAAACAGGCAGGGCGGCGAGTTGTAGAGTTAGATAAAAGAGACCAGCAGGAAAGACATAGAACTGGATTGATAATGAAACCAGGATAATAAATAGAAAAGATGATACCTTGAATAGATATTTCTAAAGACAAAGATCCAGCGCAACATCTTTATTGATGACTGTTTCGGTCGCGAGACTCATTTCATAGATGCTGCTCAAAATATCATCTTCTTTCGTAACACTCAAGTAAATCCTATTGCCAACTACAAACCCAAAACCGCCACCGTCCTGGTTGTCCAGGCTCCGTGCAACGATTACAAGGAAAGTGAAATCGACTGCAGCGATTGAATGCTCTGGATGTTGATCAAACAAAGGTTGACAAGTCCAAAGAGGGCGACGGGGACGCTAATGGCAAAGGAGGCCAAATGTTTCAGATGCGGCTGAAGGATGGATTGTCATGGTTATCGAAGGAAGTTACTTGGTAGTAAAGGTCACAGCCAGGGACCTTGCACTAATACGACCAAGACCGGCTCCAATTCGCTATTACTATCAGTTAAGGAAAGTTGGTGCATGAGTATCCCTGCTCGCAAGGTGCAACTATGAACTCATCTACGCTCGTCTAGTGGAGACAGGGGACTTGAGTTCTGGATTAGGAATGATGAGCTTCAAGACGATGCCTTTTGTGTGTAGCTGAGCATAGCAGACCCCAGCTTTCAGCATTGGCTAACAAGCCATGCCAGTAAGTGAGCCCTGAGTGAAAGAGAAATTAGGACTAGTGCTTGTTTCGAAACAGATTCATTAATTTGTCGGGAGTTGAGACAGCTAAACATACTTTTCCATAGGGTTTATTTAGCTATTTTGTATTATTATCGAGAGATAAGATGACCAGGTTACCACACTTCTGCGGTCGCAGGCGGGAGTACTAAAGTGACTGATGCATTCCCTCAGTTACCACGGAGAAGCTGACAATTTATTGCAATTTATTGCTATGGATGTTCTTCCTTCAAGATCTATTCGCAGTATTAGATAATGGTTGGGCATTGATTTCCGTTTTTGTCTTGCCTCTATATAATAAACGACTATGATTCGTACCCTGTTATTCCTTCCATTTCAATAGTTGTGATAACAGGCTGCGTATCAGATACAGGAAGATAAATCAACAAGGGAAGGTAATGCGAAACTTTGCCATATATTTACAGTGACGTTATTTGGAGGCTGAGACCTTGATGGAGCGCCCCGCTCCAAACCGAGGTCTTCACAAGCACCCTGGTCCAGGGGTCGAGACAAACTTTACCGAGGTAGGCCGCCACGTGACCATATCAAATATCAAGCTTGTGATGAACTGTCGCGACTTTTTGCTTATGTCCTCTCATCATCTCGACTACTTCCATAACATTTTCTCTCATCTCAATTCATAAATCTCTTGAAAATGGTCCTAAAACAGAGCAAAGGCCCGCGCGAGACGCTGACGGTCGTGGACAACAGAACAAACCAGGTCTATGAGATCCCCATCACTCACAACTCCATCCCTGCGACAGAATTCAAGAAGATCAAAGCTGAGGGCGGAAATGATCGGCCGGAGGATGAGACAACACAGGGCCTTAGGGTCTATGATCCTGCGTACATGAACACTGCCGTCGTGCAGAGCAAAATCACCTACATCAACGGTCTAGATGGCGTTCTGCGCTACCGCGGATATCCTATTGAGCAGCTGGTGGAAAAGAGCGACTTCCTGGAGTCTGCTTACCTCCTCATCTACGGCGAGCTGCCAACAAAGTCACAATATGACAACTGGCATGGCGAGGTCATGCATCATACGTACATCCACACCGACATCGAGAACATGTTCAAGTCGTTCCGCTACGACTCTCATCCCATGTCCATGCTGACAGCCGCATTTGCTACGCTGGGAGCCTTTGCCCCCGAGGCCAATCCTTCTCTTGCCGGCCAGAAGCTCTACACCAACGCCGCTTCAGGCAATATGGAGGCCCTCAAAGTATTGGACAAGCAGATTCTGCGAATTCTTGGAAAGGCCCCAACTTTGGCGGCGGCTTCCTACAGAATGCGACAAGGTCGGCCCTTCAACCGCCCGGCGCAGGGCTTATCGTACACAGAGAACTTCCTCTATCTGCTGGACAACCTGTCCGAGACTGACTACCAACCGCACCCTGTTCTTGCCAGAGCTTTGGACAAGCTGTTTATCATCCACGCCGATCACGAGGTCAACTGCTCTACCGCCACTGTCATGCAAGTGGGAAGCTCCTTGGTGGACCCTTACAGCGTTGTCGCCGCTGGCTGCGCGGCACTATACGGGCCTTCCCACGGAGGAGCCTCGGAGTCCGCGATCAGAATGCTCATCGAGATCGGATCTCCCGAGAACGTACCAGCTTTCATGGAAGCTGTTGAGAGAAGGGAGCGGGTTCTAGTTGGGTTCGGGCACCGCGTCTACAAAAACGTCGATCCTCGATCAACTGCCATCCGCAAGCTCGCAGAGGAAGTCTTCGAAGTCACCGGCAGAAACAAGCTTCTAGACACAGCCCTAACGCTTGCCGACTACGCCCGTAAGAGCGAGTTCATGCGAAGCAGGAATCTGTACCCCAACGTCGACTTCTACTCTGGTCTGATTTACCAAGCCATGGGTTTCCCACTTGATTTCTACCCAGTCCTGTTTGCTGTCCCTCGATGTGTGGGCTGGCTGGCACACTGGAGGCAGATGATGCTGAACTCAGCAGGTGTTAAGATCTGGAGACCGCGACAGCTATATGTCGGAGAAGGAGAGAGGGAGTATATTGAGACGGAGGACAGAAAGGCAAAGGACGGCGCTACGGTGTTTGATGCGCCTGTCAAGGTTGAGCATGGAGGGAACAGCCAGCGAACACTTCTTGCTACGTCTGGTACCGCGCCAAAGAGTAAGCTATAAGATAGCAGAGCATTGTTGGGATTCCCTGTATTTTATCACGCATTTTGTTTGGATAGCCTAGGCAGATACTCAAGCGATGTTATTGGTTAGATAATTAAGTATGTATTGTATCATACGCTGACTGTGTATCATGTTGCTGCTGATGATGTCAAGAACTTAGTATCCCCTTTCTCAAGCAGTTCATAAGTACTTGCTGATTCTATCATTAGTAGGGGAGATCATGCATTGGCGATACAGACATCTATGGAGTATAATCCGCATAGCCTATAAGCAAGCTATGTAAGACCAATTGTTATGAAGCCATAAACTGACTGTTGAAGTATTAACTACTCCACGGCTTCGCCATATAGCTACATCCCACAAATTCCTGCTTCAGAACTAGACCTCGGCACTTGATGCTAGTGTCCCACATCCCCTCATTCCATCAAGAGGGCCCTAGTGCCAATTCCAACAACGAACTTCACTCAACACCAACACATATCGGACAGGTGCTCAAAATGCCAGCATCGAAATCCTCATTCCCAGGCCCGAGAGCTCTAGCCTTTTCAGCCATCACGATATGCGCCGGCGTCCTTCTCGCCCGCCCATTCAATCGCTTCACCACCGTTCTCGGCGTCTTCCGCCAGCCCGTCAACACCGCAGTCAATGATGCAGACTTTGTCACGATCGACGACACGATGCTCTGCGAGGACATACATCTACATTCGTCCAGCGGGTTGCTTTTCACAGCTTGTGAGGATTCTTACGGGCCGCGCTTTTCGTGGTTCCCTGGTCTTGGCGTTCTCCATGATCCCCTCACGGCTAGCAAGTCGCGTGGGTCTATCCACGTCATAGATCCCAAGACGTTCACGTCCAAGAGACTGGAGTTTGAGAATTTTGCTGGGCCGTTTGTAACACATGGTATTGACGTTATATCGGATCCGGAAGCTCAGGACAGTGTCTATATTTTTGCTGTCAACCACGTGCCTCATCCGGACTATCTTCAACACGTCGTCGATGGAAAGAGTCATGATAAGTATGCTGGGAACAAAGCTGCTTCTCAAATTGAGATATTCCACCATCGTGTGGGATCTACAAGTGTCAACCATATCCGGTCTATCAGTCATCCGCTGATCCAAACCCCGAACGACATTGTTGCGGTTTCTCCTACAAGCTTCTACGTCACGAACGATCATCACTATCGCGAGGGCTTCCTTCGACACGTTGAGGATATGTACTATGGCGGTAAATGGACCAACACAATCTTCGTGCAGATCAAAGACATAGCGGCCAAAGATTCGGACGCAGGTATTGAGGCTACTGTCGCGCTCACAGGCCTTCACAACAACAATGGCCTCGGTCACGGCAGAACCCCCAACGAGATAGCCATCGGAAGCGCTTCTAGCGGAGACCTTCACATCGCCAACATCCAGCCTAACCAAACCCTCAAGGTCCTAGAAACGATCCCACTTGACGTGTGCGTTGACAACCCCTCTTACTTCTCTGACTCATTCGCAAGTGTCGACGGAGACAGCAGTGGTTTCATCTCCTCAGGCCTGTCAAAAGGTTTTGAACTCGGGAAATCAATTGGAGTTGCCGATGGGACCGAGCCAGTTATGATCTGGCTGGTGAAGCCGAAGGATGGCAAGTGGGAGAGGAAACTCCTTTTTGAAGACGACGGAAAGAGGTTGAGGTCGGCAGCTACAGCGGTGTTGATTGGAATTGATCCTGCGCTGGAGGGAGGGAAGAAGAAGGGGTGGTTGTTTGCTACGGGATTCTACTCGAGAAGTGCCGTTGCTGTCAAGGTTGATCTTTAAAGATGAGGAGGTCCGTTGTATGCTCTGATCTTGAAAGGCAGTTACCTGAGGCGAACTCTTCTGATCCAATAACCTCACACCTGAATCCTAGTCTAAATCAAGAAATTCTGTTACTCGTACTATGTTTTGGAAAATATTAATAGTTAATGGGAAACGGACAACTGCGACGGATTCGCGGAAACTTCTCAAATGCCGACGTGCGTCCAAACGTCATTTTGTTTTTTAAACATCCATATACGTCATTGATATCGTGTAATTATATACCAGATCTAATTGATATTCCCACAATTGATACCTCCAAACATTCAACATCTCTTCTGTAGCACGCGTATTAATTCACAATGTCCCACGCCGAAGTCATCTCCATCGCCACAGCCTTGATAGCATCAGGCGGCATCGCCACGTTAACCTTTTTCGACGTCCCAGAACTTCAATCCCAGCCTGCATCCAGATCACTCCCCGCGATCCGATGGCTTTTTAGCCGCGGCTCACATGTTTTTCCATCCGCCTCGATCATCTCAACCGTAGGCTTCATCTACTCAGCCTCTACCCACAACCTCCAAGGTTCTGGTCCGCTTTACTCCCTTGGAACCAATACTTCACAGGCGAATGGCTTTTTGGCTGCTGCGGCGCTCACGTTCAGCATCGCTCCCTTCACTCAACTCATGATCCCCACGAATTTCGCGCTTATCAAGGAGAACAATAAGCTGGGTGGTTCCAGGAGCGAGAAAGCTGCCCAGGAGAATGGGGATGCTTCTACAGACCGAAGTGCGTTGGATTCGGTGAAAGGAACTGGAGAGGGAGTCGAGTTCACAGACCTCAGTGGACCGCAAGAGAAAACACCACGGAGCTCGACTGCAGAGGAAGATGAAAAGGTTCGGGATTTGCTGGAGAAGTTTCGCTGGCTTAATTTGGTGAGAGCTGTACTTATTGGGGCTGGGGGTGTTGTTGGTCTGTATTCTGCCATGAATTGAGCTATGCTTTTGTGAATTTACTTCTATCAGAATAATGACATCGGTTCATATCAATACTTTTTCGCAACTCCCGTTTCGTTGTTCTTGACTTCGTATACTCGATAGATTCATTTCTTACTTGATTTACAAAATCATTCATCTCCATCTCCCAAACTAACGGCACTGGTTGAACGTTCCAGTGACTCCATGCTCTCATCATCCGGAACTGTGGAAGCATTCGATTCTTGACCCGAATCCTCCTCAGAGGCAGTACTAGTGTCGTTGATTCTCAGAATTTCTGGAACAGACGAATACGTGTTTGAGTCTCTTGCTTTCGATTTAATCCTCTTCTCTCTTAACGCTTCCATAACATCCGTTCTCATCTTTTGCGCAATCTTCATTAAAAGCTCATCTCGAGCTTGGGTCAGGCCTTCATCGTCGCGGAAATCAGGAAGTCGCCAATTCCGATACAGGTTGTCGTGAGACGGGCGAACAGTTGGCTTTTCGCCCTGGAGGGATTCGAAATAATAGTGGCAAAGCCGACACGTCGGCTTACTGCTGCCGATGTAGTTCCACCGGTTCCAGTAGCATTCTGCACTAGTCTGTCCGGTTTCTATAAGATGTTTGTTCACCAGAGGCTCCGCATGTAATACCGGTTTGAATTTCCTCGAATTGTGAAACTGTCGAATAACATCGTCAACTCCAAGTTGTTGCAGGCCATCGGCTATTTGCGATAGCTGTAGGTCTTGGGTTTTCTCTTCCGCGATGATGTGCTGTACGATGATCGAGCTTGTGAGGTCCGATCTTAGGATCGGGTTTGGGAGGCGAGAGCCAGATGGTAGCATGGTGATCTCGAAATCTTGGAACAACTCGGGCCATCTTTCAGAGACTGCGACGATACCAAGAGCCGCCTGGCGGTAGGACAGCCATCGGCCGAGAAAGTGTCGAAGTTTGCACCATGGCTCAGATCTTGTGATTTCTCCGTCTTTCGCCCTCTGCGATATCAAGGGATCGATTGCAATCTGACCTGGACTTTTGATTGCCTTGATCAGTGTTTCACAGTCGCTGATCGCTATCCCCAATTAGTCTTTGAGTTATGCATTGCTAAAGTAGGGAGGCATCTTACACTTCTTTTCAGCGTTGGAGGTTATGGTGTCGAGTGTGAATTTGCATTTCTCGGCTAGGGACAACAGTCCCTGTGAAAGTTCGGAAGCTTACGAGGTTCAGCAGGCAGGTACTTAGCCGCAGGGGCTTTGAGATGGGACCTACCTTCGTCTTCCTCTTTTCTTCTACAGCTTTCTAGGCACTCTTGTACTGCCATGCCCAAATACTGTAAGTACTCTCGCAGTCGTGCAATATTAAATGATAGTATGAACCAAAGCGCGCGCTTTCCCAACGCCGTGGTCTTAAGATCTTCTGGGTTTTCCCCCACGAGACCCAATAATTCCTTAACAAAGTTCTTCGTGGTTTCCAATGCTCTTGCGTCTTTGGCGTTAGATCCCAAGACATAGTGCGGTCCGCGTGAGCCTTGAAGGACTGCAAGGGCAGTGATTGTGTCGCCGCCGCGTTCGTTGTCGCATACTTGAGCTAGTTTGTTAACGAAGAACTGGAATGCTTTCAGGTCGGGCATATCAGCTTTATATCCTTGGGATGACTGGCTCTCCTGGGTATAGGTAGGCAGGGATCCAGCCTTTTGCAATGCGGCCTCAAGAATGATGGGCTCATACAATAGCTCGAGTTGATGAGGGGTCAAGCCCCCAAAGCCATCGGACCTCCATGAAGATACAGCCATAATTGCTGCCGGACAGGATAGCGGTTTGTGCGTTGATATTACAGATATGATCTGATGCGAGCCGTCGACGGATTTCGGCAAAGTCGTTTCGTTAGGGAAAAGAGGTAAAATAGGTTCACCTAGTGGTAAACATAATCTATTGTGGTAAATTAGCCAGCCTCGTATTCTAGCGAATAATATAGTTTCTGAAGCGCCATCCCGCGTAGTGACATCATGCGGTTTAGCATGGCTGTATGAGAGAGGTGACGAAATACCGAAAATTGCTAGCCACTTGGCATTTGCTAATTCGAACCGACGTTAAAAAACATCAAAGTATACCTAGTAAATGCTATGCTCGGCGGCGAGTCGACCACCTGCTAACGCATTTCCATACCGATGCTTAATTCCAGGATGCTCTTGAGTGTGGCTAATTCTTGCATTGCTATGTTGCCACCACATTGATCTATTGAGGGCCATGATCAATCTTAACAGCTACAGCCAACGGGGCATGTCCATCCTTGCTCAGATCCCATGCTTGTCGCTAAGAACAGGCAACCGGGTTACCGTTTAGGCGTGCTTAGTCACCACGTCAGCAGACAAAATCCACGCAATTCAATAGTCAACGAAAATACCTGCATAAGATGAACAAACACCATAACAAACATGACGGAAGTACAGTCCGCGTTCGAGAAAGACTTCAGCTTCCTCAAATATCAAGATGAGGATAGCATTGATGATTGTTCTGTAGCTGTGAAGCGCAGTGCTTATTGGTGCTACTGCGGTCCTTTGCTCGACTCCGATCAAGAGACGGTGCCAGCTAATCTTTATGAATTCGAGTCTGAGGTCTTCACAGGCTCGGTTCGCGCCAAACTCATTCCTTTTCTCAAGTACATCAACAGCCTCCTCGACGTCAAGGGTATTGGTCACTACTTCCTCACCATACGCGCCACCACACCGACACACGAGTTTGATCATCCGAGATGGCACACCGACGAACTCTTCTTTGCAGAAGCTCCGAAGGGGGCTTTGCCTGGCACAAGACTAGGCCTCAAATCACAAACTAGTCAGCTTGAAAACACGGGAACTAACTGGAAGATCTGCACCACCCTTCTCGGCCCATCAACACTCTTCGTTCCCCTAGAGCATCAACCTTTAGCACGCGCCAAACAAAAATCAGCTCGTCAGGCAGCTAGCACAGACCACGAGTGTCTATCTCTGCGCTGTGTCGGCTGCGCGACTGCAGCAGATGCTGTGCGCAACGAGTTGGCCACCACCCTGGAGCCCTTCGGCATAGAGGCGGCTGCAATCGGTGAATGCTCCGTGTTCAAGGTTGGGAGGGACTTTGGAGCTGTCCACTCTGAACCTTGCATGAGCCATGAGGCCAGTGGTAGGGTGTTTATCAATGTTGTGCCAGGGACGGAGGACGAGCTGAAGACACTTTTGGGGAAATGGGGTATGGAGTTTCCGAGACAGTGGTGGGTAGGTGGGAGATGAATAATCAGAGAGTACCCAATCTTCTTCTTGTCTCGGGTGGGTTGATTGAAGTGTGAAGAGGGACTCGTGGCTTCAGCAGAGGCTTTCTATACCATTTGGAAATATAGTTGCGGTGTCCAATATGTTCAGGTAACCTTGTCAGAATTTGAGCTATTATTGCTTTTTAATATGTGTAGGAACCCGTTAGTGTTGGTGTTTCTGTGGGTTTAATTAAGATGATTAGATCTCTTTTTCAAAGATGCTAACTGACTCAATGTTGAAGTGATTAAGAAGTATAGGGTATGCACTACTTGATATTTACGGCAGATGATTTGCCAATCGGTGATAAACATATTTTGTTTTAATTTAGGGAGCATCGTTGCTCTGTTGACGAAGTCAGACCTAACGAGAATCGAAAATTGAAGGTCCACAGACAACTTCTCAGATAGTGATACGCATCTCCCCCACTTGATTAAAGTATGATAACATGCTAACGAATAAGAAGCTCTCTTTTAGTGGAGGGCTGGCCAAAGGCAGGGAAGGTGTTGCAAAGCTCCCTAGACCAAGCCACCCAAGAGTGAAGGTCCCTTCCCTATAAGAGCTAGCCATTTTATCGCAAGCTTCAAATCACAGGAGGCCAAAGCTCCCTTAGTTAGGCAACTTGCCCCAACTAGGTATAATAGCGGGGTATGTGCTAATCTACCCCAGAACTCACTATCTCGATTCCTTTGTCAACTGTTCAGGGCTCAACGCATAATTTTATTTTCCAAACATCATCTAAAGCTCGCAGTAGTCTTACCATGTCTACTACATTCCTGGGTGTTCAACCGGTTCCACAAAACCAAAACCCAAACCCCAGAAAGAGGGCATCTCTGGCTTGTAATGGATGTCGAGTGAAGAGAACAAAGGTAACACGTCAGTGCCCAGGCCATGCCCTCCCTTCTTGTTCAATTGCCCCTGAACTGTGGAGAAGCCATTGATACATCATCCTCTAACTCACATGTCTTCAATATAGTGCGACGGAAGTCAGCCACAATGCAGCGCCTGTTCTCATCGCCGACAGGACTGTGAATATACGCAGGCTCAAAGCAATAGAAAGTGCGTACCTACAATAACCTGGATCGACTCAAGGCTTACTATTATACTAGACGTCACAGCAATGCGTATATACTGGCATTGGAGGCCCGTGTTGCAAGCCTCGAGAAGCAACTTGCCATGCAGTCTAGACATCCTCAGTCACCAGATTCCATGGGGAATAACAGCATCGCCAATGAAGAAGAAACATCATTGATTCCAGAGGCGGCAACGAGCCTCGCACTGGATGACCCGGAAGGTGAAGACATGGACGAATTGGCAAATGCCCTTGGATGCTTCACCCTCGGAGAGATCGGAGAGCTGCGCTATTTCGGCGCATCCAGTAACTTTTCCATCATTCATGATCACGCTATCAAGGTTCCTTCATCAATCCAGGCAAGGAACCGAGGAATCGAAGCAGCACAGGAAATGCCTGGCTTCTTCCAACCCTCGGATGAACTCCGCGATGATCTGCTCACCCTGTTTTGGCGCTGGCAGAACTCGTGGCAGTACATTGTTCCAAGAGAACTCTTTGTACGAGACTTGTATGTAAATGGGACTGGGCGATACTGTACACCCCTCCTTATTTCAGCTATCCTGGCCTTTTCTTCGAGGTACTCCACGCGGCCAGAGCTGAGAGGAGATCCCGATGATCCAAACACAGCAGGAGAAGCGTTTGCTGCTCAAGCCAAAACTATGCTCCATTATGAGTACGACGCACCAACAACCTCTACAGTTCAAGCTGCAGCACTGCTTGGTCTCTACTGGGCTTCTGTCGATAATGAAGGTCTTGGGTTTATGTATATCGGAATGGCATCGAGAATGGCCATGAATCTAGGACTTCATTGTGACTGCTCATCATATGCTACCAAGGGTTTGATCTCCGAAGATGATGTCGAAGCGCGGAACATCACCTTCTGGGGTGTATACGTTCTAGACAAGTGAGGACCGCCTCGACGCCTTGTGTAGAAATCGTTGGCTAACACGTTTAATAGGCTGTATTGCCTTGGTATGGGGAGACCCGCCAGTATCCAGGAAATCAACATTACAACGACAAAGCCAAAAGGAGAAGTACCACACAGCCCATTACTGACAGAGCACCAATTGGAGATCTCGAGTCCTTTTCCTACTCCTCACATCACAGAGAATTTAGTATATACCTGTGAACTATTTATGGCTTCATCCGAAGTTATCGATCAGCTGTCAGTTTATCCGTTGATCAGTTCTAAATAGAGAAGCTGACCAAGGACAGATATGCTCAGAGATGTTCATGGACAGATAAAGAAAGAGAAGATCGAGTTATGAAAGCCCACTTGGAGGCTGTGGCACTCTTTGAACGGCTGCCAAAAAGCTTGAAGATCTCAAACTCTAGTCTACAGTGCTCTCCTCCATATGTATACCAACTCCAGTGCGTTGTAACCCCTCCACGATGATATATCCCCTGACACAAAACATTACAGTTTGCAATACCACCATGCTCTATTATTGCTTCATCGACCATTCTTCCAACTTCTCAATCCCGGGAAGAACTCTATTGCTTACGACACAGAGGGCCGAGATATCCACTCTCGGTCAGTTAAGGAATCAGCAGTTAAGATTGCCAGGATCTTGCAGATTTTCAAGAAGAACTACACACTAGTAAGTGTACACCCCAAGAGTCAATCTCAACTTTGCATGCTTACACCTCCAGAAATGCATACCGATTTCAGCGGTACACCCAGCTTTTACAGCATCTATCATACATCTCCTACATATCAAGTCTTCTGGAGATGTCGGGCGAACTGAATCCATGAGATGTCTCAGCATCTGCATCACAGCACTGTACGACATGAACGTTAGCTGGAACTGGGCCAATCGGTCTATTCGCGCTATTCAGTCACTTGCTACAGAGTGGGGGGTCGATATCTGGGCTCATGGCATGTCACAGGAAATTGCCGAAGAGAGTCAATTGCAATTTGCAAGATATGAGATGGAGGACTTGCCACTTGTCCAAAAAGATGTTGTGAACACAACTCTCGACGGGGCGGTTTCACTTAACGACATATTTGAATTATGGACTCAGGAGCGGTGTTTTGGGGAGTCGACTATTGATATCTTTGGCTAAGGATGGAACGCATGTAAAATTAGATTGATTTATTATGAAAAGCAATTATTGAGATTAACTACTTGCCGAGAGCTATGCGAATAGTAACTGATCGACCGCTTTTTGCCACATCCGTGCACAGGTTCCTTTTTGTAGTTGAAGGTTATGTGCGACATTCAACTTCACCACACAGACCGGAAGCTCGGTGTTTCCCCGCAAACCAGGCTTATCATAGCCGGCCATTCCTGGAGATTTAGTTGTGCAATTATCTGGGGTACTTGGCAAAAACACGGGCGTTATCCGGGTTCCAATATTCCGGCCACCCTGGTGGTCTGGCAACTTGATACCCGGATAAGCCCCCGCCATGATCTGCACTACCGGGAACCAGGTTTCCACGATAATACGATATCGTGGACTTCAACGTAGAGTGATGTTTGAAATATAAATAATGCTCAGAGACGCTCCCAAGTAACAATTTCAATTCATCAACTACAGCAACGATCAAGACTTACATCCTTCACTCATCTTACTATCTAAATTTTGCTCTAAGCTTCCCAATCTTCCAAAATGTCCAAGACTATCAAGGTTGCCGCTATCCAGGCCGAGCCCGTCTGGCAGGATCTCCAAGGCGGTGTTGCCAAATCCATCAGTCTCATCCAAGATGCAGCTGAGAACGGTGCCAACGTGATTGGATTCCCTGAGGTGTTCATCCCTGGTTATCCGTGGTAAGTTACTTTGCGAGAAAGTGTGGGCAGATCAGCTTATTCATTCCTAGGAGCATCTGGGCCAACTCGCCTACCGAAAACGCGGCCTGGATCAACGAGTATTTCAACAACTCCCTCGAGAAGGAATCTCCTGAGATGGACCGGATCCGCGCGGCTGTCCGTGAGGCGGGCGTGTTCGTTGTCTTGGGATATAGTGAGAGATACAGAGGAACACTGTACATTGCTCAGGTGAGTCAAGAATCTGCCCTTGCCAATTCATGAGCGGTTTCTAACTTAGTAGTCTTTCATCGATGAAACCGGCACTATTGTTCTTCACCGTCGAAAGATCAAGCCGACCCACGTTGAGCGCGCTATCTATGGTGATGGACAAGGCGAATCACTGACTAATGTTGCGGAAACCAAGTTCGGAAAGGTCGCAGGCCTTAACTGCTGGGAGCACACTCAAACACTCCTTCGGTACTACGAGTACTCTCAGGACGTCGACATCCACGTCTCCAGCTGGCCATCTATTTTCCCTCAACACACTCCCGAATGGCCTTATCACATTACGCCTGAGTGCTGCAAAGCCTTCTCCCACGTTGTGTCGATGGAAGGCGCCTGCTTTGTCCTTCTGGCGAGTCAGATCTTGACTGAGGAGAACATTGAGAAAGCCAACCTCAAGGGCTATGACTACACCAAGAACGGCGGTGGCGGGTTCAGCATGATTTTCTCGCCTTTTGGAAAGGAGCTTGTGAAGCCATTGGACCCGGGTGTCGAGGGGATCCTATATGCTGACATCGATTTGGCTGAGAAGTATAAGGCTAAGCAGAACCTGGACATTGTGGGCCATTACTCGCGACCTGATGCGCTGAGCCTTCGGGTCAACCGTCACGCTGCCAAGCCTGTCTTCTTTGCCAATGAACTTTGAGGTTGGTCTCTGTTTGTATATCGGAATGTGGTATGGAATCTGGGCGAACTTTGTTACTCGGGCTTCTGCCGAGAAACAGTCAACTGGACCTTTGAGATCATGCTCTCCGATAAGAACTAGGTATTACAGCGCAAGGAGTTAAATAATATATGTTGGCTCAGTTATTTATGGCTGGACATGTTCTATTGTGTCAAAGGTTCTACAAGTCAGCTCTCAGAAATCTATTCAGTCTTATAACTTAGAAGCTAGTAACCTTATTATTATGATCGTCTTGACTATGGTATGTCGGGAGTACAATAGATCGAGAATCATATGTGCCTTGTAGTCTTATATGATGGTTAATATTATTTTTACAGTTCTTGCGCTGAACTACGGTGAAATTCTTCCAATATAAATCTCTATCCCCAGACTTGATGATGTGATGACTCAATCTTCTTGGGCAAAGAAGCTGCCTTGTGCATTATTGAAATGGCAAGACCAAATATTTTGCTGCTGCTGTCTCGAGATTTTTCCAGTGTTGGTTCCAGATTTGCATATCTAATACATACCCTCTCCAGTCAGTAGAATTTAAACCCAACACGTCGATTCCAGCAACACCTACGGATGAATTCTTTTCTCAGCAATAAGAAGGTGGTGAGGCTGTTAGCACACACCTCAGCCTCTAGCCAACGAACTTTTAACTGCTTTAAATATTTCTTCGCATATTTCACAACAGGATGATTCTTCGGCCACTTCTTGTCCTTTTAGTCGCTTTTACTCTTGCCGTCTAACCCTTCGTTACTAAAGCCAACATTATCTGCTCTACTGAATTACGGAAAAAATTCATCCAAGGCGTGCCAATATACATACAGACATCAGTACAAAATATTGCTCAGGTCAAGACGGCTATTCGTACGGTCAGCGATGTCGCACTTCTCGTTGTCTTGACCTCAGTAGTGAAGACAGACTCCTTCGATACATTCATGACTGTTGCTGGTCTTCATGCCAAGTCTGGTACTAGCACTATCATATATAAATCTCAACAATTGTGCACTATTTTGATTGCTCCCGGCGCGTATCGAAACTGATCACGGCTTATCATGCGCCCTAAATTTTAGGTATACATCAAGATAAGGCTTATGATGGATAGCTGACGTCCCACCACTGCCTACACTATGTCTCCAGATAGAATAGCGGCTGTTCACAGCAACTTGCAACGCTGATTCGGCGATGTTACTCCACTCTGTAGAGCAGTACGCGAGATCCCTAGTCTATTTGCGGCCGTATACGTAACGCACAGTCATGTAGCTGTGTACCTTGGGGTTATGAATCGCTTTCCGCAAACTCATGAGCGCTACATGGTACTCGTCTTCGGGCCACTTGCAAACATCTTGCCACATCATGAGAGTGTAACCTATCGAGTGTGAGAATTTCTTGATAGTTCGAGATATGTAGTCTTACCTTCTAAGTCATTCTCTAACGTAGTCTTGACAAACTGATCAATTGCGGCAAGCTTTGGATCCTTGGGCCAACCACCAACCGGAAACTGGGGGAAATGTCAGCCATCTGCTATCACATCCCAGACAGCCTTACCTTGTAATCCACAGTCTTTATACCAGTGAAGCCAGCTTCTTCAAAAGCTTTCTCTTGCAACTCATGCACGAAAAAGGGGTTGCCGATGATCTTACTGCCTTCTTCAAAGAGCTTCTGGTATGTTTTGAAGATAGGTTCTAAGTCGGTGGACCCATCATCACTACGGAATCTGACGTCCGCCTCAGCCGACTGAAACCAGCCTCCAGGTGCACAACATCGGTAGGTTTCTCTGAATAAAGCACTCCAGTCCTTTATTGCCCCAAAAAGGTATCGGATGTGTATAAAATCGAAGTAATCATCCTTCCATGTCCATGGTTGAACTACTGCGTCGTCGATTTCGAAGCGAAGATTTGGAGGCACCCATTGGGGTTGACAAGGGGAAAGGTCTGTGCCAATTACCTCTGTGTCGGGGTATCGATCGGCAAATTCACTATAAGATATTAGCGCAGCGTATACGGAAACATTCCAACATCATACATCGCCCAGATGCCTGTAAAACCATCAGCGGAGATTTGAAGGAGAAACATGGAAGAGCTTACCACTTCCCGTACCAACATCGAGAACTCGCTATAGTATAGTTAGCACAAAAGCTGCCGTCGATATCTGTGTAAGAATCCCACCTTTATAGAATCAGTCCCTAGTGGAGGGAGAAACAATTGACCATCCAAAAGAAGCGTCAAGTAATGGTGACTGTCTGCCTCGTTAGAACCTCCTCAATGTGGCGAAGATGGGGGGCCGCACGTCAGGTCCATGGACTCTACCTGTTGATCATCATTGGGGAGAAAGTAATTAGAGGTGAACTTGTCGCTATGGTATGTGCGCCCTTGCCTTCGACGGTACTCAAGGATGCTAGCGGAAACCGAGGCGGTGGAGCTTTCACTGGAAGCGCTGTTAAATAAGCTTAATAAATACTATCGCATGATCCACGTACGTATCGCTCCCGAGGGATGAGTCGGTATCGTCTTGCTACTGGAATGTGAGCAGTGCCCTCGACAAGCGAGCATCGAGGACGTACCTCAAAATCATCTGCGGGGACCATTTCGTTCTGAACCCGCGGAGATGCTGACGCACGACCGGCCAGTTTTGACGTTTCACCTGGTTGCACAGTTCCTTCAGATTGGGACACCATGGTCATGTAAGAACCATAAAGATAGATTGAAGAGCAGGAATAGCAGCATGGGATGAGCTAGTGAAAAAGAGGAGTCTGGAGAAAGATGTTTGTTTTGGGTGGTTTTTATCTCCCCAGGTTTGACAGTCCCTCATACGATTGACGTTGCATTTCATGTGCAGGGATGCAATGGGATGATGCGGGATGATGCCATGTTGTTGGAATTAGCCTGGGCGGCCCATGGACTTAGACAGCTGTCAACAGTCTTCAAAGGCTCCACTCGTCTGTCACTTGTCGCTTTAATCGGGGTTGAACTGAGGTTAACCAGCGACTAGATTACCCAGAATTTTGGTCGAGGATTGAACTATCTTTATTCTGTCCTGGGCAAACCTGATGCTTGGCTGTCGTTCGATGATGCAACTCTGTCTTGGCAGTGGACCATCGCATGAGTAAGAAGACAGTTTAGGCTAATCCTTACTCCTTATAATGCTGTATAGAATGACACATAATATGATAGCAGTGAGAAAAGTAAAGCATTACAACAACCCTTCGATATTGTTACAAATGATGTTATAAACCTGATTATACATGTCGGCTATGGTGTCTTCACAGATCCAACGAAGAGCCAACACTTCCACCTTAATAAGGACCATATCACTACACGACTTTTTGTGACCAAGCTTAGTACTCGTGGAAGCCTAACCAAGGTTGACTGTAGCTAGGCCTAGTAATTGCAGACCAATCGCTAAGATTTAACCCGAAGTTGGGTGTAATCGATTTGAATATTTTGAGTAAAAGGCATGGGGTCTTCAGTGCTCTGGATATCTCATTAGTCATTAGATGCCACGAAGAAATCTAGTCTTGGAACCCAAGCCAGCTCTTCGTGATTTCGGACTACAGCTGAGGCACTCTGTAACTACAGTAGCGTTATCGAAGTCTGATAAAATTCTTGTTCTTAGCGTCGAAAGAAGACGCAGAACGAACATTCACATGATGAAGAAAGAGAATCTTCGTCTTTCTCCACTAAAATGACGCGCTGGTGCAAAAAGCAACAAATCTGGTTATAACTCATTTCAACGATTTCTGACCCGTATAAGGTGTCCATCTCTACTGCGAGACTTTGAACAATAAGACTGCGGCTATCTTTGCTAAGAGTATTGGTAATTAAGAGACTGTCTGAACCAACTAGGGAGTTATTATGCACATAGATCAGATTTGACATTGGGCCACCTCATGTAGATAACCTGGACTCATCCGCAGAAGTATGGCATAGGTTTGAAGCAAAGTGATGGGTTAAAGATAGAGCATACTTAGAAGAGGTTATTCCTATGTTAAGTTAAAACTAAAATATCAACTGGGTAATCGTCCTGCAGGGCAAGAGGGGAAGTGTAATCTGAGGGTTATGCCAATCATTTTACAACAAGCTGCCATTTAGTATTCCGTTTGCTGGAACCTTTACCCCTTCCGAAAAATATTCCAACATAGGGCCTAGCCTACGACACAATCTAAAGCTCCGATTTTGATCTTCAAGTTTCCTAATGATGGTACCCAATCATTTAAGATCATTTGCCGGCCTACCGCGTATGCTTCACAGTGATTTGAGTGGACAGCCAAGAGGATCAACAAGCCAAGCCTCAGCTAAGATTTACCTCATCAAAGCACCTTCCAACTCGCCTGGGCTTCGTCACTCACGGCGCCTTTTTCGTCTGCCAAGCAGCGCAACACCAAGAAATCCGGTGCCGACTTAGCCGCCGTATTGGTATACTCTTGGCTCAAGTGGAGCAAGCTGACGTGGATGGGAGCACAAACCTACCTTTTTCACGAAGACAAAAAACCAAAGCTGACTTCTCTCTCTTCAATATTATACTCTCGTGGTAGAAATCTGGCATCACAGACGCTACTATATTCCCACCACCTTCAGTGAGGTTTGGGTATGATTCGCCGGGCGAGGAGGATTGACTGACTAGACCGCGCTGGAAATAGACACACACGGCCCCGCTCAAAGGCTGGGAGGAGTTTGATTGGCTGGACGATGCCCACCATGGGGATGCAGGACATCACCACCTACAACGACAAGTATGTCGTTTTGTATGATTTTGGTGACATAGGTGAGCACTTTCTATCCTGGTGTAGCACTGATGTACCTAGGTACTAACAGACTCCTAGCCTACGATGATGCTGTCAAGGAATTCAAAACTTTACTCGCAGACCTTGAGGAAGCTGGTCTTGATGTCGAAGTCAGAGCAGGCTATGAACAAACTCTTCTCTTCTTCGTCAAAGCCCCTCACAACCTTCTTGGAAACTGTGTCTACAAATCAAGGCAAGTTAAGCCTTCCCATTTGTTACATATTTACCATTTCTAACAAAGCCAGCAGAGTGAAGGATTGGTTATACGGCATTACGCCGAACCATACAGGGGGCGACAAAACTACCGTCGTTAATGGTGCATTTGAGGCAGAGGATATCCTATCCGTCTATCATATCGTCAACTGGTCAAAAGATCTCGGTGGTGCAGGTATCACCCCGGGTACTGGCAAGTGGGAGAATGTCAAGGCGATTTTCCCACTGCACAATACAAAAGTCAACCAGTCTCTTCTCAGTCATTTAAGCAGGAGGTTTTTCCTGGCGGCTGAGGATATCGATAAGATTCGAGATCTACACGGTTCAAAGGTATGATCCCTCATTCGCACGTTGACAAACTTACTAACGATGTAGATTGCATTTTACTTCGCATTTATCCAAGCCTACATCATCTTCCTCACATTCCCCGCCATCACCGGAGTCATCGCCTGGCTGTGGCTCCCGCGGTACTCTCTCGCCTATGGGATTCTTACAAGCGTCTGGTGCACCGTCTTCCTGGAGTACTGGAAAATACAAGAGACTGATCTGAGTCTCCGATGGGATGTCAAGGGCATTCACCACGTCAAAGTCAATCGGCCGCAGTTCAAGTATGAGAGAGAATACACTGATGAGAGTGGACGCAAACACTACTACTTCCCCCGATGGAAGAAAGTCGTTCGCCAGCTTTTACAGATTCCCTTTTTGCTTTTTGCCTTTCTGGCATTAGGCGTCACTATCGTTGCTGTCTTTACAATCGAGATCCTGTTCTCTGAGACGTATGCAGGACCATACAAAGACTACCTGGTACGTTCCATACCTCCAGTACAGTATTCAACACTAACGTCAGCAGGAATATCTCCCCACAATCCTCCTCGCAGTTTCACTTCCCTACATCACCTCAGCACTCGAAGACGCAGCAGAATGGATGACCGAATTCGAGAACCACCGAACCGCCGACCTTCACGAAATGTCACTCACTCAAAAAGTCTTCGTTCTCAACATGTTCACAAACTACCTTCCCATTTTCCTTACAGCATTTATTTACATCCCTTTTGGGGACAACGTGGTCCCCAAACTTGAGAGCGTCCTCTCCACGGCTTTCGCAAGCGTAGGAAAGAAATTCGTTAACCAGCCGTTCCATCTGGACGCCGATCGACTGCGAAATGAGGTTATCGCACTTACTGTCACGGGCCAGATTTCAAGCTTTTTCGAAGAGAACATTGTCCCGATGCTCAAGCATAAGCTTTCGGGCATGTATAGGGATTACAAGAGAAATCACTCGAAGGGCGATATGCTACTCGCGATAGTAAAGGACGATCCTGACGAAGCCACCTTTTTATCTCGGGCGCGTAACGAGGCAATTCTTCCCAAATACAATGTCCAAGATGATATCGCCGAAATTGTTTTGCAGTTCGGTTACCTAGCTCTATTCTCTCCGGTCTGGCCAATCATTCCCATGGGCTTTCTCATCAACAATTGGATTGAACTACGGTCCGACTTCGCAAAGATATCACTTGAACACCAACGCCCGGCTCCTGTTCGATCCGACGGTATCGGTCCCTGGATCTACTCCCTCGAGGCCTTGACCTGGCTTGGAAGCATCTGCACCGCCTCTATCGTCCATCTCTTCAGCGCGAACAAAGTCGGCGAGACACTCGGCAGCTGGGCCACACTCCCCGTCACGGTCTTCATAAGCGAACACGTCCTCCTGCTCCTCCGCTCCCTCGTGCGGTTTACTCTCCAGCAGATTGGTTCAGAGCGTATCCGGGAGGATTACAACCAACGCTACGCAAACCGAGTGAAGCACCTCGAAGAAATGGAGACTAAGAAGGAGACAGGATTGGCAGTGCGCGAGGCTCACAGGGAGCGTCGAAAGTCGGTTCTTGACCTGGAACGTGATCCATTCTGGACGAAGCAGGTGCAGGATGGAGCTAGTGAGATGGCCGGTATTACTCTCATTCAGCAAGTCAAGCGCAACGAGACCTCAGGGGTACAAGAGAAGGAAGAATAGAATTCAGAAGAGAAGTCTGAGAGATCGATAAAAAGGTGTAATCGCTCAGCAAACTAAGCGGTTAGCAATGTACAGATAGAGGTCCAACTAGACTTATTCCTTATGTATACTACAACTATTTCGTTTCTTTGAAAGTGTCATGTCTGCGCCGACAAAATTGTCGTTCATGAACCACAGTCAACGGTGACTAATGATACGCTTTTCACCGCCAGGGACGATCTTACAAACCTGGACAATCATCTAAAGGTATGTTCGTTTTATGACACTGTTGAGTGGCTTTGCTGGTAGTGCTATGGGGTGGAATCGAGTTCTGAGGTCATTGATATTGTACGCTGAAACAATGTCAGCCGACCTGAGCTATTCTTCTGTCATACTATAGTCATTCGGTAATTTCTTTAATTACTTCCCCAAAGAAATTCGTTATTGGCCAGACTTCACTTTTTTATTCGCCTTGGGCCAAACCTCAACAGCCACAGCACAGCCATGGAGTACCATCCCTTATCTTATCCTTATCTTATCAGTCGTCCCCCCCAGCCAACTTGGGGTCCCAACACCAAATATTAATTACAGAGACATCAACAGTTTGATGACATCCACAACGATATCAGTATCAGACAGATTGATAGGCAATCTGAGTTTAGTTAGGCTGGCGAATTTGATTGACAGCTTATGTCCAAACCAAACGAATAACTCGTGATTATCAGCAGCGAAACAACTCCACTTTGTTACTTGGTTTTCATTTACTATACCAGAAATCTAGAAGCGACGTTCAAGCAGTCACACAATCCAGCACCCATATCCCATGTGTGGATCACAAGGGTTGTTGTATTCAAGTACTACTTTAGACCCTTATTGCGTGATCTCAGCTGGAGTCCAGCCTTCGCAAGCCCATCTGCAGGAACAGCTTCAGAAACCCCACGAGGCATCATGGTAGCATTACATCGATGCTACATCTTGACATATGCAAAACATTCTATAGACTATCGATTTTCTAGATGTTTCGCAAGCACGCTAGATGAAGCCGCGCTATGTACAGAGATCTTGGAAGCCGCAACTCACTGCATATGCGAGATCCTGCTACTGATGCATGAATTAGTGGTTGCACATTCCCACAGACTGGAGCTGGATGTGCATTGCGTGCGAATATCTCTCTTTATCTGATGGCGTCATCTTGGAGTGAATGTCGCAAGATCGGATGGCCAATTAAGCTTACTCCTTGGGTAGGACTGCAAGTACATGAGTGTGAGCATACCGTGGGGTATCACAACATAGAAAAGATAAGAACTGATAAAAGGGTGTCCTTTGACAGTTATATTTCTTGATATTAGTTTATTGTAAGCTACTAATCCCAGATTCGGTCAATATATCGTGTCCATTTTGGCCCATTGTGCATAGTTTGAATGGTACCAATTTTGTCGCAGGTGTCAATAGGTCTTCAACTACAATACAGAGGCGCCGAGTCAGTATTCTGGTAATAGTCGCAGCCGCTTCTATCACAGTCACTCCTCTCGATCTCGTTCAAACTAAGGCGTTATACTCATAGACCCTTTACCGCATTTCACATATGCAATTGGAGTCAAGCCATCACTATAGCATCGCTGGTACTTCTGTCCATACACCCTTGGTCGACCTATACACGACACCTACTCGACACTTATCCTTCACCCTATAGCATCGTACAGCGCCGCTTCGGGGGAGACAGACGCGGTCCACTAAGAACTTGCAGCCATGAGAGACTTGCAGGTTTATTGAATCTAATCAGGAAGGCCGATGAGTATTGCACCCCGAGCCAAAAATTCGAGAGACGAGTAAAGATGAGAGAAACAACTCGGAGAGGAGATCCAATTGCTCATACTATAGTAGCCATTCAATCTTTCAGGGTTTGCAAGCTCAAATTGTGCAGAAAAAGTCTTGTCATGTTCGAACTGGAGATGAGGTGAGGGACAGCATTATTTCTCGACACTTAATCGTTCTTGCGAAAGTTTTTAGTCAAATTCTGTATATTTTCCGTCTTCAGTCGACTGAGACTGATAAACTTTATTCCAATGTGGAATACAACAGGCTATCATTCTTTGCGCTGAGGAACTTAACCTCGTCTCAGCCATCCGAAAAAAGTTTGATCACCCCTTTCACCTGCGGAGCACCACATACTTAGACACATCCTACTTTTAGACACGGTTAAACTCAAAGGCGGGAACATGCGATATCTTTCTTATTGTTCGTGGGAAATATATTTACGTTTGAGTCGCCAACTTCAGCTCAATGACTGGCTGGAAGGAGTGCCGTTAAGCAACGGAGGAATCACACGAGAAAGTTTCCACGCGCCTCGTATCATCAGCAATACAGCAACCCTCACAACCTCCCGCTGAGCAAGTACACATCTACATTACTAAATCTTTGGGACCTCAAAAATGTCGAGAATCGACTTGGGTCCCATAGTTCACTTCAGTCGCTGACCCACTTCGAGTTCTGTCTCAAATATTTAAACCGCACGCCGTGTCCCAGGATACTGGGTCGACTGGAATGCGGGATCTCCAACCGTTCCAAAATTTCAACGCCATCGTGTCAGATTCCAACGTGGCGAGTAGCTTTCGCGCCGTTGTGGATGCTGACACCTGGGCGCGACTGCGCTAATTACAATAATCAGGAACGCGCATTGGATGACATTCTGTTTAATTGACACGCATGTCAATCACTGAACATAGAGATTAAAAAGTGTTTGAAAGGGGATTTATCAAGTGAAGGCAATTGTCATGCTGGCAGGTTAAGTGACAGGTTGAAATCGTGGCAAATAGGTTTTTACGTCGTTGCAACCAGCATGCAAGGCACAGCTTGGAATTGTCCTACTAGGTTCTTACTCCCAAAATGCTTGACAATAGCAGGTGAGAATTGATATCGACTGCAGGAAGAGCTGGCATGTTATAGACACGTCGTACCTACACGAGATGCACAGCAACACCTACACAAACGATTGTCAGAGCAGTCAGTTGATAAAAAGCACAAGTACAGGGTAGCTTCAAAGTTCGTATTCCTAAACTCTATTTCACGTGCCCCGTGTATTTGCGGTCTTCAATTGATATTCCTCATTTCGCATCAAAGTCTGGGGGGTTTGCTTGATACCCAGACTTTCCAACCTCACTCGAGACCCAACTAGCTCAACCAATTCCCCCTCTTCTGACATGGACACGCCAGAAAATAGAGTATCGAAGGCTTGCTTACCCGATGTCACACAACTCAGTTTAGACAGCACACCCGGCGCGTCCGGCGGGACTGGTGGCTTTTTTCTGATGCTCTCGCCTCTCAGCTATCAATGCTGTAAGACTTTGGTCAGCGTGCAGTTGCAGCGTGAAAAATGTTACTGCTAACGGGAGGCTGCTTACTTTTCGTGCGGTGCGCCGTTGTGCGTCGGAAGTCGGGCGATACGACGTATCGATGTCATAGCTTGGGGCCCTTTTTAGGACCTTTTTTCATATTATGTCTTACTGTTACGTTAAAAAATCTACGTTAAGGGCATCCTTTGCGACTTCGTGAACGATAGATTCTGCACGTGGGTCGAGTTGAGTTCAGGCAATACGTTGAGAATCTCACTGCAGCTCGAATGGCTAGGCAGACATGAAATTGAAGCTTATGTGACTGGTGCTATAGCTTCGGCCTCATGGATCGGATCATCGACCACGACCACGGTGTATCGGCGGGTAAACAGTAACTCGGCCTGGCAGTTTCCAGCTCTTGCCAGCTGATGATCTGACTAGTACACAACGAGAATAACATGGAAGAAAAAGCAACTCTATATTGTCGGTATGCGGAGTCAAGTTACCAGAATAGTACAAGATAGTCATTGCATTTGCATAATACAAAAGTAAAAAGCATGCTCTTGATGGGACCAGCATGCATCGTCTAGGACAAGCTGCATTGACGGCTACGGTACACGTTCAGCCGTAGTAGAAAAAGAACACTGACAACTCAGCAGTTCGCATTGTGGCCGTCATCAGCTGACCTATATTGCCAAGGATGGTGCAGTTGTGGCATGATAAACTATTGACTCCACGGCGTTTAGCAACGTTTGCCGAAAAGGTTATTGCAGGAAAGGCAATATTAACGAAAGAAAAGGAAAAGGGAAACAGGCATTTACGATCTGCCGATCCGCGCCAAGACGGTGCCTTCTTCTCAGCCGTACCCTTTGTGGCTTGGTACCCCTGGATGATCAGACTCAAGCTTCCCAACGGTCGGACAGTTTTTCCTCGAAGCTGAAGCGATGGGCCGATGCCAAGTCGATTATCCCCACAATCAGAGCACGAAAGTCCTACCTTAACCAAGAAGCTGGTGATGACGGCCTGCTCCAAAAATCCTCGGACTCTCCTGAATGCTAGGCGTCTAGCTGCATGTGAGATTGCCCCCCCCCCCCCCCCCCCCCCCCCCCCACCGCCCAAGAGGTAGCTATTACGATGAGAAATACGACACGGCTAGGTTCTTCCCCGCACCTTGCTTGGGTCAGATCAGACGCCTGCAGGGAGTAACAGTTTTGAAACGTCACGATTATGGAATGATATTATCAACACATGCTTGGCATGTGGGTGAGAAACCAGGTATTGATGTCTTATGAGGGTAATCCCATGTAAAAATGATTAAAATATCGCCGTCATGCAATGGCCAGCAGGAAACTACTGAAAGTTAAAAATATCAACCAGATTGGTTAGCAGAATTAGAAGGAAAGATTGAGACAACGGTTCTAACTGGGATAGTTCTAGTCAAGGAGTATGCAGGCGGGCAAGAATAGTTTTCATGATACAGCCAATAAAAGAGACCAATTTGTCGACGCTAGACATCATCATCAAGATACTTTTTGTGATTTTTTCGTGCTAAAAATGCCGGGCCAAGACTATCCGTCCTTCCCCCGCGATCGAGCTTCCCAAGCTTTCTTAAGTAGCAGGGATCCCCTGTCAGGAGCTTTGACTCTCCAACCACTATCGAAGCGACACGCCGGCACGATGGGTTGGTTTCCTTCGGGTCCTCGGAGACGAGACCAGGCCAAAGTTGACAAGATCTTGTGCAGAGGATAGAGGATAGACGAGAGCAGATCGCTGATGGAAGATGCAACTAGTTCTCCCTTGCAGGAATTGTCAATCATTGCGCTGTTCACCCAGCATAAGCTTCATCGATACTCTACTGAGTCTCCTCACATCGAACGTCAAGTCTTGGGCCGTTCGGTCTGCATCGGCTGTCGGAGGCACGGGACGGTCGGTTGATATGCCCCCTCTTTGGCCAGCCAAGCAAAGCACAAACAATAACAGCACATTTCTCTAATGTGGCTGCATGAGATTTAGCTCTAGAGCTGTACGTACCTGCAAGCAACTCACTCTGACTGGCCCCAACCCCTCGCGGGCCAAAAATATGACAAGTCTGTGGCTGCAGCCTCCTCCAACGTGGCCCTTTTAGTTTTAGTGCTATATTTAATTTTACACATTGCTTTCTTTTCTTGTGTCTCACCCCGTACCTTTCTGCGTGGCTGCCTCGCCTGCCAATCAACCACGGGCTCGTATGACGCCCATAGCAGTGGCTGTTTCTCCGCCTCGTATTGTCAATTTATCCACTTTCGCCCACTGAAATAGTTCAATTCGATTGATAAATTTACCGGATCTATGTACCTCCGCGCGCATGCGCTGATTGCTACCGAATATCAGATGGGATCTCTTTCTTAGGCTACCGGTTTCTTGCGGGGAGTGTAAAGCGTTGGGCTTAGTAGCTACGGGTAGACAGCTAAGCTCGCGGCTCCGAGACATCCAGGTCAGGGCCAGGGTCAAGGATTATGCTTGTCTGACCCCAAGAGTCGATCTCCTACCATGGGCGAGCGGGTCCGATGTTATGTTCCCCTGGCAAAAGGTGGTGAGACTGCAACTCTCCTCGACGCCTGCATTAGCCAGCCTTACGGCTTGTTCGCTTGTCTTGTACTCACGACCTTGGCGGATATCTAACAGGTAAGTGTCAATACACAGCGAATACTTGAGGCTCCCTCAGGCTAGCTTGGACCAAAAAACGGTGTCCAACGAGAACGAGAGCTTGTAACCTCCCAGCACCACCATCACAAAAGTGAGCCTTGTGGCCGGGATTCCTCACACTGCATCGAAAACCTCGTATTCCCAAATCGAGTGTGATGGTCCACGCTCTTTCAGCTGCAGCCAGCGCGTAGCAATTGGCGTGAAGCCTTGTGCGTCACAGCTGTCACTTTCTTTTTCTCAGGTGATACCAAATCGGCTTGTCTTTGTGCTACTAACTATAGCCCTTGGAATCACAGGCCGGGTCGTCGCTCGCCCTCCGTTGAACGGCGTAGATGAGCTCTATTCCAGCCGTCGAATCACGGAGAAATTCAGAATGTCACTGGAGCCTTGCCCGTGCTCCCACGAAGCTCCCCCCTCGAACATAAATTTAGAAAACGACACTAGCCTAGATTTAGTTATCCCCTTTTTCCCGTGGCCGAATCGCATCCGTTCTAGAGCCAGATCCATAGAACAACCTCAAATCTTACATTTTGCAGTAAGCTTAATGTCAGGTTTTGGGCTGTGGCCCATGATGCCCATCCTCGTCCGTAATGCCTCGTTCTGCCGTAGGTTGGTTAGGACCCAGCCACTTATTCCCGATTAATCCATGTCGCGCTGTGTCTTCCCTGTTCGTCGGGTGTGGTATATGCAACCTTGGGCCAGACAGCTGGCAAGCACAGTTGAGGCTGGGATTGGCATGCATGTCACACTGCAAAGTACCGAATACCAAGAAGCTATGGGGTCGGTCTAGGAGCAATTAGCTTTGGGACTATTGTCTGTGATCACCATGCTTCTCAAAGTGGTATGAGCTGACTTCCTATCTGGATGCTGCGATGACCTTGGTGTGGACGGGCAAACTAATTGTCAAGATCTCGTATTCCTCCTCTAGCCTACCCAGCAACACCACTTCATCGGCATCTACTTAAACCTCACGAGATCCTCCCCAAATCATACCTTTGTCTTATCACTCTCAAGTCAAGCAAGGCACTGGTCTCTCTATCGACTAACCTACTCTTTCACTCGCTCCCCATCTTTCGTTCTTCAACTCCTCATCACCACTTTCGTTGCTGAAAGGCCTGCAGTTGCCTATCATGCAGATCAAACACCTCTTGATCAACCTTTTTGCCCTGGCCGTCACGGTCAAGGCTCTCCCTGAAGCCGGCAATGACTTCGGTCTAGACGTTCGGGATGATGCCGACCTAGTCGAGCGCAACAACTACTGCCCCCCTGGTACCAAGGAGGAGTATGGCAAGTGTGTGCCTGACCATCCCAAGTGCGATAAGCCCAAGTACTGGAACGAGCACTCCAAGAAGTGTGAGTGTCCAAAGGGCACCGAGTGGAACTACGGAAAGTGTATTCCCAAGTGTACCAATGGAAAGTACTACGACAACCACCAGGGCAAGTGTGTCTGCCCTAAGGGTACTGTCGAGGAGTACGGAAAGTGCGCTCCCAAGTGCCACGCGCCTCAAGTCTACAACAAGCACAACGACAAATGCGAATGCCCCGAGGGTTACTCCTTCAAGTACGGCAAGTGCGTGAAGAACTGCCCCAAGGGACAATCTTACAACGAGCACAGCCATCAGTGCGAGTGCCCCAAGGGAACTGAGTGGAACTACGGAAAGTGCATCAAGGTTTGCCCCGAGGGACAATACTACAACCGCCACAGCGACAAGTGCGAATGCAACAAGGGCAGTGAGTGGAAGTACGGTAGCTGCGTTCCCATCTGCCCCAAGGGACAGACTTACAATAAGTGGCACAAGAAGTGTGAATGTCCCGAGGGATACTCATTCAAGTACGGAAAGTGTGTGAAGGACTGCCCCGAGGGACAATCCTACAACGAGCACAGCCACCAGTGCGAGTGCCCCAAGGGAACTGAGTGGAAGTATGGAAAGTGTATCCCCAAGTGCTACAACGGCCAGTACTTCGACAAGGACCAGCACAAGTGCGTCTGCCCCAAGGGCAAGGTCTTTGAGTATGGAAAGTGTGTCTGCCCCGAGAACCAGGTTGAGAAGTACGGCAAGTGTGTTTGCAAGGACGGCTTCAAGTTTGAGTATGGAAAGTGTGTCCCCCAGTGCCCCAAGGGACAGACCTATGAGCACGGCAAGTGTGTCTGCCCTGCTGGCAAGACCTACAACAAGTGGCACAAGAAGTGTGAGTGCCCCGAGGACAAGGTTGAGGCCTACGGCAAGTGTGTCTGCCCCAAGGGTCAGATCGAGAGCTACGGAAAGTGTTCTTGTCCCAAGGGCCAGTACTACGACCGCTGGTCCAAGAGCTGCAAGTGCCCCAAGGATCTGACCTGGGACGGCCACAAGTGCGCTTACGACTGCGGCAAGTACGCTGAGTACAAGTATGGCGGCTGTGTCTGCAAGAAGCACGACCAGGTCTTCAACAAGAAGGACAAGACCTGCAGCTGCAAGGAGGGCTACTACTGGGATCAGCACAAGGGTGCTTGCAAGAAGGGTGGCTACAAGCCATACTAAAAGGTGACGCTTTGAGAGGGGGACTGTGGTGAGAGGGAGTGCTACAGCCTGGAGTGGCGTTGATGCATCATGACATGGGAATGGATTGGACATAAGATCGTCTTTACTTCGATGGAACATTATTCTTTTACACTCCTTATATATATATCTTAGTTCACAGTTGATAATTTTTAAATCAAGGACAAAGTTGCGGATCACCATCTTATCTTTCATCAATGCAATCAATGACTTCTTGAGTGAATTGGTACAGTTTTTGTATATTTCACACGTAGATTTATAAATGCTTACGGTGACTAAATGAGTATTTACAGAGAACAAACCGTACACTCGGTACGGTAGAGATCGATCCATCATTCCAACCAGGTCAAAGATCCAAAAGGTTGAACACGTTAATATCCTACACCACCTGTCTTGCTAAGAAGCATGCTTAGTTCTTAGCAGCGCGCTTGGCGGCACGGAGCTTAGCAGCACGCTTAGCGGCACGCTTGGCCTTGCACTTTCCTCCGGTAGAAGGAGCCTTGGTGGCAACGGGAGCCTGAGTCTGGGCGGGCTGCTCAACGGGAGCCTCGGTGGCGGTGGCAGCAGGGGCTTCGGTCGCCTCGGTGGCGGGAGAAGTGGCAGCTGGGGCCTCGGAAGCGGGAGCGGAGGCAGCAGGGACCTCTGAGGCGGGAGTATCGGAAGCGACGGGAGCGGACTCCTCAGCGCCGGAGTCGGAGCCGGAGGAAGCAGCCTTGTCGTTGGTGCAGTCACCGTCGCTTGCCTGGCCGGCGAAGTTGGGGGTGTGGTCAGTGCAAGCACCGGGCCAGACCTTGGGGCCGGGGGCGGTGTACTTGGTCACCGGAGGGTAGTAGATGTTGAGGAGGAGGCTGGGGTCGGTGGCCTTGAAAGCACCAGGGAGGGAGACAACGGGAGAAGGCTTGCCGGCACCGGTACCGTCGACGGTGATCTGGGCACATCCGATGTAGAACTGAGCACCATCCTTCTCGCCAGCGCCGTGGAGGCCGACGTGCTCGGCGCGCATCAGGTAGGTACCCTTGGGGGTGTCCTTGGGCAGGGTGAAGGTGAAGTTGTTGAGACCGCCAGACTGGCCGTTCAAGTAGTTGGCCCACTCAACGCCCTCAGCACCAATCTTCTTCCAGGTCATCTCGTAGACCTTGAACCAGTCGCCGTCGCCGAGGTAGTCGGAACCCTCAGTGGCATCGGGGGCCTTGCTCAAGTAGACGGAGAGAGGACCGGGGTGGCCCATCTCGCTGTTGACGGTGAAACCGACCTCATCGCCGGGAGAGACAGCGTGGGTCTTGGTAGCGGCGCGGATGTCCTTGTCGAGACCGCCGGCATTGCAGACGATGTCCTTGGAGGTGACGTCGGTGATGGGGCTGTTGGCGTTGGTGGTCTTGCGGACGTACTCGTAAGGCTTGGTGACCTCGCCGTTGACAATAAGAGCCTCGAAGTTGTAGTGGGCAAAGGCAGTAGGGAGAGCGGCAGCAAAGGCCAGAGCGGTGGAGAATGAAGTGCGCATCTTGAATGTTGCTTTGTTGTTGTTGTTTTTAAAAATAAAAAAAAGATTGTAAGAGTTTATTCGTAGAGTTGGACACGAAATGAACTAAACCACCAGGGTTTTGCAGTGAATGAAATGTCTCGTAGAGAAGAAAGAAAGGCGCAAGCAACAGCTGCAGAAGAAGGATCTTTGGAATGGAAAGAATGGGATGGAGAGGAAAGAAAAAAGAGTAAACAACAGCGGAGGGGAAGCCATCCTTATATTCAGATTGAAGCATTTAGACGCCCATGCTGGAGATCCTTGCGTCCTGGCCCTGTCAGTTTGACAGGCCGTTATTGCTGGAATATCGATCCCATCAACTGACGAGGAGCCGCATTCTGAAACCGTACCTTACATAGACGACAGGTCGGACTATGGAGTAAAGGAACGGCGATGGACCAATCTGGGATGCTCTGCACGGGGATGTCGTTTGCAGTTCGGTGAGTTGGGTGAGAAACCCCTGTCGGTTCAGTGACGCGAGATGTCTCAAAGTCCGGATCACTAAGCGCTTTGGGTGAGCATGTCCTTTGATACGCGGTTACAGAATTCTGTACGAGAAACAACTTGGCGTTTCTCTGTAAGGCTGAGCTCATATAAACAAATTATATCAACAAGATGTATTCTAGAGTTTCTAACTAATAAACTCAATCGTAGAACTCATCTCGAGCAAAACTCAATCAACAGCGATAATATCAAAGCGTTTGGGATTGCATTTCGGATCTGGCGCCAATGCGATTGGTGGGATTTTGAGAACCTGCAGGGATTTCATTGAAACAAGGATCATCGCGCCCTGTAACAGGTGAGTGGATCTTTGTTGAACAGGCGCTATCCGAGAGAGAAACGGAACGGAACAAAAAAGATCAGATGAACGGAATAATAATTCATTCTCTTAAGTCTTAAGAGATCGGTATTGAAATGACAGGTCCTAAGCGAAGTCCGAACCCGAGACTTGGCATGGGATACGCGCGAGTGTGATCTCTTGGCCTTGGCTCATTTCAGCTGAAACCCCATTGTTTTTCCTCTTGACTCTCCTTTTCGATACCTTTGACGAAATCACGGATGAAACGGTGGTGGGATTTCGTCGTGATCTTTTGATCGCTTTCCAGAAGCCGTATTTATGCAGTGTTGAACAATTAATTGAGACTTTCTGGACGCCGTGTACTTGCAAATAGTCTTGGTAAGGTTTTGATTGTGATGCTGCCTTGAGGATCACAACTGCTTCTCTACGTATGAAAAATGACTCAACATAGTACATCCAGTATCGGAATGACCTGCCTTGGCGTTGTGGGCGAACGAATACCAGTCAGTCTCCCTACAATACTCCGTGTCGGGCCGCTTGGAGGCGATCGAGGCATAATGTAGAATTGTCCGGTGCGTCCGCACCTAGCGTTGTATTGTCAGTTGTCTTCCATGGGTTGTTGATATGTTGGAGGCGACGTTATCAGAATACTGATGACTCTGAAGAATCTACAACTAGCAGGGGTAGAGGAATTAATCAGGGCGTTAAAGCCAGGATTTTCGTGCTGAAATCTATGAGGGTCACGAAATTGGCGAGACGAACGTTCGGAGGCAGTTTGCATTGTCGACGCGAACCAGAATCGTATCATGTACTGTGTGTCGCAATATGACCAAATCTAGTTATGCGACCAAGGCCTTACTAATTGGCTAAAAAAGTCAACATTAAAAGTATTTTAGAGAAAACTCAACACGGAAGAGATCAAGCATCAATAGACAGGGTCATTCTCAGCAACTACCGGCTAAATATGTTTTGGTCTAGGGTAGTTCAAGTCCCAGTACCTGTCAATGGAGAAATAAGGCAGCGAGCGTACTTATTGGTATGGTCCCCCTATATTAACGGGCATCCATCTATTAATTAAGCCTAGATATTAATTCTTGTCGTAGTAACTAAAGGGCTGTAAACAGTGCTGATGGTCCCACCTTGTCAACGACGTCCCTCACCTAACTTCGTTTCTAAGGTCTACTCATAATCGGAAATACTATCCTGCAAATCAGTGCTCAAGACGAAAAATGCGCCATGTCCACTAAGAGGAGTCTCGAGGAAGTTTTCAAGGGCATTAAAGATCACAAATTGAGAGAAAATACAAGCAACCTATTAATGAAATGGCCTTGGAAAAGATATACTAGGTGTATGTTTAGAATTTTATACAAGGAATTTATCCGATAATAGCCGGTTTCGTGGTCTAACGGTTATGACTGCGGATTCTGATTCCGCCAGCGAGGGTTCGACTCCCCCCGAGACCTTTCTTTTGCCGTTTTGTCCAACCTTTTCTTTCTTTTGCTATCATGGTTTGGCAATTAAGACAAAGCTCGCGTGTATAAATACGATCTTTCGACCTACAACAGGGATCGTGAGGCTTCAGTTGATGAGTTAGGCAAGGTATTATAGTTTACTTTTTTATTTGCATTGTGTTTATGTTAATGAGCAGACCTATATGATGGAGAAATGTTCTCGGGACCGGGTGACAATCAATACATTTGGAAGTCATCCTACAGAAACCCATTAACAAGTGCTACCTGTGGATTGTTTCAAAACATCTACAGTGTCTCTTCGTTGCCTTCTCTCGATATAAATGCCGTTCTTAAACTCGGCAACGTTGGAAAATGCGAAGCATCATGTAGCCCCGGTCCATGCATCTATACGCACTCAAAATGAACTGCGTCGTGGCAAGCTATACTGTAATGCTTGGAAGGAGAGAAAGTTGGCGCTCTATGGAAGGAATGTTTGAAGAGGTTGTTCGAGTCAAGGCGGAAAAAGGTTAAATGTTCTGTTCGTATTGAAGGCCCGAGACTGACATGCTACATCTTGAGCCTTTAACATAAATATCTTCTGCTGGCGTCATATCCGCCTTTATAGTGTTGGGAGGGAGGAAAGTGCATTCCCGTTCAGTTAAGGAACTTGTACCTGTGACACCTTGATGTGATGTGGGGGTACTTCATTCTCTAACTTTGCGCCAAAAGTAAACCACATGCCGCAACTAGTTTCTTATGAACTCACCGGCTTCACGAAGTAAATCATCAATTGCGATTGTTTCCATGTGCTTCATTATTTGGCTTGACACCTGCATCTTCCAGCCTTTTACAGGGATTTCGAAATGGTTCTGCTGGTTATCCTCTCGATCGGCCATGATCCCTGCACAGACCTCTCAATTTAGGGCCTGGCTTCAAGGGGATACAGCGATACGCCGTCTACTTTGGCCTCGTTGGTACTTAATAAGTATTGTGTATCCCTCACTCGACCGTGCACAAGACCACGTCGTTCTTCTCTTGTTCAAACTGTACCAAGCCAGTCTTTGTTACCAAGGGATATACTTCACCAACATGTCGTCAGAAACCCAACCTCTTGTGCTAATGTGCAGCACGCCCGTTTCCGGGCACATCATACCAATGCTTGCTATCGCGGGACAGCTCATCGCTCGTAATTACGACGTCTGTTTCGTGTCAGGCTCTGGATACCGTCAGCAGGCTGAAGCTCTCGGTGCTAAGTTTTTCCCAGTGGAAGGATATGGAGATTATTATGACTTGACGTCCTGGGACCTCGATGCTGATTGTACGTACCTGTTCGGAATCTTCTTTTACGCCCTTGCAGGTAGTGGTTCTTATGAAAATTGAATGGAGCTGACAGTGGTTTCTTAAAAGGGCCTGAAGGTGAAAAGCATCTTGAAGGACCAGCCTGCTTTCAACATGACCTGATACACATATTCTGCAAATCGCTTCCCTCACAGCACGAAGCCATTCAAAGAGCCTTGAAAGCGCTCAAGACAGAACATCCCCAGAGACCTGTCTTCGTCATGACCGAGAGCTTGAATTTTGGCGCTTTGGCTATCAGACTAGGGGCACCAGGACTTCAACCCGACGGATTCATAGCGATTGGACTTAACCCGATTCTTCTTACCAGTATGGACCATTCTCCTTTTGGGTCAGGAATGCTACCAGACCGGACGCCCAAGGGCCGAGAGAGGAACAGAGTCGCCAACGCGGCTCAAAAACAGTTCTTTACTCCTTCGCAGGATGCATATACTGAAGCCCTTAAGAGCGTCGGAGCAGAGCCGAGTGATGAATTCTTGCTAGATTCTCTTTATACCTTACCCGATCGATTCATTCAGATGTGCACTCCTAGTGCTGAGTATCATCGGAGTGACGCTCCAGATACTTTACGATTCGCTGGTGGCTACCCCGCGACGGGAAGTACTACAAGTACTTGGGAGAAACCAGCGTGGTGGGAGGAAGTGGTTGCCGAGAAGAGCGTTACCGGGAAGAAGATCGTTTTCGTATGCCAGGGAACTGTCGCTATGGATTTCAACCAGTTGGTCATACCCACCATGGAAGCATTAAGGAACCGCCCGGATATCAACATCCTGATTGCCCTCGGGAGACCTGGCGCTACATTGCCAGCCAACGTTTCGGTACCCGCGAACTGTCAAGTCGCAGATTTTATCCCATACGACAGCATACTGCCTCATGTCGACGTGTTCATCACAACAGGCGGCTACGGCTCATTCCAGCGTGCGCTGAACAACGGCACTCCTCTCATCATGGCTGGCACAACTGAAGAGAAACCAGAGTCAGCTGCAAGGGCGGAGTGGGCGGGCGTTGCAGTGAACCTCAGAACTACATATCCTTCTGCTGAGCAGTTGTCGCAGGCAGTATATGAGATTCTCGACAATGATAAGTTCAAGAAGAGAGCGTTGGAGATACAGACTGAGATATCGCAGTATGATCCTGTGGGTGTGATTATCGAGAGTATTGAGGAGTTGGCGAAGCGAAAGGGCAGAGATTGAGGATGGTAAATTAGGGATGACAGGCAAACCTGACTAGGAGGCGTGGAGTTATGGCAACGTATTAGCTAATAGCCACTGTCGAGAAGTTAAGTTCTCGTACCAGTGTTGTAGAAAAGTAATGTTTTATTGGTCAGTCCGAGGAACAACTATTTCTATACCACGTAATGTTTGTGTTCAATTCATGATGCCTTAACGCCAGCGAGTACCTCATTAATGTTATCGGTGATAACCTTGATGGGATCAGAGGCATCCATATCTGCCTGAATTCGCTTCGCGCCCTCCTTGTATTTAGGATCAGACAGCACCTGATCAACTCCCGCCCGAATAGCCTCACTTGTTGGACTTCCCGTCCGGAGGTTAACAGCCACACCAGCCCACTCTATAATGGCGCACATCTCGGTCTTATCCTCGCTCTCACCTGCAACCACCAAAGGCGTTCCGTGGGCAAGACTGGCACGCACTCCTCCGTAACCGCCGTTACCAACAAACACTGAGGCTAGTGGAAGAATATCATCGTAGGTAAGGTAATCAATCACCCGGGTATTGTCAGGAATGGCAATGGTTGAATCGAGAGTCGCTCCACGCAGACCCAAGACAACAATCACCAAGGTGTTTGGACGATCTTTGAGTGCATCTATCGCTGGGATAACGATGTCCTTGTAGTCCATACGAACAGTGCCCTGGCAGACAAAGACAATGTCTTTACCCGACGAGTTGTTTGCAACTTCATCCCACCAAGCTGGCTTAACTGCTGCTGACGTGTCGGCCTTGGGAACCTTGGGCATTCCATCAGCAAACCGAAGACTTGCGGGTGCATCGCTTCTAGGATACATCATAGAAGACGAACACATTTGCAGAAAGCGGTCGGGCCAAACATAGGGCGCATCGTTGAAATAGGTTGTGTCATCTGGTTCACCCCCAAGATCTTTCAAGATGCTGTTAAATAGCTTGAAAGGACCAGAGAAGATAGTGTTCCTCAGCATTTCCCAAATACCCGCATACTGAGCCCTTTGCTCCGGAGTGGTGGGAAGCGGTAGACCCGAGTTGAATGGGGGAGTATCGGCGCTGGTTATGGAGATGGGATTGATGCCGATGCCGATGAAAGCGTCTGGCTTGGCGCCTCGTGCACCTCTTTGCAGCGGTAGCGAACCCGCGTATGCAGATTCATTGAGCAGCACAACAGGTCTGCCGGGATACTCTTCCCTGAGCTTGGTGATGGCCTTCTGGACAGCGGCAAGTTGGTCTGGAATGACTTTGATGAAGCTCTGCTCGAGTGTCCAGGCAAGCTGTTCTGGTCCAGGTTCCATCAGTTCTCTCTCAGGCCATTTGGACTCGCGGTCCTCGTCAACATAGTCTCCATAGCCTTGGATGGCAACGTAGTCGCATCCGATGTCCTCGAAACGCTTCCTGTAGCCACTGGCACAAACAGCTGTGACGTGGTAGCCATCGAGCATAAGTGCCTGACGACCAATGAGTATAAATGATAGAGCGACAGGTTATGTTGTTTATGACTTACTTTAGCAATTGTGGTGATAGGATTGACGTGACCCGCACCAGGGGTACTTGTCATGACAAGCAGAGGCTTCGTTTGATCAACCATGGTGGATTATACTGGTGAACACAAGTGGTAGATTCAGTGTTGGCTGTGGCGACTGAACTGTTGACACCCTGAGAAAAAAGTGACTTAAAAGTTAGCGAGGGTCAAGTCTATAGTGCGACGTGCATGTCATGTGGAATTGACTGAGTGAGTTTCCGAGGTGGAATTGTGAAGTTGGCCCGGGCGCAAAAAACGCCCGAGGCGGGGGTCTGCAACAAGGGTCTGGTGGGCGTACACCTAACATTAACACGTATGCATAAGATAGGGATAGGATAGCACGGACAAGCTACGGGTATGAAGGATCCGATTCCCTGCGAGTATGCATGCAACCCCCTGTGGTCCAGAACGTCGCCCGCTGTGGCAATAGCAGAAGCAGATCTGTTTGTTTCCCAGTGCACAATAATCCCCATAGTAACCCACTCAATTCAGGGGAGCGAGTGAGTGATGCTCGATTCACCACGATAATTATCTTATCCACCACCATTCGAGCAAACCTCATCGGCATCAGTCACTGAAGATGAGTTTATCCAAGCCTGCAGGGCCCAAGGGCCGGAAATATTGGCTCGACAATCTGAGAGTCGTCATGACGACTATTGTCATCATCAACCACACAGGAGCAGCCTACGGTGGCGGCGGAGGGAATCATCGAGGAAGTTTCGCCAAAACATCGCCAATTCTATTGCCTTACGTCGCTTTTCACTATGCCTATGGCCTTGGACAATACTTCTGGCTTTCGGGCAACTTGACGGCCAAATCACTCTCCAAGGGCTCATGGACCGAGTTCGTCAAGAGTAAACTGCTGAGGCTGGGCCTGCCGTCGCTTCTCTATTCCGTCTTCCTTGAACCGCTGCAAAAGATCGCTACAGGGCCTGGAGATCTCCGTGAGAATTTGAAGAATTATTGGAGGGCGGTGCTTGACCATAAGGGCTGGAAAGCTCCTGGAGGCGGGACCGTTTGGTACACCATGACGCTGCTTATGTTCGACCTTTGCGCTGTTCTTCTTACGCGCTGTCTGCGTTTATTCAAGGCTAAGGGAGCTGGTTCTTCAGAGTTCCTCAGCGTGGCCAAGATTTACGGGCATATGTGTCGCTGGGGATGGCTGGTAAGTGCTGGAACAAGATTCCTAGTTAGCACCAAGTTCCCCATGGGCACGGGTCTCCCCATCATTCACGTTCAGCCGTATTTCCTGCCTCAGCACATCTATGGCTACGTGCTGGGCTACATGGCCTCTGTTTTGGGCAAGTCACGAATGACGAGCTTGTATGAGAAAAACTCTGGTCCGCTTGGCAAGCTGTCCTTGGCTAAGGCTAGTGCCATCTCTTTGGCCTTGATACCAGTTGTTATGATCCCCAGCTTTCTACGAGACAGGAAGGCCACCAAGAAAGAGGATGATGGCAAGGATACGAGTCCTCCTACTCAAGGGGGCATGCAACTGTCGGGATGGACTGCAGACGCCGCACTCTTTGCGCTCTGGAACGAGTTCACATTCGCGACGGTCGGGCCTGCTTTTATGTCTCTGTGGGAGCACAACTACAACAAACCGGGAAAGCAGAGGCTGTGGTCACCTCGTTATGCTTACGCCGCGTATCTACTTCATTCGCCCATATCGTGGTTTGTTGACCGGGGTTTGTACGCTGCCATGTGTAGAGGAGAGAAGAGACCAGCTTGGATGGATTCCGAGTCTTGGCAGAACTTCGGACCTGTGGTTATGACGGCAACGGCGGGCTATATCGAGGTTGCGGCTGCCTTTGGGGCAGGTATGCTCTTGATTGATTATGTACCGGGTGCAGGTTCTATTCTTTAAAGGTGTTGTGAGATGGTTTAGTTCAGATTCTTTTTTCCTTGCAGGCGGTTTTCATAAGACCCAGTATGTAATAACTAGCATATCAGTCGATTTGCTATTTCTTTAATATCGCGATACAGGGAAGGAAAACCACATGAATCTAGGGTTAGGATTAATGGATCTGACAGGGATTTCTATTTCACTCGCTTATCATATATGTTGTATTCTTTACAAACAATAAAGCAACCCTACGCTTAGTAAAGGTACGCAGTATCATGAATAATTATTTCTTATGTGTAGAAATATTTGTTACCACTTTAATCATAGGTCCAAAAGTCTTTTCGCGTTTTTTACATACACAGCGTTATGTTGAGCCTCATCAAATATGTCTTTCAACCCCTTATCCATGACATCTGCCAAACCCACCACCAATCTTTCAGGTGTAAAGGGATAGTCCGTCCCATAAACCAACCTCTGTTCTCCTCCCTCTCCCAGGATTCTGAGCAGGCCATGAATAGCGTTAGGCAAAGGAAACCCAGCAAGATCGAAGAAAAACCTCTCACGCAATAATCTCTGAAACTCTGCAGTCTGACTCTCTGCACCTGATATGAGAGTCGCGAAAGCACCAATGCGATCAAGCATCGAAGGCAGTGCGCAGCCGCAGTGAGACATGATGTACTTGATATCTGCGTACTTGGCAACAGTTCCTGAGAGAAGCAAATTTGCCACGGCGCGAGTCTCGTCAAACATGAACTCCATCATTGGCCGGGGATACTTCTCAAGTGGCTTGACTGCTTGTAGCTGCGGTTCAGCATTCGGCTCGAAAGGCACAGAGCCAAGAATGTTGCATGTCGTCGGATGGATGAACAATACAGTCTTGCGAGCGTTCAGATGCGAAAATACAGCATCGAGTTCGTCATCGCCTAGATACACACCGTTGGCATTCGATAAGACAGCAAATCCTAGGGCCCCAAGCTTGTCTAACGCATAGTCGATCTCGGCAATGGACTCATCGACAAGAGGCAAAGGCAGCGACGCAAAGAAACCAAAGCGCGATGGATGGTCATTGCAGATGGAGGAGAGCTCCTCATTAACTTGACGAGTTAGACGTGCTGCATTTCCCTTGGTCTTTGGCGTCAAGTTCGTGCCTGGTGAGGTGATGCTCAATACAGATTTGCTGATGTTCAGCTTGTCCATAAGGGCAATATGTTGCTCGGGACTCCATTGCTAAGCGTGTGAGCCAGTGTTAGTAATCAATGGAGCGTGTACGTGAAACCCTCTGGATATAGACTGGCCACGTACAGGGAGAGCAGGCATGCCATCGGGCTTTTCGTGACCGTTATCGATAGCATATTGACGATACCCTGGAGCCACGGCGTGGCAATGGAGGTCAATTCGCTGCTGCATTGAGTTGAACCTTGTTGCGGGGTTGTGGGAAGGATTTTGTGTACAAAATTTACATAAGCTCTTTCAAGTGTGCCTTGTCAAAGTGACCTTGCGTACAAATACAAGACACCGTAAGAGTGAGTGAGTGATAGGTTTGGAGCGAAGCTTCTCGCCCAGCAAAGGCCATGACGGTCAAGTCCGCTATAGCGTTCAAGAGCCAACCACCGTCTCGCCGGACATACTCCGCCTGCATTCCAAAACATCCAAGTTCAAGCCTGGCCTCGGCTCAACCAGATCCACGTGTCGTGATGAGTGCTGCAGTGGGGTGCAATAAGTTTGAATACCTTCCGATGTACTGATACCCCCTGTCTAGCCATCATAGAGCTTAGCCCGCTACTCATCTGAGAAAGAAGCCCGAGCTACTCCTTACTCCGTAGTCAATCACTATATTCTCATTGGTTGTGTAAAAGCTGCGATCTACGTGATAATTGGTTTAAAAGAGGCTAGTGGTAAAAGAAGATACACACCCGGTATTCAAACTTCTTGCATCCCACTGTACGTACTGATAATGCACGAAACTTGAGAACCCTAGGTACATAGTCACGGTCACATCGTGTCTTGCCACTTAATAGTGCGCCCGTCGTGTCCGACCCGCCTATCTCATTGAGGCTCAAACCCTTGTGCGCATTATCAGGCGAAAAGGGTGGGGGCCGGAATGATGTACACGGTTTAGATGCATAAACAAGGATCTCGCGGGTAACGGCCACAGCGGTGTGAACACTGTAGCGACTAGGCTGTGCATACAAATTTGGTAGGTCTATGATGTGGACCACTAACAGAGCAGACAGTAAGCACTAAGGCTGAACACCTATTTCTATAAACATCTAATATTCAGATGAGGTATCTTTAGCTAAATTACTCCGCAGTATGCCGAATTAATGGGACCCTTAGACAGACGTCACGGAACCAGCAAGGATGCTTCGGACCGACATTCTACGTTACTGGAAACTTTGCGGCCCAATGGCAAGGTCTTCTTGGGTAAGACAGACAAAAAGATTGCTGAACAGCGCCGATGATATTCCTCGAGTGAAGGGCTTACAATCGTGATATTTATATAGTAGTTTGGCTAAATACTATGTGTACTGTCACGGTGTATGGAAGGATTGAACGGGTTCTGATTGGTACATTCTATAACGAGTTACAAATGTCAACAGCTGCTGATGAAAGAAATAACAAGATTCTGTAAACTCCAAGTCTAATCACAAGTCATGGTATTTCAAAAAGTTAGAATAGCCCTCGAAGTTCGCTGAGTTGTATGGACTAGTCCTGGTTTGATAAACAATCAGCCCGTATTTGCTGCTGCTCCTTCAGCTGCATGATAGAGCGCGTGGAACGCAGAAGTCGAGTCATTCAGAAGAGACTTTGGTGGTCCAACCTCCTTCACCCTTCCATGATCCAAGATAACGGCGGTATCGAACTCAAGCAACGTGCGCAAGCGGTGAGCAATCATGATCACGGTTCGACCGGAAAATCCGTCCCTAATGACGTGTTGAATGGTAGCATCCGTGACAGGGTCAATACTGCTTTGGCGTTAGAATAGACGCGGTCTTGTGATTTCAAGGCGCGGTGACTTACTGTCCAGTTGGCTCGTCGAGGATGACGATGCTGCTGCTCCGCAGAAGGCTTCGCGCAAGGCAGAACAGTTGCCTCTCGCCGTGTGAAAATGAATCACGGGTTAATAAAGCATCCAGTCCTCCAAGGGACGTGACCTTTTTCAACAAGTTGACTTTCTCCAGAGCTGCGGTCATCTCCTGATCGGCAACAAACAAATCCCAGGGCCTCAAGTTTTCTCGCATGGTTCCGTCAAATAAGAACGGCTCTTGTGTTACATAATTGAGTTTGGATCGAACATCTTCGGGATGGAGTGTTGAAAGATCGGTGCCGTCGATAAAGATCCGGCCCTGATAGCAGGACAATATTTGTAAGAGAGCTGCCATGAGACTGCTCTTCCCGCTGTAGTTTTGTAGCAACGTTAGCTAATCGCGATAATTGAATGTGCATTGGACGCCGGAAACCTACCTGCCAGTCCTGCCGCAAATACCAACCCTCTCACCGGGTTTGATGGTGAACGTAATACTGTCCAGGGCCAGTTTTGGAGTGCTGTCTGATCGTGCGGTAGCATCCAAGTCTTCTGGCACATCCTCATAAGTCGCGCTAACATTCTCAAAGGTGATACTACCAGCTAGTGGCCAACCTTCAAGCAGGTTTGGAGACCCTTGATCAGACTGTGCTTCTCGTGGAGTCTCGCGTGAAAATCTGTAGATACGCGAAACAGCGCCTAGTGATGTCTCCATATCTGTCCACTGCATGACAAGATCACACAGGCTTTTTGCTAGTGTCGTGACATGTACAACGGCTAGGCCGACCAGCCCAGCACTTACCTTTGTTCGAAGAGCTATGGCAGCTCCAATGACCACCAACTCTGTGCCTGTGGCGATGAGAGCCAGCACAAGGATCAGCCAGCGTTGAATGCAGAACAGAGTATAGAGGGGCTTTTGACACGAGTCCAAGAGTGAGTAGCTCTTTTGGACATAAGCTGGACTCCAGCCAAAAGAGTGAATTGTGGCGATTCCTTGAATACTGTCGAGGAACAACGACACGATGGGTGCCTTTTGTTCAAGCCTACACGACAGAGGGTGGAAACATTAGTCTCTTGGTCAGAAAATGGTGAATGGGAAAAATGAGAAAAGGGAACTGACTCGAGTAACCGCAACTGCCTGGAAGTGCGCAGATATAGCATTTGAAGTAGATAAAGAACAATGGCGATCACTGGTGCCCCTATGGCTAAGTATGGGACAGCCGAGATAGCGACACCAATGCTTGCTAGACATGCTAGCAAAGCTATAGGACTCAAAGGTTAGTTTCCAAGAAACGTGAGATGCGTGGATCATACGCACCCATCAACGTCAACAGAATGTTAAATGGCAATTGCCAGTCACACAAGCGGATGTCCTGACTGAACCTATCATAACTGTTAGTTTGAAGGAAGAACTGGCGATGAAACGGGTGGATTTACCTATTGACGAGAGATGCCGTGTCTTCTATTTTTGAAAGAGATGACAACGGAGCCCTTGTACAGAATTCACGTCAGCAACAGTTGTAGGACTGAGGTCGCACCAAGCGTAGGGGCCTTACCTCATCGTGGCCGTCAACAGGTCTGCGTGCATGACATGGGACGCCTTAGACGCCAATTTGGTAAAGAAGAAACTAATGGAGGTTAGAATAATTCATTAAAGGCTCAACGGCAAGAGTATCCACGAGACTCACATAGGTGTTAGTAGAAACCCAATAGTGATGAGAACGGCCCAGGTAGCATAAAGGCCTAGCCAGTACCCAAGACCACGGGTACCATTGGTGTCTTCACCCCACCACACCAGCCAAACACCAAAGATTGCGTTCAATACCATATAGGAACCAAGGCAAGCAACAAAGATACTGAAGCCAAGCCATCCCATAGAGCCAAAATAGTACGTGAAGGATCTCCAATCTCCCTTTTTTCTGCGTAGATCATCGACCTTGGTTTGGACCCGGGCTTCGTACTCTCCTCGGGTGACTTCAAGCTCTTTAACCTGGACAGGAGCATCTTCAGAGGATGAGGAAGGTTGTGAAGAATTTGTAGTTTGGTGTTGTGAGTAATGTTCATGCCGGGTAACGAGTTCTGCGTATGGACCTGAGTCGATGACTTTACCATCTTGGTCCATGAGTAAGACCTGATCTACTAGACGCAAGATCTGCGCCGAGTGTGTTGCTACAATAACAGACATGTCTTGCGAGCGAAACGTTCCATTTTCACTAAACATATTGGTTATCAAAGAAGAAGCAGTATGCCCATCCAGGGCGCTTGTTATGTCATCGAGGATTACTCGTTTCTTCTTGGAGTACAAGGCTCGAGCGATGGCCTAGAATGATTTTAGTCTTGCCTGATACAAGTGTCCTACCAAAGCTACTCACGAGGCGTTGTTTCTGTCCACCACTTAGCTTCGATCCTCCACTGCCAACTTGAGTAGCGTCATTGTTGGGCATACTGTCCAGATCCACACGAAGCTCGCAACTTTGAAGTACAGACTGGTACCAGCTGTTGTTGACTTCAGACTGTCCAAGGACGTTATCGCGAATAGTTCCTTCGAAGATCCAGGGAGTTTGAGAGCAGTAGGCAATGTCTCCTGACGGGAAAATACCCGTCGACTGGCTTTGTTCAAAAGTGAGCAGTTCTCGAAGAAGGGTAGATTTACCACAGCCGCTTGGCCCAGTGATGGCAATAATCCCACTGGGCACAAATTGGACTGGTGGACGACCTCTTGAGCCACCGAGGACTTCGATCTTCTCAGAAGGCTGCTTAATAGGCTCTAGAGCAGTACCCGACTCAGGTTCTATCGCCTTCTTCTCGCTGGCACTCTGGCTAGTAACGACCGAGCTGTTGGTTGTGGCTGTCGAGGGGATAAGATCCTCGGGGGTCTGAAGAAAGGATTGGATTCTCCCATAACATCCAATTGCCTGTGCTCCCATTGGGATGGCTAGGAGCAGCTGCATAGCAGAAGCAGATATGAGGTTTAGGATCGAGTAGCTGGTAACAGCCGTTGCTTCTGAGAAGTTAGGCTGACCTGAAAGCATCCTGGCAATGGAGTACGCCCCAAATGTGACAAGAGGTGCTAAAGCCTGAGGAGCGGAAGCTGTTGTAACGAGAGTTAGAAAGACCTTGAGAGTGAACCTAGTTTATGGGATATTCATACCGAATGCTAGGGCAGCGCAGTTGGTGACTCTGAACTTCTGAGATGTTTGTAGCTCATCTTCTCGCCTCTTGTGGAGTTTGTCCTCCATGATCCTGGACAGTCCGAGGAGTTTGACGGGATGCAAGAAGCTGAGTGTGTGGCTTGTCAAGTCAATTCTCTTTTCGATCTTGTCAAACCAAGCAGATTGATGACCCCCAATCTTGGAGCCTATAACAGCGACAAGTGTGAAAATTACTAGTAAGGACACATGGTCAGTAGGCCGATGATTCAAGTGCTTGATCCAAAGGCCAAGGCTATTATGGACTTACAGAGGATAACAATGATGGGGATGCAGCAAACTGCACCTAATTGCCGGTAGAGAAGGTATGTTCCGATCGAAATCTGCAGAAGATGAGCCCATGGCTCCAATAATCTCCATGAGTCGTTGACGATGGTTTCAACATCCGCAGTCACAAGCGTGAATGCTGTCATCTGATCCGAGTTGTTGCCTTTTAGATGTAGAAGCTTGGAGTATATCAGTGGGATAAGCGCGCCTCGGGTCATGGTCATAAGACGACCAACGTAGTGGAAGCCCCAAGGGATTACCAACTTTTGCCAATCATATTAGCCAAAGCTCAATGGAACGGTGGGGTGTATGAAGGTTCTTACAGCATTGGTCATGGAAACACAGAAAAATCCCCCAAGAAGACCATATCCCACGTTTATGGATTGATCAGGCGACTTCAGAAAGGTTACTAGTTCCTGGATCAAAAATGGCTGGCAGATGTTCAGCCCGACCTGGATCAGATTGGCAAGCAGTATAAGGCAGAGTTCCTTGGGGAAACTGGAAAGGACGTCGACGAACAACGAAAGCGCTCCTACTGAACCTCCTGCTTACTGTTAGCGATGACATTCAAGCAAACTAGAGCTAGTACTGACTCTTCATCCACCGCTGCTCAACCTTGTTAGTTAGTGTCTGCGACGCTAGCTTCTCATTGATAGCTGGTAGATCATCTGAAGATATGACACTCTTGAACCCCATAGACAAGACTGGAAACAACCAGGTGAAGAAAGCTCGCGAGAACAGGCTACTTCGAAGCTCCGCAGACGACTTGGAGTACTCGAGCAGCAAGATACTGGCTTTATCTTTAGACTCAACTAGGAAAAGAAGCGACTTTGCCACGACAATAGCGATCAGAATTCCTGCCACTATATCGCTACCGGGAATCAAAGACTGTGTCCTGGCTCGGGCAGCATCGAATAAGGCAGTCAAGAATAGGAAAGCCGACAGAACGAATGATGGTCTAATGGCATTTCGATGCTCCCAATAAGATAGAGCGGTGATTGAAAAGCTGGCGAGTAACTGAAAGGTCCCCGATGATATGAGTAGGGCACGATGAGATGTCTGACTCTTGGATAGGAATGCCAGTAAAACGGCATGAAGGGCAGCAAGTGCCACAAAGCCGAACTAGATGGTTTCTTAGTTTATCACGAAAGGAACAAAACACGGACATATCAGACAATTATTTGCATACCAGTTTAATGTGAAGTAACCAGCAGTCACGAGTCTTGCACGGTCTTGGCCAGAGCGAGTATATCCTCCAGGGAGTGATAGCAATGATTAGACATGCTGGAGCGAGCGACAAGATACTTTCCTCAAAGGTAACTATTCACAAGTCAATTAGTCTAGTCCTCTGCCTTGATGTTACGGAGCGATAATGTCTACCAGTAAAGTCGAATCCACCACGGCATTCTGCGATTCCAGGTACAGTAGGGCCAAATGTATTGTCCCTGCAGATCTGGGAGTAGCTCTCTGAGAGCGACATGATGGCAGAGTGGGTGGCGGTGATACAGTGACCATCAGTAGGCACGAGAGCGCTGCTGTATGTCTGGCTACGTCTACTCAGGGGTCGTAGTCCGGGCCGGATGATGTCTTGATCCGCTACCGGCTTCAGTGGTAGGTAGGTATCAACGCGTCGCAGAAGTTGCGAGACGTGTTCAATGCAATCTAGGGAGAGCTAAACGCCGACATTGACGCTTTGCTCAAGCAATAACTAGTACGGGACAGAAAGATTGGCCGCACATTGATTCACACAACACTGGTTCATTTCACATGCTCGGAAAAGCCCCATAAGGAAGGTTACAGTTACATCGGCCGATGCAAAGGCCAGGGGGTTTCCGGTGGGAATAGTTGCACTGCGAATCGGGTTAAAATATTCTTCTATCGAAGCTCAAGTAGACAGCGTTCAAGGGTCTTGCAGTGAGGCTAGTCGCCTTGTGCATTCGGATATCTGATCCTTTGCCGATCCTTCCGGTGTGGGACTCCTGAAATAATTAGGCGGTTCCACTACGACCGTGGAGTGTAACAGTGGAGATCTAAGAAGCTATAGGGGCTATTGCGATGCATGTGATACCAAGACGCTTGGAACGTCACTGCAAGGCTGTGCATGCGAGGTGATTGCTCGTTCTAGAGCGGTTCGTGAAGTGGGCTGAGGTGAATTCTTATGGGTGGGGGCTTTCCGAAGCTGAAGCTGCTAATCCAGGGGATAAAGACGATTGAAAGAAATTTGAGAATCGTAAGGCCGGGAAGCGGGCATATAGTTGGGTCCAGACCAGAAGTTGTTACGGGACGTCTACCGTCTACACCCTTTTGCGCAATTTCTTTACTCGTACTCCGTACTCATCCCATCCACCAAAAGCGTCTCGACCCGATTGTATACCATTATGTCCTGCAAGGTGCGATAATTGTTCCCAGTATCGCACAGTCATGTATAGCCGTAGCTCTTGTGATTGGCTTTGTTCGAAGCCATCGTCTCTGCATAGCTTAGAGTAGGTCTCCAGCAGAGACATAATGATAATACGGTTACAATGTGGCGATAAGATAACACTCTCCAGCATCCACTCAGTCTCCTATGGCACAACCTACGCGCTACAAGGGCCCGATGTCCCTCATTCCGTAACCTCGAATTTCACCAAACAAAAGCGCCGCTGGGCGCGTCGGTTTGTTTCCGAGTAGGAGAGGCGCCAATGTACTCCGACCCCTCGGCTCATAGCATCCGTTGAGGGTCGCATGTGAAACTTCACATCTTAGGGATTGGCTACGCGCGGGTCGATAAGAGACTCTTTGGCGCTTATGCCGACCAGGTCGCAAGAGGAAACTCGTATCATATTTTCGGTTTTACTAGACAAGATGCAAGCTAGGAGTGCTCTAGCTGCCGCATGCGGACTACGGATCGCCTAGAGCCACCGCGGGACTTAGCTTAGTCGCCGTTTGTGGATGGAGAATGTATATGCTTCTAACCGAACCTGCTAGGATAACAGGTCAAGGGTCTTGCGGCCAACCCTCTAGCGGCATTAGTAGCCCGGGGCGCTGATCCTTCCGGCTCCAAGTGCCAGAACAGGGATAGTGCTCCTTCGGTAGCCCTACGTATGTATGACACTACTGGGGTATATAGCAATGCATAAAACGGCCAGGATCAGGGTGGGTAATAGGCCAAAATCTAAGTCAACTCAGGGATATACGGAATGTGGTGGGATACAGGGCCTAACTAGATACGAAGCTGAGGTCCGATTATCCGGGTTATGAACTTGCTATTTCACATGGTACGATTCGAGATAATGGAAATGGTCTAACAGTCAACGCATTGCTCCGGGTCCCGTAGCCTAGGGCGCAGTAAAAGGGCTAGAGCTAATACGGAATTCGTGCCACATCCATCATTACAGATCAGCGCGTGTTGTGATACCTGACTTCCTGCTCCTTGTCGTTAATCCGCCAGGTCGCAGGTCGCAGGTCGGACAGTATCTCCTCACGCATCATCATGTTCTCCGAAAGTCTGCCTGGAATTCCCAGCCTCCGCCAAGTATGCATACCTATAGCTGCTTTGGTCATTCTTGTCCTGGGGAGGTACTATCTTGCGAGCCGTCGGCCCAAGAATTTCCCGCCAGGGCCAGCAACGCTGCCTTTTCTGGGGAATATCACCCACGTGCCTCCCTCTAAGGCTTTTCTCAAGTACGTAGATTTTGATAGGATGTCGTATGAATTCGTAGTAACGAGTAGCTAGGTTTCGTGATATGCAAGCCGAATATGGCTCCATTATTGGTCTAAAGATTGGTTCCCAAAACTTTGTGGTGTTGAACAGCTACAAACATGTCAAAGCGTAAGTCATCATCTTCAAGTGAGGTGAATCCAGACGCTGAGTTTTCGTTCAAGATTGTATGACGAGAGAGGCGCCATCTACTCTAGTAGAGCCAATACGTACATTGCCAACGAAATCGTTTGCCCAAATGAGATTCACATTCTTCTTATGCAGTATGGTAAAGAGTGGCGCAAACAACGAAAAATATTGCAGTCTCTTCTTAACGTGACTATCGTGGATAAGCTCCTCCCTCTTCAAGAGGCTGAAACCACGCAGACTATGTTCCAGCTTCTACAAGACCCTGAAGGTTACTATGACCATATTCGCCGATACACCACGGCAGTGATTCTGGCCTCAGTCTACGGTCAACGTGGAGCTTCATTCGACCACCCTAACGTGCAGGCTCTTTACCACGCGCAAGACCAATTCACGGCCCTTCTTGAACAAGGAGCGTCTCCGCCTGTTGATGCCTTTCCGTTCTTGAGGGCGGTTCCTGAGTTTCTTGCGTCTTGGAAAACGAGAGCCAAGGCGGTGCGTGAGGAGCAAAAGGGGCTTTATTTGAGGCTGGTGCAGGAAACCAGAGATCGACTGCAGCGTGGTAAGGGTGGTGATTGTTTCTTGAAAACTATGCTGGAAGAACAAGAGAAGAACGATATGGATGATGAGCATATTGCTTATCTAGCTGGAAATCTGGCAAGTCGTTGTTGACACTGACTTTAGGGGTGAACTTCTGCTGACTCTCTTCAGATGGAAGCAGGGTCTGATACTACCGCCTCTACCTTGCTTTCGTTTCTCCTGGCCATGATCAAGTACCCACAGCAGTTCAGAAAAGCGCAAAGGGAGGTTGACCAAGTATGCGGCTTATCAAGGTCTCCAACAGCAGACGATATCAACAATTTGCCTTTTATCAAGGCGTGTATGGACGAGGTAAGTAGGGACCATTGCGCTGAAAACCATTGCTGATTTCCACCAGACACTCAGATGGCGTCCCGTGGCACCAGGCGGTGTCCCCCATGCTCTAACCCGGGATGACACATATGAAGGCTATCTCCTACCCAAAGGCACCATCGTCCTCGCCAATACTTGGGCGATTCACAATGACGAAGATGAGTATGAAAATCCTCATGAATTCATGCCCGATCGCTTTATGGGTAACGAGTATGGGACTCGGTACGCAGTTGACGAAACTACTGCCGCTCACCGCCGCACTTCGTATGCTTTTGGCGCAGGCCGAAGAGTCTGTCCAGGGCAGCGACTTGCCAAGAACTCCATGGTATGCAGTCTTCGTATGACTAAGAAGAAAATTACTGACCGGTGAATTTATAGATGCTCAACATGGCCAAGATAGCCTGGGCGTTCGATCTTTCGCCTGGCTCTGACAGTGTTAATGATGATATTGACACAGCTTACCACGATGGATTTCTTATTGCGCCTAAGAAATTCCCCATCACGATCAAGCCGCGATCTGAACATCATAGGAAGGTTATCACGGATGAATATCACTCAATGGAGTCGTTTTGGGACAAGTATGAAAACTAGACACAAAGATGAGCTACGGCATGAAACTCTGCAGTATAATCTAGTTCCAGGGACGTTTGTCAAGGTGCCACGTAAAAATATATTTGACACGTGTTCGTCCAAATTGGGACCAACCTTTGAGACATTGCGATTCTGCCACATCCCATCTCCCTAACCCATGCGAACGCTTTCTAGGCCCTGAATTTAAAAGCCCTATAATTATATATATAGAAGCCCTACGGGCTCCTATAAAGATACAATATAGAGGCCGGAGGCCTCTAGAGATATAATATAGGGCCTCCAGCCTAAAGGGCCTGTAATATTTTATTATTTTATATAATTTTACATAATTTCATTTTAATTACTCTACTTTATTTTCATTTTATATAATTCTACTCAGTTTTATATAACCTTACATAATTTTATTTAATCTTTATATACGTTTTACTAAAAGTTAACTATATATATAGAAGCCTAAAGGCTTCTATCAAGATATACAGTTAAACTTAGGGTTATACTCAGGACCAGGGTTTAGGTTAATTTTATTCAATTTTATATAAATTTATTTTAATGATTTTCACGCACCGCCACATTGGTTGATTAATAATAAAAACGCATAAAAGTAAATGAACCACATTTCTTTGAGTCGCACAACCTTTTTCCCGTATCTCAAATAATAAATTGATTACGATTAATACCGATATCTATAATTTGGCAAAATGACTTCGACCGACTGCGTCTGTTCATTGTAGGGTAGGTGTTGAGCAGCCAAAATTGAAGGGCCACAAAATTGCTTCTGGGACTCCTTGGCGGAGAATGTCGTTTCACGACCTTTCAATATCCCGACATGCCTTCCAAAGCTGGGTTGCTGTCTCGTCGACCTAAATAAGTCGGATCAGTGCCAACTCTCTGGGACTGTGGGAAGAGGGGATATATACCTTGTCTTTAGTGAATGGCTGAAAGTGATTCCCTGGGATGAGGAGAACATCAATATGACCACCAACCAACTTCTCCCAAGTGCCAATCGCAGCATCCCGGGTATCTTGACGACTGAGCCAATCATACTTTACACCGTAGAGCGCCTCGGTATCTAGCACATCACGACTACGCAGCATGATCGTCTTAAGACTCCTACCGGTAGCCTCTGTGAAGGATCTAGGTTTATGAATTCCCAGTAGTGAGGCGTTGGAGAGGAACTCTTCTTCTAATGCCTTAGAGCTGCCTGAGTCGAGAGGTCCGGGTTTACCACTGGGATTTGTGATGTTAGTGATGACAGCTGCTGGAAGTGGCTCGTGATCGACTGGGCAAGGCGAGTCAATCAATACAAGACCCTTGACGTTGAAGCCGCGGTTCGTGAGATGTTGAGCTGCCTGGTAAGCTACTATTCCACCGAACGACCATCCTGAAACACGATATTAGCTGAGAAGACGAAATTATCAAGGTAATGTAAAGAACATACCGCCCAGTATCAACGGTGAAGATGGACTTTTAGCGTTGCTGATGATCATCGACACATAATCCTCGGCCATCTGCTCAACGCTGGAATAGAAAGATCGCCTTCCCTCGAAGTTGCAGAAATATGGGTCGAAGAAGGCATGCACGCTGCGGTCGTTGCCCCTAAGCCGTTTATACATACTGATCTGTCCGCTTCCGTCATGGAATAGGCATAGCGGAGTCTGAGTTCCCTCAGAAGTATGTAATGTCACGGGTAAGTTGCGAGAATCACCCGAGAGCTCTGATATATCCGAAGATGCTGAGGAGGCTGGGGTATGTGCCTGGGTGGATTCGGAAGAGGATAGCTGAGAGACACTGCTTGGGGCCTTAACAGCAGATGATTGGGGCAAGGGTTGGTCAGAAGGTTGAATGACTGACAGCAGCATGTTGTCTAGTTCTTCTAATGTCTCGCATTCGGACAAAGCATGGTGACTTAGACCCGCCTGTCCGGGAAACAGACGAGAGAGTTTTGATGCGATTTCGATTTGCATCATGGAGTCGATGCCAAGATCAGCAAGGGACATGGTATAGTTGATGTTTTGTTCGGTGAAGCCTCCTACTTCTACAACAATGTCTTTGAGAATCTGGCTCATGCCAGTCTTTATTTGAGCGGGGCTGGAATGTGCAGGGGAGGAGATGGCAATGTTCTGGTTCGTTTGAGGCGCGTCGACCTGGTCTATCATTCGTGCTGACGTTAATCTCGCTGGTGGTTGTTGCTTTCTCATTGCGTCGGGCTTGGCAGCCTCACCCGAAGACATCCGGGACAAGGCCAGTTGGAATGTAGTGAGCTGGAGCTTCTTGAACTCCATGCCCCGAACGACAGCAACAACCCTGTTGGAGCTGTCCATCGCAATTGCATCTGCAAGGATGACGCCTTTGATCTCGAGTAGATTACAGTAGATCTTGAATGAGTCTCGATAGTTGACTCCATGATAGGCGATCTCTATCGATTCGACACCAGAACAAATGCCGATCTCATTGGATCCGATTGCGAGGTTTGCGATAAAGCCAGCAGCATGTAGCAGTGTGTCAGTAAAGACAGGGTTGACCAGATATTTCTTATGGGAATCTGACGGGTGCGCACTAGACGGCATCTTGAAAGAGCCAATTCCCTCAAGGTTCGAATCGGCGACGTCAAGATACTGTAGAGTCTGGTATTCTGGAGCGTATTTGACAACACGAGTGAAAATGGTTTCGTACAGAAGCTTAGTGCGAAAGGTACTTGTTTGATCCTTTCCAGCACCAGAGAAATGCCGACTCTGACGGGTCACTAGAGCATGGTCCCTTACCCATTGCGACGAATTGACGGAGAGACTCTTTGCCATGACATTTCCAGAGCAATGTGCTGTCTCGGCAGAAGATGTTGGCGAGGCGCGGGATGTGACTTTGAAGACAGCGGTGCCAGGTGAGGCGTTACTCTGCCTCGTGACACGTACGCACACTGTGGCATCCCTATGCGAGGGCGATGAGGGTAGGTATACTAGTGGACTAGAGAAGCTGATGTCGCCCACGACGAGAACCTGAGTCTCTGTGGGGTCCAAAAGGGTTTGTGCAGCCTCGATGACCATTTCGTGAAAGACAGACGCTGGACAGATTGGTGTCCCCCCAACATCATGCCCTGAGATCAAAGGTCCAAGAGTCGTCATGTCAGTCTCAAACGTCAACTCATCAGTCGAAAATGTATCAGTTCTCAGCCACGGTAGTAAAGCATGCTGTGTCCTGACACGGTTGACAGTGACCGATCCAGTGGTGCTTAGGCTACTCTTAACATGTCGATACTCTTGAAACGGTATGAAGAACTTTGTCCCATGCAACGGATGCCCAGGCAAGGTAACGACTTGTGCCGACGTCCCAGTAAATACTCCACGCCAATCCACCGCAACTTTTCGCAACGAGATAGCAGCCAGTGTCTGCGTAAGAGACACCCACGCGTCCCGGCCCTTTTGTAGTGTCCCGAGATATGCACAGGAGCTGGAGGGGATTGAATCTCGGAGCATCGGCAGCAGAGTAGGCTGTGGGCCTATCTCAATAAACAGAGAATCGTCAAGATTAGACGATCCGATCAAATTTTGAAGACTTAGTACGCCTTCTTGAAAACACACAGGTTGCCTTGCGTGGTCTGCAAAATAGTCCGATGTGAGGTTATCGCTCAGCAGGCGCCCATCAACATTAGATATGACAGGTATCGCAGCGTCTCCAAATTTGACTGTTCGTCCTAGTGCCCGTAGGTGTTCCATTATGGGATCCATGGCTGGTGTATGGAAGGCATAAGGAACGTTGATGAGCTTTGACCGGATACTTTGAGTCTTGCACCGTTTCTGCAGAGCCTCAAGTTGTGTGAGCGGACCGCCTATAACACAGTCTCGAGTCCCATTGTGACACGCCAAAGCTAACCCATCAAGGGCAGGCTCCGTGGAAATGATAGCTTGTGATTCCTCGGGGGTCATGTGGCAAGCTAACATCCCTGATGTGCCAGAGGGACAGTATTTGTCCATCATCTTTGCTCTTGATGCCGCGATGCGAAATGTGTCTTCGAGTGCCAAGACACCCGACACACATAGAGCCGCATATTCGCCGAGACTGCAAGAAAGAAAGGGTTAGCTGTGAAGGCTTATGCGAGTCCAGGAAAGTTTGTACGTACCTGTGGCCAATGAGATAGTCAGGCTTGATCCCCCACGATATGAATGTCGTGGCGAGGGCGTATTCGAGCGCTATACAAGCACATTGAGAGGCCATAAGATGTTCCGGATTACTCAACGTGTCCATATGCGCTTGTGTATGCGACTGGATATAATTAAGGATACTGGGACACCCCAAGCGAAGATCTTTGATAATGCGGTCGCAAGATATTATTATATCCTTGAACGGTGGATATGTGCTCATCAGCTCCTGGCCCATACCACTGTAAAGTGCACCTTGTCCTGTAAAGACCAATACCGTTGACGTGACCTTTCGCGTAGGACTGGACGGTGTAGCTCTGAGTTGCTGCAGTTTGACAAGCAAATCCGCCTTTGAGCTGCATGCAATCGAGAATCGATGGTCGTAATACTGGCGTCGTGAAGTTGCGGTATAGCAGATATCCGCCAGTTGCGCATGACTCTCGGCCAGGAACTCAATATGTCGGTCGACAGCAGATTGAAGAGCCTTTTCAGATTTCGCCGATAAGGCAAAGACATAAGCGGAACGATTGCACGCCTCATCCCGTTTACTCTTCTGTCCCTTCCACTCTTCAATCAGCAGTGATGCGTTTGACCCAGCAGCCCCAAAGTTATTGAGAACTGCTCTCCTAGGCATCCCTTTCAATGGCAACCACGGCATATTTTGTCTTGGGATGAGTAGACCGGAGCTCTGTAAGTCGCCTAGGACTGGGTTCAGGGTGTTCAATCCAGCTTGCATAGGAATCTCGTTGTTGCGAAGCATTAGCAATAGCTTGGCTAGACCAGCTGCGCCAGAAGCAGCTTCGCAGTGGCCTATGTTGCCCTTGATAGAACTGACAACCAGGGGATTCGCTGGTGAATGATGTGTACCAAACACGCGCTTCAGAGTCTCGACTTCTCTGGCGTCGCCAGCTTGCGTCCCCGTGCCATGAGCTTCAACAACGCTGATAGTCGCGGGGTCGACATTGGCTTTCTCGAGCAGTCGATTGAGTAGCTCGGTCTGGGTCGTGCTGTGAGGATGTGTGATAGAGCTGGAGTTGCCGCTTTGGTTGATCTGGGCGCTCTTGATGATTCCATGGATTCGATCGCCTTCTCCAACGGCATCTGAAAGGCGCTTGAGAACGAAAAGAGCACAACCCTCAGCCCTACAATAGCCATCGGCGGCTGCGTCGAATGGTTTGCAATTACCTGTCGGACTCAGGAAGTGTCCTCGCGATAGCCCCAGATACATCTGCGGAGAGGCGTATGTCAGTAAATGTGTTTCCGCATGGGCAGCACCAGGGATAATGTGTACTTACATCTGGGCTTGTGATAACATTCACCCCTCCCGCAATAGCCGCCGTGCAATCGCCATTCTGTATCGCCCGACAGGCCTGATAAATAGAAACAGTTGAAGACGAACACGCCGTGTCAGTCACAATAGAAGGACCACTGAGACGGTAGAAGTACGATATCCTACCGCTATGGAAAGCGCGAAGAGTACCAGAAGGGTAGAAAGTGTCGATGTCGTCGCGGAGATTATCAGTGTAGTCACCCGTCGCCAATCCAATGTAGCATCCCGTGGTGGCTCTCTGAGATGATGGTGTTGAGTCAGGCACGTACCCAGCATCTTCGAGGGCTTCCTGGGCGGCGTGTAAGAGAATCCTCTGCTGCGGATCCATGGACTTTGCTTCCCGTGGGGAGATATTGAAGAAGGTATTATCAAAGCTATTGACCATGATTAGAATATTATCCTGCGTTATTTCAGCCTGTATAGAAAGGGGGTGTACCTGAAAGGGTCTTCTATAAATGCTCCATGTCTGGTAGGCATTGACCGTGGCTTGTCGATATCATCCGTGTGAAAGTCGGAGAGCTCGAACCTACTTCCTGGGATCTCTTGTACAGCGTTCAAGCCCTGAGATAAAGTCTCCCATAACTCATCGGTTCCTCTGCCCTTGGGTAGTTGCACACTCATACCAACAATGGCGATGTCGTTTTGACCGATTGAAGACTGTTGTGTTAGTCTCTTGCCACTATTGAAAGATGATACATCCAGCAACTCGATCCGAGGATCACATCTCTCAATGGATGGAAAGAGAGATGTGGAGCTAGGTCCAAGTGAGATGATATTGATCTTAGTCTCCGAGTCAACGCTTAGGGTCTTCTGTATGTTTGCTGCCATTTCATGGCTGGTGGTAGACCAATCTACACAATACATCAGGAGATGTCGAGTAAGCCACTCCACAACTTCGTTGGAAGAAGTGGTCATTCCATCGAACAATTCGCCGTTTAATGTTGAGTATATAGGCTTCATAGGTACTGAACAAGGAGACAGGAATATGGATCTCCGTTCAATATCTTCCATGACCTGTGAAACAACAGGTTGTAGCTGCTCTCCTCCGTGGTACCAGCCATGAACATGAGCGAAAGTAGTTGTCATACCGGACATGGTTTGCAGTTCCTCTTGTAACAAACATAGATCAGGCTTGGGTCCAGAAATGGATATAGACCCTGAAGTCAGGATAGACGAAATTTGCAGTCGTTCGGTTCCATGTCTGGAATGAAACTCCCGTAACTTCTCCTCAACTTCGGGCTTAGTCAAGCCTCGAGTCACAAGAGACAAGGTTGCTTCTCGGCCGACATAGTCCTTGTGTCCACTGTCCACGCCTTTTGTCCAAAAGAAACTGCGACAAGCTATCCAGAAGGCCAAACGGAAGCCTTCAACTCCAGATGATAGGAATTCATCAACGTTCGGTGACCTCGCCACAACCATGGCTGGTATCATGCCGGAAGAAAAGCCAGCTGTTGATTCGAGTGTTTCGAAAGAATGTTCGTAGACGCCATCTTGTAGTGTCACGGCCAGATACCTTAGCATCTGGCAGAGATAGATTGTTGTGGCCTGGAGTACAGGATGTCTGTGATATTGCACCGTAGGCTTGAGTAGACAGACTGGCGAGACAAACTCGAGAAGGTCGATGGCCAAAAGCTTTTGTGACTCGCCATCTAGGGTCGCGATCTCTTCTAAGAATGCAGCATGGCATCTAGACAGAAGGATGGTACCAGCACTGACAGACCGAGCATCTTGCACTGCAGTCTTGGAGGCGTTGGGCGAGAATATGGATTGAGATCCTTGTCCTCCAAAGAGAACCAGACGACGGTGAGCCATAACTGCAGCAGGATGGCCGAGTACAACAGTTTCAGTGCAGCTACTGATTGACGTATAGATTTAGGGAGTATGTAGAGTGTGTTGATGTGTTGTTTGTGGCTAACGTGTCTTGGACGCAGTGGATGATCAAAACTAGACCAGAACTTCTGCAGAGCTAATTACCAGTTGAAATTACGTGCTACAGCAATGGTCATGGCTAAAGTCCTGGCAGAAAAAGACCTGGTCCCCCTACAAAACCGTCGTCGATTTGTCCATGTCTCCACAAGGCACCAAAGTGGCCAAGGCCCCCTGAAACATTCGAGGTTCGTCGGCTTCGTAATCGGAAGTATTACGGATGACACTTTCACATGTAATGCTCGATTGCAAGGTTGTATTCTGTAGCTTGTCGGTCTGGGCGTAAGCCTGAAGCAGAAACCAATCTAGACCGATCCGCGGGTGGGCAGCGCAAACTAGGTACCCAAACAAGCACGCTTTCACTCATATCTATCGTGAAGAATTCATGGATTTGAATCCTTCTTGCGACTACTGAACTCAGTAGCACTGAGTATTGGAGTCCCACCTTCTATGTTTAGAGCTACCGCCGCACTGGACTCTTCTGTGGATGTCATAGGGATGTGCGGTGCAGGGGGTGGATATGCTTGTAGCCCCTGTAAGCCTCATGGTTTGCATCTACACGCCCCTCCTCGACGATTTTGACACTAGTGTCGCTAGCTGATGCTGACTGCACTGCCGAATGGGTTCGTCTCCGATCTTACATATCATGCAATGTTGCGCTGGGCTTTTGCAGGGGTCCTTCTATGGAGAGGCTGTAGATATGCAGTTAACAGTTGCACATGCTTTGCCACGAGGGACTCACAGGGCCAGGCGCTGGGTTGATGGAAAATTAGCCTGTAACTTTCGGAGTAGTATACGTGTGATTTATTGACTGAGGAGTGCGTCTGGAGTGCAGAAAAGTTTGTCTCTCGTTTCTCCCCCAGAGCAGTCCCATATTTGCCGAACAGTCAATCACTTATTCGATACCCTCCTGATACTACCTTTCATACTCCCATCCTGACTGAAACAATACCATCAACTTCCCTCATATTTGCACGAATTCTTCACACATTCTGCAATCTCCACCAAAATGACACAAACAGAAAGCCGTATCGCCATCATTGGCATGGCTTGTCGCCTTCCCGGCGGCGCAGACAGTCCTGAAAGCCTATGGTCATTGCTGGCCGAAGGCAGAGACGGACGAAGAGAGGTCCCCAAAGACCGTTGGGATTGGAAGTCGTTCTACAACAAGAACCCAGATACAAGAGACGCCACAAATTTTAGCCATGCCTACTTCCTTGATGAAGACGTCTCGGCCTTTGACGCCCGCTTTTTCAATATTCCCGGCACAGATGCAGCGTCTATGGATCCTCAGCAAAGGTTATTGCTGGAGGTGACTTATGAAGCCCTCGAGAATGCTGGTCTTCCTATTGAGGACATGAGAGGATCTGATACCTCTGTGCATATGGCCATGTTTGCTCGAGACTATGATCGCATGGGTTATAGAGATTTGTCTCAAGTGAGCATGAGTCATATTATTGGCGCTGGAGAGGCTATTCTTGCCAACAGACTTTCGTATGTATTGGATCTGAAAGGAAGTTCCAACACTTTGGACACGGGTTGTGTGAGTAAATTAGCATTCCCTTTGTTGATGATGGTTACTAACTGGGTGATAGTCTGGTGGTCTTGTTGCTCTGCACCAAGCATGTCAAACGCTGAGAGCAGATGAGTCTACGATAGCATTAGCAGGAGCAAGTCAGCTTCTGCTCACCCCTGATCAATCACTCGTCATGTCGTAAGTACCATAATCAATCCATCGAGAATGCACCCACGCTAACTTGAGAATCAGGCAACTCACCAACAAAGATGGAAGATCTTACACTTTCGATGAGCGTGGCGCTGGCTACGCGCGAGGTGAAGGCGTAGGCGTTCTCGTCCTGAAACGCCTTGACCGTGCCGTCGCAGATGGTGATTACATCCACGCAGTGCTCCTAGAATCAGGAGTCGGTCACGATGGAAAAACCTCTGGTATCTTTTTGCCCAACAGCTCGGCTCAGGAAGCCCTCGCTCGCTCCGTCTACTCGAGAGCTGGCCTTAATCCTCTTGACACATTGTTCGTTGAGAGCCATGGAACTGGAACCGTGGCAGGTGACAATGCCGAGGTTGGTTCCATTGGCAGGGTCTTTGGTCGTGCGGCAGGACGTACGACCGATCTACCTATTGGTAGTATCAAGACCAACATCGGTCATCTGGAAGCAGCCAGCGGTGTGGCGAGCGCCATCAAGGCCATTATGGTTCTTAAGAAGAACCAAATTCCACCACAGCTCAACTTTATCAACGAGAAGCCTGGGCTTGATCTTGAGAAGAGGGGACTCAAGGTGCCCTTAGAGCTTATGCCGCTTGCACCAGAAGACCATACTGGGCCAAGACGTGTGTCTGTCAACAGCTTTGGTTATGGAGGAACCAACGCTCACGCCATTCTCCAAGGATACGATTTCGAGCCTCAGCCTACTCCTAACCAGAGCAGCGAAACAAAGCCCATTGTCCTCTCGGCGAACTCAGAATCGTCGCTCAAGAAATTGATCTCCAACACACGGCAGTGGCTCCAATCGGAAGAGAGCCAGTCAGTGTCCTTCACTGATCTGGCCTACACTCTCAACACACGACGCTCCAAGCTCCCATGGCGCTGCAGTGTTGTGGCCAGCACTGTCCAAGAACTCGACGCAGCTCTTGGAGATGCTAAACTACAACTCGTTAAATCGTCACGAGATGTTGCCCTGGCCTTCGTCTTTACAGGGCAGGGTGCACAGTGGCATGCCATGGGCCGTGAGCTTCTTGCCAGTTCTCAGTCCGGAGAGTTCGCTGCTTCTATCGCTCACAGCAACAATGCTATGAAGGCACTGGGATGTGAATGGGATCTTGTTGAGGAACTCTCGCGGGACGAGGATTCTTCGCGACTTGGCGAGGCTAGGTTCGCGCAGCCAGCGACCACAGCAGTGCAAATTGCCATGGTCGACTTGCTTGCCAATACCTATGGTATCCAACCTGAAGCTGTATGCGGTCACAGCTCAGGAGAAATTGCAGCTGCTTATGCAGCCGGTGCTTTGAGCAGAGATGCCGCTATGCAGGTCTCTTACATGAGAGGTATCTGCTCAGCCAAAGCCAAGACTTTGAATTCGACTCCTGGTGGTATGTTGGCTGTGGGAGAAGGACCAGAGGATATCGGCGCGCGCATTAAAAAGATCGATAGCAGCTTCGGTAAGATCGTCGTGGCTTGTGTCAACAGCCCAGAGAGTACCACTATCTCTGGAGATGTTGCAGCTCTCGAAGAGCTTCAGGCTGTACTGTCAGAGGCTTCAGTCTTCAACAGACGCATCAAGGTTGACTCGGCTTACCATTCCCATCACATGGAGGTGGTAGCGCCGTCTTATTTATCGTCACTCGACGGACTGGTGACTGGCGAGACACGAGATGATGTGGCATTCTTCTCATCTGTCGCCGGCGTTCGCAAGACATCTGGCTTCGGGGCAGAGTATTGGGTCTCGAACCTGGTATCTCAGGTCAAGTTCAGCACCGCCTCTCAACTCGTCGCTCAGCATGTTTCCGACACACACTCTTCAGGCATCAACATGTTAATTGAAGTTGGCCCTCATGCGGCGCTGTCTGGACCACTGAGACAGTCACTATCAGACGCCAACTTCAAGTTACCCTCGGGAGCTTCCTTCAAGTACACCTACGCTCCATGCCTCATTCGCAACACAAGCGCACTAAAGTCCGTTCTGTCACTGGTCGGAAAGGTCTTTGAGTCTGGAAGCCCTGTGCGACTTGACACCAAGAAGACAGATGAACAGCCTCGAGTTGTTCCTGAACTTCCCTCGTACCCTTGGGATCACAGCAACACATACTGGCGCGAATCCAGACTCAGCAAGAAGAACCGCATGCGTCCATTCCCTCCTCATGATCTACTAGGTCTCTTTGAAGTGGCCAGCTCGCCGTACGAACCACGGTGGAGATACCACGTCAGTCTTGCCAACACTCCCTGGCTTCGCGACCATGTTATCGAGGGATTCATGATTTTCCCTGGTGCAGGTTATCTCATCATGACCATCGAAGCTATGAAGCAACTGTTTCAGCTGCGTAACATGCCGGGTCGCATCGCCAACATTAACTTCCAGAACATTGTCATCGCCAACCCGGTCATCATACACGACGACGATAACTCCAAGGAGAGCCAGGTGGTAGAGTTACAACTCATCATTAGTCCTTCTCGTCAACACTCAGGCAGTTCTTGGGAGCATTTCCGAGTCATCTCTTACGATTCACAGAATGACTCTTGGATTGACAACTGCAGTGGTCTTGTCTCCTGGGACTCTGTCACTAGTGAGGCCAGTGCTGCTGTTCAACCCCAAGTCGATAGTTTTTCTAGCGTACATGACGAAGATGGGTTGGGCCATTTGTCAAAGGCTGCTGCTCAAACGTGGCTACGAGATATTCAGGCGGTCTGTCATACCCCTCTCGATGCTGCGGAGACATATCTCGACCTCAAGACAGCCGGCAATGAGTACGGCGAGACATTCCAAGGCATGAAAGAGATTCACGTCGGTGACGGATTCGCCACCGCCAAGGTCATCATCCCAGACATCACGCAGTTCGCACCAGGACACTCCATGCAGCCGCATACCATCCATCCCAGCGTCTTCGACTCATTGTTCCAACTTGAGCCTGTTTGCTTCCGTCGGGAAGGCCTTATGGCGCCCATCATGCCTACCAACCTGGGACAAATCTCGGTGGCGGCTGATATGGATAGCGCGCCAGGCACAGAGATTATGGTGGCTCTGCAGCACTTCCAACACACTCCTCGAGATTCGACTTGTGCGTTTTACGCGTACCAGAAGATGAGCGATGGGTCGTATCGCCCTGTGGTGACGTGCAATGATGCTCGGTCGCAGGCGGTTGGAGAGGGTGATGCGGATGATGACGCCAACAACAAGATGACCTACCGCATGGACTGGAAGCCTGATATCAACTTTATGACTGAGAGTGACTTGATGCCTCTTTCTTCGGATATTATTCCCCTTACCGAAGGAGGAAGCGGTGTTCTTTCCGAGGGCCACGTCGCCCATATCAAAGCATGTATGGAAGCACTCGTTCACAAGAGTCCCAATATGGACGTTCTGATGATCGGCTCTGGACCTAGCAGTGATACTGTGTCACTTATGGAAGCCATCGAGTGTCAGAGTCGATTACCTCTGACTATGTACACTTACACTGATGTGTCGCCTGAACTTGTTGAACAAGCTCGTGACAAGTTCGGCGAATGGATTGCTCCCATCGACTTCAAGAAGCTGGATATCTCGCAAGACCCTATCCCTCAAGGACTCACCGCCCATGGATTCGATCTGATTGTGGCTTCCATGCTCTCTTACACTGCTACTGGAAGAGATATTGCCTTGGGACACGTTAAGAAGCTTATGAGGCCCGGCGGAAGACTGGTGCTTTTGGAGTCTACTGCGGTTGCAACGTCTGGCAGCGAACGCACCGATGAACCGCTCATTAGCATTTCTCAATGGGAAACCTGCTTGAAGGATCATGGGTTCGGCGGACTTGACTTTACCTTTTCCCAGGGTGATGATGACTCCAGTGCTCTGATGATGACACGACTTCTTTCTTCAGCAACTGAGACTACAAACAGTTCCACTCAACAGGTTGCTGAGAAGACAATGGAGGCGAAGGTTCTGCTTGGCCACTCCGAATCTGCAGACCAAATCGCTCTTACCCAAGTCCTCTCACAGGCTTTGAAGCAAAGAGGTGTAGACTGCACGGTGGAGAGGTTAAACTCTTCAGGGGAACAGGCACCTGTTACCATTGTCATCGACTCGGTAGAGCACCCGCTTCTTCTTTCCCCCAGCCCAGAGACCTTCCAGCAGATTAAGGAGCTTCTTCTTCGTGGTGGGGATGTTCTTTGGCTCAGCTTCCAAGCCTCAGACGCATCAGGTAGCAAAGCGGCCTTCAAGAAGATGGCTGGCGGTATGGCTCGGGTCTTGCGACGAGAGAACCCCAGTTTGCGATTGATCACGGTTGATGTCCAGGATGTCATGAAGCCTTCTGCTGATCAGGTGCAGGGTGTCGTTCGGTTGATCTCAGATGTTACCATGTTATCCTTCTGGTCGCCTGAGGGTACTACATCCACGGAGAATGAGTACGTCATCCGTGATGGAAAGCTCCTCATCCCACGAGTTCTGCCAGATGAACACCTCTCTACACACATCGACAGTCGCGTCAATCCTCAGCACAACATGGGCAGCGACGCTGCCCTGCTGCCTTGCTCGTATCTTGACAAAGGCAGACCTATCAAGTTCGACATCCGAGTACCAGGCTTACTTAAGACCATTCGTTTCGTAGACAACGACGAGATGTTAAACCCGCTCGGTCCAGACGAGGTTCAAATCGAGGCTCGGGCATACGGTGTCAACTTCAAGGACGTACTTATTGCTCTGGGCCAGATGCCTCCCGCTACTCAGATGACCGGTGAGATTGCTGGTGTGATCACAGCTGTTGGTTCCAACGTCTCATCGCACAAGATAGGCGATAGAGTAACATCGCTTTTCGTAACTCAGCTGGGCAATCAAGTTCGTGTCAAGAGCAGCAATGTGGTTACCATCCCCGATTCCATCAGCTTCACCGATGCAGCTTCCATTCCTCTCATCTTTGTTACGGCGTGGTACTGTCTCAACCAAGTTGCCAGGCTCGAGAAGGGCCAGCGTGTTTTGATCCACGCCGGCTCAGGTGGTGTCGGACAAGCGGCAATCCAGCTTGCCCAACTAGTAGGAGCCGAGGTCTTTACCACCGTGGGAAGCGCGGCGAAGAAGACGCTGGTGAAGGAGCGATACGGCCTAGACGATAGCCATATCTTCTCATCACGCTCTGGAGTCTTCAAGAAGCAGATCTTCGATGCTACTCAGGGCATGGGCGTTGATGTTGTCTTGAACTCACTCTCGGGTCAGCTCCTCCGCGATAGTTGGGACTGTCTCGCACCCTTCGGTACTTTCTGCGAGATTGGCAAGGCCGACATCATTGGCCGTGGTCAGCTCAATATGGCCAAGTTCGACAAGCAAGCCACCTTTGCTGCGGTGGATGTATTCTACATGCACCAGAACCGTCCTGAACGTGTTGTTCGCGGCATTAATGAGGTCCTTGCCATGGTTGATCAGGGCCTGCTAAGGTCTGTGCATCCTGTCACCACCTTTGATATGTCCGCCATTGAGCAAGCTTTCTCTCTTATGGCTGAGAGAAAGCACATGGGAAAGCTGGTGCTTCTTGCTGATGAGAGCACTCTTGTGCAGGCCACTCGACCAAAGGCACCTGTCCTTCGCCTACAACAGGAGGGAAGTTATGTCATCGGCGGTGGTCTTGGTGATATCGGCAAGAAGATCGGGCGCTTCCTTGTTGAGAAGGGCGCTGGTCACATAGTGGCTCTTACGCGTCGAGACGCTGACTCGGTGGCTCAACAACCCGCCATCGTTGAGTTCATGGAGGTCATTAAAAACCTTGGCGGCACTCTTCACATCCTCCAATGCGATATTGCCGATGAGTCAAGTACTCGCAATGCTGCAGCCCAGTTGGTTGGGCTTGGCCTGCCACAGGTACGGGGCATTATCCAGAGTGCCACAGTCCTCCGAGATCGTCCCTGGGAGAACATGAAGGTTGACGACTGGAACGAATCTGTCAAGCCCAAGGTCCAGGGTACACTCAACATGAACGAGTTCTTCTGTTCGCCAGAAACCACAGACTTCTTCGTCATGTTGTCCTCAGTGGCAAGCATTGTGGGTTCTGCATCTCAGAGTAACTACGCTGCTGGAAATGCATTCCTGGAAGCTTTCGCTCACGCTCAGACACAAGCTTCGCAAGGTATCACCAAGTACACAGCTGTCAACGTAGGAGCTGTGGAGGGATCCGAGTTGATCGCGGGTGTGCAAGACCAAGGCATCGATATTACCAACACTATTGGCTCAGTGTCATTCGACGAAGTTCTTGCTGCTCTCGAGTACGCCATGAACCCGCAAGCCCGTGCCGATCACACCGTGGTGCAGCACTTGATGCATTTCAGCCGTGACAAGCTGGAGGCTTCCTCCGGTCCTTGGGCGCTGAGCGATCCTCTGTATGACCACATCCCCAGCAAGATGAGACTTGAAGGTAGATCTGCCAGCAAGGGCGGCGATGGCAAGAAGCAGACCATTCTCCAAGCTGTTGAGGAAGCCGAGACGGTAGCTGAGGCTGAGGTCATTGTGAAGCAGGCGCTACTCGATAAGTTTGAGGCTTTTATCGGTGATGATGTCCCTGATATCCCCATCGCGGCACTGGGACTAGACTCCCTGGTGTCCATTGAGCTGAAGAACTGGGTCAGACATACATTCAAGACACCCCTTCAAATCTCTGAGCTCACCAGCGCGCCGAGCATGCTTGCTCTTGCAAAGTTGATCATCTCCAGAATGGTCCTCAAGTTCAACCCAGCCAATAGCGCCGTGGTCGAGGCAGAATCTGACAAGCCTCAGTCTGGCGCTCTTACACCTATAGTAGTCGAACAGCCTGTCATTTCTTCTGAATCATCCGATGCCGTTCTCTCGGACGATGCAACGGATGAGACAAGCAGTGTGAGTGAGCCTGATTGGCATGGCCAGAACTGCTGCAAAGCCTACAAGGACCTTCCCGTTATGCCATTGCCTGATCTTGGTGAGACACTTGACTACTGGCTTGAATCCAACGGACATCTCTTTGGTTCAGAACAGCTTGAGTCCATCAACCGGGATATTGACGCTATACGAGCTCCTGGCAGTTCTGCTCGCAAGATTCTCAGCGACTTATATGAAAAGCATGCAGATGACAGTACCAACGCTTGGTTCACTGACATCGTCACAAATGCTCGTTTTCTGTGCCGACGAGCACCCGTCGCTCCATGGACCAGCATCATGATCTCACAGCGTGACAACCCTGGTAAGCGACACAGCCAGGTTGAGCGCGCCGCCATCATCGCCTCAGCGACTGTCTCGTTCAAACGCGCTGTTGATGCTGGCAAGGTTGAGCCGTTGGAGATTGCCGGTAAGCCCGAGTGTACCTGGGGATGGTCGTGGTTGTTCAACTCCACGCGCGTTCCGCAACCAGACTGCGACAAGGTCGTCAGCCATGCTTCGAGGTTGACTGCCGCGATGGCTCGTGATCATGTTGCTGTTTTGAGGAAGGGCCGTGTTTTCAAGGTGATGCTTCAGAATGAGGCTAGTGAGGATGTCTCGATGTCTCACCTTCAAACCATATTTGAAGCCATCGTTGCACAAGTGGAAGGCGAAGATGTGTTGGCAGGCTTGTTGACGACTGATGAGAGGGAGTCTTGGGCAAAGGTAAGTCGTTATAAACAATAAGATCTTTCCTAGTCAAGACTGCAACTAACATACCACACAGATTAGAGAGAACTTACTGGAGTTGAGTCCAAGCAATGTCGACTACCTGCACACTATCGACTCAGCCATGTTTGTCCTATGTCTCGACTCGGGTAGCCCAGAGACACCCGAAGAGATCGCACGTCACGGATACATCGGTGATGGAACCAACCGTTGGTTCGACAAGGTCCTGCAGTTCTATGTCAGCGCCAACGGCCGATCTGGTATGCTTACTGAGCATGGCATTCTAGACGGTACAACCGCTACGCGTCTATTAGACTGGATTTCCAATGATATGGACGCCTACCGCTCCGGATCAAACGGTCAATCGGCCAGTGCTTCCAAGATTGAACTCGAGGAAGTCACTCTGCAGATGCCCGCCGACATCCGTGAACACACAGCCGCACTTCGTGAGAAGTATGAACAGGCTACCTCCAAATCGACATATGTGCGCGAGCAGCTCGGCGAGTTTGGCACTGATCTCCTTCTACAATCCCGCGTTCCTGTCAAGGGCGTCATCGACTTGACTTTCCAGCTCGCAATCAGACTTTTCTTCGGCCAAAACATGATCTCTTGGGAACCCACCAGCGGAACACTCTTCCACGCCGGTCGTCCCGATGCCATGCAGAGGGCCACGCCCGCCGTCAACGCTTTCTGCGACGCGGCTGCAGACCCAGATGCAATCGACAGCAGCCAGCTCAGAGCTCTTCTTCTGGAGGCGGCCAAGTCGATCAACGCTGGTATGAGAACACAGCTCCTCGGCCGCGGTTCGCAACGACTCTTTGAGGTTCTATCTTACTCGTGGCCGACCGACGTGGCCAAGCCTGAGTTTCTGAGCGAAATGATTTTCTTCGGTCGACCTAGCCCGCCTATCTTTGCGCAAACTAATTCGCTAGAAGGCAAGATGACGGTTGGGGACTTTGTTCACTTGATGCCCGATACTGATGGTTTCTGGTCTTTTATAAGTCCAGAGAAGAATACGTAAGTTCTTTCTGTTGCTGTCAGTTATGATGTTGGAAATCTTACTAACCTTCTATGTAGGCTCTCTGTTTCTCTTACTGGTGGTTCGCAAGAGCGTACTGCGGCTTTTATGAAGGAGCTTCATCGCGCTGCAGGTATTGTTCGTGATGTTGTTCGCCTTCGGGCTTGATTTGGGTTTAGATGGGATAGATGATCTCATCGTGTGATGATATGATATGTCTGGCTTTTAATGATTTTTACATACTTTATAATCTGTTTCAGAGCATTTATGAGAATCATCTTAGGATTACTCGCTTGCGTCGTGACGTGCACTAGGCCTCGCATCAATTAGTTGCTGTTTAATAGCCTGGACATAGTCTAATGGATCATCCAGCGATCCCTCCAACGCCATCATGAAATATCTAACACTCCTTATATCTGCATATCATAACAACATTCGCTCGCTTTTCAAACACATGTACACTAGAAATACACTGCTGAACTAACACAGAAACCGATAAACCTTTTTCCACAAAGGCCACCCTTTTCGTTCTTCACGCTCTTGCTCCGTCATGATATGCACACGGAAATACCTCCTACCAGTCTCTATATCCATATCAGGGACCTGCACAACCTGTGTTCGATACCACAACTTATGACACCCATAAGAGGACAGGATAATTGGAATAGCCAAAACTTTCAAAAAGAAGTTTTGGACACGGCCAGATGGACTCTCGTCGATATCGGGTTCGTTTACGGGTGACACAGCGATCCAGAGCTGCGAGGCGAGGACGAGGATGTACCCGATAAAAGCAAACCAGGCACCTGCGACGCCAACGTGCGACTTGAATGGCAGTTGGTCGAGTGTATGTGCGTTGTATGACCACGCCTTGCGGAACCGGATGTAGCATAGACAAATGCTGCCCCACGTGAAGAGGGTACTCAGCGCACTGATGGAGAGAAGCCAGTTGAAGATGGCATCGTTGAAGCTCACGTCAGCGAGGAAGGCGAGAAGACCGATGCATGATGCGAAAAGAATGGCCATGAGGGGTCGGCCTTGTCTGTCAACGTATGCGAAAATCTGAGGGGCGTGAGATTGCTCAGCCAAAGCGGCCAATGTTCTTGAGGATCCAAACACAGCTGAATTGCCAACACTGATAACAGCGACGAGGATGATGGCGTTCATTATACCTGGTAGGAGAGAGGTTCCAGCCCTCTCAATCGCAATGACGAATGGACTCGCCGTAGCGTCGGCGACGTTATCACCGCCTACGAGACGTCCGTCGTCAGAAGGTACCAGCAGACCGACAAGTAATAGAGAAACGATGTAGAAGATGGTAATGCGCCAGAAAACCTGCTTGATGGCCGTGGGCAGAGATTTGCGAGGGTTGGCTGTCTCGGCGGCGGCAAGGCCGATGAGCTCTGTGCCGGTGAAGGAAAAGGCAGATGTAACAAAGACACTGCAGAAGCCTTTGAAGCCGTTGTTGAAGGGGCCCGGGTTACGCCAGTACATGCCGCCTATGTAACCGCTGTCGGGTTCGCCGCCGATGTTGATCACGATGGCGAGGAGGCTGGGATGTTAGCATTAAGATTAACGATAGCGAGAGTGACATACATGAAGCCCACGATTGCGGTGATTTTTATGAGAGAGAATATGTACTCTGCTTCTCCATATGTCTTGACACCGAATAGATTGATGACGATGATGGCGAGAAGAAAAATAGCGACGAATATAGATTTACTCAGATCTTTGTTCCAGTAGCCTATTGTGAAGGCGCCAGCTATTATCTCGATGGGGAGAATAAATAGCCACTGTAGACAATAACTGTACATAATTAGCCGCAGAGAATGAGCATATTGTGGGGAGTGGCTTACTTCCAGCCCATGGCAAAACCCCATGATGGATCTAGGAACCGCGTTGAAAAGGCTGAGAATGAGCCGGCTATGGGAAACATGACGCAGAGCTCGCCGAGAGACTGCATTGTACAATACTGCATGGCTCCGAGGAGGACATATGATATTAGTACGCTGGCTGGACCTCCTCTATAGAGCGATCCGCCAGAAGCGACGAACAATCCTGTGCCTACAAGACAAGACCGTCAGCTATTACCCGCTTCACCACATTCATCTCATCGCGATGGGCTTACCAATGGCACCACCAAAAGCAATCATTTGCAAATGCCTCCCCTTCAATTCTCTCGCCAGCGCCGTATTCGCCGTCTTCGCATTCGCCGCTCTCAGATCGTAGTATCTCTCCGGCGCATCCGTGGGGAGGTAGCCCGGCCGCGGCTCAGCACGTCGAAAGCCATCGATCCAGGTCTTCTTGTGTGATGTTTTGCTGGCGGAGATACTCCACGACGAACCCATTTCCATGACTGAGTGAGCGTCGCGCGAGAGGACTGAGTCCTTCATCGCGGGACGATGGTGGTCTTGTGCTTATGCGTGCGGGGCCAGTTGTGAGGATGGGGGAGTATGGTGGTGATTGACGCGAAAATGAGGCGCTGAGCTCAAGATGGAGATGTTTGCTTGGTGTTAGGGTATAATGACGTTGTGATGGGTTTGAGTGAGTGGTTTTGTTTTTACGGGGTTCGCATCCGTAGATCATTTATTGATGATAAAATTTCTTCAATTGCGGTGTTCTGGAATGCTTCTAGAAGGATGGCGTTGCGACCGGTTTGCCTCGGGCGCGGATCGTTGGGCTTGACCTGGGTGGGATGACCAATGGTGGACTGTAGAGATGCCAAAAAGGGATAAGAAGGGTTACATTCGATGCGCTTTTCTTGTTAAATACCGCTGCGAGTGCGCGGCACACTACTCAGCTATGCAGATGCCGTGGAAGAATGAAATAGCATGTGGTGATTGATTGTGGAATTGGAATTGGAGTAAGCAATTGAAGAGGAAGGAGGACAAGCGCAACGTTTCAGCGGGATCAGCAAGTTCCCACTTGACATCGCATTGCATTACCTGCAGGTGGATCGTGCATTTTCGCAGAGTGCTGCGTTTATTGCCTCATTCTTTGCTGGCCAGTGCAACGAGGCTGTTCATCTTGATGCACGGATTGCCTTACAGACCATACTCTGCATCTAGTATCAGACGCAAAAGCTTTGATATGAACTGTCTCGTGCTCGTGAGTTCATGTTGAAGCGTCCTCTTCATCTCATCTCAAACTGCCCATGGGGAACATCCACACTGGGTCCGGGGATAGCTTGGGCCCCTGAAGCTATCGTGTTTGTCATTACGTACAACAAATGAGATGTGAGAGCAATCGCTTATCCGAGCTGGTTAGGTAATTAATTGACATGGTGTGACGTTTAAAGAAGCATCCCAGTGAGTGAATCCGGGGTAATCGTAAATTGTGACAAAGTAAATCGTGATTGATTGAACAGAGAACTTCATGCCCTCATTAGTATCGAGAAAATAAATCGCTAATAGATATCTTAATTATTCCTTGGGCTCGGTTGCGCCCTCTGTACTTCCCTCGCACCACCCGCAATCACAGCCGTCGGCGGTTGTTGATACGTAAATTGATCGCGCGTGATATCCATCGGCTCCTGCAACTCATCGCGCGTGATGAGCGAATCGTGGCTCTGCGTCGGACTAACAGGGCGCTCGTTTGACTTGCGCATATCATCATCCTTGGATATGGAATCGCTTGTGTCGTGCGACTTAGCCCATATGCCCTCTGTCGTCCTGACCGGCGCCTCCATCTCGTCCTCCCACTGGCTGTGTCCTGCCGTGCGCGTGAGCTTGGTCGGTTGCGATTGCGACCGTGAGTTGGAGTAGCCGGAGTAGCTGTTGGAATCCTTGTACTTCTTGCGCTTGACGCCGCTGTCGCGCAGGAAGGATCCCAGGGCGACGATGTTGCCGACCGCTGTGGCGGCGAGGATCTCGACGGATGCCCACATGGTGCGCACCACTTGGCTGCCGTTAGCTTCGATGATGCGCGGTATTCGGTAGAGCGTGATAGCCACGGTAAGAAGTCCGAAGCTGAAGAGCATGATGAGGAGGACCTTGCGTTTAGTGGCAATCTGTGTGGATAAGATAATGGGGATGGGAAATGCGATAAGGACTATGTCCGTGAGAGCGTTGCACGAGCCCATAGTGAGCATCTGAACCATGCCCTGGCGGCATTGAGGGCCCGGATCAGGTGTAACCTGCCAGTAGTGAGAGAAAGGCTGGCATTCCGCCAAGTCGCTGACAACGACAGCGAGAAATGTGACGCCGAGAATCGCGCGCATAGCGTGGATCATAATACGATGCGACTTGCGCCGTGTCGCGCCGGCGAGACGCTCAAAGAACTCAAGAGTGGTGAGCTTGAGGATCCAGAGACTGCTATCGTTAGTAAGGCTCACGTGGTGGCAAGTTCGCACTTACATGCAAGCGTAGAATACTCGACTGGCCATGACCATTCGACTGCCCAAGATCCTCTTATCAATATCCTCCGAACTCAGATCCAAGCCATCCAGGTCGACGTTGTTCGTGCCGTTCTTCAGAACAAAGTGCACGCAGACGGCCCTCAACACCAGCGGTATCAATGCCACTGCGGCGATGTTGTCCTCCTTGAGTAGCTTCTCGACTCGTACATATCGTCCCGCCATGCGGGTCAGGATGATGGCAATGCAGAATATCGTGATCCACCATGATACAAGCAGCGTCGGTTTGTCCTCGTGGAATTCCCGAGCAGCGGGTGCGTCCGAGTAGAGTGCCATGGCGGAGGGCTGGTGGGCAATACGCCCCGTCGTCTGAGAGTGTTTGTTGAGCCCGCTCAGGCGATAGCGATGCCGAGTTCACGCTGTGTGTAAGTGACTAAAGGAATGGCGGTATAAACGACAAAAGCAAAAACATGGGGGAAGACACGAGGGGCGCCTGCATTCACGGCGGCATGCGGGACATTATGTTAAAGACTGATCGACCTGCCCTGCCCTGCCCTGTCAAACGCCATATCTACAACGAGCAAGGGGTCAAATCAGCCCCTGGTCTTTCTCATCAGGGTCTAGACAAATCGTCGTGCGGATGTGGTCAGCTCAAGCGGCGCAGCCCCGGGAGCGTTGGTGATGGCGCACGTCAATGGCCAGTCTCAAGAAAGAGCCGAGTCTAACGCCGGGGGGCACTATTGGCTCTATCAGATGCAAGATAGCCACTGACGAATAGCTTTACGGTGGCAAGTTCATTATTGGCCAAGCGGGCTTCCATGGTGCGGCGTCGAGGAACGCCAACGAGAGACAAGTCTAGAGAGTCTTAATGGGTCGCATATGAAACTGTTACCGATAGCTCGGACAAATCCATGTGCTTGGTCCTTGGTCGTATCGAACGCGAAACCGGTGTGCGTATCGTTACCCTGCGTTGCTCAGCGGAATTTCGTCCTTGACTGCCAGGGGTTGGTCAAGGCCATCCCCTTTCGTTGACGTGCATGCTAAATCGGGGCAGGCAAACTCGTCGAAGGATTGGCGCGCAGCGATGGCGTTATGGGCCGAGATATGGAGTTGCCCGTTGAAGAAATTGCTAAAGGTATGTGGCGTCAAGGATGAAGAGAGCCAAGTGGAAGTGGTCTCACTCATAGCGATAAATATTTAATTATTTCTTTGTTATGGAGTGAGGTAAGCGCACGTAACAGAGAACAAATGTCCAAGTGGGTGGGTGATAACGGATTGGAAAATATGGGCCCAATAACGAGGGTTATCACTGTTCAATATTGTCCCGGAAAAAGGATTGGTCGAGTCTAGCGTCCAATTCGATTCACAAAAGCCTGCTCACACGTGGAAAAACTGGCGCCCTAATCACAAGCTCAAGATCCAGTCCCGTCTTTTGCTCGCGCGAAGGATCAATTGCTCCTGGCAGTCAATTCCCTACAGGGACGGGGAATGTCTTAGATTCCTCGCGGCTATCTCTGAAAGGACCAAAAAGTCTGGGGAAATAAGGTCGTAGATCGCCGTTAAAGAACTTGGGGTTAACAAGACAGAAAGCAGTTTCTATGTGTCGTCGACTCTGGGGAAAAAGGAAAACGTGCTTTCTCGGGTAGGGCCAGCCATAGAAAACCTTTGTCGTTACATAAAGGAGACGTAAAAGTTTGAGATGGATTCGCCTTGCGACGGGTGGGCATCCTTCTTTTGGTGGTGCCGCGCAGGCTTTAGGCTTTGGCTGTCAGGGGAGCGGGACCACCCCCCTGTAGCGTTGTAGCTCTGGTGGTGGTGCCCCTGCGTCGCGTGCTTTAAGCGGGCTGACTGCTGACTGCTGACAACCCCACCCGCTATTTTGCTTTGTCTCGGTGATTTATCACACGCCAATCCGGCCCATTCGGCTGGCTAATCTAGACCTCTCAAATTAACTTTGGACCATTTCTCGAACCTTGATCTTTCGAGAAGGTCGGGAAGTAGGGAGGCTTATTCTGACTTTAGCGACTTCAAATAGCCTCTTTAGTAGCTGTGTTTTGGGATTCTGTCGAGGGCCACGAGATCTATCGAAAACGTGTCTTCCACCGAAGCCATGGCAAGCCACAACTTCAGACTCAGACACATGTCAATCACGCATTTCAGGTCATCTCGATGATCCACGGCAATAGAATTCCCGAATGGGACATGCACATCGTTATCGCGCCGGGGATATAATGTTTCATCATTTGATCCGACATGGGCCATCCATTGACATCTGTCTCAATGTGCCAGAATGAAACCCTACCTACAGAGTACCGCACATTTTCATTGCCAAGAATTAATACCATTCCGCTGGGTCCTCCCGAGTCCCGCCCAAAGGGAGCTATTATAGCGTCGGCCCTTCAAGCTCGACGGTCTGGTCTAGCCTCTGCCCAAACTGGCTGATCCTCCGCTTGGCGTGATTAAAGACCGTTAGACTTGCGAAGCGCATGAAGCCGATAGCGGCCGTCGGCGTCTTCCATCTAGAGTCTTGCCGGATTCCAAAAGCGGCGCGTCGTGAATCAAGAGAGTTTAGGGTAGTTGTGGTTAAAATGCACGAGTCAGTAACGAGCTTGCAGGTTGACGAAGTATGGTCAGTGACGACGTGCAGTGATTTGGCGAATAACATGCCAAGAAAAGGGTTCCTGCATTCTCATGTGATCATCATATGCTCAAGTTGCAGTCCAAGAATCGCGTTCAAAAGATTAAGTTGAGTTAAAAGCCGCGAGACGTTAAAAAATGAAAATCATGAGCCCTAGAGTCAATCTCGTCTCACATGCTGGGAATGATTAAAAGCTAAAAACATCACAGATTTCTTTCGTACCCTACCTAAGCTTTGATAGTAGACGTTGCAATGAGTTCCAACATCAAAAGACTTGTTGCCCTCTGCGTGTGGAGAATTGAGGACCAATTAAAACACCCAATCATATCAACCACCGTAGAAGTATATCTCATCTACAAATGATTTTCTTTTCTAATTCATCAAGGTATTACTTGTTTGAGAACAGCTTACTCTCTCCTCTCAGCTGCCCGAATCTACCCTGTATAAGTTGTATCTGAAGTAGCATTGATTCTTCGCAGATTCTAATCTGTGTTTTCAAGTACGCTCTGAACAATCTTTGCTAGAGCCAAGCATTTCTCTTCTTCGAACTTTCTTCCGACAATTTGAATCCCCACTGGCGCTCCATCGTAAGTAGCCGGATCATCTGTCCAAGTCAGCAAGTCTATTTCAAATCAATTGTTTCGAAAATCACATAGTTGAACTGTTTCCATATGTAACACTTACAAGCTTCCCAGTTTTTACGGTCTGTGTCTCCCAGTGGCTTGTATGAATCATCGAACACGTCGATCTTGGCATCCGCTCGTATCGTGGGGATAACAACAACCGAATAGTTGGTCAAGTTCATTGTATCAGTGTACGCTGCATTTACTGTTAATACGATTTTCTTGAAACAAAGCTGTAGCCTAAACACACCACCGTGGTAAAACTTTCCCGGTATCACAGCTGCATGTGGCGCCACCGGCATAAGAACGGCATCCACAATTTGTCCTTTAGTACTGTCAGTGCCGTCTGTAGGCCCGGAGAGGCAGTTATTTTACCATCTGAATCTGCAGTCGAATTCCAGTAATCTGAGTATTGACGCTCGTGTTCAAGACCCTGCAGAGTTAGATCCTGATACTTCAATAACTCTGTCGGAGGCTTGAGCTGAAACCCGTCTTTTATCTCGGGTATAAGGGGCTCTCCAGACCGATCTAGATGTTGGTGAATGTCATGTGCCCCGTCTGCACTAAGGAAATCTCCCTAGTAGACAGACTTTGTTAGTTGTGCAAATCAAGAGACAAGCTCAAACTTCACTAACTTACATGAATACTCGTGGTGGTTTTGTGCGAAGGCGGTTCCCAGTCAACTACCTAGTCACTTTTAGCAAAAGCCTATTGATTACGAACCATAATAACATACCTTGTGACCGGCCTTTTTCAGAGCGTCTACCACAACATGTAGCCCGCGAAGAACAGGTGGATGCAGCCCTACCATGCCATCAGACCATAAAACGCCCATCTTCAAAGGCTTTTCAGTCGACTTGGCGTTTCCTCGTGAATCTACCCTTGACAAATAAGAATCCTGCCAACCACTTCTGAAAGGGATGGGAATAACGGCTGGATCCTTTAGCCACGGCTCTGTGCCAATAACTGCCTTGAACACCAACTCAATCGCTTCAAGTGATGTTCCCATGAACCCAATCGAAGACCGGTATGTATCCTGCCCCGGATTGGTATTTGCAACGTCGCGATAGGAAAGTCTGTTGGATGTGGGCTTGATGGAATAGATGCCGCAGAATCCAGCAGGAATTCGAAGTGAGCCACCGATATCAGTGCCTACGCCGAGGGAGCTACCGCCCAATGCCATCAGTGCTGCTTCGCCTCCTGAGGATCCGCCACATGACAGGTTTTGGTTAATTGGGTTCAAGGTTTGGCCAATGATGTTGTTCTTGGTCTCCCCAAAAAGAAGAGTCTGTGGGAGACTTGTCTTGCAGTAAAGCACTGCCCCAAGCGACAGCAACTCAGTGACGATTTGACTTTCCACCTTGTGGGTTTTGTCTTTCGGTATGCCTAGATTTCCATCGATCCAACCAACGTAGCCCATGGTCGTATCAACGCTCTTAACGTGGAGTTGGTCTTTTAGGCTGATGGGAAGACCATGAAGTGGTCCTAGCGGTTTGTTGTGCTTCTCGTAGTAGTCGTCCAAGAACTTGGCCCGTTCGAGCGCCTGGTCGAAGAATATCTCATGAAGACAGTTATTCTAATTCAAAAGTCAGCTCTCGGGTCGTTGTATTCCTCGAATTAGGGAATTCACTATTTGATGAGCAACGGCCGCTCTCTTACAAAACGCCTGTGCAACTTGAGACGCAGAAACACTCCGTTCAGCAACTGCCTTTACAATTTCTGGACTCTTCATCGAAGTGATAGAAACCATCTTTTCATCCAGGAACTGTTCGATGAAGGAGCCTGTTAGGTCGCGTTGTTGACGGGCTCGTTCGATGTCCCGCGAGGCTAATTTCCAGTCAGGATGAATCTTATCCAGAGTTGCCGCTCGCTTGGCGGCGGCCCGGGCCTCCCATGAAATCTTATGCATCCTCATGGTCATAAAGAATTGAATGGTAGCAGCTTTGGGAGTTACTGGCTGTGAGCTGCTCTTTTGGGGGAGATCAAATAAATAATTGGTGAATGAATGACGACGACATATTGGCTTCTGAGACATGTGACTACAAAGCGGCACGTATCCTAAAACCCAGATGTTAGGAAGATTTATTGCATTCAAATAATTCGGGCTTCCTCTTTTTTCACTGTGTTACCCATTAATTCGTGATATGCTATCATATTGGCAGCAGCATTATTACGATCGTCGTTCTAGTTATTGGACAAATACGATACTGACTCGGAAAGAAGTACACATTCGTTCCGTGTACCAATAACAAGAAGCATTCTTGTTCACCTCACTTTACGCAAATGTATTGTTTCCCGTGCTTGGAATACAACTCCCGAACACAATGGCTGATCATTGTAAGCTGGAAAGAGAGTTGAAACATAGTGACCACAGATGTTGTCATTCTACAAGGAAGACGCCTCACTGATAGTATTTACTTTATGGGAGCCTGGCAATAATCTTTCACGAAAAAAAGCTCCAGCCATCCCAATAAAGCCCATAGAAATATCAATATTGGAGATTACGATATTGAACAGAGAACAACAGTAGGTTGATATATCCAATAATGTTACGGAGTACCTTATCTCATTAGCCACCAAACTCTATTTCTCGAAGGTACAAAAAGGTCATGCAAAGACTGCTGGGGCCACGAGTCCCTTTGCACAATTGAATCAACATACCAGGGCTTTCCGTTATCACATTCGTCCGGGTCGATCAGTGTCATACTTCCTAGAGTCTCGTTTTTACGTTAGTTCAAGTGATGAAATCTGCTCCATGTGTTAGGGTTATTATACCAGAGGCTCTCATACCCTACCCTGACAGTGCACATCCCTGTGTTTGGGTGCATCGTCAACCGTAACGGCGCTTGCGCTCCTTGATCGCCTCGTCCGCTTCATCCTCCCAGGGTGTAGTAGGATGGATGTTGAATTCGATGCCTGCCATCTCACACCACTTGCGGATAAACTCGCGCTCCCCAGTCGCCCATTGGTAGTCAAAAACAGCACCCGCCAAGGAGAGCTCCCGAAGACAGGTCGTCGGCGCGCTGAGGTGCTGGGCCACAAAGTCCGACACGAGGTCTTTGATATCCTCCTCGGTCCATCGCCAGTATTGCTGGTAGCACATGTTGTCTGTGAGAGTGAGACTTGCAAGATTCATCGGCAGTTTGTTGATCAGAGGTTTTGAGTCTTGGGGACACCATCCCATTAGCAAAACCCAAGGGACTGTCAGGCTTACTAGATTGGCGAAGTCTGTCAGCCTGAGCGATGTGCCCGTAAGTTCCATTGGCCAGATTACCTCGGGGATTTCACCAGTATCGTCGATGACCTCCAATGTCAGGTACTGAAGGGTTTCTTTGCGCGTTGACAAGGCTGTACGCAGTTTATCTAGATCAACGGTAGTCCTGAGCACCTCTGTGTACTCCTCTTTTGGACACCAGTAGCATGACCATTTCAGATGGGCGATTTTGGGGGTTAGTGAGAGGATGGCTCCAAGTTGCTCTTCGCTCGCCCTCGACAAATGGAGAAAGGTGAGGTTCGTCATCTGCTGGAACCGCTCGTCTGGTCCCCAGGGCCGCACCGATATAGGTGAAACGGCCATAGAAAGACTTTCCAGTTGGGGAAGATTGAAGAAGTTGAGAACACCCCCATTGGCGATAATCTCTTCGTCGAATAAGTCTGCGTAGTGGTTCTCCAATGTGACATTGGTGAGATGTTCCAGAGCAGGAAGATTGACGTTGAGCTTGTTTTGTTCCTTACGATCCAGCATCAGGGTAAGGAAAAGAACTTCGATGCAAAAGTCCGTTCCGAGATATATATCTTTGACATTGGGCACGATTGCAACAAGGAGTGCGACGAGAGCACCGACCTCACCATCCGAGACGCCCTGAGCCCACATATCTGCAAAGTCTGCTCCAGTGCAATTGATAATGCCGGCAGCCTTGGACGTATTTAGGCTAGTGACAGAGAAGGTTGAGATGCCTTTGGGCTTTCTTTCTGGGAAATCATATCCGTCAAGGCGAAGACTCTCAACGCAGGCGGACAAATCGGGTCTGTCCAGAAGAGTGCGTGTCGCCAGGGTCAGAGGAGAAGGTTCCTTTGGACTCCATCCGACGTCGACTTCTTTGTACAAGAGGGGCTGGTATAGGTTTGCGAAGTATCTATTGACGAGCGTCATAGCGTGAAGGTCCCGCCTTTTGGAGAGTTGCTCATCGATGATGAGCTGCACTTCGATGGGCATGCTCATCAGGGATGCCGGGGCATCTATAAATCAAGATTAGTTCGTGGCACCAAGATATGGGAGAGAGCCTACCGACGTATCGCCATCACTTCGATACAATGCCGGCTCCACAGTAGGTGAAGTGTTGATTTGTTTGTGCTGTCAAGATGTGGATGTTGACATCGGGGATGCTAACTGAATGAGGTCAGGAAACATCAACAATATGGTGGCAGAGAGCAGTTATTTATAAAACTCCAAGAAGGTACTCGTTGTCCTTTTCTTCTCCTTTTACAAAGTAAACTCGGGCCAACTTTCGTCATCAAAAGCTAATCGGTTTGTGGGTAACTTCTGGCTTCGATGGCATTCCCAGGGGCTTTTAGGTGGCAGTAGTTAATATATATACCTGTCACTACATTGCTAAACTAACATGTTCGAATGAGTATTAAACTTGGGACATGTAATGATTTCCGTCAGTTACGAAGTATTAGACAAAGTATTCTTCTTGTTAAGTATTCCTCAGTAGCAAATATGTAGCCCGGTTGATGGGTGAACAGGAGATCTTGGCAGGTTGCTTGTCACGATTTTCTTGTAAGCTCGAGGTTTGATTCAAGCGTAGCGATAGACTGCCCCAACAGAGGAATCTTTTATACTATTGGGAAATAGAGTTGCGGTGGCTGACATGGTTGTGTTACCTCATTGGATACCAGTTATCGTTGCTTTTCGGTCTATATAGGGACCTACACTGCTGATATTTCTGCAGGTTTTATTAGGACAGCTGCACATATTTTTGAAAGGCAGTAGCATATTCAACATTACTTAATAGTCCGGTTGATATCTCATAGCCTCCCTCAAAAGCTTGAGCAAGCTCTTCCGTAGACTTGATAAGATCTACTACTCAGCCTTCCGCTTCCGACGATTTTGCGGCCATGACAGGAAGAAGTCGCCCCGTGACTCAACGCTTACCGGGAAACAGGGGTCCAGTTTCTCTGTCTATTTTTAAGAGCGGTATTGCTGTTGGCAACTCAAAAATGCCCAAGACCAGTCAATACAAGAGATTGATTCAGGATCCAAACTGTAAACCTCACGGTACGAGTGATTGTTCCGATCGAGCCTAGAATATTCTCTCCTCTGTGCGCCGCTATCTTTAAATTGCGGAGAAAGGGGATTGTTCAAACACGGCGTCGAAGGTTTATCCGATGACGCATTTTTGGGTTTGTGGTAACTCTGTTATGTTGTTTGACCCAGCAACTGACGAACAGTGGCTCATTATAGATCGTCAGTTGACCACCTCTACTTAAGGCCGCGATTATCTTATCTTCCTCTCGTGTAATAATCCGGATGGTAGCTGGGAGACCCTAGCCTTGAAGGTTTAGATACGAAGAGGAGACCAGTGAACTCCGTGTATCTTCATAGTAAGCCAGGGCTACTTTTCTCCCCAGGGAAACAACGTGTCAGCACTGAGCTTTTTTTACTAATTCCAGCGCCTGATTCAGCGTTTGGATACCTTCAAGGTTTATGATATGACCACAATGGAAATCAGCTTACGTTGCTGAGGGGTAACTGACGTAGTTCTACCGCTTGTCACTCACTTGGGTGCATATATAAACCCTCTTGCGCATGGTCTCGGCTGCATGCATCCATTGTAAGCCCTTTTGTGTGGGAAGGATCCTTACCAAAATACTATGTAATGCCGATCTACTATGGATATCAGCATCTTCGGCTACATGCATCCGGTGTACAACACCACTTATATGGTAGAAGCTTGGCTTCCTTCCACCAACTATGTCAGTAGAGCGGGAGTATAAGACACAGAACACAAAAGTTCAAAGACAGCAAGGTCAACTATACCCTCAGAAGATTGACCTGATGACACTGTCCAGATCGACGCTCCATGCCGGCCGCGTTGGTGGTCAGACCAACACCACGGCAATGGCAAATATTGTTGTAATTGGGTATGAGACACACTCGGACTGTTGATCGCTTGTCTTAATCCCATTCTCTCTCGATGACTGACAATTCGTAGAGCTGGAGTAGCAGGCCTGACTTCAAGTTTGTTACTAGCACGAAAATATCCGAAAATTCCAATCACGATTGTAGCCAAGCATATGCCTGGAGATTCTGATCCCGAGTATGCATCTCCTGTCGCCGGAGCAGATTTCATGCCGTATGTTGACGATGTTCTTGTGTTTACATCCGCAAGAACACACACTGATAGTATTTGTACAGAATGTCGTCCCCGGAGAACAGTCGGTGGGAACGGGAGACATGGCCCGAGTTGAAGAAGCTGGCTCAATATATTCCAGAAGCTGGGATCCATTTCCAACGTGAGAAGCCGATCGCCTAGTGTTGTCCCTCAATGCAGACACTGACGATGCATATTGATCCAGCAACTCGAGTGTATAAGCGAGAGAAGGACTTGGACGAACCAGGTCAGCCGGGCAGGGGCCAGTTCGATGACAACCCATGGTTTCGATCCATCCTGGACGATTATAGGGAGTTGGAAACAAGCGAACTACCTCCAGGAGTTGCATCTGGATTCGAGTTTCGCTCTGTTTGCATCAATACTCCTCTTTATTTGGGTTGGTTAGTAGGACAATGCAGAAGGGCTGGAGTTGTCTTACGTCGGGGAACCGTTGAGCATGTTTCCGACGCTAGGTACTACAGCCATCACGACAACATTGCCAACATTGTTGTCAACTGCACTGGTCTTGGCTCCTCTCGGCTGGGTGGCGTTGAAGACCCCCAGATGACACCTATTCGCGGCCAGGTGGTATTGATAAGAAATGAGATCGATTCGATGTACACAATATCTGGAACAGATGATGGTCCTGAAGAGATCTCATACTGTATGGCCCGAGCGAGCGGTGGTGGTACCGTTGTTGGAGGTAGTTACCAGATGCACAACTGGGACACAACCCCCGATCTCGATATGTCGGCAAGAATGTTGCGTCGAATTAGGGAATTGGTTCCGTCGTTAGGTCGAGGCAAAGGCGTGACCGATCTGGATATTATACGCCATGCTGTTGGGCTTAGACCTTATCGATTGACAGGTGTCAGGGTCGAGAGGGAGCTTCTCCCAGATGGACTTCACGTTGTTCACAACTACGGCCACTCGGGGTGGGGGTTCCAAGGGTCTTATGGGTGTGGAAATAGGGTTCTGGAGCTTGTGGCGGAGATAGTTTTGGCTTTATAGGATTTTAGTTGGCAAATTGATACGGTATGTAGGTGGCATCTCCAGATAGCACGAATATACCTCGTGACTTTGCATGTGATTAGATCTACTTATCAACAATACCTGAAAGAGAACATCTTTGAACCCGATCGTCCTTTAAACTTATTCAGCAGCTTCTTGTTCAATTATGGAATGCCAGGTACTGAAACTTTGACTTTTTCAAGCCGGGTATCACGGAGACCCGGACCCTCTTCTTCTCCGACAGTCCGCAATGGTGTAACTCGTCGACATTGACTCAGTTCGAGGAAGACGTGAGTCCACGGCAACCAAAAATTACCCAAGTCAGGCGGAGGACACGTTCAAACACGCAAAGTGATACTCTGCTAATACGGCGGCTAATTGACAGCACAATTGTCAATCCAAGATACTGGCAAAAGGCACGAGATGTTTAACCACAAAGGATAGATGATGTCAGCCTCAAGCTCCGATTGGTGCCGAGCTCCATGCGTAAGCCCGCCTAAACTCCGCGGATCTGGTGGGGGAGTTTAGCGTAGCTTACCTCCACTATCCGTACAGCTATGATGATTTTGATAGCGAGTGGTTTTTTCCTCTCACTTACCATCAAAACATCTCACTTTCTATCTTTTTGGACTTCTTGTTGTTGGGTTTTGGCTCCTTAAACACATGTTTAATTGTGTCTGATTACAGCAGCCATTGCCCTCATCAGTTCGCATCACTGCGGTGATCCAACGCCACAAAGAGGGGCTCAAGAAACCCGTATTCAGCCTAGGACCGAAGACGTCAGCATTCGAGGCTCAGCATCGACTCTATCAATCCGCAGATCTATCATAAGAACTGTACCTGGAGAAGCTTTCAACACCATATTTCACCTATAATCTGCTCAATTGTCTCTTCACAATGAGTCGTTTAGCGGGTTGGTTTCGCTCCGGCGCCGCCACGCCCGTCACCGATGCCAACAGCGACGCTGGCTCCATCTCCACTAAGGACAACATGGCCAGAGAGATGGAAGACATTGACGACGCCATGGCCTCGTGCAGTCTCATCATGAATGACGACATCGACGGTGCCTGGGAGAAGCTTCAGACAGGCGACTCATCCTTCCATCAGCTTGGTTTGGCTGTTACCATCTTTATGCGCTCTGTGCTGGGCTTTGAGAAGGCCGTCATGACCGAGACCACCGCCAAGCTCGATGAGTGCGAGGCTAAGGCTTGGGCGGATTATAAGAAAGCTCAGAAGAACGGCAAGGCTCGTGCCGGCAGTAGATTGTATCCTCCCGGTACCGAGTTTGAGCTCGTCCGAGCTGAGACGCAACTCATGGGCGCCGTGGTTGGTGTTTTGCACGAGAGTCTTATTGACGCCATGAAGAGCTTCCTCAAGCTTCGCAAGGCGTTCATGACACTCGATGCAATTATTGAGTCCGAGACCAAAACTCTAGGCGACGTGTCTCAATCAGCGTCCAAGGCGTCACTGCCCGAAAAGCCAGTGGCTGACGTCGAGAAGGACACGGAGAAGCTCGACATTGAGGCTCCATCCGGGGCGGCGACACCTGCGAAGCTTGAATCTTCAAGTTCCTCGACATCAGACTCAAACGACGACAAGGTCGACGATGGCGCACCGCTGCGTGAAGCCCGGTCAAAGCCTACAGAGACCGACTCAGTTCTGCTCGAGAACCCCCTCGACATCTTTGTCCACTCTGGTGCAAACATGTGTTTTGGCATGCTTCTTCTTATGCTGACCCTTGTCCCACCTGCTTTCACCCGCCTTCTCTCAGTCGTTGGCTTCCGTGGTGACCGCGAGCGTGGTGTTCGCATGCTCTGGCGCTCTACGGCATACTCCAACGTCAACGGCGCCATTGCTGGTCTGATCCTACTATCTTACTACAATGCCCTTCTCGGCGCAGTTGACATCCTCCCTGATGCAAAGGACTTCGACGAGGGTGCTGAAATTGTCGGGCCCCCACGCGCTAAGTGCGAGAAACTCCTTGCATCCATGCGATCTCGTTACCCTGCCTCTCGACTCTGGCTCATCGAGGAGGCGCGTCTGCACAGCAACGACCGCGATGTCCCCAAGGCAGTCGAGGTCCTCTCCTCAGGCGACGAGTCCAAGATGAAACAGGTCACTGCGCTGAACAACTTTGAGCTTTCACTCAACTGCATTGCTCTCCAGGACTGGACTCTTATGCGCGACGCTTTCATGCGATGCGTCGAGCTTAACGACTGGAGTCACGCACTGTACTACTACATGGCAGGTATCGCATCAGTCGAGCTCTACCGTGATGCGGTTGCCGCCGGCGACGCAGATGAGGCTCGTCGCCAGAAGGTCAAGGCAGAGGAGTACCTCCGCAAAGCGCCCGGTGTAGCGGGTAAGAAGCGCTTCATGGCGCGCCAGTTGCCCTTTGAGGTGTTCGTGCAGCGCAAGATCCAGAAGTGGGAGGAACGCGCCAAGAGCTTGAATGTGGATCTGGCCGATGCCATTGGATCCAGCCCTGCCCTTGAGATGAGTTACATGTGGAACACGAATAAGCGCATGGGGCCCGCCGAGCTCGAGAAGGCGTTAGCTGGAATGAGCTGGGATAGGTGTACTGGCCCGCCCAAGGTGGTGGAGAAGATCAAGGCTGAGATTGACGAGATGGGATCGTGGGCGCTTATTAGTGCGTCGCTACTCAGAAACCAGCTAAAGTTTGTCGAGGCGAGAGAGATGTTGGAGACTCATGTCCTCAAGCACGACCGGTAAGTCTTTCTTTCTCAGTGTGCAACGTTGACTAACGAGATTAGAATGGCATTTAAGGGCACAACTAAGGACGACTACGTCCTGGCGGCAGCAGTCTACGAGAAAGGTGCCATCGCCTGGTACGAGTGCAGCAACCCTATTGGGGGAACACCAGAGGAGATCGCGGCGTACAGACGGGAAAAGTATGACGAGTGCGTCAAACAGATGGATGTCGCCAAGGTCTGGGAGGGCTTTGTTCTCGACACCAGAATCGGAATGAGGGTGCAGAGCGCTATTGAGACGCTGAGCTGGTTCAGCAAGAAGATGGGTTACTAATAGATCGCACCTACAAAACGAGAATATGATGGGATTTTGGACACATAGAAGGCTGCACATAGTGTGCATGGGACGGCAGTAATGTCATCATTTGAAGAACGAGCTTGTCCACGAATGCTACCTAAGATGCGCGCTTCGACTTCAGTCTTGAGCTTCTCCTCCTGCCGCTGTCATCGTCATTTGTCAACCTATTGATCCCTCCTTGGATGGCGCTCACACCGCTGTCCAGCTTATTCGCAGACCTTTCCTTCACGTTATGCTTCTCCGCCTCGGCCCTAACATCGTCGAGAACATCTCTACCGCGTGAAGTGCCGTTCATCCAGTCCAGCAAGCCCCATGCGCCGTAGTTGCAGTTGCCTCCGCTGGCATAGTGCACTGCTGTGCGGCGCGTCATTCCGCCCATGATTATACCAGGGATTACGGTGTAGCCTGATGCTGCAAGGGTTTCCTCTGCTGTGCAAATAGCTAGGAAGAGGAAGTATGTGAGAAGATGGGGACGGAGGGCGATGGAGGGGAGATAAATGGGGAGGAAGTGGTGAAGCAAAAAAGGAATGGGATGGTCCACGAAGAGGAGGAGACTGTAGGGAGCCGCAGATCGAGCGTGGCTGAATTGCTTATGATACTTCGCAACGGCGCCGTTTGAGTGAAGCACGTGTCGGTGGATGTAGTAAGTAAGCACCTCGCGTGCCGTTAACATCAACAGTAAGTGTTTAGCCAACTGCCATGGCAAAGGCAGCGTGGAGTTTGTCTTGAAGTCATCCTCCTTCAAAATGTAATTGAATCCCAAATTCGATGCGCCTTCAACGGCAGTGACAAACACAAGATTCAGCGCCGCGACTCCAACCTGGCGCGCGATGACACGGGTATTGCGCGGCGGCAACGATGTGCGACCGCCAAGCTTGATCGACTCTGCAAGGCTGGGCACCGAAGCGTCGAAGAGCAGTGTGAGCAGAGAGGGTATCAGATACAGGACTGTGCGTATGGCTAGGGTGCCGAGGAGGCGGATGCGGAGAGACGTGTGCGACAGGACGAGACTGGTCCATGTCATGTAGAAGAAGAGGATGTTGAGTGATGTTGACAGTGATGGGGAGGAGGGGGTGAGGAGGTAAGAGAGGATTGGGACGGAGAGGAGAAAGTCCATGGTGATGCTAGTTTTGGTGTTGTTTGCACTAGTGGGGCATTACTCAAACTGAGACGAAGTCAAAAGTGAGGTTAAAGATGAGAGAGTTTATCGCGACATGAGAATATGGCGCGTCTTATTGTCCGAGAGCTTATTCGTGCCCGTGTTTCAGTGATATGACGTCGCGAAGGTGTTTTTAATCCTGGAACTTGGGGATATTAGGCATGATCAGCTGTGACGTAAGTGTGGCGTGCTGCTTGGTTCAGCCACAAATGTCTGTGTCTGTATCAGCCTCGCACATGGAGTGGATGTTTCGGAAGAAAAGCTGAGATCCATGGAATGCAGGTACAGATACAGTCATGAACATTATGCAAGAAGTAAAAACATCAGGCGTTCAGCTACTCAGTACAGGTCGGGTCCATCAATGCACATGCAAGTTGGATCATATCGGCAGTTGACCGATCAATCATAGGAGGATATTGCCCTATGAGATGCGATATCTCAACAATCCGAAATTGGCTTACTCTAATCCAAACAGCTCGGGCTGCAGTTGCAGCTCCAGTCTAAAACGCACATCCGCAGTGGGTCTCGACGTGCAGATTGACCCATTTCCCGCTAGAAACCCACGAGGATCGACAATGTCACTTTTCCACTGTCTCGGCTTGTCCATCCCGTGTTTTGAACTTTATTTCCCTGGCGGCCGACGTTTACTCGTCTATCGTGTTGGACAGAGACACAGATAGGAATGCGTTGACAGCTGGAATGCAGAATTGGTAAAAAGAATCTGGACGGGCGGCAGGGGTCGTGTGCTAAGCTAACGGCAAAGGACCCAAGCTCCAGGGGAAACTTTCAGGGGTCCAGCGTCTGTGTTTTCTCTTTTGTTGATGCCCGCTCAGGGGTTCATGGGGCGTCATTTGGTTTGGGCTGTCACTCTGGCAGTTGATGTGGGGGCAATAAACAGATGGAAGGGAAGGGAAGGGAACCGCTGTTGAAGCTCTTCTTTCTCTCCAGGTTATGTTTCAATTGATCATCATGGTCATGCGCTCTCCCGTCGGGACGCACGCTCCCGTCTTGACGATAGCGTTCGTGATTTGATATCAGCGCCCATTAACCTTCAGCCCCTTCCTCTAACACTTTTCCCAGGCATGTTGGAATCATTCCTCCCCCATATTCCCACTTCGTCTTTGCTTATTACCATTATTGCCATTATTCTTTTTAGAGCATAGCAGCAGTAATTAAGCTGCCCCTCAGCTGTAATGTCAGTCTCGCGTGTCAGTAACAGCTATTGAATTGATTGGCCCACTCTATTCTGTCCTCTCTTAGCCTTTCGCTTTCCCCTACTAGCCTCTCCCATTGTCGGGTCCCTTTGTCCAGTCCCTTCTCCTCGTCAACCAACATTGCATTGCCCGCCATCATAATTATTACTTCCCCTACCTCATTTATCCTTGGCTAGCGATCTTCTTGTTTTGTGGTTTTCTTTCCGTTCTTCTCTCCCTTCGCCCAATTCTATTCTTCTTCCTCCCTTCTTTTCTTCCAACGCGCCACGGGCTAAACAAATCCACTTGGCACTCCGAGTTCCCCATTCAACATCCTAGTACAGGCGCCGCGATCCACCATCACCATTTCCACCAACAGACTAATATCCCAAATACTGCCATCGCCGAATCTGCCATCCCTTAATCCGAAGCGTGAGCGCGCGCCATCCGCCGTCGCTGTCTGCGCAAGACACCATCACGAGACCTCGAGACATCGCCGTCGCTCATCGCGTCGCGACCCTTCCTTCCGGGCCTCCCTTGAAATCCACTCCAATTTCGACTGACTCGACGCATTTCCGCTACGCATTTCAAGAGGGCACTCTGAGCCCAACCCATAGGATGGATTACGACTCGACTGAGATTCCCCCTATCCCTACTCGCGCCCACAATCATCACGGCCATTCTCGACGTCGATCCTACCAAGGCCCTTCATCATCGTCGAATCGCAACTCCAATCTTCCTCCTGCCAGTCCCGAAGTCATCTCCAACCTCATTACCAGTCTTAGCGTCATCTCTGAGCCTGCTATTTCTCACTTTGAAGCATCTCCCACTAGTCTTTCGCTGCCTGCCACTCCTGGTTATCGCAACGGCAGTTTTGGTGTAGAGTACGGAGCGTTTCATCAGCCCAGTCTTGACGACTTGAGACAGGACCCTGTCTCTCTCGACGAACTCGCCGCTTTACCTCCAGTCATCCGCACTTCGAAACCTCCCAGTGGATACTCACCGCTAACCGCCACCAAGAGTCCAAAAAGTCCCAGAACCCCAAGCCGCGAGAGTTCTGGTGGCTTCCGATCTTTCATCCGCAATAGCACATCTCGGCCATCGTCCAAGGGCTCCTCCGCTTGCTCCAAGAACGATGATGCCAACAGTATAGGAAAGCTTTCGATCGAACGTCGCTCTTCAGTGACACCTGAGCTGAATCACAAGCAATCCAGCGATAGTTGGGGCAAGAAGACTTCCAGAAGCCAGAAAGGACTGATGTATATGAGTTCCAGGGAGCGTTTGCGCGAGAAGGAAGCTGAGCGAAAGCGCGTGTCAGGTGGAGTATCGGCCTCGTCATCTGGCGCTCTTCCCGGCGAGAGTGTTCACAGTGGTAATCGTAACGATCCGTTCTTTGCTGAGACAGCAATTCGTGAGGAGTCGCATTACGAACTACCCCTCGAGCGCCCAATTGACGCCCCGTGCGCTATCCCCGCGCGTGGTTCTAGCCTGGCAAAGACTGGACAGCAGAAGCGACCAAGCACAAGGAAACCAAGACGAGAGGACAGCGCAGTCGCTGATGTAATCCCGGAAACCGAAGAGCATAATAAGCCTCGAAATCGGGATATGAACAGCCAAACGTTAAGTCATGCGGCGCATGACCAGTCAAGGTCATCCACTAGATCGCCTGTCTATAGGCTCAAAGAGCCGAGCCTATCAAAGAGCACCAGCGTGGCGGGCAGGAGCTTCCTTGACCTTGGCAGAGATGATAACGGCCTCAGCGACGAAGAGGATGAAGGCGCGCCGTTCCCTGCTGTAGCGCAAAATCGCAGGAGAGATCAAAGCATGGACCGCCAAGACCGAAGACTATCGGGACGTCAGAGTCCGGCGCCGGCTGAAGGCATCAAGATAAAGCGCAGTAGCTCACGTCTCAAGCGTTTATCTGCTCCTCTGGTGCCCCGAGCCGACGAACGAAACCGCCGAAGCCCCAGTCCTCAGCCTGTACAGAGCCATGCATCTGTCGGCTACGAACGTCCTCAATCCGCCGATTCTGTCGATGATGCTGTTGAGTCATATCTATGCTCACCACGTCTGTCGCAAAAGATCCGACATCCACAAACCGGCCGTGTGATATCGTTCTCAGAAGTCGGTGATTCTGAGGGTTCTGCAGTCTTCTGCTGTGTGGGAATGGGATTGACAAGATATATCACTGCCTTTTATGATGAGCTGGCATTGACATTAAAGTTGCGGCTTATTACCCCCGACCGGCCGGGTGTTGGCGATAGCGAACCTTATTCGGATGGCACTGCTACGCCGCTGAGCTGGCCTGGTAAGTCATTCACTTTCCGAGCATTACAAGTTGTGAACTAATTATGGTAGATGATGTCTATGCTATCTGCCAGACTCTGAAGATCACTAAATTTTCTATTCTGGCTCACTCCGCCGGTGCCATTTACGCTTTAGCCACAGCCTTACGAATGCCTCAACACATCCGGGGTAGAATACACCTACTCGCGCCCTGGATTCCTCCCTCACAGATGAACGTCTTCGGCACCTCACAAACTCTTCCTCCCACCAACGCTATTCCCACCTCGCAACGAATCCTTCGAGCCCTTCCTACGCCTATCCTCAAGGCTGCCAACAGCAGCTTTATGACAGCGACAAGTAGCTCCATTACGAGTTCGTTACCGAAGACACCACGAAGATCAAAGCGAAAGAACGGCGGGCGCGAAAGTACAGGAAGTACCCGAAACACGACACCGAGTTTAGTAGACAAGGAAAATGTTTACGCCAAATCTCCTGGTCACGGTGACAGGGATTTACCTAACGCTTCAGAAAATATGAACAGGTTGAGCATTGGCCAAGGCACGAGGGGCGAAACGGATATTCTTGCAGCGGCGGCCGACGCCATGGCCGATAAAGAACGCCAGACGACATACGACCTCCGCTTGACGCACGCCATTTGGGCGCTTGCCACTACGGGAGCCAATCCCGCCGTAGACCTGCTAGTCTGTCTTGAGCGACGCCATACTATCGGATTCCGCTACGTCGATATAACTAGACCCGTCGTCATCCATCACGGCAGCAGAGACACCCGTGTTCCTGTGGACAACGTCAAATGGCTGGGCAAGACTATGCGCCGCTGCGAGGTCAGAGTCCTGGAAGGTGAAGGTCACGGTCTCATGGCTAGCGCGAGCGTCATGGGCTCGGTCCTAATGGAGATGAGCAAAGAGTGGGAGGACTGGATGAAGGTCACCGGGGTGGAGGGTCGGAAAGATCGCGAGAGGGGACGACGAGGTACGCTCGTGCGATAACATAGTGATATCGCCATAACCTGTGCGACCGCTTGGAAAAGGTCGATCTTGATACCCCAGAGAGAGGGCTTTCTTGCTTGGTCTTGGATAAAAGGAACCAAGGTAAAGAAGGGTTATATCTCGTTTGTTTCTTAGATACAGTAATCAAGGACTTATCATGTCCTGGCATAATGTCTTATACATATATCAAGCCGAAGACGCTATAATGACTACGTTTACAACTCAAATGAAGCCTACCTTATTACCTGCGCTTGTGATAAAGCTCATCCCTCCGCTAGCATCCTGGTCCAGTCGAACTTTCTCCATCCCTTCTTGAACCCTTCAGCTCTCGGATCACCCCTCATCCACTTCCCTTGCTTCTTCATGATATGCGGCTCGGCATCGACAATACCACCCAAGACCTCTCGCGCAAACAGATCACCCTTCGGCCAACGCCCGGCATCCTCAACGACATGGCCCAATCCTCCGTCGAGCGTGAACCACACGTGGAAATAGGGCATCTCCTTTGCGATAGAGCGTCGGAACGCGGAACGACCCATACCGTCGCGCGCTTTAGCGCCTGTATCGATGATCTTGCGGTGCTGGCTCCATTCTTCATCGGATGACAGGAACGCTTCTTTGAAGTACGCCGGGGCTGTAGCACCTTCTTCGTACGGAATCGGAACGGCGACCATGGCTGCGTGCATGCGTCTATGTGGCTGCACCGCGTTCTCGTAGAAGACCACCTCCCGGCCCTGCTCGTGATACATGCGCGTCAAGCTCTTCATGAAGTTCCGTATCTCCTCCCACTCGTCATCGTCGCACTCGAGAAGATTCGTGCGATGGGCGATGGGCGCGATGACGGCGCCGCCAGAGGATATCTCAGGCTCTGTGGCGATGGTGAGGAACGCGCGGGTGCCGAGAGCTACCACGGGAGCGAGAGGGGGCTGGTTCTTGTCCTCGTGGTGGCACAGGGGACAGTTGTCGAGAGCGCGAGACATCTTTTGGAAATCGGACACAGCCATGTTTTTGAGGTTGATGTCGGACTTGTGAATGCGCTTGGCGAGTTTCTCGGCGTTTTCGTCCATGTAATCCAAACCATTATCGAATTTCCCATCCTTGGCGATGCGCTCCGCCAAACGAAGACCTTCGCCGCCTGCTTGGCCCTTCGTGCGCCGTTCCTCGCGGACCATATCTTCGATGGACATTTCCGTGTTCTCCTCGACGTTACCACGCTCGCGACCGCGCTTGTTGGTGATTGCTTTAGCTTCGTTGCGCGCACCAGCAAGTTGGCGGTTGTCCATAACGCTGAGGACGACGGCTTCAGGGTTGGACTTGGCGGAAGAAAACATAGCTGCTGCTTTGTTGTATTCGTCCTCCAGCTGAGCGGTGTTGGGGGCGCGGCGGAGTTTGGCCTTCATCATCTGAGCACGGAGACGATTGAGTGAAGATTGGTCCATCAATGGAGTTGTCTCAGAGTGGGTGTCGGGGATGATGGTGCCTTGTTCGGGTTCGGGGGGTGGTGAATTCTTGCGTTGGTTCTTGATCCTTTCGCGATGAAGATCGCCGGTTGGTTTATCGTGGCCATTGTAGTCTTTTCCGTAGATTCTTCTCCGGTCCATCTCTTCCTTTTCCTCTCGTGCGTCGTCAAAGTGGCGCAGGTCTCCGAAGCGCTCCATCGCAACGTCTTCTACCGAGCGGCCACTCTCCTCAGCTGCTGTGTACACTGCTTTGAGCTTGGTCATGCGCCACGAAGATCCAGCGTCGCCAAAAGCGTAATCGACGGTTCGTTCGGTCGGGAGATCAAGGTCGTCGATTGACTTCCCTTGTTTGATGTCTTCGATATGCGTGTTGATCTCGCGCTTGGACACGACACGCTTTGGCTCGGGCTTTGGAGGAGGCGACTTGTTCTTGTCCGGTCGGTGGATGTAGTCGACATCGATCGAAGAAGGAGCAGTCATCCATGAGTCTCTCTGGAGAGATTTGGTCCTATCTACAGGGTCTTTGATGGGTGTCTTCTCCTCGTCCGGGATGGGGAGATCTTCTTTGGCATCAGTTGTTTTACGATGTCGGTCGTCGCCGTGTCTGTGTCGAGATCGTTGTCCATCTTCTTCGTCGCGCGAATGTCGCGATCGCTTGCTTCTGTGGCCGTCATCATCATCGTCGTGTCTCCGGCGATGTCGATGGCGATGCCCATCTCTGTCGCGTTCGCCATCTCGTTCTGATTCGTGTCGATGATGTCTATGTTTGCGATGGCGCTTTTCGTCATCGGGACGCTCTGCACGTTCTCGTTCGGCCTTTTCGGCTGCGAGAGTCTTTTCGAATTCGTCTAAGCCGTCCATTATGAGTGTTTGGGTGTGGTGTTATGATGGAGTAGAGATTCGCTTTGTGGATTGGCAGTTACGTCAGGTTAGAAAAGCTAGGCCAGCTAATGTGGGGCTGAAGCTTCATCCAACCATTTCAGCTACCCTAAGGTTTTATGGCGCCTAAACTTGAATGAATTAAAAATGGAATGTGATTCGACAGAAATTTTAATAAATTATAATCGGACCCCCGTATTATACCAAATATGCACGAGGTAAAATCCTATATTCTGTATTCGTACATGAATTGGGCAGTCAGAATACATGTGAACTTTTGCACAATTCAAGATAGATGCAAAAGCTGCGAAGCGTTGTACGAAGAAGTCAAGAATAAATCCCACCGTGAAGTTGCACTACTCATCATCTATTTCTTACAATCGCGCCATAACCAGAGGATCGGTAAGGGTTTGTGAAATGTTGGAAAGCCTGGCCTGTGGAGCTTTTCACATGATTACAAGAGGGGTGCACAGTGAAGTAACACATGGATCGTCAACGGATTTAACAGTGCAGAGCAATGCATCATCGAAATTCTTTCACCTTTCAATGATGACATTAGGCAGCACCTCAAAAGAATGCACAAGTAATCCGGCGGTGACTCACCAAAACAATAAATGTAGCATTTGCAGGAGATGTCAAGCTGTCAACGACGCCCTACTACAAGATACCTAATCGGTCGCACGAATAAGCCTATCAACCAATTTGGTTGGTTGGTGAGAATGCAGGAACTAGCGGTCTTATATCCCATCTCTTTTGCTATTGGTGCATTAATTATAAAAGAAGACACTGCACAAGCTCACACCGTGCAGTCTAGACTTGTGTTTACAGTAAGTAATGCTCGTTATAGTTTTCTCTAGGAGCATTACACTCCAGGGATTCAATAAAATGCTGGAGTTAAATATGTATAAGTATGCTTGGCGAGCCATCTCTGGCAGACAGAGGATAGACACGCTTGCTGTTATAAACCAACGAGAAACTTTGATTTACACACAGCTTTTTCCTAAGAAGCACAACGGGGAAGGTCACCATGTCTGTTCATCAAGCACATATCAAGAACGAAAATATCAATCATATGGACAATTTGTGGCTCAATGATCATGGTAGTAAGGAGGTGGAATTAAGACCACGAGAAGAGACCCAAGGTCAGGGCATTCCGCAGGATGGTGACGATACGTCCCTCGCACCACCAGATGGGGGCCTCTGGGCGTGGTTATGTGGTGAGTCTCATGTCACCATTACTGCACACATGTCAAATTAACACAGTCGCTGGAGTCGTGGGATCACATCTAGCTATACTGAACACCTGGTGAGCACCTTCAACCACGCTGAAGTCATCTTTGCTAACATAAACAGGGGTGTTATAAACTCCTTTGGAGCCTTTCAGAGTCACTATGTCCAGACTCTTAACCGTCCACCATCAGACATCGCCTGGATCGGCTCCCTGGAGATATTCTTCCTCTTCTTCATCGGGGCCTTCACCGGCCGTCTCACCGATGCCGGCTACTTCCGTTATGTAGCAATAACAGGTTCGACCCTCATCGTTTTGGGCACCATGCTTGCATCCATCTGCACGCAATACTGGCAGTTTATCCTTACCCAGGGGATTTGTATGGGTCTTGGGAATGGATGTCTGTTCTGTCCTACTATTGCCCTTGTTTCGACATACTTTGAGAAGCGGAGATCACTTGCTATCGGCATTGCAGCATCGGGGAGTTGTACGGGCGGTATAGTGTTCCCAGCTTTGGTTCGACAACTCCTACCGCGGATAGGATTTGGCTGGACGATGCGAACTATTGGATTCATGCAGGCTGGTACCATGGTGATCGCCTTGGTAATGCTGAAGTCAAGACTACCGCCACGAAGAACAGGACCCATGATCGACTGGGTAGCTTTCAAAGAGCTTGAATATGTGTTTTACGCGGTTGGGTCTTTCATGGTATGCTTTTACCTCGCATAATCTATGCCGACCGCTAATTATATATGATGTGTAGTGCTTCTGGGGTACTTACTTTGCCTTCTTCTTCCTCGCGACCTTCGCACGCGACATTCAAGGAATGTCTTACGCAGCTTCACTGGACCTTTTGATGATCATCAATGGCGTTGGTTTTCTCGGCAGGCTTTTCCCAAGTCATCTTGCAGACAAATATGGAGCAATGAATATGTACATCTGCTGGGTGGCAGTCTGCAGTTTGTTGATTTACGCTTGGGCCGGAGTGTCGTCCAAAGCTGGTCTATACGTCTGGACAGTGGTATGTGGCATTGCCCTTGGTGGAATTCCGTCACTATTTCCTTCGGGACTGGCTTCTTTGACTATGGATCCAAGCAAACAGGGAAGTCGAATAGGTATGGTTTTCACGGTGGTCAGTTTTGGCTTTCTTACAGGCCCTTCTATCGAAGGGGCTCTTATATCTGCACTGGATGGACGGTATATCGCGGGGCAAGTGTTTGCTGGGACTAGTTTGGCTGTAAGCTTGGTTTTCATCACTACTGCTAGAGAGATTAAGAGAAGACGGATGGGCTTGAAGGTCTGGGTTAAGATTTGATCTTCAGGCTGCGATATGAAGCCCAAGATTGAAAAACTCTGAACTCATCGTTGAGGAATGGCCTATAGCGCGTGAATTCAATAGTTTACAGCACGCAGTCAAGCGACGTAAAATATTGAAAAAGAAAATCAGATTCCGAAGGGAGGAGGGGCCGATGTAGATCGGAAGATCTGGTATTTAAGAATAACAATAAAGATGATGATGATGGTATTAGTTAAACTCTATTCACTCAAGTCCGTCTATGGTCTGTACCCTCCACTATTCGCTGGTAACTCGTGCACGAACTGCGTAGAACCCCCCATTTCCCAAGGCCCCTGTCGAGCAGTATTATCATGCGGTGCTTCGACCGGCGCATAACCACTTTTTGAAGGCTCGAGTGATGGATCGATCGTGGGTGTGGAGCGTCTTTTCCTTCGCCATAACATGAATCCTACACCAGCTAGTAGAAGTCCTCCCACGACTGCGCCAACGGCCACTCCCGCGGTGGCTCCAGTGGATAGTCCTGATGCTGCCGGCTCATCTGTGGCTGTACTTGATGCAGCGGTTTCGGTGGCCGTCTCGCTGGCTTCGCTGGCTTCGCTGGATGTTCTTGTTTTCGTTTTTGGTTGTCGGGTTTTGGTGGATGTATCCGCTGATGTGGTAGATGTCGAGGGGTCGCTGATGTTGAAGGTATGGCTAGAGAAGAGTGCGGATGTCTCGCCTGTTTTGAACATCCAGAAGCTGAAGGATGTCCCGTTGGTAGGGTCGATTCCCTGGTAGGATGCTATCCACTCATATTCTTTGGACTTGCTGTTTGCTATCAAATAGTCAGCTAGTCATTCCCCTCAGCAAATTTTCTTTAACCTTACACTGTAGGTTGTACCTTTGACCTGTGTCGGTTTGCCACATGGTAAGATCCGTGAACTCAGCATCTGCCTGCCATGTGATCTTCAACCGCTGTCCCAGTTCATAAACGGGGTTGTCGATCTCCGAGTCCGAGGGAGGCGGATTGATGAAATTGCCGGCAGAGACCAGCTGTCCCAGACACAGAAATGCCAGACAGGCAAATAAGAGCCGAACCGCCATGTTTGACTGTTAGCCCCTGGTTAGTAATTTGATGTGGAACAAGCAGCAAGAGAGCGTAGGCTGGTAGACATGCGGCAATAGGGATCAGCAACTCTTATGGGAATCTGTTGGCTTGATGGAAATACATCTGCAAGGATGACTCTCCTCTAGGATCCCCTGATTAAGGAGCATCTATAAGCCTTACTAGCCATGCAGTGGTTTCAGTGTGTCGTCCCACCTTTGGCTCGGCATCACTAGGGCTGCGCAAGTCCTAGGTATCGTCAAGGCTCTGTCTCAAGCATTTTCCAGATTACTCAAACTGTTGAGAAACTTATCAAATATTCTAGGTTTATGAATCATGCCTGGAGGTTCATAGACGTCTTCAAACTTCTCCTATCCTGTCAATTAAGCCCGAACAAGCAGTAGTCTCGCAGTCTCACACGACCAAAAGGTCGGAAATAACACGTTATGCAGAGATCACAGATCGACCAGTGAATGGTCAAAATCGGGCGCAATTCAAAAGACCCGCTTCCTTCGAAGACCTCAGCCTCCAACTTTCGGGACCGAAGGATTAACGGCCCCCGACGGGTGTTTCATCCAGAGAGGGGCAGGCAACTTTTGCTAGGATTCAGCCTCACAATCTTGGGAGTATTCTATATTTACTTCACGGGTAGCGAAGAGAATTCTCTCACGCGTGGAGGTAAAATATCGTTTCTATTCATCAAAGAAGGGAGTACATAAATACTATTCTTGCCTTTTCCATGGACCTCTGATTTCTTTAGTTAGTAACACCAGTAAACTCATTTAGCTCAGCCTTACAGCGTAGACAGCACTCTTGTGCGTCAGTGACACCCCTGTCACGATTCTTCGTAGCTCCAAGGAACGAAGAGCTTTCTTTTGAGCGATCCTTTTTCTTCTTTGCCTGAATCTGTGATCTCAATGGCAACTTAAAGTATCAACGAAATATGGGCTGTTGTCTTTGTTTGTAAGTCTTCAGACGGAACTACTACCTAGTAGTTGACTGTTGAGATACACAGATCTGCAACTAGACTCAATCTTCCACGCCGTCAATAGACGAGCTCTATTCGGCCTAGCTTCCGTTGTATTTCTACATTTGGTATCCATTGCGAGATTCAGCAGAATAGCTTGGCCGCTGGGCTTCGAGACCAAACCGTCTCTCCGGGTTAGACAATTCTGAATACATTTGTTGCAAGAAACTTTTGAAACCCCTGTGGAAATCGAATAATCCTTTCTTACATCTTATGTGTGTTTCTATCCAGGTTTTGGAGAACGAACTTTTACATGTACTATAGAATTGTCCGTCAAACTCTGTCCGATATACATATTAATTCTAATTCTAAACAATTCCATCTATCCCTCTAAAATCTGATATTCCATCTTCTTTATACAACATCACTCTCCTTGATCAAAATATCTCGCGTCACCTCACCAACATCTCTCAGCCCAGCAAGGTGCATATTCATCGTCAAATCACCACACAGCGCCCGAAGAACATGCCTCACTCCATCCTCTCCTCCCAGAGCCAACCCATATGCATACGGGCGTCCGATAAGAACACACTTCGCCCCCAACGCAATCGCCTTCATGATATCCGCACCACATCTGACACCACTATCGAAGAAAATGTCGAGCTTGTCGCCGACTGCATCGGCGATTCTTGGAAGCATACCTAGACTGCTTACTCCACCGTCCTGCTGTCTGCCGCCGTGGTTGCTTACGACTATTCCCTGGACACCAGCCTCGACGCATTTTCTGGCGTCGGGAACACTTTGGATGCCCTTCAGGACGATGGGTCCATCCCAGTGCTTCTTCAAGAATTCGATGTCCTCCCACGAATGTGAATGTCCGGGAAACACGATCTTGGCCCACTCGCGGGCCGCGGTGCCGAGACTGCCTCCTGCTGATCCACCTTGAGCCGCTTGGTATGCTCCACTAGGCGCATCGGTGATATCATATCCGTGCTTGTCCTTGAACTGCTTTTTGAAAACAGGATCTGTCAGACCGATCTCGACGCCGATGTGATCCGGGTGGATGAAGGGGTTGTAGCCATTGTCCAGATCGCTGGGACGCCATCCGAGAACGTAGGTGTCGAGTGTGACAAATAGTGCGGTGTATCCAGCGGCCTTGGCTCTTTGGAGCATTGATATTGTGATATCATCGTGTTCCCGACTTGGCCAGTAGAGCTGGAACCATCGAGGAGCATCTTTGCCATTCGCTGCTGCTACATCCTCGATGCTTGTGCTGGAAGCTGTGCTGAGCGTGTAAGGGATTCCCAGCGACGCGGCAGCTCGAGCAGTAGCTGACTCTCCTTCTGGGTTGAAGATCTTTTGCACACCAATAGGAGCAATTGCCAAGGGGAATGGAAGGGTTTGACCAAGGACCTTGGTGGTAGTATCGGAGAATTGTTCATTGCCGTTCTCATCCTTGCGACTGGGCACCAGTCGGTTAGGAATTATAGACCAGCGAGAGAAGGAATTGATATTGTTCTGATATGTTGTGCCATTACCGCAGTTCCCGTGAATATAGCCCCAAGACGTGGCCGAAAGAGTCTCTTTGGCTAATGGTTCCCATGCAGAAGGTTGAAAGGTGAATGCAGGTCTGGCGAAGTGAAGACCAGCATCGAAGATTGACTTCTCGTATCCGAGGACATCAGCGCTTGGTTCAGGCGCCATGATTGTTGGTTGAGATTGTTGGTGTCTACGGAATTGAAGTGCTGAAACTTGCGGCTCTGCCAACTTATAGTTTTTCTTGGTTGGACTATTCCCGGATATGTCGGTACTTACAACACAATTCGCTAATCGATCGGAAGCGATGACGTGTGATATGATCCAATCTGTGACAAAGAGCCCGAAAATTCGGCTTTCGGCACAGCTTCAATCTTGAAGTTGTCGAGGCAGCAGATAATGATAGCAGGTAGCCGGATTCTTCCGAATCAGCCACTGCTTATTGTTTTGCCCCTTCATTCTGTCGTCTTTCGAAGTATTTGTTCGGTTTTCCTTGTGTCAGTTTAGTCAGTGGTTTCCAGATTGCTCAAGTTATACAGAAGATTGATTCTGTCCAGACGAATCGACTCAAGTGACGTAGTTGATCCAATAAAACTATGCACGCACTGACACACAGGAACTTACAGTGGACGTGCAAAAGTTCTGCAATTTCTTCTACTCTAGATTTTTCATATGATTATATAAATTACTATGAGACTTTTTTTACTTCCATGGTTTTATATTAAATTATTTTAAGATTATGATTAAAGTCCTCTAACTATAGTATATTTAATATAGTCTGCTCTAATACGTACCTCCTGTTAGCTTATCGTCGGAACTTTTGCACGGAACTGTACAAAAACACTTCTTCTCTATGACTAAAGAAGTGCGCAGAGCTTGTTTACGCCTCAAGAAACGGAATTGTCGAAATACCACTCTAGGCTTAGTTTATCGAAGACTGACATTCCATCTAAAATACATCAGAGCCAAAGCCAAATAAGCTATCGAAACCCATCACGTCTTGATTCAAGAATTGTCCATCTCCCATTGCACAACCGACGAACCCAAATGGGGGATTTTCATCGGGAAGTAGTGTAGCTTGCTGTGAAGATGTAGGGTCATTGATCACAAAACTTTGCATGAACTGGTCGACGTCGAAATCAGTCAGTTCTAGATTCGGATGTACCTCAAAGTCTGCAGGCATCGTAAAAGTTGGATTAGGCAGTGGTTGTTCAAGGTCTAATGTGCCTTGGGGTTGATTCGTAGTTGCAACACTGAGAGGCCCCCGACTTTCCATGTCAGCATCTTGTATCTCTTCAGCCGCACAACTTGTCGGTTCAATTGCAGCAAAGTCACCAACACTAACCCCCAAGCGCCGCATGGTGCCGAGCAAAATACCCATGGTTCGTTTTGGACCGTGGCACCAGGTTTGCTGTATAGATAAGATCTCCAAACAAGTTCGTAGACATGAGTGGGCTTGCCAGCCTGGGCGTTTCTGCGCAGCCATCCGAACGTGTATTGTAGCGCTCACATATGTAGCATACGAGATGAAGTATGGCGCTGTCTTGAAGCAAAAGTGTTGCCTGTACAGTTGCAGGATTTGATGAATGTCGAACGCGGCTTTTGCACAGTTGGAGAAGGCTTCAGGCGCTGCGGTCGCCGAAACAGATGCGAGATGCCCCTCTGAGAGAAAGGATCGGTGTATCAGGATAACCAAGGTCATGCACAGGGCCCTGGTACGGTCAGTAGGCTTTCGAAGAAGGTCAAGTATCGACTCACGCCAGCGAAAGAGTATGAGGAAGAATTGTAGAGTTGGAGGAATCATGCAGCTGAAGTGTCAGATGCTCAGGCAAGCCATCTTTCCACGATTTGAGTTGGCAGTGGAGTGAACGAGCAGTTTCCCACAACTCTTCAGCACCCTTGGCGGAACTTCCCTCGGAATAAAGCGCACAGATAATTCGATCCATTATGGTACTTAATTTGCAAAGCTGCTCAAAGGTGGTTACACTGTATGTCGGATAGCCGAGGCGTGTTGGCTGCGCCGAGTACGTATGTGTGCTGAAGTCTTCCAGTTCTTCAAACTCATCAAGGAATATGGTCGAAACACTATTGTCTTGTTCACGCAGTCGACTGGGACGACCTTGATAAATGGACTGGACTTTGTCCAAGGCTGGGGTAGGTTAGTCAAGTCAACCGTGAATCCATTGGGCCATTTCTGGCTGACTTACTGAAGGCTGCCCAAAATACCCGACGCTCTATTTCTGTATCTTCAACAGAAGGCTTCTTTGATGATCTTCGGGATGAAGCATCGATGTGAAGCCCAAGGTCAACTATCATGTTAATTGCAATACCCATATAGTGCCATGAAAGACTTCTCTCATTACACCACGAGAACAAAGCGTCTGCCACAACCAAGAGCGCCTGTATTGTAGTGATCTCACTCTTGAGCAAAATCTGAGACCCAGAGCCATGCAGAATTTGTTCAAACTTTGCACGGAATGGACGGCCTATCGAATTAAGGTCACTGATATCGCCAAGAGTGGATGTGGCTGCGGTGTGTTTTGAGCCAGCGAAGAGTATTGCGTTGAGGAGCAGTTCAGAGAAATAGGGCCCGTTGCAGGCCATGTCCCGCATGAAAGCTGTTCGGTAGACGACAGAGCCAATGTAGTGCTGGCGATTCCAGAAGTTGGAAAGAAGTTCCAAGCCAAATTTGGGATCTGTTGCTCCAAAATTTAGTTTTCTTGCTCTCAAATTAATATTCTCAAGTTGCCCTGCTTATCGATTAGCTTTGCACGCAATCGACCGAGTGACTCTACTTACGCTGCCGCGTTGTCTCCGCCAAAAGCTGGTTTTTGACAGCTGAGGAACCTGTACTGTCTGTATGATTGTGTGCTGCTTGGGATGCACTAGGATGCATCGCACCGGCGGAAGGTCCATGGAATGCATGATCTTCAGGTTGCCCGGTTGTCGTTGGTGAATAAGCCAAGGACACTACGTTCTTATCTATTGATTGAGGTTGTTCATGCGCACGATTGATTGCAGTCGCTGGAGAGCCAGAGACTGCAGTACTGTTGCTGGTAGTTGGCCCGTTTTGAAGCGGCAAGGGTGTGCCAGAACGGTGATCACTCATTTGCTCTGGGCTTTGCGAGTGCAGTTGCTGACGTAGACGAGCATTCTCCTCCTCAAGCTTGTGGATACGAGCATTGGAAGGCCTGCAGACGCTATGAGTAACGAGGCCCGTGCAGGAAGAAGAAGAATAGTTACCTGGCTGGTGTCATTCTCTTAGAATACGTGCATTGTACCAGCCGAGCCTGGCAGTTTTCACACTTGGGCTTTGCGTTATCGCAACCCAACTAGGACGCGTCAGCGACATTGCGAAGCTGCATTCATGCAATCTTCGGTACCTTTCTCCTTCTGCAGAAATCGCAGGCGGCGGATGCCCGCTGGAGCCGGCGCGGAGTTGTTTCCATGGTGAGAGAGGGCGGATGACAGCAAGCCGTGATGGAAGAGGATGATGATGATCTGCCAGGAAATCGGCTATTAGAAAACGTTTTGCGGTGATGACATAAGCGGGCAGTTGTCTGCCTCTTGCCTTTGCGATATAATTTATGACAACCACACAGTATTAGCTGAGTATCAGGAGTTGATTTCGGATGAATCTTCATAAGTACAAATATACTTGAGTCAATGACCACCTGCAGACGGACAACCCCAGCCTCCTTGACCGCAGTGACCTCTTCATGACCAATATCATGCGACGGGACATTTAAGATATTTGAAGGTTTCTTTTTAGTTTCTGATTCTCTCATCTTCTTCGGTAAGATCTAAGCCCAACAACAATCTTCGAGATGTGCCATTAGTCCGTCGTAAAACGCAACGAGGTTGTTGCCGCCCAGAGTTGTGACTGCTGACTGAGGAGGGCAAGCACAAATCCGTGATAACAGCTGAATTCAGTGCCTCTAATTTGAAATGCTTATAAGTAGGCTGAAACACCTCGCAAAGATTTCCCCAACCTGCACCGGTGTTTGTTCTGTACGGAGGTTCTAGGCTGATTTGCCAGTAAGCCAGTCCTCCTTAGAACACGCCACAAGGGATCCTTCCATACAGCTTGCTGGCCGTATGCTTGGTATCGCCTTCAACGACCCGTGAATTTGGATACTCAGCTGCTGTTAGGACTTCTGGTGCGTGGAGGCTCTCAACGATTTCTTTGTTTCTCCGACTGGCACACGAGGGATGCGATAGCGAATGAAAGTCAAGACAATTAAGCATTGAATCGAGGAACTGAGAAATGCTCACTTTGCAGACTATCAACACTCGAATACTTGTCATATATTTAATTATAGGAGTCTCAAGCATATATATATTGAAATGCTAGGCGTTTGTCAACATCCTCGAAAGTCTTTAGTAAAGTACCGCCAGATGAACTAAGCCAAACCTAGTAGCCTTCCATTCGATATTGGAGATTCCATTGGCTTTGGAGTACCATCACAATTGATCAATGCTAAGTTTGCCAATCCATTCTGCATAATTTACATCTCATCCCAACACAGCCCCGCGAGTTAAATACCCTAGGGGGTGTAATAAGACTTCAGACGTAAGAAATCAAGTAGGTGTAGACTATTATATACCACGATAATCGGCTTTAAGAAATATTTAAAAAGGTTATTAAATATTAGACTAAAATAACTAAAACTTAAGGATTATTCTAGTATTTATATAAAAGCGAAATAATTTTATTTAAATATTCTTCTTATAGTACAAAGTCGTCTTAATTTTCGTCCCGCGTCTGATATTTTATTTCACCTTGAGGATCCCCAACGTCCGACCCGCAAATCCATCAAGTCCCCATTTTGCCCCCAAGCTATCGCCCTTTGAGGCTCGATCCCGCCACTCACAGCAAGGGTCTCGAAAGCCAAGTATCCAATAACTTGGGGAATTTACAGCTGGAGGGATCAAAAGACCCGCAATCCTCGAGGCTTTCATCGGCACACTCCGTACGGGGAAATCGTAGCACAAAAAAGTGAAAGTTACACCAGAAGACCTGCCGAGGGTATAAAACGGCCTCGGCTTGTGATTTTGCGCTATTTTTGTTCTGGCTTTCGTACCTTCCTGAATTAACCTTTTTTTCTCTTTCCAGAAACGTTGTCGCTTTTTGGGCTGTAGGAGAGAATTCTTACTCATATCTTTTTGAGAGCTCAGCTCTACGCGAGACGAGACACCATGGCTGTCACACCCCCGGCCTATTCCCACGATGCTGAGAAGGACTCCAAAACTACGCCTGCCAGCTTGACCAATGAGGATCACCTTGGACAGCAGAATGTCTTTGGCGATGAGACGCATCGAAGGCTCAAGAGCCGCCATATTCAATTGATTGGCATTGGAGGCACTATCGGCACCGTTCTATTTGTATGCTCTCCAACATATCTTTTGAATGCCTGCTGCATAGGTCCTACTGTGGCCTGTGCTTCTGTAAATGGCTTCCAATATCAACGACTGACGACAAATCATAGGTTCAAATCGGCAAAGGCCTCATGCAGGGCGGTCCTGGCAGTCTTTTCATCGCATTCTCCTTCTGGTGTCTCATCGTGCTCACAATCACAATGTGCATAGCCGAAATGGTTTCATACACGCCAATCTCATCCCCATTCGTCCGGTTCGCTGGTACCTACGTCGACGAGGCCTTAGGTTTCGCCGCAGGATGGAATTTCTTCATCTTTGAAGCTGCCCTTGTGCCTTTCGAGGTAACGGCTTGCCATTTTATTCTCCAGTTTTGGACTGATGCCATTCCTGTCGGTGCAACGATCGCTGTAATCATCGTTCTCTATGCGCTTATCAACTTCATGGCGATCCAGTATTTCGGAGAAACTGAGTTCTGGGCTGCTATTGGAAAAGTCATCTTGATCGTCGGACTCATCATCTTTACTTTCATTGTCATGGTTGGCGGTAATCCTCAACGTGATGCGTTCGGGTTTACTTATTGGAAGAGTCCCGGCGCCTTTGCTGAGCTGTACTATGAGGGTGCCTTAGGTAAATTCGTTGGCTTCATGGGTTGTCTTATCCAGGCAGCTTTCTCCATTGCAGGCCCAGACTATGTCGCAATGGCAGCTGGAGAAGCAGAAAACCCTCGCAAGACTCTTCCCCGGGCTTTCAAGACGGTCTTTTACCGCCTGACGTTTTTCTTCGTGCTTGGATCCCTCTGTGTAGGCATTCTCGTGCCTTATGATGACCCCAATATGATCGCGGCTTTCCGAGATGGCAAAGCCGGAGCTGCTGCCTCACCATACGTCATTGCCATGGATCGCCTCGGTATCCGTGTTCTGCCTCACATTGTCAACGCGATGATTCTAGTCTCAGCATTTTCCGCAGGAAACTCTTATGTCTTCTGTGCTACGAGATCCCTGTACGGCCTCGCGCTCGAAGGTAAAGCACCGCGATTTTTGAGGACTTGCACTAAGACAGGTGTTCCTATCTACTGTGTTGTCGTTGTCCTAGCCATCGCCCTTCTCTCCTTTCTTCAGCTGTCGAATAGCTCTGCTGTTGTGTTGAGCTGGTTCGTGTCATTGGTAACTGCATCGCAGCTGATCAACTTTTCTGTGATTTGCTACACGTATATCCGTTTCCATCGTGCTATGAAGGCGCAGGGCTTTGACCGTTCTGTGCTTCCTTATCGCGCGTGGTTCATGCCCCATGCTGCGTATATTGGAATGGTTGCAACGTTCATCATGGTGTTCGTCGGAGGCTACACGGTGTTCTTGCCAGGCCATTGGGACGTTCCCAGCTTCCTTTTCTCGTATGTATCCCCCTACCCAAATTAACACGTACCTAACCGCTCCAGATACACATCGGTCGCATTATTCCCCATTTTATATGCGGGATGGAAGATCGTGCATAAAACTAAGATCGTTAAGCCCACAGAAATTGATCTTCGACATAATTTGGCCCCAATCGAGGAGTATGAGCGAAACTACGTGCCTCAACCACCAGCGTAAGATAGCCATGACCAAGACGAGACTTATAATGCTAACCATTTCACCCAGGAACTGGTTTGAGAAGATTTTACACTTTTTGTTTGGCTAAAATAAGATCACTGGAAACGATGTATGGACAATCTGGGTAAAAATAGGTCAATATACCATACAAATATGAGGAGGATATACCCAGTTCAAAATAAAGATTTCAGTTCTTTGATCTTGCAAACAAATCATTACATTCTAACAGCCATTGGACATCGCCCGTGATCTAAACTGTTCAACCATCTATTTCTTAACATAAGGCGCCATCGTCTCAGCAGATCTCCTCAAAAGCTCAGTATAGTAACTATCAGACAACAATCCAGATCCATGATCGACAATGAACTGCAGCTGATCTGGTGTAACATCAACCTTCCCGGTCTCAAGCTGCTTCTTTCCAAAGTCACCAACAGGTGTACGATCAATCGATGGCATAAACTCAACAGTCAAGCCACCATTGTAGCCCGCTTCGACCAAAGCTTCCATTATACTGGGCCAATCAAAAGACCCATCTCCAGCTGCAAGACGGTTGTTGTCGCTTACGTGGAAATCCACGATGCGAGAGTGACAGGCTTTGATTGCGGCTAGAAGGTCTTTCTCTTCTAGAGCTAGATGGAAGGGGTCAAATGCAATGCCGACGTCATGTCCGACCTCATCAGCAAGAGTGAGAGCTTGGTTGGTGCGGTTGAGGAAGTATGTCTCGAATCTGTTGAGAGGTTCAAGCGCAACTCTGATGCCTTTCTCGTGTGCAAAGGCGGCAACTTCACGAAGGCCTTCAACAGCCCACTTCCACTCGTTTTCGGGAGTAGATGAGGGGACGATGGTGCCGACGTTCCCTGGTACAACGGTGACTATTTCTCCACCGAGCTCAGCTGACATACTTACGACCTGCTTCATGTAGTGGATCGTGTCTCGTCGTTGCTGAGGGTCGGCGGCGAGTAGATTTCGCTTGCCATGCTGGACAGTGACGGTTCCCCAGCATTTGATGTTGTATTTTTGCAGAAGTTGGCGGGTTTTCTCGATGGGAAACTGGTCTGGTTCGCCGGCTAGTTCAATGGAAGTGTATCCAAGGCGTACAAGCCTCTCGAGAGTCTTCTCGAGTGGTTCTGGCCGCATCCAAGTGTGTGAAGACAGATGCATGACGGGTAGTGGCGGGGAAGGATGTAATCAGATGTATGGCATTAATAGCTTGGATACAGGATCAAGATATCTATAGTACTAGATTGGCACAATAATAGTTTGAAGGAATCATTAAACATATTTATGTCTTTCTTTACAATCACCATCATCTAGCCACCGTCTCAGAGGACATCAGTCAGCGGATGATGAATTTCCGTTAAAGTGGAGACAATCATCAAAGGGAAGCGGATCATAACCATCCGTCTGATTAATCTCAAGGTTTGTCAGCGGAACGTGTAATGATCACAGCCAATGGTATTTCATGATCATTTAGGCTTCATGGCGAGAAGGAAGATGACCAGCCGTCCTACCGGTTGAACCAAAATGCATAACGTCAATAAGATGTCTATATATATACTGGCATTATACTCGTCATATATGAGTCCACATCTTCAAATACAACTATTTACATTTGGCAATCTTGACTTCCAATAAACTGTACACTTGTACCATCAATAGTATTTTACACAATCGTCTCAACTGAAATCCATCATGGCCATTCCTTGGAACGAAGAATCGGTCTTTGAGTCCTACGACATCATCGAGCCAACGTAAGTATCCATCCCAACTCTACCCGGCCCCAGCTAATAGTCCTAAAGATTCAAGACTGTCGCTTCCCACGACATCAAAACAGCTATCCTCGTACCCAAAGGACTCAAACCTGGTGCCCATCCGGTCATCTACCACATCCACGGCGGCTTTCTCGTCATGGGCCACGCCTTGTTTGCGCCCTTTTTTGCAAAGTGGGTTGATAAACTGGCGCTGAAGAACAATGCAATCATCATCTCCCCTGATTACCGTCTTTTACCTTCTGCGAATGGTCTTCAGGATATTCTTGAAGATGTCGAAGACGGATGGCAGTGGACGAAGTCGCAACTACCTGGCGTTCTGGAGAATAGTTTTCCAGGCATTTCAATGGACCTTTCGCATACGTTACTCGTTGGTGGTTCTGCTGGGTAAGTTATCCCCCCTATCGATTCATTTATAAGCTTACTCATGATAATACTAGTGGCTACTGCGCAACTCAGCTGGCTCTTTCTCATCCAGATGACTTCCAGTCTCTTGGCCTCGTCTACCCTTTGATCGATATTGACGACAGAATCTATACCGAAGGCCCTCGCTCAGACGAACCTACCATCTTACGCATGCCAGTAGAAGAATTTCCTTCCAAGGAGGATACTCTAGCCTGGATCGAAGAGAATCGCAAAGTCCCCGAAACCAGAGCCGGTTTCGAAAGAACCCCTTACGCTGCTGCTGCCGCTCAGCGGGGACTCTTTGCGTCTCATCTGCTCGACAACAAAGGCTTGAACAGCGCCGAGTTCAGACCGATTAAGAGAATTGAGGCCGGAGCTAGACTGCCAACCAAGACGTAAGTACACATTGTGCTTGGCAAAGACAGTTTATACTGACGAAACACAGGTGGATTATGCACGGTAACGATGACTCAACTGTGCCAGTTCGTGCTTCCCACAAGTTTGTGGAATTCATCTCGCAGAAGCTCCCTGAGGTCACTGTGCGCTTTGATGTGGTTCCTGGCGAAGACCATGGATTTGACTTTGATGAGAAGAGGTGGGAGTCCTTTGAAGATGAGGCACTCGGTTTCATCACGGAGCCGTGGCTGGCTGAATCTTGAGTGTGGAGTCTAGGAGTCTAAACTAGTACCTTTGTCGCTTCATTCGCGTTTTGGTAGTATACAGAGTATATGATTTTACATCTATCTAGAAAGACATCACCAGAATTCCTCCAATAAATTACTAGCCCTTTGCAAATACCACTTTGTAGTCGTGAGCATCTTTGTTTTTGAGAAAGCCATTGTCTACTTGTATTGCAACAAATCTAGGATATATGATATCGTAAAGTAGCCGGTCCACACAACTGCGTGATATTATCCCACTTTCCCACCGCCTGGGTAAGATGGTCCTGATTGAAGCCATCGCCTACCCAAGAATCAGCGTTTTTAAATAGATGCCTGGAGTACAAAAGCGCTGTATCTTCACCAACGTAAGTAACGTCTTACGATCCTTAGCGCCGAGGTTGTGCTACCCAAATTGTCTCAATGTTGTGATGCTGGCTGACAACACATCGATAAGAACTTGATCGGGGCTTCAGGTGATAGACCTAACGCCTCTGGGAGAGGAAATTTACTCTTTTCAAACTCTCAAAGTCCTAGATTTTGTTATGTCGTCTGAATAGAGCAACGCCGCCATGTCAGCATTGGGGGCGATATTCTCCGGTGGCGTGAACATGATTGGCTCATATCACTCTGCTCAGTATCGTGGTTGCATCTGTATCTCTTGCTGAGAGCTGATACTTCGTAATTTCGTGACTTGAATGTCTGAATGTGTATGTTGTCGAGACAGTACGACTGCTTACCCGCGCCTTGTCGGGACAGTAGCGCCGTGTCCATTACCTCGAAATCCTTGGTCTTTGCACTCGTTGGTGGTAATTATATTTATGCGGCTTTCCTATAAGCGTAATTGCTTAGAGAAAACTCTTTTGCTCACAATCACATGCTTGCTTATCTTTGGAATCGTAGCAAGGTTACCAAATGGTCTCATTAGATTGCCGTTCGTGATCTATGAGTGACGTGAAGAAGAAACTATTGTGGCAATTGCTTGAAAAGGGTTAATTCTTGTAGAGTTGGCCATGTAGCGAGAATCTTTGCGAATAGAGGTAGGTTCTCAAGTTGAAATGACTGTGTTGTCCTTGCATCATACGTCACAAATTCCGTCATACAACAACTTGTTTTGGAGCAAATCTCACTGCGAGCTGTAATAGGAAGAACGCGGTTTACAGATAACTGTGATGTTACTCTGCAGATAGGCCGCATTATAGGCAGGTCAAATAGAGCCCAACCGGCCTCCTCACTCGAGCGGTAAGAGACAACCAAGAGTGTGATTCCAAACGCTTCTATCCATGGCCACAGTGGATCAATGTGCTGCAGTAAAAGGTGAGATGTCCGACGTACCCTTGGAGGTTATTATCGGAAACTTTCTGTATTCTGTATTCGGAGGCTGATTAAGATGCTCGTCACCAGAGCTTCCTCCGCGTTCACTGGCCAGAGCCGGGGTGGGGGTTGCATCGGGGCGGACCCTCGGCAGATCTTCTCCCACTCCGTAGAACCTCGATCTGATAAGGCTGTTGTATTGCAGACCCTTTGGTGTTTTTACCTCTTTGTTGGCTGGTGGTTACAGTCAAAGCGGACGCGGGAGAGGGGAATTATAAGTGCCATTATATTGCAGAGGGATCGTCGCTTGGTCAAGCCAATGGGACGCGCGGGTGATGCCACTGCCGAGTCACGATGGCGCGCGATAGGGGAGTGGATGACCTGGGCGGGAAGATCATCCACGGCGAATTTACCTCTAACCGTCGTTTCCTCTGCAACGTGCTCTCTCTGGAGCGTTACGCAGAGAAGCTGTTTTCGGGGGTTGGACGCGCTGATCGCTCTAGCACCAACGCGGAGGTCTCACACGTCATCTGAGGCGTGGCTTGAGGGGAACCGCGCATTGGTTGAACCCCTGTCGATGTTGATACCCGCACTAGAAACTTGGCACGAGCCGACGGTCACTCGCCTTTTTGTTTCTCTTTTTTTTTTTCTGCTGGATGCTAGATGCTACTCTGTTCTTTGGCTGCGTCGATATTATTCGCCTTTTTGGAAAATACAATCGGGACATATATACCCTGGGAATACCCCAGATCCCTCGTGCCTTGTGAAAAAGGATTGTTATCCAAGTCTGCTGCAATTCTTATCAGTTCGTGCTGTGACGTACCTAAGCGAGCTTGTACGCATCGCATCACGCCCGCCTTTTTGTTTCCTCTCTCTCACTAGGGACTATCGGTTTCTCGTACAACTTCACTATGAGACTCCATTCCCCTCTCCTTGCAGCCCTCTGGCTGAGCCTCTGCCCAAGTGTCCTGGCACAAGACCCTTCAGCGCAGCCTCCGGCACCTGGCGTCCCTGCACCGGACGCCTCGGGCTCTTTATCCCTCAACACCGACCAGCCCTCATGGACGTTTGATTACTCAACGAAGAGTGCCGGCATGTCCAATTGGATTGGTCTTTACTACAGCGCCGGCGGAGGCCCTGTTGAACAGAAGAAGGGCGCTTCTAATTCTATCAAGTGGAAGTGGGCTCCTCACGCTCAGGGCTCCGTGCAGATTGATAGTGGCAGTCTTGAGCCTGGAAACTATACGGCTTTCTTCCTTGCAAATGGCGGTTACACATGGCTTGCCCAGCCTCTTGAGGTCATCAAGGCTCGTGAGTTTGGTGGAGACGTGAGCTTTATTGTTTCTGACGTCAGCCTTCCTAACGGCCGTGTCGACGATAAGTATTCGCAAAGCATCAGTGGTTTACTACGTGGTGGAAGCGGTGATGTGAGCTTTTCAAAAGAAGGCTCCAACGCGGACTGGATCAAGGTCAGCGCTGATGGTATCATCTCTGGAACACCCACATCAAGCTCCGAAGAGGCCGTTGTGACTGTCCGCGCTACTGGCACCGACTCTGCTTCATCCGCCGTCTTCACTATCAATATCGCCAAGTCCGGCAATGCTCTCCTCGGCCAACTCAAGGTTCTGACTCTCAACATGTGGAACGGCGGTACTCGAGTTTCAAACTACCATGACAAGCAGGTCAAGTTCCTTGCTTCGTCAGGCGCTGATATCGTCGGTATCCAGGAGGACCAGCAGGGCCGACATGTTGCTCGTCTCGCCGATGCCCTCGGTTGGTACTACTGGTCCAGTGGCGGTGATGTCGGTATTCTCAGCAAGTACCCCATCGTCGACGACTACGGTGTCATCAGTGGCCCTGCCCGCTCTGGTGGTGTCAAGATTGCTCTTGATGGCAAGAACCAGCAGATCAACTTCTTCGTCGCTCACTTGGGCTACACTCCTTACGGACCCTACGACACTTGCTTCGACCATTACCCTGTCGACAAGATCCTTGAGCGCGAGGCTCAATCCGGCCGTACTCCTCAGATGGAGGCTACTCTGTCCGGCATGAAGAGCCAGCTAGACAACGCGGACGATATCCCCGTCCTATTCGTCGGCGACTTCAACGCCCCATCGCACCTCGACTATGTCGACGGCCTCAAGGAGAAGAACTGTGGGTACTCCGGCGTTAAGTGGCCAACCTCTGTGCTTCCCGAGGAGGCTGGCCTCATCGACTCGTTCCGCGTTGCGCACCCCGATCCCGTCGCCGAGCAGGGTATCACCTGGTCGCCGATCTACATCTGGAACGGCGGCAGACGACGACCCGAGCCCCTTGACCGAATTGACTTTATCCTGCACAAGGGTAAGGGTCTTAAGGTGACTGACTCGCACACTGTGGTTGTCGGCGAGCCTAAGCCTCAGCCTAACCACGGGGATAACGAGTGGTTCTCGGACCACAAGTCTGTTTTGACGACTTATGAGCTGTAAGGCTGGTTTCAAGATTATGACCCTGTGATTCCCATATATAGATGATTATGACTATTCAACATAAATAAACAACATTTTTATACACAATGTGAACAAGTAATTGTGTAGTCTGGCGTTTTCGAACCGGTTCAAATTTGGGCGGCGTGCCAATATTGAAGCTCATCGCCAAGTGAATGCCAAGTCGTCTTGGCGTATGGGGAACAAAGCTTAGCCCATCAGCAGTTACATAGTGTTTATGCTATAAATTTCCTCAAACATCAACAGTCACAGTCTCTGGTCAGAGAAAAACAATGTGAGGCATTGTTTCGAGTTACCTGTCAGGCCGGCACTTTGAATTCCCGACGACATTTCTTTATTTAACAGATGATCCCATTGGATACAATCTAGATTCACTATCACTCACAGCCAAAACCCAAGATATGTCATACTCGTGAATTTATCTCGTTACTTTTTATTCTAGGTGACCTAATGAATGGAAACCCCCAAGAACCTCCACAGATTTTATATCCTTCATTGACTGGTAATGCATGGAAACTGGAAAAACAGGGCCAAAAGAATGGTCGTAGTATACAAGCACAATAAAACTGTGCTGAGTTGTTTCATGATCTTGTGTTTCACCTTTTAAGATTCTCAAACATATGTGAGTCTAAGCGAAGGCGCCAACAACAGACATTCCAAACGCTTGGCAGAGTTAGCGAAAGCACAGACGCGGTGAGATATGATATTGCACTTACCGCCAAGGAAAAGCCAGGCCATGGCAGCGATCTTGTCCTTCTTCTTCATGAGGTGCTGCGCTTCTTCTGAGAGGAAATCTTCGACCATGAGGTTGACCAGCGCGGCGTAGATCAGGAGACCGGAGGAGCTTTGAAGAGTTAGCAGTGATTGAGAGGATTTTCTGTGAGGGGACTTACATAGAGTTGAACACTCCGACCATGATCAGACCAAGTTCGCCCTCGGGATCGTAAGAGTTTCGGCTGGCAATTCCAATGGCCTGGCCAATTGGTGCTGTGCAGCCGAAAGCAAAGACAAGAATCCAGGGTCGGATGCTGCCCTTGGGGTAAGGCACAGCGGCGATTCGGGATCCGAGACCGAGACCCTCGAACATCTGATGGAACATGATGGCAGTGAGGAGGACAATGAGACCGTCGGTGGTCATGGCGATTGTCATTCCGACGAAGACAGAGTGGAACAGGATACCACCCTCAAGAAGGGTGATGTGGGTTGCCATCTTCTTGTACACGGCGGGGTCAACTGCCTGGTTCTCCTCATCAAAGAAAGACTCGGTGACCTCAACGCTGGGCTTTGAGTCGATGGCAGCCTGAGAGGCGTACTGGGTCTTCTGGATCATGTCCATCATCTCAGACCGCTGGCGGATGTACTGCTCGTAGAAAACGACAAACCACGCAGGCATGGTGGAGCTGCTGTCGTAATCTTGTGAGTAGGCGTGAGGCTGGTTCTCCTTCTCGTACAGTTCACGAGCCATAGCCTTCTCGTAATCAACATCGTCCTCGTAAACAGTAGCATCAGAGTCAGATCGGTTGTGCTGCTTGAAGTTGGCGGTCTCAGGGAAGGGACGCTGAGGACGAGGAGGAGGCGGGTTGACAGTGATGGTGGTGCCTGTTGGTCCACCGTGTGAGTGGCCTCCGGTCTTGGCGTTGAGGTAGAGCTCAACCATGAAGAGCGCTAACATGGCGGTCATCATGATGACTCCAGGCATGGCTGGGTAGATATCGGTGAACAGAGGGGGCAAGCAGGGATTTGTGAGACTTCCAAATGCTGTTGGAAGCAACTATGCCTTTCTGTCAGCTTCTCATCATCTTGATGAGCATCTTGGTGAAACTTACGTGAACGAAAGCAGTAGCTACCAAAACTCCTGTACCGAAATGCTTGCAAGCAAAGAAGACCTTGGGCGGCATCTTCAACCATTTTATCTTCTTGGCAGCAACAGGAAATCCAGCGCCTAGGACAAGTCAGCAATTGCAGGATGTATATTTACTAGTATCACGAACCTAAGCAAGAAACAGCCAAAACAGCAACTATCGCACCAATGTTAGCAGCTGAACAATGGATCCTCTATCATTGGGTGTCGTACAAAGACCACCAACATGTGTGCCCAAGGGGTACTCTTCGGCACCGCCTGCGCTCTGCGATCCACACTGGGGCCGCTCCATATCCATGATTGCGATGGTTTCGAAAAGAAATGGGGATCGAAAATGTGTTGTTTCGTAAGGATCGTGAGTGGAGAGATCGTATTAAAGAGGATAGGGCGCCAGTCCCTTTGGTGTAGAAGAGAAATAACTGATAATGAAAATGCAGTAGAAGCCAAGGAAAGAATCACACCAATTGACACAAGGAAAGGCGTTAAGAAAAGAAGAGATGTCTAGGTTCCAGCCTAGATGCAATCAGAGAGTGTAGAATATCGGATCTCTCTCTTGGCGATGTTCTTGTCTTTATACTCTTCTTGGCAGTACGTTATAATAAACTATTTTAAGTTGTAAGGCGGACTCGTAGCACAAAACGAGCTGTGTGTCAAGGCTTCTCGGCGGGGTTTCAAATCACTGAGTAAACGATGCGACTGTGGTGTTTCAAGCCGCACGATCCCCCATGTTCAAATGCCGCTCTGGACCATGGCGATCTCGCAGGCCTAACCCTCGACCTATATCGGAGAAATAACTCTACTGACCGCCCAGGGATCCGATTGGCACGCGGCCCCCGTCTCGGAAGTCCCTCGAAGATCTGCGCCGAAAGAATTTTATGCTTGTTACGGGAAGTGATAGATCTGCTGTGTCAGAATTGCTGCGCTACGACGCTTTAGGGTCTCAGAAGCACAGCACATATACCCACCGGGGATGTTTTGTCATTATGCTCAGTGCGCGGAAGCTGTTGTTTCCGGGTGCAAGATATTACAGAATGTCGTGACTCGTCGTCGTTACCGTCTCAGTTTGTGGTATCTTTTGCGATGATCATCTGGGGGAACGTTTGTAGATTGATAAAAATAAGTGCCGGCAATTGAAGCTTCGGTTGCGTATCTGCGGAGAACGTTTGCTTCGCGTATCCTCTTGGCTGTGCTCAGACTCCATCAAATCGAACCATCTCCACAGGGAAACTTTTGATGCCTTCGATTGAGCTTTTCTACTTTTACCTACACAAGTACAGATCTAGGTAGTATGTAACAATGGTAAAGGCTTATTTGCAGGGACTATCTACAGCTGGGTGGCTTGCAAAGGTGTCTGATACTAACTTTTCTTAATTGGCTACGATAAGATAAACCAGGCTCAAAAATATTAAAAGCCGCAAGGGTATCAAGTAAGTAGGATCCTTTGTCTTGGCGAATTCAAGGGGACGATAAAACGGGGTCTATAACTCCACGTCTCCCGCGGTAATCCACGTCGACATTTCCTAAAAGATTTCTTGGCGTTGTGTCACGAGACCATATCGGTTTGAAATTTTAGAGAAAAGGTTCGAGGGCGACTGTTTACGTAGTAAATATAGCAATAATGTTCTTGGCATATTGTACCCAATTCCAACAAACGCCCTGTCTGTATCTCAAGTAACTTTTTATCTGATGTAATTGCGAAACAGAGGCGCTCATATTATAGATCAGATTTGTGACTGTTGTTATTATAGAGGCTCTCAGTTTTATGTGGCGCTGATAGCCCTGCAGCAGGGACCTCGACGCTGCTTGTGCCTCGGGTAGACCGTGCATCGGCCAATCTGTTGAGGCCACTGATGCTCGAGACAAGCATTATTGGTCATTTGTGAGTGGGGGTTTTGATCAGACATCATATTCAATGGCATTATAGGGTGATGGATAAGCCAGCTGAAATAGACAAGACGATAGAACAAAACTGTAGGGTATTGTCGAGTGCTTCAGAGTTGCGTTCATCCCCTCAATCGTCAGCCAGCTAGGTATCATCGAGACATGGAAGTTTGAGAACAATATTAGCAGAGTTTGCTTCATAACAACTTCGACAAATGTACTACGTAGGCTTCACATCTGGGCTCCATCGCTTTACCCCAGTATTGCCAACCCCCGCCTCTCAGGCTCGCTTCAGGGCATCAGCACGGACAGGTTTCATCACGGATTACCTGGCCGATAAGTCTTGGCTCGAACTATCCACACTATGATCGATATCTGGGGATTCCCGCCACTAATGTATGTTGTCGCCAACAAGCTTCCTACTATACTTAGATCTTACCAAGCTGAGGGATAAGATTTTGTCTGAAGGGAAGAGGACAGTCGCTTTTCCAATAATATTAGCCTCTTTACTCTATCAACCAGCAACCTGAGGATTCATCGCCCCGCCCAACTTCAAGTCTCGCAGGATCCCAGCAAGGTAGGATTGGTCTCCCCGAGTAAGATGTCGACAGCAAGTCCTTTTGCTGGTCCCACTGTCACCACTTTGTAGCCTCACTAAGCCCCTGTAATTATCTAAGTATAATATAATTCCGATATGGGGTGAGAATAACGTTGTTAGCGAATTCGTGTTACAGTGGGAATTCTTGTAGAGTACTATCCGAATCATGAGTGAACTGCGATTCCTAGGGTACCAAACAATAGTTCTCGTTCTTTTCTGATAATTCATCAGGCGATTAATCATTTACTGGAATCGAATCTATGTGAGTAAAACTGGGAAGTGTCTTTTATCACAATGCAATATGTATGAAAGTATGAATCGAGGTTCAGTAGCTTCGTCCTTTAATTGCACATCATTGGATTTCCTTGACAACGAATGTTCCAGAAGACATTATTTTCCGAAACAGCAGGTCATATCAGTCGTTTCCGGGGAAATCAAAAAAGATTTATTATCAGGGATTATTCAATTGTTACTTGGTGTTTGTCACAACATTAGCTCTATAATAATTGTTTTGATCGCTCGATATCATTTACGGGACCCCGAGGTTGTAGAACGTATGTGATAGGCTTGGTCTTGTCTTAATCCACTCCATAGTTTCCCATCTCAAAAGATTTCCGGTTTCCTCGTAGTACCTGGACTGTTTATTTCGAAAAGCATAGTCTATACTCCGTAGTTCTCACCCAAAACTGAACCATACTAACAAGTAATGGGCTTCTATCTACCCTACGTAAAAGTCACGTTAGTCACGTGAAAGATCGTCTAGATCTGCTATATGGAACATTCGCTTTGTCATTGAAACAGAATGTTGGTGTTTCAAAAATTCTGAAACTGCCCCTGCACATAAGCGTCCCTTTGTTTATACGGTGATACTCACGCCGATCGCTGCTTTTGGCAACTAGCGCATTGCCTTTCTTGTCCACTTGTTTCCTCTTTCTGTGTTGACTTCCATGATAGTACATCTCATAGACCTGAGCGAATGAACGCCTCACCCTTCCCATGGATATGACCGGGCTATAAGCGAGGAGCAATACAATTGTATCCCTGCTTTAGCACTGATTTCCGCCCCAATGCAGCGATCCTGTGTTCGAACTGTGCTCTTCAATTGTTTCAAGTTATTGCTGAGTGCTACGATAGGGTTAAACGCTGATGGGTTTTCCTTTGCTACGGTAGTGCGAGAGTATACAACCCTTGAGTACCGAGCAGGCCAGCCAAATGACATGATGATTTTATCAGGCTGCCACTTCTTCACAGTATCATTCATGGCACATGCTATGATGAGCGAAAAGGCTGGCTGACACTGTGCAATCTTCGCAACGTAGATAGCTGCATTCGGTGCGTATTCGCAGAGCAGGCTGGTTACTTGCTCCATGCCCGCTGTTATCGCATACATACCCCGTAATTGTGCCAACATGAGATATCAAACCCCTGATACGATTCTCGCACATTTGAAAGTCAGTGCAGTCTTTGTGTAAGCTATTGTCTAGAACAACTATCTTGGTGGAGATTAGTCGATGTGCTCCGATGCATACTGTTCACTGAAGGGCGTGAGTGATACAACTAACATATCAAGCGTGATACAAACATATATCGTTGTTGTTATCGTCCTAGGACCACTTTGATTCTCAAAGCAACTGATTTTGATAATTCCGATTTTACTGGACCGATTTTACCAGGGCTTGGACATGGTCTATTTCGTCCTTTTCTCCCTCTTTCACCTTATTCGTAATTTATGGGGGCAATGACCTGCGGTTTTTGATCCGATACGCACCTGCAAATACGACTTCAGCGGAACCGCACCACTGGTCTTGAAAAACAGAATATCCTCGCTGCGTAGAGTGGGCTGCATCCGCTCTGTGCCATGAGAACGGCATATGTAAGGAGAACAGCTAGGGTTCTTTTGCCTTTCCCGTCCAACACGTGGGGCTGCTTTGCGATAAATTGCGGCAGTGTAACAACATTTTCTGACACGTCTGCCACGAACCTGGACCTGCTCCGCTGAGATAGAGTCTTTCACAATTCGTTGTCAAGGGTCAGTCAGTATTCGACGAGCCCAGTGCCGAATGAACCGATTGATTCAGTGGCCAAATATCTAGAGGCGGCATCTGCCTCATCCCCTGACAGAGATCCTGTTCCATATCCACTTCTGAATTGTCGATCGTTGAGCTCGTTCGGCACGCATCTTCACCTTCCCTGAACCAATCGATCAACGTATTCTAGCGTTATTCTGGGCCGAAATCAAGATGTTTCCGAGCCGTTAACAGTCTCTAGCGCCTCTCGTTTGTGGCATTATTCAACTCGCTACTCCAGAGCCGCAAGGTAATGGCCCTGGTAGAGAACCTGAGACCGGCGCTTTGGAAACAACAAGGACGATGTCTAGGCAATGCAACAAGTGGAGAAGCCGTTGAAGAACCGAGTTATCTGTTAGATGCGCCGAGAATATATCCGGCGAATAATTATGAACATCAGACAGAATGAAGATGCGAATAGTTGTCTCGCTGCGCAGGTACGATAGGTAGTGGAAACTTCAAAGGTTCCTTGCATCCTGGTTTCAGTAGTCAGCGGCTCTCTACGATACTACCTCAGTCCTAAGAATTGTGGGCGTGACAAGGATCTACCAATGTGACTTCCTTCGATGACCCTAGCCGTGCTCAGCTTGACTGTAACCCATTCCTAATGGCGATCACGAGGTGGCCAGGGAGTTTCGCGATATCCTGACATTCAACCCTGGACTGAGCATGGAGACAGCAAATGAGCTCATCGGTCCTATCTCGTCGAAGGCTGCAGCATACCTCAGCTCATTCTATTATTGGGCAGCTAACATTGGCGCGCAAATGCAATTCCTATGGAAGCTCCAAGATAGCACTCTGTGGATCACAGGTCGAGGTGGACCCCTCAAGTTCATAATCTGGTGATAGTGTGCTTGGAGTGCTAGAAGATTGCGTCAATGAGTGTATGCACTCGATTTCATGGCTGGCATAAACTAATCTCACTCATAGTTTCTGCACTTGTTGAACAATTTGGGAGTTCACAAATGTCGTTGCCAGGTCGTAATGAGCTGTTAGCTAGCCGAGAATTCGAAAAGGCCTTACTATCTATCATTAATGAGGTCACCATTCTTTACGAGATAATGATGCAGGAGTAATAACAACTTCATTCGATGCTTAGCGAACAGGCGTCGCACCAAAGAACTTTGTGGTCAAACGGTATAGGAACAAGATCATTAGAAATATAATCGTCAGAGATCTGAGTGTCCATCTTTTCAGCATATTCCATTAAGAGTTGAATCAGCTCATTTCCAGTGCAGAGCGCCCGCCATATTAAACTCTGACCAACACAACCCTGAGATTAAATCGGGATACTTCCAAGGGAGCTTCTCGGGTGAAGTAAGATACTGGAGTCGATTTAGCAAGAGCCTATCAATCTATAGACCTTTAGAAATATTTTCAACACACACTCACCCTCCTCACTTCATTCAGATAGCTATCCTTCCCCCACTATATCAACACAATTCGCTCAATTGACGAGTTTCTATGGGTTGTTTTATCGAATTGCCCTTGGAACATGAACCCATCAAGGAAAGTCTCTCCTTTTACCTCATATTGGGACGGGCTATCTACGCTAGGGGAAAGCAGAACAGGGGTGCTGCAGCCCCCGATGAGCCAAATTTCATCTCCAATCGCAGCTCCCTCCCGGCCAAGACCCAGGTAGCCCTTAGCAGTGATGAAAGGATCCCAGGATGTCAGGCGTTTCATTCTGATAAACGTCTTTTGGTTAGGTCCCCTGCCATTCCTGTCGGGCTTGAACCCGTACGCTTCCAGCCGCTTACACAAGGATGAGCCACTGCACCAGTTGTAGAATATCGTCGGAATATCTTCAGGTGAGGGCACGGGCTCCAAGTATATCCCAAGAAGACTCAGGGTTCGGATGAAAGCTTCAGCCCGGCTTAGGTCATCTGGATACGGCGCAGGTTCACCCACTGGGGTCATCCAAAAATCCAGATACTGCTGATATAGGTCTGAGTTGGCATTCGAGAAGTCGAAGGCTTGAGCGTTAGGACGAAAATCACCGATTGAACGGATCCTATCAACCAAGACGCCCGAGACTGTCAGCTGCTTTCCCTCGAAGCAAGGGTTGAAGAGAACTGCGTCAGAGGCATTGAAGAACTTCCGTTGGTGACTAATATCGCTGAGACCCAAACAACGCCGCAGTTTCTGTGAATGCCAATTTGGCACCCAGGAAGGGCCTGTGAAGGGACGGAAAGCTGGTGTTTCAGTTGTTCCAGAGCCGATGGTATCGCGTTGCTGAGGGGCACAGAGACCAAGAAACTCCAGGTTACCATGTATATCTGCATGTAACCTAGCTGAGAGCTTGTAAACCTCTTCGGGCTCGAGATCATATCGAACTAAAGTTGCAGCAGCCTCCTGGCGGTTGCAAATGCCCAGTAACGAATAGACCTGGTCATGAGCGAAAGTTGCTCGGGTGAAACGGAGATGCTCCATCAGCCACAAAAGGCCGAATTGATCTTGATCTGTTTCCAATGCTTGTCTGAGCTCTCTTAAAACTCTGATAGGCCTTACTTCGCCTGTGTTACAAGGCTTCAGCTTCTTCATTGGTCGTGGCCTTGCAAGTAATGCACTGACAGCCATATCGATGCCTTTGAATAACTGATTCATGGAAATGAAGTCCGAGCCGCAGAGGAAGATAGCGTCTTTTGGTAGAATAGATTCTTGAATCGTCCATCGTCGATGAAACCACTCACAACCAAGTAGTCGTCGAATCGCATCCCAGCCCATAGGATCAAACAAGACCTCTTCGCCCGGGCCATGTTTACCGATACGTCGCAGGTATTGGAATGCATAGCGTAGATAGCTATCATATTCATGAATCCATACGACGACGGAACTCGCTTTCGAATAAATATCCCCCATAAGCGGAATCTGCAGTGCCTTTTCACGATTATCCACCTGGTCAATACAGACCATGTCAATCCACATTGGCAGCCTCTCGCTACCTTCCCAAATCTGTGGCAGGGAATCAGGCGTATGACAGAGCATGTTGATGAGAAACGATTCCAGATTATGAGAAATCGGTAAGTTCTTGATCCCACAGCCCGACTCAAGAGACATAGCCCGATCTGCTTTTTTATCACCCCAAACATGCGAAACACAAATAAACGTAGGCGTGCTGCCTATACTAAATCGACATATTCGACCGTTAAGACCACCTGAAGCAGTTGCTGGAAGGAGATCCAGCAAGCGTATCTCATGCGCAGGCTCGCGGAGACAATAATAGTGGTTCGAATCCATTTCGAATACTAGATTTGAAATGCCAGTTGCTAAGTTGAGATGACGAGGCTGTCACTTTCCCCTCGTTGTTGGTTCTCAGTGTTTCATCCGGAGTTACTCGGTCCGGCGCTTGCTGATCCAATTGAAGGCGCAGTTGAAGATATCCCCTGGTCGTAATGTGCGTCTTACTACCATTCATTCCCTGGCCGCTTATGCCTGATCCTGGCCGAAATTAACTCTTTAGGTAAACTAGGATGAACCAGAGGATAAGACTTTTCAGCGTAGCAGCCGCAGATCAGAGGTAGTTTTAATCCAGATAAACTTCAAAGATTTTCTCATTGTGTCTGAATGTCTAAGTCTTCACATGAAATTCGTGGCTTGGCAGAGGATCAGACAATGCCCAGCATATTCCATCCTCAATGACCTTATCCCATCGAGCTGACGCCGACAATTTCTCTTCGTAAGACCGGAAGCCATGCGGTAGGCCAATGAACAGATTAACATCTGTGGGAACGCTACATATCGTTAACCACTCTGCTGCACACGAACTCGGCGGTACTAACCCAGCTTCTGCCAACATCTTTGCATAAAGAAGTGCTTCGTCCCTAAGAGGGTCTAGTCCAACTATGCCCAACACCGTAGGCGGCATACCCTTGACCTGTTCCGGTGTCGCATTGCCTGGGTTGAGCTTTGTGTCATTGATGTCTGGATTCTCGATCTTAAGAAGACTAGTGAACCAGCGGAGTTCTGCAAGAGAAAACATCGGTGCTAACTCGTTTTGTTTGTAAGATGATATCGAGTGATCCTTCATTTTTCTCAACTGCGGTTCGTAGCAAGCTACGTGTGCTAGACACGGTATCATGAGGACTTGGCCAGCGATGGGTGGTCGGTGACTAGTGGCTCGATGGAGATGTCGCTCAAGAGTTAGAGATGCAGCAACCCAAGCACCCGCCGATATTCCACCTAGAATAACCTTTGAAGGGTCGCAGAATAGCTTATCCATGTTGTCATGTGCCCACTCAAAGGCATCTTCAGCATCGTTCCACTGTGCGGGGTGTGCAAACTCCGGAGTATGCCTATAATCGATATTGAGAACTGCCACCTTTGATCCAATGGCTATTCGAGCACATATCGCGTCCTCGGCATCGAGTGTGCCGAACATAAACCCACCGCCTTGGAGATGAATATACAGTGGGAGCAGCTCATCGTCTGGGACTTCAATTGGTCGATAGATGCGCGCCGGTATACTATTCCCATCGCGAGAAGAAACTGAGTAGTCTTTCTTCCGTACCTTATTTGTAAGCTTCGTCATTGACTCTCTCGCGATGGTTTCTCGTTCTTCATTGGCTAACCGCACTATCTCCGATAGTGGTAATTCAGGATTGGCTGCTGCCGGTAACGTCCGTTCCAGGGCGAGCCATTCTTCGTCAGTCCCGCCGTAGCAAGAGAAGTCACACATTTTATCGGGTTAAGCGGGTGACTGTGGAAAGAGCTCGTGTTATAGATAGGCAGGGTCGTGGGAAGACATATTCGGCTTCTTAGCCGAGGGTATTCGCAACACTGTACTAAGCGCCGATTAAGTGGGGGAGCGTAGAGCCTATCGCCTGGCGACATTGGAATCTTTCCGCCTTGCTATGCGTGATAGATTCGCATAAGCTAGGTACCTCTGATACAAATTGAAATCACATAAATTCTAATACTGATTCATACCGGTGTTCAATTGACGGGGCCTTATCTTGCCCTGAATAAAGCTTATTATCTATCCGATGTCGATCTCACCACCACTCTATATACCCCTACATTCCAGAGACTTTTCTAATTTAGTTTTAATAATTAAAAAAGACGCAAGATATTTGAAATAATCAGTTTATACTATATTATATTTATTTTAAAAAAGATTTAAAACTTCATAATGAAAGGGTGAAATAATATCTTGTTCAGAAATAAACCTTGACAGATCGTGGTTACTACCTTATTAAATATAAGATATTAAACTATACCTACAGGATTAATATGTAGCTAAATATGGAAGCATTCTTTCCTTTTCATTATACGCAAAGCCTATAGTTCATTATCGTCCTTAATAGGTAATAAATTTAGGAAGGAAACGAATGTGGTCACATTTTACGAAGTATCTCAGAGTTCGCCTAGAAGTTGTTAATCCAGCTTCCAAAATCTAAACTAGTACCATCAGCGGGCCAGACAAGAGTATCTGACCTAGGAATCTCTTCATCTGGAGACCACCCACCAGGCGACGCCAGTCCTATGCCAGGTGAAGGAAAGCCGAGCCAATTGTGGTCCTAGACCACCCACCAGGCGACGCCAGTCCTATGCCAGGTGAAGGAAAGCCGAGCCAATTGTGGTCCTCGCCACTCAGCCAAAATCCCTCTCGGCTTTGTTCATGCGCTATTTGGGAAATTTGCACACTGTTCTGAGCATGATCCGCATTTCGAAGCTTGATCGGCCGCCCATCCACCCGTATCGGCGTGCCTATACTAGCTCCAAATCTGCGGATTGCCCTCGCGGTCACAGTAACTGTGTGGTAATTTCTCGTATGACTCTTCAATGCTCTTGCCGAAACAAAGGAGGGGAACTGGCACCCAGGGACGGTACACTGGAACCATCTGATATGGCACTTTTCATGCTCTTTGAGGAGTTCTTCTGTCTCAAATCCAATCGTCGCTCTTGAGCATGAAGTCAGTTGGCATGTGTAGGCAGTGGCCCCAAAGTGGATTTTGAACAGTTCAAACTCATCGGCAGATAGTTCAGGGTGATGGTTTTGGTCAAGGAGCGACCTAACAACCTCCTGATATGATACCAAAATCTTGCTGATTCCATCAGGGACGATTAGCGGGTCAGAGTGTTGCTGCGGTTCTTGATCTATCAAGCAATTCCGCAGAATTCGTGATTCAAGACTTTCCAAAGACCTTGCCTGCAAAGTTTCGTGGACAAGTTTCAGAAGCATTGGGTACTGCTCCAAGAACTTCAACCGCATATCCATCCTCTTGTTAAGATGCCGTAGGGTTGGAGTTGTTGTTGCGGGTGATGCATTCAGACTTGCCGCTAGTTTACAAGCGATGTCAAGCAGGGGCACCGAATCGTCTTCAGCTCTCGGGCATTCCGAAGCTACCCAAGAAAGTAAATACTCTGTCCAGAACTCAGTAGCATATACATGAAAGCCATGTAGCCCTTTGGCAACCCGAAGAGCTCTATCATGTTCAGCGTACGTGTGACAGAAAACGTTGAACCCTGAGAGGAGGCATGTTATAGTAGCTGCTCCATGCTGTTGCAAAGTTTCAATTTCACTGACATTTAGGCCTTTAGAAGTTGACTGCAGGAACCTGGTACAAGTCAGAATAGTGTTCATAAGTCACTAGCACACTTACTCCTTAACGGAATTATGGATAAAAGCGAACGTCGCGTCTTTCCTCTCTTCGATAAGTGTCCCACAGATCTCGAGTAGGAATTGCGGTGCCAATCGAGATACATTTGGATCACCAGTACTGAAGGAGATAGCAGAAAGTAATTCGAGTTTGCGAAGTGGTCGTTTCGCGAATGCAATCCAACCGAAAACGCATTTGATGCGATCTACTGACCGAGCGTCAAGCTGGATCAGGATCTGTGTTAAAATTCGTTGATAGCTTGTAACAGTGAGCACTTCTTTCTTACGCAAAGGCGACTTGGTACGAACTTACAAGTCACTGAGCTTCTGCGGTAGCTGTTTCACTGAATGCTTAATCTCGTCGCCGCTGAAAAAGATGTTGCTTGCAAGATAATCCATAACGAGTCGGGCGTAGAGAAACATTCCTGACAGGTCAGTACAGCTCAGCTCGAACCCAGTAAATCACATACCGTCAGCCTTTACCACAATCACATCTTGGATCTCTTTAATCTCGGAATGCTCCAGGTCGAGTTGGCGGAGCTTCTTGTCCATCAATCTCAGTCTTCGGTCCACATATTGACGAATTGCCTCACTCAGCAATTTCTTCTCTTCGCTTAGAGAGATTACCTGGCTTCTCTTCAGCCTCTCTAATGCATTTGATGGGGCGCGGCTAGAGATTAAGACTTTACACACGGTGCTTCCAGGAACAACTGGTTTGGAGGTAAGCTGGTTGACCAGACGTACTAGACGCATGTGCTTGTCGGGGTCGCACTCGTCCAATCCATCGATAACAATCCAAAGATACTCCGCTTTATTCGGATCGCTCGATATACTGGTGAGAAGATTGTGCAAGAGCTGCTCTAAAGAAGCAGTTGTCGGCTGCTTCTTCTCTAAGATGCATGTCTTGTAGACGTGAGCCACCAAGTCTCCATCTTTCCGAAGGATCTGCAGCAGCAAGCTTTTCAGGACTTGCTCATACATGGTGGATGAAACATAACGATATGTGCAAAAGTGACAGATAACGAACTTGGTCCCTCCCATGAAGTTAATGAGTTGCGTAGCCAAGACACTTTTGCCGGTTCCAGCTGGGCCCTTCAACCAGAGCGCCGGGGTATCTGGCTGGTTGTTTGCCCAAGAGCTAACCTTTTTGTTCTTCAGAATCCATCCACATGTATCCTGATAGTCAGCTACTTGAAAATTTGTCGATTCCACGATAGCAATCTGATCTCCTTCGTTGACCTGAAGCCAAGACACGATAGATTCGTACTGCTTTGCGTTTTGCTCGATACCCTCTTGACGGACTCGGCTCTCACTCTCTTCTCGCCACTTACGGATGTCATCCCTCATTGCCTTTGCCTGGGAGATATCCCGGGCATTCGCTTCGAGATCAATCAGGGCTCCATGTTGTTTCAGGTCTTCGAGAATGTTCCCAAACCTAGCTTGAAAACGTCCCCAGGATGTGGTAAACATCAACTTCCAGCCTATGCACTATGTCAGATGGTACGAACGCATCGTAACACGGGTAACATACTACTTCTCCGAACGAACTTATAGGCGTGTTTGTGAAACTTGAGAATATCTGCATAGAAAACTGCCAGGGTCTGCTGGAAGTCTGGCTCGTTGATGAATGCGTCACTCAGGATCTCGAACCGCTTCAACGACTCGGCAATGCTCGCATACCCTCTAATGATTTGTTCAAAGGCCTCCACAAACTCCGATGCGACCCTTAGTATTAGAGTAATCGGTGCCCAGATCCATGGTAGATATGGAGTGCCATTGCACAAGATATCCACGACTTTGGAGTAGTGTTCAAGGCCTCTAAACAAAGGCATGAGACGACGCATATTTCGCAACGATTGTCTAGCAGCGAGTTGGTTCTCGATACTGCGAGCAGCTTTTTTGACATCTTCCAGAGTGGTATTGGGGAAGTCTTTCTTGTCTGCCAAGTTGATGGTACGATCCAGCTCATCGTATGCAGTTTTGATGGTGTTTCGCGCGAGTGCTGACACTACGGGTTTGAGTGGCATGTTGAGTAAGCCTGTTGTGAGTCCAACGCTCATAAATTTTGAAAGGGGGGGATTTTAAATCGAAGTGATAACTTGGGTGCTTCAACGCACATTATGTACAAGCCCCGGAGCCTCGTTGTGCATCAGGTGCGTTGCTGAACACAGCCACCGCCAATTGCACAATTACAGTGCTGACTTGCAGATCAGATGCAATAACGCAGCCAACAGCTGTATCTACACCAATAAGGATATCAATTAGGCGCTGAAGTAGAACGACAAAATGGGGTCATATGCAGAGAAAATGAGTTGGATGCCTTGTTGCGAACTGTCAGCATACCCAAGAGTGCCTAACGAGGCATAGTCTCAGGTTCAGCGCAGAGCCTTACGCCTTGCGCAAAGCGTGAACAAATGGAGATGAGGCTCTCTCGTTAGATTCCGATCAATCTTCACTCGCAATCTCTTACCTTCACAGGACTGCCAGAGGATGGATATAACTCAAGTCTTGAATCCAGTGTCGAAGAGGCGGAGAGTGGCCGAAGATGGAGAGGATCAACGTGGAAGCGCCGGCCACCAACAAACAACTTCCTTGGGCCGACCAAGTCTATTTACCCCAGTTGTTTCACCCATACAAACACCAGGTTACTACGATAGACCCTCCACGGCAGCAGTCACCCGGGGATATCCTGTAGAAACATCTGGCAACTCAACTAATCGTCAGGCCAGTAGCTACAATGGCCTCATAGGTCAGAGCCCAGCTGCAGATAGGATTGCGCCTTCCATTCTCCATCCAACGGGTATTCACACGCAGTGGTCCTCGTCGGGCTGTTCCATAATCCATTCGACAAACATTTGGCCCTCTAACCACCAGATATCGCCATTTCCTCACGAGTCATCACGGCCTCTTTTCCCAACAGCTACCTCGTTTTCTGGGCAGTTCTCCACTTCCGACACACGACAGAGCCATCCAGCCTCTAACTTTCAGCACTTGCCAGACTCCTTCGCAAAGGATTCTCTGCTAGAATGCCATAGCTTGTCGTCTCAGAATCCACAGCCTTACTCTAAATCCCCGTCAGTACAGTTGGCATCGGACCCGAAGACAGAAGAAATAGTATGCTTTGGCATGGTGAGCAGTACAGATCATCTCACTCTTCCTTCATTCACTAACTCGCCAGGTCCCGTCTATCTCGGCTAGATGCGATCAGAGAGGTTATACACAGCAATTACCCGCATCCTTCGCAGTTGAGCTAGAGTCTTCCGCCAACTTTTCTGCCAAGGATTTGCCCCAAGTCAAAGGGCAGGTATTGTCAGAAAATGGTCAAATGATACAAGGACTTCTCGACGAAGCGTCGCTCGAGATCTTCGTCTCCTGTGTGGTCGAGGATACACAGACTTCCGAGGCGTCAAAAAGGTCATTTGGTACATCTCCAGTCCCCTGTGCTTTACAGATCACTTTATATGGGCCGCTAGACCTTTTTGAAGAAATCGGTACGTGGTTCGAGGACTACCAAGTGTTTCTTCAAGATCCCCAGCAATGCCACCGAGACGTGAGATATTGCAACCCTCACCGATTGTCTTCAGACGATGCAACATCCTCGACTTATCTATCAGATATCGTTTCGCAGAGCTCAAGATCCCTCCACCTAGAAATTGTTTCTCAGCAGCCTGACTTATTGGACGAGCTAAGTAGCCATGACAATTTGGAAGAGACTCCGCAACCCTCGGCCATCAAGCGGGAGCTCAGAAGGTAGGCAACCCTTCCTAAACTTTCCCCGTTCATCAAGCTGACTTTTAAGTAGACACCAAAAACAGGGACTCACTTTTATGCTTCATCGCGAGCAGGGATGGGCATTCTTTGACCGGGAGCCAGATGTTTGGCAGATCGTGGATACAGACCAAGGGCGATTGTGTGTCCCCAGTCTCATATTTGTCTCCCTTGCAAAACACATTACTGAAACTATTCACAGTTTTTTGAACCGAGTTTCAAATGCTTCCCAGACTGAGGAGCCCAAGCAGTGTTTTGGAGGAATTATCGCAGATCCTATGGGACTTGGCAAAACTTTGACCATGATAGCATTGGCTGCGACAGACTTGGAAGGGGCTGACCATCATATGCAAACAGGCCAAGAGGACCATATAGATGTTCCGACTACTCTCATTATCGTCCCTCCTCCTTGTGAGTTGTTTTCCGCTTCCTCACATTCATGCATTTGAGCTAAAGCTCGCCAGTGATAGGAACTTGGGAAGAGCAACTCTCGGAGTAAGTCTGCCTCACCACCTGAGTTGCATGAGAGGCTAATTCTTTTACAGACACGTCGTCGAAGGTCGACTTATCACTCGTCGACATCACAGGGAAACCCGATTGGTCACTATCGAGGAGATCGAGGCAACTAATATTGTCCTAACAACATATCACACAATCTCCGCGGAGTGGAGCCCATCAGGCAAAGCGGAGGGTTCTATTCTATACTCTGTGCGGTGGAGAAGGATCATCCTCGATGAAGGTAGGTTGGCCTGGGCGTCCAGCATGATTGAGTTGAGTTGACTCGAATAGCTCATCTTATCCGGAATGGTAATTCGAGAATGTCACGAGCAGTTTGTGCACTCGAATCCAAGGCTCGCTGGGCTGTTACTGGTACACCGATCCAGAACCGTCTTGGTGATCTTGCAACCCTCTTCAAGTTCATCAGGGCCCACCCATACACCGATCAAAGGTGCTTCGATACTGACATTTCCCGCCTCTGGAAATCCGGAGAATACCAGGAGGCTATCAAGCGACTAAAGCGTCTGTCCAAATGTCTTTTACTTAGACGAGATAAGGGAACAATCAGTCTCCCTTCACGTCGAGATCTGCAATGCCCTGTCGATTTTCGTCCCGAGGAAAGGGCTTTGTACAACAAATTACGTCAACAGGCAATCATCAGTATAGATGATGTCTTAAAGAGAGACTCGGAGTCATCAAAGTCTGGAGCTTATGTCAACGTTCTACAGCAAATTGAGTCATTGCGACTCGTCTGCAACTTGGGATTGCATTACAGCTCAAGACATACCAAAATATCACAGACCCTGCACGTTGATGACTGGCTGGGCCTTGCCCAAAGTACTTTTAACATGCAGCGCGATATGGAACCTATCGTCTGTCTGCAATGCTCATCAACACTGGACATCACAGAGCCACTCCTCGATGATCCCACAACCACAGTCCAGAATCCTTTCTTCTTCAGCTGTCTCAGATTCATATGTGCTGATTGTGCGCAAAAGTGCAAGAAATCTGTTTTATGTGGACATAAACCCTGCTGCGCTGTAGCTCACGTCTCAACCAGTGGCCATGAGGTTGAGTTTAGTTTACCAGGCGCGCAGCCACAGACTGGCAAAGGCCTACCATCCAAGGTAGAGGCTCTTATCACAGATATCAAGGCTCTTCCTCCAAGTGAAAAGTGGTAAATGATCACCCTGTTCTCCCGTTCCACCAATTGACAGTCACTAAACTCATGTAGTATCGTGTTCTCAACTTGGAGGCTGACGCTTGATGTTGTGGAAGCTGGTCTAAGTCGGTCGCACATCTCAAGCGTTCGTTTCGATGGTAAAGTGCCGCAGAAGGATCGCCAGGGCATCGTGGATAGATTCAGGCAAGATCCGTCTATTCGTGTAATGCTTTTGACGTTATCTTGTGGTGCAGCTGGGTAAGTGACTTGTCGTAACCTCATATCTCGGCAAGCATCCCCGAAGACTGATCTTCTTTAGCCTCACATTGACAGCAGCAACAAGAGCCTACCTCATGGAACCGCACTGGTAAGGACATTAGGCACATAGAAGAGAAAGCGACTAACGGCTTAGGAACCCGACCCTCGAGGAACAGGCACTTGCACGCATTCATCGTATTGGACAGTTGCGTGAGGTAACGACCGTACGATTCTATGTTCGTGATTCATTTGAGCAGGTAAGTATATCTCGAGATTGCAAGATATCCAAGTCGCTGAATTCGGGGTAGCAAGTTATCAAGGTCCAAGAGTCGAAGAGATATCTGGCTGGCCTATTGCTCTCACCTCACGACAATGGCCAAGCGAGTGAGAATCTCACCAGATTGCAGGTTCGTTGTCACCACTATAAACGCCGTTCTTACTAAAACCTTCAGGAACTACTGTCTCTGATTTGAGGGGTCGGGAAGCCGGATGCCTTGTGGCTGGAAAACGCGCAAGTGAAAGAGATGACTGTATCGCAAGTTTGGTAGGCAGCAATTATAGCAAATGTCAAATACGAACCTTTCTTACTTCCACCCTCCTCTACTCCAAAAAAACCTTCTACTCATCCTGCTTTATGAGGCACGGCCAAGCGTGCAGAACTCCAGGTATTTCTCCAAGAGTGTCGTGAAATGAAGCATCCATGAGACCTTTGTGGCTAAGAAGAATCGCTTCGTTTGTCGCTGGAGAAGTTGTCAATTGATCTCACTGGTTACGGGACCTCGACTTCTTGTTCGTGTTTGTTCGGCGGAGCTTCATGTGCTGGAGAGGCAAACGCTTTTGACCAAGCATCAAGCCCTTCACCCTGAGCACGTTGATATGGCCTGCCAACTTTAGTTGTCGCAAGACTGTGATAGGTTGTGGCCTCTCATAGGTAGCCTTCATTTGGAGGAGTATAAAATCGGCTGAAGCACAGTAGGACGCGCTCAAAGATACACGCTTAGGAGACTTGTTTGTTGCCGGTGACTCACGGCCGAGCCTCTTCTAGCCATTACAACACGCTGCGTATAAGGACGATCACTCACCCCATAAATGAAGCCACTCCATCAACATTAAAGTCAACATTCCTTATTCTAATCAGTTTATTCAGTACCAGGAAATGGCAGCACCAATCTTCGCGCTAGAGGCAACATCCCTCAACGCCATCCGGTCCCTCCCTTCGGACATCTACCTCGTCCATGCGACGAACTGCATCGCCGAATGGGGCGCTGGCATCGCAGCTGAGCTCGCAACCGTTTTTCCGGGGGCATGTAGAGAGTACAAGAAGTTCTGCCGATCAGCCAAAACCGACGCGTCGTCAAGGTGGCCACCGCCGACTTTAGCTGGGCGAAGTTACATCATTCCACCACAAGCTTCAGACATCGCGGGCGGAGCCCCAAATATACACATCGTCTGTCTGTTCACCAGCTATGGATACGGAAGAGCGAATCCGCGATCTGGAAAGCCGGGGAAGGACAACGCGCGAAAGATCCTGGTGCAGACTCGGGCGGCGTTGAAGGAGATGAGGGAACAGCTGGAGACAGAAGCATGTCAAACTTCGGAGGGAGTTACTACTATCTACTCGCCTATGTTCAATTCTGGGGCGTTTCAGGTACCATGGGGAGAGACAAATAGGCTTATTGAGGATGAGTTCAGCGGGTTTGAGGGCCGTTGGCTAGTTATGGCGCCACCGTAGCCACGCGACGGAGCTTGATCGGAGACCGTCGCTATGTATCCAGGACACGAGAGTAGGAGTTGAAACAGAACTGTAGCATAAAAACATCCAGGCATTTCGTGATCACTCAAGGCAGATGGCCGTGGCCATTAAATTAGACCACGCGAACTCAAACTCTCTGTATTCATAATCTCTAGCATCAGCACAATATTCAACAATCAAACAGCGACCGTGGTGTAGTGGTTAGCATTAACGCCTTCCAAGCGTTAGAGAGGGGTTCGATTCCCCTCGGTCGCATTTCTTTTGCCCTTAGATGACATTTTTATATCTTCCTAGTTCTTTTTTGTCTCCCCTTGTGAATTGTTTTCCCATTCTGGCTGATTGTACTGTCATAGCAGGATCTTATTACGTCTTTGTTATCTTTTTTTTGTGTTGCCCTTGTGGCGGATCCTCATACTTTCCAGCGTCGATTAACGTGCCGCTCAATTGTACGACAGTTGTAGCATCGAACTCAATTCATTATCAAGGAGCTACCGAAGCCATCACAACTGATACCGCAAAGGTCAATAATTAAAAGCTACAAAGTAATTTCCCAGGCCTCAACACTGTACAAATAGGATAGCGAGAGAGCTCTATTCTCTATCACGACGTCTCCTTCCATACAAACAAGCCAGTGCTCCAGCTCCTACCCTAAATCCGTAGTAGAGCGGTCAATCTTTCATCCGCCCCACCTTCCCGCCTCGACCGCAAGCCGCAAGGCTCCAGCTACCGCATCATCACCAAGCTCTCCACAGCCTCTCATTCTACCACACATCACAACCACAGCTTTACCCGACCGAGCATACATACATTTCTTTCGTTTAGTTCAGTCACCAAACCTCACCACATATCCATCAATCATGGCATCCACGGATCCCAAGACCACAGACGACAAGCCTGTCGAGCAGAAGCCAGAGCAGAAGCCCGCCGCTCTTGGCGAGGACGACGAGTTCGAGGACTTCCCCGTTGACGGTACGACCGCACCGACCTTTCTACTATACCATCAAAGCTAATTCAGATACAGACTGGCCAGAGGACCAAACCGAAGCTGCCAAGGGCAGCGGTGAGACAAAGCACCTTTGGGAGGAGAGCTGGGATGATGATGATACAAGCGACGACTTCTCGCAACAGCTGAGGTACGCACACCTACATCGACGTTTTGTTGATGAATACTTACCCTTTTATAGAGAAGAACTCAAGAAAGTCGACGCGGCGAAGCGCCGATAGAATCAGAATAACACCCGTCCTCTGGCAACCCTACCACATTCAGAACCGGGAGAGGCCGACCGCATGGTAGACGAGGGGCACACCCCACCGCCTCCAACAACCGAATACAACAAATACACAGAAAGTGCGGAACAGAAAGATCCGGAAGATCGGACGTGTTGCATGCCTCGAACAAGCGTGGAGCAAATCGAATTATAGGAAAGCAAGGGCAATCACACGCTGCTGGGAGGAATTGAGCGAGCCGATTTCACGGCAAGCGAGGAAAAGAGCGAACATGTCGCAGACACGGAATCCCAGAAACTTTTAGACAGGATGAGGCACATCAAGCTGAATGGCAATGACAGTAACCAAACTTCCCAACATTTTGAGCGAAGCGATACCCAAGAAAGCCCGGGACAGTCCGTGGCCCAGGAACATTATTCCAATTCTCTTTACCAATTAGACTTCCCGTCAGAAAGCAATCGTGACAGCTCGGGTTCGGACTCTGATGAATCTAAGGAAAACCCAGAGCCTCCCGCACATTTCGATCCTTCGGTCTGTTGTCTTTGTTCCTACCATCGCGATGCGAGGGATGGTTGCTACTGCCTTGAGCAGTGCGGGTGTGAAAGTTGCAAACGTACTTATTTATCGAAACCTGTGTCGTGGCCTCAAAAACATGAAAGGATCGAAGCTTAGCGCGCGGAAGTTCATCGTATCGGGCCCCTACCATCAGGTATGCGCGCTTTTGACATGACTTGAGATGAGCTACGAGAATTAACCTAGGTATGCAGGCGCGGATGAAGATATGAGCCAAAGTGGACCGACCGCCAGCGAGTCCGATAGTGAGAGTCGATGATACCGACAGCGATACCGATGATACCGACAGCAATACCGATAGTGATGCCGACAGTGACAGTGGCAGTGGCAGTAATGCTAGCAATGATGCCGACAGTGATACTGACAGTGATACCGACAAAAGCCCCCTAAGATATTTCATAGCACATCTGCTTAAATCATTCCTGGTAGGGTTCGCCGAACTAGTCGACCTAATATGTCCCGTCTGAGAATCTTACCGTCGTCTTCATCGGGGAACTCAGCAACTCACTGCCAAGAGGAGGGCCAGGGAACAAATATTCGACCATGACTTGAGCAGTGAGGCAACTCGGGTGTTCTGCATACAGGAGGAGCCGAAGTTGATGGCGATGGAGTTTAGTGACTCGGTGCAACACATCACAGCGGCATACATCAGGAGAACCTTTAGACTAGTCATTTAATACATCAGCGAATTTGACGAAACTTGCTTGGAACTTGGGTGATGTTTTTATGGCGCTTTTACGCCTCTATTGGTATTTGGTATTCAATTATTTGTTCTGCTTTGCTACAGACTTGCCTTTCCAGCCCGACCTTTTCCATTTTCATAGCCCGTCATCAACAGGTTCATATACGTCGTATTTCCAACAAGCAGTGGATATTATTTACTTACTCGATAGAGCGGTAACACCGGGCAGCTCCTTGCCCTCGAGGAGCTCCAAGCTAGCACCACCACCGGTGGAGACGTGGCTGAGCTTGTCCTCGACGCCGTACTTCTTGGCGACGGTAGCGGTGTCACCGCCACCAATGATGACGATCTTGCCGTCCTTCTGGACAGCGTCGACAACAGCATCGAGAGTCTCCTTGGTGCCCTTGGCGAACTTCTCGAACTCGAAGACACCGGCGGGACCGTTCCAGAGGATGGTCTTGGCGTCGGCGATGGCCTCCTTGTAGAGCTTGATGGACTCGTCGCCGCAGTCAAGTCCCTGCCAGCCGTCAGGGATACCGTCCTTGTCGGTGGCGTAGCCAGTGTTGGCGTCCTTGTCGAACTTGTCGGCGGTGATGTAATCAACGGGGAGGACGAGCTTGACGCCCTTGGCCTTGGCCTTCTCAACGAGGCTGCCGACAGTCTTGGAACCGGCCTCGTCGAAGAGAGAGTTACCGATGGAGACGTTCTCGAGGGTCTTCTTGAAGGTGAAGGCCATGCCACCGCAGACAATGAGGGTGTTGACCTTGTCAAGGAGGTTGTCGATGAGCTGGATCTTGTCGGAGACCTTGGCACCACCGAGGATGGCAAGGAAGGGGCGCTGAGGCTCCTCGAGGGCCTTGGCGAAGTACTCAAGCTCCTTCTTGACGAGGAAACCGGAAGCCTTCTGGGGGAGGTCAACACCGACCATGGAGGAGTGAGCACGGTGAGCAGTGCCGAAAGCGTCGTCTGTTCTTATTAGCATTGCACAAGTAAAACATGTTGGTGTAAAGTTGGACTACTCACTGATGTAAACGTCGCCAAGAGCGGTCAGGCCCTTGCGGAAAGCCTCAACCTGAGCCTTGTCGGCCTTGGTCTTGTTGCCCTCCTTATCCTTGGAGGAGCCCTCCTCCTCAATGTGGAATCGGAGGTTCTCGAGGAGGATGACAGAGCCATCCTCAGCCTTGTTGACGATCTCCTCGACCTCGGGACCGACGCAGTCAGGGGCGAAGGTGACCTTCTTGCTCAGGAGCTTCTCAAGCTCGGCGACAACGGGCTTGAGGGAGTACTTCTCGTTGGGAGAACCGTTGGGACGGCCGAGATGAGACATGAGGATGACTGACTTGGCGCCATTCTCGAGGGCGTACTTGATGGTAGGGAGGGCACCGACAATTCGCTGGTTGTTGGTGATGTTCTTGTCGGCGTCGAGAGGGACGTTGAAGTCGACCTGAGGAGGGGTTTGTTAGCTATGTTTTGAGGATGGCGGGGTATTGGTGTTGAGGCTTTAACGTGAGGAATCTGGTGCTTTGGGGAATTAAATCTGGCGATCAAAGCTCAAGTAAAGACAAGATAGAATAATCGAAGTCTTCTTCAAAGAATCACGTCGATTGATCATCCAGAACATCTGATGGTGGGCAGTGCGGGGAGCTCAAAAGCAAGCTCAACACAATCGCAATCGCGGGGCAACAGCATGGTACTTACTCGGATGAGGACTCTCTTGCCCTTGACGTCGACGTCGGAGATGGAAAGCTTGTTAGACAGCGACATGATTGCGAGTTGTTATGAGAAGAAGAGATAAAGGGATGGTGAGATTGTAGGTGATGAAAGGGGAAGAAGCAGAGTTTATAGAGGGGGAATGTCAGGTAGTAAATAGTAACGGGCAGACAAACGTAGTGGGGGTCTACTAATCTCAACGCGATGACGCTGGCTGCTGGCGGGGCTTTCGCGGCTGCATTCGTAGACGGTGGGATGATCGAGGCCCGTGAAAGCCCCTGGACGAAGCACTTTAGCCATGGAATCTGGCGTGAGCTGTCCAGTCTTGTTATCAGTGGCCTACGCGGTATTAATATTATCAATTCACATCATCCATTGTTTCTTGTCATGACATGATCGGTGTCGTCTCGGTCAACCTACCGACCCTGCACAGAGTCCACATCCCACCTTGCTCTGCTCTGTTGCAAATCACTCAAAGCACGGATCTCAACAGCCTCAGACAACGTTCCTCTCCTGCACAGCAGTTCACATAGCCGTCTCACAGAGACCCTCCCGGCTTCTGGCGATACGGCTGCGGATGTCCGGAGAGACGCGGACCGGGGCCACACCGCCGAGGACCACGCCGTTCCTCTTTCTTACGTACCTTACCTTGTTGGCCGTGCATATTGAGCATTGTATTGTATGCAGTAAACAGAACCTGTATAGCCATACATGGTAGGCTGGGCGAACATCACCCACAGACACGCATCCATGATGTGAGGTATAAGCTAGCAGACAAATAGAAGCAGAGAGAATCCCATGCTGGGACAATATCGATTAGCTGATCTGATAGTCAAAGCTTGATGCAGACCCTTGGCATGTTTACGTTAGTGCTGTATCAAAATCTATATCACCCAACCTCTTTCAAACGTTGCCACAGATTCTCAGACCACTGCACTTCTCGGTCAATTATAACAAGACATGCCACACCACTCCTTGACCATAATTATGACACCTGGGTGCCCCTGCGATCCCCATTGAAAAGCATGCTGGCATAATCTGATCCATCTTTTAGTAGCCGAGCGCAATCCTATACTGTCAGCCCTACCATCCAACAGCAAAGCTTCATCATCATGATGGCCGTCGTTTCAGGGTGTCGTTCTTCGATCACATTCATTCACACCCAATTACAGCATTTCACTATAGTAAAGGACCAAGGATATGATACTCGTCAAATCATAGAAACGGGGCCAGTAATGTATTGTTTTACTCATGGCCACCACAAACAACAAACTCCTTTTTCTTTTTACCAACCAAAACAGATCATTTTATGAGCGCTTTATTTGCCCCAGCCTTCCATCTAGTTCTTCTGAAGATCGAAATGGAAAGATCGGATAATTGAGTCCGTATCGTCAATAGCGAGAGGACGCACATCAGCCAAATCCTTAATTCTCTGGGTTCTGTTGATTGTGTCAGTACATGAATCTTAGTACAACGAGATATGAGTAAACTTACACTTGCTTGATCTGGTCATCAGTCATGTTCAATCCGAGCTGCTCAACACGACTCTTGATGGCGTTCCAGCCAGTCAATCTCGAGGCGAAGTGAACATATCGGGACATGCCGAAATCAGCGGGGTTGATGATCTCGTATGTGCTGGGCATGTTGAGGATAGCCTTGGCGTGGATACCGGCCTTGTGAGTGAAGGCACAGAAACCAGTGATGTAGTTGTTGAAGGGCACATTGATCTCGACGGCCTCGGCAACCATATCCTCAATCTCCTTGAGCTTGTGAAGCTTGTATCGGGTGGTGACGTATTCGTGGCTGTTGACAATCATACGGGCCAAGAGACCTCCGAGAGGGGTGATACCGTTTCGCTCGCCGATTCCGAGAACTGAGGTGTCGATATGGGTGGCTCCGGCCTCGAGGGCAGCGTGAGCGTTGGCGATGGCGCAACCAGTGTCGTTGTGGACTGATGAGGTTAGCTTCCTGTCCACCAAAGCTGTCAATTGGACATCTTACAATGGCACTCGATATCACAGCCAACAACACCACGAAGGGTGCGGACGAGGTCGTAAACTTGACGAGGAGAAGCGCAGCCGACTGTGTCAGCGACACCAACACGGTGAACACCCTCCTTGTCAACAGCTTGGTAAAGGCTGAGAAGATCGACAAGGTCACTCTGGTAGACGAATTAGCCACCCAGTTTCACATGCAAGTAGAATACCGATCGGAACATACTCGGAATGAGTCCTCAGACGAGAAGCGGACCTCCTTGCCTTGGCTATGAAAAGTCAGTACATTTGCATACTAGAGCTGCGCGAAGATAGCGTACCTCTTGATGTAGCGGATGACCTCAATGGCAGACTCCTTGATGTAAGCCATATCCTTGCCGTGAGAGTGCTCTCTCAAGTACTGAGAAGTGCCGATGACGACATCAACACCTGGAAATTGTCAGAATTGGACGCGGGAGAAAGGCGTTGGGATGAATTACCGTCGACTCCGGTCTCGACAGCGACCTTGGCATCTTCCATCTATATGCGTGTTAATCCAGGCTCAAGCTGCCTGACGTGGACCTAACTTACTGTGCATCGCACATCTAGATATATGTTAGCCAGCAGTCCAGGGATTGGCGCTTGTTGCAAGGGAATGAAACTTACGGGTAAGGATCTTGGCCTTGAGGCCGAGCTTGCAGATCTCCTCACAGTCCTTGCGCGATTGGGGACTGTTCAATTGTTAGCTACGGCAATGTGGGCGAAGAACAGGAGACTGACGAAGCCAAAGGTGAAGTCAACTCGATGTACTCAACACCGAAGTCGGAGAGAGCTGTGGCACTATAGATGTATTAGATATTGATGTTCGTGGTTGTGATAAAATAGGTGGGGTCGAAGCTGTCGTACATCTTGATCTTGGTCTCTGTTGGGCACAATTCACGTCAGTTGGCTATTCTCATGAGAGAAAGCTATGAGGGCAACATACCTGTGTCGAAGTAGGCATTGGCAAATTGCTCTCCCTCTCTCAAGGTGCTCTCAATGATCTTGAAGTTGTTGGTGTTGGAGAGGAAGTCGCCGACAGACTGGTAAGGCAGAGCAGCATTGTGAGGCTTGGGGTTGGAAATGCCTTCACCGTTGACGGTGTTGTCCTTGGTAGTTGATGACATGATGGGCTAAGGTAAGGGTATATGAATCCTTTTTTGGCTATGGGGTATCAGTATATCGAAAAATAAAAGAGAAGAAGAAGAAGGAGAAGCCGGGGAGGACAAGAAAGAATCGAGTTAGGTATTTACAAACAGGAAGGCAAATCCAAACTGGGCTTTTGGGTTGGTGGGGGCGGGGAATTGATATACTAATGGCTAAACGCCGAATGGCGGAGCAAATTGAATTGTCAGGTAAAGAAAAAAAAGTTTACCCTCGAGTGACGCATCTCCAGAGAGTGCTCTACCAGATGATACGCCAAGACGAGGGCAAACTCTGCTAGCACACGCACATCGGACCCCTTGACCCGGGATTAGTCCGATCAGAGGGAAAAGAGAATTATTACTTACATCATTCAATTGGTTGTTCTGCTGCTGCTACGTGCTCAGGCATAGCAAAGCTCATAAAAATATTGACCTGCAGACTGGCGCTCCCAAGTTGGACCAGACGGGCTGTTGCTTGCAGCCAACCACTTCATTGGAGGTTGTAGTTACATACTCTACAGCTGTACAACTGTCAACAGCACAAGAAGCTTAATCGAGACAAAGCCAATTCAATTTTGTGCGTCTGCCAGCGATGACGAACTCAATTACAGGGCAGCCTTGAACATCTTCGATCAACACTGAACATCATTCCCCACTATGGCCCCTGGGGCTCTTGAGTCAGACGCCGAATATCGGCCTCAGCAGCAACTGAATGGTAGTTGTAGCGCAGGGGCCCCTTGTTATTTGCGGGGTTAGACGACAATCCATCGACGCACTGGTTTTGTATCTGATCTGTACCTAGGTTCTATGTACTTGCTGTCGTGTGTCTGTCCCCAGCTGCGTCTTTACGAGCAGAGATCAGCCAAAAAGATAAAATTTTGCGCCACAGCGGTTTTGCTAGCGAACTATTGGCTTTACCAACGCACGCAAGACGCCCAAAGCATGAAGAACTAGGGTCTTATGCGAGCTTTGACTCTAGCTTTTGAACGAGCTGTTGTATTTTACGCTGCTTATTGGATCTTAATTGGACGCAGAAGTTATTCACATGCATGAGTGGGCAATTCCACCAATTGTTGAATTAAGGCAAGCATAAAGATCAATTCAGATTGGCCATTTCAACATCTACCGGAACTCCAAACGAGACACAGGCTATTATTCCAAACATGGTCCGTATCCCATCCCGAAACATAAACGAAATGCGGCGCTAGACAGCTGCCACAGCAATAGAGTCTCAAACTCTAAGACCACGGGCCCTTGAGCCACAATACTATATCAGGCCGTATATAAAAGAGAACCCAAACGCCAGTTCTATGCGACAACAAATAGTCGTCGGGGTCAAAGCTTTCGTTACCAGCGGCCGGCAACTAGCTCGAGGCCAATTGAAGCATTCACAAGACATGATTTAGAGATTTATTCAGAGGCCGAGTTGGTCAGGGACAGGTATGCTGTCCAAGCAATACCGATTGTGGACACGAAAGGCTATAAATCGTTAGCATTCCACAGCTAAGATGTTTTGCAGCATCAACATACCAGCTGGTATTGAACAGGCATCAAACGGAAGTTGACAATCTGCACAGCAGGCCACACAACATAGTTGGCCTTGAGCGTAGGGATGTACATATCCCTAAGCTTGTTGGAAACAGCACGACGACCACCGCCCTCGGCAATAGTCATGGTGGTGTAAAAGACGGCCAGACCGAAAGGCGCAAAAATAAGCTGGTCGAAAGCAACGCGCTTCATGGCGGGGACAAAGGCACTCGTCTTGGTAACGGGGAAGATTCGCTCGAGGAATCGAAACCACTTGAACTGCACGGGGGCCATGCAGAAACCGTAGGCCATGAAACGTGTCAGACGCTCGAAGTCAAAGGGAGGAGGCAGGCCGATTGATTCGGGGATCAGGTCGCGCTCGTAGAAAGGGTTCTTGCGGTCGAGCTCGTGGATCTCGATGGCGATACCGTCGTTCTTCTTGAGACCGCCGGGTTGGCGGAGGGCTCGTTCGCGGATGGCAGTGATGGACTGGGCGACTGTGTCGGCGACGCCTCCGAGGATGGCGTTTGTGACCATCATGGTCATGACTGGGGGTTTGTTAGGATATCATGCGAGGGATACTGGAGGGTGACGTACGTGGTCGCTCGTCATAGTACGAGTTGAACCGAGCTGTAAGTCTTGCAATGAAAGCCATTTCGATCAAGAAGATGATGGTGTGCAAGAGAGGCTGGAGGGATGATGTCAGCGTCGAGTCGCATTCACAGGCCTAACAGCGCAAACAAAAGGCAACTGAAGAAGAGAGCCAGAGATGAAGATAAGCCAAAAAAAGAAACAAAAAAGATATTACAAAGTGGAACACAAAAAAATGTTGTCAACAAACAAAAAAGGAGATTTTGCTGGATGCGATGACGATAGAGCTGGAGCACTCGATGGGGAAAATGACTGGGGAAGCTAAAAGTGGCGACGGATCATAGAGTTGGGCACCATACGCAACAACAACAAAAAACAAGGCGTTAGAGGGCGCGCGGACTTACAATGCGACCGTAGATGTACTTGGAGTTAATGGAGCGGACAAACCGCCGCTGGCTGAGTTCCCACGTCATAGTTTCGAGGAAATGATATTGCGATAAGGGATTAGGGGAACAGAGATATGGGCGAGAAAAGCAGGGCCACGATGCGATTTTTATTGCGCTCGGGTTTGGTGATACAAGGAAAAAAAGGGAGAGGGAGAGAGGGGAGAGCAGTTCAGCTCAGCACAGGAATGACGGCGGATGTGGGCGCGCGTGTCGTATCTCAAGGGCGGGTTCTTCCTATATAATAATAATATGACGACAGTCGAGTTCGAAAGCTCCTCTCCCAAGGCTCAAGGCGCACAGGTCGCTTCGTGGTGGGCTTGGCGACTAAGGAGGTGGAGGATGACACTCTGGCGTTTAACGAGATCTTCGCTAAGCGCTTGGAAGAGACACGCGATGGGCGATATGAAGAGAATGGCGACTGTGAGAAAAGGAAAAGAGAACAAAAAGAAGAAGAGAAAAGATGGGAATTGGGGATGGATCAAAGTTCAAGTCATGCGACCCCCCAAAACCAACCTCTCTTCCCAGTCTAATCTCAGCTCAAAGCAACAGAGCAGCAGAGCGACAGTGCACCGTTTGCGATATTCAAACGGTGTCACATAAACCAATTCTGCACGTTTCGCAAGGCATCAACGGGTTCCCCTCATTGGGAAGATCTGAATCTAACACTGCGCATGACCAACGCCTCTTACAACCTTGTTTCTCCCATTCGCGACCCTTACACGCATAAATATTAATTATATAATAAGTTTGCAGCGCAATTTACCTTTCTTTCTAACCTTACTAAAAAAGAAAATGCCCGTTAACCGCTGTGAAGCCAAACCCTTGCTTTTTTAACGCTGTGGATCATCTTCCGGGGATCCCGGCCGGGCACGACATTCACGGGCTCACGCCGGCTCCGAGGGTCCGTAATCTGTTACAGAGACTGCCACCAACAGACAACGGCTGAACATGCTTTCGCCAGTGAAACCGCCCTGTGATCTATTGGATACAGTCGTTGCGGCCGGGGTAAATGGTAGCGCTGTGCTGCAGGTATTACGTTTCACATTAAGGCGGTGCTACATTCGGCGCTCAATTTAGTTGACTTGCCATCTGCTATGAAGCATCTACGCTTAACACCAGAGCGATCTCGTAAAAAGTCCATACTTGACCCTTTCAGGAATAAGCACATCTGAAGGGGAATCCACGGTGTTGACCCTGTCGTACTACCAATCACGTGGTGCACCCCAACCAGAACAATTGCTTCAATACAAGTAGAAGTTTTAAGCTCTATGGGTTACTCCTACAGATTTAGAATTAACCTAGCAACAACAGATTGTCAATTGACCTCTTATGTTTCGATGTCTGGTAACTATCTGCTGGTAGCGCGCAAGCTGTTGGTTGTCGACTGACCACCATAGAGTCAAGAATTCAGGGTCCAATGCTGATAGCCGTCTTAATCCCGTGTTTGATCGCCATGCTGCGCGCTACTGCTTCCAAAGGATCTGGAGTACTTCGATATTAGTAAATTGATAACACTGGGAGGGAATCATCGAAAGATATCTGCACTAACTATGTAGCCCTATGCCCTTTTTTGCCGTCAACATCATATAATGATATGATTTCAGATCGAACTTCACTCCTGGATCTCTCCTCATAGCCTTTAGTAGTTCATATATCCCGGCTGCTGCCGTATGCATGTGTGAACCCAATTCAACCTTGACGCCTGGGAACATATCCACTTCAGTCACAGAAGGTAGCCATAACATATACTGAGGCATCTTGCTTTCTCTCGATATCTTCGTTGCCCTCTTGGTCGTCCCGCTACTTATCTTCGCCCCTCCATCTATCATCAATCGCACGCATTGCGTTAGGCTATCTTGTTCATTATCGTTGAGTGGTTGCTCGTTACTGAAGATGGCATTGGCCAGTAATGTCTCCCAAGCTGTATATTCTTGTAAACCAAACATTCTGGCCGCCTCGTTTGGCTTTGCTCCTCCTTCAAGTAATATTCTGATAACAGATGGGCTGTTGTGGTCAGGCAGACGCACGAGGGGAAGGAGGGAGGTTGTAATCGACTCCGAGTGCCATTTTATCCTCCAAGATGTCCGCGACAAGCTGCACTGTCGTGACCGCCCTTGGTTCGTTTCCCGCGCAGTAGTCATCAGCCCTGACTCGTTCATTCTTGCCTTGATGTATTGTCCAACGCCCAGCACAGTCGCTAGACACAGAAATGCTTGTTTGGGGTTGGGATGATTGCAATTGGTCTGGCGGTCAATGGAGCTGTGTGCGAATAATTCGCAACTGAATTTGCAGTTTTTGGCACATTTAGTTCTCAGGTGATCCAGTAATTGCAGAGTTTCGCTCGTCGAGGATTCTTTGGTATCAGCTGCATGTTGCAAGGATTGAATGAGATGCAGCTGGAACAAGTAGTTGCTGTTTCTGTCCATCGCCATTGACCGCAGCCAAAGCTTGGCCAAGGCAACATAAGCTGCAGAGATTCTCAGATTAGGATCGTAAGTTTTAACGATAAACCCATCCAACTTTTCCTGGACGTCATGCCTGTCGAGGAAGTCAGAAAATGTTCTGTGCAGATAGGTGACAGGACCGCCAGTATACGCTGCAACTTCATCAGGGCTGATTTTGTCCTTAGAACGAGATGGTTCTGGGGAGGCGTGTTCGTGAACCTCAAGGAGGCCTTTGCACCGACTAACAAGGCGCAGGCGCATGTCTTCCAGCCGCCCCTGCATCTCTTTCACTGTAACAGTGCCAGATACTTCATCAATGACCCGTTCCAAGAATTTGACCTCATCTGCATACCAGAGCAGTTGAAGAGAGGGTGTCTCTGTACACGTCGACTTCAGTTTAAAGAGCTGAGCAGCATGTTCGCGGTAGATCGGGTCTATGCTCTCGATAATCTTTTCGTATAAGTCTTGAATCTCTGGTGGGAGCAGATCAAGTCGGCTCTCAAGGTCCTCAATTCGATCACCAGACACTATACCCGCCAGTAGCGAAGAGACAACAATATTAACCCACAAGAACACCCCATTGGCCTTCTCGGTAACAGAACGACTGATGTCGATCGCCACCTCAGGATGTCTTTCCTGGAACGTCCTGAAACGGGGATTTGCTCCGAACTTAGCCATGACATACCTGGTCATATCATTGTAAGTCAGATCCTCCATTCTAAGCTGTGGGTACTCGCCGAAAGCATTCTCGAATTCAGTCCACGGACGACTTGAAACGCATATCTTAATGGAACATAATGTACACTCTCCTATCAACGAGACAAGAGCGTTGCAGTCACCATCGAACTCGTCTAGGCCGTCGATGAACAGGGCAAGCTTAGCCCGAGTGCTTATATGAGTGATAGCTTGGCGAAACATATCACCCAATTCTGTCTCAGTCAAGTGCTGAGGGTCTTCATTGAAGAGAGACAAGGATTCCCAACGTGAAGGGGCTACCGTGGGAATAACTTCTGGGTGGGCTTGGAAAAGCTGGACAAGAAGGGTGCGGAACAGGCCTTCTTTCGTTCTTTGCATCGGTGATCCAATTGCCCAGAAATGAAACGAGATAATCGTGAGATTCTCTCCATTTCCTGCCCACTGCATCAGTTGCTCTTCGCATCTGCTCTGCCTCGAAGGCAGACGGGTAGGTTGCATAAGATACCTCATCAACGTAGATTTCCCCGAGCCCGGCTTCCCAGTGATCCAGTATAGTTTGCCATCAGATGAAAGCCAGTTTTTGAAGCTGGTGGAATTTTCGTCGTCAAAGATCCAACGAAAGGTGCCCTGGTAGGCATCTTTGATGGTGAGCTCTCTCTCTTGTATTGTGTCGTATCGGATTCTCGAGACGAAGATCTTTTCAAGATGGTGCCTTCTCTGCTGAGATAACTGGATGCTTGATAGGTCTTGCGGAGCACTGGAGGCGCCAGTGTTCTGTATGATAGCAATCAAAGCACCAAGAAATTCGGATTTGATCTCATGGCGAAGACCACTGGTCAGGTACTCAAGAGCCAAGGAGCCAACTCCCATTCTCACAGTATTGAAGCCGGAGGCACCCAGTTGTTTGAGATCAACCCTCATTTCGCGCATCTCCAGGAGCATGTGTTCTTGGGCTTCCAAAGTCTTTCTGGCGATAGACCTAATCACGAAACGTCAGCTATAGATACCTGAGAATGGCCGGGTTTATCACCTCAGGTTGATTGAGAGATAGAATGTTAAGTCGGTTTTGGCTTCGGTTAGCCTACTCTCTAGGCTCTTCGACTTATCCTCCTTCCACAAGATCAACCACGTTTTTCTCAACACATCGCGCTTCCTGCCTTTATCATCCTTCTTGACCCGGTCCAGTGAATCGAGCATTTCTTTTGAAATTGACTCGCTCTTCTGAGCCAACGACCGTATACTTGCATCTACGGCGCCTGGATGAGTGTAAATGGTTTGAAGCTCGCGCTGGGCATCGCGAAGATTGGCGGAGGACTCCTCAAGCTGTTCCAAACTTATGACAAAGTCATCCAGCCTTGGACCGGACTTGTGGTGAAGCTTTTCAGATTGACTGATCTTCCATGCGGTGGCGACGAAGCGCGTGCCAAAGTCGATGACCTGCAATACACTTGCGGCAGCACCGAGAGCAGCGAGTTCGGCCATGGTAACAAAGGCGAATGTGAAGAAGATCTGGAAAAGATGTTATGATGATGCAATGCGATGGCCGAGACGAACATCATATGCATTGTCAAGGAGTTCCAGCTAGGCTGTGCAATCAGGCCGTACAGGCACAGCCGCGCGTGGTGATTTGTTAGGCATACAGTGGCTTGCATTTTCTGACACCACAACCAACCGGACACTGACACTGGAGGGTGAGGAAAGCGTATTGGCAAAAGGACAGGGATTGTCATGAGGACAATGGTTCGCATTGTGGTTTGTTTTTGTTGTTGCATCAAATGTCAAACGGCGAGGCAAACACAAGGACTACTACCCTCCCGTTGACATGCTCCTTTCAAGGAAGGAACGATCTCAACCAGCTACCAGAACCAGATATCAAGCCAGGCAGAGATACGTCATCATTTCCCAAGGTTGATAGAACCTCGATATGATAGCCTCAATAGAATCTGCCTATAGGAAACCATAAACCCGATCTGAAACCCAGTGTATGTTCCTGTCAGCCTAGCCTTAGCTACTTGAGATAGCTTAGTTAAAGCAGTCTGATGTAGCTCTGCCTGACGACCTTCTATCCGGTAGGGTACTTAGAGAAAAGCAAAAGGGGTAAGAGTTCCATGTTCAGTTCACAACGGTTGGGTTCCTAGACGTTGATAGCTGATGATTACAAACGATGACAAGGCACAGAACAATGGCACAGCGTCCATGAATGAACTAATCAATGAGTACGAAGAAACTGAATTAAAGTGCGAAATAAACACACATCGTCGATAAAGGGTATACTCCATATCCGAACCATCCCAGCCCAACCCAATTCTATTACACAAGACGGCCACGCCATTAATCTTTCATCATTACACACATCCAACCCAGCTAGCAGTCCTACTCCAGCTCATCTTCATGCTCCCATTTCTTCGCACCCAATCTGCGCATCTTCTTTGGGCTGCCGCTGCCGTTGACAGGTACTGGCTTTGGCTTGTCGTTCCCAACGCGCATGCGCTCCAGCTTGCGACCCAGGTTTGATACGCTGTCGCCCTTGGATGCCTTTACGGGGGCAGGGCCAAAGTCTTCGCGCTCCTCTAGGGGTCTGCGCTTGGTGGGACTACGAGAGGCGATTTCGCGCTTGAGGATGCCGTTCTCACGGCGCAGTCTGTCGACTTCCTCCTCGAGATCTTCGATCAGAACGTTCTCCTTATCCCCGTCCTCGTCAGAGGCAAGACCACGTTCGAGAACCTCAACTTTGCGGTCCCAGTGCTCCTCGCTGCGCTCTTGCTCGATAGCCATTGAGTTCTTCCACCGGGCCATTTCCAAAGCCAGGCGCTCCTCGAACTCAATGGCGCACTCTTCACGAATGGCCGCCTCAAGATCAAGCATGCGGTCTTCCATGGTAAGAAGATGTGCCTCAGCAGCAAATCGTGCTTCCGACTGTCGATCGGCTTCATCACGCAATTGGTCGGCCTCGTCACTAAGTCGGGCGATCTCAAGCGCTGCCATCTCCATAGTCGCACGGTCATCGGCGCTCATCTGAGGAGTGTATCCCCTAAATGATCCTGGTCCTGGAGAAACGAGCGGTCTTGAATGCTGGTGTGTTGGGCTTGTGGAGCGGTAGGAAGGCGTCGGAGGAGGTTGCGCAAGAATTGTCGCTGTGATAGAAGGAACTCGGGGTACTGTGACTTCACGAGCGAGGGCGCTATAGCGTAAGATTTGAGACGTTGCATTAAAGTCTCCCCGTGGATCGGCAGTGACAATCATCACTCCTCTTTGAGGGTTGCGGCGAGGGGCTTGTGGATGTGTGTTTGAGGATGACGGGAAAGAGTTGGAAAAGAGAAGTTCAGTGAGCTTGCACTGTCTGAAAGGAGCAACGTTGGGCTATGGCATGTTAGTCTTCATTTACTAGCAATGAACGTATCCAGTTTGCTCACCTTGCTCGAGCTTGCGGCCTCGCTCTGTGTTTGGAGACATTGACCCAAGTACATCAAACTCTCGTTGATCTTTCCGGCCTCTGCAAGCGTGGCGCCTGCTGTCTTGGCTTCACGCGCTCGCTCGCTACCAGCTAGATCGACAATCGTAAACTTGTTTCCCTCCCAGGGTCCAGGCCTTCTGCCCCGAGTTCGCTTCTTGACCTCAAAGACAAAGAATCCATGACTTCGACTTGAAACGCTGTTGCTGCCGGTACCAGTAACTCGGCGCTCTTGCAGACCGGTTTCGATGACTGTGAGGGCTTCGGTATCGGTGGTGCAGATGACCTTTCGCAAGCCTGCTACGACTTTTCGGTCTGGTGATAGTTCTGTCGATTTGAAAAGCAAAGGTCGGCGTCGCATCTCTTTAGTAGCGCCAGATTTGGTTGCTGGTGTGAGAAGATCGTAGATGCGGTCGTTATGGACTTCATACATTGAAACGACAATTGCATATTCCGCCGTGGGATCGCACGAAACATCGATGTTGCTAACGTCTGGGGATTGAGGAAAAGCCGAAGGGCGCGTAGTAATTCGTCGACGCGGAGGAGATGTGACAGCGTAATCGCCCTTGATATCTCGTTTAGCAACATTCTTCACACGGCTGGCAGTAGTAAGGGACATGAAATGCCGGAGAGCCCGCTTGGGCGTAAGGGGAAAGTTCATCACACTATTGGACGTAGTGAGACTCCCAAGTGGTTGCCTCTCGCGCTCAGGTAAGCGATCCTATCGCTCCTTGAGGCGCAGAGTCTCATCGGCTTCGCTGACAAGTCGTACACTTTTCGGACTTGGTGCGCAGTCACTTGGAAATGCTCCTGGGATCTTGCCGGCCAGCTTAGAGGGCTGATGTTTTGTGGGGGACTTGACAAAGGAAGGAGTCGAGATCTGGGGTCGTACAAGCATAGGTGTTCCAGCGCGTGAAGGCGCTCTTGATGCAACGGAGTCGCGGAATGGCGGATCAAAAAAATGCGGCGCGGTAGTCAAGGAGGATTCTGCGCCATCGCAAGCCTGCAGTGAGTCCTGAGCTGAGAATAGAGAGTTGCCGTCGATCATGTTTTCGCCAATCGATCGAAAGAGGACGTCGATCGTGAGTTGTGTCAAGCCGCGTTGAGTCTTGCTGCCGAGGATGGTATGTGTCTGTGATCGTTAGCACTGGCTTTACATCGTGTACATAAAACTCACCTTTCCAGAACCAGTGACACCCAGGGTAGCAACAACAGCATCTGTTCCCTCGCCACCCTCGGGCGCCAAAACACCTTCAACGAAAGGAACAATCTCTGTGCAGTGGAAGACATCGAGTTGTGTAGCGTCCTCCTCAAACACCTGAGTAAAGGCGAACTTTTCTATGGCTCTTCGTCGATCGGTCGGGGGGTTCAGAACTACATGTGTGGGGTGTGAGTCCTCTGAAGATTCGACATCAAGAATGCGCTCGGTATCGCCATTTCGTGTTGGCGGTGGTCGGAGTCGAAGATAAACCTCAAAGAGGTTGTGCGGTGCCTTGCGTGCTTCCATGATGCTAATGCTCGCTTTGACGCGTTTCTCGCTAAAATGCAGATGCAGGAACAAAATGGACCGTGGAGTAGAAGAACAATTACTGTTTAGTCTAGGTCGGTGGATTAATGGAGGGATCTTTGGCGTTACAACCCTTGCAAGACCGTGTTTATCCCAGTTTACCTTGGCGTTTCTGCTGGCAGGACAACGGCCGCTATTTCCGATAAGATTAGATTAGATATACGCAAGCGCGTTGGCGCGCGTCTGTGCACGCACGGACTTTACCCGGAAACGTTTGGAGAAAAGATGATGGACAGCAAACGAGTTTTCCTCAGGCACTCAATCCTACTCAATCGAAGCCTCAAGGACCAGGAGGTCGGCCGCTGATCGATTGGTGTCATTCCAAGTGGTGTATCGTAAGGTTTAGGCTGATGCACTTAGTCTTGGTGGACAGAGCATGCTTACGGATTCATTGTGTTGAAATGTCTCGGAAGCTCCCTCATATAGAGATAACTATCTCCTTTACAGCTTGAAGGCTTCAGCTGCTGCTCCGACCCGTACTGTTAATAGCTAACAGCTATCATTGAATTCACGTGCAAGAAGTTACGCCAAAGTATGGAGTTTCGTGGCAGCTAGGATGCGTGGCAGAAAAGAGTCATCCGTAGGGGCAAGGGGGTGTAAGAGTGTGACAGCGGGACAACGCAACCAATGACCTCTTCTCCAGAGCTGATTATTTCCTGGGGTGATACTCATTTGACTCACAAAGAGTCATAATAGCATCTTTTACGTGTTCATACTGCACAAGCTTCACCTTAATTTTAAGTCAACAGCCGTGACGCTTTCTCCTGCTACGCTCCTCCGTCGTACCTCGTCATGAAACAGTAATGCCGAGGTACCTTAGGCAAACAGTCGCTGTTACGACATCCGACTGACGAAGAAAAAAAATGAGGACAATCCTCTGAGGGGCGCCGTTTACTGGGCAATGGCAAAGCGCGCTACGAGGAGGTTCTGGGCTCTAAAAATTGGCCTGGCGCTAGAGACCGCTGATGACGGCAGTGCCTTTTTTTTTGTTTTTGTTAGAGGGGTAAGGGAGAATGAGGGGCTGTTTGACTGCCTGAGTTGAACAGACTCAACCATGATAATCGAGACAGAGATCACGCACAAATAGTGATGGTGTTGGAAGATGTAAGGGCTATTTTGGTTTGGACTGTCTCACTTTAGTTCGGTCTTTGAATTGAGGCCAAACCTACGCCTAAAAGCCCAATCGACAAAGCAAACTGAAATGAAACGAGTAGCATCAACCTAGGCCACTTCGACTCCAAGCTTCTACGTAATGGTCGAAAGATCTTTATTGTTGATCCAGTAGCCAGGCACGTAGACGGCGCGTAAATGTTAGCTTGCCTCACCAGAAATTTTCTTTACATTCTACGTCGAGACTTACCTACTGCGGGTTTCTGAGTAATTAGTCTTCGTCAACTCCGGTCGTCGCTTAAAAAAAGAGGCAGAAAAAAAAGTCGTAAAGCCGTCCAGGTACAGAGAAAAACCCCACCAGTGGCCGTGGCAACAACGGAGTGGCAGAAGCTGGGAAAAGAGTCTTCTTATTCTTTTTCGGAGACCGAGGACCCATTGACTCGCCTAGCTCGCGTATTCTCTCGATTTCTGGTATAAGCGAGAAGACTGACGATGCTTCTCTGGATCTCGTCCGATAGAGCTCCTCTTTCTCTTTTTTTCTGGGTCTGTCTCGTGGAACCTGAACTCTGGTGTTTGGCATAACAGTTGACAATGGAGACTGGCAGGACTGGTCACTGACATAACCGCCTCATCTAGACCACGCCCCCCTGTTTGACGGTGGAGCTCGTCACTGCGGAGCTTCGAAGATTGAGAAATGCTTGGCTTGGGTTGTGGGTTGGGGGGAGGAAAACGAGGGGTCTTGATTTCTTGCTTGGCTATCCCGGCTCCAGCGTCTGTTCTGCCGTGCATAAATGGGTCTCAATTACGCAGCAACGTGAGGAGAAGAAATATGTAGGACTGATCTCGTGCCATTGTCAAATTTTGGAGATGATACGGTGAAAGATAATCTCAGTAATTTGAGTGTAAATTTGGCATGATATGCAGCCACTTGATGTAAGGCCACCTCATTCTTGATCTGTGCAACCAAGGGACCAAGGCTGAACATGTCGTCTCCCGACAAGTACTCCGATATCCAATATCATTTCTTGCATCTCCCTAGCCGTACATTAGATTGATTATTCCCTGCTCCCTGTCGTGCTTTCGCTCTGGGGTTTAACTGGTCCCTTAATTATGACTTTGCTCGCCTCACGGGCCAGGGGGGATAGTGAAAGTCACTGATGATTCAAGATTCAGTTTGGGCCACGCCCAAGCCATTCTGAGACCCATTCCCAACACTTAACGCAGACTTAACGGCCTGACAGCAGTTAGACTCTATTTCAACTGCAGTTAAGCTCCTGCATGCAACGGCATAAAGTACACATAAGTACACAGAACAGTCTTCTTGCATTGTGTCTCACTGGCCGCATCAGCGCTTCTCAGTGTATTCTCGTTCGTGGTTGGGCTTCTACTCGAAAGCTACAAAAAGCGGTGACGGTTGATGGCCATCCTAAAGCAGACTAGCGCACTTGGTACCTTCCCTTCTTCCCGCACGATGCACACACTGCACACTCTGACACTCCCCCCCGGCACTGCCTCGAGACACTTTGCCCAATCAGGATGAACCCCACTTCGAGAACGGAAAAAGTTTGGGATAGGTATTTCTCTCCTCTCCCCTCGCCCTCGATTTATTCTTCCTATCCTCACCAACAATCCAAAACAACAGACAACGAAGTCGCCATTTTTCAAAACCTCCCAAAAACCCCCTACCAAGAACAAGTCGAGTAACCATGCCTTCGGCCGTCGCTGAGCTGTAAACGCCCACTGCGGGCCGCGGCTGTTTTCCCTGTCGCGGCTCGTAGTCCAGCAGTTCTTCGAGTTAACCAGTCAATCTTCTCTCGACCTAGTTCTTTCCAGGCTTTCCCGCTCTTGGAGCTGAATGCTCTACCGAGAGTCTGTCTCTGAAAACCAAATATTCTACGATTTGCCTGATTGTGAAGGCTTTTGATACGACCATTGAACTCTACCTACCTCGACATTTATCTCCTACCTCCTCTACCCACTCCTTTTAACCAAAAGACAACGCAACATATACTTGTTGTAAAAGAGCGTACTATAATCGCTATTCAAACTATTACAATAACAGTTTTGCATACTGCATAACTATAGGAACACCTTTAACTAGGTTGCTTTATTTAACAGCACTGCAAATCTTTTCGAAAAACCTTAAAAGTTAAGATACGAGCCACTTGGACATATCGAACCATCTGAACGAAATGTCTCGCAATCTCAACCGCAAATTTGCCCCTCCGGTCAAGGTAAAGACCGCCAACCGCCGCCGCCGTGTTTCCGACACTCCTTCCTCCTCTTCATTGGATCTCTCAGACGATGGCGGATACTCAGCTGTCGAAGACATTAGTGACTCGTCTGACGACGATGAGGAAGATGTTGCTGCGGCCGAGGAGGAGAATATCCTAGAGGAAGCTCTTCCTCCTACCCCACAGCCAGCTCCTCGGCCGCAACCGACAATTGAGGAGGATGACGACGATGAGGATGAGGAAAACGATGAGGACGATGAACAAGAAGGCTTGGATATTGAAGACGATGACACCGCTAGCTGGGGAGGCATCGTCTCGGATATTGAAGATCAACCAGACATCTATCAAGATGCAAATATCTTCGGCTCAGAGAATCTTGAACGCCACGTTCACTTCGATGTGCCTTCCAGCGACTCCGATTCCACCGACACTGAGGACGAGACTATGGGACTTTTCCCCGATATCTTTGTCTCTCAAAATACACTTGACCCCAGTTTCCGCCGAGAGATTGAGAACGATCCCGATGATTCGTCTGGTTCAGGATCGTTCTGGGATTTCAACAATCAATATGGCGAGCAAGATCAGGATTCTGATGGCGACGCCGACGCCGAAGTCGATGCTGACACTGAAGAAATATTCCGAAAGTTCCAGTTCCCTGACCCCTTTTCCACATCACTCGCTTCCCAGCCAGGCACTGCTGCTGGTAGTCCTCTGCCCGAGTTTGAGGAGCCAACGGAGCTGGACGGTTACGAGAGTAAGTATTTCTACATGGCCATATTTATCAAGACTAACATATCCAGCCGATGGTGATACCACCGAAGAGGACGAATACGAGCTTCCAGTACGCAAGAAGACTAGGCGTCCTTCCCATCCCATGAGCGACGCCTCCGACTCGGATGCCGATAGTCCAGTCAAAGCCGAGCGCGGTCAGCCTCGTGTGGGACGCTACAATCTGGACCGCTCCGACAAGAAGCCAATTGCTGTTCTCAATCCTGTTACTGGAAAGATGATGATCTTTACCCCTCATCGCCAACATCAACTCGACCTCTCACCTGAACAATTCAACTTTCCCTGGACTACGGAGGGCCCTGATTCGCCCATCTTGAGCAACTCGGCCAATCTCATGCTTAGCGCTATGTTTTCTTCCGGCACCTTTGGGGATTTCTTCAACTCCAACCAAATCATGGGCCCCGCTGAGGCCTTCTTTCCATTCCAATCTGAAGCCAACACCGCCGACGAAAGCTCGACCGCGCCTAGCTTGCAAGGCGAGGACGACGAAGACGCTGAACAGAACTTGAACCTTGCTGACTTCATCGAATGGGAGGAGAATGACTCCTCGGGCGATGAAGATGGTGGCAACAACTGGGATCCTGCATCAACCCCTGCGCGACCCAGCACAGCTGGAAGTGAGAAGGAAGTCCTTGGTCACCTTAACTCGGAGACCGTCGGAGCCTTCCGCCGCAACCAGATTAACCAGCAGCTCATCCTGAGTAACCAAGCCACACAAGACTCACTCGCATTCAGTGGTCCCTTGAACAACACTGCACTCCGAGGTCTCAAGTCAGATCGGTTCGGAACTGCTGCTATTCCCCTAACACCCGCTCGTCGCCATAAGAGGCAGATGAGCGATATGACTCGCAGCCCTCTTGAGTCTATGTCTGTGAAACGTAAGGCATCTACTGAAGCTGGCGACAGCCAGAGTCACAAGAGGCACAGAAGTATCTCTGATGTGAACTATCTTCACATCTAATGCACTGCACCCACCCCACAAAAACGTACGAGGACGGCATAGACTGTTGCCACTATCCCTGGCCTCGACACTACTCTCTTTTTACACATTTCCTTGATTGATTTCATTCGGGTCTGATGACCCTGTCTGTCTACAGCGTGCTCGAAGCGTAGAGCCCTCTCCCTCAGGGGACCGGGACGGATTTCTTTGGAAATGATACCCACCCGCTCCAGCCCGGTCGAGAAGCCGGGTGAGCGTATCGGAGGATCAGGGACTTGCCTATTCACTGTAGGAAAGGTGTTGTCCCGGCAGGGAAATGCTCTGTGAGCATCCTGTCTATAAAGCAAAAGTTAATGCCGCTAATGTTTTGATGGTCTTGATGTCGGAAATGGGCAAAAAGTTTCTCGTGTCTTTCTTTCATTACTGGTGTTTCCGTCTGGGTCTAGAGGTAGATAAAAGCCGCGACCAATTTCATTCAATGTCTTCATCTGTCAACTCCCCGTCCCGATTCTAGTGTAGAAGTGTATTGTGATGTAGTGATCTATTCCGCGTGAAGAAAAATTACCCCTGTGACCAAGTCTCGACATCACTCCCAGGAAACGAGTACCACAAACACACCAAACATGCCTCGGTTTACACAAACCTCACTTAGCCCCTTGCAACATCGCCTTCTGGTAATGCTCATACATTACAAGAAGTGAGGTGTTTGCCTATCCAACTTCCAAGAGCACCACAAACAGAGCCAGCGTGATCTTTTTCTTGTGATACACCGGTTACAATGCATTTTGAGAGGGCTGTATCCTAATGTCGAAATCAACTTTTGCCAATTACTTTGACTCATAAGTCTTGTCTTGCTTGGAGTTTCAGGTGCATGTTTGCTTACTCTGCGGGCGTTACACGCCAGCTTCACTGCTAACGTACAGCAACCAACGTAGAGGAAATCCTTGTTAACAAATGAAAATGACTCACAGATGAATCTATGACATCTTGAATTCACTTTCTAACACTTTACTCCCACATGGACTGGTATTACGGAGTATTTGTTCCTTTGCGTTATGTTCGCCTGGCTTGGAATGAGTCACCCAAATCCGTTTAAGATGATTGGCTGGACTGTCGCCTGTGCTTTGAGATTCAGCTTTGGTAGGTGAAGAACAGAACAACATACATACCTACAGTAAAACGACGAAGATTCTCAATTACAAGGTTATTGAGCTCGTGAGAACAATCAGGCGCCTGCGTATCAGTATTGAGTCCGCCACTGTGTAATAATGCGTTTCTTCAAGCTCTGGTGTCACAATAGCGCACTGCTACTCACAAACTCCCTATTGATCGAAGTCAATGATCGCGCAACAGGGCAACATACAAAACGCATTGAGTATTATTACAGTTAACCTAGGTAGTTCAAGATAGTTGTTGGATTGTTGGAAATGTGACGCCCGTTGGCCCAGGAGCGTTTATGCTGACAAGTGCTGTGTACCTTGAATTACACGCTCTGGAGAGGGGCTTAAAGCATGGTGATATTTTCACGACACTCATGCTCAGATCTGAAAGCGCATGATATCACGAGAAGGGCGAGAGAGCCCGATTGCTGTTTCCATTTCCTCGGGCGTCCTATAGTATAGTTCATTGCACTCGCAAAGGTTGAGTCCAGTCGTAAGCCTGACTTCCGTGGCGCGAGGTATTGACCAGGCGTTTCTTGGGCGCATGTGCCGAACCGTTTGAAGCTCAAATCGTGGCGTCCGGGGATAGATGCTTCCAAAACTCTGCACCAGCGACAGTGTGCAACGGGTTTACGTTCTGTTGAGCGGTTCGTGTGATTAGTATGCAAGCTTACGACGATCAGACAACACAGATATGTCAATCGCCTTCCTTGACGAACGGATAACCACGAAGCATCACCACAGGTGCTATACGATATAGCGAAGCAAGGATGGGTTTTATACATCTTTCTTGTTCCGGACGGCCCTGTCCAGCACCAGAGCGTCTAGATAAGATGCGGGCTGGAACGGCTCAGCCTTACGGGCTGTGATGTGGACCGCATGCTCAAGCTGATGTGTGACAATCGTAGCAGCACCAAGTGCGGAATAATGCTAGAGAGCTGCTCAAAAGCAGTACGGAAATAATTAATTGCAAAATTGAGAACAGGACGACTCAACTTTCTTCCGAATTACATCCTTTGGCGGAGGACAAGGTTGATACGAATTGTATGGTCGGGTGTGTGGCGTATGTCAAGCAACTTGATAGCTGAGGTGAATATTCCAGAAACGGACATCCGCCTGCAAATTGCGTATTATGATAAAGAAGCTTGACTGTAACTTGACATGAAGAAAGGAACAAAAAGAACATCGTCCTTACGGCAAGGTTCCAGATGAAATACAGTGAGTTGGAAAGCAAAAATTAATATGCTCGATGTACCCAGGACTCGAACCTGGAGCCTTTGCCACCGGAAAGCAACGCGCTAGCCATTGCGCCAGCACACCCGGGCGTATTTTGTGGATATTTCAAAAATTTGATCCTATATAGTGAAATCACAAATGTCCAACCGTGTATGTAGTAGCCGTTGATCGCAACATCATAACTGAAAGGGGATGGATGGTATTGCCATAGAGGTACTTATAACTATCATGCTCAGCTCTGCCAACGAGTTTCAAGAACTCTTCTCTCTTATCAGCAGTTTCCCATTCATACATGCGTTGGAAAGTATACATAGTAATAAAGACATAGGTTTTGTCATGTATTGTAAACGCAAGGTCCCGATGTGTATCGTGCGTGCCCAGACATCTAAAGAGGCATATAAACCAAGGGTCTGGCTCTCAAAAGCCCAAAGTAGTGGGCACTGGCTTTCTCATGAGAAGGAGAAAACCATGAAGGATCCTGAACAAGTGGTTTTTATGTGAAGAGAGTCAAGTTCGTTTGACACGATTGGGTATCTCAGTTATTTAGGTGTGTGAATCAATATCATCCTACACGCCTACCGCCATAGTCGTCAATTCCTTAAGCATAGCGTTGGGCTGCAGGCTGAGCCATAGTCATGGGCTCTTTTCCATTTCCGCCCTCAGTTGGGGGCGGTGCCCAGTGCTGCATGGGGATGCTCTGTCCCTGGGGAGGTCCGTAGTACTGCGGCATCTGCTGGAAACCCTGCGCTCCAGGAACCCAATAACCCGGTCCACCGAACACCATAGTGACAGGCTTTCGCATAGCTGCATTCCTCTTCTGCGTGTCGATACAGGCGCCAACAAAGAGAATAAAGTGCCAAAGCCAGACGAGGCAGGTAAACACCGATAGAGCAACGAACAGGGCTCGCTTGCTGGAAACCTTGTCACTGCTTGTGCAAACATATCGTCGTACGTCGGGATCGTATTCACAGTCTTCGTCGAGGTAGTCGAATGAACTGTAGTATGAGCTAAGGGTGCTCTCGAGACCACCAACGACCGCGGCGCCAAGCCAGATGAGAAGAGAGACGGCGACATGAGCACCTGGGTGGATGCCAGCCTTCCATTTACGACCGAAGCGGGTAAGAATCTCGGCGATACTCCAAATCATAGCAACAACAAACTGTACGAGGTCAGTATATGGCTTCGCGAAGGGCTGAAAGTGAGCCATACGATTGGGCAAGCACCAAGGGCAATCAACCCAAGTGTCTGAACGCTTCGGAGCGCGCCAGTGAGTCCCAGACCGATAACACAGCTAAGAATGTTGAGCCCATGAAGAGTCAACTTAGTAATCATCCAAGCCTTTGGCTCTTCAACTCGAGGTGGCGCCCATTGCTGGTTAGCGCCCGTGGCAGCAGTACCCGCTGGTTGCGGGTAGGGAGCATATGGCGGACCATAACTACGAGGGTCCTGCTGGAAGCCAGGCTGCTGTTGCTGTTCTTGTTGCTGTTGAGCGAATGTTTGAGCCGGGTGTTGCGCGTTAGAAGGGAAGGTTGGGTTCGAGGGAGATGGCGCATTCCGCTCCACGTCCGTCTGAGTTGATGATTCTGGCGCCATATCGAGGTATCTAAGGAGGGTAGGATAGGAAATAGGAAATGAAGTTTTGTTGTAGGAGGCGAAATTGTGAGGTAGTAAAAGTATAGGTAAGTGGCACCTCACAGCACAAGAAGAGTAACGAAAGTAAAGAGCGAACAAATGAACGAATGAAGAAACCAAGCGAGGAACGAAAAAGAGAGGCCTTGCCGTAAGGCGGGTAAAACAAACTTGTTATAAAGAACAAGACCTAGCTTCGCTTGACCCGAGCGATGAAACCTCCCCGGCCAAGCCACTGACAAAATGGCCGACGAGATTGAACGTCTTGAATTCATGCCCCTGGCCCTTGCAGGGGGATCGAAAACCATGTTAGTCTTTGCTTTTAATTGGTTGTGTGCCTGAAGTAGCGCGATGAACGGGGTCTTTAATCCCTGGGTGATGATCAAGGGGTTGCCCAATTGCGGGAACATGACGGTGCAAGACTCTGCGTTCGGTAGATATTTCACTGAGTAAACCGAAAATGATCAGTGGCAGTCAAAGCAAGCAAGAAGGCATTGCCTTGTAATTCTGAAGTTTGTCAAGGAATAGTTTGTTATTGGTTTGGTGTTTGTTGCATCCCTTTACTCAAACGAGTCTCAACATGAAACATGCAAGGCTCATTGTCAAAGAGAGCTGGAAAAAAAACTGGATCAGACAACCCAGCAACTTTGACGGTCTGAAATAAAGACCAACATTATTCTAGAAAGAAGCGACTCGCTAACAAGAAACAAAAACATGAAAATTTCCCTCGATCCTTGGCGGCCGCCGTTGAATGCGCATGACACCTTTAGCCCCTTTTGGGATCGGTCAACGTCTGGTTAAGATTAGACCAGGGGATAAGAGGAAATCGCCGACTTTGAGAGATGGCGATTTCATAGGGCTATTGTGTCATTGTGTCTTTGCTTGCCATGAGTCATTAGTCCCGAAACGACACAAGTTCAAGTCGTGTCACCCACTGCTCCTGTTCCTTGTGCCTGTTATCTAATCGCGTGCCCTGCCAAGACGACCAGACGGATGCTCTAATGGTTTCTCGCATTGCCTTTGCCGGCTTGGCGGTCTACGTACAGAGTACCACGTAGAGCCTCTGTCCGGACTTGGAAATTAAGCAATATTGCTTCTGCAAGATTTGGTGCAATCGGATCTTCTTTTGATGCAGTCTCGAAAGACAGTATTGACGCTTGCTTCTTATACACATATCCAAAAACTGCCCCATCATATACGCCTTCTATTCTCGCTGCAGAACAACCATGAGACCCATGATTCCCAGCATCACTGTCTTGAGCCATGGGTACTCCGACAAGAGGATCGTCACGTAACCGACAAAAGGCATGTATCCAAGTACGCTGCCGATGATGTCCTTTCGCACCAGATAGTCTTGGTTCTTGGCGTAGAGCTCGGTATCGTCTGAGAGGTTGTTGTCTCCCTTGGTCAAAAGCTGTGCCGTCTCGCTGCGCATTGTTAGCCTTGGTCCTGACTTTTCGATATGGGAAACATACCCCTTGCCAAACTTGCGCACAACTCGATGCACAATGGGAATGTCCTTGCCCTTGACGTTGTAAACGACAACCTCACCAATCTCGGTCTCGCGTAGGATGTTTCGGTTCCAGAGGAAAAGTAGGTCGCCTCGCTGGAAGGCAGGCTCCATAGAGCCAGAAAGAACGACGACAATCGGGGATGGCGAATCGCTAATGACGGAGAGGCCCTTCCACATCTGCAAAGAAGTTAGCATGGTCTTGAAGCGTCAGAGAGGACACGATTCCGTACCATGAAGGCTGTCGACAGGATAAGAGCGAAGTTCATGAGCTGCGCAGCAGCTTGCCGCGGGTTACCGAGACTCGAAAGCATGATGGCGGCTGTAGGACGACTGTGCGAAGCGAAGCGAGGGTGTTGAAGAGCTTGATAACTCCACGATGCAACTTATGGGGGATTCGCGCTGGAACGAAATGGACATGTGGCTCATGGGAAGCTCGAGGAGCACGGGCCACACGACACGGAACAGCTGCGGCGTTTGAGGCTGAAAATGTGGCTGTGCTGAATCAAAGTTGTCTCCATAATTTCAGGGACCTTGACGCTATAAATGGTCTAACGCGGGGTGTCACGCTGGAAGAAGGTGATGTCATGACTACATGAGAAGCATGAGATCGATGTCATCGGAGTGTTTGGCGAGTAGCGAGGTTGGTATTTAAAAGGATCATACGGAGGTTTCGTTCTTTGCTTTAACATTCTCCTCCATAATCAATTCCCCAGATCAACTCGAAGTATACCAGACGGAAACACTCGCACCACTTACCACTTACACCACTTACACCTTCACAACAACACTCAAAATGGCCGACAACAACAACAACCAGCAGCAGCCCGGTCTCATCGGCAGCCACGCCCAATACGTCAAGGGAGCCGCAGAGGCATGTACCTCCCCCATTTACCAGTATTCTCTTGCTAACTTTTGTTTCTTAGGCCACAATTGGCGCCATCACTGGCTCTGAGCCTTGGAAGGCCTCAGGCGAGCAAGACAAGGCGGCAGGTCTTGCCGACATGAAGAAGGCTGGAGAGCTTCGCGCACAGAACGACCCAAACAACCAGACAGGATACGGAAAGGCCGAGGAGATTGCTGGCAAGCTCACCGGCTGCCAGGGTATGGAGCGAGAGGGCCATGCCAGCGCCGCTCCCAAGAACGAATAAATGGTCGATGGAATGATTGATGCTTGTATAATAGAAATACCATGGCGATGACTCTCAGCTGAATGATAGCTGATAATAATAAACTTTTTATAAGACTTGGGCTCCTGGAATGTGAAGACCATCCGTTCCTACCTCCTTCTTGACTCTCTTTCAGTGCCTTCCAAATTACCCTGAACACAATGCGCTTTTGGCAGGCATGCCTTCCTCCCAAGCCCTCAGGCAACACCTTCTCCCCTACGATAACCACCCTGATCTCTCAATCGAATGCTGAACCTTTCGTCTTCTGTTTTCTCTCACCTCCATCACCGTCTGTCTCTGTTTTGTCCACCATCACCTCTCCGTCGCCTGGGTCCCTACGCTTCTTGGCTTCATCAGACGCTCTCATCCCAGCATCGCCTTACCACATCATCTTTTCGCTCGTATCACTTCCAGCATTGATCTGACACATTCCCACGCTTTCTGCTGAGCCCTCACCATGGACTCAGCACCTCTTCTCCAGAACACCGATGGCCTCCCCAGCCCAAATGTGATGCAGGATCATGTAAGCCTTGCCAATACCGCTCTGCAATAGTCTGTGGCACTAACAACGATGAAACAGCCTGCCTTCCTCCGAGCATGTCATTCCCCATGGTCTTTCATCCCTCAGAATGTTCTCGTCATCTTGCGAGGTATCGTTCTGGCACTCGTTACTGCCGTGGGGATTCTGGTTCTCAACTTCGAGTTCCACGAGCACACTGAGTACTCCAAGTGGCGCATCATCTTCGACTTTGCCAACCTTAGCTTGTTCTTCGTATTCCTGTACGAGCTGAAGACCTTTGTGAGTTTCAGCACTGGCTCAACTCTCTGTACCAAACTGACTTCGACAGGGTTGGACCTTTACCCATCTGTATTATCCGCATCATCATGACCGACATATGGGCGGCATAGAAGGATGGATCATCAAGAGAATGTCGCTTCCACATCACATGGGCAACATCCGCAAACAGTTCTATTTCATCCTCTACTACACCCTCTGTGATGTTTTTGCCTTTGCCAATTCGACCATCTACTTCTTCATCACTCGTGAGCACAAATCTGAGGGAAATACCAGCGGAGAGCCTCAACCAGACCGCCACCCACCATCAAATAGCACCAAAACGCCTATCTGGGCTGGGTACGCCGAGCAACCCCCAGAAGCTCCATGTAAGAGTACTTGCCCCATCGTACAGCCAGGTCACTAATCATGATGCAGTCGAGGACATCTTTGGCGAAGGATGGTTCCGGGCCTTCATCATCCTCTCCTTGTATGCGGTTGGATCTGGTGTCATGGTATTTGAGATTCTTTTCCTCAACAGTATCCGACGTCCATATGTAAGTTGTAGTCCAACCATGCGAGACCTTTGCTTATGACTATCATTCAGACTGTCGGCATATACCTGATCGCCATCACATTCTGCGCTACGATATACCTCGGTTGGGCTGCGTTTGGTCGCTTGGTCACCGACTACTGCGCTTTCTTCTGGCTCGACAAGAACGAAGTTGGCTCAGACGAAGCCATTACCCTCTACTCAATTGGGTTCGTGTTTTTGATGCCCATCAGTAAGTCCATACACAGCAAGGAGTGTCTCGATACTGACAACTGGTATAGTGTACGTCCTGGCGCAGGGTCTCATCGCTTGCCGGGAGTCCTTTACACGATCCAACTCCGAGGCGCGCGCAATCGCTGCTGCACAAGCGGCTCTCGATTCCTGAAATCGTCGTAATTGGGCATGGTAACGACCGTTGGACTGTTTGGTCCAACAGTCAATTGTGCAACGGTTACTGGGATGAGTCTGTTTGATTGGTTTACCATGAATTGATGTTAATGAGATTGACAAACTCGACTGGGGACGGGTCACTCGGGATCTAGCACACATCCAACCTCGAAACCTAGAATTGACAGCACCTTCACAAATAATTACGTGGTTACCAAATGTGACAACGACAAGTAGTCTAAACATCGGTTGTTTGTATTACACCGAGCTAGTGCCAATGGACTAAGTCATTAGGTAGTTCCTGTGGAAGGCTGGGGTTTTGTAAGTGTTTCGGTTGTGAGAGCGTGCAATATGTACATGAAGTATTGCGGCGTCGTGAAGCGGCGTGCGACAGGGACTTGGCAACCCCATCTTGGACGCATCCTAACCAGCCCTGCTGTGAGAAATTTACCAATCAAGAATGAGGATCTCCTGGCGCAGATGGACCAGCTCCGTAGCGTCTTCACAAAACCATGCTATTGGGTACCAGACGGATGAGTTGGTGAGGCATAACGACAAGGCACTTTACCGAGTGACATGACAATGTTGTGCTCAGAAGGGGGTTGGGGTGGCGATAATAGAGGTGGATTGATTGGTGTTGTTACGAAACGAGACTGGTTTAACGGCGGCGGTGCAAGTGACGACTAGGAATGAAAGCCGGGGAAAGTAAGATATGACGGTGAGTTGAGTTGGGCAGTGATATCTTGAGATTTAAGAGTGGCAGGGGTTGTTACAGTGAATGTGAGTGTTGGCAATGGAAGGCCCCAAGATACGAGCCTGACAGTTCAGCATTTATAATCAATTTAATGCGATGCTTGGGCTTTAACATGTCCAAGCGCTCAAAATTGAGTCTTAATGCCCATTGTACTCCGTAAGGCTCATGTAATTCGGGTTGCAAAGACTGCTAGGCTGCTGGCTGCCTCATCTTATCCTTGAACCCCGCGGCGTTAGCTGCCCTGACGTGAATGGCTGGTGATGACCTCCCCGTAGAAATAAATACAGGTCTCTCCCCCCAAACCCCCGACTCTCTTCTTTCTTCCTCCCCCCCACACACAACGAAAAAAGGGTCGCAAAGCTTCACCAAGAGGATATCGTCTTGTCTTGATAGACATATTTCTCCGCCCGGGCCCATTTGTCAATCTTTCCTGTTGTGCGTCACTCTTTTGTCTTCTTTCCCTTTTACTCTCCATCTCCACGCTCTTTTCGTCACTCTCTAGCCAAGTCGATCGATACACAAGTTGGGAGGTCATCACTCTCCCTTCCCCGTCGAAATTCCCGTCACGAGTCCATTCCTTATATACCGATTTCCTTCCATAACTACCGCAGCCATGTTCAAGCGCTCGTTTAGGTCGCAAGACCTCGGCCGCGTCGACAAGACTGCGAGACACAAGAGATCGGGCTCCCAACGGGACCACACGAAAATGTCGAAGCTGCAAAGATCGCTCAATGAGCAGGATGCGATTCCCCAGAAGTCCGCACCTGCACCCGCACCCGCGCCTGCGCCCTCGCCTATCGTCACCTTGACGGTTGGTCGAGATGGCCGACTCTTTGCAGCACATGAGGAAGTACTCCGCCAGTCGCCTTTCTTTGAGGCCGCCTGCCGCGGAAGTTGCTTCGAGGCACAGAGCAAGAGAATCTCCCTTCCCGACGAAGAACCCGAGGTGTTCTCCGCCATCCTCGAATATCTCTACAAGGGTGACTACTACCCACGACTGCTTCACAATAAGCAGCGCAACTCTTGGGAACTCGAGGACCAAGGCCGTACACCTCACACATCACCCAACCCCGAAACCGGAGGTGGCCGCGCAGGCGCCGCGTCTGATGCCACCATCTACCTGTCGAGTCTCGATATGGCCATCCTCCGCGACACAGTTGTCTACTGCGCCGCGGACAAGTACGGCCTCGAGGAGCTCAAGCGTCTGGCCCTGCGCAAGCAGGGACTGCAATCCGGCATCGATGTCGGGACCATTATAAGGTCTGCTCAGTACGCCTACGCCCACACACCTGACTCAGACAGCCGTCTGCGCGCTCATTACCTCGCCCTGATTATCCGCTGCCGCAAAACCTTTAAGCGGAGCGGAACCATGCAGGCCGAGATGGAGGCGGGCGGCAGCAAGCTATTCTTCGACCTGTTTGTGGCCATGTGTAATCACCTCGACGATGTCATTGACGTGAGCAATGCTCGCACGCCAAAGACTGTCTAAGTGATTCCTACTCAGCCAAACACACATTATACCCACTACACAGGCCTCTAGATGCCTTGTGTGTTTGATCTTAGCTGGAGGACATGCACGAAACGGAATACCGCCAAAACCGCGAAAAACAAAAACCCCAAAAAAAGTGATGCATTTATGGGAATAGTTGGAATTCGGCGTTGGGTTGCTTTTCATGCTCCATCATCAGATTGACCGTCCTAAGGAGCTTTGTTTGACTACATGACTCCCCTTCTGCGAGGTTGGCCGACCGAATTTTGATGATACATGAGCTGAGAGGATCTAATCTGCCGCATACGAAGTCCTTCACATCCTCTGCTCCTTTATTGTGTGTTTACTTATCGCTAGTTTCCTGTTTTGTCTTGTCATTTACAACTCTGCTTTGATACCCGCTTACACACAAGCACTGGGACATTTCCCCTGCTCTACTCTGGCGTTTTGATATCCACCAAAAAGACCGGGTTGTCTTTGGTTCAACACCAGAGTTTAGGGGGCATTTGAGAAGAATCGGAATGCTTGACTGCTTTCTATACCCGCAAGCAAGTGCTCCAAGATTGGAACACCGAAAAAAAAGCTTGCATTTGCGCCATCTTGGAATTTTCACAGAAAAAAGGATCTCTCTTGGTTTTGTTACTGTCTTTTTGCTTTCACGTTTTGGTAGGCGTTTTCTTGATTGAACAATGCTTAGAACGCGAAACGGATACAAACATCTCCTACTCTGGATTTTGCACAACGGGGGGGCCTTTCGAACGAGAGGCTTTAATAACACCTTAACCATCACACACTGCGTGTGTGCCTCGCCTCTTTAGTAACGGGTCCCCCTTTTTGCTTTGGTTCGCACATCTAGACTGATCCCTCGAACCCGTCCTTTTTTGCTTTCCTGTTTTTGTTTGCTGGAGGAGATGGAATTTGGAGATCCTTCTGCATGGTCTATGGGAGCGGCGAGTCGCCGATGAGAATGAAGTTATGATCTTGATGATTATTATCTAACAAACTTGGGATCGTTGAACGATCCTCCCTGGCGCTTTGCATCGTCAGGGTAGAGGTAATGAGAAAATCGGCCACCTCACTACACGTTCATTCCCTGTGATGTTTTTGTTCGCATGTGATGTCAATGCTTGTTAAAAAGGATTTACGGTACGTCTAAGCAGTAGGCTTCTCCCACTCCACTTCGAACTTGTCAAACGTAGCCTCAAGCTCCTCCTTGATGTCCTTGTTCGGCCGCGCTACAGCAGCAGAGACCTCCAGTTCCCAGCCCTCACCACCGTTCTCGCCATACGGCCAGTTCGTCTGTCTCAGAGGTGTCTTCTCGCCGTTTTCATCAATCCTGTACGTCCAGAGACACACACCCAGGGCATCCTCCACCTTCATCACCTTAACTGTGACGCTCTTCTCACCATTCTTGACACCAGCCTCATCCTGAGAACCTACCTGCTCAACACTCCAATCCGCCCAGTTGTCACATGTCACGGTTGAGTAGCGCGGGTGCTCGTTGTAGAGCTCAATACCTGTCTTGATCCACTTGCGAGGGGTGGACGAGGTAGGCTTGGTGAAAGTCAAGAGAAGACAGGCTTGGTCATATTGGTGGGTGTAGGTTGTGCGGAAGGTGAGAGTTGCGGAGATGAAGTGCTTGAGAGGCGCGTTGGAATGAGGACGGAAAGGGGCTGTGTAAGTTAGTAGAGGTCGAGTGTGAAGCTATTCGTGATGGTTCATCGCGTGGGGATAAGTGTGAGTGAGGGGTTGACTTGCCAGTGAAGACGTCGGTGGAAGGGGGCTGCTTCCAGATGTCGCCTCCTGGCGTAGCTTTAACGGTAAAAGGAGTCTCCATCTTGAGGATTATAAAAAACAATAAAGATAATTATAGGGAATGGATGGAATTAGTTTATCGACCTTGTCAATGACAAGCTGTACCATTTATAGGTCGCTCAAATGATGCTGCTATGTGAATCGCGGGGCAGACCTGACGTAATCGTGGTTGCCAACGCCAGTCTTCTGCAGCGGAATCTCCGCCATGCTTGTCTTAAACGCCAAGTTGTCGAATGATGATTGGTAAACATAGGCTAGAATGTGTTGGGCCGGATGTCGCTCTTCACGGTTAATTCTACAATAGTTCATGGCTTGGTGGATGTGGTGGAGTTAAGGTTAAATCGGGCAAGTATTCGGCGGGGAAGCTGAACACAATGTAAGGGGAGGACTGGGGTTTCTCTTGGGTTAAAGAAACGTAACCAAGAGTGAAGAGTAGACGAAAAGAATCCAAAAGCAGATATTTCTACGGTTTATTATATATCATCGAAAGTTAAAAGGGTTCAATACATTCAACAAGCCATTGAATATTGCTCTTCCACCTACCCTGTACTGCACCGTCCAGTGCCGAACGGTTAAACCATGGTTCTTTCTCGTCACCAACCACTCCAACAACAGTGTTTATGAACTGACGATTTGTTAAAGCTTCTTCCATGGCTGGTTTCCAGTAGAAAACTGGCATTTCACTCGATGTGTGTATTTGAGATACGCCTTCAATAAAGAGTGCTTTTTGGTTGGCAACTGTGTCATCAAAGTTCCGTTCCAAAAACATCACGCGCTGGTGTTCGAACCATCACTGCCTCGCCCATCTGAGTCAGGCTTTTCGCAGGGGCTTGATACAAGCGAGTGAAAACTCTTCCCCACTCGACCATAAAGCTCCGTCTTCCACCAAAAACACCCCGCTTCTATCGCAACTTTCGATTTTCTTTCACCAGTATCTCTGCCTCTAGAACGCGTCCCCTCTACTTTTTTTTAATCCTTATCGCGACGATCTTTCTGTTGCAGCAAATTACAGATCTATACTTGACAGCTTGACACTGCAGCTCTGGAGTGCTTGTAGCCTCTGTGATCTGGCCGTTTGACGGCCTGGAGGAGAGTTGGGAGAGGATTATTGCCAGACGATTTGCAATTCGATTTCACTTCACTTACACGATACTACGGCAATCCTCACAATGTCGTCCTTTCTTACACCACCAAAGTCGGGCCCTACTGGTCGCCCGACTGTCAAACCACGATTCGCAAAGCCCAATCCTGTCCGCGCCATGCGAGAACGAGAAGAACGCCGCGCTGCCAATGCTTCCGTTAACTCAAACAACCTCCGCGTCGCTGCTGTAAATCGAAACGCTTCACTCGCAAAACCGAACCGTCCGCAATGTCCAAATAAAGCGTGTCCGAAACCCAACGTCGTTGATGGCACATGTCAGACCTGTGGTCGTATCTCCGACGACAGCAACATCGTGGCAGAGGTTACCTTCGGAGAATCTTCCTCGGGAGCTGCTGTTGTACATGGTTCTTACATCGGTGCCGATCAAGCGGGTGTTCGCAGCATGGGACCTGCATTTCGAAGAGTTGGTGGATCGGAAGATCGAGAAAAGAGCATCAGGGAAGCCAAGGGCTTGATGCAGGGTTATGCGCAGCAGCTCAATGTCAGTGACAGTCTGGTCACTGCCGGAACTCAAGTCTTTAAACTGGCTTCCAGCGCCAACTTCATCCAGGGTCGCACACTGGCCAGCGTCGCAGCTGTCTGCTTATATGCCGCGTGCCGAGCAGAGCCGCCTTGCAAGGTTATGCTTATCGATTTGGCGGACTTGGTTCAGCTTAATGTCTTCAAGCTGGGCCGTATCTTCAAGAAGCTTAATGAGGTGGTGCCAATCGGCAACGATGGCCTTATTCCTGTCTACCCCGAGGATCTTATCTGGCGATTTGCGACAAAAATGGAGTTTCACCAGGACACTGCTAAGGTCGCAGAGGATGCCGTTCGTCTGGTCAAGCGAATGAGTCGAGATTGGATGGTCATGGGTCGTCGACCTTCCGGTATCTGCGGAGCTTGTCTACTAATGGCGGCACGAATGCACAACTTTCGACGAACAGTACGCGAAGTGGTTTACATCGTCAAAGTCACCAACCACACTATCCAGAACCGTCTACAAGAGTTCAAGGTGACCGAGTCGAGTCGAATGTCTGTGGAGGATTTCTTGAAGCAGGACTTTCTGGAAAGCTCCCACGACCCGCCTTCATTTTACAAGCAAACAGCCGAATACAAGAAACAGTTGGCCGCCAAGAACAAGAAGCGAAAGCGGCCCTCAGCAGACGGCGAGGATGGCGAGGCGGAGGAGGATGATAACCTGGAGGACAGGATTGATCCGCGATTAATAGAAGGAGGCGCTGATCTATCTAAAGCCCCAGTTGTTGAATATCGTCGCGATGATGATGGCTTCATTGTGCCACCTCTACCATCCAAAATCGCCAAGGACCCATCCCTTGTCAGTAAATACAACGAAAGCGCAGAGGACGAAGAGTTCGAAGAGGGGGACCCTAAACATGCCCAGACTCTGGAGAATTTGGTGCAAGAGTTTGGAGACGTGATGGATGAGGAGAATGCCGAGGACGGAGCTCAAGAGACCACCACAAGAAAGGGTGACAAGCCACAATTACCCATTAATGAAGAGTGGGAACAGGATGAACAAGAGCTCGAAGGCGTCATTGAAGAGATCTTCAATGATCCCTTGACATACGAACACGCTATGGCCTACACAACGGCTGAGCAGCGAGCACAAATCCACACTGTCTGGGCACTACAACAACGCCCGCAGAAAGAAGTTTCCATGTCGGCCGATGTCACAGAGGATGAATTTGCCGACGATCCCGAGGTTAAGAACTGTCTTCTATCGCCGGAGGAGGCCCAGATCAAGGAAATGATTTGGGTGAACCAGAACAAAGAGTGGTTACGAAAACACCAAGAGAAAGTGTTCCGGAAAAAGGTTGAAGCCGAACGACCAAAACAAACCCGGAAACGACGTAAGCGAGCCAGAATGGGCGAAGGTCAAACCAGCCCAGCCAGTTCGGCTGCTGAGGCTGCTGTCAACGTCGCCAAAGACCGTGCCTGGTCGAAGAGGATCAACTACGATGCCATTCGAAACATCTTCGACATGCCTAATATCGGAGGTCCAGGATCAGAAGCAACAAGTCGCAAGACCAGCGCGGCGGGAAGCACACGGGGTGGAGAAGACACAGGCGACGCACCTGATGAGAGTGTTGTTGGGGACGAAGCGGGAGCGCCACAGGAGGAAGAAGAGTACGAAGAAGAAGAATATGAGGAGACACAGAACTACGGAGATGGAGAAGGAGAGGAATTTGGTGGAGGAAACGATGAATTCGGCGGCGGATACGACGAGGATGATCCAGATATGGATGCAGAGTATGGACTGGAGGAGTATGCATGAAAGGACTAGATCAGCATGGCAAAACGTGTTTGGGATGGCGATTGATACCCATATTATAGAACAGACTTCGTGTAACGATTACTCTTGAAGAGCAGCGGAAGAATAGTATTGAGATACATACAGCAAGAAAGAAGAAATGAACTCAACCTTATGATCTATGTGATAGCATCGTGATGGGAACGTAGGCGCGGATATGTTGGGGCTGCCTATCCGAGATAGGGTCTAGCATACCATTGCATGGGATTGTGCTGTATTTACCCTGGTCGAACGTACTACTGTCTTGGTATTCGCAGCGGTGATGTGGTGTTTGGTGTTTGCTAATGGGAGCCGAAGCAGCTGAGCGGGTAGCAGGTGAGTGCCATGTTGGCTTCCGTCCATTTTCCACCTAAACTTGACTGACAGTCTACGACGGGACTGAACTCGACAATTTTGTGTCAATTTGACTCAAGGCACGATTACATGCGGCTTGCTGCTTCGACTTCGCCTGAAGCCAGCTGTGCAGCTCCAGCTTACGGCTTTTCGCAGACGTGAGAGTCTTTGGAACGCACCCCAAGAATTGCAGAGATCAGAGTGAGGGGCCTCTCTAACAACAGTGTAGCGTAGATAGCTCGGGAGACGCCTGGGTGTACACGCAATTGTTCAAGTTAGAAGAGGCTGAAGCATCCAAAGCGTCTCCTGTTCATGGTGAACATTATCTGTCTCGTTCTGTTTGTACACCCGCCACAAAAAACAGAGCTGACCATCTTGCTGGGTCATCAGTATATGCAGAGGGCTGTGATTTCAGTGGGCGTGTAAAATTAATCATGTTTCAGCGTAATACTGGTATTCATTGAAAGTGATTTGCCGCTTTCTTAATCATCCTGCCCGATACCTCACCTCGTCCTTTATGGCGGTACCAACTCGGGAGTTTCCTCATGATGGTGGAGATGTGTCCTGGGGATGGTGGCAGGTTTTCCTCGCTGGCCGCAGGTTCGACATGGAATGGCAAGCAATATTTGCATGAATGAGGACTTGGAAGTGGTCGCCGAGACTTTTACATTACTACTCGTCGCGGCTTGGCTCATCTCGGAATGGAAAGATGGCAGCATACCAGGCTGGCGAGCTTGGCTTGGATACAAGTGTGGACACAGTCAACGTTCAAAGGCATGATCGCCGCGAGACCAGAATACTACTGACTCGCTCAGCTTTTGAAGAAACTGGTGTGAATTGTTGGTAACTCTTAGCGAAATCTGAAGAAACCTCATTCTTTCCACAAGTAACAAGCAGCAAGACCCCTACGTCAGCACAATTGCTTTGGCCGCCACGTCCAAACACAAGGGGTTTCCAGCCAAGAACTTTGTGAAGTACATATTGTAGTGGATATTACAATCGAGAATATCCTCATCCGAACTCGTGTTCGCAGGCCGGGGAGGTGGGTGCAGCAAAGCAGGGAAAAAACAGGCAATGATCCTCCAGCCATTAGGGTCAGATCCCTTGCATCTAACCATCCGCTTCTCGTCGAACAGATCTTGGGGTTGGAAGTAAAGAAACTTCAGTCGCGTGGTGGAAGCTGTCAATTTGTACTTGAGCTCCACAGCCGAGTGTAAGAATTGTCGGAGGTCTGGACTTTGAGTTGGCATTTCTATTATGCTGAGATCATTGTCGTCCGCGATGTTTTGAGGTTTGTGGAAAACTCGAGAATTCCAGAAGGGTTCCAGAGATTTCGAAAGAACTTGGTGTAATTCCCCGACCTTTGCGTTGATGATACTAGACTTTTGATGCGACATCAAAATGGGTAACGTGGTATAGTCAGCCTTGTGCAGCGCGTTGGCTCCTTCTGCACGGGCTGTCCATTAGCTGTGGTCTCTTCAGGCACACGAATAAGAAAACTTACGAGTTTTGAGAATGAAATCTCGATACGGATTCGAAGTAAGCCACGAGGACTGCAGGAGACCAGGGAACGTCGGCTCAAAGACATGCTCGATCAATGCAGCGGTGATGAGACCAACGAGCAGTTCTTCTTTAGAGTAGATCTTTCCGACGTCATGCTGAAGAGATTTGGCTAGGTCTTTTTTGAAGGTCTGGTAAGCCCACAGCTTCGCCAGCTCAGAGAAGTCGAATTCTGGATCAGGCACCACATCGTTCAAAAGCTGCTCAACGATGTGTGAGCAAGCACTTTGGATTTGTTCAAAAAGAACCGCATAGGCATGGGAGATCTTGTCATCCGACATACGCGGACTATTAACATCGAAAGCCTTCTCCAGCGAGAGCCGTCTCTTGTCCGTTTCAAAGTAGCCCTTGAGGGTGTTTATGGCGACAGCATCTAGAGAACAGTCGGGTAGCTCCTCTAACTGCCGTTTGTATCGTGCAGTTTCGTTCTGGGAGACAAAGAGCTGGCTTTCGAGTTCCGAGATCTTTCTTTTGTTAGAATCGGACATGTTCGCCGGGGTCTGCTTGTGATCTCCCTCAGATGGGACAGACTGTTCGCAGAAAGGGTTGCATGTAATGGCAGGTTGTTCATTGCGTGGGCCATCGTCGTCAGTTACTTCCATCTGTGGCAATAAGTATCGTGTCAGTGAGCCCAAATAGGACGACGGCTTGACTAATATATACTTACTTGCTGTTCGTGCTCTGAAGTTGGCAGGAAGGCAATTGCATCGCCTTTTCCAATCTCAGATTCTTCGATTTGCTCTAGAGTCCTTGTGAGAGAACAAGGCTCTGCATCGGGGCTGGGGATGCTCTCAAGGATGCGTTTAAATTGTTCAACTGTCTCATCGGGGAGTCTCAAAGCACCCGGCCCAGTCTTCAAAAATTCCCGCCAAGCAACCCCAGAAAGTCTGCGGCTCTGGTGAAGAAGCCTTAGTCGATTTTCAATCTGCTGTTTTCTCAACTCGCAGCCAGTAGCCTTGATGAATCTCGGCATCGCAACGCGAAAAAAGTCCACTTGGTGGTTCACGCTCCATTGCAGATACGCAAAAAGGAACTGAGTCTCTGTTTCTGTCCAGAAATGCTTGTCAATCTTGCCGCTGTTGCCGCTCTTTCGTTTACGCGGCTTTGTTCCAGTCGCCCTTTGGCGTGACGCCTTTGGCTCTTCCATGGCTGTTTTCTGGAGATGGAGACCGGAGGACTTCGCGTCGAGATCAGTGGGAGAAGTGGCTGCGGTCTCCGAGCGGTCAGTTGCTCTGGAGACACTGGGGACTGGACACTGATATTTTTATGTCTCCTTGTGTAATCGCCAGATCTGCTTGCCGTGGCGTATCTACCAGGGCTGCTGCATCCCGCCTCGTGTAGACGAGGCTCTGATATATAGCTGATGATTGGCCTGTTGGTGTTGGTGAAACGGTATCAATCACAGTATCCTTGCTTCGCATTGCTTTTGCGCGCACGCTGAAGCATCTAGCCGGCCGAGGAGACAGGTGGGTGAGAGAATGATAAGTAATTCCATGGCTTATGACTCGTCTGTTGGTACGGAACTAATAGCGTCAAGCACAATGATATCCATGCTCCTCGTTGCTTTTGCGCACGGAAAAGCACCTAGCCTGCCGATGAGACAAGTGGATGAGAGAATGACAGTGAATTCTGATGAAGCTGACGAAAATACTGAAGTACTTGGAGGTTATCAATCCATGCAGATCTGACCGACCTTTTATGTCTCCCACTTTCATGAAAACTTGGGATCCCATTACTTCCTGACCTGCCCAACTACTGGGGAGAGAAGAGAAAACTGCTGGCTTTTGTTTGCGGCCTGAAGGATCTTTTCTACTCTCAGAACAATGTGTGACGGAGATAATAGTTATGCCTCTACATCATATTAAATACCCTTCCTTTTCGCCTTCCCTGATCCCGCGATTCTCACTAACCGTTATCACAAGTCCTGCGCCTGTTCTGTCCTTCCTTGTATTTCACAATGATGTATCCAAATGGCGAGCCGGCAAGAGTGGTCGTTGCTGTAGACTTCGGCGAGACCAACTCAGCCGTTGCATACACCTCTGTACCCCAAGGTACTCCTTCGACAGCCATTCCGGAAAGCCGCGTCAAAACAATTCGGAATTATCCTTCGGGAATGGTTGCAGGTAAGAGTGATCGAATGAGTCTCGAAGTCCCAACTCAGCTGCTGTACCCTCAAGGCTGGGTATTTCGTCCACTCGATGAATTGCGAGCCGCTCCACCAGGGCCCGAGATTGACGGTGATGGCGATAGCCAGATGAATGATGGTTCACATCTTCTCTGGGGCTACCAAGTGCTGGAAGAAACGATGCAAGTCACATCACACTCAGGCAATGGAGATACCCTACTGTATGGGTTCAAAACCTTCATGGACAGAGTATACAACGACGAAGCACCACGACATCACATCATTGAAGCTCTCACGCAGCTCGGTGAGAACAACCTAGGAAGGAAGATTGAAGTCCATGAGATGCTGCTTCTTGTCACGATAGACTTCCTTACCAAAATTCTCAAACACGCCAAGAACCAAATCATGCAAAAAAGATTCATCATCACATCCTCCGAGATAGTCATTTGCGTGCCCGTCATCTGGAGCCAGAGGGCCCTTCGAAACATGCAGACATGTATGTCTATTGCAGCGAAGCTAGCAGGCTTTCCGGGCATCAAACACGAAGACGACTGTATCGGCAATATCTTCATCGTTTCTGAGCCCGAGGCTGCTGCAACATGGTTGTTGGCACAAGGCTCCCGCATCAGGGCAAGTTCAGATATGAACAATTGCTAAATACCGAGACTAACCGAGCACAGAAAAACACGGACTTCACAATCTTGGACGCAGGTAGGCATGACAGAGCTCTGCAATGTTTCACGGCTAACAGATGTAAGGTGGTGGCACCTGTGACGCACTTACATATACCGTCACTCGCGAATTACCAGTCAGACTGAGAAAACAGCCAATTCGACACAGTGGTAAGTACTTCTCGTACGAAACGGATGTCTTTCTTACACACGTGTCAAGGCGACTACTGCGGTTCCAAAGCTCTTAACGAGGGAGTTCACAGACTGGTATACAACTTGCTCAAAGATCACACGTACTTGGAAAAGCATGGTGTTACTATTGCTGGAATTACTCGTAAGCTGATCGATCACGACTTTGACAAGATGACAAAGCCCAGTTGGTCGGCTGATGTCGAGAACTACGATTGGCGACCAGAGGTTGTGGGAATCAGATTCGACCCTGGTAATCCAAATGCTGGCAAGTACAACAACACGCCACTTGTGCCGAACAGGCTCACCATTCGTGCGTAAGTCTTGTGAATCCGCTCAATGTTCAGCCTTGGTACAGTAGTGTCTGACGTTTTGGAAGTGAATCGATCAACGCAATATTTCGGAAAGTCTGCGGACAAGTGGCAGACATCATGGAGGCTCAGGTAGTGGAGGGTTTGAAAGCGGGCGTCAGGATTGAGGTTAGTGCCACTACTCTGCTGTTTGTGATATTCCATCTCTGACAAGAAGCAACAGAAGGTCGTCCTGGTGGGAGGATTTGCGGAATCACGCTTTCTGTGCAGATGTCTAGAAGCTAGACTGGCCAGGATCAATGCGGTGCATAGCCTGAGTGCAGAGATTTACCGCCCAGACGACAACGACGACTGGTCGGTTCCGCTGTTGTAATTCGGTGGTGTTGGTCTAACTGGAGTAACAGGACGTCAGTAATCGATGCCGTTGCTAAAGGAGGCGTATGTCGTGCCCTCAACAAAGAAAACGGACCCATTAGGAAATTAAAGTCGAGTTACGGTGTTGGACGTTACGAGGTATACGATCCTGATGTTCACCGGGGTCAAAAGACTGTTCCGGCATTTCACAACGGGAAGACGTATGTCAGCACTATCCGTTGGGTTTGTAAGATGGTATGATTTGCCTCGTCACCAACAATGACTACCTATTCTCATTTCTGACGGCACAAATAGAACGAGATCATGCCAGCTAAATTCGAGATGGTCGAGGATCGGATTCATACGTTTCCTTACTGGAACAAGGACCGAACAGTGAACAAAGGGCCATTCTTTTGTACTGATGAAGTATACGTGTCGGACTCGGCTCACCTTGACCATCTCAGTGTCGATGACGAGCACAATGAAGGTATCTGTTCTCACTTCCAAGAGTCCATTCCGATACGATTTGCCGCTAACATAACCCGTCACAGGATCTGAGATGATTTGCATCCTCAAAAACGAGATCACAAGATTTTACAAGCCAGAACTCGGTGCGATGAGTCCTTTCAAGAAACGGTCCGCACCTCGGAACAAAAAACGGGGTCGCGCGCACTGGGAATTCCAATATCAATTGGTTTATGTCATCGATGGTCTAAACATGCGATGTAAGTGATAGTTCAATCATTGTGTGAGCTACAGCAACAAACTAACACAAATAGGTTTCCAAAGGTACAACGGAGAGATTTTTGGCGAGCTTAAAATTGGATGTGCGCCAGGTTTACCGTCGGGGTCGAAGTAGAAGACAATCGGTGGTTTATGTGACAACAAGTCAAAGTATGTTGTGTTGGTTCAGGGTTACCTTTCGTAACATAGAATACACTTCGTCAGTCTTTCTAGTGATAATCCAACTTCATACATTTCTACATGCCAACTTGTGACACGCCTACTGCACGGACACGTGGTCAATCGACGAAGTCTTTGACCAAACTATGCTGATGCTGAGCTAAAAACGAACTTCTTACAACTCAGTCAGGGGAAGGGTGGAAATCAGATTTCTGCTAGAAAGGCGTGTCGTCAGCATATCCTCAGACAAGGTTCTTGTCTTGGCTTTCAAGGTTCAAGAGCGGCACCTGTCTCATGTAGGGAGAACATGTGTCGAGAAATCTCTAGAAGCTCCTGGTGTATTCGAGAAAGCAAATAGCTTTTCTGCGAAGTTAACGAGCCTCGGTATAACTCTGACCGACTCGGCAGAATAGGGGTATTGGCTTGTCAGAATAAAAGTCAATGTTGGGGCTGCTGGTGATATTGAAGATTCGAGATCGCATGGAAAGAAAAACTCGTAAGGAAAGGAGACCCTAAATGAAGGGGATGTGAATCGTTTTGGAATGCGGATCAAGTCGCATGGGCAACTGGTCTGTTCAGCCGTATATCACTGTCAACGCCAGTTCGTGATTCAGACTCGTCTGAGCAAACGCTCATGTACTCGACGCCACTGGAGAACATTACAGTTCTGTGCCAGATATGATATTTACCACGCAATGCTGTGAAAAGAATAGCGTTTATTCCCAACCCTAGCCCTGATGAACTTTGTTTATTTCTCCCTATATAAAGCCGTCTCCTCATTCTGAAGCGGTAGAAAAATCCTTTCCTGTTCATCATCACATCATTTCTTCACGTCCAGACCAGACAATATCTGCGTACCACAATTGCACAGTACTGCATCGTTTGACAGAGCCATACTATACCCTACTATATCGACAGTCTATTCTCACCTTCTACCTTTCAAATCCTCTTCTCAATCTTTTACTCTATACAACTCTCTTCTTGTCGTCCCCCCTCGACACCCTCTTGTCTTGTCATCAAGACTTTACGACCCTCTATCTATATTCTACCTGCTACAAATCGCCACCAAAATGCCTCAGACACCACAAGTCTTTTGCAGCGAACCCATCGATAACCCTGGGCCAGAAATATTCTTCTACGCCGATGGGGAGGGACCTGTGACCTTCCCAAGAGCCAGCCTGAGTCTCAGCAGCTTCATGGAGGCCAAGCTTAGCGATTGTGAAAGAGCCGACTTTCACGACGCTGATATTGAGACAGTTGAATGTATCGCCGAATACATGAAACATCAAAAATACGTGTGCCCTGCTGGGCTTACATCCACGTCCCCAGTCTCAGTATGTGTCGAATCTTTCAAGGCAGCTTTGAATGTCTCCGCCTACGCGGAATTCTTGGAACTGCCTGATCTCGTGAGGCAGGCTGGAGCATACATCGCCGAAGCTGGAGATGCTCTTTCTTGCACGCTTGCCCTCAAGTCAATGATCGACAGTGGTTGTGCAATGAAGTTTTCCGATCTCATGCCACGAATCAACAAGGCGACGCAAGAAATCACCAATAACCCGCCTCCAAATCGCTATGGCCCACTCCTTGATTCAATCGGCGTCCCACAGACCTTGGGAGAGCTTTACCTAAAGGCGGTCTTGTTTACAATGGCGAATGGCGAGCGCAAACTTCGTGCCTTCGAGGACATAATTGAATGCATAGCCAACATCATGCCTCCCTCAGCCCACAGGGACGTGATAGCATATCATTTGGGTATCGACGAGCTCAGAGGAGGGTACGAAGTTTACGAACTTGTCGACTTGGATGAAGTCCGCAACGACGATGATGATGATCAAGCGGGCGTTTCTGAGAATCGTCGTGCTCGGCGGGCCGAGCACCAACGAACTCGACGCCAAAAGGTGAAGCGCGGCAAACAGGCCCGAGCAAGCAAACGTTGAGGCAAGAAGAATGGCCGTTGAGGTTAAGGGAATCGACTACGAGGAACAACTGGGACGAATTTGTATCACAACAGGATACTCTGGTTTACAAAGCAAAGATTGGACTTCGCATGATTATGGGATTATGAGTACTTGATGATGAATTAGTGATAATGAGTATTTGGAGATAATAGAATTGTACACACACATGTATCAAGTGTCTGGTAAATATGCTGAGCCTCAATGTGATGTGTGAGTGGCCAATCATACAAGTAGAGTAGCCGCCGTGAGCCGCCATGGGACACGAAGTCTGCCCTGCAGTTGCAGAATACCTTCTTATTTACCTCAAACTTCGATAGTTCTGGAATGGATGGCAAGCAGTTGGCTCCAATTACCAATACCTTGCCAGAATTTCTCCATCAGGCCACACCACAGGCTGTGGAACCTTTATCAACCACGAAACACAATATGACCGAACACGTTCTCATATATCTGAGGCTCGTTGAATCAAAATTCCAAGCTGTTTCATTCCTCTCCAATTACTTGAGTAGTTGTCTACATTCTGTCTTTGCCCTCAGACCCGCCCCCGGCCACAGCTAGTGACAATTCGGGGCTATGCCTGGTCGGCGTCTAGCGGCCAGCCTCACAATAACATGCGGGAGGCCGTCCAAGGGCCAACAGAAGCATCATCAATCAGCTAATTACCTATGTAAAACGTCATCATATTCCCCATTCTCGAATTATTCATACTTCAAGGCTCCCCAGCTCATTCTTTCTCCTGTCAACAGCATCTTGCATTCTCCACTCACTACTGCTTGACACTCTTAACATCAGCACGATGGAAGCAGAGAAGGATACTCGACCAATAGAATCGTCAGTTGAACGCTCACTTATTTCACGTATATACTGACTATGTGAGCAGGCCGTATGGGAGCGAGATCTGTGCTGTTTATTTCCATGAAGGCCCCTTGTACATCAACCGAGAACTTCTCCGTCAAAGCAATGCACTTTTCTCAGCAGTAACAGAAGCAAAACCATTTCCCTTTAATTCTAAACATGTTAATTTGAAAGACATTACACTTGAAACAGGCCATGTTATCATTCACTATCTCGTTACCAACACCTATCAATGCCTTAAATCCCGGGCGGAAGCCTTGGAAACGAGGAACGTGGAGGAGTTCTGCACAGCCACAAATGTCTACACAGCAGCCGTGAGCCTTTCCCTGAATCAACTTCGCGAACTTGCGAGAGAGGAGCTGGTACGACTGGGCGATAAGATGGAACTTTCCACCCTCATCAAAGTCATGGATTTATCAATCTCGTCATTCGAAGGCCTCCCTGGTATAACATCATACATCGAATCAAGACTCATCTCATTCTATAAAGAGAGCCCTAGTGGCACAGCTAGCCGACTATTGACAGATATTGGTATCCCTAATACCCTGAGCAAAGTCTTGCTCAGAAGCATCGTCCTCATGAAGGCCTCTGAACGTTCTCAGGCAGCAGAGCCAACCGTTCAGCATGCGGCGGGTGGTCGCTCGTATGATTGCAATGGATTTCATTCTACCAGAAAAAGTAAGCTACGTTCTATCATGACACCAGCAAGAATGATTGTACAGTCCTCGCAATACTTTGTATACTAATGTCAGACACCAGCAACAGACAATACGCAAGACTCCTCTAACACGGCACAGACCTCGAGAGACAGATCTTTCGGTCGGCCTTTCGTTCAATCTGGCGACGAGACCGACCAGTCTTCTGATGCGGCCTACCCACTCACACCTAGCTCTAGTCAAGCGTCGTCAAGGTGGTAGTGGACTGATATCGTGCGAGACTTCGTCACGTAGGGCCAAGTCACCAGTCTTGAGGTGGAAGGAGTGGCCAAGGGAAAGGGCAATTGTTCAGGTCACTGGGCAGAAAATAGCTACAAGGATGAGTAAAAGTATTGAACCGACCAGAATAAGACCATAATTTGCAAACCATGGTCAAGGTTAACGTGCCAATACTCGGGAACCTCGGCCTTTATTTGCCTTGCCTAGGACGACAGCTTTCTGTCACCATCAGGGTCTTGCCAAGGTTGGGGATTATACACTTAGTCATACAGAAGTTTAAAGGTTGTGGGAGGAACAATCATGAGAATTCACATGACTGTCAAGATGCCGTCATCTCGGTCTTGTGTGAGCGGGCAGGAACTTTGGGTACGGGTCAAGGCTTGACAAAACCCCATCATAAACACCCTCCATCCCTTTTTCCATTCATCTAGCACATTCCATCACCATCAAAAGAAGTAAAGAGTACAGCAATACGACCCATCGCCACGAACCACGACATATCAACATGACCTCTACAAAGAACATGACCTGTCCAGAGTCGTAAGTCCCAGCTTGCCAGCTAGGAGAGAAAACGCTAACATAATCCCAGTCCCTACTCGAGTCCAATCTTGAAAATCAACTTCGATGGCGGCAAGAACGTTATCTTTACGCATCGGGACATCCTGCTAAGGGTGCCGGCATTCTCTGCTCTAGTACTAGAATTATACAACAACAACAACGCGCTTACAACCTGCCCAGAATTAATGGGCATCTCCTTCAAAACTTTCCATGTGCTCTATCACTATTTGAACACCGGGCAGTACCAAAGTCTCAAGCCGTTGGGGGCCACCGACGCCGATAGGTGGTTGCATGGTTTCGAGACTGCGCTCGATGTGCACCGCTTTGCCACAAACATAAACTTGCCATCTCTCAGGGACTTGGCATGCGTCGAGCTCGCCAAGAATAGCAACAACATGAACCAAGAGTCGATATTCCGGGCTATGGGAGAATTGAAAGTAACGCTTGCCGATTTCCCTACACTGGCTGCCTGCATCAAGACCCGAGAGATGTATGCCAAGAAACAGCAAGCTAGACAGGAAGCAAACACCGCTCTTTCTACCCATCAATCCCCCGACCCAAGAGTTCAGAAGGCGTTGGAAGACGCAAAAAGGAGGGTGATTGAGAATGGGTTCGAGGAAGACAGGAATAATATGGAGGCACTCGATGCAGTCATGAAGTGTTTTGCAGACCGCACCAGGAAACTGGATACCACGGAAGATACTCCCGTTGCCGATACTGATGGCCCACACCCTGTGACGTCCCGCGATGTGAATACCGTGTCTGATGATTGGGATATTCTAAGTCCTACGGAAGTGTCAGAAGAAGAAGATTTCGATTTGAAGAGTTTGGCCATTTCATGTCTCAACGCTTCCAACAAGAGGAAGTTGGATCCTTCAAAGGATAATGATAAGAAACAGCCCTGAGCTACCACTGGGAAGAGTTGTGATCGGAAATCTGTGTTGAGGGAAACGTGTGGAGGAAGTCTATTACGAACCCCCTTCTTTGTCTGGCATACAGCGATAGAAAATCGTCTTAATGCATGATCCAACATCATGTTGTATAAGACATTTGAAACATAGCCTTTTCATTAGCGGTCTATAATACTCAATCTGTATTATACTGTTCCTTTGTACACTTTTGCTACTTCGAGTTGAAATATCGCATGCTTGAATCTCGGAAATAACTCAGAGAAGAGCTCTTCTTCCGCCAGGTGTGATAACAATGGTAGAACCTGTAGGGACTTGGGTGGCGTGACATGACTCCTACGCTGTTTGCGCTGTGATTTCAATATATCGCCATACTGCTGCCAAGTACCCACCCGGAAGTCATATCAATTCGGGACCCTGTCCCACACATACTGACAAATTGGGGTCCAGTACGTTAGTCGCATCAAAAGCTAAGCAATGTTACAGGTCTAGCCGTGTTGACACGGAATTTTGCTTGTATCTGTTGGATGCCCAAGGTGGTTAATGCGGGAGGCTTACCAAAACACATCATTAGCCGTGGAAATCAGCGAGTCATAGCATCGTCAAACAAGCAGTGTTCAATTGCGTGGTCCTCCTATCATAGTTACAAGTCAAAAGCCACGGCGGCTACGCGTTTGAGACACCGGCCAAGTGCGGTCAGGCTCAACGGATTGTCACCTTGCTCGCTGATGCAGGAGGCCGACCCTGGCGCGTCATGGAAGAGTTGTGTTGGGGGCAAGCTTGCATTATTCAAAGCTGAGAAGAGAGGGAAAACAGCATCAATGGGAATTCCTTATCTCTAATAACTTCCCTTTCGACACTTTTCTTCTCAAAGTTAATTGTCTCTGCCTCTCTTTTGGCAAATTTCCGGGCCCATGTGATAGAGAAGCCTTGGAACTACCAGTCTTGGAATAATCACCACAAACCTCGCTGGAAAGGCGAGAGCAAACTTTGTATCATGGATCCAGAAGGCTCTGATATAACCCTGGATATTTCGTCAGTGTCTCGTTACCAATTCTGTATCATCATACTTACAAAGATATAGTCCATACTTTGGGGCAACCTGCAAGGTCATTTTCCAGGATGGAGTCAAGGCGACTGTACATCGCAATGTTATCCCTGCAGACCTACGAATGAGCACCCGCTATTCCCTGGATAAGCCCGTTACCTTGGATTTGAAAGATATCGACACAGGCACAGGACACATGATCGTTCATTTCTTGTACTCTGGGAAGTACGAGTCTCCCAAGTCCAGCAATTGTTCTGAGGTCGAAGCCACTATCTATGAGCTTGAGCTAGCATTCAAAGTGCATACTGCCTCTCTCTGCTTGAACATGAAGACCCTCCAAGTTCTCACTGAGGATGAGATCTTGAAACTCAGCGATCAGTTGAGCTTCCCGTTAGTCCTCGGTGTCATAGGGAAATCTGAGATCGATTTCGCCAAATTCCCAAGATATGCAGAGTACCTTCAGTCTCACCTGATCTCCCTGAAGATGGACTCTTTGGACCAAACAGCAACTGATATTCTATTGAAACTTGAGACACCGGATACCTTCTGCATGGTACTTCTCAAGACACTCGTTGTCTTGGGTAGAAAGGCAGCCAGCAAGCAGCCTGATGTGGATAGAGACTACCGCGAGACGGAGTTGTCTCTTATACAATCTCTGGCAGAACAGGCTGATGAGATCGACAAGGCAAATGAAGAGATTGAAACACTTCAAAGAAAGGAAAAGCAGGGTCTACAATTGATAAAAATGTATGATGAGATCACGGTACTTCACAGGAAGAAGGGGATCAATGGAGGAAAACTCGCGAAAAAGTACCAAAGACAACTGGAAGTTCTTGAAAGACAGATTGCTGCATGTAAGTTGGAACACAACCAAGAGCAGACGGAGGATCAGTCTGGAGAAGGTGTGGAAGAGGATCACCAGTCTACAGATCAATCAGCCCATCACGACGAAGAGCCCGCTGAAGTTCACGTTGAGCAGGATACCCCGACAGAAGATGTCGAATCCAACTGGGGAGGTTATAAATCCCTTGGTAAGATATCCTGATTGCCACAGAACTCTTGCTAAGCGGTTATAGGTAACTGACGATCCCCTAGTCGAAGTTGGAAGTTCCTGTTCCGAAGTCAGCGGGAATTCATTTGATTGGGAACACGTCCCGAGAACGGATATACGGCACAGTCTATGGGTTCCGTCAGCGAGTGGAAGTGTGAATTTCTTGTCAAGCTCAGGTGGTCAAGTGACACCGAGTAACAGCGAAAGCTTATCTTGAGTTCTGACCACAAAGTATGCCTGCTATGGGTTTGTGGGCATTTCTTTGCGACGTGTGCAAAGTATTAGACTTTAGAATAGCCATCATAGTTTGAGTTTGTTTTATATCTTTTCCTGGTGTACATATGTTGAAACCGTACGCTCTAATTCGCTGGCCATCTTCGCCTGCGTGAGGGCATATAACTCTAATCCAGTCTCCTTAAGACTTTATAAGACTTTTTATGCCGGTTGACGTATGAGATTAGATCACCCTCGTCTCTATCCTCAGAAGGTTCGAGATAAGGTTAGAAAGAAGCTTTATTCTGACAGTCACCACTTACCATCAAGTGTACAAATCATATTGCCAAATTCTTTCAGCATTGTGTGAGAATCTTAAAACCGTGGCCGTGCCGAAGCCCTACCACAAAGGTTAAATATCTAACAGCTGCTAGAAAAGCGCACTTCCCCTTCTAAAAAACTACTCTTCTTCTTACACGTTCGGCATATCGCACACGCTTAGCATCCACACCCACCCCTCACCTATTCGTAAAACATGTCTTCTCCATCCTCAACCTCGTAAGCGTCCCAGCCGCAGATTCATCTCGCATGAAGAAGCTTACTGACATTTCAAGGCAATACGGCGGCCGTATGTGTAGCATCTGGTTTCAAAACCAAGGACCACTACGCGTTTCCATAGACATCCTCAATAAATGCCCGAGACTCGTCGCTGGACTACACTTAAGAAGCTGTAGTACAGGGCCCCTCGACCAAGCTAACTTCAATGACATCTCTCCTTCCACAGGACACGTTATGATTCATTATCTTGTTACGGAAAGATATGAAGGTCTCAAACCAACTGGAAAAACTGAAGATGAGCGGAATCGCTCTGAGCTGGCAACTGCCTTCTGGGTCCATCTCAGGGCCGGGGATTTGGAACTACTAAGTCTTCAAGAGTTGGCACAATCCGAGATGAAGCGCCTCGTGAGCAAGATGAACTTGGTTTCAGTGGCCCAAACTCTTGAAGGAACGGGGATATCCCTTGACAACAACCCGGTTCTGGAAGCGCATCTGGCCGACCAGATCGACCTTGCTCTGACACAGTCTTCCAAGGAATCTCTCAACTCCTTGACCACTCAGCTAGGGCTGCCCAAAACTGTCAGCATGTTATTTCTTGAGTACATTCTTGAGTCTCAGAAGTCGCTGCTTGACGCCCAAGGTTACAATGATGAAGAAGCTTCTCCTGATTTGTCTTGGGTCCAATTTGAGAAGGAATTCCAAGCACTAGTGCAGAAGTTCTCCTGGATAAATCCCACCTACAAAGACTCGGCACTTCAACGAGAGCTCCGAGTAAAGGCCGTCAGGGAACCACAGGAGAAGACAGCCCTTGAAGATCGCATGTTGAAGAATGGAAGGCTGAACTTTACTGATCAAGCCCGCCTGGAGACACTGCAGAGCAACGCAACTCACAGGGCTATGGTGATGGCTGAATGTGAGAAGGATATAGCTGCTACAAAGGAACAGGTTCGCCAGATGAGCAAACAAGCCGAAATCCTTACTAGCCGGTTGATTAGAGAGAACCGTTATGAAACATGGTTGCAGTGGCGTAAGGCACAGAAAGGGGTTTTGTACTTCGAGCAGTTTACTTGTGTGAGGGGCAGACAAGATTTTGGTGAAAGGGAATTTAATCGTTGTCAGGAGACTGCAGAGGAAGTGACAAGCCGGGGAACGGATGAGTCTAGTGGTAAGTACACGCGTACTTCTTCCTCCAAGGTTTATTTGGATGGTTCTAACAATGATTTAGACGACGGGATAATGACTCCTAGTACTGACTCGGTTCATGAGTCAGCAACTGAAACACCAAGTCTGCTCGTAAAAGATGAGACCGTTCGACGAAGCCGCGCAGAGTCGGAGAGAATCGCCAAGCTAAGGCTGGAGATGGAGAACAAGAGGTTGAAGAGCCGTCTTCAAGAAAGAGCACTACTATCTAAGGGCGACTACGTGATAATATCCATCCTCTTCATATTTTTTGTCCTTTGGTAGGGCTCGGAGTCGGAGGGCTAGATAAAGCTATGTACGATTTATGTATCCCTATTTGAAGATCTTACTAGTATCCTTGAATCACCTGCATTTTCGCAAACTGGACTTGTGCTTAATGAAATCATTCATGTCATCGGCTGGTGCCAATGAGCTGCCCTTGCCATGATCAAAATATCCACGCTCGACAAGACCGATTCAGGGAATAAGCAACATCAACTAGATAGGTAGGTATGTTAGCATTTACAAAAAGGCGTGATCGTCGTATTGTGTACCCACTCAATTTTAGTAAATGAGCCTTATGAGACAATACCGCGGCGTTTACCGAGGCACGGAAAACTCTATATACACCGCTAATCCGATCGTGGAACAACGTCCAGCCAACCACGCCATAATTCACAACGAGGCCCCATTCCCACCTTTGTGGCCTTGGAATGACGAGGGAGATGCCGATACGATAAACAAGATTTTGGATCTACAAGAAGTGATACCGTCATAATTCCAACTTTCACATCTTCACTATTCACAACATCTTTCTCAATCACCACTTACACAAATAAAAATGCCCTCTAACAATGCTGCGTGGCTTGTGGCCGCAAAGACGTCACCACTCGAGGTCAAGGAAGCGCCCCTCACACAACCAGGCGAGGGCCACATTCTCGTCAAGAACTCGGCGGTGGCCATGAACCCCGTTGATCTCGCCAACCAACACGTAGGAATTTTCATCCAGGCATCGCAATATCCCGTCATTCTTGGAGAGGATGTTGCTGGTGTCGTAGAGGCAGTCGGCTCTGGCGTCACCGAGTTCAAGGCCGGTGACAGAGTCCTTGGATACGCGACGTCTCTTGCGAGCAAGGACAATGTCAACAGCGCTTTCCAGGAGTACACTGTCATTCGTGCAGAGTGCGCATCCAAGATTCCCGAGAATCTGTCTTTTGAGCAAGCCGCGGTTCTGCCTCTTTCTCTCGCCACGGCTTCATGGGCCCTGTTCGGTGATGCGACCCTCAAGATGAAATATCCCAGCCTCGCTCCTGAAGCTAATGGCGAGACGGTCCTCATCTGGGGAGGCGCCTCCAGCGTTGGAGGATCAGCCATTCAGCTGGCGAAGGCAGCCGGTTACGAAGTCATCACCACTGCATCCGCCAAAAACCACGACTACGTCAAAAGCCTGGGCGCCGATCATGTCTTTGACTACAAGTCCCCTCAAGTTACCAGGGAGATTGCCTCGCTTCTCACCGGTAAGAAGTTTGCAGGCGCCCTCGAGGCCAGCGGCGCAGACGACGGTATGACCAACGCCAGTCAGTCAATCGCTCATGCCGAAGGTCTCCACAAGATGATCTGCGTACGAAGCGCATCGTCTACATCGCCCGAGGTCGAGGCTCAGGTCATTCTATCGACCAGCATCATCAACACTCCAGTTGCTAAGGCTGTTTTCGCTGACTATGTACCTGATGCTCTGGAGCAGGGCAAATTCAAGGCTGTCCCGGAAGCGGAAGTTGTTGGAAAGGGTTTGGAGTCGATTCAGTTGGGCCTCAACACGCTTGCGAAGGGTGTCTCGGCTAAGAAGATTGTTGTTTCGCTCTAAAGGTCAAACATATAAAATGACCATAGTCTGATATAAATATTAATCAAGGAGTACTATGTAAAATAGTAATATTTTGTCAGCAGATTATGCGCCAATGTGATCAGTCTTCTTAGCCTCGGGTGCCTTTCCCCTCTTCTCCACATAACGATATTCAACCTCAAAAGTCGCGCCATCATCCTGACTCCAACATTTCAGCGTCAACTGCGTGATACACTAGAAATTATCACAATGGCTGATCCGGAAAAGAAAGAGACCATAGCTCTTATTGGCTTGGGCACAATCGGCCTCTCATTTGCTGCATTGCATCTACGCTATTCAAACGCCAGCCTCCGGTTATACGATGTACGCAGTGACTTGAAAGAGCACATCGAAAGCCTACTACCAGTCTATCTCGAGTCAACAAAGAAGGAGGGAAGTCAGGATAATCTGGCTGTTCAGGCCTTGATATCCGACGGTCGACTTCTGATATGCTCTTCCATTCAAGAAGTATGCTCGGGTGCTACCATCGTACAAGAGCAAGGACCTGATAGTGTAGATTTCAAAAAGTCAAACTGGGCTCAAGTGGTGAAATACGTACCGCCTTCTGCTCACCTGTGGAGCTCGACGTCTGGTATTCTAGCTTCTAAGCAAGTGGAAGATCTCGAGGACAAATCCAGGGTTCTTGTAGTCCATCCGTTCAATCCAGTAAGAGCTCTCATACTATCCCTACTTCACATTGCACTAACTAACTATGAAGCCTCACATCATGCCACTGATAGAGGTGGTTCCTTCACCTCACACCGCACCCGAAAGAACACAGTTTGCGATCGATTATTTCAAAGGACTTGGATCAGGCCACCGTCCTGTCAGAATCAACAAGGAGACCCATGGCTTCGTAGGCAACCGCCTAGCATTTGCCCTTTTCAGAGAGGCCTGCCACCTAGTCTCTAACGATGTGGTTTCAGTCGAAGACCTAGACACTATCGTCGAGGCCAGTATTGCCCCTCGCTGGGCTGTTGCTGGTCCGTTCAAGACATACAACAGCGCAGGTGGAACTGGTGGAATCGGAGCTTTCTTGCATAACCTTGCTGATACTATGGAGGCGTGCTGGGATGATGGCGGCAAGATCAGCCTCAAAGGCACGTCTGTTACCAAGTCTGGTGAAGACGGTGATGCAGATGGTGATTGGACGGATAAGATCTCAAAGGAGACCGAAGAAGCATATGGTCGGCCAACGGCAGACTCGTTGTCAGAGCGGGATCGCAATTTGCAAAGGGTTATAGCTGCGCAACCTCAAGGGGCTCAGTGATTATTAATCAAATTGATTGTTAAACATCAATCATCTCCGATGGCAACTCAACCCTTCGACTAAGGATTCTTGGATATCAATCTTGCTTGAGTGACTTTACGCATCTCTGCAGACGTATTTACTAGATGGTTGGTAATGTATAAAACTGGCAAGTAAGCCATATCATACTACTACTAGTTGGCTCTACATGCGCACGTAGTATACGCAACCTAGCTATGTCAGGATATCGAATAGAAAATGCCATTTCTTTCTCCACGTCTAAATAGCATCTGCATGGTCAGAGTTGATCTTATTCAGGGGTCTAATTCTATCGAACATTCTTTCACGTTCTAGGATGTTATAGTGTACTATTGAGCCTACTTGTTTGTTAAAGGTTGGCCTTGAACAAGGCGGTGAAAGTGACAAATTTACCCATGCGTCAATGCTTTTAAATCAAGGCATTGACCAGCGGCCTGACAATTGCCCCGATTCCGCGGCATCAATCGTTGATCCCATGTAGATACTCTTCCACCTAATACGGGAGTCTGAAGTTTAAACATGAACTGATACCGAATTTAGGAGCCGACAAGACAGGTAAGATCAACCTAGAAGGTTCATGACGTGCGCCAAAGCTCCGCAGAGGTGGACATTTTTACTAACATCCAACGCCGCTTATAAATACCAGTCGTCGCACGGTTCAATAACGTTATCGAAAATCTCTGCGGGTCGTTCGACGGGCCCGGATGTCGAGCCTCGATGAGTAACTAGTCCGACCGGGACGGAGGAAGCGATTCATGTACCGAGGCTAAATGGCCCCATCAAATAAGTGTCTGGAAACATCCAAAAACTCTGTAGCATCTCATTACTAAATCCAACTGTTTAAGATAGACAATTGGACTGGAATACGTGAAGTGAGATATCATATGTTTATGAATTTCTTTCATGGATTGTTCTCCAGGCTAGATGACACAGAAATCTTCTAATGAATATGGTCAAATGTTCGTTGTCTTGAAGATATCTAAAACGTTTCGGATACTTCTGCACTCCGTACACGAATTCGATCAACTCCGCAAGTGGACCCTGCATTGTAACCTCGCAGGCCTCGTCACAACATGGTCCGTTCACTTGAGCGCAGCGATCGAATGGAGCTTTGTATTTCATTGCTAGCGCCACCGAGTTCGATATAAAAGGAATTCAACGCCACGTTCAAAAACTTGACCCCATCAATTATCGATCTCTTATCAATATACATAATCACTTCAATATGGCTCCTCCCACAAGATACGGCGACGAGGTCGTCGACCCTGCACCTCTACTACAGCCTCTCGATTATGTCTTCTCAGGACGACAAGCCCCCAACCGCTTCCTCAAGGCCGCCATGTCCGAGAAGCTCGCCACCTGGGATGCCAAGGACGTCTCTGCCCGAGGATACCCTACCAAGGAACTCGTCACTCTATACAGAAACTGGGGAGCCGGCGGCTGGGGCTCCATCTTGACGAGCAACGTTATCATCGACGGCATAAACCTCGAAGCCCCCGGCAATCTTACGATTCCCGCCGAGGAAGGCTTCGAGGGTGCGCGCTTCGAGGCGTACAAGGAGTTGGCCACCGAGGCGAAGAAGGACGGCAATCTCTTGATTGCCCAGGTCTCGCACGCTGGTCGTCAGGTTGAGGAGTGGATCCAGCCCAACCCCATCAGTGCCTCCGATATTCAGCTCGTCAGTGGCGGGTTCGGAGGAAAGACATACGGCGCTCCTCGCGCAGCTACCAAGGAGGACATCGCTACTGTTATCAACGGCTTCGCCCATGCCGCCGAATTTCTGGAGAAGGCTGGCTTCGACGGTATCGAGCTTCACGGAGCTCACGGTTACCTTCTGGCTCAGTTCCTTTCTCCTCGCACCAACAAGCGCACCGACGATTACGGAGGCAGCCGCGAGAACCGCATGCGACTCGTCCTCGAGGTCATCGCCGAGATCAAGCGCCGTGTCAGCCCCAAGTTCATCGTCGGTATCAAGGCCAACTCCATCGAGTACACACCTGGTGGTGTTGAGGCCGAGGACGCCAGAGCCCTTGCCACCGAGCTCGAAAAGGCCAAGGTTGACTTCCTGGAACTTTCTGGTGGTAACTACGAGAAGTTTGCTTTCGCCCACGTCAAGGATGAGAACCGCAAGCGAGAGAACTACTTCCTCGTGCAAGCTGAGGAGATCCGCAAGGGTCTGAAGGGAGAGATGAAGGTCTTTTCCACCGGAGGTTTCAAGAGTGTCAAGGCGATGGTTGACTCTCTCTCCATCATCGACGGCATTGGTCTTGGACGCGCCAGTTCCCAAGAGCCCCGATTCCCCAAGACCCTTGAGAAACAATCTATCACAGGTACCGTGGAGCAAAAGTTTGACCACGATGATGTGCTTAAGAGATTTGCTGCTGCTGGTGTTCAAATCTCCCAAATCGCCAACGACCAGGAGCCTGTGGACTTGAGCAAGCAGGAGAACGCTGATGGTCTGTGGAATGATGTGATGAAGTATTATCAGGAGGCAGCTGCGGATACGGATCACAAGGTGTATAAGTGGCCTGCTGTGACCCAAGTGGCTTATCCTTACGGTGATGGGGAGTTGTAATGATGGCAAAGATATATAAAAATAGAGATATATGATATCAAGATAGATGATAAGTACAACTATGATTTTTGACAAGCCTCCAGTCACCATGTTCATCTGAAATAGGTATTGATGTTTACAGTGATTGAGTCAGTAATGCGCAAGAGAAAATGATAACATATTTCGGGCTGTATATTGTAATGTGGTGTAGAATTATTGTGGAATCTTTCATAAGGTATAATCATATCGTTAAAGATAAGTATGGAAGGCGAGAAGGCTTAGTGTCTATAAAGTCTTAATATACCGATTTTTTATACTAGGGATACCTTAATATAACTTTAATAATTACTTTTTATAATTATAATTATCTTAGTCTTATTAAGGCTATATTTATATAGTATAAAACTAAATTAGGTTATAAGCCCTTAATATATAGTATATTATTATATATAAATATATATAAATATATAATATTATATAATATTATAATTATTAATACCTTAAAATAGCTAATTAAGTTATTATTAAATTTTACTTTTAATAGCTTATTAGCTATATTAAGATTACCTTAAGACTTAAAAAGCCTTAATACTACCTATTTTATAAGTAATATCTTTTTATACCTTTAGTTAAATTAAGCTTTTAAGACCTAATTAATTTAATATTTAATTTATTACCTTTAATATTAATATAAAATAGTATAATAATAATTCTAACCTTATAAATATATTAAATACCCTTAAGTTATATATAAACTTAAGGTATTATATTTTAAAGTTAGTAAATAAATATTATAAATATTATATTTATAAACTATTTAAAACTAATTATTATTAATTTATAAATTATATTTTAAATATATAAAGGCTATTTAAAGCCTATATATAGTAATCTTTAGGGCTTAATATATAATAAAGGCCTTAATTACCTTAAAAAGTATAAAAATAAGTTTAATATTATATTAAATATTATATATTTATTATATACTATAATAATAAAATTCTTTATTAATTATTATAAATAAGAACTTATAAAGATTAATTAAAAGATTATATTATTATTTATACCTTTTAGTATTATAATTAACTTAAGTAAATATAGTAATATATTATATAAAGTAATAATATTAAAAGACTTTTTTAAAGCTATTAATATTTATATTAATAAAAGGGAGAATATTATTAACTTTATATTCTTTTTTTTTAATATATAACTAGCTTTTAAAGATAAAGATATTATAGCTATATATTTTTATAAATAGGTAATAAGTTAATTAAAGATTAAGATTAAAATAGAGCTATTAGGTAATTTAAAGTATTTACCTAAGATTAAAAAAGAGCCTAAAGTAACTATTAAAAAAGAAAATAATATTAAAGAGGAGATTATTTTATAACTATTTAATAATTTAATAAATAAAAAGGGAAATAAAAAAAAAGTAATAATTTAGATTATTTAGTTACTATTTAAGGTATTATAAAGAATAATAAAATTAAAAATAAGGATCTATTTAAAAAGGAAATATTATAACTAAAGAAAAATCCTTATTAAGTTAAAAAGGAATAAAATATATAATATAGTTAAGATTAGGACCTTATTATAGCTTAAATTATTTTATATATATTTAAATATCTATTTAATAATTAACCTTTTTTTAATTAATCTTACTATTTTTTTTATTATTTTTTAAATTATTAATATTAATATTATACTTTAATAAATAATTATATATATAATTTAAGTTACTAGTTAATATAGTAAAAAGGTTAATAATAGGTTTCTTTTTTATTAATAATATATACCTTTAGTTAGGTATATAAAATGAAATATTATAATAGTTTTAATTATTAAGGCTTATTATTAAATAGATTTTAATATTTTATAAAAATATAATTATATATAGTAATTATTTTATTTAAAAGATATATATTAAGATTAATAAGGTTTTTTTAAAATATTTACTAAAATATATATAATTAATCTTTTAAAATAGCTTTTATAAAGCTTTTTATCTATATAGCCTTAGGTTAGAAATATAATACCTAAGGCTAACTAGGTATAATATAAGGCCTATTATATTATTTATAAATATAGTATATATTTTATATAAATATAAACCTAAAAAGCTTTTAATATATAAATAATATAAAAAGATATAATATTATAATATAATTAAATAGGAAGTTATATAAAAATTAACCTTTAGCTATAATTTTAGTAAAATATACCTATTATATATTAATTTATAAATACTAATAAAGAATAAAATATATATATATATTAAAACTTAACCTTTATATTATTTAAATAAAGTTATTAATTTTTAATTTTTTTATTATATATATTTTTACTATATATATAGTAATTATTAAATTATATAGGCTATATAGTATTATTTTATATATAAATATATATTTATAAAAAGTAATAGTATATACTAGCTATAAAAAGGGTTTTATTTTTTTAATTTAATTAAATAATATTAGGTATTATATTATACTTTTTAATTATATAAAGATATTACTTAAGAATATTTTATAATATATTAATAAAAATATTTATATAAAATTATATAATAAATTATAAATATATATGAATTAATATATATATTTTAATCTTTATACCTTTAGCTTATTATATATATTAAGGGACTAAATAAAGTTAGGACTAAAGGTAGTCTATTCTATATAGTAATATTATATTATATATTACCGTTTAGTTATATTTAAGGGTATAAAGTTATAATAATATAAATATAATATATTATAATTAAAGATAAATTAATATTAATAAATATATATATATAGGAATATATAGCTATATTAACTAATTATTATATTTAATTTAATATTATTTATAAAAAGATTATATAGATTATTTATTTACTAATTTATTATTTCAAAGGTTTAATACTTTTAAAGGCTAAGATCTTTATAGATTCTTTTAAGGCCTATTTTTATTAATATAAATCTTTTTTTTTATAGTTAAAGTTATATAATATAATTATTTATAGTAAAATTAAAGAATAATTTATATATTTAGTTTTATAGGTTCTTAAAGTTTTATATATATTATTATTAAAGCTAATTAAATTAGTTATTTTTAGATTATATTTTTAAGGTTATATAAAGCTTTAAATATTTTATTTTAATATTAAACTTTATAAAAATATATTATATAATATTAATAACCTTAAGGTCTTTTTTATATTTTTATTATTTTATTTAGATATAAAATAAAAATAAATTAATCACTAGGTAATCTATATAAAGGTACCTTATATATTAAATTTATATAGTAATTATAATAAAGTTTTTATAATATATAAAAAAGAAGATTTAATTAAGGAATTAAAATAAATTTTTAAAAAAGAAATAAAGATTTATATTATAAATAATAAGTTTAGATATAATATATTTAAGGTTTATTAAATTATATTAATATATATTAATATTATAAAAAAAAAGGGATAAGTTTAATACCTTTTTATTATTTCTTAAATATATTTAGGTATTATAGTATTTTATATACCTATATAAAATCTATTAATATAATTATATTTATTACGACCCTAGTTAGATATATTACATACCCCCTATAAATTACACTAATTATAAGACCACATTATAGACCGACCTTATAGACATCTTAGTTTATAAAATACTAATAGGACTAATAACCAATATCGCCCGGTCTATATAAAACCGACCTTATATTTATTTCAGTTTAATATCTATACTTTAGTATATAAAATATATTTATTAGTACTTTTATAGATATTAACTTACTAGCTATTAATATAACTTCTTTACCTTAATATACCTAACCCGCTCTATTAACTATTAAGAAATATAACTTCTTTACTATTACTTAAAATATATCCTATAATCCTATAAATATATACTTAAGTACGGCTTAGTATATCCCTTTAGAAACCTAATTATTATATATTAATAGCTTTTATTTAATATTATACTATATAATCTAAGTAATATTATAATAACCACCCTTACTACCTTAGTTTAGTAATAGAATATTATTAATAATAATAAAACTCCTGCTAACTAAGGTCTAACCCTTACTGAGGAAATAAATACTAATAGAAACTCTTTAAAGAGCTTTAACGATATAAAGGTAATATAACTATATAAATAAGTTACTAATATAGCTACTAAAATAAATAATTTATATAAAATACTTTAGTAAACCCTTAACCTTTAAACCTAATAGGTATATAATAATTAAAATAGTCTATAAAAAATATATAACCTTATTAATATAATAACTTATAAAAAGGAAACTAAAAAGATTTTTAAACTAAACCTATTTAAAATATTTAATAAAACGCCTAGTAAACTACCTATATTTACTACTTAATATTAAACCTTTATAAATTACTACTTAATATAGTTCTATAAATATATTAATAAGGTAAAGTATATAACTAGACACCTTAAAGGTATTACTATATAATAATTCTAATCTATTATAGAAAAATAGATTAATAAGGTAAATATTAAAGACTTAAAACTAAAAGCTTATATACTCTTTATTAATTACTAAGCCTTTAAAAAAGTATTATAATAAGCCTTTAGAACTATTAATAAAAAAGGATATACTAAATAAAAAATCAAGGTAATCTAATAAACTAGGTTAGTATTAGAGCTAGGAGTAGAGTTTTTATAGCTTACCTCTAAGCTACTATAAGACTAAAATATCCTAATATTACTATTTTTTAATATACTTAAGGAATTAATATAAATAGAACTATATAAAAAGAATTACCTAAAAACCTTAATAAAATATATTAATATAACAGTTAGAATTAATAATTACTAATTTACCTAGTAAACTTATAACTCTTACTATAATAAGCTATAATAAGATATTTAACCTAGGTATAATATAAACTAAAGATATTAATAAGATAATAATATATCTTATAAAATAGTACCAAGACTAATAGTTATTATAATAGTTAAATAAAATAAATCTAAGATTACCTACTAAAACTACGGTAAGAA